AAGTCTCGAGAACGGAACGCTCAATGGAAATGGGCCAATAGCGAAATGAGTGCAGGCCGCCCTCGTCCCGATTCTCCTTCACGACCCATGATGCTCTCCCAACTAACCATAGTCGATGAGCCTCATCTAAGTAGCCGCAGTCACCAGTTCGAAGCCAAATCATATCCTTGCCTCCATTGGCTTCTGAAGGGAGCTCATGAATGATGCGATTGTTGTCCGAAGTGGTAGTGATATGGACATGAGGGCCAGAGACAACTATTTCTCCGATATGACCGAGCTCCAGAAACTGTCGTCCATCAACCTCCTCACCATCGAGGCAAGCAATGGCGGTATGAGAGAACCCACCATCAAGGTCAACATGGCCCACACAGATGGCATTAGCATTCCCCCCTTCGAAGCCTGAGTCTGAACCAGAGATAGAAGACGTTTCAAAACTTGATATGTTGTAGGAATCCTTGATTTTTTGTGAGAAGGATAAGGCCTTAGTATTAGTGGGGCTAGATTCTAAAAGGATTCGTTCTTCAACGCGGATCTTGGAAATTGGCTCAGCTTCGCTAGAGCCATAAAAGATGAAGGCAGACCCTTTGATACCTCTGCGCATGATATCCAACTCCGAGGAGAAGACAGGTGCGCCTCCAAGACAGAGGACCCGAACAGGTAGTGGAGTTAAGAACTTGCCATGCTGGTCTACGCCACCAGTCTGCTCCAAATGCTCTAGTATGCGGATGAAGAAAGCTGGCGAGCCAAAAGCAACTTGAATATTGTGACGGATCATAGCTTGGAGCAAAGGGCCAGGATTGATCCCCGCAGGATTGAAGTTGTCAGGAATTAATGTTGTATAACCAAGCATGATCTGACCGAAAATAAATACAGGTAGGTTTGTCACTGCCTTGACAGGTTTGTGTGCAGACGCAAGCGCAGTCTGCGTCGATATTGAGCTTGTTGCTACAGAGCCACTCGATTGCTTGGCTGGGATAGCAGTGAGGGACCCTGCTGCTGTGGCCTTGATTTCCTTTTGACAGAAGACTGCAATGGTCTGAGCGCGGAGATAGTCATGAGACCGTCGGATGGGTTTAGGGTTGCCTGTCGACCCTGTAGTGAAAGAGAGCAACGCGGTAGTCTCTCCAGGGACAGATATGATAGGAATAGACTTTGGTGCAGCGGCTAAATCTCTCTTGCTAATTTTGTTTTAAACAAAAAATAATTGTTGCATGTCAATATCATTTATCCCTCATTTAATATATTATTTAAAAATAAAAAAGTAAAAAAATAAAAAAATAAAATAATAATAATAATAATAATAATAATAATAATAATAATAATAATAATAATAATAATAATAATAATAATAATGATATACGTACTCAACGTTGGTAGGAATTTCTACAATATTTTGTATTTTTTTGAGCGAGGGCACGGCTCTTGAAAGTACCCACTTCTTGAACGCTGTTAGCTTCATATTGGTGACGATGTGTGTAATAGGTAGGACGGATTCGATACAGATATTCATCTTTGCTCTTTCCATGAATGGATCTAACAAGACCAGAGTTGCCCCAAGAGACAAGCAGGCGATTGAACCCACAAAGAAATCGACTCCAAGAGAAGAGAGGATTAAGACTTTGTCGCCTTTACTCAATGGCCTCGACGCACTGTTACTGCCACTGTTTTTGCCCTTGAATGGTCCTCCCTGGGCCAAAATTTGAGTAAAATGACTAATTCGACTGCAGAGGTCGTCAAATGTCACACTGGGCTTCCCAGGCTCCGTGAAAATGAAACAGTCGGGCGAAGGCTCACTTTCTGGCAAAGTCTTTCGGAAATGAACAAACATGGCATTGAAGAGACTGCATAAATTACCGTTAAGCTCCTCTGTAGTCGGTGGGCGGCTTAGGCTCCACCGAAAGATATCTGGAAGTCCTCCTGAAAGGAAGTCGTGGAGCTGTGAGATGGCAATATTCTTAGCGCTGGCTTTATCGGCTTCTGAGCTGGAAAAAGGGGGAGCCTGAACACGGAGATTATTTTTCTGTTTGTTGGTTATCAAATGGAAGAAGGGCCATTAGTAAGGATTAGCAATCTTCTGCTATCAGACTAGTGCTTTAAAGGGGCCTCACAGGGCCCAATATCCTTACTTCGATAATTGCGGGACTCATGGTGGGATGGTATGGAGGCAGACAGACAGGAGTAATTATTAGAGATATAGAAATATAGATAATAAACAGAGAAAGTAAATAAGGGGGAACACAGGGAAGTAAGAAGTAGAACAATAGAAAAGAAAAAAGTACAAAATCAAGAAGAAAGGGAAGAGAAGAGAAAGAAACATGTCCAAGAAAGAGTATTAAAAAAAATCATTTAATGTCATGTTGTTTTCTTCGTGCAGACATAGTTTCATTAAATTAAGTTTAACAGTATACCTTAAATAGGTATACCACATTGTTACTTAAGTTCATCCACTTAACAATATTTATCAACAATAACACAACTGTCAAATTTTAACTTTATTTGTTTGTTTGTTGCGGAATAAATTGCGCCGTGTACAAAGAAAATAAATTAAGCATTTGAATGTGAGCATTTTGGTCCCTGTATAGTTTAACAAGGGTCCGGGCTGAATTTTTATGCGTCAAATTATACGCTAAGTCGTTTTTGGCAATAGAAATGCACACACAGACGTCGGAAAGAGCACAGAGCTCACAACATGGAATCAACAGAGGACTTTGAAAATGTTCTAATGATAAACACGAGGACCATGCATTTGTCACCTTCACACTAGACATAAATGAGCGGACAGTCAGGTCATTGCTTTTACAAGTATTCTCATCTCAAATTGAAGTAGAAATATCAGATAAGGCTTTTACAGTTTCAATTTAAAAGTTTTTTCATTGGCTACTACGCTCCGTGTTTTGAAGACCAATAATAGAAAAGATCCTAAGCTTGTCATTTATGCAGCTGAGAGCGTTTATAGTTGAGTGACATTACAGTGAGAGTAGAAGAGCGCGGAAAAACATTTCGTTATACGTCGTTCAAGTCTTACTCGGAAGTAAACAATAGCAGTGGTGGAGCGGGAGTCTCACTTTTTTCTGCCTCTCTTCACAAAAAGCCAGCACGCTTATCTACCAACGAAGCCTAATGGCTGTTGTAGACTCTACTTCGCAAAAGAACAGTATGACTGGATTCTCTTGAGCGAAGGCTCTCAATTTTTTTTTTGTTTGTGTTTGTTCTGTCGGCGCTGTGCAGGATAAATGATTCGCATCTTGTCACAGGAAGGAAACATGGCCTGTCTAGCCCCGGGCTTCATGGATGATATACCAAAAAACCTTAGTTTTTAAACAAACCACGGCAAAACTACAAGAAATATGTATATGTGTATGGGCAGTAGGAGCTGGTTTACAATGTTACGTATCTTTCCTCCGATAATGGCTGATATATTTTTCTTTATAATTATCCTTACTATTCCAGCCTGCCCTTGGCGGTAAACTGTAACGCTATTACTTAGTGTTACTTAAATCAAGTAAATAATATCATAATTATTATAAATAAAAAGAAAAGACCGATATTGCGTAACAACATGTCAGAAAACATAAGCTCAACCACGGTGCTCTATTTTATTTTTTTGGAGCCGTATTCTTCGCTATTATATATTTAATGAATAATGATAGACGTATTATGTTCTTTATTTTCTGTTACTGATGTGACAAAAGGACTACGTAGAGACAACAATCAAAGTAAATGATAACCTTATGGTGAGGTAGAGGCTTCATACTATAATCATACTTATTCTAGTTGCCTTTCTCTCTTTTTTTAGCGACAAACATATTGATTTATTTCAAAGGATTATGGCATCATTTATTTATAATGGAAGGCATCATTTGATTCAAGGTAAATAATAAACGGAAACATAATTCGTCCTTTTTAAACGAACAAGTCATCCCAATGCCATTGTTGCCATTTTTTGACGGCTGCGCAGAGTCGAGGAAGAGGTAGAAACAAAATGACATGAGCGTAAGAAACTATACTGCATGTTCCTCTCTCGACACCTTTAGTTGAATGACTCTCTACAGGTCAATCTGATTTCGCATGACCCTACAAAGATGTACATAAGCTCACTTCGCTTTTTTGCAGAGTTTATGGTCAACCTTCCGAAATGAAATCCACATGGAGGCAAGAGACTGAGGCATCTTTCAAGGTCCATTGTGATGAACGAGGAGGAATGTTTTCCGTTCCTCCGATATCCATGAATAGGGACGAACAGATTCATTTCTCGCCATTGTGTCCTTGCATAGCATGCATGTGAGTGTTCATTCAAATGCGCGTGTTCATTTATTTTTACGGAATGTCCATACGACTGGAAGCACCAAAATAATTCTTTACCGAAACACCTACAAACCTTGACGCCACTCTACTACATATATACATTGGTGATGTATACCCCAAAAGTTAAGGTAACGTAAAAGTACATATTTGGAAAAACCAAACAGCATCTCATGATGCATATTTCCTTTTTCTAACCTACCGACGCTTTGCATATTGGACGAGGCTGAGAAAGCATTAGAAAAAAAATATAATCACCGGGAAAACGCACGCGTCATTAGTCTTTTTTTTTTTTTTTTTAATAAAGTGAGTTGGGTTAGCTAGGGCTCCGCTTTGGTGGCGCTAGAAGGGCTTCCTGTCAAGCTTTTTTTTTTTTTCTTTTTTTTGTTTTCTTTTTGACAGTACTAATACATGGTCAGGCAGCATATTCACAGCTTAGGTTTGGCCAGTATGGTAGCTTGCTAGTTTCTACAACCTATTCATTATTCAGCCAAGACGCACGCCAATAGGGAGGCAGTTTCACGAGCAAATATTTGAGTGTATATCTAAATCCATCTTTTTTTTTTTTTTTTTTTTTTTTGAGTTCTGATGCGCCTAGGCTGCTAGGATAATATAAAGATGGGCTGACTACTATTATATACTTATCTGGCTTTTAGGTGAAATAAAGGTGCCTGGGCGATGAAGCGCTGCGTGCGCACTACTGTAGCGCTTCCTGCACTCATGAGTGTCTTCAGTCTGATAACTAGCATTCGCTTTCCTCGCAATGTCCCAAATATTCTTTGCATAGCGTAATCGCGAGCTAGGGGTATGGCCTTCTCTGTTTAAAGATGATTGCTACCCTCGTAAAACAGCCTCTCTATATCATCGGCTCGTATATTCTTCATATAAAACAGGCTATTTGTTAATGCTGGTTAGCTAAAGCATGCAGCTCTTGAGGGTTTTCGTCCTTTTTTCTTAATTCCTTCTAGATATGGAAGACTAATGGAACATGTATGGAACATAGTATTATAAATGCTTCTAGATAACCTGGTACGATCACTATTAGGTGGAAGGAAAGAATGAACTTCCTTGATAGAGGAATAGTATCCTATATGCTCTGTTATCTAATACACGCAGATGTTTCATTAATAAAAAAACTAAACAATAGTATCTATAAAAAACATAAGGATGCGAGAAAGGATGAAGGACAAGGTGATGCCACGTCAGTTGTGTAATGAATATTTATCTGTGTTATCTGTCACATCGAAGGATACCTTTGCTCATTAAAAAGCTCAAGATGGTTGCGCTTTTAACTATTTTTCTAGAATCTAGTGCATCCATGATTTCTTTCTGAGGCGTGGGTACGAGCACGTCTAATCCTCATTAGGTACATGCCAGGGCATACTCAAAATGCTTTTTTTCCTTTTCATTAGTGCATATACTGGGTATTTGTTGCGTGTAATAACACGAACAATAGATTTCTTTCTGACTTACAGCCCCAGGCTGAAGCAAATAAAAAAAGTGATAAAAAAGTCAATGTGGGCAAGCTGTGAAGGAGGGCAAATTGCTCGCCTTGCAAACAAAGATGCATGGAAACACTTCACCTGCGCAAGTCCCTTTTTATGCAATAAACATTTACACAAAAAAATGGAATGGTTTTGTTCGATTGATATTGCTCCTCAGCTCCATTTTTATATTGTGTCGTTTGCAAATCAAAGTTTGAACGTCGAAGCTAATAAGGTACAAGATTTATTCTTAATGGTTAAATGACATAGTAGATTTCATTATTATGTGCGTTATTAAGGGCTGAATGTCGTAAAAATGAGCGGTCGAATGAGGATACAGAGTTCCACAAACCGTAAATAAAAGTTGCTGTGTTGTTGTATCGTAGGTCTTTAACTTGCTGAATATGGTGGCATAATGGTTTTGTTATCGTTCTTTTTTTCCCTCTTTTCATATCTACTATAGTCGGGCTTTGGGTCCCTGTTCAGAGTTTCTGTTGTAGAGTAAGGGCTGGTGCTGCCTACTTAACGCTGGTTCTATAGCCTGTCCTTCTTGTCGCCCTTGTTTTACTGGATTAGCCAGTACAGCCGCTACTGGCGTTGACTGGTGCATATAGAGTCGATAGATATGGCGTATGCCTCTCCCGCCTGCAGCTTTCTCAGAAATACAAGCCGTGTTCTCGTTCACGAGAGCGCAGACAACCTTGGTACAGCCCCAATAGTCCTTGGCTCGCCGTGCAACCTCTCGGATCATGACCGCAAAGGCCTTTGTCTTTCTATACTTCTGTAAGACTCCTAGGGTTTTAATCACTAGTGTATCATGATTTTCAACCCAACAGGCCACATAGCCAGTATCTTCGCCCGTCCTCTTATCAACCACAAACGCAGACAGATCTATCAGCGAAGCATTATCAACTTCTTGCCTTGAAACCATATCGTTGAGAACGACCTGACGGTGGTTACTACGTGTAAAGCCCTCATCAAAGAACTCTTTGCCTCGGAACATTCCGATCGAGAGATCATAAAGACGCTTGGCTACATCATCTTGAGGCGTTGAGCTTAGTTCAGGATGCTTTTCTGGATTGAGTGAGGCTTGGAAGTCGAGGGTATTCCAGGGCTGCAGAATAAGGCCTACACTCTCGAGAGAAACCCCGTGTGTGTAAGCTTGATAGCCCTCCAGAAGATCATCAATATGAAAGAATGTTGAATAGTAGTCCATCGCTTTGACAAATCCGGCCTAATAAAAAAAAGAAACCAAATCAATCATTCATGTTTATTAACAAGGAAGAGAACATCCTTTCCTTCGAAATATTTTTTTGCTACCAATACAAAAATAAGCACCTTGGAAAAGCAAGTATCGTAGAAATGAGGGTGCCTAGGCTCGAAAGACATGGATGGTTGAGGCTCTGTATCAATTCGAAGACGGTACTGTAACCAGGTGGTCATGTTGACTGGTCCAAGGATCTGTCGAACGGGCTTGAATTGTTGAAGGCCTCCATGCCTCAGCCACTCTATCGCAGCGTTCAGGACGGCGACCCCAGCTTCCTCTGTTTTAGCCTCAAAGAGCCCCACATACCCCATAGATGGGTCCGACATCACGGTGTTGGCACCAACGCATGCGATAGGTTGATGAGTATCATCATCGTAAAGGATCCAGAACTCTGAATGAGTATTCTGGAGCCCTGATGCCAAGAGTTGGTGTATCAGGGCTGGTTGTGTACTGTCATGGTGAAGCGATGTGAACTGGGAGATGAAATACTGTTTGTTATAGAACGCTGTCATGGGCAATGGAGTGATGATACGCCCTTGTTTCTTTTTGTGGGTGGTGGAGGTCCCAAGGTTCGACAGCATAGTGGATAATGCGTTGTTAAATGCTGTATGGATAAAAAGAGCAGAGAAGCGTTTCAAGAAAAGGAAAACTGGTTGAAAATTTAAAATGAATGATGCTAAAGGCCGTTAACTTGTAATATGACGAGTGTCAAAATTATGCTCTGCCGTTTTGAGCTTTTTTTTTTTTGCGTGAGATTCTTCAAAATATAATATTGGCAACAGTAATTCGTTGATAAAGTACAAATGTGCGTATGGCCATAAGCTCATAAATAAAGTAGAAACCATAATATAACGAGATTGAATTATTTTGTTGGACAGGCAAATTTAGAAAGAAAAAGGGAAATAGAGAAAAAGCGGGAAAAAAAAATACATAACGGATATGCAAGAGATGGCGATATATCTGCGCTGCCTAAAAGTTTTTTCATACTCACGCCATCTTAATTGAGTCAGCTTGGTGTATGATTCGGTAATTGCCCTATCTCTTACTTTACCTCACTTTTGTTCATACAAACCTGAACAAATACCCCAGCTGTTTACGAATGTAACCCTTTTTTAATTTCAATTCAATTATTTGCTTTTTGAGCATTATAACTAATAGTAACTGCTTAGAATTTTCTTAATAAGATTTGTATTCATTCACACTTTATTTCAACACAATAAAATTAAAGATCGTGCACCAACAGTTTCTTAAAATACAAAAACAAAAACAAACAAATAGTCTCTTCATTTAACTTAAATGAGCACTTTGCTCGTGAAAGTTTCTGAACTGAATTGTCGGCCATCTAATGACCAACGACAAGTAAAAAGAGAGGCCTATGGCATAATACGTCATGACCTTAATTCACTCGCGGGTTAACGTCCCGACATTCCTTTTTTTTATTCATGGCTTCACGATCTTTCCCAGCGGCGATAAGAGCTTTATTGATAACTGATACGAAAATGCATGTGATGGACGGAAAACAGAGCAGATAGAAATATAACGACAACAAAGGGGATGCATAGGACGAAAATTGTTTTATTCTACTGTATTTGGGGGACTCCTTTTTTTGAATAAAGATCTTCTGTTAAAAAGGGCAGAATTTCCCTCTTTTTTTGCAATCAGTATCTTTTTTATTTCATTCTCTCTGACCTTAGTCGTCAAGTCAAATAACCAAGACATATCCTGAGGCAAGGGAAATACATCAAACACGCAAACTATAAAAATGGCACCAAAAACCACGGAAACAGCAAATGATGCTGTCACCATTGCATCAGCCACTTCCATGTCATCTCCAGCAACAGGACTTCCTCCCCATATCCGCCTCCTCTCTTCCCTTATTCAACTTTATCACCATTTTCTGGGGCGTAAGCCTGCCCAGTCCAGTAAGGACGCTACAGTCGAAGCTACAGTTGATTTTTCCAAGATCCGATATTCTCAAGTTTGGGAAGATACCCGCCTTCTACGCCAAGGGCTCCGTCTTAAGCCTCAGAGCCGTGTGCTGAGCATCGCTTCCGCTGGCGATAATGCCTTTGCGCTTCTCCTAGACGACCCTCGTGAGGTCGTCGCTATTGGTGGGCCAAAGAAAAAATGCGGCCCGTATTTGTATTGGTTACGGTATACTAAGTTATTGACCATCGCTTCTTGTCATTATTGTTCATGTCCCAAAATGGCACTAAATAGATTTTAGTCCTGCTCAGCTTGCATTATGTGCGCTAAAGGTCGCAGCCTATAAGACGCTCGAGTATGAAGAATTCACACAGCTCCTCGGGTTTGAGTTTTCGGACGCCGATGGGCATATTCTGCACCCTGATATTGGCCCCGATAGCCGTGTGGCTCTTTATCAAAACAAAGTTCGAGCGGCATTGACAAATGAAGAATACAGAGTCTATTGGGACGAGAACTTGGATCTTATCCGTCAAAAGATTATTCATGTGGGTCGACTTGAGAAGTTCTTCAACATGTACCGCCATTATATTTTGCCGTTGGCACATTATCAATCTGCCACTCAGAAGCTACTTTCTAGTAAAGACCAAACGAAGCAAATCAAGTTCTATGATTCGGTCTGGGACACTTGGATCTGGAGAGCAGGAGTCCGATTGTTCTTTGGTCAGATGTCGTTGGGTCATCTCGGTCGCGATCCCAAATTTTTTGAACATGTCCAGCTGGATGTCGGAGCATTTTTATTGAGCAAGATCAGTAACGGAGTACGCAATATTCCAATCTGGGACAACTTTTACGCGGAATATGTGTTTACAGGTCAGCAGAGCGGCCGGAATAGCCTGCCGGATTATTTGGTCAAAGAGAACTATAAAATCATTCGATCCAGGATTGACCGGGTGGCGCTGGTCCGTGCAGACGTACTCAAGTATTTAGGGTCTGAGGAGAGTGGGTTCTTCGACGGATACAATCTCTCGGATATCTTTGAATGGATGGATGAAGATTTATTCAAGTCATTCTTAAAAGCAATACACAGGAAGGGTAATAAAGATGCCAGGATCTGTTACTGGAACTTGTTCGTACCCCGTGAGAGGCCAGAGGAGTTAAAGGATCTGATTCGTTCTGAGGTCGAGCTATCAGAAGCAGCGACTGGAAAAGACCGTACCTACTTTTACCGCCGTTTCGTCATTGAGACCATCCTCAAGGATTAAGGAATGCAACAAAAAGATGAATATCTTTATTAAAAAATAAAATAAATATATACAAAAAAATAGACATGAAATCAAATATGTAAAAGTGATCATTAAATAATCTTCTAATATGAATGCGGTTTTCACTTGCGTTTCCATGTCATGTTTGTACAAGTTCTTATTTTATTTTATTTTTCATTTTTTTTTATACTTTTTGTTATAATGCAAAGAAGGTGTTAAAGTCCTCATGAGCCGCTTGTTTATTCTCCCTTGGACATGGTTAAATATTCTATTTCTTATTTTTTTTTTTTTTTTTGTAGATTTATTTTATATAATTATGGTACTATGATATTTGTTAAACCTATTTGACTATTGATTTGCTATTGATCCTGTTTATCCTTCAAAGCTTAGATTCACGAAGGATTCGACTCTGGTGTCGACGAGGAGGCCCAAAACGCTTGATCTGCTCTTCCAGTGATTGGACAATCCGCGGAAGCCAATTCACCTGCTTGAAAGAATTAGAGATACCATACATAGATATTCTGAGCGATGCAAAATCCAAAAGAGCAATCTTGGCAACTTCAAGGTATTCTTTCGATGAGGGAATACGGATTGGTGATGAAACTATTGGAGCTGAAGGTGCATTCACGTCCCTTTCCCGTTGACACAAGCGTTGCTGAATCTCATATGAGGCCTCAAGGGCTAGTCGATGATACTCAATGTAATGCGACCAATCGTTCGAGCCTGGCGGGAGCACAAAGGAGAGGAATTCGACCACGTCTCGTTGTGGGACATGACAGCAGGCTAACTCCCAATCGTAGGCACATAGGGCTTGTGCACCGGTGCTTGGCTCGCGACGAAGGCAGATGTTGCGAGTATTGAAGTCGCCATGCACCTAAAAAAAAAAATAATGCGTTAGTGAATAGGAAGGAAAAAAAAAAAAAAAAAAAAAAAAGCTCATCTAAGGTCCATTAGAGCAAATACAAAATACCATAATACCTACCAAAGTCCTCGGACTTTTCTCAAGGATTCCCCAGTATTCATTCGAACGCCCAAGATAATCGAGCATATTTTGGGACAAGAATTCACTAAAAAGATCAGGGGCATTCCTATGGTTAGCCTTGACCATGGCCTCATAAGCGGGCCTCAACACCTTCATCATTGCACGCGATGGGTTCTCCAAGAAGCTCATATTCATAAGGCGGTTCTCCTGACCCAAAAACTGAGCGTGAAATGAGGCGAGATCGCGAAGAACTAGATGAATATGTTCAGGCGACCAGACCGCCAATGCTTGTTCGGTGCTGTTCATATGCGTGATGTTTCCATGAGAGGGATCCAGGTACTCTAAGCAAAGCGCATATAACTGCTGAGAATCGTTCCGAAGGACATTATAGACTTTAGTCGATATCCTGGCCATAGGACCACCAACTTTCCATGTCAGTTCTGCAAGCTCGATTTCTCGGATGTGGCTGTTCCTGAACCCGGTCAGATCCTTTACCAGGTCATATTCCTCCGCAACCTCACCTCCCTGTAATTGAGCCATGATATTGGTTAATTCAATTAGGGCCGTGTCGATGGGCTTAGACTTGATAACAGTCCAGAGTTCGCCAGCAGCCCGAGCTTCCCTCGCTGCAGGGGAAAATAGCGGCTTCAATCCCGGCTGTAGTCCTGACCCCAGGCGACTGCCAGTGGAGGTGGGAAGGGGGCTCTGTGGTGATGGTAAATGGTTGATGGAAGGGTAAAAGTTACTATGGCAATCTGGCAAAAGTGTATTGGATGAATGTGTGCTACTATCGCTTGTAATACTGCTGTATTCAATCTTGTAGAGGAAATGTCCCGTCATATCACCCCTTGGACATGAATGTTTTGCTTCTGCTGCTGTTGACTGTGCTGAGAAAGAAGAGGGAGCGTCACTACTCCTGTCCACATCAAAATCATCAATCTCGTCGTCTTGATCTTGATCTCCAGAACTAATGTTGCTCAGAATACTAGCGGATGAATCTAGCTCTTGCTCAGACCAAGCTTTAGGTCGAGCTTTATTGGGGCCATAAGCGCGATCAAGGATCACTTGGAAAAAGTCTCTATTGAGTAGAGACCTATTCATCCCAGTTTTGAACATTGCAGTTGTCATTGTGAATAAAAAAAGGCAATGAAGTTGAAAATAAAAACTAGTAAAATAGTATAAAGGGAGGGAGCTGCTTCTGGTATAAGCGCAATGGAAGGATGAATGAATGAAGAGCGACAATTTGATGGAATAAAAAACAACAAGATGAGGAAAGAAGTCAAGCATCTAATTCATATTTTTATATTAAACAAGGCTTTGATTACTCCATGTGCTTCTATGATCTGTAGTGATACAAACGTAGCAATGAAGAAACAATCATCAAAATTTCTGCTACCAGGCGGTACTTCTGCCGTTTGTTTAAGGTAATGCTTTCAAAGAGTTCAGGAGGGTAACTGAACCAAATAAAGAGAGAACTCGATTTTGCCAATGTGAAACAACTATTGATAGAGAATAAGTAAAATAGGAAAATGATGTTTAACTAAACTTATTTTAACCTTAGATATGTGGAACGAGTTTAGCCAAATCGATTAAAAAGTTTGAGATTAGGTTTGATTGGATCGCCTTATTCTAAAACAAGTCAACAGCCTGTGATTGCATTTGTAGAACGGTAGTGCTGACAGTCCACCTGATTGACACGTTGAGCATTGCATTTTCGGAACATCCTTTCGGTCTTACCTGATAAGCGGACCCAATCAAACGCATTCTGACCAGCAGGCGAAATGAGACATTGGCCACAGATTTGTTCTCATCAATGGATATACTCCATACACGTTAAGGCGTACGAGAAAGTCCAGAATGGTCGTGCCGAGCCTCGGATAGAACTAAGATCAAGAATAAGGCAAGGACATGTCCGCGTGGGGTTGTTTTTATCATTCTCTTTCTACTGCGCTGCGTCCATCCATGGTATAATGCCGAGTTCCTTCTGTATCGACTCAAAGATGTATTAATCGCGAGATTTTAAACAGAAAGGAGATGAGGACGACAGTAATTAACACTTGTACTAATCATTGGTTAATATGTGGATCCCAGTAAAATCCCCGCGTCAACATTACGCCCAGATCAAACAGCTAAAACTTCAACACAAAATATATACTGATTGCAAGACCAGTCTAATCGATTGCGATGCAAAGATCCTGTTTATCATGCTTAGTTTGTTTAGACTGGACTGGATTGTCTCTACATCCCCAAAGCTTGAGACAGTGGAAAGAGGCCAATACAGCTGACTCTTTTCTTTTTTTCGTTTGATCTGAGTTAAAATAAGCATCAGGCGGGAAAAGCCTCCATAGACATAATGAAACCTTCTTTGTATTTGATAGGGTTTCATCTCTAACCGACCAAGAGAAAATAGTTTCTACTTTGTTGGGTAAATATGAGAGGGGAGAATTAGAGTATAAACATAAAGAAAGTAGGAAAGCATACAAACTGTTTCGAATACTTGCTCTTATGACCAGGCGTAACCAATTGAGGGAGGGGATCTCTTCAACTTTCGCTGACATGAAGGATCGTTAGCCAAATCATGCGCCAGTTCTACATAGACTTCGGTCTCGACCGGTCGCTCCATTTAATGTGCAGGTATGCTCGTGGACTATGTACTTTTGAGTATATTAGGACTGTGCAGGAAACAGTAAAACGCCAGGCATAAAAATAAATAAAATTCAGTCCTACTTTAAGTTGATGCAGACAGTTAAGAATCTTTACTTATAAAGTTGAAGTTAAGTTCATGTGTATACCTATCTCCGATAATAAGTAAAGACAACTTTAATCTAGAGCACTGACCTGAATGACCCCATGAAACCTTTTTTCTTATTTTTAATGACAGCATGTGAAACTTTGCTGGACTCTTAAGGAACGAGAGCATGGTCTTTGCTCTCCGTTAATGTTCTAGCTCATATTTTTGTGATTTAAATCCCGTTGTCCGTTGAGTGAATTTTCCATGAGGGTTTTTACAATTTTTTTTTTTTTTTTTTTGGATTTGGCTTTGATCTGCATATTTGTATGCAGTACTGAAATGAAGTAATTAACAGTAATTGTAATACTAGTAGCACTATTAAGATATTATGACAGAAACCTTTTCGCGGTATAGAAGGCATTCATTGTCTAATATTAAACTTTTTATGTCATTTTACATAAATGACATTTGAAAATTAAATCAATTGTAGCTTCAATACATGGCTAGGATGACATGGGATGACATGACATCAATGATAGGCATTGTCAATTCATCTCCAGTTGGTTTTTCATGCTAAAACATATACCCATATCCGCGTGCGCGTGGTATGTGACTTGTAACGTAACATCGGCGATCATTTACTTTTTCATGAGCATCAAGATAAGCCTGTTCAGCATGAAATTAATCATATTTAACTTTTCATCTCACCCAAAGAAATGAACAATGAAACATTTATTTTTTATTTGTAATATTGTCTAAAGATTAGAGACTAGAGCACTTGCGGAATTCATGGACTTTGTCGATGTGAATACCATCCACATTATAGTCATGTGCAGGGAAGACCGTGTCGATTTTGTCCTTAAGCGTCAAGATTTTATCAATAGACCTCAATGCATCGCTCCAACAAGTTGTCGACACGGCCAAGGGCCCTGATACACAAGGGATTTTAGACAACATAGGGTAGGCGGCAATGTTCATGACGGCATCACCAACCATGATGGAACGACTGGGGATATGAATATACGAAGCTGAGCCTGGTTTATTATTATGATCCCCGTTTCCCATCGTATAAAAGAAGAGAGACAGAAAAGGAAGAAAATAAGATGATTTTTTGCATAGGTTATTATAAAGCTTTCGTAATGGAGTCTGCGATTCTTTCTGTATTTTCTTTTTTTTTATTTACCTGGAGTATGCCCACGGGTCTCAACAAGCTTGAGGACATGATCAAACTCAAACTGATCTCCATCGCCAAGAGCGATGGTTCTGTCTTCGGAAACCTTGACGAGCGATTCATGTGAAAAATGTTTAAACAATGTGAATGACCAAGTATCACCTGCACAGGTGCGTAGACTAACCCCATCACAAATGTACGGTTTTTCATCTTTGTGGATGACGACTTTGGCCTCTGGATACTTTTCCAGCAAAGCCGGTATAGCCCCTGTATGGTCGATATGAGCATGTGTAATACAAATATAACGGAGTTTGTCCTTTTCGTGTGTGAGGACACGCTCAATCGCTGTAAGAAGTGTTTGAGCTTGCATGGGTGCGCCTGAGTCGATTAAAAGCCAGTCATGGGATGAGTCGGTAGAACCTGGTTCAACAGGGTCACCTCGGATCAAAAAAGTGGCGACAGGAACTTGAACACCTATCGCAATTGGCCAGACAATGGTGCAACGAAAGAGTCCAGGACGGACTTCGACAAAGCGTTCAAAGTCAGGAAGGTTGTACATGTGTAATGTTAATGAGCGAATGTAAGAAAATGAATTAAGACGTGAAGAATGAAATGAAATGAGGGAAGAAGAGAAAAAAAAAAAAAAAAAAAAAAAAAAAGCAACAGATGAATTTACTGTGAGCAAGGCGTCAACACGTCTGTGGCCACTGTGTCATTGCGTCTATTCTACCCACAACTAACCAAACCTCTAATGTGCTGCGGTAATGTGCATGCTCTTTTATCTCGTATCTCGTTAGGATTTCTTGAAGTACAGTACGTACACAGCGAAACCTTTGATTTTCAAATTTGTACCTCTAAACCTCTTTGAACCGAATTTCCAGAAATTGACCGCGCCATTCAACTTGTGCTGCAAAAGAATGAAGCGGACAATTTATAGTTCAAAACTACTATTGCCTCTCCTTTGATTTACGATTCGTTCCAGACTATAACCAATATGCCATGCATCAAGATGACTTTTCTTGCGACAACGATCATCAAAATGTTTTTACAAGCTTCATCTCGATAATTGCAAATGAAAGTCTTTTCAAGAAGGGCATGATGCTTTAGTAACTGATAGGTGCGACAAATATTCAATAAACACATTAGAAAAATATTGTGCTTCTTCCTATCCATCCTTTAGTCAAAAATTCGGGCGGAGTGTTTGTCCCTGTATGGATTAGTCAAATGAACAACCATTTTCAAATGGCTTTGTTCATTGAGTGGTGCAGATCTTATTCTGAAACGACTTAGTTCACGTGAAGTGCCATCGATTGGCCAATTGCGTACCACACCGTATATGTCAATGATGCACGATGTAAGTCTCAAAATGTGCAAAAAAGTGGATTTTATATACGTTCTGCGATACTCATTGGCTAGATTCACATTTAATTCAAAATATTTATTCTAAAACCACAATTCAATTGGCTGATTTTTTTGCTTGTCTTTTTCCTCTCATCCTTTGCCAGCCAATTTAAAATAAAAATTTTTGAATTAAATGTGAATCTAGCCAATGAGCATCACAGAACGTACATAAAATCCACTTTTTTGCACATTTTGCAAAACAGTGAGACTGGAGTGTAGTTCACATTACACAGAAATCTCAATTCATTAAATTCATTAAATTCATTAAATTATTCTTTTTCCTTCCTCAGCCTTTTTCATCCTTTTTTATAAAAAAAAAAAACGCTTCTAGAAATTACTACAAACATAGACATATACGTTTACACTTTACATTCCATACATTTGCACACAAAAATCACAATGATTCGCATCAGTCCCTCATCCTTTTCTATTCCTCGCACTGTCCCTGTCCTGCCCCTCCAGGACAAGGTGTTCCTGCCAGGTGTTGTGTCTCGAATGCAAATCTCGCAAAGAGACTCCATCTCACTTTTTGAGAAGATCCTCCGTACATTCGACAGTAGAGAATTAAGCAAATGCATAATCGGTACATTCCCTGTCCGGGCCGTCTCCGCATCCGCTGTCCCGTCAGACAAGGGTGACACAAAGAGTGACAGACATAGAAGGTCAAAGTCATCCTCACAGGGAATTAGCTCGACGCAGCCTTCTTCTGCAGCAGTCAAAGGAGCTAGTGGGCAGCTAGTACGATCTGGTGGCATCGTAAATCCCATAGACATCCACCCGATGGGGTGTGCGGCTCGGCTTGTCAGACTGGAAAGATCAAGCGGGGGATTCGTTGTTGTTCTTGAAGGTAAACACACAATTTCTCTAATATTCTTAAACGTGGTCGCCGATTTTACTTGGCCCTTAATGAAAAGAAGAAAGATGACTGACCTTTTTTTTCCGTTAATATGTTGTGCAACCGTCTACCTACCATATTCTATAATACTTCACTACAGGCTTGGTTCGACTCCGACTGAATAAGCTTACATCGTATACTCCATTCTATGAAGCAGATGTGACACCTCTCCCAGATCAGGCTGTTGATAAGACAGATCAAGAGATGCAGGACTTGATCGTAACCCTAAGATCGATCTCACGCGAATTTGTGGCGTTACTACAATCGCTCAAATTACCAACACCTATTTTGACACAGTTACAAAAGTTCTTGGATAACGTTAATATCGTTCCTGGTCAGGTTGTCGATCTATTGATGAGTACTATCGAGAGCACCATGGAAGAAAAGATAGCCATTTTGAATGCTGTTGATTTGAAAGAACGTATCACCAAGGCTGTGGAGTTGATGACTAGGCAAATCCATGTATGTACTAGCGTAAAACCTTAATTTTATGCCTCCATTTCATTATTAATCCTTTATCCATCTCCTAACTAAAAGATTGATTGTTGGTGAAAATGGCATTTTAGGTCTTGAAAATCTCACAAAAAGTCCATGACAATGTGGAAGGTAAACTTAACAAAAAACAGCGTGAATTCTACCTCCGCGAGCAGCTGGCTGCGATTAAGGAGGAACTGGGCGAAAAAGATTCAGGTGATGATGACGAATTGGCTATCATCGAGAACAGGCTGGCTGAAGCAAACCTGCCGCCGGAGGTACAAAAGGCAGCAGATCGAGAGTTGAAAAAACTGAAGAAGATGCAGCCAGCGTCATCCGAGTATTCGGTCATCAGGAATTATTTGGACTGGTTGGGGGACTTGCCATGGTCCAAGTCAACTGAGGATATATTAGACGTGGAACGAGCGAGAAAGCAGTTGAACGATGACCATTATGGCCTAGAAAAGGTCAAGCGTAGGATCCTGGAGTACTTAGCTGTGTCCAAATTGCAGCAGATGAAGGGCGATGTTAGAGGTCCTATTCTTTGTCTTGTTGGTCCACCTGGAGTATGTATTATAATGCGTATCTGGCCTATCTTTTTTTTTTTTTTTTTTTTTTTTTTTTTTTTCCTTCCTAAAAGGCACCATGAAGTCTACATGAATGCTCTCCTGATATTGCCACATTTTGATTTCTCCTTGGGATTCGATAGGTTGGAAAGACCTCACTTGGTCGGTCAATCGCTGCTGCCTTGGATAGGAAATTCCACAGAATTTCGCTTGGCGGAGTCTGGGATGAATCTGAGATCCGTGGCCACCGCCGTACATACGTTGGAGCACTTCCCGGACGCATTATTCAGGGATTAAAGAAGTGCGAGGTCAACAACCCTGTTTTCCTTCTTGGTAAAAAAAAAAAAAAAAAAAAAAAAAGTCTACGGACTCGTATGGATTATGGCTTCTATTTTGCATTAAACTGTGAGTGCGCTTTCTCAAAAGACTAACCATCGCTATCTTTACTTATAGATGAGATTGATAAGATCGGATCAAGAGGTCATCATGGCGACCCTTCTGCTGCTTTTCTGGAGGTCCTTGATCCAGAACAAAATAGTACCTTTGTAAGTAATCGACGATTCAACCCTGATCTTTACGACATTTTAATAGGTAAAATTAATAGTGCTAACTTTTTTTTTTTTTTTTTTTTTTTGGGTTGATTATAAGACCGATCACTACCTGAATGTTCCATTCGATCTCTCCAAAGTCCTCTTTATTGCTACAGCCAATTCTTTGGACACGATCCCTGCTCCCCTCTTGGATCGAATGGAATTGATTACAATCCCCGGCTACACCTATGCAGAAAAATTAGCCATCGCTACCAACCACCTGCTGCCTAAGCAAGTCCGCCTGCACGGTCTTACTGAAGCGAATATTCAAATTACTCCAGAAGCTCTTCTCAAGGTTGCTACTGGTTATACACGTGAAAGTGGTGTCCGTCAATTAGAGCGTGAGATTGGTTCACTCGTTCGGGCCAAGGCTGTCGAGTATGCAGAAGTATATGAAAAATCGTCAGCCTCCGCTACCTCTTCCGATATTCCCGAGAACCCAAGTGGGTACCAACCACTGATTGGTATTCAGGATGTAGAAGTGATTTTAGGGCAAGAAAAGTATATTAACGAGGTAACAGCGAGAGCAGCAGTGCCTGGAGTTGTTACAGGTATGGCCTATAATGGTGTAGGCGGCGGGATCTTATTTATTGAGGTCACACAGATGCCAGGCAAGGGCAATCTGCAGCTTACAGGCAGCCTGGGCGATGTGATCAAGGAAAGCGCTCAAATTGCGTTGAGTTGGGTTAAGAGTCAAGGATATAAAATTGGACTTACAACTAGTCCAGGCCAAAATGTGATGGAAAAGACTGATGTGCATCTTCATATGCCAAGTGGTGCCACACCAAAGGTAAAAAAAAAAAAAAAAGACGTACAGATGTTTATAAACTGTTTGCGCACAATTGCTTGACAAACATTCTCTAATGATCAAAAATGATTGATTTATAGGATGGTCCTTCCGCGGGTATCGCCATGGTCTGTGCGTTGGTTTCAATGTTCTCGAATCAGACTGTACCAAGTACAACAGCCATGACTGGCGAGTTTACACTTCGGGGACTCGTCATGCCAGTGGGCGGTATCAAGGAGAAGGTCATCGCTGCTCATCGTGCTGGCGTCCGTAAGATAATCATGCCTCTTCGCAATCAGAAAGACGTGGTTTCAGATGTTCCAGCCAATGTCCGCGAAGATATTGAATTTTGTTATGCCTCAACCATCTGGGATGTTCTACGTGAGGCATTTGAGGGAAGGGCGACTGTCCATACTCCAACTGTTGCAAGCGCTGGCATCGATAGTCGATTGTAGACCTGCACACTTGTGCGTGTTGTAATTAGTCTGAAGATAATATATAATTAAAAAAGACGAAGAAAAGCACGTGATGTGACGGCTACCTTGGTATAATTGCTCGCTTCTGTCTGTTTCTTCTCACTCCACCCTCCTTCTTTTTTCTCCCTCTCCGTCGCTACATCCGCTTCTTTGTAACACTTACATCGGTACATTGTCAAGATTCAACATGATTCGTGATGACACTGCGATGCAGAATCAAAGCCTGATTGCTGCTACTGCAGCAGTAGCAGCGGCGGCGGGCGCAATGACCGGCAGTGCCGATCCCACTCCACAACCTCAGCGCAAGTCTGCAGAGACGCTCAAGCGAGAGCTAAACAGTGAGAAGGTCCGTACAGAGAACCGCGAGCGCAAGAAGAGATGGAGAGAGCAGAATGAAGAGAGGAGTAAGTTACCATTTTTTTCCCTAGAAGTCAAGATTCGGCAACCCTCTTTTTTCTTTTTTATTCTGCAAGTGACTTGTAATCACTTCTCAATCAAGCATTGATGTACACATTCGTTTTGATGCAGTATCATTTATTCTCTTTTTGAGGCGACCGTTTTCCTTTTTCACTCCTCTACCCCTGGAGCCCGGTCCCAGTCTATACGGCTGTCTTCAACAAAGACAGTTCTTCCGGCACCTTTTTATCAATCCCTCCCTACTTTTTTTTCTTTATTTCTCTGAGTCTAATTGTTTTTTTTGATATTTTTTTTCTGTTGGTTTCATTGTCCGACGCTTGTGACGTTCAATTTTAAAAATTAATAGTCACAATATCAGGGCAAAGCCCAGTTTTGATTGTATGGAGTGATCTTTAACACACAGCCTGTCAATTATCACCTTTATACATTAACATTAGACAAAGATAATGATTTGCGATGCAGAGTCAACAAGCGAGCGAACAGCAAGTTTGGTAAACATGAGAGTGAAGCCAAGACTCGGTGGATCGAGGAGGAATTTAGCAAGCGTCAAATGAAGCGTAAGGAGAAGGAAAGACGGAGGAACCCTGATGCTGTATCTCCTCAAGAATCGTTGAGCGCTTCTCCTAAATCAACCATCTTGACTGAACTGGCAATGCATCAACATCATCAGCCTCAACTCACAGCTGTTCAACAGCAGCTTCAACAACATGTGGATCAACATTTCCATGCTGCACAGCTAGCACATCCTCACTTTGACCCGACGACTGTGAAGACAGCGCTGGCGCTGAGCGATCTAGTCAAGAAGAACGGCAGTCATATTGATTTAGCACAACTGACGGGTGTGTTGACAGATCCTAATCTGCAGCAGCAGTTAAACGAGATTGAGAAACAGAATCCATCCTCACGAATGCCTCCTGCATCAACAGCAATGATGGTAATGAACGCCCCCGTCAAGCCAGAGCATGAAATCAAGTCCGGAGGCCACATACTTGAAGCTGACTATCCTATGGATGCCGTCCTCACTCTAATGCAGTTGAATGGAAGCTGGAAGGCATGAGACCGGAGCTTGAACAACAAATAACGGATATGACATACGGGATACCTAAACACCATCTTCACCAATAGGCAAATCAATACATCTTTTTTATTCATTCTTGTCTTTTTATTCTCAACACTATTCGTTTTTTATTCTTCTTTTCACTCGGTCGTCTCAGATACATGTCTATAGCATTTTTTTTACGACGTATTATAATTGATTCGGAAAAAAAGAAAAAAAGTGTCCTCTACTTTTTCATACATCAGGATCATGATTTGCATTTCAATCTCTTTTTCTTCGCCTCTTCTCTTTTAACAGTCTCTCTTACTCTTCTCCCTCGCAGACCTAATTGCCCTCTCCTCTCTCTTTCTCCCCCAGCTCGCCGCCCGTATGTTTTAGTATTATAGCATAGTCTTTATTATTATTATTTTCGAATAGAACGCATCTTCCTTGATAAGAATATAAAAGAATAAAATATTATATTTGATAATTGTATGTTTACATCTGCTGGTTTTTTTTTTTTTTTTTTTTTTTTTTTTTTTTTTTTTTTTCCTCATTGGTATTGAATAGTATCCATAATTCGGTTGCGAGAATCTTTGACGACGGAATGAAGAATTCGTTTAAAATAGTGATTTTGATCTTGATTAGTATTCAAGATTTGTTCTTGTAACATGATCTTTAGAGGATCATAAATGGGTAAATTGGGTAAAGTCCTGAGGAAGGCCATGGCGCCTAACCAACGAACATGTCGTTCTCCAATCTTGAAGACTGCACCAGCGGCGACTCCGACAGTTGAGCGACGGCTGTTGTGCAAAAGACCGAAACAGACACGAAAGATGTCTAGGACGATGGAATAGAGAGCAGCAGGCTGAATAAATTGAATTCGTCTCTGTCGCTGTTGCTGCTGTTGTAAAAATTGTATAGATCCAGAAGAGATAACCGGGTCAAGACAGAGCTCGAGTAAATACGCATGGAACTTCATGCAACAAAAATTGAAATTTTGATAAATGTTGAGCATGACTTGAGATATCGAGTTGAAAGAGGTGTCAGAGAACGCCATTTGACACGTATACTGCATTGCCCTAATTTGTTAGAAAATAATAAGCGATGGTCAATACGAAGTGTAGAACTGTGCTGTAAAGGTTAAATTAAAATAAAAGAGATAGAATAGAATAAAAATGAAGCATCTTAAAACCAAAGCCATGTCAAATGTTACTTTTTCATCTTGAGAACGATAGATCGTCCAGGGTGCAAGTCTCGTACAACTGTTAACAAGTTGCGCACATCTAAAATAAAATAAAGCATGTTCGTAAACATTTGTTCTGGCCTGGCTTTAAAAAAAATAAATAAATAAATAAATAATAAAAAAAAAAAAAAAAAAAAAAAAGAAAAGAAAAAACTCATACTTTCTCCATGGTATCGACTGTAATCGACTCTGATTTCAAGCGTCTTGGAGTTGATTAATAGCCCACAGTAAGGGAAATCTACAAGTAATTTCACAAAGAGGAAAAAAAAAAAAAAGTCATTGAAACTTGGAGTTTTTCCTGTCTTATTGCATATTTTCGGTTTATCGTCCAATAAAATATTACCATTCCCTTGGCATCTTTGTATAGATGCTCCATTAACAGTAATGTCGAAATTTGTCAAAGTCTTTTTCTCATTGATAAAACAGCCATAGTCGGGATGCCCTTGCCACATCTTCTTCAAAAATGCGGCTGCTTTGCTTTGGCTCTGACTAATGAACAAGAAATCATCCACAAGTCTTAATAATGCCTAGTATTATATTTATTTATTTATTTATTTGAGAAATAAGACATATTAAGTGAGGTTATAACATTCTGAAGGGTATAAAAAAGCCGAGGTAGGATAGAGAGAAGATTGAATGACTTACACTATCTTCCGTCTGTGAAAAGTCCGAGAGAACGTCTTTTTCCATCTCATCATAGAAAAATCTAATAAGATATGAATATCAGCAAATGTAAAAAAAAAAAAAAAGTATAAGTATGGCTTAATAGCTACCAGCCAAAGGCCACACGTGGCAGTGGTTGGGTGCACGGACCTGCACAGTGCTGGCGAAAGGATTGAGCCTTGCGGTACTCCTGTGGTCTGTCTATAATAATCACTACCAAATTTGACAATGTTCTCGCTGATATGCTCTTGGACCAAGTCTAATATTGCAGCCTTACTCTCAAAGGAATGAACCACCTTATTCATAGATGTCAATGCTAATTTATCAAAGGAAAAATCGCACTCCAACAAACAGAATATAAATAGGAGATACCTTGTCAATAAGAACAGCATGTTTAGATATCTCAGCTTGACTACGCGCAAATCCCAAAAATGAAGGCATTTCATTTGGAGCAATTGCCTTCGGTAAAAATCTTTTCGTGATCATTCCATTGGAAGGCATCACCTTAGAATGGCGATGAATCATGTAGATATCCTATTCCAGCAAATGATAATGAGAGAAATTAGGCTGAAATGAGCATATTTCATCTATCGAATACTCCATGCGCAAACATGACCTAGGAATAAAAAAAGATAACTGATTTAATACCTCTTTCAGTATTCCGTCAATGATTTTGAGTAAATTGTCCTGATTAATCGAATCAAATGCTTTCTTTATATCGACTTTAACCATGTAAAGCTTAGGTCTATCGTAAATAAAATGCCATTAGTATGAAAGATGTACAGTGCATGCCGAACGTTTTCCTCTTTCATCTGGAAAATATAAGCTAAATATAACACCAAGCACATTTCGATTTACAAGTTACGTCGTGATGGGCCAACAAGCTTGTTCTTGACCTGCTTAAGTCTTTGATACAGATCACTCATACCAATGGCTGAATTTATCTGCTGGGGCGCTTGGCGGCCTCTCTCATATGCCAAAACTAGGAACGCGTTCATGAGCCGTTGGTTCGTAGACTTTGTTCCAAATGCGGAACTTCCATTAACCTTGTAAAAAAAAAAAAAAAAAAAAAAAAAAATGCGTTTAATTTATATATATATGATGCAAAGTCGGCAAATAGCTTTCTTTTCATATGGATATAATAATGGAGCATACCAGTTTTGGCGACTTCCGTCGAAGGTTGATGATTGGCCTTAAATCATGCTCTTTTGGGAGCAATCTAACGTTTGCATACACGCGATTGCAAGTCGAAGCTTCCTCCTAGAAGAAAGTGGAGAAAAAATATTAACCTCATAACTGACAAGCTTGTAAATTCATTGGCCTTTGAACTTACATCTGTCAACTTGGCAAACATTGCATCCTTCATAGAGTTCAGGGATGGTTTTGTGATCATGTGCCATAATTTATGACGATAGTAAAAGACCTTGTTCCGCTGGAAGGAGCTGTCCGTAACATAAAAGCTCGCCTGATAGATTCAGAAGTGGCAGGGAAAAGAAAGTAGGAAGCTAGAGTCATTATTTGTTTTAACGATCTATAACACTAAATATGACATGCTCATTATAAGTGCCATCGCCTAACGTTGAGGAACTTTTGTTTATTTACCTGCAGGAGTGGGATCAAAAAGCCATTAAATAACCAGTACATGAACTCCTGTAATATCTCATGTTGCTTGTCAGAAGCTGAAGGCGGAATATGCTTAACCCTTTCTCCTGGCTTTCTCAATCTAGTATCTTCCAACCAGCCACAATGGCTCATTTTGAATCCTTGGAGAACATATTGAAGCGAAAAAGTCTCAAACCGTCTAAGACGTATAAAGCGCGTCATAGCTTAAAGAACGAAATAAGAAATATCGTGGTAAGCAATATGTACAGCTCTATATAAAGGCAAGCAGTTTATATATGTATATACTTTACCTCGTAAGACCACTATTCGATTCTCTTCAGAACCAAACATAGAAAGAGGAATGACCTTCTTGACGATCGAATGAACAAAAGATGTCACCTAGTAACCCACCAAAAGGATATTATGAGCTTAGCTTGGTTATTCATTATTGAGCCTTGTGAATTTAACAGGCCTTGGGTACTATTGTGGATAGATTTGTTACCTGGTCAAATGATGAATGACACTGAAGCAGAGCCGCTGTTGAAGTATCCAATGATACCGAAGGATCATCAATTACCTTTATAAAATGTCCTTAAATGTTAGCATTTAATTAAAGCATAGTAGCATCTTGTTAAAAAAAAAAAAAAAAAAAAAAAAAAAACGCATTCTTATTTACCTTAACAGGACAGTAATATTGTAGTAAGAGCTTATACTTGCATTTTCTATGTAACTGAAGCATGGATATGACCAGCTGTCGCATTTGTCTTAATCGCCAAGGATGAGGTACCTTTAACGACTTGTCTTTCGTAGCGGTAACGGGCCTCTTGCTGTCATGATTGCGATTGTTGCGATAATTGCAATTAGTGTTTTGGACAAAAACATTTTCAAGCCCGTACTGGCGAGGAAACATACGAATGATTTGCATATCAACAGTGTCCTCAGACGTAAGCGATGGTTCAGATGAACAATATGCCTCGGAATGATCACTCTCAATTTCACCTTTTTAAAATAAAATAAAGTAAAAAAAAAAAAAAAAAAAAAAAAAAAAGTTAAAGACCACTAAGATAGGAACCATCTCTACATGCTGAAACAACCTTCTTTTTCTTGCAGCACGTACGTCCTGAAAAAAGAAAGTGCTGGAGCATTGTGCTTTCAGTATGATACCGCTTGACATAAAACACTCTAGAACGCTTGAACAAGATAGTAGAAGGCGTAATAATCTTGCTAATAATCGTGGTAGAGGCCGCCAGAGTCGCTGCATTCTTTGCCTTGACCTTTGTCTCTTCTTTGTCAAGCTTCATTCGCTTCAGTGGCCTCTGCTTTTCTTCTTCACATGGCCCAACATCTTTTTCATTTTTTAAAGCGAGGATCTCCGTTGATGGTAAAGCTGCTGATAGTGTTGATTTTACTAATTCCGGTAATAGTGCCTTGGAGTCCGGATGGGATCGTTTTTTCTTGGATGAGAGCGAAGGAAGTAAGTTGCGCTGAAGAGGCCGTCTGGACAAGGCCTGTTCACTGATCGCAGGGCCTGTAATTTGGCAGTAGCAGTTGTTTGGAAGTGCAACAAACATGGATGTATTGACCAAAAGATACAGCATTGCAGCGTCTCCGATCCTGTTTAAGAAACATATGCCAGATCGTCAAGATGTCCCGAATGGCCCCGAGAAGAATAAAGGATACACAAAAACCGCTCCTTATTGAGATGAGAGATCAATCAGGTATAAGATCGCGATGGAGCATGACGACAGTATTATGAAGGAAAGTAAATATTACCTTGATAGAAGGACCTCCCATTGTGGCGATCTTACAAACGCTTCAAGAGTGTTTGGAAAGTAATTTTTTGCTTGTTGGAATTGCGTCTGCCTCGACTAAATTTGACATTCAGAAAAGTATCAGTTTTGCCATTAAAAATCCATCTAAAATCACTCCAGCGTATTTCTTTTTTATATCTTTACATTTGTGTATCCAATAGCAAGGATATTAGTCATGCCATTGAACCAACTTCTTGTCTTGGGACACGTTTGCTCTATTGCCAGATCAACAATCTTTAAATGCAGTTGCTTCTTTTTAGAAACTAAAAATGTCATCAAACCCAACTTTCCGCATGAAATGAACAACATTTTGCATATATACCTCGTTATGATTTCCTATGGTCCCTAATGGGCTGTTCCTGGGGAAAGGCGGCAGGAGGGAATCATTTGCTACTGCGCCTGGGACAAGGATTTGGGCATGACTATGACTACTATGATTATTGGCTACCAGGGTATTATGTAGCAAGTCTTTGTATTCTGTTGGATCGTTGTCTTGAATTAATGTTGGGCAGTCGTCAAGGCTCTGAGCCAAGTAATCTTTCAGTCGAGCGATGGATGGGAACAATGAGAGAAGGACTGCATTCACAATCAGATCATCATCCTCGGCCATGGCCATGATTGTTTTTGTTGTGCATGAACATTTTCAAATCAAAGGTTTATTTGAAGCACAGACTATTTGCATCAAAAGGTGGGAAAATATTGCGCGTCGTAACCAAAAAAAAACACCCACCTTATAACTATAAGATCTTTTTTTTTCATACATATTCAAACAAAAAGCTTCTCTTCTAAACATTCTTCTCTTTCTTTCTTTCTTATTTGTCAACAGACACTATCATGGCCCATCAGTAAAGAAACAAGAGAATGTAGTAAAATGTATAACCGCAATGGTGACAACGACAATGATAGTGACGACAGCGACAACAGTGGTGATGGTGGTGATAACAACGACATGTTAATATTGATAGTGGCAAAAAGTTAGTGGCAATATGCATGAAAGATAAAAAAGAACTCATTCCGTGTCGTTGTTGAACAAAAAAGTATTAACTCCATTCAACGATCACAAAAAAAAGAAGAAACTCCAGCCATCGATACATCAAATCGGTCGCAAGCTGGTCAAGACCTAGTCACCGATCGTCTCTTACTACTCTTGTCCATCAGCACAACTTTTTTCAAGGATTGAGGCCTTCTGGAATTGTAGGAATTCCCGCAGAGAGTTACGATTCAGAAGCGCCTATCGAATGGTCAGAGCAGTAGACCAAGGAACTAAGTAATTCAGAGGCGATGGTTACGCCAAATGTATGCCCTATCTGAATTTCCTTCGGGCGCCCATACTCCTTCTGAGACCAAGGTGTCAGGGGAGAGATTAGCTCATTGGACATGGAGAGTCCAGAGAGATTTGTAGGTGTTCCTTTATTTATTCTTTATGTTGAGAGAGGCATATGTAAATTGCAACAGGGTGCATCGCTCTTTGATATTGAACGCGTTTTCATTTTATTATGCCATGCCTTGCGCACAACCTCGCGCCGTATTGTTCCGTGGGTTCACAGGCATAATGCAGCTAGACAATAGCAGCGATCCGCCAGCATAATCATTAAAATCACTATCATGATGTAAAGTCTTTTTGTTCTGACCAAACAAAAAGGCATCGGCTTTATTAGCATCGATTTTTGTTATCCTTGTGACCTACTCGGCATATTAATTTTTTAGGGGATGCTGATATACCGCAATCGTCGTCTTTCGTTATGTGTATATAGCCTTTGGATGTAATTATAAAAGCTAACGTTATTTGATGACATATTTCTCAAAGCTTTGAATGCTCTTTTTTTTTTTTTTAATTCCTTCAAGTGTCAAAATGTCATATAGACATTTAGTCAACTTACAAATAAATAATGAGGCCAATGATAGGGAAGAGGAAGATGAGTAAGGACCAAAGGATCTTTGCGGACAAGGAACGGTCTGAGTTGATCAGTTGGATGACTGCAATCAGGTCTGCGATAAAAATTAGGACACCAATGAGAGAACTCGGATGTAGTCCGTCAGGAAGGTCTATCGTTGGTGCCATTTTCGTTTTAAATTTTCAAAAAACAATGCTTCGCTAATGAGCAATGCAATTCAGAAGACAACAATGTGTGAATAAAAAAAAAAAGGTGAAGCAATGGTATTAACAAAAAAAAAAGGCTGGCAAGACAAAAGAGCAACATTGAGCACTTGAGGCATGTCCTGGGTCTGCTGACCAAATATAACGGATCGTACACGTCAGGACACGCAGGACAAATGCAGATTTTGTTTGTATTAATGCACCCAAACCGTTGATTCATCTTTAGATAGTGTTTGACATTCTAACCCTAGCCTGGCTCAAACAGGTGGATGTCCTGGAGGGATGGTGCGTTATTAATGCTAAGATATCCTTTTGAATAACTGTTACGCCTCTAGAAAGAAAAGGAGCGCGACTTGACGCGTGTCTTTCGCGACAGACTTGAAAGTATAAAAGGCAAGTTGGTTCCTTTCTGTGGACAGTCACTTCATTACCTTTTGATTCTCTCATCTCCTTTTTGATCTCTTACTTTTTTTCTTTACTTTCTTTTTTTCCTCTTCACCCACAATTAACATTATAGCAACATGGGCATGAGTGCAGGTCGGTTCTTCCTGTCATGACAAAGAACATTTAAATGTTCATCCCTACTGTTTTGTCAGCTCTTTTTTTTTTTTTTTTTTTTTTTTTTTTTTGTCGATCTGACATGCTTTTTATTTCTCTCTTAATTCGTCTTGTTGCATGTCTGCTTTTACAGGATCTCGCATCGCATGCGTAGTATGTGAATGTATTGTATACTGTGTTTCCTTGTTTTTAGAATTAGGTAATGAAGTCAGTAGGGCTGACATGTCCTTATTCTTAAACCTCTGTAGACTGTCGGTCTACCCGCTACCGGCAAAACGCTTATCTCTCAAAAAGGTACGCAACAGATGAATGACCTGAGGAATGACAAACCAATGGGGTGTAAATACAGCGAGAAGGAAAAGAAACAGATGGATATTCTCACGGTGCCGTTAATATATGCGGATGGCATGGACCGAAAAGCGACAAAAAGGCAACATTACCAAACTGTTTCTCTTTTGCCTTTCCTTTGATGTGTGTGTCTGTGAATGTTGTGTCCGTGCTAAAAGTAGAGACTAGTGGCACATGCATATGAGGTACACTGTGTCTCAGCGCCTCAAGTGCTGGTCATTGGTTCTTCGGAGACAAGCGGGAGGAAGGGAAAAAGCAGGTCGTGGAGGTTTTTTTTACTAAAGAAGCTTCTTTTCTGGTCCTTTGGCCATCCAAATCCTTTTTTTTTTATTGCCACATCAGACACATGCTTTATAAATATGGTTGGTTGTTAATTGAATCAGCAATCCTATTCAACCCATTATAGTTTGCCGATATCTGCAATGGCTCGGAATTACTACCAAAGTCTTTAACGTTGGCAACTACCGTCGAAAACTGCACGGAGCACACCAGCTACATGGATTCTTTGACCCTGCGAATCCACAGGGCGAACGATCACGTCGTGAGGCTGCTGTGGAGGCCTTGAAAGATATGATCTATTGGTTCGAAAAGGAGCATGGGGTTGTGGCTCTCTATGATGCCACGAATTCGACTCGATCTAGACGGGAAATGCTTTTGACAGAATGTGCAAAACATAATATTCAAGTCATGTTTATCGAGTCCATCTGTGAAGATGAAGCATTAGTCCTTCACAATATCATGTCTGTCAAGTTGTCATCACCCGACTATAAAGACATGGACCCTGAACAAGCTGTTGAAGACTTTAAGGCCAGAATTGTGCACTACAAGGAGGCATATGAGACCATCACAGAAGAAAACTTAACTTACATCAAGCTAATCAATGTGGGTAGCCAGGTCATCATCAACATGATCCAAGGATATTTGCAGTCAAGGATAGTGTATTATCTGATGAACCTTCACATTGCACCGCGAAGTATCTTTTTCAGTCGAGTAAGTGTTCAAGTTTATTATCATGAGAGAAAAAGTCATCGTTAATTTAGGATTTTGCTCTTATATTTCCTTTTGTTGTCTCTATTTTCCTATCCTAGCATGGAGAGTCCCTGTACAACGTAATGGGAAAGCTTGGTGGTGATTCGGATTTGAGTGCGCGTGGTAAACAGTATGCAAAAGCATTGCCAGTCCTGATTGCCACACATTTAGGCAATTCAGATCAGTTAACTGTAAGATTAAGGCCCAATGCATGTCCTGACATTTTACTCTCACAGATAAAGCCAATATATGTGAGATTTAACTCAAAAAAATTTCAACTTGTTAGGTGTGGACATCGACTATGAAGAGAACAATCGCTACTGCAGAGCACCTTAAATACCCCAAACTCGCATGGAAAGCTCTAGATGAACTGGATGCCGGCGTTTGTGACGGAATGACATATGAAGAAATCGAGGTAACCTTTATGCTCAGTGATTGGAAGCTTTTACACTGCAGGGTGTTTATTCACAAATTAGGTGTCATTTTAACACCTCAAAATTCACCCCATTTCCTCTGATTGTCTACAACAGGAACAATACCCAGAAGATTTCGCCAACAGAGATGAAGACAAGTTCAACTACAGATACAGAGGAGGAGAGTCGTATCGTGATGTCGTTTTGCGCTTGGAGCCAGTGATTATGGAGTTAGAGCGTCAACGTAATATCCTAATTATTGGACACCAAGCCATCTTGCGCTGCATTTACGCCTACTTTATGAATTACTCGCATGAGAAATTACCATACATCAAGATCCCTCTTCACACTGTTATTCAACTGACGCCCCGAGCATATGCATGTGAAGAGAAGCGATTCAAGGTCGATATTGAGGCTGTAGATACACACCGCCCTAAACCGAAGGCTGGGGCGCCCAAATCAACTCCTGACCCTGCTACTGTCGTGACACCCACCGAGACAGCATCTGCAAAATCGATCCATCAGCCCATTGCTGACGAAGAGAAGGATATTGGAGCGACCATTACGACAACCACAATGTCTACGACAACCTTCAGAGATGGTGAACTACAAAGAAACAAGGAGACTCAAAAGTCTTCCAATAATGAGGCTACCAAGACTGACTCAACGTTAGAGAAAGCGAAAGAAATTCAGGCTGCACTCGCAGAGGCTACAATCAGTGATTCACAAGCCAACCCAGCTGTTGCGCTACCTTTGGATGACATCAACACTCCAGACGCACAGGAGCCAACAGCAACCAATCAGGGAGGCATCCTTGATGCCGCTGCTTCTTATACTACATCGCCTCCTTTGAGTCCAGCTCGAGACACGGTTCCTTCACCTATACAAGCTGTATCTACTCCTTCAAACAAGGCCTCGGGAGACGAGGCCAACGATAACCTTTCTATAAAGACCACAGATCTACTGACGCTGCCTCCGGTCATGCGCCTAAAGAACGATCTTCAGGCTGCATGGCAAGAAGGACCTGAATATGAAAGGACAGCCGGAGCCAGTCCTCGTGATCCAGTCGTCAGTCCAGGTGGACGCTTGTTGCCCAGGAATAAGGATATCTATCACTTTCCTTGAATAAATAGTTTAATCCCAAGGGAATGTCACCCCATCGAGAGCAAAAATGCAGGAACCGCCATAGAATTGATGTTTATAGTCCAAAGTAATAAGGAAAAAAAAAAAAAAAAACTTCTCTCTGTAAACTATGCGAGTGCTTGCAATATCCATTGTGTATGTTTTGATTCTCCTCTTGAGTAAGGACATTGCATAACACGGAATGTTAAGAGAAATCCCGAGTGGTCATGCCATTTTGAGAATGAAAACACAAACCCGGCAGAATTCCAAGGAATAATCTCCCAACAGTAACACATGACATGATGTTGAACGTTAGATGGAATGGAATGAAAGGACCCTCTCTTTATATTGCATATTGCCTGACACATCGGTTTAATGTCAGCCAATAGGACGGATATTACGAGCAAAAATTGCCCTGAAAACCGTTTTTTTTTTCTTGCTACACATCTATACTTTCAACTTTCATTCATTGACTTCATTCATTTCCTTCACTTCCCTGCGCTTGGTCATTAATTTCTTTACCCAATGTTTTCCACAGTCGGTTGTCGCTTTTTGTCGAAGACCAGAGGAAGAGTGGCAGTCATAGTGGCTAGACAACTGAAGGCTGTTGCACTTGAACCAACTCACCTGATTCAAAGATCATTTGTGTCCTGGAACAATATCAATAATGCAACCGCACATGCTTGCCAACAGCAACAGGAAGAAAAACGGGCATCATCTCAACCACGACTTCAATCGCAGCCAGAGCCATACTTACTAAAACAAGAGCTATATATACAAAAGCAAAATGAAACAAGACAAGAACAATTGAGAGAAGGAAGAGGAAGAGGAAGAGGAGAAACAGGAGGAGGAGCGACGTTGCCGTTGCCAACAGCATTGAAAATGGAATTAACGCCGTTGTATAGTTTCCATGGAATATCAGAACGAGACATGCTTCTTTCTGAGATGCGACATCATCGGGTATCATGGAGAACAATTAGTCTTCACTTTGGAATATCACTCATGGAGGCTTTCTACATCTATATTGGGACAGTTTCCAAGGCGCTTAGACATGGATGGACGCCTCGAATGACATTACTGGATGTGGAGCAATACATTGCACCTACAACTATGCAACGATCTTGAAAAGAAATCAGTATGCAAGTAAAGAAAGATGCTTAGATCTGTGAAAAAGACAAGTGTTGACAACAGGAAAAATAAATAAAAAATGGAACGATGTACGAGCATGCGTGAGAGCATTCTTTGCATACTGTTTCCTTTTTTTTTAACGTGATATTGCAGCGTGTTGATGAACACTTTTTTTTTGCTGACATGGTGTTCACCATGTGCACTGCAGACTTGGCCAATGTGCGTGTGTGTGTGAGCGAATGAGGATAGCAACCTTCTTTGCAACATCAATCAGTTGTTGATACACAAGACCATGACATTGACTTTCAATCCATACCTACAACAAAAACTCCTAGCTTTTACACAAAGAAAAAACTTTTTTTACTATTCTTGTTCGTGCTTTTTTTTTTTTCTTTTAAAATCACTCCTTCACTCCTCCACTCTATTCTACAACAAACTTATTACTCAAGCCATTAAGTAATCAATAACAGTTACAATTATTATACGGCGTCATATTTTTCTCTTTTCTTGGTACTTGTTTATCCACTCTATTTACTCTCACATACACTCTCTCATACTCTCTCTTTCTCCCTTCACCCCTACAGCAACTCAAGGTCCTAAATCAATCCAAAACTCTTTTTGAATCACTTTCCTCCATTTCTCCATTAGTTTATTTTACAACTTCATTATTCATTCTACACCACTCTTCTTTTCTTTTTTTTCCTTTTTTCTTTTTTTTTTTTTTTCTTAAAAAAAAAAAAAAAAAAAAAAAATCAGTCACCAGTAGTGAGACAGAGACCAGAGACAGAGTGAGAAAGGATCATGCCAATCCTTCCTTTGGTCGTTGGGGCTGTAATGCTCGTTGTACTCGTGGCAGGACTACTCAATTACTTTGGCAACAGGGTTGAGCATGCCTGGTACGTGAGTTTCGTTGCATTCATCTCCTGGTTCTTTCCTTTCTCAATCGTCTTCCTCGTACCTTTGGACCTTTCTTCGGTAATAATAATAATATTATTATTATTATTAAATGTTTATTCAAATGTACTTTTTGCACATATAATTTTAACACTTTTTTTTTTTTTAAAAAAAAAAAAAAAAAAAAAAAAACGATAGACATTATGGCGAGATTGTAAGGAAGAAGACATGTGTAGAGAACCATTCTTTTATGTCTCGAGTGAATTTCTTATAGCGGCCTGGAGAACGATTTACTGGTGCAGTTTTGTGCTGACATGGTAATATTTTGTTTAATGTCGAGTCAAAGGAATTGCAAGGCCTCGGAATTATTTTTTTTCTTTTTTCTTTTTTTCTTTCTTTCTTTCTCTTTCGACGCCCAACAAAAAAAAAAAAAAAAAAAAAAAAAAAAGGACCATGCGGACAAGTGAATATGCAAGCATACGAGCGGGCAAACGGCTGAACAGGTCGAGATGAAAGGCGCATTGACATCAACAACAGCGATAACAACAATAGCAGTAACAACAGAAGCAACAAATGCAAGATGCAGATACGAATACAGCAAGCAAGGGTCAATTATATATATCAACAACAAAGTGAACAAGAAGCAAAACCGATGCGCAACAATCTACTTTTTTTTTTTTTTTTTTTTTTTTTTTTCTTTTGCTTAATACATTTTCAAAGTCCGTCTGGAGTATATTGTTTACATTGATGCACACATGGTCCTAACGCACAAAAGAACTGATTTAATTAAAATAGGGTGATGATCCCATTGTTGCAGGAATATTCACAGTCAGGAGAGTTCACGGTCATGAAGCGATTCCGACATGCAATTCGATATAATATCATTTACCAACTGATTATCGGATCGATTGCATTGTTGGGTCTGATCTATGTCTGGTATTCACAAGGATCTAGCAATCTGAGAGCCTATATCATGGCCTTGTCCAACAGTTGGGGTCTGATCCTAGTGATTATCTTTATGGGTTATGGAATGGTGGATGTACCGAGACGACTATGGCATAAGGGCGATAATGAGCGTGAATTGAAGCGAATTGCATTCAAGGCCAGTGCTATCAAAGATAAGAAGCAGGATACAGAGGACGACGTCTATAAAGTCGCCAAGGTATTTATAAAAAAAAAAAAAAAAAAAACAATAGTTATGATTTGCAATGCCTACATAATTGCAACAGAAGAGATCATAGCCCCGTAGGTCTGAGTGAATTCAAATTTAACTCTTTTATTTTCTTGGCATTGCAATACATTCTTATATCAGGAATTGTCTGTAGTCTGTCACAAGGTTCAGTTGTCAGATCCACTTCGTCCATATGTGAATCAGATGGTAGAGGATTTTCCAGTCGTACGAGGCGTCCAGTTTGAGTCGAGCAGGACAGTTTCGCCTATTCTATCATCTCAGAACCAGAGAGGAGGAGGGACGACTGATCTATTGAATGCTGCTGATGGTGGTGCAGGGTCGGGAGGCAACTATCTATTGGGTATCTCTTCTAGAATGGGAGGAACCCATGGACGAAAAAATCCTTCGGAGGGATTAATTCCCCAAGTGATCACGGAAAAGTATCTTGCAGACTTGCACGCTAGGATCAAGAGGGCATTAAGGATGAAAGACCGATGGACAGCGTAGGAGAAGACTCTTTAATCTATTTGTCCCCAAAACATGTGTTAAAATTGATAACTGACTTGCGCATTTTGTCATCTATGATATTTGGGCTCTATCTCGCTTGAACGGATAGGATTTGGCATGATCTGCTCAAAGCTGGATTCTTGGCACAAGATATTCAAGAAAATGCAGATAATCCAGAAAAGTATGCCATTTTAAAATTCTCAGGAAAAAAAAAAAAAAAAAAAAAAAAAAAAAACATATATATCTTCCTCTGTTCAATCTGTCTTTCTCTCTCTCTTTCTTTTTCTTGCCTTCGATATATGTGTTGCTATTGCTAATGTTTACTACTTTTTCTGACCAGAAAATTTCGTTCGACCTTGCGACCATTGATATCTAAATCAAAGGAGCGGTTGTTATCATTTGAATGGCATTGGTACCTGAGAATTCGTCCGATCCTGTTACGGTCTCTATCGGTGCTTTGTGCGATCTTGTCACTGTTGATCGTATGGTCCGAGATGACGTACCAAAGTATCAACCCTATCCTGAGCGTCATTGGGCTTTTGGTGCAATTGTCACGCGATCACATGTCCTACGGAGCTATTGAGGTAAAAGAGACCAAAAAAAAAAAAAAAAAAAAAAAAGGAGTCCTCTTAGTTTTTTATTTTATTTTTTTGTTTCAAGCCAAAAGTCTGTTCATTCTTAATTCACATGATATGATCCGATTTGACAATAGGCTATCAGTTTCTTTATAATGTTGTACATGTGTATATGTGCCTATACAACTCTCATGAAGATGAAGTTGCTTAGCAACTATGTTCTCGTGCCTAACCATCACACGGATGAACCAACTTTGCTCTTTATCGGATCTTACCTCTGTCGTCTGACGTATGTCCTCTTCATCAATATCTCTTGGGAACAAGAGCTAGCAGTAGAAGGAAGCAGGAAAAAATAGCTTTACTGAAATCTGAACTATTGCTTTTTCTTATTAGGTTCCCATTGGTCTATAACTATCTCACCATTTCAGCTGTTGGCAAGGAGGACAGCACAGAATTTCAAGCTGTAATAAGCTTTCTCTTTCTCCGCCTTGATCTAGTTTGATTTTGAAGAAGGAAGAGGAGGCTGACATTGAACTTGTTTAAAACTCTTTATATATATGTATTATATATATTATTATTAGTACATGGGAAAGATCGACATGATTCCGTTGTTGGGCGAGTTCAACTATTACATGCCATATGCGATCTTGGTGCCGACATTGATCACACTATTCAACGTTTTTGCAAAGATGTTTGCGCTCTGCACTATCTCGGATCATTTCTTCAACAATGATGATGATGATGGCGGCATTGGTGGGGATCTTGAAGAAGGATTACAAGTCCTTAAAGATGGTAATATTGATTTGACTTATATGTGCTTATAGGGATGGGAAATCCACTTAAGACAGGCAAAACACGCAAAACGAAAGGCAAGTTTATAGGACCAATGGTACTAATAAATAGGAACAACTCTTTTTTTTTTTTTTTTTTTTTTTTTTTTTTTCTTTACGTGTGGTACAGCTCGCAGAGATGAAGAGAGACTATTGCTGCCAGATCGAGTTGGATTGAACAGAGACTTTACGGCAAGGCGGGGAGCAGCTTTTGAGGTATGCCAATTTAATGATTTTCTTTTGACTAAGTCATATCCTCATTTTCGTTATTATTAGAATTCGATTTATAACTTTTTTTATTTTTTAAAAAAAAAAAAAAAAAAAAAAAAATTAAATACATGTATATCGACCAGTCCTACAACAATAACAAGAAGCGTAGAAGGGGCGAAACACCAGTGCATAGCATACTAGGTAATGAAGGCTCCAGTACGAACGTATGGAGAGATCTCAGACCTCATCCTAGCAGCGGAGCAAATCAACGGGCCTTCCAGGACCCATACTATGATGATTCGACAGATGAAGATGAATCACACTTGAATAATCTATCGGGAGGTTACGGTCGTCGAGAATCACTCGATCCCTATGCCGTCATTTCACGAAGGAACTCATTTGATGGAACTTGGCCTTATCACCATGGTAATCGAGGTCCACTTGGGGGAACCGCATCAAACCGGAGTTCACATAGGAATTTGAGCCATTTCAGTAGTGGTAACCATGCACAGCAACAGCGAGTACCATTATCTTCAAGTAATCCCGGGCCGTTCAAGACTTTTTGGCAGAAGCTGATTAAACCCAAGCAGGCCATAGCATTAGGTGGGCCCACGGGGGTAAGAACCACTGACCCTATGGACAGCGACAGTGCTAGATCAAGTATTGAGAGCACAGGCCATAACGATTACCATCAACAACGCCATCAACAGCAACAGCATCCGTATCCGCATCATCCCCACCATTCATCACAGCGAGGTAGTCATCGTCCGGAAAGTAGGAACACATTAGGAACCTCAGCTACATCGTCTCGGACAGGGCCTGCATTGATGTTATCATCCCAACAGCAGCCATCACATTATGGTCATTATGGCAGGTCGTTACAAGACGATGATCGAGATCGGGAACGATTGCTTTCTAGCAACGATACCAGAATGCTATCCAGTGGAGGTGGTGGCAGCGGTCGGAATAGTGCGTACTCATCAAGAACTGTGAGTCCACAGGGTAGGGTTGCAGCGGGACCGCTCTATCAGTATCAACAACAACAACAACAAGCAATAGGCGGCAATAGCGGTGGTAGAAAGAGTCGGCCAAATAGTCGAGTGTTTGGATCTAATATTCCAATTTCCGGGGGAGGAACAGAAAGAGGAAATGGGAACACTCGATCTGTTCCTAGTAGCCACCGTCAAGCAAGTCCATTGATCCACATTAATGATGAGGATGGTTGATTAGAGCAAAAAAAAAAAAAAAAAAAAAAAAAAAAAAAAAAACTGAAATCATGATAAAAACAAAGACATTTAACATCAATTTATTTCTCCAAATGACGATGTTGTTGAAGTGAGCCACGCTGGCATAATAGTTTTATACACTTTTCATTTCCTCCTTTTTCATTTTCATTTTTGTTTTTTTTTTTTTTTTTTTTTTTTTTAATAATCAGGGAGTAGACGAGCACCGCCGGGACGTCTCTTTGTCAAAGGAAGCTTGGCAGAAGGATCAAAGACCTCATTCAAGACGGCAGCAATACGGATGCCAGCTTGAGCCAAAAGTCGCTGAACTAAATAATTGGATTGAGGGCCTGTCATTTGTTGGAAATAATCTGTGGAATAATCGCGTGTGGATGAGTAATTAACCCAGACATAGGTACAATCCAATGCATTCGTATCCATAGCCCATTGAATAGGGCACAGGGTCTTGATATCCTTAGTGGTGGAGGCCCATGGATTTTTGGAAGCATCTGCATTCTTGATAGGGTCACAGGCAGTCCAGGTGGATGCATCAGACCAGTAAGTTTTGGCGAGTTTGATAATATCGTCTAGATAAGCCTGTGGGTCATCATTGAAACGATCCTTGATGTCTTTCTGTTATAGACAAAGGCGAAAAAAAAAAAAAAAAAAAAAAAAAACAACAAGAACAAGAACAACAAAATATGAAGAGAGAGAAAGGGGAAGAATAATCAGACCAAAGGAAGAGGAATAAAGCAAATATAACAAAATGTATTAATTACACTTACGGTAATCATCAGGGTATCCCACATGCTATGCAAGTTACTCTTGGTCTTCCCCCACCGGATAGGTGCCTGATTACCACCTCGATCTCTTGAGGAGTCATGAAGGGGCTGATGGATATCACCCATGAAATGCAAGAAGAATTTCAGGGCTTCTTCTAACGTCTTTGATTCTTTTGGGGTCGTTGGAGGAGTGATGGCCCACTTTCTCATAGTAGCGGTCATGTTGAAGAGTCCGTTGACGTTATCAGAACCAGCGACCACATAATCAGCAGAACAATGGTCTGGAGGTTGATCACCCACGGGATTAAAAAAATGTAAGGGTGTGGCCCATTTATATTGAGCTAGACCTCGAACTTGATCAGGCCAAGAAGCAGCACCAGAGAGAAGGCCATCATACGATTGAAGGATCTTCTGGATCTGAGTCGTGGTCTTGGGAGTGAGGAATTGTTGTGCAATCTGACCAGTCAGAGTGTGACCTTTTTTATAATTATTGTTATTATGTGTATATTACCATTCATAAAGATATTTTGTTCAGTAAAGCTAGGAAAATAAAAGAAAGATCTACAAGGTGTGTATAAAATTGAAAGAAGAACTTACCAAGGGCACCGTAGGCATAGACGGCGTTGGTGCTGACTGCGATAAAAGACGCAACAGCGACGACGGAAGAAATCAAACGCATGTGGAGAAAAATAGAAGAATGGTGTTTGTTGAGTTGAAATATCGAAATAAAATAAAAAAAAATAAAATAAAAAAAAAGAAGAAGAAGAAAGGGAGCTTTTCTCTCTTTTTTTATACATGATCCTCTTTTTCTCTCTCTCTCTCCCACACCTCCCATACCACATTTAAACATTTACATGGCTTTAATCCGGTGCATGACTTTATTTTTTAAATTAAAAAAAATAAATTTAGTTGCTAACGCGTTTGTGCTTACACAACGTTTAATTTTGGTATGATTAAATAATGCTTTCTAGAGGAGAAAAGGGAACAGTGCCAATGTCGAATAGAAATCTGTGCCTGATCATTCTCGATGTCCTGTTCGCTGGATTTTTTTTTTTTTTTTTTTTTTTTGTGAGCCCCCGTTTACCTATCTTTTTTGTTGCATGTTGGTTGTGTAAGTAAAAAAAAAAAAAAAAAAAAAAAAAAGTGGAGCCGCCTCCTGTCATTTCTTCCGTTATTCATCCATATCCTAGCGCATAAACCACGTTGGTTCATTAGGCTATTAGACTAGTTTGTCCAGAGTCTGGAGCAACTACGATTTTACCCGGTGCATAGAATCATAGATGCATAGGAACTTTTTAACATGTGTGAGTGTAACAATCAATAGAGCTAAAGGGGAGAGGAAGAAGAAGGATGAATAAATAAGTTCTACGGCCCATATGGTCGACAAAAACGAGGCATTTAAACATGAGGCAGTAATGAAGGTGAGACCTTTTCTTCGAGTTCAGGCCTATAAAGATATGTTGATGACTGAGAACGATATATACAATATAAAAAGAGACACCATATTGCACACTTTTCTATAATTTTTTTTTTTTAGGACAGATTTATCGTTCGTTCGTTTGTTCATTCTCAGTGCATCAGTCGCTGGATAGCTAGCCAATGGTTTCTCATAATTGACCCCACTTGGATGCACAAAGAAAAAAGGTGCCCATATCAGATGGTATGACTGGATAAGGAAACCGTAGAGAGAGAAAGGTTAGCACAAAGAGAAACTTTTTTTTTTTTTTTTTTTTTTTTATTTTTTTTTTTTTTACCTATAGCATGGTGTATGCCTTGAAAGAAGTTATCATTATTCATCCAAGGATAAGCTCAACACGTGCCCGTTAACCCATAGCTTACATACCTATGCAACCTGCAAGGTAAAAAAAAAAAAAAAAAAAAAAACCTTTTCATGTAGTGATCATCCCTTCCACTTCTTCTAGCTCGGTCAAGGATATGTTTTCCAATCCAATGAATCAAAAAAAGAAAACAACGAAAATGAGGACCATATTGGGATATCAAGCAACAATGATATATATTTATATATATATGCTACGCGTCTTCTTATTTTAGTACTAACATAAAGAACAAAGAGATAAACATTTGTGCCAATGTTTTGGATGTGGTTTTGTTTTTTTATTTTGTGATGCAATGAACACAGAGCGATCATGACAGCGATGGAATGAAAAATAGTGTAGTTATATATAATAACTATTCAAGTTAGGGCATACCGTAATGACTGATAGCTGGTTGTTGGTTTCTATTACATGTATTAGTGTACATTGAGCATAATGTAACTGTAGGGCACATAAAATCCAATTGACAATGAAAAAGAAAAAGCAGGTGCACAATCCGATCGTTGGTTGCCCATTGGTACAAAACGCCTTACTTTACTCACCACCCTGCATTTACACACATACACCCTTATGCACATGTATGCATATATATATATAATATATATTATATATACTATCATACTATTATATAATACAGATACATCTTTACTTTTATTTTTTCCCATGAGACAAAAGATGCATGCAATTTTTTTTTTTTTTTTTTTTTTTTTTTTTTTTTTCACACGCCGTCCGTCAGCCGTTGAAGACTAAAATCGTTCCACAAATAATAAGAAAAAAGAATGGTTTTGGTATCTATAATTTACGCCATGATAAACAAGGAAAAAAAAAAAAAAAAACAAAAACAAAAGCAAACATAAAAAGAGACCAAAGAGAATAGGAAAAGTGAAGTGACTGAGCTTGGCCTTTTTAAAAAAAAAAAAAAAAAAAAAAAGAGAGAGCCGTTAGTAAGTTGTGTTGCAAAGCATACATGATTTCTAATAATTTAATTCAGGGATCTTTTTTTTCCCAAGAAGACAGCCAATCACAAACAAGCAAATTGCATCAAATGCAATTTGCCCTTTAACCAGAACTCGCTCCTTGTATCTCATCTCTATTGACTCCGTCTTTTTTACTAACATCTGTTATGCTTGTATATATATATAATAAAGGTGCATGTATTATTTGTTTTATGCCTTTAGTTATTTTTTTTTTTTAATCCATGTCATTAGGATTGTTCACTTATCCATACCCTTTTACTATTCTTTCCTCCAAAAAGTAGATTGAAAACGGTTACATTTTAGTCCCAAGAAGAGTACATGTACTTGTGCAATGTATTCTTTCTTTTTTTTTGAGTCTGTGTTCTGAGGTTTTCATCATGCATCTAGGGTGACAATCTATTGTGCATTATGCAGGGGTGCAGAGGTGGAAGAAGGAGAGATATTCAGGTTCAGGTTCAGGTTCAGGTTCAGGTCCAGGTTCAGGTACAAAAGAACATAAGAATAAAGTATATTTCAGGTGATATGGCGTTTTCCAGGGAAGTCCAAGTTTTGAAAAAATAAAACTGATTGGTCAGTCTAAATGTCATGCATTTATGTACTACAGCTTTGATAAATTCATACTTGGCACTGTACTACAAAGACGTGCGCGTGCTCCATATCCTTGTATCGGATCCAATCCCGAAAATACTAGAACTGTTGCTCTCCACCTCTATTACATGCAGTATTATTTATTTTGTTGCATCAAATGAATGGAAGCATAGGTAGCACTAACAGAAAGAAACATGTCGCGTGCAAAGCATCGAAGGTGCATTACCGTGGGATAATAACAGTAAAAAAAGGTCGCGTTGCGGTACTGCAAGATAGAGATGTAGAAATTAAAGAAACAACTCAATTGTTTCATTAGTAGCCTCCACACACAGACCGTTGATGTATCGAAGCCTTCTGTCGTTCGGCGAAACTACCACATCATTGATGCTGTGATGTTGCAGAATAACATTCTACCATACACCTACAATTGTAGACCACCCCGTCCTCTGATTACCATCACTACCCCTGCATTCTCCATCGGCCTACTAGCGTGCTTTCCATTTTAGTGGCGATACAATACACTACCCTGGTATACTGATGTATGGAGCCACAATAGATAACGGGAGGAGAAAAAATACCGATGAAATCACTTCCCGCATGATATTCTGTCTCTCATTGTCAAAGAAATGCTTCGGTTGTTGATCAATGCCTTCTCTCACTCACATGTGGCTACCTTTTCCTGGTTGGTGTATTACGCTGCCACTGATATACCAGTGCATAAAGCAAAAGCAAGGTATTTTGCGTCTCTCAATGAGCAGGAGCCAAAGAGATACCCCTATTGATTGATCAATGGCCTCCTTTATTTCACGCACAAGCTAGCAGCAACCTATTTCTGTATAAAAGCCTAGAACTGCCTTCCTATTATAGGATTCTTCTCGACTCTACGTTTCGCATCATTGCCATCACCGCTCTGAACTCCTCTCCAAGTATCTTTTCAACAAATCATGGGTATGCGCAAAAAAACTCAGCACCAGCATTGGCACGCAAGCAAGTATAGGTGTCACCAATGCTCACGTTACTCATAGCAGGAAGCGTACAAGGAAAGGTATCAGTATACTGGTGCCAGCAGCACCTTGAGGTTCCCAGGGCAGGGGCCACCATCCAGCCAAGTAGATCCATAAATATATTTTTCGTATGCCTGGTAATATAGTACACAGCAAAGGATCCTTTCCTATGCATTCAAGGGTGACGGTCTATTGTGCATTATGCAGAGGAGAGGAGGGAAGGGGGGTATTCAGGTGCAGGTTCAGGCACAAAAGAAGGTGAGAGCAAAGTATCAGGTGCTAACGGCATTTTCTAACTAATTGGTCAGTCTATATGCCTTGCACTATAAATGTTATATACACAATATGTACTACAGCCTTGATAAATTCATACTTGGCGCTGTACTACAAAGACATGTGCGTATATGAATGGTTCCATATCCTTGCATCGGATCCAATCCCGAAAATATAAGAACTGTTGCTCTTTATATACCTCTATTGCATGCAGTATTATTTATGTTGCATTAAATGAATGGAAACATTGGTGGCATCGACAGAAAGAAATAAAGATATCACGTGCAAAGCATCGAAGGCGTGGGATAGTAACCAAAAAAAAAAAAAAAAAAAAAAAAAAAAAGCTTCTTAGCACGGGAGTGATGTGAGCCAAAATGAATACCTAGGATAGGAAAAATACGAAGCGTTGAGTTAGTCAGTCTAAATGTCAGCCTCAAGAAGCATGAATAAATACTGTACATGTATATAAATGTTTTATTCGTAAACTCATTATTTTTATTTTCTTGCATGCTCCCTTAAAAACTCAAAACACCTGTCAAGCGGACAGACAATTTATTTCTTGTGGTACATACTTTTCTTAATTACGATAGACGTTAAACACGTTAAACAAGGTAAACACGTTAAAAAAAAAAAAAAAAAAAAAAAAAGATAATGGAAATGACCTGCATAGGAATCTTGAATAGTAAAAAGAATATGTTACATGTCGAAAAAAATTCGTATCTGTTCAGATGTTTAATATGACTGACTACTTTCTCCTTTTGAGAATTAAAAGTATGATGACATTCTTGCCTTTAGGAAGAGAAGGGGATAGGTTCTCCACCGGTAAATAGGTAGTACAAGTCATTTACATCTACGCGTCTGGATAAATAAAAAGATAAAATGAAATAGACTAAAATGATGGGTTCAATTACACATATTCTTAATCAACCTGTACTCTTTTTTTTTTTTTTTTTTTTTTTATTTGGGAGAGTTGGGAAAATATGGGGGAAGAGGAAAGGGAAAAGGGGAAGGGAAAGGAAAGAGATGAATCCCCCCCATCATCACGCGTTGCCTACAATACAGGACACATGAGGAATCGAATGATCTTTTTATTATTACTACTACTTCTACCACAGTGCTTTCAATAAGAAGAATCTTGGGATGTATTGTCGTGGCAACACAGTAACTGTCGCACGAGACTAGACATTAAAAGGGGATCACCATTCTCCAGTATAAAATAGAGACAGAATAGTTTTTTTTTTTTTTTTTTTTTTTTTTTTTATTTATCCCAGTCAGAGGAGGAGGATAAAAGGGAAAAAGGATGCAAGGTGCAAGGGAGAAAAAGGGTTCAATGGAGTAGAAAAGGAAAAAAAAAAAAAAAGTACTATTCTTGAATAATGGATTCATGGATGGATATGTTTTTTAAAGTTGCTGTTTGCAGCACCAGAGAGCATTAAGTTGGGTGTAAACTGGTCGCCTGACCAAAAACTGGAAATGACCTCCTTTGTATCTATTTATTGCTCCACATGTACTCTTCTTCTTCTTCTTCTGCGCCCTCGCCTCCTTTTATCCAGTATTCTTCAAGGTGGCTATAGAAAGGTGGATAAAACTTTTCAAGAAAAAAGAATCTCTTCGCCATCTAATTTATTATGGTTCCTGCCTACATTCTGCAGGCGTGATTTTTTTTTTTTTTTTTTTTTTTTTTTTACTTCATGCTTTGTTTACACGTACGTAAATATATATATACATTATGTAGATTGTTTTTTATGGGGTTGCATTTTTTTTTTTTTTTTTTTTTTGCTGTTGAGTGTTTACATTCCCCTCTTCACAAGTCTAATGGGTCCCATCCATCATCAGGCCTGTTAGTCGGGAACATGTCCGTTACATGGAGTTTGTTTGTTTGAATGTGTTTTTTTGATGTTTTGGATTCAAAGGGGGAGACAGAGACAGACGTACATTACATGTACAGAAATATGCATCCTCCGTTGCTTTGTGGAAAACAATAAAAAAAAAAAAAAGACTACGCCCTTTTGTTATTTATCCGCAGTATAGCACAGGTGGACAAACTACAGACATGTTTGTACAATAGAGCGTGAAAGAGCTATTCAAAAGAATAAGAAAAAAGAAAAAGAGTGGGTTAGAGAAACGCGACAGTGAACGATATATTCAGCATATAACAAATACATCTCGACAAACATGACATGCAGGCATACAGATATGCAGATATAAGCACAATTACATACACCTTTTTACCATCTTTTTTTTTTTATTTTTATTTTTTTTTTTCCCGAAGCATGCCGATGGAAACAGAACATCAACTGACTATTGAGAAAGAGAGTTGGCAAAGACAAAGTTTTTAAATAATTGCTGGGTTTGGCCACATGGCTTCTTTTATTTTTAAAGATCTTTTGTATATGACCACGATCTTGACGAGGGTACTCATCTGGTACGCTATAGAAAATTGAATTGTAACGGAGGCATACAGTACAGAGATTGAAGCTAAGCAGATATATATATTTGCAGCATGCAGCATGCAGTCTGTAGCTGCCATTCAGTTGTCAGCATCTTTCTTTTCTTTTCTTTTCTTTCCACATTAGAGCATCCGTAAGAGAAGCATAACTGATTGGATGCATCGCATCAGATCTTTTTCTGTTCGCTGCAGGAAGCATGGATTGGACAAAGGCCCGGATAGATATATAGATATATAGATCTATAGATATAGATATAGATATAGATATAAAAGTAGGTATTAGCATAAGCATGGGTATCGGCATCAGCATAGGTATAGGCATAGGCATAGGCACAGGCGTAGATGTAGAGATTGATATTATCACAAATAAAATAAACAAAAAAGAGAGCGATCAGCCGAGTATTTCCATTATTCCATGATTGCCATGATTGCCATGATTGCAAATCTATACTGCAATTCCATCCCTCGCACATCTCTGATGATGTTTGCATATATACTTCCATGACTAACAGAATGCTATAGTAAATATATATACATCTATATAATATAATGAATGAATGCGGAGTATATAATGTTCATGGGAACATGGTTCATGATTCATGCCATGTACTGTATAGATATATAAATAAATGTGGTTATATGAAGAGCTTTTTTTTTTTTTTTTTTTTGAATAAGACTGAAAAAGAACAAATCCACCTCCACTAGACGATGTTAGACAAATCAATTAATTCAAATGAATAAATAAATCCACAATTTGAGCCGACAATTTCGCGTGTCCTTGAACATGAACATGGAACATGAATGCATGTACCATTGTGCTTTGATTTTCAATTCAACAGAGTATTGTATAATGTACGCTGTATATACGGCATGTGTAATAAAAAAAAAAAAATGTTATAAAATGAGAGGACGTTGGCCCTCCTTTTGTATCCTTTTTTTCTTCTTCCTTTCTTTCTTTCTTTCTTTCTCTTTTGCATCCTCTCTTTTCTTCATTATCCTTTCTTGTATATTCCTTTTCTTTTTTCTTTTTTCTCTCCCAGTCCTCATCACTTTCTCTCATTCACTTCTTCACTTGTCACACCTTTCTCCTCCCCTGTCCTTCTTTTACTTTGCCCTTTATTCTTTGGTCTCTCCCAATATTCCAACCATGTTGTCCCTCATAGGACCCTCCTCTTCTCCTTGCTTACACTCAGACTCTTTCGCAGTCCCACCCTCTTCTGCTTCGACCTCCAATTGCATTGGAAACAAATCTATTATTACTACCTCCACTTCTACTATCATTACTACTTCTTCCCCTTCTCAACAATCTCCTCCTTTGAAATCCTCCCCTTCTACTGCTCCTTTGAATAACTCTTCCAACTATAAAGAGATCGTTGCACAGTTCACGGCGCGTGCACCTCAACCCTATGGAGTTATCCCTCCTCGTCGAAAAAGAGACCAGAGCAAATTGATTCGATCCTCCTCTGCTTCCTCCATCTCTACCTCCAATCTCAATAAAAACCCCAACAGCATCAATAAAAAGAATCCGTCCTCTTCGTCCTCTACTCCATCTTCACCCACCGAAACATCCCACAATGCTGTTGAATTGCAGCAAACATCCTTTAATCCTAAAAATAAAAAGAACAATGATAGCAGTGATTGCAGAAATGGGAGTACTCAGATAGTTCGACCTTTGTTTCACTCTCTCCAATCTCTTATCCTTCCGGAATCTACTTCATCCTCCACTCGATTGGGCTTTTGGGCGAACCTTAAGGCCCACTATCTTGCGGCGGCCACCACCACGCTTTCCTGGTCTGTTATCTCCAGCCAAGGTCCACAGAGTTCTGCCTCTACTAGAGGAAGGGGTGCAGTAGACGAATACGAGTTCTCTCCTCCGATCGCACTCCGCCTCTCAAATAGTACACCGGTTGCTGCCGTCGATGCAATTGCTCCCCATTCTGCATCCCTCTCCATGACGGACGCATATCTGTCTCTACCCAATCTCGCCACCCCTGCTTCACATGCTTCTTATCACCAACATGGCTCCGTCACCTTTCCTGTATCGGTCGCGGCTATGGATAGGTTCAAACCCGACCACTCGGATACGATCCCACTAAAGACCTTTACCTATCATGAAACACCAGTGATTGAACGTCCACAGCCTCTTCCCCTCCCTCTTCCGCTCTCATCTAATAAGCGTGGTAACAACGCTGCTGCTGCTAGTAAAAAGGCGACAAGCAATCATCCTTCCTCTCCATCCACAAAGAGAGCCAAAAACTCCTCTAATGGTGATGCTGATGAATTACTTCCTCTTCCAAGACATCTTGCTACACGCGAGACGCGTTCCAACACTAACTATCTGCGGATGATGGCAGCTGAGTTGAGAATGATTCGGTCTCGTAAACTTGTCTCTCCTCTCAAGCCTCGAGGCTACTTGCCTAGAAGGAAGGATCCATTCCGAAGAGGTAGTGATATGCTTTTTTTTTTTCTTTTTCTTTTTTGTACCTTGATCAGCTATTGTTCTTTATCTCTCCTTCTATGCCCCCTTCTTCGTCATAATCCTTAATGTGAGAAAAAAAAAAAAAAAAAAAAAAAGTTGCCCTTTTTCACCCCTTTCTTTCACTTTTCTGCATCTCCATTGACATGAATACCTGTCACGAGAAATGTAATGAAAGCAAAAGTAATTGAGTGTAACACGAGAGAGAAAAAGAATGAAAAGAAGGGACACGCCATATTTGTTTGTGTGTACTTTTTTTTTTTTTTTTTTTTTCAACATGAGATTGATAAAAAGGCGCTGACATTGTTGACCATGGCAATGACAAGTGGATTGGATACAAGGTCTTGTCGTAGCATAGCAACCCGACTGTTTGGTCCAATGTCCAATATCCAATATCCCATGTCTAATGTCATGTCATGTCATGCTATGCCACGCCTTGTCATGATCTGTTTATTGGTTTGTACGACCTTAAATTCGTACAAATTGAAAGGACATCGACATTGACTTTGTCAACGCCCTAATTTGTCTATCTTTTACCATTCCCCCATTGCCATGAGATGATCTTTGAACTTTGTGGTTGGGATCAGGGTCGAATTTTTTTTTTAGAGCTGTAAATATTATGACCAAAATGAAATACAAAAAGAAAAAGATGTGGTGTTTTGGCACATCTTACCACACAACAAAGAAGTATTTGCTAATTTTCGCTTTTTTATCTCTCTTTTCTTCCCGCTCTGGGGGATATATTTTTCACATGAACAGTGAAATCCCCATTGTGCAATAGCCTCGAGTTACTCAGAGAAGAGGATGATCATCCTTTAAACGACATTATGGTCGGTTCCTGGTCCTCTGTCTCCTCAACGGATTCGTATCTGTCGTCGAGCTCATCCGAGTATCAGACAGCTAATGAAGGCTGCTAAAAAAAAAAAAAAAAAAAAAAAAAAAAAAAGCCAACAGAGCAATGTCTCTTAGAAATTTCATTTCTATCGATCGACTCTATTTTATTTTATTTTTTTGGGGGGGGGAGGAAATGGACACTCTCGAATGGGTTGTCTATTTTTTCCTCGATTTCTTGTTGGTTACTCTCGTCCATTTCCTACAATCCATCAGAATATCTTTCTTTTCTGCCTGCAGGTATGTAATACGAGATGGTATTTTAACATTTATAATATGCCAGTTTTTTATTTATTTTCAGGGACCTCTTTTTATTTTATTTTTTTTGTTCCGTCGTCCTATTTCTTCAAACTTACTTTTTTTTTCTTTTCGCATGCATTGTATTTTACAAGCATGTATTTTATACATGTCATGTCATATTGTATATTATAAATACAATACAATACGATACGATACTATTCATGCTTGTATCCAATGCAGTCTTTTTTTTTGCCCAAAAGTGTGGCATTAAAGAAGAGAAAGGAGGAACTAGAACGTTTGATGAACACATTCATCGGAATCGGACTACAAACAGAGCGCTATTTTATTTACATTCCGCAGAAATGATAATGTATAATATATTATAACTCTATAATATGAATATTAACATCAAACTATTACTTTTTTTTTTTTTTTTTTTTCTTTTGCTCTTTTAGACCGTCCAACATTACCCTTTTTCACGTTACAGAAATCTTCCTAGATTCGCAAACGAAAAAAAAAGGACTCGAATGGCGATCGGGGAAAATAATAATAATAACAATCAACCCTGATTGCATCCAATTCGATTCAATCTAAGCCCAAAAAAAAAAAAAAAAAAACAGCATTTCCTCCTCAACTTTACCATATAGTCTGACTCCCCTTAGGTCTCGACTCGATCAAACTCCCCCTCCCCTTCCTTTCTAGTGCATGAGCGCAACCATTCATTCACAAGGTGTCATCCCTAGGCCAGTCCAGTGGTTTCTTACTCAAGGGACTCTTGAAATTTTTTTTTCTCTTTTTCACGCATTGGCCATCCCTTCTGTCATTCATGATATGAATGTGATGCCATGTGTGGCGCGCGCGTCTTTTCATGGGTCAGTTTTTTCTCTCTCTTGATTGATCCAACCTGTCGTGCAAGTGTTTTGAGCCTCTACCGTTGGGCGCAAATCACACACATTCCCCCTCTCCTTTTTTTTTTTTTTTTTTTTTTTTTTTTTTAAAAAAAAAAATGGCGAGAGTAACAATGTGTGCAAAACATTGCTATATTTGGATTGCGCCTCTTTCGCTATCGGGCCCAAAAAAAAAAAAAAAAAAAAAAAAAAAAACGCGACGACGACAATGACAATGACAACATCAGCATCAACATCAGTATCAACATCAACAACAGAAGCCAAAACAAAGCTCAGATATTGAGACAATAGGAGCCTTCTATATGATCGACTTGACTCCATTTTTTTTTTCTCCTTCGACTGACCAACATCATGCTCCCTCTCGCAACGCGCCACATTCTCACTTTTGTATTTCACAAGTGAAGAAGCGCATGTAGAAGGAGTAACTGTTGTTAGCGAAAGGAGGAGATTGATGGTTGTTGACGATACATGTAGACCATAGGCCATTAAAGAAAGTAAGGCTACCGGCGCAAGAGTTATATTTATATCTTATGCAGCCCAAAATGGCGCCAACAGCAACCAAACGTTTTTGCTCGTGGGAAAAAAAAAAAAAAAAAAAAAAAAAGACAGTTTTGTGTTACTCCTCACAAACCAGAGGTGCTTCGCTTCATTCTTTCTCATTCATTTCTATCAGCATTTATACCCCTTCCCCTCCTCTCGCTTTCCAATCAGTATCTTTATACCTTTTTTTTTGTATTTCTAAATTTCTTTTACAAACCATCCAACCATCAGCATTTTTTTATTTTGCATTTACACAACCACACTCACTCTACTTTGCCTTAGCACGTTTTGCTTCTTTTCTATACTCTCTTAGCTCCTTTTAGCACATAATATTATCAATAAAATATAATCAAATAAAAAAAATAAAAATAATAAAAAAAAAGAAAACTTTTGTGGCGATACCTTAAATGAAATTGTTGAATCCCAATTTTTAGACACGTGTCTAACACGACACTCCCTAACAAGAGATTTTTTTTATTTTTATTTTTTTTCCATGAGAAACAAAAGTTGGTTCCAAGGATATCTCTTTTTTAGAGATTCGATTACATTTATTGTGCAAGTCTTGATAATATGTTTCTATTCTATAACATGGTAATTACAAAGTATCCACTCGAAAGAGGATAAAAGGCCTAGTTTTTATGACAAGTCCTGTTAGTGGACTTTTTTTTTTTTTTTTTTTTTTTTTTTTCCTCCAGTTGTTTCTTGCTTGTTGCGGCAGTCGGTCATAGTTCTCCTTAGACCTTGGGCCCTGCAGCAATGACATCCTCTGAAGCCTCATCCTGATATTTTGTAAAGTTCTCATTGAACAACTGTGCAAGTTTCTTGACTGTCTGCTCATACTCGCCCTCAGATTCCGACCAAGCCTTTGCGGGATTCAAAACCTCAGCTGGGATTCCTTCAATTGCCTTGGGGATCTCTAGTCCAAAGATCGGGTAGGTCTCATACTCGGCTTTCTTCAATTCACCCGAGTGGATCGCATCAATGATCGCTCGCGAATATTTGAGTGAGATGCGTTTGCCGGTCTTGCCATAGGCACCTCCAGTCCAACCTGTGTTGATCAACCATGCATCTGCCTTATGTTCTTGCATCTTGGCCGCCAACATCGTTGCATATTTGGTTGGGTGAAGGACCAAGAATGGCTGACCAAAACAGGCCGAGAATGTTGCCTCCGGCTCAGTCACACCATCCTCCGTACCTGCCATCTTGGCTGTGAAACCAGAGATGAAATGATACATTGCCTGAGAAGGAGTCAACTTGGAGACTGGAGGCAACACACCAAAGGCATCACAGGTAAGCATGATGATGTTCTTGGGGTGGCCCGCAATACAGGGGATCAAGGCGTTGGGGATATACTCAATTGGATAAGCACACCGAGTGTTCTCTGTCAAGGATCCGTCGCTGTAATCGACCTGACGGGTATCCTCATCCAAGACCACATTCTCCAAGACTGATCCAAATCGAATCGCTCCAAAGATCTCGGGCTCCTTCTCTGCAGAAAGATCGATACATTTAGCATAGCATCCTCCCTCAATGTTGAAGACCCCTGTATCAGACCAACAATGCTCATCATCTCCAATCAAATGACGGCGAGGATCGGCTGAGAGTGTGGTCTTGCCTGTGCCGGACAGTCCAAAGAAGAGCGTGACATCACCATCATTGCCTTGGTTTGCAGATGAATGCAATGACAAAACCCCTTGCTTGGGCATCAGGTAATGCATGATTGTGAAAACACCCTTCTTCATCTCGCCTGCGTACTCAGTGCCCAGGATTACCATCTCGCGACGACGGAAATTGATCGAGACCGAGGTAGTTGAGGTCATACCTGTGGTGTATCGGTTGGCTGGGAAGGCTCCGGCATTGAGGATTGTGAAATCGGGCTCGCCATAGTTCTCCAGCTCCTCGTCTGTGGGACGAATCAACATGTTACGCATGAAGAGACAGTGGTATGCACGGGCACAGACAACACGGATTTTGATCCTAATTCAGTTACAGATTTTAGAGTCAAAGAGGGAGCAGAGTTTGTTTAGAAATTTTTACTTCGCCCTTGTCTCCATATTTGCGTTCATGTCCAAAAGGGACCGCTCCTTCGTTTTTTTCTTTTACTTCTGCATTCCCTATCCCTACCATCACGACAATAAAGAGAAGGAAAGGAGGAAAAAAAAAAAAAAAAATTACCTGTATTTGGGGTCCCATCCTGCATATCCGTCAAAGACATAGAGTCTTTCACGCGTATTCAAGTAATCGACCGCACGTTCATGATTAATTAAGAACGCATGCTCACTCAGCTTAGTGTTCACGGGTCCCCACCAGATGTCTGCTGAAGTCGATGGCTCATCCACAATACGCTTGTCCTTGGGCGAACGACCTGTTTTCTTGCCCGAGCTGGTCACCAGAGCTCCTTCAGAGGAAATAATCGATCCATCCTCATATCTCAAAGCATCTTCATACAACTTGGCCACAGACGCATTTCGGTTCATAAGCACATGGTTGTAATCAATACCAGTGTCATGGTAAAGAGCCTCTGGGTCAGGATGATAGGCCTTGTGATGGATACCGGGATGAGATTGTTGAGGATAATGACTGTGAATGCTGTGAGAGGACCCATTGTTGTGGACTCCCAAGACATGATGGTGATGGTGGTGATGGTGGTTGCCACTTTGGTTCGTGTGGGTTGAAGAAGCAGGAGAATTAGCTCCGGAGCTTAGCTTGCCTTGACTAACCATTATTTCTTGAACTTGCGTGGATTAATCTGTTGTAGTTGCTGTACAAACAAAAAAAAAAAAAAAAAAAAAAAAAAAAAAGGAAAAGTGGAGAGTAAAAGAGAAAGTGTTTGGAGAATGAAGTGAGAAAAAGAGATGGAAGAACAAAGAGAAGGCTTTTTAAATAAGTCAATAGTGGCGACGACCAAAGAAAAAAGATGACTCTTTTTTTTTTTTTTTTTTTTTTTCCCTCTTGGATGTAGTGACAAGTAGAACGGGAGAGAAGATGACGGGAAACATCTACAGCATTATAATGTATCCATGGCGACTTTCTCTTTTTTGTTTAAACCATGTCTTTTGTGCCTGTGATCAAATAGAAAAAAAATAACGCTAACAATAAACAAAAAAAGGATCCAATGGTGTATTCTTCATGTAGTGCACATGGACAACTCTGTTCGCTCATGTCACTTTTCCCTACTCCACAGCATTATTTTCTTTTTTTTACAAGAAAAAAAAACCACTAATAAAAACTCTATGCATGGTTAACTTTCCTCCCCAAAGTAATCACCATCACTTCAAAACATTAATCACCATCAATAGACAGCTACCCCATTCATCCATTAACAGATTAAAACACTTTTGTATTTTCATGTATTCAAAGGAAAGTAAGCTTTGCAATGAATTTTGTTCCCCCATCCAACAAATTACATGTAACAAAACAACACAACATTTCCCCAGACCTAAATGATCGAGAGACCCAGTCCAACAAAACACAAATGACATAAACACCTTAAAATAATTAACTTGATTCCTATCTATCTTTCTCGACTTCTTCCTTATTACACCTCTTCCTTTAACAAAAGAAGAAGAAAAGAAAAACGATGAAAGTTATAATAAACTTGACACATGATTGCTAATTACTAAATATATTTATATTTTTATAGAAAAAAAAAGGCCTCACGCAAAAAAAAAAAAAAAAAAAAAAAAAAAAAGTTATTGCGGGAATTAACGGATCAAAAGAAAGTAAAAGGTCTGCAAGGGGGCAAAAGAAAGCTAAAGGAATCAGAAGAGGCGGAAAGAGTGAGGGGGTCTTGGTGAGAATTATAGGGGAGAAGAGAAAGGTAGGCTGGTAATTTTTTTTTTTTTTTTTTTTTTTTTACACTGGAATGTAGCAAACCCACAGACACAACGCGCATACACTCTTTCCCCTGAAATAAGCAATTTACAATTATAATATATATATACCACTCTTTGTTCTTTGTTTAAGTAATAATATCATCATCTTGTACACGGATGCAAAAAACAGCTGTTTGACTTTGAATGCCTGTCCTGCATTTGACTCTGGAGTCAATGTTCTTTTCTAGCATTGATGATAATCGGAAAAACTAAAATAAGTGGTCCAGGCTTCGCGTCCTCGTGGTGAGAGTAAGGATGGAGGAGAAAGGCAACAAACCTCGAACATGAGAGACGATAAAGTTGACAGGACAAAGCGATAAAGACGACTGGACATGTAGCAAACAGCATCATCGATGGACCTGCTAGAACCCATTAGTGTAGAAAGTTGCTTTTCGTCTTCAAAGTCATTTGTTTCTCTCCTCTCACAATTCGTATAACCTTGCATCCTGTATTGATTCACTCTAGTGCAACAGGGTTGATTCAACACTATTTATAAAAGTCAGTCTTTCAAGGCGGCACAACCAATCAATCTCGTCAATTTTTTTTCCGGCCTCTCTGTCTCAGTAACATCCCAAAAACGCTTTTTTTTTTTTTTTTTTTTCTTCTTTTTTACATAGAGATTCACGGATAAGATGGCGATATTAATCTCAAAAGCAACGTGTACCAAGTCCATGTGCTGAAGAGCTAGTCGGGACCTGCTATCTCATTGCACGGCAGGACTTCCGTCCAAGAGTAATTGAGTGAAGTACAGGATAAACTTTTTCTGTTCAGTGCCGCTTTAATCTTCCACGTGTATTGTTGTGGAAAAATACATGGCTGTCGTCTGTACTATATAAATCTCCCTGTCATAACGTCTTTGGGTCGTATTGGCCTGTTTAGTTTAGCAAAAGAAGATGGAGAGGTAGGGATTTTTTTTACTGTTTTGTATGACTTTTGTTAACCTCTTTCGTGGTCTTTGAGCTTAGCATGCTGGATAGAGAAATCAGATTCAGACCGTAGTATATTAAACACATGTTTCTCCATGATAGTAAATATTTTAAACAAGCAAGCTGTTTATTTTATGAGTGCAGTGTCTGCAGAATGAAGAAAAGACGGGAAAACCAAAGTAAAGATAGTCTAAAATACAAGCCTAACATGTCATCAGTCTGTTGAAAGCTTTTGCTCTTTGGACCAAGTCCAAAACTTTGTTATACTTCGGGACATCCAGACAAATGAAATAAGTGATTTATAACCCAGGTCATTTCGACAGGACAATTTCAACATATCTGATGAAGAGATCCCAAATCTTGTTCATTCTAACCGCCATCCATTCAGGAGTCAATTAACTTCAGGAGAGGCACGCTCGCTCCAGGCGTACATTAAGCTTCTTTTATGGTCGCCAAAAGCGAATTTATAATACTTGCCAGGAATTTTTATCTTGATTTATCCTACCAGGATGTGAATGCTTTTCAAAGCATTGATACATTGATAAGATATAGAGATCAATTATAAGTTATTGCAATTTCATACAAAATCCAATGTATTAGAGTATTGGAAAGTGGGGGGGGGAGGTAGGATACCAAAGACGGGCGATTACTCAATATACATGGCTGCAAAAGGACTCCTAATTTCTATCAAAGCTAAAGAGAGAGAAAGTGTGTATCGCAAGCTGTCCATGAGACAGCCAATTTTGCCGTTGCTGTTGCACGTGGAGAACCAGAGGAAATATCTTTCAGACGCGTGTTTGAATGCACAGGGTGGGAATAATGTCCACGGACACTAAAAGAAAAATGACATAGAAAGATCGCTCTTTCTCTTCTCATTACTTTGCTTTCATCCTTCCCTTTCCTTCTCGTCTCTTCGTTTTCTTTACTCTCTTTCATCATGTTCCCAGGACAGCTCTACAAAACCGAGTCAGGGCGGCTGTTTCATGCAGGCGCAATGGCCATTATTTTCGTTGGGTATGGAGATTACCATCATTGGAAACTAATGCATTAATGCATCCGATGAGTGGGGTATCATCACATACAACTGCAATGGCCAAGGCTTCACGTTCAATGTCACCATTTAACAATGACGGACTTTCCTCTTTTTTTTTTTTTTTTTTTTTTTTCCCTCCCATCTTCTCGGAACTCAGACTGCCAGCGCGTGGCAAGACTCATATGTCCCGTTCGCTCAGTCGGTACTTGCGCTGGCTTGGAGTACAGACTAAAGTCTTCAGTCTTGGTAATTACCATCGTCAGATCATCAGTGTTGAAACGAAGAATGACTCTAACAGCTCAGGTACAGTTTCTCTTATTTGTTGTGGCTAATGTTGGCTTTGGTGACACATAAAGCACGCGTAGACAAAATTGATCACAATACGCGTCATTATCTTTCATCGATTCCCGTTCCACGACAGACAATACAGCTACCGCCGATCTGAAAACGAAGATCGCCGATGCATGTCTAGACGACATGATCTCTTGGCTTGCCAGCGGTGGTCAAGTTGGTATTCTAGATGGTCACAATACGACAGAGGAAAGACGGCAGGAATTAGTTAGCCGATTCAAGGCTGTCGACGTCCATTGCTTGTTTATCGAGTCTATCTGTGATAATCCCCAGATCATCGATGCCAATATCCGTAGCGTCAAAGTGTCATCCCCTGATGTAAGTAAATCTCTTAATATATAATATGCATGTCGTCTTCATTGCGTATGACCTACAAAAAAAAAAGCTCGGATTTGCTAACTTTTTTTTTCCTTCTCAACTGTCGTAGTATGCGGGCTGGACAGAGGCAGATGCAGTCAACGACTTTAAGCGGAAGATTGAAGAACGAGCTCCATTCTACACAACAATTTCGGATTTGAATTTAAGCTTCGTCAAAATGATCAACGTTGGTGAAAAGATGATTATTAACAACGTCCATGGGTTCCTGCAAAGCAAGATTGTTTATTACTTGACACACCTTCATATCAGTCCAAGAAAAATATATTTTGCTAGGGTAAATACTCATGTCTACATAATTACTTGTGAGATCGTAGCATACATAATTTTTTTCCTTTTTTTTTTTTTTTTGACTGACTTCTATGATCACCCTACTAAATGTTCTCATTATTTAGAATGGTGTCTCACTGAATGAGCAGTCGTACAAAGCCGATGCTCCGCTTTCGCCCGCAGGACATCGATACGCAGAAAACCTCAAGAACTTCCTCTTGAAACTTCGTGAGACACAGGCTGCAGCTCTTCCAGTTGATTCGATAGAAGCAATAAAACCACTGACCGTATGGACCTCATCTCGCAAAAGGAGTTTCCAGACTGCTGCTCATTTTCTGGATCACGAGGAGATTGTTGTCCGACAACGCAGTATCCTTTCGGAACGGAATCCCGGTATTTGCGATCAAATGACGCCTGAAGAGATTGAACAAAAGTACCCACAGGAGTGTCTACGAGCTAAGAATGATCCTTACCGACACCGATTCCCACGTGCCGAGGTAAAAAAAAAAAAAAAAAAAAAAAAAGAAAGACATTTCGTTTGTAGCTTTGTAATTCAGACCAGCACAGGATTAATCAAAGCGATGTAAAAAGGCACTGATACTAATGATGAATTTCTTGGCGATGAAATGTAATGTAGTCATATTATGATCTGGCGAATAGATTAGAGAAGGTGCTTCTGGAACTAGAGCGGGAAAAGAATGATGTTTTGATTATTGCACATGAATCAGTCATCAGGTGTCTTTACGGCTATCTCTTTGGTTTATCGGAACAAGATATTCCATCTCTTGAGATTCCAGAGGATACATTGTTGGAGTTAGTTCCGACCGCTTACACAGTTGAGGAAACACGCTATGTAATTCCAGATTCATTAACAGGCGTCGATTGGCAGCTTCAGGTGGATACATTCTTGAGACTTGCTGGAAAAGTACCAGCCTCTCCAGATTTCATTGATCACTATCTTCCGGAGGATAAATCGAGTATAAATCGGCAGGATGGCGGCAACACAAACATGTCAAGCCCATCTAGGCCAAATGAGAATTCAGTTAATGACGAATTTAATCAGGGATCAGAGTCAACTTTCCGGCTATGAAAGCCTCTTCTTTTCATAGCCAAAAAAAAAAAAAAAAAAAAAAAAAAAAAAAAAAAAAAAAGCTTATATCAACCTCTCTGCTCCTTGACATTAAACCTCTCAAGATAAACGCTTTTTAATTTAATGTGGATCTAGTTGAGGATTGTAGAGTAAATTAAGAATCAAATTCGTTGACTCGTTGACGAGCGAATATGCAGATGACGGTGCAGCTGAAGCGTATCCTCGGCACAAACTCCTTGTACACATGGCCTTATTTTGAATATAAAACATGTATATAAACATAGGCTCGTTCCCATCCCTCTTCACTTTATAAAGGTGACAGGAAATTTCATTTCCTTTTTGAGTCACCTAAAGTGAAGGGGCTGGGAAAAGAATAAAGGAAAAATGCATCCCCCCGTCAGAATAAAAAATTGACCCCCGGCTGAGAATTCCCAAAACCCCCGTCACCTCGGAATTCTTACCCCCGTCCCCCCGTCAGAATTCCGAAGCACCCCCCGTAAAGATTCTCGAAAGGCAAATCTTAACCCCCCGTCAACCGTTTTAATTATCGGAATCTTTACCCCCCTGTCAACATTTTGAGGCTGTTTTTTGGGTCTTATTTTCTGCTTTTGGTTGCATCTGTCTTTCTATTAAACTCAACGCTATTAAAGCCCTCTTACTTTTTATCTTATCATCAAAAACTTGACAGTAGAAAAATCAGCTAGACAGACACATGTTCCTTGATGAATGGCTCCCTCCCTAGTATTTTATTTATCTCAAGGCTCAGAACCTTCAGCAACTTTACATGCACCACACAAGCCCGATATAGTCATCGAAAAAAAAAAAAGAAAAAAAAAAAGAAAGATTTTACACTATATAACACCACATGTCGCACAATCCAAACTATCTTCGCAATCAATGACATTTATTGTCTTAAATACAGATTGGGACAATGGGGCCTTTTACACTTACAGTGTGAGGGTACAGTTGGGCTCTTTTTTTTTTTTTTTTTTTTTTTTGACGTGTTTTGCTGTCAACAAGCCACAAAACTCAGGTCCAACTTTATGCTCTTGATTAGGAATGAAAAACGGTTCTCAATTTCAAAAAACAGCTCTAGAAGGCACAACATTAATTATTTTTTTTTTTTTATATCTATCGCGTTCCACCTCCAATCCCCTTCACATTCTGATCCCTGAGCTCAAGGTGGATATTCTGTTCACACTTGCTGCGTACCATAGTTTTCTAGCAAAAAAAAAAATAAAAAAAAAGTCTTTGTTTATTTTTGTTCTGCTGACTTTGAACAGCGTAACATATTGTGATATTGTTTCATAAACCTGAATGGGCTTGACTTCTTAACCTCACTTAATCGCTTCCCTTCCGCTTCTCTTTCTCGTTTCTCGGCCTACCTCTCTCAAACACTTGTCTCTTCACTTCCTACACTCCACCCCTCTACAAACAACTTACGATGAATCCTAGTAACACTCCTTCGCTGGTCGATCATAGGAGTTACCATGACTTGTTCGTTTTCTATACTTACTACCAATATCAGTGCTAAATATCAAATTGTCTATAAATCTCACAGTTGCCTTCCATATACTTCTTCATCCTTAATCTCTAGTACACCAGAGCAGCTGAGGAATCTGTTCAAAATGTCGCAAGTGCCGACTCAAGATGACATTAAAGGATCGGCCGAGCTATTCGGCTGCAATAATGAAATAGCCATCGAAAATAAGCCTTTTGATCGAAACAAAGCCATTGAACAATGCAAGAAGATATTCAAGGTTACCCCAAAACTTTGCAGCTGGATGTTGTCGAATGTATTGGCAGTAGTCAAGACTGCATTCTTATTGCTGGATGTGGTTGGGGTAAAACCCTTGTTTACACTCTCCCACTTGTAATTTGGAGAGATCGGATCATTATCGTCATCTCTCCTCTGAGGGTATTGATACAGGAGCAGCAGCAGAGCCTTCAAAAGCTGGAGATTAGTAGCGTAGCATTACTCAGTGGAGGAGCTATCACACGAGGAACAATCGACGACGTGGCCGATGGGAAATATAGGGCTGTTTTCATGACGCCAGAGATTATCTTCGACAGCCCTATTCTGACGAAACTCTGGTCAATTCCAAAATGGCAAAAGCGGCTACAGGCAGTTGTCTTGGATGAGGCTCACTGTGTTTGCGATTGGGGCAACAATTTCAGGACTTCCTATGGCCGTATTGCGGAGCTACGCTCAAAGGACCCCCGTGGTGTAGCTTTCATCGCTGTTTCAGCTACCCTTCCATCAATGGTTCTAGAGAAGCTCAGAAGCTTGGTTCAATTCAAACCAGATGTCAAGATCATCAACGTCGGTAACGATCGCCCCAACATCAGATTGGAAGTCCGGCATCTTAGCTCCAAGGATAAGTCCAAGCACCTTGCTTTTCTCCTCCTTGATCTTAAAAAAACTATCATCTACTTTCAGACCAAGGACGAGATTAGATATTGGTATAAACATTTGAAACAGTTAGCAGAGGACAAGTTCAAGATCGCTGAATATCACGCCGACTTTTCCGAAGGTTACAAGCAAGAAACTATGGAACACTTCAAGCGTGGCGATATCCTCATTTTGCTGGCTACAGAAGCTGCCGGGATGGGGTGTGCCATTAGTGATATCCTTCGTGTTGTGCAGTACAAGTGCCCATCCACAATCTCGACTCTTGTACAGCGCCTTGGTCGTGCAGCTCGCAACCCGCAACTTCAGGGTCAGGGTATATTATTGGTACCACCACCGTCCGTTGATACCAAGTTTCCAGACGAGAACCTCGCCAATTACATTATGACTAAAGGATGTCGGCGGAAAGTCCTCAATGACATCTTTGACAATAAGCCCCAACCTAATGAGAACTGTTGCGACATCTGCCATCCAGTTCCTGAGCCGCTGCAACTTTCTTGCAATGAAATTCGTGTTGATACAGTACCAAAGGTTCGGCGTACGGCAGAACAGAAGGAAGCTGCCAAAGAGGCTATTAAGAAGTGGAGATTGATGGTTTACAAAAGGGATTACGAGCCAGCTTGGCCATGGTTAAGGCTTTCTTGCGTGCTGACGGATGCATTGGTCGATAAACTAGGCGAAAAGTTTGGCAATGTTACGTCGCCCGAATCGGTAACATCAATTACCGGTTGGACCTTTATAAACGACGACATTTTAACGGAACTTGCCAACCTCCTTATCAATTTAAATAAGGATATCGATAGTGTATGCCAGCCTAAAATGCAACCGCAGCTCCAAAAGAAGGAGTCCCATATTGACCGGAATGGCCGTGTTCAAAAACCACGGCCTACCGCAAAGCCAAAGATCGCGCTCCATAACATGACCTCTTTCGACTTCTCTAAACGTGGAAACCCCAATAGCAGCTAACATGGTGTCATCACTTGTCCCAACTGATTGTTGAAACATTTTAGTTTGTAGTAATAAAGCGTACCAAATATCAGAAATCCATCCGGGGAAAAAGCCAAGCGTACTTTTAGTTTCCACAGTTAAAAAAAAAAAAAAAAAAGACACATTTTGTTACGCTTCATACAGTCCTCCTCTTAGGGCTGTTCCAACAGAGTCTTCTCAAGCTTTGTTAAAAATCAGAAGCTTTGAGCAGAACCCAATTTCTATTCAATAATGGATTGGATCCTTTTTGTTGAGACAGCAATTAATTTGTGCTTCGACTATTTTTGCCGTTCACTCCTCATCTCACCATGTCACACCTTGGCCAACATAATTGTTGTGTGTGGTGAATATCTCGAATTTGACTTGTAGTTCTTGTGGAAGAGCTGTTATTCACGTTAAACAAAAACAAAAAAAAAAAAAAAAAGACGAGAAAAGAGAAAAGAGAAAAAAAAAGAGTTATTCACCCATTCAATAAAGCTCTCTTTCTTTTTGTGAAACTCCCTTTCGCACCATTTAACGAAACTCGCTTTCACACCATTAAGTGAAGCGCCACTGCAGGCTGCCACTTTGTGAAACCCTGCCTTCTTTTCCTCTCCCTCTTTTTATTGTGCCAAAAAGAAAAAAAAAAAAAAAAAAACCTACATAATCGGCCTGTGCAACTGATATTTTACTTTTGAAAAAAGAACTCTGCATTTGCTCATGAAAGTTTGCAAGGATCAAAATAAATGACAAGAATAAAAGTAAGGCGATGTTTAACAGCGAATGAAAAGGATATTTCACTACCAACAGAGCACATGTTAGAGGCTTCTTCAGACAACAAAGCAAACCCTAAGAGCTGGTAGCACTTCAACTTCCGCACTGCGTTCTACTTGGCCTCGATTGCCCTTGTGTACCAAAGTGCTCAAGCCCTATCTGTCGCAAGCGAATCGCTTTTCAGCAAAGTAGGACATCTTCCAAGCGACAAAAGAGCAAGCTTAAACTTTTACGTCTTCACCAATCAAGGAGTTGAAGAAAAGGCCAACTTCTTTTAATATTATTATTAATAAGCACTCCCTATAAGAATATCATCCAGATATTGTTCCACAGCACCATTAGGGCGGGAGAGGGATGCTGTCGCATGTTGCGCAAATACTGACAATACGTTGTTCAGTTCCTTATTTCCAATGATGGGAATCGCAGCGAATGGTGTCTCATCAGGGAAAAGATTTAAGACTCTCGTGAATGACAGCCTAAGATCAGTGGGCATGGTATTGGAGCACCCGAGCTTACAATCCGTGACTTCATGACGGCAAAGAACGGCTTGGTCCCCGTTTACTATCACATTTATCGCGATTGATTGGAGGAGCTTACTAAACTGAAAAGCACTGCCTCGATCGGTCTGATCATAATCAACCAATGTGAAAACCGAATAAGGTATTGAGACACTACTTTGCATCAACGGGCCCCAGGCGCGGCATTGATAGTAAGTGGAGGGATGATTAAAATACGTTCTCAGTTGTCTAAGCTGATGGGTTGCTTTGCCGATGTGCGCACGCCTCGTAGTTTTGTCGTGCGCCATTGCAATAGCCATATTTAGAGACTCCTTGTCTACGAAGATCCTAGTTTCCTTGGTCCACTCGTCCTTGATCTTAAATGTGCTGGTAGTTGCTCCAACAGAGTGTCGACTTTCACCCTTGAAATGAGCATCTAAACGAGTAGAGCAGGTCACCAATCCATCAAATACGGTTGTACCAATAATCAGCTTTGAACAACTATCCCCTGCCTTCGCCCAGAGTCGATGGCATGACACCAGGGTAATAAGCCTTTGAAGCATTAGGCAATGATCTTGGGGTCGGTGTACTATTGAAGACCTCTCGGTGAATGTCTGTGGTCCGGCCCCTTCCATAGACCTCAATCGAATGCACTAGGACCGCTTGGCCACTCTTCATGTTGAACACCAAGCAACAAGCCAATAACCGAGCACAAGCAAATCGATATTGGGGATTACACTGCCAATCCTCGTTCAAAAGGCTGCACATCTCATCTGACAGCTCTTCGAAATTACGGCCAAGCAAAACCTACCTGAAGGGCGACAACGAGATCATGCTGTCCAGCTTGAAGCATGTTGACAACTTTGATGTGGGTGGACAAGAACAATCTTTTTCTAGGAATGCGCTGGTGCTGCGATTAGGCACAAAGACACTTGAGTTGATCCCGGATCTGACAATGGGTTCGACCACATTGCGGTGCGCGAGGGCATTGAAAACCTGTTCTTCCTCATTAAAGAATGAAAATGGAGTCACTTTGAGGGACTCCACGCCTAACAACGCCGTTCTTTTCTTGGACTCGCCTTTATGCTGCTTCTGGCAGGCCTGAAATATGGCTTCGTCGTACGATGGCAGCTCCATTTTGGATCGAGGACCAGAAGCCGGCGGCACACAGGACATCGCTGGCAAATATGGTGTCAGTCCTAGGTCATGAATAGGGTCCTCCTCTTCGTTCGTATTTTCATTACTATCCACATCCTCACAGCCATACCGATCCTTGTCCCCATCATTCACTCCTTGTTCGCTCTTGTCAGCATCTTTGTATAGAAGACATACTGTGTGAATATGCCTCCGCATGCCCGATACTTTTAGATATGAAACATTGCATGTCCCGCAACTGAAAGTTTGGCCATTTCGTCTCACTTCAACCATCTCGTTGTTGAGTTTGGTTCTAAACGAAGCTTGGTGGCATTGAAAGCGATGGTATTTGAGGGTGCCCTTAGTCCAAAAGCCCTCTGAACAATCCTGGCACTCCCAAGAGGGTTTGGTTTGGCTCGTCTTTTGTTTTTTGTTTACGGATTTCGATGATGTTGCTTGATGACTCGTTTGATTTGATTCCTCCATTTTTATGAGTGAAGCCTTGTGATGAATGGGTAAAGAAAGTAAGAAAGAAAGCTGAGTGGATACAACAGGAAAAGAGTTGGCCTGTAAAACATGTCCACTTTTTGGCGAGGACTCTTCCATCTCGTTCACACGCACGCCCCCATTTTAAACATCATGCAGGCTCAAATCTTTGTGATGTGGTTTGGTTTCACTGAATGGCCTGAAAAGAGGGGGTTGCCCTGAGAAATGGTTCGAGTCTCTCTCTCAAGGAACAGACATGAACCTTCATGAGTTGTTGATGATGAGGATGAAAAATCTTGTCAGTCAAAGAATACCAACAAACCAAACCAACGAAGGCAACAATGCCAAGATGATCAACATTTAATTCGTTAATTTTGCTTAACATTCCAAACGATTTTAGTGAGTCGACCGCATGCTTTTGCGCCTCAACACTGCAGCTTCGTGAAGTGCGGGCACATCAAGGGGAGAAATGCTTTTTTTTTTTTTTTTTTTTTTTCGACCAAAGGAGAAATACAGTTTTTTTTTTTTTTTTTTTTTTTGGTTTTTCACCGGGCAGTGGTGTGAAAGGAATTTCATTCATCGTTGTTGCATATTTCACAGTTCACGGGAAACAATAAAATTAAAATTAATAAATTAATATGTGTGTTCAAGAAAAAAGATAATGGAGTTTTTGTATACGAGATCTGTTTCATGCACAAAATAATACACAAATGACTTTGTATCATAAAACCTCGCCCCATGTGTAAATAGTAACGAGCAGGGAGCACGGTGCAAGCATTGAAGGGGCGTGGTGATTATTCACGTTTGCACCATGGCTACTCCATGTATGGTTCCTGTAGACAAGGACGTGATGTGTGTTCCCACATCTTATTCTCTTATTCTCACTTGCTTCTGTCCCTGATTACTACTTGTCTGTTTAAATTTTTCAATCACCATATTTAAAGCGTAAAAGGGAGGGAGGAGTTTTTGAATGGCGTGAAAGGGAGTTTCATTAAATGGCGTGAGAGGGAGCTTCATTAAATGGCGTGAGAGGGAGTTTCATTAAATGGCGTGAAAGGGAGCTTTGTTGCTTTTATGGAACACGTGTTGCATAAAAATTAATATCTGTGTGCACAAAATAATATGTACAAACAGTTGAATGTGATAAAAGCACGCCATGTGTAAATAGTAACAAGCAGGTGGGGGTGCAGTGCGAGCGTAGTGAGGGCGTAGTAATTATACACGCTTGCACCATGGTTACTTAATGCTTAGTGCCCGAAGACAAACTTGTAGTTACACATTGATACGGTTTTGAATAAATACCGCATGGATGTTTTGTGTGTTCCCACATCTTATCATCGTTAAATGGTGCGAAAGGGAGTTTCACAAAAAGAAAGAGAGCTTTATTGAATGGGTGAATAACTCTTTTTTTTTCTCTTTTCTCTTTTCTCGTCTTTTTTTTTTTTTTTTTTGTTTTTGTTTAACGTGAATAACAGCTCTTCCACAAGAACTACAAGTCAAATTCGAGATATTCACCACACACAACAATTATGTTGGCCAAGGTGTGACATGGTGAGATGAGGAGTGAACGGCAAAAATAGTCGAAGCACAAATTAATTGCTGTCTCAACAAAAAGGATCCAATCCATTATTGAATAGAAATTGGGTTCTGCTCAAAGCTTCTGATTTTTAACAAAGCTTGAGAAGACTCTGTTGGAACAGCCCTAAGAGGAGGACTGTATGAAGCGTAACAAAATGTGTCTTTTTTTTTTTTTTTTTTTAACTGTGGAAACTAAAAGTACGCTTGGCTTTTTCCCCGGATGGATTTCTGATATTTGGTACGCTTTATTACTACAAACTAAAATGTTTCAACAATCAGTTGGGACAAGTGATGACACCATGTTAGCTGCTATTGGGGTTTCCACGTTTAGAGAAGTCGAAAGAGGTCATGTTATGGAGCGCGATCTTTGGCTTTGCGGTAGGCCGTGGTTTTTGAACACGGCCATTCCGGTCAATATGGGACTCCTTCTTTTGGAGCTGCGGTTGCATTTTAGGCTGGCATACACTATCGATATCCTTATTTAAATTGATAAGGAGGTTGGCAAGTTCCGTTAAAATGTCGTCGTTTATAAAGGTCCAACCGGTAATTGATGTTACCGATTCGGGCGACGTAACATTGCCAAACTTTTCGCCTAGTTTATCGACCAATGCATCCGTCAGCACGCAAGAAAGCCTTAACCATGGCCAAGCTGGCTCGTAATCCCTTTTGTAAACCATCAATCTCCACTTCTTAATAGCCTCTTTGGCAGCTTCCTTCTGTTCTGCCGTACGCCGAACCTTTGGTACTGTATCAACACGAATTTCATTGCAAGAAAGTTGCAGCGGCTCAGGAACTGGATGGCAGATGTCGCAACAGTTCTCATTAGGTTGGGGCTTATTGTCAAAGATGTCATTGAGGACTTTCCGCCGACATCCTTTAGTCATAATGTAATTGGCGAGGTTCTCGTCTGGAAACTTGGTATCAACGGACGGTGGTGGTACCAATAATATACCCTGACCCTGAAGTTGCGGGTTGCGAGCTGCACGACCAAGGCGCTGTACAAGAGTCGAGATTGTGGATGGGCACTTGTACTGCACAACACGAAGGATATCACTAATGGCACACCCCATCCCGGCAGCTTCTGTAGCCAGCAAAATGAGGATATCGCCACGCTTGAAGTGTTCCATAGTTTCTTGCTTGTAACCTTCGGAAAAGTCGGCGTGATATTCAGCGATCTTGAACTTGTCCTCTGCTAACTGTTTCAAATGTTTATACCAATATCTAATCTCGTCCTTGGTCTGAAAGTAGATGATAGTTTTTTTAAGATCAAGGAGGAGAAAAGCAAGGTGCTTGGACTTATCCTTGGAGCTAAGATGCCGGACTTCCAATCTGATGTTGGGGCGATCGTTACCGACGTTGATGATCTTGACATCTGGTTTGAATTGAACCAAGCTTCTGAGCTTCTCTAGAACCATTGATGGAAGGGTAGCTGAAACAGCGATGAAAGCTACACCACGGGGGTCCTTTGAGCGTAGCTCCGCAATACGGCCATAGGAAGTCCTGAAATTGTTGCCCCAATCGCAAACACAGTGAGCCTCATCCAAGACAACTGCCTGTAGCCGCTTTTGCCATTTTGGAATTGACCAGAGTTTCGTCAGAATAGGGCTGTCGAAGATAATCTCTGGCGTCATGAAAACAGCCCTATATTTCCCATCGGCCACGTCGTCGATTGTTCCTCGTGTGATAGCTCCTCCACTGAGTAATGCTACGCTACTAATCTCCAGCTTTTGAAGGCTCTGCTGCTGCTCCTGTATCAATACCCTCAGAGGAGAGATGACGATAATGATCCGATCTCTCCAAATTACAAGTGGGAGAGTGTAAACAAGGGTTTTACCCCAACCACATCCAGCAATAAGAATGCAGTCTTGACTACTGCCAATACATTCGACAACATCCAGCTGCAAAGTTTTGGGGTAACCTTGAATATCTTCTTGCATTGTTCAATGGCTTTGTTTCGATCAAAAGGCTTATTTTCGATGGCTATTTCATTATTGCAGCCGAATAGCTCGGCCGATCCTTTAATGTCATCTTGAGTCGGCACTTGCGACATTTTGAACAGATTCCTCAGCTGCTCTGGTGTACTAGAGATTAAGGATGAAGAAGTATATGGAAGGCAACTGTGAGATTTATAGACAATTTGATATTTAGCACTGATATTGGTAGTAAGTATAGAAAACGAACAAGTCATGGTAACTCCTATGATCGACCAGCGAAGGAGTGTTACTAGGATTCATCGTAAGTTGTTTGTAGAGGGGTGGAGTGTAGGAAGTGAAGAGACAAGTGTTTGAGAGAGGTAGGCCGAGAAACGAGAAAGAGAAGCGGAAGGGAAGCGATTAAGTGAGGTTAAGAAGTCAAGCCCATTCAGGTTTATGAAACAATATCACAATATGTTACGCTGTTCAAAGTCAGCAGAACAAAAATAAACAAAGACTTTTTTTTTATTTTTTTTTTTGCTAGAAAACTATGGTACGCAGCAAGTGTGAACAGAATATCCACCTTGAGCTCAGGGATCAGAATGTGAAGGGGATTGGAGGTGGAACGCGATAGATATAAAAAAAAAAAAATAATTAATGTTGTGCCTTCTAGAGCTGTTTTTTGAAATTGAGAACCGTTTTTCATTCCTAATCAAGAGCATAAAGTTGGACCTGAGTTTTGTGGCTTGTTGACAGCAAAACACGTCAAAAAAAAAAAAAAAAAAAAAAAAAGAGCCCAACTGTACCCTCACACTGTAAGTGTAAAAGGCCCCATTGTCCCAATCTGTATTTAAGACAATAAATGTCATTGATTGCGAAGATAGTTTGGATTGTGCGACATGTGGTGTTATATAGTGTAAAATCTTTCTTTTTTTTTTTCTTTTTTTTTTTTCGATGACTATATCGGGCTTGTGTGGTGCATGTAAAGTTGCTGAAGGTTCTGAGCCTTGAGATAAATAAAATACTAGGGAGGGAGCCATTCATCAAGGAACATGTGTCTGTCTAGCTGATTTTTCTACTGTCAAGTTTTTGATGATAAGATAAAAAGTAAGAGGGCTTTAATAGCGTTGAGTTTAATAGAAAGACAGATGCAACCAAAAGCAGAAAATAAGACCCAAAAAACAGCCTCAAAATGTTGACAGGGGGGTAAAGATTCCGATAATTAAAACGGTTGACGGGGGGTTAAGATTTGCCTTTCGAGAATCTTTACGGGGGGTGCTTCGGAATTCTGACGGGGGGACGGGGGTAAGAATTCCGAGGTGACGGGGGTTTTGGGAATTCTCAGCCGGGGGTCAATTTTTTATTCTGACGGGGGGATGCATTTTTCCTTTATTCTTTTCCCAGCCCCTTCACTTTAGGTGACTCAAAAATGGCTCGACAGGATGTCCTGATTAGTAAAAACAAAATATAGTTAATTTTATACAACTATTGATGACCAGCCACAACACTTTTTTTTTTTTTTTTTTTTTTTCCGCGTTCGTGTAACCATCATTGTGCCACACGCGCGACAAAATATGACTTTGGATTACAAGCAATTGCACTGACAGTGTTCATCACCATCATTATTGCCTTCAGCCGCAACACTTCAGCGGCTCCACTGCAGGTCCAAAATGCTCGCTATTTCGTTCTGCTATCAATATAACCATACTCATACCTGGGGCTGTCCTCGGAAAACCCCTTTTGTTAGCAGTAACAGCAGTAGTAACAGCAGCAGCAACCACAATAGTTGTACGGAACATGGTCTTGTTTCAGCAAGCCCTACTTCATGATTGTACTCTGTACATAGTTTATTTTTCTACTTCGCAGATATTCCCTTTCAAGAGCGAAGCTACCGATATGAGCAATGAATAAGACGACAGGGCGAGATCGTATGATCCCTAATTACTCAGAAGCAAGTTTTCTAGTCTCATACATACAGCATCATCAAGCAACAAGCATAAAGAAAGGTTAAGAGAAACTCATGTTTATTTTTTATTTTTGTTATTTCATGAGGAAGGGAAAGCGGATTTAGATTACAAGTTGTACCATGTTGAAATGGATGGCTTAAGTTTAAAGATATAGGGGTACCCATGCATGCCTTCCATAAAAAAAAAAAAAAAAAAAAAAAAAGATAAAAAAGCCCATCATACTTGAGATTCGTTAGTGTTGACTCTAAGCAACGCTGTTATTCTCCAGTTCGTCAATATCTTCTTCGTTAACAACTGCAGTGATATTATCACCACAAATCACCATAAACAGTTTCTTCGCCTAGAGAAACGATATTATCATGATCTAACTGTTCGCTACCATCAGTATCCTCGTCCTTAATTTCATAATTCTCATCCTCCGCTACATCTTCACTCAACTTCTCGTCTTCCCTATTGGTGTTGCCCTTACCGCCTTCACCAGGATATATAATGGTGTCGTCCGCATCGAGCTCTGACACAGTCGATCTCTCCTCTACACCGACTGACACAGATGGATCGGAGCTGTCGTCATCTGCAATACTACTATCAATGCTGTGTTCTTCTCTCATCTTTCGAAATTTTTCATCCTCCTTCTCCTGAGCTGTGGTTCGCAAATCCTCCACTACACTTTCTAAATTGCGTTTGCGACGCTGTCGTGCTCGCATAAGCCATGAACGGGAAACAGTTTCCTGATAACTTCTGGATTTCGTTTGTGCATACTTGATATACTTGGACTCAACTAGGCGGATATTTCGGAACAAAAAGAGTCTTGTGTAGCGGATGGCTGCCATCTTACCCTCTTTGTATTTGTCAGATTGACGCTGACGAATCTGACGGATGCTGGGCATTTGCATGAATCGGACAGAATTAAATTCTGGATCATTGACCTATTTGTTAAATAACAATAAAAATAATAACGATTAGGATGATTAAGATATAAACCTTATGGGGATCAAAAAGAAAAAAAAAAAAAAAAAATACGAATGGCTCCAACCAGAATCGTTGTGGAAATTGTGTCAAAAAATACATAAATAAATAACTAAAGCGCTAGTAGAACCTTGTTTACCTTGCGACGGCCTGCTTTACGCTTTCTTGCATCTGCTTTTTTGCCAGAACGTCCTGAAGGTAATTGTGATACTGACGCAAATGCCAATGAAGATCCACTTCCAGTTGCTGGTAAGTCCTTGCTCTTGCTGATACGCTCTCCAATGTAACCACGACAATTAGGTGCGCCACAACGGCATTTTTGTTTTTGAGCACCGCTGAATGATGAAAAATTGTAGTCATAACTGATCTCTGTTCCTGCAGGAATGTCTTGAGAGGCGAAAATGCCAATACTCATCTCACCATTTAAAAACCATTTTTCAATCTGACTGTTAGGCGAGCAGCTAATAATTTATTGAAGTATAGAGTGATAGCACATTAGCCTCCATTATTCACGCAGTCCATTATTATCATAGAATCAATGATAGGCGTACCTGTGGTTGACGAATCGAGCATTGGTGCCTTTTTGGCACGCATCGACAACCTCGCCTTTCTCATACTCAAGAAAGTAAAAATTTTTGTTGTTTTTGTAAATAGTTTTCATCCGTCTATGACATTCATTTTGCGAAATAACTTCACCGCGATACTCAATGACCAAGCTTCCTTTCTTGATGGGCGCCATTGTCTGAATACCGAAACCTCGCTCCTGGGTCTACAAAAGCGCAGGAATATTGCGTTACAAATAAAGCCTAATTATTGAGATATATTGATACTAGATTACTCTTCATGGTCTGAAATCAAGAACTTTGAATGCTACATACCCAAATAACACGAAGATGATCTTCATCATGCTTCTTCTGGAATCGCTGGTTTGAGCATTGGTCTCCACATGGGCAATGCGCTGAGATGCACTCGTAAAACATGACGCGGTTATAGCAGTCTTCACCACATCCAACTTTTCCTGCTCCTGGAGGCGGTGGTGTACAATGACACACCATAGGACTCGTTTCTGTCCGGCGCTTCCGTTCAACAAATATATCTATAAGCAGTAGGAGATCATAAAAGCATTAATAAGCGCTAAAGCTTCCTCTATCGGCTTGAGTTTCTAAATATAAAATAAAATAAAGAAAATACACCACATACTGCTTCGAATTTTGATGAATGGCTCTGGTTGCATAGCCTTCCGCAAGAGACCTGCTTTCCATGCTTGCATGATGTCAAAGGGGAGACAGAAGTCGCTTTGGTTAGACATTAGCACCGCACCGTAGTTGATAGGTAGTTGGAAGAAGGATCCTGAACGAGCCGGACCGACGCCCCTGGCTCCTCGCCTGGTCAAGGCCTTCGAGGTCTGTGATTGCTTAGATGCTTTCTTCAGAGTTACAGACAGTTTGGTGTTGTTGACGGGATTGACTTTTAGATCAGCAGAATAGAGTCCAGATTTAAGATAGACTTTTTTGACCAATCGTGCTTCATCTGCTTTTGCCCCTGCAACCGAATCATCCTAAAATAGAGAAAAAGAATGTGAGTCATGTGACATATACAGTGTCATACAGTTTCCATGTAATACAATACATACGTCTGATGAGTCTTCGACGACATGCTCGCCCTTTACACTCTTGGCCTTATTTGAGTCACGACCACGTTTTGAAGGTATAGTCGAAATTGTAGTGGATGTTTTTAATTTCTCAGATTTGCTCTTGCCTTTGTCTACTTTTGCTGGTTTGGCTGGGATGGGTTGTAAATCCTTCTTCGATGCATTAGTGGGTCGACCTACAGTTCGTTTGGCTACAGATCCCTTTACTACTGTTGGCGCAGCTGCGGCTGTGGCTGTAGCTGTTGCTCTCGTCGCTCGACCTCTCCTTGCTGAACCAACCAGGTTCAAGTCATTCGTCTTTCTTGACGGCGAACCTGCGCTCGTCACCTCATTTGCACTGAGATCATCCTCTGATACATTGCCTTTATTGGAGACACCATTCACTTTTTTGTATCCAGTTTGGCTGCCTCTGGTCCTTCGTTTACTTTCATATAGACTTGGATCATATTTTTGAATAGGAGCCAACGCAGCATGCCTCTTGGCTCGTCGCTCAATTATGTTTTGACTTGATACGTCACTAGGACTCGATGTACGTCGCCGCTTGACCCCTGCAGATGCTGATCGGGTTGGTTCTACTGACGCGGATGCTGTAGGCTCTGTAGGCGCTGTAAACATTGAGGGCGATGTGGGCGTTGTGGATGCTGTTGATGCTGCGGGTACTGTGGGAGTTGTGGATGCTGTGGTCACTGTGGGCGTTGTGGGCACTGGAGTAGGTGTGGAGTTCCTTGCCGTGATGGAAGCTGCCTCCCTAGTGAGCGCGTCCAATTGAGTGTAACGCTGCGTTGGACGTGGCTTCTCTGGCGCGACAGCCAGGCCTGCAGCTACTGCAGCCGCCAGTGCGGCAGCAGCTTCCGCTTTTGCCTGCTGTCGGGCTTCTCGCACAATGATAGTAGGTCGATCTACGGTGCCACTGCGATCACATGGTATTTTCGCCTTGGCACAGCGAGCACAGACTGTATTAAAGTCACATCGACGATGCTGAGTTCTGCAGTAGGCACACGAAGTTGGTCCCAAAAAATAACCAGGAGGTCTTCCAGGACGGCGTCTAGGTTGCTGTGGTGCAATGGCTGTTGGTGGGGCATAAGTGCTTCGTGCCTTTTGTTGAATTAGTGTTTTAGTAAGACGAGGTTGAATAAGAGCAGCAATTGGAATATCGAACGACGATCCGTTTGAAGAAGGACCAACCTCAACTTCCCCAGCAGGTCGCAATTTGACAGAAATATTGGGGGGTGTACTAGGGTCGGATGCAACAGGCGGATCTGAAATAACAGATGCAATAAAACCTGTTGAAGTGCCTGATGTCGCTGAAAGCCCTCTTCCAGATTTTGCTGGTCGTTTTAAATCGCCTGTTAAGTGGTATTCAGCATCGCCAAGGATTGATAGCTCTGCATCATCGTCAACCTTGAGAAGACCTGATCGGAGCAATGAAACTATAGATCGCTTTGAAGCTGGAGGTAAAGCGCTATCTGCATCAAAATCCGAAGCAACCTTGTTGATGAAATCATAATCATGAAGTCGGCATTCTTCTTGCTCCTGAGGATCGATCATCTTTTGCATACTATGCACCGTCAATTTTGCAAGCTTCAGTTCTCCATTCTGTTTCTTTGATCCTTTGATGGGTTTTGATTCTATGCCATTGATATTGATTTTAGCCCTGTCCGTGGGAGAAGATGATGGGCCCATAGAGGGGTTGAAGCGTATTTCTGATTGAAAATAACAACGATATCATTGTAGGGCAGGAGAGATGTTTAGTACAATGTATTAAAGTTGGATGATAGTCATGTTAGGTGTATGCATGCAGAATATGAATAGTTATGATCGCGATTGAATACAATTGTGTGTAGATGTGACAAACAAAGAGAACACTAACTAACCTCGACTAACCCGCGTTTCTGCCAAAGAGGGTGATGTAATTTCGGTGGCATTCGTCTGTCTTTGACTAGTAGTTATGGCTCTTACTGATTGAGCAGAGTGGCTGTCACTACTATCACTACTGCTATCATTACAGCTGCTATCACGAGAGGAGTGGTCTGAGAGATCTGTTTCCTCTGTGTTTTCCGAATATCTTGAAGAGGAGCCATTCACTTTATGCTCGACGCTGACTGCTCCGTTTACAGAAGCAATATTTGTGACATCTTCATTTGAAACCTCCAACGCCACCAAAACTGGTGGCATTTCCGTTGAGGCAATAGTTGCTGTGTTAGTCGTTAAGGGTTCATTAGTGCTGTTGCTTTCGAGGATCTTCTTTGCAAAAGTCAGAGCTTCTTCCCTGTCCACTTGCTTCAACAACCGGTTGGCTGCCAGCATCTCTTCTTCCTGACGCTGCAACTCACTTTCATCGGTCGCTGTGTTGACGATGGTCGTTGTAGTGGCGACAATACTAGTGGTAGAGGCGATGGTTTGTAAGATTAATTCATCCTGATCCTTATTTGTGGTGGCATTAAGTTTCCTTTAAAAAAAAAAAAAGCATGAATGGGGATGAAACCGATGTAGAGTCAGATTAAGTCGTAATAGTGGAATGAAAACATCTCTTCTTCGTTAATAGGCTTCCGCGACAGTGCGGAATAAATTGTTCATGGCATTTTTTGTCACAAGTTCATTCCAAATACTTTTGCCCTTCCTGCAATGTAAAACATGTGCTTCAAAAAAAAGGACGAGTCACACGAGATGTCTTGTTCATTTATTACCTTTTCTTTGTCTTGACAGCCATGAGCAAGAAAAAGACTAACCAGTGTGCCCTAGGATGGATCGGGAGAATTTAGGATGCGTGTATGTTTCGAAGGTGAATTTTGTCAGAAGGTAAAATAAAAAGAAGAATTGACAGCCAGTGAATGAATTAAACTCTTTGGATTGTAAAAAAAAAAAAAAAAAAAAATGAAAGAGGAAGGTTAAGAAAAGCTGTGCCTACAAGGACACAGGGGCAAGCGGAATAAAGAAAAAAAAGCTTTGCCAATCGTTAAAAAAAGTGTAGGAAATAACAACCGAGGGAAAACCCAATTGTCCGTATCAATGGATTTTTTTCCTTCCAAGGCAGAGGAGCACTTAAAAATAAAATAAATAAAATAAAAAAGACACAACCTAATAGCACCACTAAACTAACACAAACAATCGAATTAAGATGGAGAAACTAAATGAAAACAATGAATCGAATGGAGAAAAAAGAAAAAAGGAGTGATAGAATAAGAGCCAAAGATAACGAGATGATGCCATCGATAAATCCTCAGACAGAAGATATCTGAAAAATGAACAAGCTCTGATAGATTGCTGCGACTGTCCTGATGGGATAACGGTAGCTGATCTCAGGCAGGTCCAGAGCTGGAATTTCGAGAAAGTCCAGAAATATGGTCCAGAGATGGCTTTGAAAGATGAATCCAGATATAATCCTGGTTCCAAGTAATTCTTGCCAAAGTACACTAAAGTATCGCCTTGAAAAAAAAGAGTCTAAGATCGTCTGGGAATAAGGGAAAAGTATTGGATGAAGTCCAAGCGGAGTAAATAGGAAGGAAAAAAATAAGAAAGAGGAAGAAAAGTAAAGAGAGAATAGGTGTAGGGAGCAAATTAAAAATGAGAAATATGTGTGGTGGCGATTGGGATCATAAGGAGATGCAGTAGTGATTTTTTATTTGTTGGCAAAACTCATTGTCTAGGAAGCTCACAATGACGCTGGACTGCTCGAACAATCACTATTCCTTTTCCCCGCTATACCTTTCTACTTTTTAGTGGAGACCATATCACCATCTTTTATTTATTTGATTCGATCTCGTCATACGCGACTTGTCATTTAAAGAAAGAAAAGGGTTGATGGAGCTGAGAAAGTGAGAAAGTGAAAAATGTAACCATGCTTACTTGTAATCATGGTATAGATTTACAAGGAACAGGCGAACCTTGATAATCTCATCCATCATTCTTTTCCCGAAAACTTAGCCCTTAACTTGTGTAAAAGCCATCTAAAGCTAAAAAAAAAAAAAAAAAAAAAAAGGTATCGTTGTGCCGAACATAAATATCTGAGTGAGAATAGGAGAGGAAGGAGAGGAGAGAAAGAGGGCTCATAGCACACACTTGTAAGTACACTTGTAACATCCGTAATAACAATCAGCATGAGGACGGGACAGCAGAACAAGCATTATTTGAATTCATTATGCATGGTCGCATTTTCAGCCTCCCAAAGAGATTACGCCGAGCCCATGCTTACCCTCTCACCCTCTCATATTTTAGTCCGCAAGAACAAGAAAAGGCCTGAACCTTGGATCACTATTGATTGACCTATTGACACAGAATTTGGAGGATATCTGAACAAGAAACATTCGAGATATACAAAGGATGTTGTGCTACTTTAATACTCGCAGTGTAGGCTGTACTATATGCTATACCGACCGAGAAATAAGATAAGGTCAAAATAAAATAAAACAATTGGTATTTTTACAGGGTGCTTCGGAAAGTCTTAAAAAAGGTAGCCATAAAATCATTACTTCCTCCACTATAATCTGTTTCGCCAACATGGCTTCGAACTACTCCGCTATCGGGACCACCTGCCTTGCTGTTGTCTTCATTAGTGCCCAGACACCATGAACTATCTCGAACTTGTCCGATCCGCCATCGCTCCTCAGGTCGACATCTAAACATATTTCTTAACAAATTCAGTGCCTCTGCACTGCACCCCGTCGGTTCTTCATATCGTCCGTTCAGAATATGTAGACGCAACCTCGGTTCATATTCATCTTGGAACGGTAATCGCCCTGTAAGCATCGCATACAAGACCACACCAAGTGACCACACATCCGACTGAGGACATCGCAGTGGCTTGTGACACCGTAATTGTTCTGGCGAGCTGTAGGCAAGCGACCCTCCTGCAATAGCGCCCTCCTCCACATCTTCTTGGTCACTATTCATTATTGGATCTCCTCCTTGCCCTTCACCTTGATCTCCCCCACAAGACGGCGATGGCTGCGTTAGCTTCAAAGTCGATTCACGTCTTGGTAGTGTAAACAATGTATCGCCAAAGAGTTCCGCAGCTTCTTCATCTTGATACTCTGCTAATCCGAAATCGCATATCTTCCAGGCTCCACTCTCATGCTGCAAAATATTATCTAGCTTGATATCCCTATGAATAATTTTCTTCTCTTCATGCAAGTATCTGACAGCATCTGCGATTTGGTTGAAGATACTCCGCGCATGCTCTTCGTCCAAACCTGAGGGCTTGCTAGAACCTGAAGGATAAATCGCTGCTATTGATGTGAATCCCTGCTGCTGCCGTTGTTGCTGATGCTTTGTCAAGTAATGCAGGAGGTGCCCACCTGTACACAACTCACAAAAGATAAATATTCCTGTTGGTAGCCTCTCGACCGCAATGAATGACAGTACATTTGGGTGAGAGATCTGACTCCAGATGGTAATCTCCTTGTTCAATGTTCTCTGGATCCGACCATGATCAGCTGTTCCTGATTGTATCTTCACGATTTTGACTGCAACTCGTCGTAGATCACTCTTACCATCAGAGGCCTGAACAGTTGTCATGTCTGTCATATACGCCTCGCGCACAACTGAAAACCCTCCATAGCCAATCACTTTACCCAAGATATAATCTCCTATGATGGACCCCTCTTCATCTGGCGCTGGCTCCGGTACTGTTGCATCCGCTAGACTGGAAAGAAAAGCGACCGCAGGGCTATAGGGAAGAGAGCTATATGATGACGATGTGATCATGGGTGTTGATGCTGGTGTGGATGGATAGTTGGAAGATGATGGATGAGACGAGAAAGACCGAGCCCTGGAGAAATGCGATGGGTGTGAAGATATAGATGTGGGATAATTAAAGCGATTGATAGGAATACCGGGAGTACTAAACGGACGGCTACTACCGCTACCACTGTCATTGCTAAGTTCTCTGTTACAATCAAGTCTTTCATGTTCTTTCAAATTATCTTCGGGGCCAAGCTGTAGTTGTAAATCTACATTATGGCCACCATCAGAAACCACGGTGGTGTGTGAGGACGGTGATGCCTTGTTAAAAGCCATACAACTCTGCCTTTGAGCGGATGTTGATGGTGTTGTAAAAGCCGCACTTTCAAATCGTGATGGTAGTGATGGCAATGGCTCTTTGATTGGTATAGCAGTCGGTATGGAGAATGTTGGACTAGAAGTTGTGGATGTGAATGGTGACGATAGCAAGGGTGATGGTTGGACAGACGAAACTATTGGTGGAGGAGATGACGGGGAATGCGGTAGTGATGGTACCACGGATGTAGTCAACCAAGGCTCTGTGTGGGTATGGAGCGTGCTATTGGTGGCCTTGTCCTTGCTTAGGTCAAGGGAAAGTTCTCTTTTGACAACATTCGAGCCTTGTGTCCATGTAAGCCATTCCCGAGCTTCTTTTTCTTTTGATAGCGACTTCCTATTTTGTTCAATAGATGGTGGTGTATATGGGTCGGTGTTATCAGTATAATGATCATGGATAGTAGGAAGTGTGCTCTGAAGCCATCGCCACTGCAAACCGGAGGGTGATGTGTCGATCGGGGATACCATCGGTCGACGCTGCTGATATCTTGTCTTGTCTTCTCCGTCGCCTGAAACGTCTGTGCCTAAATTCGCTCTCCCGGTCTTGCTCTGTGATACATCAGTGTCCAAATAAGAATTTTGTTAGACTTAAAGACGTAGTAGGAAGATGAAGTCCAGGTGAATGAATGCTCAAGCAAACTGACCTGCTCTATCACCTTCATTGCACCATCCTCGTTTCCTGTGGATGTAATTGAACTGTACTGAGCACAGTTTGGATATGTTGGGTTGAACACTAGCCTTTCAGGCTCACTTCGCTGTCTATGTTGATAACATGGCACTTGTTCAGACATCCAATCATGAGATATATCTGTAATAGTAGCTCCTAAAGAATCATTGATTGGTGAAGGCAATAATGATGATAGAGAGGGGAATTGAATACCAAGTGTAGAGGCCGTAGAGGTTGTAAAGGAATAAACAGGGTTCATGGGGTTAATGCCAAATGTCGTGAGCAAGGTCATTATCATTGGTTCCTATGAAGATGTTGCCAATACCAAAATTGTTTGTGCTGTCATCGCCAGAGCCATCTACGGTTTTGCATGCTTGTGTAGCCATCAATAGAGGATTTGGGTCTGATTAGTGGATTGAACGGGGCAATATTTGGTTGCGGATGAGGTTCAGAATACAATAGGAAATTGGTCGAAAGAAGAGAACAAGATCGAGAAAAAGAATTTACGAGAATATTAAGACAAGCTAACGAAAGGCGCAAATGTTCGGCCTGCACAAATCACTGCCAAAGACAAAACAGGTCTGCTGATCCATTTTATAGACCATTGACCGCCCTCTCATCGGTTAATGTTTGTCACAAACGTTGCCACCAAGAGATGCTGTCCGATGTTTATTAGCTAAAAGTCAAAGGGTATGAATGAGGCTCTGATTGCATAACTACAGCATTTCAAATGACGTTCATCTTTACTTAAAGATAAGGACACATAGAAACATGACCTATTGGTTAATATCATCATTAACGTCATGTTGGATGTAATTACATGTGGCTGTCTTGGTTGATGCCCTGATACATGTCATCGATTCATTCAGTCAAGTTGTCTTAGATTGAAAATTGTATTGGCAAATCATATTTTACATATAATGGACTATTGTACATAAAAAAACATCAAAACCGGAAAAGACTAACATTTGCGTAAAAAAAAAAAATAAAAGAAATATTAAGAGGAGGCAGAAACACCTTCACTAGCTGCGCGCACAATCTCTCGCTCAAATCCACCTCGAACAGTGATACACGTGGGACCAGACATCATGTCTGCATCACCATCTGTTGCTGTCATGGTCGAATCACCATCGGTTGTATCAGAAGCTGCTGCGGCTGACAAGAGCATATCCTCAGAAGCTCTCATACGCCTATGACCGCGAGGCGACCGATTGTGGCGTTCCTCGGAATTGACTGTGTACTTGACAGCGTCAATCAAGTTCTTGGGCAGCATCGTTTCCAGTTCATCCATCGTGACAGTGTTGAAACCAAGATCACCAAGGATTTCAGTGTCAGAGATAATGCTCAGTTCATCTTGCTGAGGAATTTGGATCTCAACCATGGTTATTTCCTGGCCAGTTGACTCACAACGACGTTTGCTCTTGGAGCTATAGATGGATATTGATAAAAAGAAAAAAGAATGTTTTAGTTTAAGGTCATCTAAAGGAAATTTATAAAAAAAAAAGAAAGCATGCCAAATTACATACCCTCTCTTGGGCTTCTGTTCTTCGCGAACACGGCGTACAACCGAAATATTCGATTCAGAATCAGAGCTCTGGCCAGCATATCCAGGCATACGCACCACAACCATAGGCAGAGGAAGTCTCTCCTGCTCCCTGTCACGCCTGCGTTGTGCTCTTCTCTCCTTGCGCTCACGTCTTTCGCGTCGCTCCTGTTTGCGTCTCTGTCTGGCTTCTTCATCCTCTTCTTCTATATCTAAACCGTTTGCATCAACACCATTGGCAGTAGCATCTCCAGAGGTATGACGAGGAGACCGATGACGTCGGTGACGCTCTGATCGACGTTGCACCTCTTCATTGAGATCACTTGAGCCCTGTGGTCCTACATCGGTCATGGCTTGGTCTTCATCCGTGGCTCGAGCACGCCTCTCCTTCCGTAGTCGTCTACGCTCTGCACGCTCCTCTTCTTTAGCTTCCCTCCGCTTGTTCCGTTTCACAAGATTCAGAACTTGCACATGCTGTGATGGTTATACAAAACAAAAGATTAAGGTGAAGAATTAGTATTCAAAATTTATTAAAATTCAAAATTCAAAAATAAAAAATAAAAAATAAAAAATAAAATAAAATAAGGACTTACTCGTGTGAGTTGATCTTGAAGTTTAGCCTGTTCAAGCTCAATCTCCAATTTCATGGCATCAACTTTTTTCTGTGATAAGAAATGAGATACAAAAAGCACAAAAGGTTAATCAGGGTTCATTTAATAATGCCTCATGATGCGACAGGGCCATTTTTTGCTCTGGAGATCAGTACCTGAAGCTTTTCAATCTCCATTTCATCATCTTCTGGTTCTTCACTCTCATCATCTCCTCCATCCTCAGGTGGACCACCATTTGTAGTCAAAGTCGCAGCAGCTTGACAACTTGTCACTTCCTGAACAATTGGAGACTCTTCAATACCGACCCAGCGGATGTCTTTGTTGTCAAAAATAATAATACCCAAAGCCTTCAGAACATTGAGAACATCATACACGCGTCGACGGATATTCTATACAAGAAAATATGTTCCGTAAAAGTGTCTGGATGTTAGATTCGGGTGTTGAAGCCATATATCAATTAGGGAGAAAAATGGGGTTTAACAGAGGACATTCTGAGCTGTGCATAAAATAGAATAAAAATAAAAAAATAAAAAAAAAAAAACGGGAATGTATGTTGACATGCATGCCATTGGAAACAGGAGGGGGGGAGGTTTGTTTTACCTCTTGTTCTTTCTCAGTTTGTGCTGTGTCTACATTTCCTCCTTGTTCAGCAACATAAAGTTCTTGTACAAGCTAAAGAAGAAATCTACGGTTAGCATACACATGTTTTTTTTTATCCATTTTCAAAAGCGAGACGGTAGACAAAAGAAACAAGAGAGATAATTGACTTACCTCACTGTAAAGTGTGGAGCCCAGGGCTTCAACTCGTTCATACACACGTTGTGCAAATGCACGGAGTCCTTTCTCAGACTGTGACCCACTCTTAACTTGCACCTCATCTTCAATTCTATAGTTTAGTAATACATGTAAAGAAAGTATGGTATGGCATGTGGGATGAACAAAAAAGATCTGCGCAGGAGGTGTCACATCGCATCTTGTACTTTTATGCTTGCATTTTTAGGTGCATGATCTCCCCCCTCCCAAGAACATGAAAAAAGGAGTGAAAAAACTAAACTTACTGATCAATGACTTCCCCCATGTTAGTCGGGAAAGAGGCGCGGCGAGGACCTCGTTTCTGCGGCTTCGTTTTGGCTTTTTTTGCCTTGGTAGCCGAAAGTGATCGCTCATCTCCATTGACGCTTCCAGAATCGCTCTGTTTACGACTACTAGGATTTGATGTCAAGTGACTTCCTTGAGCGTCTTCTTCTCCATCATCTTCTGTTTCGTTATCGACACTGCTCTTTTTTATGCCTCGGGAAGGCGATGTCTTCCTAAAGACCGGTGGTCGAGTATCCATACCGGATACTTTTTGCTTCTTGGCCCGGTTGTCCATCATAGCGTAATCATCTTCACCATGCTCTTCATTCACTTCTCTTCCTTCTCTAATGTATCTATGTTCACGCTCATGAACATCGTCCCGCTCAGAGCAATGCTCCATCTCGTCTTCACGAAGGTCATACTTGCCGCGTAAGCTGCTAGCAATCGTATGTCCGAAATGACTTGGTTCCCGGTAGTCAAAAGGGGATTCTGTAAAGACATGTGGAGCTGAGATAGGAGTGCGGAGGTAGGAGCCATGAATCTGCACAGATCGGGGTGTTGCAGGCGATATCCTACTGTCTGCACTACGGTACCCGGATGTGTAGCCCGAGCCACTGTGGTAAGAGAAGGGTGGACATCCACGCGACATGTCGTCGGTCCACTTTGTCTGAATGGGCGGGGGTTTTTGATGGGGCATAGTCTCTTGCCGCTCGGTTGATTCGCGATGTGAGCTGTCTGGACGTTGATGATGATGCTGTGATAATGGCCTCTGATGAGTATATGAATGGTCTTGTGGATTTGTGTAGTAATTTTGCGTCGGCACCGATTCTTGTGAGTGTGCCTGTTTGGAAGCATGATATGAATGTTGATACTCATCAGAGTAATGACGATGATGCTGTAAAAGAAACGGTCGCTGTTGATCTCGATGCGACCTATGAGAAGGTGTCATGGGGTACGAGTACTCTGGCAGATTACTGCTGATGTTACTAAAGCCGTTGCTATTGTGGTTGTTAGTTCTTGGTATTGTGTCGTCGTAACTGTGTGAGTGAGTGTATCCGCTGCTTTTTGAAGTAGGTGAAGGGCCAGGAGGAGCCTGATGAGAGTGGGGGTTTTGCCGAGGAACGGATGGAGGATAATAAGAAGAGGGACTTGGTGGCTCATGATGGGGGTGAACGTATCTTTCCTTGTCGTAGGCAGGAGATCTGGCAAAAGTACGAGGGAGTGAATCTGCAGGTAGTGACGATGAGTAAAGATAGTGGCGTTGTGGTGCAGGAGGAAGGTGTGAGTATGTAGACTGTGGCTCTCCATAATGTGATTGAGAATGTTGTGAGTGGAAATAGCTAGATGGCGATTCGCTAGCGTCTACGGGCGAGTGTGCAGCAGAAGCCGAGGCAACAGAAGCAGGGGGTGAGTGTAAGTGATTGAAGTTGTGGTTACCATGGCTATGAGTATTCGCGTGGGCATGGTTATGAGTACTCGCGTGGGTATGATGGGTGTGAGAGTGTGAAGGAACAAGAGAAGGATGTGAGCGTGAATGTGAGTGTGGATGACCAATGGCGCCAGCCTGGGCATGGAGCGCATGTGGATGTTCGGATATAGGACTTGAAGCCGAAGCTCCATTGGTGCGGTGCGTAGGTGTGGCGGCAGAACCGACGGGCGCGGCAGCACGAGGCGTGGAGGTAGCAGTAGCCGAGACGGTCATGAGCAACCAAATAGTGAGACCGATGGTTTAAAGTTGGATATGTGGATGTCTTTATGGATTGAAATGGTAGTGGAAATGTGAATAGGGTGTATAAGAATCTGCCAAGGATAAGAGAGCTTCAGGGTCGTGCTTATCTCCACTTCTGTAGACAAGCAAAGCGAGCCCTGCTTGTATCCGAATAGAACACGCTGTTGGGAGAGGTATGTCTAGGATCTGAGAGAAAAAACAAGCTGTGCAATGAACGTAGAAAGAAAAAGAAAAAGAAAAAGAGGAGGAAGGGGGAGGAAGATATTGGGTTAGATAGGGGTGTATGCCATGCAGGTTAGGACGAGGATATGGAAACGAGGATAGGTGAGAGAGAGTGAGAGCGTTGCGGAGGGGTTTAAGTGAGGATGAATATGGACAAAAAAAGGAGACAAGACGAATGTGGTTTTATTTTATTTCAAATGAGGACGAACGAATGCACAAGAATGAATGTATATGAATGGGGATGTGAATGGATTAATGCAATGGCAAATTGTAAAGAAAAGAAAGATGAAGTGAGAGTGAAAAGGGGATAAGAATTTTTTTTTTTTTTTTTTTTTTTTTTCAGATGTGCATGGTATGCATGCCATTGCCATCCATGGGAGAATAAAGAGATGAGAAGCAAAAAGGTCACGGTTTTTTTTTTTTTTTTTTCATAGTGGGAATAAGAAAGGGATGGTACAAACTGTTAATGTGAACCATCACAAACAAACAAAAAAAAAGTTTCTCTCCAAAGCATGGTCGCATGGACATGGCCTACGAATGGTCAAACGCTGAAGCATGTTCCATGTTACATGCTATTATTATTCATTTTGCAAAAAAAAAAACTACAATGCCAATGCTGCAGCATGTACTACAACATGCCATTAATGAAGGGGGAGTCTATCTGAGTCTAGAGGCCTAGCGCAAAAAAAAAAAAAATTAAAAAAAATGACCGAACAAAAAAAAAGGGCCGACCAAACGAAAAAGAAAGAACCAGTTACACAACGCACACGTTCCCATAGACATCACCATCAAAGAACAAAGAAAATGAAAAAGGGCGAAAGTGAAGGAAAAAAATGGACAAAGAAAACTACAGTGAAGTATGAACGCATGGTTGTGCTTAGCCAATGCGGTAGAAAATGGGGCCTGTGTGTAGCGTGCATTTGTTTTTGCGTTGTTGCTGGCCTGATAGAACATGCTGTGTGTATGCGTGTAAGTTCAAAAAAAGAAAAGGGATCCCGTTGGTTGCGCATTGTGCATGGTTCATGGTGCATGGGGAAGGGAATGGGGAGAGGGAGATTCCACGGTTGTCGCCCTTTACCCTCTGTTGTTGACATGCGGATTTATTTATTTTTGTCAATTATATATCCCATGCCTCTCCTTTTTTTTTTTTTTTTTTGCCCCGCAGACTGCTGCATACGAAGCGGGACGGAATTCATTGTTTGCATATCTCGCATACTCGCATTGTGTACACTGTACAGCAGAAACCTTAGTAGTAGAAACCTTAGACTGTACCGCACAAATAGACGATATCGTGGATAATTGATGCGATGCATTGGATATGTTTATATTTCATGGCTTGCATCGTGAGGATAGCAGGGTCGGTAGGATGAGTAAAATTGTCAATCTTTCTTTCAAAGTCAACCATCTCCTCCTTCCCAATGTGTTTGCTCAAAGAGGTTTAACGCTCTCTTTACTGTCTTTCGAGATGTTATCATCTTCGGAACGAACCCATAAAAGAAAAAAAAAAGAGATGAGGGGGCGAGAGTGAGGACACGCGCGCAGTGGACAGTAAGAGTGCCTTGGAGGAAGCGGAGCAATTAAAGAAGATGTATTTAGCCCAAAGGATTCGGTTCATTGGATAGAAACCATGCCTTGGGAAGCTGGAAAGGAAAATGTATAGGAAGAATGTGCGAATAGAACAGCGAGTAGAAGTTGCGTTGAAGGATCTTTTTTTTTGTTGTTGAATCACTAGTCTGCCAAAATAGTCCACAGGATATTTGTCGTTACCTGTCCGCGTTTCCTTTTCTTATTTGGTCGGAATAAACAAGGAGAGAAGAAGAAAAAAAAGAAAGACACCAAGCAACAACTGTTGGGGATGCAGAGCAAGAAAAGTAAAGTTGGACAGAACGAGTGAAAAGAGACAAGAGTAGAAGGAAGGAAAAAGGAGAAGAGGCGAATGGAATTTTATAATTTTTTTCAAGCATCGGACCATGAGCATGCGAATGTACCTTTCATACAGAATAGGGAAGTAAACAAAAAACTAGCCTCGCAGTCCTTGCTTGAACTTCCAAACCCAAACCCAAAAAAAAAAAACCACGGCAGTATAACCTTGAGTGTTATATCCAAAAGGGGGGACTGTAAAGCACATACCATGGGATTGTGGACATGGGTTGGGATCCAAGGGAAATGCATGGCAGTATATTGATGGAAGATTATTCAGAGAGGCGAAGCGCTTGCTCTACACCTTAATCATGATCCCTTTAAAGCGCGAAATACAAAAAGAGCAAAAAGGGGAAAAAAAAAAAAGTCAAGTAATGTCTACAGTGACCATCACTCCACTTTTTTTTCAAAGTCATGTATTCATAAATTGTAAATACCGTACAATATGTAGATGCCCAAGTAAGTTATAGCATCAAGACATGTGGCCATGGACAGGTCCGCGGAGAAGGTGAGACAATATTCATAATATAAACAGGACCTGGAGCCTTTTAAACGATTCATGCGTAACCATACTATTCCTTTTAAGCCCCAGCATGAACATTGAATATAATAAAACAATATTCTGTCATTCCAATACAGTGCAGACAGTTGGGTTGTTTTTGCCTGCTTTCTTAAAAGGGCTCATCTTTAATAGGATTTACAAATATTTGTTTAGATCCAGCTTATTCTATTTTATTCCTGCAAATTGCTTGCGGTGGCGAGCCAAAACAAATCGTTTGCTGACCTGTTGAGTCCATTGATTTCCCGTCGGTGCACGGATATCCAGCTCTCATTTGTTTCATCCCCAGAATACAAGGATGATGCTCACCGTTGATCTTTTTATTCTCTCTTTCACTTTTCATTCATTTCACTTTCTCTTTTTCGCTTAATTCTGCTATTCTTCTTTCTTTCTAGCGATACGAGGGTAACTTAGCAGCTTGAATGTGCATGTGATGTGATACGGAGTAATAATAATGGATCGGGGTATAATAGGACATGCGCCATTTTTGCTATGCGTGGCATCTGTCATACTCGACCTTGATGAATTTAACACTCCAATCAGAGTACATACAATTCGCTTGAAAAGGTAGGGTTTGTACCAACTATCAATCACTCCCCGCCTTTACATTTTAGCTTCTATACAGGAAACAAACTAAAGGAAAAAAAAGGGGGAGAGTGTGAGGAAAAGGAGAAGGAGAGAAGGGAAAGGAGAAGGTTAAAAGTATAAATTCAAATGAAGTTGCCGATAAAGAATGCTGTGCATGCGCATCAAAGATATATACTTGAAGGTTAAGAAGAACAGTAAGTAGACGGGCACATTGGCATGTTCATGAAGATTTAAAACTTTCCATCTTACACATACTTCTTTCACTCTCTTGGTTTTGTTTACATGATGAGGTAAGCACAGCTTCTTCATCGAATCGTTTGTTTGATTGAGCGATGCGCATTGGTCAGTCTGAAGGTTTATCTCATCCTATATGATATGCACATCGTGAAGTAGTGAGCAAGATGTTTACCAGGAGTCTTTTCTATCCTTTTCTTTTTCCATTTCTGTATTCTATGACATCGATCTCCCCTTTCTTGTCTCACATGCCACATGCCATACGCCACATGTTTCCTCAAATCTTAATTGCAACCGCTTTCTTCTTTCCATAAATCTCATTGATATCCACTGCGGACTAGCTGAGGAAGAAGAGAGACGATAACCTCGATTTGTCTGTCCATATTTGGAGAAATCCTTGGTTATTGGCAGTAAGCAATGTCAATTTTGCGCGACCACCTTATCAATCTCCTAAACAAGGCTGGTAGCTTTCCCCCCCTCCCCTTTTTTTTATTCCAGTTCATACACTGCAACTTGATGTTATAACAAACTGCTTTCATCAACTGTCGTGGTCTTGATATCTGGGCTCGAAAGGGCTTCTAGCGATTAATTTAGAAGCGCGAGGAGTGGCTTACCTGATGGATAAAGACTAATACAAATACCATGGCCCATGCGTGCGAACTATTTGGGCTTGATGCTTGATGAGCTTACTGAGCTTGATGACATGGTTCCGTCTGCTTGATATACTCAATTTCATCCCTCTTCTCTCCTCGCATTTGTTACTGAAATGATGTCGTCGATTTCACAGTGCGCCACATCCTTGACGCGTAATAATATCAATAAAAGAGCCAAGAGCAAAGCCCAAAGAGAGCAGCACCATTTCCGATTTTTCCATGCCATGCGATGATATACATTTCGGAACCAAAGCCATGCATTCTTAACAATTCTACAGCCCACAATTTCTCTCGACAATCCTTTCCCTGCATCGCCCAACTCTTCATTTGCCCCCATCCTCCCTTGCCCTTGCCCAATCCTTTGCCCAATCCTTAGCCCTTGCTTCTGCTTCTGCTCCTGCTCTTGCCACTCAAGGCGCCTATCCCATCCATCATTGCCATTCTTTCTTTTTCTTTTTTTCTTATCTTTCCTCGTAACGCCTTCTTATTCCTTAACATACACCTATTGACCTTGGTCTTGACAGAAAAAATAACAATAATGATTGCAAACAAACAAGCAGGTACTTTCAAGAACAAGCAATTGCAGCATGGCATGGTAGCATGGTAGCATGGCTCAGAATGAAGAATGACATTAGTGCTTTATGATCACTTGAATCAGCTTGACCAACACTTTATTTCATTTTTATTTTGTTTGAAAGAGCGGGTTGGACAGGAAGATACTCCTGTCACATCATTACGATTTCTACTCCTTGGTGATGTAGGAGTAGGAAAAAGTTCATTTATTGACACGTTCATTTCAACACTTGCCAACATTCACTCTAATGAGACACTTGAAGAGTTCATTCCTAAGCCAGCAACAGCGACCTCTTATCTGTCTTCATCAGTCTCATTGAGTCCACCCGCTATCTGTCTCCCAGTGATTCAGGTCAGAACAGCGCACACTCTTCAGCACAAAACAGAGGCAGCTCGACCAGGAGAGGGTCTTACTCATGACCCACTCGGCTTATTACCGCCCAAGATTGAGATTCCTTCAAGAGAAGTGCGTTTCGTAACATTACCAGGCTATTCTTCCACAACGAACCCTTCCTCGATCTTGTCCATGACAGATGACTATCTCAATCACCATCTACAGACAGCAACGTCTATTTTTGCGCCTTCTATATCTTCATCGCAATTGGCCTGGTTTCTGATTGCAGGTTCCGGAGCTCATTCACTTCCAACATGCGCATTTTATTTCGTACTCTATGAACTAAAGCCTATCGATATCCTGTATATGAAACTGTTTCATGAACGCGTTAATCTGGTCCCTATCATCACAAAGTCAGACACACTCTCAGAAAAGGAGCTGTGGATTCTGAAGAAGAGAATGGTCCGACAGCTCAAGTTGAACGGCATCATTTTTCATACATTTGGCAAGGACCTTGCAACAGTGGAGAAGATGATTGAGCAACGTCAGTGGGGTGCTGCACCATTCGTTGTTAGTACGCGTCGTGACGCAGATGGTAACTTACTCAAGAGTGAGTTGGAAGCATTGGTGAAATCTTGTCTTTATGAACGTTTTCGATACTCACAAGAGGAAGCAGCCCACAAAGTTATTACCTGGAGGTAAGTAGATTACATAAAGTAGAAAGGGTGGGGGGGGGGGGGAGATGGAAACAAAATCAAACAATAGACCTGTCGAAAGATGGCAGAACGGCGCGCTCATCAATTGTTTATTATTTTTTGAATTGTTTGAATGCAATTTAGGAAGGCTTTTGGACCCTCGAGATTTTCTTTCATCACCACTCCGGAAAAGTTTTGGGGTACACAAGGGTTATTAAACGCATCAAACGCATCAAACGCATCAAGCGCATCAAACGCATCAAATATGGAAACACCATCAGCTGCAAAACCAAAACCATCAGCGCCATTTCCAGAACCAGCTCGGAATAGTCATTGTATTGTTGAATCTGATGTTGGATATACCCCATCGCCTCAAACTCCAACTCCGACTCCAGCTCCGTCTTTGCCTTCACCTCCGCTAGTACAGAATCATGTTCTAGATGCAAACAATTTTGCAACTGGATTCCATGCCAGTGTGTCAACGGCATGTACGAGTCCAACTTCACCAACCTTCGCACCAGGAAATGGGATGCTCGCATATCTTTCCCCGTCGAGTTCTGCCGCTAGTCCTACGATGACATACGTGCCCTCAACCACATATACCTCACCAGTCTTGAAGTCTATGGAAGAAAATGCGGCTGCTCAGGCCCGTTTGAGCCTAATCCAACAATCGACCGGAATGGTTGTGGACAGTTCAACTCGTCCGAATGTCATCATGGATGACAAGAGTAAGAATACTGTTCACGCACCCACATCAGAGACCTCATATATGGGATCGTACATGCTACCGCCCTCAGCAGCCGATGGGTAAGTGTTCTGAGCCTTGCAAATTCAACTTATATGATAGACTCTCGATATCTGCAAACATTGTCATGACGTATTAATTTTCTCTTTCTTTTTTTTTATTTTTTATTACGTTTTAGATCTGAAGTCAAGGTCGAAATCCCATTCACTGCAGCATCCTATCAGCCAACAACGAGTGATAAAGGGGCTGATTCTACAGTTCATCGAACATTTCAACAGACCCAGATACAACACACATCGTTCATTCAACCCATCAGTTATCCAGGCGCTTTCCTTATTGCGCCTTCAGCATTATCTCCAACTTCTCCTAATGAGATCACGCCGGGTATCTGGGAAGCTGTGGAGATGGGGGATGTAGCGACTATTCAGCGTCATTTGAACAATGGAGCTTCTCCTGACCAGCGAAATAGTTCGCAATCAACACTGCTTCACAGGGCAGCATGGCAACTCACCAAGCCTTATACAGTCATGCACCTCTTGATCTCTCATGGAGCAAATGTCAATCTCACGAATGCTAACGGCAACTCCGTGATGCAGAACGTGTTGATGAAACATGATGATCCAGCATTAATCAAGTTACTTCTGGACAATGGGGCCGAATCTACGACACTAAATAACGAAAATATGAATACACTGGTGGTGGCGGCGCTGTTCAACCGAATCGAGTCTGCGAAATATTTGCTTGAAAATGACTTGGCCTCTTCCGAGCCCGAGACTATCCATAATGCAATGCAGCGTGCACAGAGTGCGGATAAAAAGGCTATGCAGGCATTACTCAAAAGCTGGCAGGGTAAAAAAGGCGAGAAGAAGCGTGCTGAACTGAAGGAACGACTCCGAATAGCTAATGGAACTGGAACGGGAACAGGAGCTGGGGGAAGCTCAAAGCCACATCATACACAATCCCCGAATCACAGTCAATCTCAATTGAACTTGCACCAAAGAACGTTTAGTCAACATCACAATGGTGATCAGGTATATATCTCAGATGGGCCTAGTGTTGAGAGCTTTGATACGAGCAAAGGAGGGGATGGAAAGTACGTTCTTTCTTGGTTGTATCATTTGATAGCAATGATTAATGTGGGAAAAAGAACAAAAGAAAACTTGTCCTTCGGTGAATTTAAATCAATTTTATTGACGTACCTCTTTTTTTAATGCGATGAATTAGCGAAGGGTCAAGTAAAGCCAGTTCTTTACACCAAGAAGGTATAGCTTGTATTTCAAATGATAAATACAACTGTCTTTTGTCTTTGAATTGAGAATGCAGTGCTAAAAAAAAAAAAAAAAAAAAATCTGTTTTTTAAGGCACTGAAATAGGGTCATCTGCAGGTGCTTCGTCTAGTACGTCTAGTATACCCGGAAGCACTCAAAGTAAGAACACGGCTCGATTTAATCTCAAGACAATGCGAGCTGCTGCTCCGTCCATGTCTAATCTTTTCACTCGGAAGTAATCCGCCATCTGCGCCCCTACAAATTGAAACAATACTGTGATTCATTCTTCCATATGCGTTTCCATTTTAATAAAATATATTCCGATTGCATGCATATTATTAGTGCACAGACCCTTCATTTGAAAAGGGGCAAATACACTTGCTTAGGTTGTCTTTGGGGGGACGCTTCTGGCTTAAACTTCATTCACTCTCATTCATTTGGGCAACCCCATTTCACAACTTCAAATAGTATCACAAAAAAAAAAAAGTTAACAAATAATAAAAAAAAAAAATGACAAGTCGACTCCCAATAAAAGGTCAGCAGGATGGTCCTTCAAGGAAGAGTCTCCTTCAACTGATCAGTGAGTTAAATGAGAGAAGTAATGACGAGAACAATAACATGAACAATGCCACAGACAACAGCAATGGCAATTCTAATCGCTACAGCGACGATATGAGTCCTGAGGCCAGTGAGCGAACGCCACTTTTACAGGCACACAACGGAAGCACATCATCAACACTTGCACCAACACCAGCACCGGCATCAGCACCGGCAGGTTCCCCCTATAGTCAAAGCAATAGCTACAACAACAATAGTGATGTGGAACAAGGCCTTAGTGGCACAGCTGTATCTCCTCAGATACCTACTGCAACACCAGCAGCTATAATAACAACACGTCCCCGTCAATGGAAAAAAATTTACTCCGACTCCATCGTGACCATTGGTCTCCTCTTACTATTGTGCTTCCTTACTGTTGCTATTGCATCATGGATCTCTCAAAGAGTCCTTGACAATGCCTTGATCCTCAACATTCAAAAGACAAGTATACATGATATGGATGACTCTGGATTCCAGATTGATATAAAGAGTGAAATCCTTTTGGATTCCTCAAATGACGGTTTCTTTGGTCTAACAGGCCTGGTCCAACAGGCATTCCATCCTACCGTGACCTTGCAGCCCACCACCTTGACATTAAGCACACCTTCCATGCAAAACGATATTTTCATGGCAGAATTCGATGTAGAGGAACAGCGAATGCCATTGGGTCAAAGCTTGCAACTTGATATATCTGCATATGTCCGTGTGACCAATTCATCACTCATGGCTGATTTCTTTAGCCGTACACTCCAACAATCAACAGCGGATTTGGTGATCCGTGGGCCGATTTATACTAAACTCGGTTTATTGTGGTACACGAAGCTGCGGCTCGACCGTGTCGTACCAATGGATGGACTTCAGGGTATTCAGAATGCAGCGCTGACTTCCATGGAGTTGCCTGAAAACAATCCACTAGGCGGGATATCTATGTCGGGCATTGCACGGATCCATAACCCATCCAAAGTGCTTTCGATGCAGATGGGAGCTGTTACGTTTGGGATTTATCTACCTTCAAAGACTCATCCTGAAGTAGATTTCTACCAAATCGCTGAAGTAAGCACATCTCAATTAGAGCTGAAGAGTCATCAGTCGAATGATATTGAGCTCTCGGGCCGACTCTTCCATCTTGACGACTGGCATAAGACAACGATGGGACAAGAAATAGCTCATTTTGGATCTATATCTGAAAAGCAACTGCTCCTAGGGCAGCTGTTATCGCGGTTCATTCAGGGCGATAACTCAACCATCCAAGTACGTGCCCTTTCCAAGGCCCCCAACGTCCCACCATGGCTCTCGGAGGTCTTTAAGAGTATTGTCTTGCAAATGATCTTTCCCGGATCACCCAACAAGGATTTCATCCAATCACTCGACATGAACGAGCTTGATTTTGGATTCTCAGACAATAAACGTCAGGCTCTTTTGAGTGGACAGTTGTCAAGTGTTCTGCAGTTGCCACCCAATGTCACTTTCCCCATCAAACTACTTCGAATGAAGCCAACTGCGTGGATCAAGGCACCGGGAGGCGATAAGCACATGGCGTCATTAGGCATCTCTGCTTTCCTACCGACAATCAGCCGACAGAATGGTGATACATTAGAAGTGTATTTGGATATGAAGCAAACGCCACTGGAGGTGGAGTCTGGCCAGATGGAAGCCTTCTATCAGTTTTTGAATTCATCCTTTACACAGGATTGGATTCATTTGGGTATTGTGGGAGAAGCAGTGGCAGAGGTCGAAACTGGGCTTGGCACATTTGAGCTTGGTCCTATCCCATTTGATGTTATTACGACTCAACGAGGTAATGATTCATTGCCGTTTTAAACTGTATTTTGACGATTTTTTATTTTTTATTTTTTTTTTTTTACTTTTTTATTTTATTTATCTAAATATACTTGTTGATCATGGATGGTTAGGACTTGGTGGTCTTGTGGGTGTGGCTCCATTGCTTGAAAAGTTGGATGTTATCGGTAGTTCAGAGAATTCTTTGACTGTCGAAGCCACATTAGTGCTCTGGAATCCTTCTAATATCAGTGCGACGCTTGGAGATTTGTCCTTTTTATTATCTCACGGGGGTTACATCATTGGAATGGCTACAGTCACGGATGGGCAAGTTCTACCGGGCAACAATACAATCAGGTGTATTGGTATCATGGACCCATCCATTGACTGTAAGCGCAAACATAGTCCCAACTGTAATATGGAGCCTGCGAGGAATGCGTCGCGTGAGTTCATTTCAAAGTATATCTCTGGTATGGCTTTTTTTTTTTTTTTTTTTTTTACGTGTTAATTCACTATCCCTGACCTCAAAAAAAAAAAAAAAAAAAAATCGATCCTACAACTAATAACTATACAACTAATAGGAGATAATACGACGACTCTTGACGTTCTGGGACATGCTAATTCAACTCACATTCCACTATTACAGCCTATGCTCTCTACGTTCACTATTACCTCGTATTTACCCGCGATTGAACAAGATTTCCTTCTCTCAGCGACAATGTACCTTCTCTCACACTCCCTTGTTCTCGAACTTCTCAACCCGCTTGATGCTATGATCACAGTCCTTTATCTGAATGGCACGGCCTTCTATAAGGATGAACCACTGGGTCATATCTTGGTCAATTTTGAACATGATATCGGCAGCCCGAAGCCAATCCTCATCCCTGCTAACGATCATCAGAACGAAACCTCGGGTTATGCCAGGACCCCTCGCTTACCCGTGACCCTTGAATTGTTTTCAGCTGGGTATGAAGCTCTGAGGAAGGCCTTGGGCGGTACATTGGAGGTCGATGTACTTTGCCATATAAAGGCCAAAGTTGGAAACATGCCAATGTGGGTCGATTTTTACAAAGACGGTCTTAGTGCCAACGTACGGAAGGGCTTTTAAAAAAAAATAAAAAATAAAATAAAATAAAAAAGGCTCCTGTAGTATGCTTATTGTTGTATAATATATTGCTATCTGATGATCTGTTTTTTTTTTTTTTTTTTTTTTTTGCTTTTTGTTTTAAACTATCCGAACAGACAGGACCTGGGTGACTTCTCTAACCACTCGACTCAGGATGATCAACACTGCTACGACCACCAACACCAAATCCATCATTAACAATGCACTCGCTTGCAACATAAACCTCGGTGCAAATACCTTCCACACCATCAGATGACGTCTAAACATTCCTCCGGTGAAAAACATGTTCGCCACCAGGACTAACGATTGGTGCATCATCATCATCAAACAAAGTCTTGTGAGCTCTGGGAACAACACAATCTTGCCTAACCTGTCAGCTTTTGGTGGCAACTTCCACAACACTACCAAGGGCAGTGCCACTGCACATATCAAGAACGGACCCAATGTATTCACAACCACTAAGATCGGTGAAAAGACGTAATTGAGCGTAGGCACTCCAATAAAGGCTGATGACCATTGAATGGATGATAATGTCGCTTGATGGCCCGTCGCAAAGAATAAGAGGTTGCCCATCAAGGATAAAACCACCGTTGGCAACAATAAATTCAGCGTTGGAGGCTGTGGATGCTGGGCCAATACCTCTGCCGTTACAGAATCTGAAGAAGACTCTTGACTATTTGCTGTCGCTCCCCCTCCTGTTGCTGCTTGTGCTTGTGCTTCTGTCTCGGCTTGAATCCTCTCCACAATCCCAAGTTGCCAGACCGCAAAATCCGCATCCCTCCAAATATCTACCATTTCGACCAAACATGCAATCTGTGCTAACCCAACTGTCAACACGATTACTCCTAAGGGCTTCTGAGTCAAAATTACGAAAAGGAACACCATCGTCAATGCCACAAAGTAACTAGCCCCAAAGGCGTTGGCATATCCATAAATATATACCCGACGTTGTGTTGCAGGCGCCGATGTCGCAGAAGACGATGCAGAAGACTTTTTGTTGTTACGTTTCGTAGCTGCTGCCGCTGTTGTTGTTGCTGAGGGGACATTAGAATCCACAGGAACATCCACAGTCTGGATATCCATACACAGAGGACTTGCCCACCAAGCCGCTGGGCCGACTAAAAGCGCAAATCCAAATGCAATCCGGACCAGAGTTGTTTTTGCCCACATGTACTTGCCCCCTTCCTGATTCATTTCAGCCATCAACGGATCAAACGCATTTCCTTCTCTTGCGCCCCTTGAGCCTCCAGTTCCGTCAGAGTCGACCAAAGCCTTTGTCCCTTCATGATCTAATACTGCATACAACGTCCCCAAAATGATTCCCAATCGGAGTCCATAATCAATCCATAGCAACGCAATTCCATTCATGGATTTCGTCATACTCAAGAGCCGGCGGATCAAATATGGCGTCACTGCTCCACTGGCTACCAAGGCTACTAGCGACCACTGTGATGGCACAGATTGTTGAGCAGATGCATAATACGTAGGTAAACACAGATCCCCTTGCTCTTCACGACAGACTGTTGATGCGGATAAGACCCGGGTCATGACCATAAATGACAAGGACAGGATCACGGCTTTTATCCTAGCTGCCTTGTTAGGAACTCGCAGTGAGAACAAAAGTCCAATAACCCCAAAAGTCTGCAAGAACCCAATTACGAATGTACTCTCGTGAACAATATACGAATTCGACGCAAAGATCAAACAGTTCACGAAAATGAACAGGCAAGCCAAGAATCCTGATAATGGTGGCCACCACCATCGCCGCCTTGATTTAGCAAAGCTAGTGAAGCTCCATGAGCCTTGCTTAGCCAACTCCTTTCCTTGCATGATCATACTCAGAAGAAATCCCAAGATGGAGAATGTTGCCATAGAAAAGATCATGATGTCGAGTAATCCCAAGGACGATTCTTGAACAGTCTGAATCTGAAGCAACAGAGGTTTCAGATGTCGTGATAGTGTAATACCCAAAAGTGTTCCGCCTGCCAGAAACTTCTCCAAGTTGGGAGCCATGCCCACAGATTTGAAGAGCGTGATATGAAGTAACAGACATAGACAACTCGCTAATAAGATCCCTCCACCAGCAGCCATCAGTGGCACATCAAAATGAGCCCAAATCCGCTTACAGGATGTCAATGAAGTTCGAAGGTATTCTGAATACAGTGTTAATGCTTCAACTAGTTGCTTTGTTGTTTGTCGGTGATGATCTTGTCCAGAAAACATTTCCTTCATGAATGTTTCTGCATGCTCAAACAGAGCTCCAAACTCGGTCTCCATGGCCAGTGCAATATCGGATGTCGGATGAAGCGCCCTATAAGACTGGAAATACGTCGCTACCTGAGCTGCATTCAGACGCATGGCCCGCAACAGATCCCGAATAGCTTGATCAGGGTTCTTTGCTGAGAGGAACAACTCTGGAATGACAGCTCCCAAGTTATTGAACGGAATGGGCAACCCCAAGAGTAAAGAAAGAGTTGGAACCAAATCAATCTGGGTCACTGTCCTGTAAACACGACCTCCAACCGGTTTTTTAGAGTACTGTAAGATGTCCTTGCCCAATGAGAACTTATCCAACAGGCCGCGGTTATTGACTAGCTTGCGTTTGGAATAAATCACTAATCCTGCCTCAACCTCATCATCACTGTCTCCACCATGATCCCCATGTCCATTCATACCGTGATCACCCATAATCACCACCAATGTATCGTCCGAGATACTTTGGATGACCTTCTCGATTTGTTCATTCATCTGAGTCAATTTGATTTCCATATGAGGGTCATCTGGTCCATATGTATGTCCACAGTGATCTACGCCCAAGAAATGAGCAATCAACAGATCCCACTTTGTAGTGTCTTCCAATGCGGGGCCCAATGCCTTCATAACACCATTATCGAGTGTATCCAGATCATGTGTATCAAATGATGGGAAGGCGTGTGAATTATTGACAGTCAAGACTTGTGGAAACAATCCTGTCCAGGTATCATCGCCCATGAACAAGATTCGATCCCGACCTCTTGAAGCCTCAAATTGAGAGAGCCAATTGTCCTCTTTAAGGGCCGAGGAGGCAAAGTTGGATCCAGCATCGATAATGGTCGGTAGTGTACCTGTGGTCAGGGCTTTGAGACGTTGAAGAGTTGTTGTTGGTGGGTCTGCTACGAATTGAAAGACTAGGGTGTTGTCGGGCTGCTTTTGGAGCAAGTTGTGGATCGCCGGCAATTTGTTGATATAATAGGGCTCGCGTTGATCATTCTCATGTAGTTCATGATGGGGCACTACAAAGCTATCCCAATAAAAAGAAAATAATTACTAAAGAGTTTTAGCTTACATTCTCTTTTCAAATAATAATAATAGTAATAAAGGCAGAAAGGGCGAGGAGGAGGAAGAAAGAGGCGGGGCGAATCCTTTCTGGAAACAAAACTTACTCGAACCGCAACGCGTCAATGACGATGATTACAGCTTTTTTGTATTGCTGTGGGTACCAGCACTCATTTCCATTTCCATTTGAATGAGTACGAAAGTATGCATCGTCATAGAAGGATTCATCCACTACAGTGTTGTTGCATTCACTTTTGGAATCCAAGACTGATCTGGAAAGGAGAAATCCTCGAGTGAAGAGATAGATGGCACCCACATGAATCAGCAGGACCCACAGTAATAACTTTGCAAGACGCGTACTTGGTAATCGTTCCTTATTATGTAGGTTTCCATTTCTTGTAAACCTTTGTCCTGGTCTTGGTGGTGGTGTTGCTGTTGATTCTGTTGTATTGGTAGTAGAACGCGATCTTATCGTGGTATTAACACTCTGGCCCTGCGGTTGCTGCTGTGAGGCCATGGCGTTTTTTATTTATGGGCTGACTGCCTCACACTTTGGAGACAATCGCTTATAGAGGAACGAAAATAAAAAAAATAAAAAATGATGGTGGTTGTGGGTGAAAGAATGGCAAGTATGCGAGTGAATGTAGAGGGGGATATAAGTTCTAAAAAGAATGAAAAAGAAACAGAGAAAGAGAGTTGACCTTGGAAAACGAGCGCTCACTTTATTTTTAAAAATACACTTCCTTATAACATCTTCCCACACTCTGCATCAATCTTCTCATCTTTCTTTTGCTCCTTCCCTTCTTTTTTCCTTCTTTTCTATTTCTCTCATTTACCATCTCAATACATTATCTGGGATTCTGCAAATTATTTTTCTTTAATTAGCAGTATGGATGGCTTTTTTTTTATTATTATTTTATTTTAAATTCCAATGATCTGGCTCTTATCTTTACGGCCAATCGCAAGATACGCTGCCGCTGCCGCTGCCACTGTAGATGTAGAGGTCGATGCGGTCGTCGTTGCCGCCGTCAAGATTGGTGAGGTCAATGGCAAGGCCAGTGGAGATGATACCGCACTCGTACTATGAGACGATGTCAGGATCGGTGACGAAAGACTACTTGTACTTGATCCAGCCATGGGTATTGGCATTGGCATGGATATGGGCTTGTGCTTCAGACATGGGGACATTTCGGGCGATTTGACTAGGGTGCTTCCACCATTAGATAATGGGCTCATGCGATAATAGCCTATAGCTCCATCACCGTCTATTTTCTCCATATTTAAGGAATTCACTGATCCAAATCCCGATCCAGACCCACATCCAGAGACAGTCCCTCGTCTCGATTCACCTGCTACAGTTGCAGCATTGGTTGCATTAGTCGTTGTAGCAGCCGTCAAGGTTGACGGCATCATAAAGGGGCCTGCACTTCCTGATCGACTAAGATCACTGATCTCAAATGTTGATGCGTCCATACTCTGACTTTTGTTCACTATGCCCATGCTTTGACCTATGTCTATCCCAGTATGATATGGTGCGTTGCTGACATTGTTCGATGGTAATGGTTGTCCATTAAAATCCAATATCTGCTCAGGTAGATGCTGATTATACTGATGTTGATGACGGGTATGTTGGAACGGAGAAGAGGAGTTGTTATTATTGCTCTCATTGCTGTCACTGTATGGAGCATCATGAGGATGCATTGAAAGATGATTATTTGATTCAAATCTCAGTCCAAGTCCTAACCCTAGTCCCCGTGGGATCGAAGCCAGTGCTGGAGAGGATGCTGGCGGTTGAGATATTAATGGCAGCAATTCTCCATCCATTGACATAGACATGGTCATAGACATCTCTGGCTCCAGCTCCAACTCCTTTTCCTTCTTGCGCTTACTTGCACAGAACATCACTTCGCCTTTACGCATTTTCACATACCGTTCCTCCAGTTTCCTGGGAGTTGGAGTTGATGTACTCGAAGGAGTAGTGGAAGTAGTGAAAGCAGCTGTAGAGGTTGTAGAGGTGGCTGCTCCAGTATCTCCAGCAATCGTCCTAGACCCCATTCCTAGCCCTTCTAACACCACACGCAAATTCTCTTTGCCATCCGGAACACGGTTTGCAAATACGACGCGGATGCTGCGATACAGGTATACATACCCTGGTGCTGGACAACAGAACTGTAAATGGATCGCATATCGTAGAGTCCCGCTGCTGCTATTATTGCCATTATTGCTATTCTGATTACCACTACCGCTGTTTGGGTTAACGACAGCAGAGGCAGTAGCAGAAGCAACACCCAATCCAGGGCTCCCCATTAAATAGTACTTTTGGCGTAAAAACGTCTTGGTTCCTGCAGGCATATCAGTAAAATCGTAAGGGACCAAAAACACCTTTACCACCGTCTTATTTGGATTCTTGATCATCACTTGTACCTGTCCTCGTAATGGGATCCGCATTCCGCCCGGCATCCTTGCAAACCGTTTTGATCCCCTGAATCCACTGTCCAAGTCTAAATTCCCAACGTATGGCAAAATTGGCTCGTCCTGTGCTGTCAGGATAGCAGTAGTATGCGCATGTGTCAATGTCTGGTGGTTATGATGATGATGATGATGATGATGATGATGAGAGGATGGGAACGAGCCCGGCTTTGATCCGGAGTTGTTCATAGCGGATGAAAAGTAAGAGTTCAAGGCTGGGGAGCTCGAATACGATGACCCTGAGAGAGGATGATGATGTGATGATGGGCTGATGGGCGGATAATGATGACTATAAGAATGAGCTCCTTTGGAATGAAACGAATGTGAATGATGCAGTTGATGGCTATGTGAATGTGAGTGATTATGATGGCTATTATGTCCGCCATTAAAAGAACTTTCATAATCATAAAAGACTGCCGGAAATTCAAGTTGAACATGTTTAGGACATCGTAACTTGGGTGGACAGTCCTTGTAATCTTGGTTCGCAAGGACTCCGATCTGTGCTGTAAAGATCAGGGGCTTCGATGGCAAGGTCGACATTCTTCCTGACAAGATCGATTCCTCATACGACCCTACTAATGATCCAAACAAATCGCTATGGTTAAACGAGGATGACAGCGTCGGGTTTAAAGAACTCCTGCGAAGGAATTGTGAGCGTGTCGGGGATTGGCCGAGAGGTGGTTTAGATGCATGATTTTGTTCCTGAAGTGAGCTACGCCTGCGAAACTGCAGTATGGCCGAATTGGGTGGTGGTGATGCATCTCCATCCTGGGAATCATCATTATCATCTGCTGCTGCCAGTGGACTCTGTGGTTTGGCTGTTGCACCAGGCGAGTCATCATTACACGTCATGACGATCGAAAGCCTAGACGACCTCCTTCGAGTAACCACGCGTGCTAGAGGGGATGTCGGGGATGGACTATGAGAGTACTGATATGAAAAAGGCGTTGGATGTATATATGGTGGGCTATGCTGGGAATGAAAACGATTTGAAAACGGAGCAAATCCCGAATGGATCGGTGTTTTTGATAAACCAGAGTCAAATGAGGGTGGCGACAATGGTGTTGTAGTAGAAGGGTCTTCTCCAGCACTCACGCTCGTTTTCCTTGGTAGTGGGATCAAGAGTGGAGGTGATGGAGGTGGCGGGAATTGGAATGTCTGTATCTGTTGCTCTTGCCTCTTCGTCATGCTCTCAGCACCATCACTTTGCTTGGGTATAGGAGACTCTTCCAAAACGCTTTCATGTAGTGTTTTTCCTTGTTCAGAGTCCTTTACCGGGTTTTTTGGCAGAGCGGTAGTGGTAGATAAAGATGAAGCGAGCGAAGAGAACAGCTTATCACTATTTCTCTTCAATGATTCAAGCGGTGCTCGGAATAAATCTTCTGATACTGAGCTTGGATTTGATTTCGGTGACGACGGCGATGATGGTAAATCCTGTCGTTGCTGTTGTGAAATTGACGATAGAGAGGGCAGCGCAATAGTGTCATTGATCTTTAGACCGTCGCTCGAGCTCTGCTGTTGTTCTTGATGTTGCTCTGAGGAAGACGTTCTCGCCAATGTTCTTTGCAGCTCGCTAAATGGAGTAATAGCCGAATTTCTGTCCGAATGCCTAAAGACTGATATATCTTCTTTGATAGGCTGACACTCAGATGCCCATGACGATGGTTCTATAGACTCCTTTTGCTGCTGCTGTTGTTGTTGTTGTTGGCGTTTGGCAGTAGCCTTGAATTCCAATGAGGATCCCGAAAGGGAGCTTTTACTTCGAGAATGTCGATGCTTTTTCTTATGGATTTTGATCGAGTCCTGGAAATGCTCGGGTGAAATTCGTCCTCCTACAGACTCATCATACATCCCCGTCACTCGTACACACCCCCACTGCATATGGGATGCCTCAAAGTTGATGACTTTGAGAGAAGCCGTTTGAACAAACTCAAGGGGTAGATCTGATTTAAGAGAAGATGTAAATCCAGAATAAAGATTTTCTGAGGGATCTGTAATAGGTGCATCATCATCAGTAATTTGTGAATGATATCCTCTACCATGACGTGACAGAGTAATGTCTTCATGAGCTGAGGTGGCCGAATAAGCGAGATCTGCTTTCGTCAGTTTTGCCTTTGGCTCGCCAAAGGCTGTCAGACAATTCTGTAGCGGAAGCGATCGGATCTGGGTATAAAGAGATTGTAAAAGAAGGATGAGATCTGTTGTGTCCTTGGGTGGTACTGAAGCTGATGTTGACGGAGAAGAAGAGCCCGATGCAGATGGTGATGAACGTGTAGATTGAGTCTGTAGGTGCTTGTTGGCCTTGGGTGAATGATAACTGGTATACGAACTTTTTGAGCCTCTAAATATGAGTCAAGTGAGAAGAAAAGATGCAAAAGCATGGTATGGTAAGGTAATGGCATGGTATAAAAGGAAAGTACAAATAAAAGAGTGATACACCAGGAAAATCAAGAATGGCCATGTGGGCAAAGCAACAAAAAATAAGTGGAAGGTTAGCAAGCTGCTCAGAAAGAAAGAAAAAAAAAAAAAAAAAAAAGAAACTTTACTGAATCACGCGAGATGAAACTTATTTTGGGTCATATTAGGGGTCTCTTTTCTTGAAAGTGATAATGATGATAATATTACCTTGCAGAATCAGCCGTACAAGCCATTAAACCGGATGTTGATCCAGTTGCAGGTGTATATGAGATCACCCATCGCTCCAGCAATGCATGTTGAGCAGCGTGGAAGATGTTAATATGCACTGGTGTATTATTACGCCAAAGGTCCATGTCCTGAAGTACCAGCTCCAGGTTCTGTTGTTGAAGTAAGACCGTATGGTAATGACTGTTCTGAACCATGTCTGATGCCGACCCTGCCGAATTTGATAGCGATGGAGATGGCTGCTCAAACGAGATGGGAGGAGAAGTTGTTCTTGCCTTGACAATAATCTGACCAATCTTGGATATGAACTCCATTACCGCTGGATCAGGACCTGGCTGTGTACTGTGAGTAGGAGTACGACCACGACCATGAGCGTGACCATGGCTATGAGTGAAACCTTGAAGATGTTGAAGCGAATATGACGAGTGCATCGACTGATGGCCATGTGGGTGCTGTTGCTGTTGCTCATATTGTTGCTGATGTTGTTGAGGATTCAAATGCGAATATAGATCTCGAAAGAGAGGTGTACTTGTCTCTTTGACACTGCTATTGCTATTATTATTATATACAGACTCTACAACATCAGCCTTTGAAACAGAGATGCCGGAAATCCCAGGAAAGGCAGCCGAGGATTGCTGAGCATTGCTGTAGATAGCATTTGGCGTTGGCATGGTGTCTAAGAAAAGAAAAGGACACAAACATGGACACAGAGTATGAGAATATAATTATTAGAGCAAGAAACAAGAAAAGAAAAAAAAAGGAAAAGGAGGTTTGAAAAAAAAAAAAAAAAAGAAGGGGCAGGTGGGGGAATGGATACTTCTTCTGGTGCTTCTGGTGCTTCTGCATCTGCTTTTTCTTCTGATTCTTGATATTTGCAGCAAACAACTATCCCTTTACTTTTTACTGTTGGTGCAATGTGCTCTTGTGGGCTAATCTCTTCTCCGATTAAGGATTTCACACCACACATCTGCCATACCCATGCGACCCCTCAGACATTTTAACGCAGGGCTTATATTGAAGAAAAAGTAAACAACAACAACAACAACAAAAAAAAAAAAAAAATCATCCAATGGGTGCCTTCTCTTCTGAGGTGCTTACCCTTTGAAACCAAGAAATAGGCTCTGCACAGGGAGCAATGAGAGAATGGCACAGTCCGAAGGCGATGAAACTGTGGAGAGAAAGAGGTAAGGATGAAGGTGTGATCGATAATCAACAGTACTAACTGTCGTTGCTGCCACGTCTGCTTCCAGTGCTACTGCCAGTGCCAACAGCGGTTAATTTCAGATCGTGATGATGTTCGTTGATGTTGGCTGCGACTATAATTATCAAAGCTGCTGTTGCGAATGCTTTGCTGTTGCTACAAAACAAGAAGAAGAAGAAGAAGAAGAAGGAGAAAGTGTGCTTCAGAATAAGAGAAAGAGAGATCCCACAATTGGGGAGTTATTATTAAGTGTAGATTTGGTTAAGAAGGATAGATGGGACTGTGGATGTGCCAATGATCCACGGACTGAGGGTTAGTGTGGCTAGTGTCAGTAATGGTGGTGATGATAAGATAGTGACAGTAGAAAAGCAATGTAAATGGTTATGCGTTAGTGTTTTTACTGTTTCAATAGTACAAAGGATGTTCTGCTAAGGGTGTAAGCAGAAAAAGAAAAAAGAAAAGAGAAGCAGAAGCAGTGGATGCTTTACTATGGATAAGAGAATGCTAGGGAGGAGTACGAGGAGGTCGAAGAGGAAAAAGGAAAGTATTGAACATAGACATTGACTTTGGGGAATTCACAGTGTGAAAGTGAATGAAACAAACAAAGAAATCTGAACCCAAAAAAAAAAATAAAATAAAATAAAATAAGAAAAAAAAAAAAAAAAAAAAAAAAAAGTCAGAAAGATGTAAAAAAAGGAAAAGGGAAGAACCAAAGTTTGCGAATGACGATTTGATTCTGCAAAGAGCAAGAAATAAAAAAGCGGTAAGAAATGAAGATGACAAAAAACTGAATGAGTTTTAAAGAGAATGCAAGAAAAGGGGTGTGTTTGTGTTGCTTGTATTGCTCGTTTCGTTCATGCCAGGAAAGTTTGGGCATGTTAATTTGTATTGTGCAATAAATTATACATGGACACATGTACAAACACAAAAATGACAAGTCCCGATGAGACTCAGACCATTATGCATATTGATGTTGGAGGGGCCAAGATCTTGTTGCCCTTTGTTGTGCCCATTCTTCGCCATTATCATTATCGCTGCCATATTCACTATCACATTCACCCCCTCCATTCACTTATTCATGATTGCACTATTCCCTTGCCTTGTTGTTGACATGACGATGATCTGCCTTCAACTGCGAATCCAATGAGTCAGAATGGCTTTTTTTTATTTTTTTATTTTATTTTTTAACGTAATACTGATGATGCCATGATACCTCCTTTGGGTTCAGTTGGAACATACCCTCTTCTTGTTCTTGCATTGGCTTCCTTCCCCTTTAGGATATCAGTTGTGCGGTCTTATAAATAGCTTGAGCTATTTGCATGTGGATCCAGCTCACAGCCCAGCGTTCTCTCTTCTGACGTCCAGCTTGGTAACATATTTTATACCGCTCTTTAAACCTTTTCTTTCTTTTTGTTCATTGTGTTTACTCCGTTTGTCTCTTTAGATGGAAGAAATATCACCCCAGTGGTCCCGTATAGATCCATATCAAGCAAATCATCACAAGGACTTCTGCTGCTGGTTTTCTTTCCTATTTTATAGATTGATCTATGCGCAACATCTGCTACAAGTTTAAGCAGGAGAGGCAATAACTATCACCTATAATCACCACAATATCACAAGCATCTACCATATCAGTGAAAACATTCATTAATAATACAATACTCTACCTAAACAAGTATTGTCCATTGCTAGCTCTTCCTTCCTAGTTACTCCTCATTTTCCTTTCCTCCACCGGGAACAACAGTCCCTACTTAGAGTACCTCCTTTTCTGCCACCAAACTCTTCTCAATCTCATCTTCATCACTTCTAATATTTGTATTGCTTGTCAGGATTACCCTTTCGCGATCTCTATCTGTTCACCCTCACATTTCATCTGTTGATACCAAATCTATCACGACTGTTCAACCTTTCTCGACTACACTACTCCACCACTGCTCCTGTGGGAGCAAAGGTCAGCATCCAGTCCGGTTACTTCAGCCAAGGGCCATCAGAGCAGCAGCATCAACAACAAACAGCAAACGAGGACAGTAACTACGACCAATGCGTTGATCATTGGTTGAAGCCTCTCAAACATGCCGTACATGACCTCATCCACAGAACAACCAGTCTATTTGGCTTGAGCCCACCAAGCAACGAGCTATGCCTCTTAAGGACTCTATTTTCAAAGTTGTTAACGATATCTTTTCTTTTTTTTTTATCAAGGAATACATTAAAGCTTTGATGTTGTTGTATTGTTGACTTGAGAGAATGCGCCACCAAAAATAAGGTTTGAGACTTCCAATAGGAAGCGACGGAAGGGAGGACTGTGCGTCTCAAATAAAATAAAAAAACGCAAAGCCCAATCATTCACTTTGGAGAGAAAAATCCAATGTCTCCTTTTCCATGTTTTTTTTTTTTTTTTTTTTTTCCCTATTTTATTTTATGCTTCATTCTGCTATTAGTGCGACGTGTCCATATGACTATCTTGACGTTCCCAGAGTGGCTGGATAAAGGAAATACAGAAAAGAAGAGGAAAGAAAAAAAAAATTAGTTCCTATAGTCTGGATCAAGAAGTCAAGAAGTTAATCAGTAGCGCATATAGCTAATCGAATAATACCTGAACATAAGCCAGGACATTCGGGGTCTCTTCCACTTTCAGTTTGTATCTTCCTCCACTGAGCCTGGCGGCATCCGAGACAAGCTTGGCATATATTTCCCTTATTGACATCTACAAACAAACAAATAGAAAAAGACGAAAATGGATTTTAGTAATATGTTTTCATTTTCACTATTCTTCTTTCAAAAGAGGAAAAAAAAAAAAAAAAAAAAAAAAAAAAAAGATTCAAAAAGCTGATTTACATCTTTCTCTTGACCAATACTAGCCGTTGGGCGGTTAACAAAGAGTGTCTCTATCCAGCGACCCAGATTCATGAATGCTTCCCCAATAGGACCTGCCCTGCCTGATGAGGCCACAAGGCTAAAAGCCTCACTCAAGAAGCCGATCGCCTGCTCGTGAACTGAACTATCAAGCGCTGCAGCTGGTAAAAGGAATTCGTTCATGATCACTGTTTGCCATTTGCGGACCATCAAGAATCGAGTCAACAATGTTTGGCGGAGTAGCATCCCTAAAAAGGAGTAGAAGAATGACTGATAGGTCACATGAAGGCTGTCCAGAGTAACTGATTGGTAGTCATATGGCGAGTTTCGACGAAGGCTGTTGACAATGACCGGTAATGTTCTCGCAAGAGCATGAATGTCCTGATTCGCTAATTTACTAAGAATGTAATGACACAAAATCTAAAGAGTTGACAAATGTAAATTTTTTTTAAAAAAAAAAAAAAAAAATTAGGACGCTTTTTTTCCCCAACCCTCGATTCCCAAGGCCAGTCGGATCGTATCCCTTGCTTAAAGAGGAGAGGAGCATGAACCATTATTTACCTTCCGGGCTACTTCACTGTCATCCAGTGCCACAAGGTTATCTTCTGTGAATTCGACCTCTTCGTACTCCAGATTCTCGTCTACATCCTGTTTCAACATGCCTAGTGTATCATCGAGAATACAATTGGAAAGCGTAGTCATAAACTTTTCAGACACATTCGAGTCGACTTTTGGGATCCTAAACTTTTGATTTTGAATGATTCTCCTTGCATGCGCGCCAAGATTAAGCATTGTAGCTGTCCATGTAAGAGTAGAATCTGACTGTGGGGCCCTTCCGTTTTGAGTTGCTTCATTCAGTAACGCCAGTAGTCGTGATGTGATCATATTGGAAGTGAATGGATCGTTCAAGATCATAGCAATATCTCTATTGATAAATAGAAAAAAAAAAAAAAATAAAAACTATTAGGAACCATGAAGAAAAAAAAAAAAAAAAAAAAAAAGGAAAGAAGCATTGGGTTTTAATTGATGATTTACCAAAGCAAAACGTCAAGCTACAAGCGTCACCTACCCATGTACTGGATCATCACGGTCAACTTTGTCAAAGAATTTACGAATGTTGTCCACACGTCTCTCATCCATGGACAATGTCCTGTTGCATGCATCCAGATTCCAAACAAGCTCATGACATGGATCGACTTTTGTAATCTAGAGAAAGTTTAAAGCGTGATGAATTGAAAGCGGACTTTTTTTCCCCCCTAGGATTATCGGTTTTTGCTAGAGCAGTAACGATCGATGTAGATTGATTGTAGATCAAATGTCGACTTACAGATCCAAGGTTTGCCTCGTGCATTGCCATCAACAGATCAAAACGCAGGGTACAATAAACCGCCTCGTTTGTTTGAATGAAAAGTGATCGTAAATATGTTCCGATGTGATTGTACAGCTTTAGGTTCCCGCCCACAATATCCATCAATTGCTTTATACTTGGGTGGCTTCGTCTACAGAATCGCATTTATAAAAATAGGAAGGAATTAGACTTTTCTTTTTCTTTTTTTTTTTTTTTTTTTTTTTTTTTTTTTTTTAATATCTTTCCTTTCATCAGACTCTGGGGTTACCTTTGGTTAATAACTTTGGTTGGATGTTCAATGCTCATTTCTTTTGCTAAGTTAATGATCTCTGGGTCTGTTCTGTACGCTTTGACAATCGGAATGACATCGTCTCTGAATTTGTTGGGATTTGACAACCATATCCTGCGCTGCACTTCTGTTGGTGCAATCTATGCCCATAATTGAAGAAAGTAGGGGGAAAAGGAAAAGGAAAAAGAAAAAGCAGATGTATAGTCGATAGGATGAGCCAGTCTGTTGAACTAGTCCCTTACATTGCCACTATCCCATGGTTATATTGAGCATTTCGTTTTGACAAGTATAATGAGGGTGGCGTGACGGCATACTTTGAATAGCTCTTCATTTTCACCAATTTTGTCAATAATCTCCTTGGTCATCCTGTCTGGGAATCGTCCAAGTAGAGTCAATGGTAACTCCTGAAGCCCTTGAACGTCTATATATTGAAGCATTGATTCCAGTACAGAGTCAAACCTATTTGTGATGTTGAGAAGAAAGAGGTTAGAATAGAATAAAATAAAATAAATAAAATAAAAACAAGAAAAAGAAAAGAAAGTTAAGCGTGTTATGTTGAATTTCAATGTACCTAGCATTGTCCATTGGGGCCGTCTCAAGCCTTTGTAACAACTTAGCCTTTAAAGCTCTCATGCAACTCGAATGAACTTCGTATCGGGTTTTGCCATGGTGATCAAGCAATGGGTAGATTGCACCGATATCTGGGAGTAATAGGTTTCAAAAAAAAAAAAAAAAAAAAAAAAAAAAAAAAGACGCGCAGCAGCAAGGTCATACGATATCTCATAGCATTTGCCCATGCGAGGCATTTATAAAGTGGATTAAATATATAGCATACGAAAATAAAATAAAATCAAACTTGGATATCCATATCCTGAGATCAAAATAATAATAATAATAATAATAAAACATTTAAAGAGTATTATTGTTGTTGTAGTTGTTATGATTCAGGCCATTTCTTTCTTGAATTTGCCGGATAGCCATGCCAGGGTTTTGTTTGACAAGCATGTCACGGATCTTTTCGCCTGCGCGAGGTCCTAGTAGTCTTTGTTCCATTTGTGATTACTTTCTGTCCACAATGTTATATTACTATTATTGTTGTTGATATTCTTCCCGGACTTGGTTGGAAGTTGAATGAGTCCTTGTTCCTGACCAAAGTAGAATGAAGATTGGGGTAAAAAAAAAAAAAAAAAAAAAAAAAGACCCGATTACATGATGTTTCGGTGGCCCTAAAATCACGTGATTATATCCAAGAACACAACATAGCAAAGAATGCCTACAATGAATGTGTGAATGTGTGAATGTGTGAATGTGTGCTTGCTCTTTGCTATTCAATTGGACAGAACCTTTTGGACGTTCTCGTTCAAGAAATGAAAAGGCTGTACTACAACTTTTTTTTTTTATTTTTTTTTTAATCGCGTTTATTATCCTGTCAATGTTCTTATCCCATCTTTCATTTATCAACTTTCTTTTGTTTTTTATCACTCTGCTATGGCATGTCATTGTTCGTTATTCAATTGAAGGAAAAAAAAAAGCGGATTTTGTAAACTAAAAGAAGACCCATTTCATTCATGGCTCGGTTTCAAACTGTTTTTTTTATATCATTTTGACCAAAATAAAATAAAAAAAAAAAAAAAAAAAAAAAAAACATTTGGAGTCAAGGTGTAAACCAATTTAGTCTCTAATAAGAAACCCTGGATTAAAAAAAACTGTTTGAAGGGAAGTGGAACAATTCTTCTTCCTCTTCTAATTCATCCCATCCTAACGTTCATTCAATTATCATTCTCTTTTTTTTGATTTTTTTTTTTTATTTGTTCAACCCGATTTAACCATTGTTTCGTCATTTTCCTCTCCATCCCCTATTCTTTCATCCATCATTCCTCATCCCATACCCTCCCCCTGCTGCTCATCCATTGAAATTTCTTTCATCTGCATCGATCTTTTTTTTTTTTTTTTTTTTTTTTTTTTTTTTTTCCTTACCATCCTGTTTACCCTATCCTAACCAAATTGTCAATCTCCCTACCTTGCTTGTCTGCATCAAATACAACTTTCCCACTCTATAGCCAGCGTACTATCTATATCCGGTTAGAATCCATTCAATTGGGTCACCTTTATCCAAGAAGCAGAACGTTTAGCAATCTCAATCCACATTTTTATTAAGAGCAACAGTAACACCAAGAGTAGCAACGGCAGTAACGACAACAGTAATAGCAACAAAAAAAAGCTCATTAACGACAAATACCAAAAGTTGTGAAGAAGAAAGAAAAAAAAAAGATATATATCTACAGTGGTTTTTGAAGGGATAAAAATATTAAGCCATGTGGAATCCACGGCTGCCTGATCTTCAGATCAATCTCGATCGAGGGCGTGGATCCACTCGTGCTCACCCCTATATTCCTCCCCATGGGACCTCCATTGGGCTTCCTTCCTCCGTCAATCATCATATGGAGAATGCAATCCAGTCACCTCGGCCAAGCTTAATAAAAGATCAAAACCCCTCTCCGTTGTCGCAAGACAATGACAACAATGGCATCAGTAATAACAATAGCAACACCCCATATGGAAACACAATACAGCCAAACAACAACAACTACAACAATGATAACCATCATCATAGTAGCAGCAACAATATCCATAACTTTGGACAACGAACCGTTACCACCGGAGGAATACCTCATCCTCGATTAGAAAAAGTAGGTCCGTATCTGATGATCGCCACCTTACAGGCCTATACCATTCTCACCGTTGTCCGTTGCCTTGCAGATCCGATTTGGATTGTACTCCGATCAGGCGAAAGCAAGACTCATCTGGCCGAGATCGGAAAGATGGAGAAGGTATTCTTGGCATGTGCGATTGTTTTTACGATGCTTAGCTGTATCGGTGTTACACTCCGTATCATGGACAGGGCGCCATGGCTTCGACGTATCCCTGTCATCACAGCGTATCTCGAAGGTAAAGAGACCGGGAATAACAAACAAACAAGTTGCATGAAGTTTAATGAACTTTAAGCATATGCTTTTTAAATCCTCTCTATCATATAAGGACATGTATTAACTCTCTCTCTCTCTCTCTCTCTCTCTCTCTCTCTTTATCATACCCACTCTTCTCTTCCATTCTTCCCTCTCTTCCCCTCCCTTCCTTTACAATATTCACTTTCCTTCTTTGGCTAACAATCTGCACGGTCCGGTTTATGTGTGTGACAATTTAAACTTTTGTCTCTCCAGCTCTGTTTTGTATTGCGGCTTTAATATCATTCCTTAGTACCCATACACTACCACCAGATGGTCAATTCTCTCATGGATTCCTCGCCTGTATCATCACCGCTATATTTGCATCCATTGTCGCGATCATGTTGACAATTGACTGGTGGCGAGGTTTCCCTTCCGCAGGACTCTCCGCCACACTTAAAGCACTCATCATCTCCTCGTTCGTCATGACCATCATCATCATCATCGGTGCTGCTATCTACTCCTCACTTGAGGAATGGTCCTTTGACGAGGCTGTTAATTTTTGCATCGTTTCATTTGCTACCATTGGTAAGTAAGCAAAGGAGGAATAGGAAATGGTCCCTCCCTCTTTTCTTCTCATTGTTATAGTCGCTGTTATTATTCTTATCGCTTCATTCTCTCATCACCTTTGCTCGCTGTATACTAATGTTTTTATTATTATTATATTATTATTATATTATTATTATTATATTATTATTATTATATTATTATTATTATATTATTATTATTATTATTATTAATGTTTCCTCTAAAAGGGTATGGTAATCTCAGTCCAAAAACTGCCGCAGGTCAAATCATCTTTTTCTTTTACGGACTCTTGGGAATCAGCTCTGTGGGATTCTTTGTGGTCTCGCTCCGCAATGCCGTCATTGAGCAGTTTCATTGGCGATTAGTCGATCGTTTTTCTAAGCCTGCCCATCTGACCCGAGTACAAACTCGGATGTCAGCCAAAGATATCTCGTTCCCCCTAGCACGGTTTGAAGAAGAACAACGCGTCAAACGCGTTGTGAAACGCAAGATGATCCTTCGTATGATCTGTATTTGGATCGTCATGTGGTTCGGAGGCGCTGGTGTCTTTTGTGCTTTCGAGCCCTGGACCTTTTTAGAGTCTTTGTACTTTTGTGTATGTCTCTCTTGGAAATTTATTATTTTTATTTTTATTTATTTTTTTACATTATTTTCTCTATCACTTCTGTACATCTGTACATACTATCTTGTATATATTCTTAACCATTGTCTTTTCTATATATATATATATATATATATGCATGTAGTTCGTCACCCTGACCACAATTGGGTTTGGGGATTATGTCCCCAAGGAGCCAGGTTCCATTGAGTTCTGGAGCGTCTATGTATTTGTCGGTTTAGCAGTCTTTGCTTATATCCTCTCCTTGTCATCAGAATCAATGGCTGCACATATTCATTTGGTGGATGATCAGGATGAAGACGATGATGCATCTATGTATGGATGGGAGCGCAACGAAGATCCAAACGCCCCCTTGACTACCCGAAGTGCTATTTTAGGATTAGAGGGCTTAAAATGGCTCAATAATCAACACTTGATTCAACAGCAAGGATCCAACCCAGACTTGCAGATCACAGATGGAGATAGTAAAACTGTTAATAGTAATGCAGTTGTTAACAGCAGCAATGGCCCAGACAGCAATAGTACCAACAATGAAACAAACACCAATCCAAATGATGAATTCTATGGAACAACGCCATCACCACTTCAACGCGAGCGTGCCAATACCAACACCAACACTGGTAATCGAAAGAACTCTTCGGGTCGTATCTTGATGGTCTCTGCCAAGGAGCGGAAACAGATGCTGCAGGCAGAATACTATGCGGCACAATCTTTACCGACTGCTGCAATTCGGTTTGTGGATATCAAGGGTATGCCGCATCAGAGGACTATCCGCGGAAGCTTTTCTGGACCTAGTGGTAGTGGCAGTGGTAGTGGAACCGACGCCCTGGATGACGCAAAGCAGCAGCAACATACCCTGCAGACGTATGGAACTATGGGCTATTTTGGCACTTCTGGACAACGAGATTTGGCACAGGCAAGTTTGCCACGATGGAATAGTCTTCGTTCCTTTGGAAATGAGGCCGGAGCTAGAACCGGGATTGGAGGGGCAGGTACTGATCAGAGTGGTGACATTTATGGCCCTAGCGTCCAAAATACAGTCCAGACACGCCAACTTCAACATCGACCACTTATCAAGTTTGGAGCACCTGGTGATAGTCTACAGCGAGGCGGTGGGTTAGGAGGTGGTTTGACAGGTGGCCATGGGTATATTCAATTGGATTCCTCAGAGTATGATAGCCGGCGACGGGAAAGTGCGTCTGAGTCTAGATCTGGATATATCCCATCATGTATGGATCTCTTTCGGCAAAATAACTTGCCAAACAACACGAGCAGTAGAAGTGTCATTGATCAGAATAACAATAGCACTCAAGATTTATCCGTAGCTCAAGGAGAAGGAAAAGGAGGAGAACAGTCCAATACTCAAGTCCGTTCAAATAGTTGGGATCAATCCGCATCTCATCAACGTTCAGGACCCTCTCAGAATGAGATTCATCGGATCTCAGAAGACGCGAACGCTTTGCAAGGACCTACCTTCAATCCTACTTTTACCTCACATCCCAGTGATAATAGTGACAACGTCAAAATGGACAACTCTCCAGACCATGGCAATACAGCATCATCATCGATACCTGAAACGGCTCTTTTGCAAAAAACAAACACGGAGAACTTTGCTTTCACTCCTATCACTACAGAAGAAAGCAACACTGGTTTCCCACGGGCCCAGCCAACGTCAGCATCATCCTCAGGCGCGGCATTAGAACCATTCAGTCATAGAGAAGAGCGAGTAGCACCTGATGAAGCATCACGATCTTACACACCAGCACCACCATCGGTATCTAACACCAACCCCAATAATTTATTCTTAGGTGGTGGCGCCGGCGCAGGCTATGGTCAACATGCATATGGCGTTCCACGTTTTGATTCAAAGCATGCTGCTACCAACAACGCTACCAACAACGCTACCGCTACGGCCGCCAATACCGTTACAGCCAATGACTCTAATCATGGGAATGCTGCTCCTCAGATAGCACACTTTGATGACGATGATGATAACAACAACGACAACAATAGGTACACCATGCATGCTCCTTCAACTCAGGCTCCATTATCTCTCTTTTCAAACCATCCGCAGTCAACTCTGAACAATGTGCGGCCTTCTCCTGCAGGGTCAGCTCGATCCTCTAGACCATCCTCAGTTTTGATGACTATCTTTGATGAGCCTGTTATCATGGAGAACATCCCAGGCTCATCCGCATCCAGATCGAGGCCTGGTTCTAGAACGATCTCGAGGAATAATTCTAATTCCAGGACAGCAGCAGCGGCAGCAGCGGCAGCAGTAGCAGCAACTCGCTCCAGATCCTCTCGGTCGAGCTCGGATGCAATGTTACAACAACAGAACGTTACTACTCATCCCACACCATCCAATATCGAGAGCATGGACGTAGGTCCTTTTAATGAAGTCCGCTATCCAGGCGAGTTGCCTCAATTCGAGGATGACGTGGACCTGAACCATATAGAGCCTAATTCACAACAGATCCAAAATGAGCAAGAACGACAACAAGAATTATCACGACGCGAGCGAGAGATTGAAGCCAGATTGGCACGTCTTGGAGCTAAGGGAAGGATGGAATCTTATCAATAAAAAGAGAAAGAGAGAGAGAGAGAGAGAGAGAGAGAGAAAAGACAAGAAAAGCGCATGGATCATTTGTATTTTAATAAATAGATTGCTATATACCCAATACATTTCAAAAGTTTGTTTGTGCTGTATCTTTCGAAATAATAATAATAATAATAAAGTCTATTTTTCTATGCTTATGTTTTTTGATGGGTATGATTTACAATATTTTTTATTTTTTTTAAAAAGAACTTTTTTACACCTTGACATGTCTTGTCAAGAAGGATGGGACAAAGGGTGTATAAGAGACAACAGTGCTCAACAAGGGTGGGACCGAACTCTTGACCTTGGACATGGACATGGATGGTACAGCAGAAACAGCAGAGACAGCAGAGACAACAGACACAGCCGAGGACAAGGCCGCGGTCGCGGTCGAGACAGTTGTTGAAGTGGCAGTTGCAGTCGAAACAACTTCCTTTGCCTTCTTCAAAACGGTTGAGGTTCGATCCTCACTCTCCCACCAATCGACCACTTGATCCGCTACACTGTCCAAGGTCTCGAGTTTCTTCTTTGTATCTAAATAATCACCACAACGACGTGTGATTGACATCTCCCCTACGGTTGCTCCTACTTGGCCGACCCTCTGGCCGATCCAACTGCTTCCGACTCGACGGACTACAGTCTCCAAGGCCACAGGACAGTTGGCCTCCAAGACTTTTCCAGCGCGATCCAAACCTGACAATCTCTTGTGTGGGTTATTGATGTTGTTGTGGATTTCGACGATGGCTTGAGCTTGCTGCTTCAGCTTTTCCATCTCCAGATCCTTCTTCTTTTGCCTCTCATCTTCCTCTAGCTCCTTTTGCTGCTGCAAAAGTTGTTGTTGAAGCTGTAGTTGGATCTGTTGCTGCTCCATCTCATCCATGTACTCCACCCATTGTGTGGTCGAAAGGATAGTATGGGGAGGAGGGGAAGGATAAGGCTGGAGATCCAGGCCCAAGAGAGTCATTCCGTTTGCAACCCCTCGAATGGTCTGATCAAGAGCTGAATCCAACAAATGTTCACACCATCCCTTGAGTTGTTCTTGATGCGATTGGACCTTATCGGTCCACTGCTTGCGAGCATCCAACAGAATCATGGAAGCCTCTTGGGTCCATTGCTTGCGAGCGTCATACAAGATCATGGAAGCCTCATCCCAAGAAGTAGGCAAACGATCCTTCATGGTCATCAAGGAGGAGGAGGACGATGAAAGGAAGGCGATCAAACTTGTGGGTCGGATGGCACTATACCGTTTGTGGCGAGCATAGTAGCGGTAGGATCGTTGTTGAAGGGATGCAACCACGTTTCTGGCGGCTGTGGTGGTGGTCGAGGGCAAAGAGGATGGTGAAAAGTTGGATAAAGTAGAGGACAGGTTGGAGAGGGAAGAGATGGAGGTAGGGATCAAAGACATGGGGATTTCTGGCTCGCCATTGGGACAGCTCTTCAACAGGCCCGACAGTCCTTGCATACTTCCATACTGCGTCAGATACAAGCCCTCTCCAAGGTCCATACGCTTCCATGTGCCGTCCTTTTGAAGGTCAAAATCAACAAGGGTTGTCTTGGAATTGATCACCACCATGTCGTCCAACTCCATGTCCATATCGAGGTCTGTCTCCATCTCGAGATAACCCTCATCATCATCGCTGGTGGAGTCAACATAGGGTGAGTTGGAACGAAGCTGGCTCTTGTTAACTGTAGCTGTGGCGGTGGTGGCGGCGGCGGCGGCAGTGGCAGTGGCAGTGGAGGTGGAGGCGACGACGCAAGCAGTGGCAGAATCAGAGACAGTGGCAGTGGTAGTGGTAGTGGTAGTGGTAGTGGTGATAGCAGAAGTGGCAGCGGCAGTGGGAGTGGTAGTAGCAGTGGTAGTGGCAGTAGTAATGGCAGTGGCAGTGGCAGTGGCAGTGGTAGCAGTAGCAGCTTTGCTAGAAGGTTTATCACCTTCAATCTCAATCATTGTCAATGGTCGAACGACTAGGACAGGGCTACCATGGGCGAGCAGACCTGTGACCTCGGTCCAGGCATATTCTTGATACTCGAAGGGATCTGCTGTACGTTGAGCGGCTGTCACGGAAGGATCTACCCATTCCTCAAAGAGTTCACCTTGGAACTCGATTGTGCTTACTGTGCCCTCGGCATCGGAGTAGAGTACAGCCCTCTCGATGGCCTCTTTCCTCTTGCGGAGTTCCTCCTCATTTTCCTCACGAGTATCTCCTAGGCAGGACACATCATCATCATCGTCATCCAAGGCCTCAACCCGCCAGCGGACACGGAAGACTGTGTAATAAGACTTGCAGATCTGGTCCAGGCTTTTGCAGAGGAGACCCAAATCCTGAGGATGCAAATAGGCCATCAATGCATTGCTGGCCATGGTTTCGATTGCGGCCCTGTTCTGGGCCAGGAACAAGGGTTGTGTCTGACTTGGCAATGAAGCCCTGTCGTTGAAGAGGGTGTCTTGATCATCTGATTGTGGGATGGCGAACGCATGATCCACAGTTCCGAAGCGAGTTACTTGAAGGATCAGCAAGCCTGGGTCAGAGAACATGGAGGTCAATGAAGAGACGGAGGAGCGGGTGCTCACTGTTCCGGAAGCAGGAGCAGGAACAGGAGAAGCCTCTTTCTGCGAGTCCACGATCAAGATACCGGAATCTCGATGGGTGATGACAGGGACCTTCTTGTTCTTGTTCTCGTTCTCGTTCTCGTTCTCGTTCTCATTCTCGTTCTCATTCTTTGCTTCTGGTCGAGAGTCGTCATTAGATGGTGATGCAGGGTCAGTTATTTGTCTGTGCTCTAAATCTTGTACTCGTCGATAAAGATCTCGTCGTGCGATGAATGGCTGCTGAGGTTGTGAAAGACGGCCACTGGCTTTGATACCATTCTTGGCAGCGAGAGCCAAGCCATGCATTTCTGTGACATCTTTGATAAGATATATTCTATAACCCAGAGCGATTGAGGAGGAGGAGGTTGAAGAAGAAGAGACGGTACTTCGGTTGCAGCTGTCGTCGTCGTAGTCACTGCTGTTGCTAGTTCCCTCTAGGTCTGAGGTAGCGTCTTCAGAGAGAGAGTGAGGGGGCTGGAAGGTGGTGTGGATACAAACGTGGACGCGCCTTTGTGTTGTGGGCTTCAAACTCAGCTGCCGTTCATCTACAGAGATGATAGCATCATCTGCAATTACAAAGGGCTGGACTTGGCTTGTACATTCATCATGATGGCTACTGCTATAATGTGCCAGTTGGCTGTTTAGACAAGAATTTGAATCAGGCAACAAGACCTCGGAGATATCAAGGCCTGTTAGGAAGCGCAGGGCACGGATTCGAGCGCGGGTACGTTGTTCTGGTTGTTCATATTGTTGATGGTCGATAAGGGGGAATGTGTAGGGGGATTGTGAAAAGGTTTCGAGAGATTGTTTTTGTTGAAAGTGTTGTTGTAGGAAATGCTGATGGTAAAGGGTATCGAAGTTGTTGTAACTGGCAATGAACAGATCCAGGGCGTCAATGTCAATGTCTAGGATTCTATAAGGAGCTGTATCAGTTGTTGTGATTGAGCCAGATGTGCGCAGAGGGCAATCCTCGAAAGAATGTTCGTAGTTCATGATGGGTATTGTGTGATATGGAAAGAAATTACAAAAAAACTTTTTTTTTTTTTTTTTTTTTTTTTTTTTTATAAATGTGTCAATGCAAGTGTGAGTGTTTGAGGAGGCGTGAAAGTATGAAAGAAAGAAAGAAAGAAAGAAGAAAAAAAAAAAGAAGAAGAGAGAAGTGAAGGAGTGAAGGGAATATATGCAATGAAGGAAATGAAGGAGTTGTTGAGGAATAAAGAGAAAGAGAGAGAGAGAGAGAAAGAGAGAAAGAAGTGGAAGAGAAAAGGATGATTTAAAAAAAAAAAGTTGATAATGTGTTTTAAAGGTGGATGGGATCAAGGCTCCTTTTTATTATATTACCAATAAACTGGGACTGGGAAGTGTAAAAAAAAAAAAAAAAAAAAAAAAAAAAAAGTTCGGGACAAAAGTTGCAATCAAATGCTTTTTTAAATTTAAAAAGGAAGTGAAAAAGAGGGAGAGAAAGAAAAGAAAAAGAAAAAGAAAAAAGTAAAAAAAAAAAAAATAAAAAAAAAGGGACGGGAAGAGATGATAACGACTGCACAGCGAACAAAAAAAGGATACATTGCAGGTCGGGTCAAATCATGCCACGAAATATAAACAATGGGTTGATTACGATTGAATTGAGAGTGAAGGTGTGTGTGCGCCGATAGGATAGGATATTGGCATTGGCATTGGCATTGACATTGGCATTGACATCAGAAAAAAAAAAAAGAAAAAAAAAAAAAAAAAGGGTTGTGTAGTAGTATAAAAGTTCATCAAAGAAGAGTGAATGAATGAAATGATAATGTTTATTATATATATTATGCATGTCCATGTCCATGTATTTGTATATAAATGTTGTTAATGTTGTTAATGGGAATGGGTCAAATGGTGAATGTGTGCCTGTGTCGATGACAATTGACTCTTATTTATTTTTATTTATTTATTTATTTATTTATTTCTTATTTTATCTTATTTATTTCCCCAACGATTTATTTAGCCTAGTTTACTCTTTTATTTATTTTGAATGTGAAAAAACATGACATGTCATGATCGTGATCGTGATCATGTTAGACGACAGACATGCGCCAGACCCATTGGCCTGAAATATACATGTACCATTTGCGCGTGAAATACCAAACATGGCTCACCCTCATGCTCTCATTCTCACATTCACACACTCTCTCTCTCTCCCTTCTCTCTTTTCATTTCTTGTTCATTTATCTTATCCATCAACAACCTCTTTTTATCCTTTCCGTGTGAATTAATGCAAAAAAAAAGAAAAAGAAAAAGAAACAGACTGAATGGATGGTTGTGCATGTGTCCTTGTTCTCGCGTGGCATCTACACATGGATAGTCTACACATCCCATCGATGGATTACAGACATTGAAAACACAATAAAAAAAATGAACTTCGCTTTGGTCTTTTTCATTGATTACAACTGCTCCCAAAATTTTCAGCTGCCTGCCTGGATAAGCAGAAATACATGTACATCCAATTGAACTCTTTCTGTTTGTTTTTTCTACCATCCACTTTCATCTTCATTTTCTCTCTCTTCCTCTCTCTTTCTTTTTCTCTTTTTTTTCTTTCTTCTCCTTTTCTTTCTCTCTTGGTCTGAACTGTGTATACGTGTCTCTTCCTGTTAGACCCCACTATGGACATTTGTATATATAAAAGTATACAACACAATGTATACAAACGTAGTCTACGTCTAGTCAACATTAGCATGCTAAATACTCTGCAGCGCTTCTGCATGTTTTATTTATTTATTTTTATTTATTTATTTTTTTTCTTTATTTGATCCCCCAACGATTCAACAAAAAAGAACTCAGCGGGAAACATCGGTGTTCAATAATGACGGATAACATTCAGAAATAAACCTTTGTTATATACAAGGACCTGTGCATATTTATATATATATGCATGCACAAAAAAAAAAAAAAAAAAAAAAAAACTAACGTCTTGGGCTATATTTTTTTTTTATGCATGAGTTGTAACAGAGAGAGAGAGACCTTTTTTTTTTTTTTTTTTTTTTTTTTTTTCCTTTCAGGCTCAGTCTTGAAGACACGTTTTTCTATTGAACAACTTCGGTTACAATATATTTGTAAATCTAACGGTAGCGCCCATTATAGTAAAAAAAAAAAAAAAAAAAAAAAAAAGGGTCGTGAAAGCTCCAAATTGACAAAAAGGGCTTTCAACGAACAATCGGGGATGAAGTTTGCTCCGCCGCAGTCGTTGTTGGAGTGAAGAAGGTTTAATAAGTTTACTTTTTTACTTTTTTCAACATGAGAAATAATCGTGTTGTACGAGAGGAACGCAAACAGTTCTAAAAAGGTGGAATAGAATTCCCCTTTCTCTCCTTTTTTTTTTTTTTACTGTTTCTCCAAGGTCCATTGTGGACTCATTGGATTATTTCTACTGGCTTGCGATTCATTATTTAAAATAACATCCTATCATCTTTTATCATCCTCAATCTTTTTACTTAGCCCATTATCCCATCTGTTGGCTAGGTGTAAAAAAAGATCGCCGCACAGCATGTGCTTGGCGGTATGAACATTTCAATAAATCTTTATTTTAAAACCATACAACAATCTCAAAAGGAAGTATTGCCTCTTCTCGTGCAATGATTAATGATAAAGACGTTATACACACACACACACACACACTCGCCCAATTTTTTTTTTTTTTTTTTTTTTTTAGAAAAAAAAAAAACATGGCAAGTACAGCAGCAAATTATTGTTAATTGTTATTGCTAATTGCTACTGTTTTGTTGATGCCGTTTGCCGTTGCTACATGGATTGTACCGTTGTTGTACACCTTGAATGCATATCCTTGCGTGTGCTTCTTTGCTTGTGCTTGTGTGCTTATGCGTATTCTTGTGCTTGTGTTCACTTCCTCCCCCAGTCTCCCATCCCTCTGTGTCCTACCTGGGTATCCGCGCCAAAAAAACGGGAACGAATCGGATAAGCAATAAAAAAAAAAAATGTATAGAAATATAAAAAAAGGTTTTTGTGGCTCAGTGGGGTCTAAACGGAGGCTGATGAGGATTGAAGGTTTATACACATGTAATCCATGCATTGAATCGGACCATTCAATCTACCTATCCAAGCGGGATAATTTTCTTCTTTTCTTTTCCTTCCCGCAGGAAATGATCCCAATAAACAGGGTCCTTTTTTCAACGGAACTTTACGCTTTCCCCTCTTTCCCAATTCCTATCCTTCCTTTCCTTTTTCCCCCTTTCGTACCCAGTCACTTTCCTTCCTTGCGACATCCAGTCAACGCGAGCACGTTATGAGGGAGCCAAAGCTTTGTTCAAAACAAGAGATTGCATCCATCCCATAGTATATACCATAGTACCATAGTAAAGAAAAACAGGGGTCTCCTTGCCTTTTTTTTTTTGTCCCGCATTCCATTGATCCTGTCACATCCTGATCGCTAATCAAGTCTCTCTTTTTTTTTTTTTTTTTTTTTTTCCCTCTCCCTTTGCCTCTCTTGACGAGAACGATAGGGGACCCAAGATCTTCTATCCCAGAAAGTAAAAAATAACAAGATTAGACACACGATTGATGAGGGTTGCTCGAAGCACGTTTTTAATTGAGCTGCATTAGTTTTACTTTCCACATCTCGACGACATTCCTTAACCACATTCAAAGGAAGGGGAAAAAAAAAAAAAAAAATAGGGGGACAAGCAATCTTTGAAAGATCCTTACACTCACGGAACACGCCACGAAGGTAGAATAAAGACGAAACTTCTTTTTCTTTGTTTTTTTTTTTTTTTTTTTTTTTTTTTTTTGTTTACCATTGCTCTCAGGCACAAACAGCACAAATGCACATTTATCGTCCCACTTTTAACAGGTGGATCTGAGACAAAAAGTAATGCATTATGCTTACTTGAACAAAAAAAAAAAAAAAAAAAAAAAAAAAGAGTCTTTTTTTTATTTTTCTTTTCCAAAGCATACAAATGAAGAAAAGAAGCTATTGTTGACCAAGGACGGGAAAGAGAGAGAGAGAGAAAGAGAGAGAAAGAGAGAGCCATAGGAAAAGAAAGATAAAAAAAAAAAAAAAATTATGCATCAGTTTCAAGTCGAAAAATTGCTTATTTGCTCCACCATAGACATCTGTATACTTTGACGCGTTTAATGTTTGACAAAGTTAGGCCAGACCAACCTAGGACTAGGTCAGGAGACTACTCCTAGCCTTTTAGTTAGTTAGTTAGTCAGTTAGTTAGTCAGTTAGTTAGTCAGTTAGTTAGTCAGTTAGTTAGTTTAATTAGTTTGTTAGTAAGCAACTTTGAATGGTCAAAAGGGTAATTTTGACTTTAGACGCGTTTTTTTTTTTTTATTATTGTATATACCACATTGACATTTTAAATCATGTAAGAAAAAAAAAAAAAAAAAAAAAAAAAAAAGGAGCTATTTGGATGAGAGATGGTCTACATGTACTTTTTTTTTTTTTTTTTGTTTTTTTTTTTTGCTGTGCAGTCTCCTTATATCCGGAATTCCTCGACTAAAGGTAAGGGGGAGATGTAAAAAAATAAAATAAAAATAAAGGAGGTTTTACTTATAATGGAGAGTAAAGTGGTATACATGTACAAAGAGTAGAGATCTCAAGAATGACATGTCTCTTCTCTCTCCTATCTCTCTCTCTCTCTTTTTTTTTTTTTTTTTTTTTTATTTTATGTCATGCGAAAATGTAAGGGCAAGATGCTCAGCTCATCTCTTTTATTGTTATTGAAGCGAGTGGTTTTTTTTTTTTTTTTTTTACCTTGCGATGTACACTGATGTAAACTTTGCATACTGTTGATGTGAAAAAGCTGTGTCAAGAGCAAAAATGTGGACCTTTCTGATATAGGCACTATACCTACAGTAAGGAAATCATCGGATTGAGTCTTTGCAAAAAAAAAATAAAATAAAATAAAATAAAAAACCATCTAGCATTATGCAATCTGAAAATGCTTTCTTGTGCATGGTTTTCCTAATCATTGTTCTCCTCTTTTTTTTGTCTGCTAAACTTGTAAAATTATAAATATTATATATATATATATATTTACATACAGATGCTATAGGGATAATATCATAGTAGATACAGCTGGCTTATGACTAATCTTTGATTCGGCACGTGTTACAGCCATTTGTATACTCCGCACAGCTGAATGATACATGTACATGTACACGTTTTCTTTTTTCGTCTGATCGTCAATACCGAATGTTACATGCTACAAATAAGCTCGTTCTTTTTTCCGTCGACCGTTATTTATCTGTTGATGCATGCTTTTTTTTTTTTTTGCTTTGCTTTAAGCGTAATGTAAGCTTGTGTATATATGCTATTCACCTTTTATAATTGAATACTGATTTCGACATTTCTGCAAGTTTTTTTTTTTTTTTTTTACCCAATCCTTGTGGCACATGAAAATCATACCAAAATGTCGGACTAAAAAAATCCTGTCACAAGATTTTTTTTTTTTTTTTCTGTGTTCAATTAACTCTTTTTTTATTTGTAATTTGTCAGATCTCAGATACACAAATGACAGTGCCTTTTCCCTTCAGGGACAGGGACAGGGTTCGGATCAGGGAAATTTTTTTTTACAAAGAAGGCTAGGAAGTGCATGAGCACTAGACGGACAGATGCACCAATTGATAGGACAATTCAAAAAATGTAGTGCGGTGCTATATGCCAGGGTATGACAAGGTATGACAGGATGAAACAACTGAAGGCGGGAAGATGAGGGTGGTAGGGGAGAATGGGTAGACAGACATGTAGACAGACATGTAGACAGGCGGGCGGATAGACTGTTATGATTTTGGTCTAAATACTCCCTTTCTCTCTATCTTTGCAAACGGGTGACGGAAGGATGAGGTGGAAAGCATGAGAGAACCGCCCCGTTCCAGTGCACTGACAAATTAGACTTGCATAAAAAATGTTTGCACATTCTCCCCCCCTTCCTTTGTCCACCTTCGTTCCATCCATCCCGCCAATAATGTTGATGGACCAGAGAAACCAAATCGTTGCTAAAGAGATTCAGTGTAACCAAAAAAAAAAAAAAAAAAAAAGATCCCGGTCTAAGATTACATGATTCGTTTATAGAAATGTACATGTGTACTGTAGACGGTTTAGCATAGCTGTAGACCCGGTATACGCTAAAGCATTCTAGAGTCTACCGAATAAGCGATGTGTTGAAATAAAGACATCATACTGAGAGCATATTGAGAAAAAGATTTCCAAGTAGAACACAAACAATACACAGTTTGGGTTCTTGGACCTTGAGAGCATCTTAATATAATACATGTAGTATCCAAAGATCTCACCAATTGACATTCATATTCAAGAGATCACCAATCCCTTTAATATGTCATAGCCTTCATGTGCAGCACCTCGGTATCCCCCCCATCCTCCCTCGCCTTTGAAAATAGGGCGGAAAAAAAAGGGGTATGACAAAAAAAAAAGAAAAAAAAAAAAAGTATAATATGTTTATGGTTGATCAGCATTAGAGGAATGCTTTTTTTAGAGCATACAACTATGTTTGGTGTGTATCCGGAAGAATAAGAAGAGTCGTTGTGGTAATTGATCTCTCTGGTAGAATCTCTTCATGAACAGTCTAAGAGTAATGGTCCGCAGTTTGTGCTTACTCTTCCCTGTAAAAGCAAAAGAGATGTGATCCTCCAGGGACAATTACAGATGAACCTGTCTATCAAGTTATACATACCCTATGCATGAAATCACAGTCCAGTTCCGGCTTCCCCTACCCACCTCGCATTTTTGGTTAGGTAATACATTACATGTCCAATAGTTATGGACAAACTCATTGATTAGATTCGCAAAATATATATGTTTGTATCTGTCACTGGACCCCTCTTTTCTTGCTCATCCACTGGTCTACTCTGATCCATTGTTCTGCATTTAGCTTTTTTTAAAAAATGTTGTTAGCCCTGTATGCTCACTTTGCTGAAAATAGAGCAAAAAAGGAGCCACTTAAAAAAAAGAGAGACAGGGCAAGAGATAAACAAATAAACAAACAAATAGAGACAAAGCGCGCAGGAACGTTTGTGCAAATCCCTTTAGTCTCCACCTTGCCTTACCCTACTCTACCCTGGAATTTCTTTTGGAGAGAACAGGCCTTTTATATATCACAAGTCATTATGACTAGATGCACAAATGGTGTTTTTTTTATTATTATTATTACTACTTTTTTTTCTTTATTCTGTACATGTACATTAGTTTCCTACGTTCATATACAAGACTATGCATTTAATTATATATATCGTATGGATCGTATATGTATACTCTATAAGCTGGAGATGTCGCTGTGTAACCATCTGCTTTGCTCAACGGCTCAGCAAAAAAAAAAAAAAAAAAAAAGAAAAGAAAAGAAAGCCAGAGTACACAGCACAGAGAGTGGGAAATAAGAGATCAAAGCAAAAAAGAGATGTAGTGGCGAAAAATAATAATAATAATAATAATAATAATAAGTGAGTAATGAGCTTTAATGGGCTTATAACCAGACTATAGTTGGGCGTAGTGCGGCAACCTATTCCAGCTCTGGATAGATATCTACAGACACTGCCTCTTCCTCCCCTTTGTCTTGTTGTTACATGTAAACTGTTGTAGATGTAAATGATGCTACCTTTCGTAAAGACGCACATTTGTTTTCTAGGGGAGTGTGGTAATGGTGTTTGTACGATTAGTATTTACATTTAGGTGACTCTCTTCAATCGGGTACATGTATCCAAGTAAAATCTGAAAAGACAGTGCACTGCAGCTCAACTCGACTGTCGACTATGCTCTCAGCTTGCAGCTGCATCTTTCCGCCGCTCCACTTGCTTTGCACCTCTCCGACCGCGTCCATATCTCTCACTCCACACCTCATCCTGACATCAAGTGCATCTCGTTCCTTTGTGCTCCTTTTTGGTTCACATCTAGGTTTTTGTTTTTGTTTTTATCCTTGTCTTTACCGGCGCATGTATATCTCTATACAAACAGCTGCTCTGCCTCACCACTGTCTGTTTGAGCTTTCTCTCCCTACTTCATTGTCTACATATTGATGCTCTCCTTGCTAAAGAGACCTACTGTATTCATTTCAGTTGGTCTCGAGGGAACTCAAGGAGGAAGAGCAATTGTATATATTACTCTTATCATTCTCGTCAAGAAGAGATCGAAACCTTTCAGGAAACCCATTCCTTTTCTCTTTTCTCCTTTTTCTTCTATCTACCTTTCTCCTCATCCTTTTACTTCCCTCTTAATCTTCCACTCATAGTTTCCTTTCTTTTCTTTCTTTTCTTTCTTTCTTTCTTTTTTTTTTTTTTTTTTCTTTTAGTTGTGTTTCCTTGTTTGACCATTCCTCAACTACTAGAAACTATACATTTTCCCCCCCTAATTGCATTCCAGGCACCTGTACGCCTACGCCTCGTTTTTTAATTATTCTCTCTCTGTTCGTTTGTAATTATAATTACCATTTCTCCCAACTTCACTTCTCACTTCATTCTCCACAGACTCGTCCAGATCCATTGAAGTAGCTGCACTTACCCTCACTCACTCTCGCACCTTCCCCTCCTCCCCTAATCATAAACTCTTTAGTTCGCGTTTTTTTTTTTTTTTTTTTTTTTTTTTTTTTTGCCAACCCCCCTGTACCACCACTACTTCCGCTTCATTTTCTTTCATTTTTTTTTTTTTCCTTGTGGTCCTGACAGTTTGTACATTTACCCAATTGATTGATTGATTTGGTCAAGAATACACTTGTGTTCATACATTCTCAGATCATAGCGCGAAGGCATTGTTTCTCAACTCTATAAACACCTTGCGTCTTGGAACAACAGTACAAAGAAAATAATATATAGTAGTAATAATAATAACGGTCAATCTGTATAAGGTATAAAGAAACTGGTCCTCTTCTCTCCTTTTCTCTTCTTTTTCATTCCTTTCCTTTTGTCTCATTCGGTCTCATTCTCATTCCTTTGTTGTCGTTGCATTCCTTGCTCATTCTTTTCTTTTTTCTTTTTTTTTTATTTTTATTTTTATATTGTTATTGTTATTATATTTTGCCAGCTATGACAGTTTCCCGCCAGGAACCAATGTTGACACTATCGTTCGAGGTGCCTGCAGGAGCAGTAGCACATCCATCCAATCGCAGTGCAAACAAAACTATCTATACCCCTTCTTCTTCTCATACAGCTGCAACTACTGCTGCTACTCGGCCATATTCCGAATTCTCGTACCCCGCACAAAGCGATACCACTATACTGGACTCCATGATCAGAACCACTCAAAAAGATCAAAGCCTGCAACATCCTCTACAGAATTCTACCTTCAATTCATCCGTTGCCTCATTTATGACCTCTTCAACAGCAGACTATACTCTTGTGACCCTCAACAACAGCAGCAGCAGCAGGAGTATTTACCGTAATAGTCTTCCTATCCATACAAGCATCAGTATCATCAACGGCAACAACAGCAGTGGCAATCATATCAACCGTAATCATTCAACTTCCCAGATTCACCATCAAAAGAAGGAGCTTCAAAAGCAGGCGCTCAGACAACAGCAGCTTCAACAGCAGAACCAAAAGAAAACGCTGCCATTGTTCCCTACAATACGAACAAGAGGCACCATCTCGAACCAGAATATTATTCAACCAGGTATTTTTATAAAAAACAAAAAAAAAAAAAAAAAAAAAAAAGCATATTAATTTAAGATTTTCACGGAGATTCAATTGATCGTTTATTCAATTAGTGGACAAACACGTTTTATTAAAAATCATTCATTCGCGTTGCATTTTTTCTTTTCTTTTTTTTTTTTTTTTTTTTTTTTTTTTTTGGCCTTGATTGCCTCTCCACCTTTTACCTCCCTGACATGTCTTCAACTGGTTTTGACATGTACTCATGACTATTCTTACTAACGCGTACTTTTTTTTTTTTTTTTTTTTTTTTTTTTCTTTCTTTCTTTTAAAAAAATATCCTATTTATATATCACTCTTTTTGTTTTTCTCCTTTTGCTACTTCTTCAAATGATCTAGTCAACCTTGCAAAGATTGAACTTTTGCCGATCGAATTTAGCCACCAAATCATCTTGGATTGCATTGACGAGATTAAACTGCGAGGTACAGTTTATATAAATATTGCTTACTACAAATAGCAATGAGAAATAGAGAGAAAAAAAAAGACTAGACCTTAAACAGCCTATGGCTCACTGTTATTGTGTATAGCTGAGCATGCTGAGCATGCTGACCAAAGAAAAAAAAAAAAAAAAAAAAAAAAAAAAAGAGAGAGAGAGAGAGAGAGAGAGAGATGAAAGGAATGTGTCGGTTATGGTTTGCTCTCATTGTTGGGCGCTTTTTACTTTTGGTGTTTTGTCATTGTACAACAAACAGAACACACACTTTGCTTTGTATACTCAGCAGCCTGTCTTTCAATGTAAAAACTGATCATGTCTTTTTTGTTCTATTAACAAAACCCTATATAGGATTGAACCGAGAGCATCTCTTCTGGAACCCATTCTATAGTCCCTCTGTGGAAGCAGCCATTAAGCTGTTGATGAACCAAAAGAAGAACCATCTCTTCAATGTCAAGATGATGCGTATAGATACCGTGGGAGGCCTTCTGACCACTGTCCTTTCCCGCACTTACCCTCCTCTCATACCTGAGCATCTCCGTGAGCTGCTCCAGAACCCCAATGGTATCAAACTTTTTGTACCCTTATTGTTTATAAATGAATGCAGCTTTTTGTTGATGTGATCGGTTGTATTACAAAGAGAGAGAGACAGGAATGAATGCACGCCTGCATACGCCAAAAAAAAAAAAAAAAAAAAAAAAAAAAAGCGCTGTGGTTTTCCTCTATATTCACAGAACATGTAAGGATTCTTTACAAACAACACCACAAAACGGGTAGGCTGACATACTTTCTCTTTATTTATTTGTTTATTTGTTTGTTTCTGATACAGGTCAATTCTTTTTCGAGCTATTGTCGATGCTTCCAGAACTGAACCGATTCTTATTTGTGGAGGTTCTGGAGCTCTGCTGCGAATTAGTCGATAACCAGGCGTTCAATCGCCTGAGCAATAGTAAATTATCAATTTATCCTGGGTCATGTTGCTTTGGTTTGGATGAATACATGCCCACATGGGATACGCGATACCTGTTATCTTCAGGCATGAAAAAGTTCTCAGGCGCATTCTATCATGCCATCTATGCCTACCGTGAGGAGCGCGACCTATCTGTAGAAGAGCTTCAAGAGAAACAGGTTAAACGCGACAAGCTCCTGGCAGAGCAGCGACTAGAGGCTCTGGAGAGAGAATATGGGTTGGAGGGTGCACATAATATCTTGAAGAGAGAGGCTAGGATCGCTCAAGGCCTGCCTCCAGATTCTCCAGAACCAACTCCTGTGCCCCAATTGCCTGCAGACTTGAAAGAGATTTCTCTCTATGCAAACAGGAAGGAGATTGTGGTAGCGGACGATAATATTTCAATACTTGACATGCAGCTCGAAGACGGAAGCGAAGGTGCCTCAACAAGTGCAGCAGAAGCAATGAAGCCTCTTTCATCATCAAGAAGCGGTACTGCAGCTCCACATACTCTTGAAAGCGCCAGCAATGAAAAGAAGCAAGAGGAGGAAGAAAAAGTGGAGCATATCATTGAAGACTTGCGAAGGAGTCTCTCTGTGGCTACACTGGAGTCTCTTATAAACCGATCTTCTAAGCCTGCAGCAGCAACTACAACAACCACAACCAAGACTAATTATTACTCAATGTCGCCTTACGCTCCTCGAACTGGATACTATTCATACACAGGACGTAGGATTCGTCCACCTGTGACAAGTGCGGGCAGCAAGTATGCACAGCAACAACCCAATAACACCAGCAATGATGACACCATACTCCGCGCTAAATCAATTGCTCGTTTCTGCTCGGCTACAAAGAACATCTACCCAGTGGCTCCTGGTGACATCTTTGGCATCAGCCGTCAAGCGATTGAACGACGCGAGCTGCAGGGCTTTTTGTTGGTGGCTCAGACGACGAAGAAGAGGCGACGATGCAAGTCTATTAAATCCAAACGGATCCATCAACTTCGCTTACGCAACAAACAATCCCAACAGCTCCATCGTCGATCCTCGGCATCCATGTCTTCTGTCATTTCTTCGGGGCCCATGCCATCGGCAGCAATATACCTTCCAAACGGTGGCATGTACAGAGCCAGGAATAGCTCAATGATAGTCGCAGCGCACCAGCACCGACGGAAGCATGCATTGGCATCCGCTGGAAGCCAGCGTCGTGAACGGACTCGTCGGCTTAGACGAGAGTTGGAGGTTTATTTGACTCAAGGGCTTTCGGACGAAGAGGCTATGAAGCAGCGAAAGATTGATTTGAAGAAAAGGCGAAAGCAAGAAAAACGTGCTCGGGCCCAAGCCCTTGCAGAAGCTGCAGAAGCAGCCAAGCGCGCTGAACAAAAAGTGACTATGGAAGAGGCAGAGGTCCTTGAGGCCTTTGATTATCTGTCAGATCAAGAGCTTGAGGAGTTTTTGACTTTAGCAGGGTTGACCATGCAGGACGTGGAGCGTATCCGAGAGAAGGCAGCAGCTATCGCTTTAAGACAAGTTACAAAAGATATTGAGGGAGTCGAATCAAAGCCAGTCGTCACAGTTGCGGCCGCAGTGATGAGTGAAGCATCCCCTGGCCAGCAGAAGAGCGCTTCAGTTATCCCCAAGATTACGGCGACAGATGTTGATAAGACCTCTGAAGAAACATCAACAGCGGAGACCATTGTTATATCTTTTGGAAGTGGATATGAAGTTTCTGATGTAGACAACATGGCTAATGACAACGCCACGAGCCACAGACGGCCAACGAGCATCCCACATATGAACTCTATGGACATACTCCTCAAGAATGCAAGTATGATTGGTGACAGCAATCTTCGATGCTATCCCGATCAGCAATTAGAACAGCAACAACAAGAAGCGATCCAAAAGACATCAGTTAGTAGTCTTTCACCTCCAATCTCGGTAACCGCTGCTGTGCAGCAGGCTATGGTCGAAAAGGGACAGAGTCATATTACCAACAGAGTTAGTGTTAATTTCGATGTTGATGTGGTGGCTGATGATGATGATGATGATGATGAGGAGGAGGAGGAGGAGGAGGAGGAGGAGGAGAAGCCACCAGCGATGGAAAGCAGGTCATCCAGCGCTGAAACCCTTGTGACGACCAAAACGATCCGTACTCGACCACACCTACCGCCCCACGAGCGAAGAAGTGTAGAATCTCTTGCGTCGTCCACAGACACGATCGTTAGTCCTGTCCAGGAGGACTATGTTGAGATGACAGAGGGAGGACTCTTCCTACAGAAGGTTTCTTCTATGAAGCAAGCTGAGGATGAAGAGGCTGCAGAATTACGTGCGTTGTTGGAGACGATGAGTGCGGAGGAGAGACAGGAGTTTTTGAGGCTTTCAAGTTAAAGAATTAAAAAATTGTGTTCAAAGTATAGTATTCTAATGTTCTAATATTTTAAAAACACGAACAAACACGAACGCGTCTTTGCCAAAAAGGGGAGAAATTAAAAAAAGAAAAGCAAGCAAGCCACAAAGAGCCCAAAGAAAAAAAAAAAAAAAAAAAAGAGTCGCGACGAAGTTTTCTTTTGCTTTCAAAAAGTCTTGCTGGTTTACATCTTGACATTAACAAAAAAAAAAAAAAAAAAAAAAAAAAAACAGATGGCCAAGCTGCAATCAAGATGGGCTCATGCTTCTGAGGTTACAGCACTAGCTTTTGTACCTGACGGGAGGTGTGTGCTAGTAAATATCTTTTTTTTTTATTTAGTCACTCCTTACTTGTTCCTGATATGATTTCTTTTGCAGTTGACTATATAATATTTAAAAGAATGGTCTCTTTTTTTTTTTTTTTTTTTTTTTTTAAAACTGATATTAATGGGCTTCTTCTCTCTCTTTCTCTCTCTCTTTTTTTTTTCTTAAAAAAAAAAAAAGTTATATCGTAGCCACGGCGGATGATTTTGCGTTGCATCTATTTTCACAAAAGGAAGGAAAACCAGCCCGTCAAGCAGAACCAATTGAATCAACTGAAGGAGCAACATGTATTGCGGTCACTGTAAGTGGCGCTTTATTTTTATTTTATTTTTTTCTTTTCTTCTTTTTTTATTATTACTATTTTTTTTTTTTTTTTTTTTTTTTTTTTGTCATTGACATTTGTGATATGGAAGGTCTGATCTCTCTCTATTGTTCTTTTAGCAAGAAAACATTTATGCAGGGTCACGCGATGGTGTTATCCGACAATACGATATAAAACTACAGGAATTCATGGGCATTATCGTCAGGTGCAATTTAGCTGTCAGATGTCTTGCTCTATCCAAGAATCAGAAACTATTGGGAATCGGCACAGAGTAATAATGAAAGGAACAAAAAGAAGGAAAAAAGAGGAAAAAAGGATTATGTTGGTATTGCTTACGATTCATGAAAAATAATTCTTGACACATTCTTGGTATATTCTACTCAGGGAAAACGAAATCAAGATTATCAACTTGGAAGATCCAGAAGAATGTTTCCCACTTCAAGGACATAAAAAGGCAATCAACGCTATAGCATTCGATCCACTCGCTGAATATATGGTAAAGTGATCTTTTTTTTTTTTTTTTTTTTTTTTTTTTTTTTAAAAAAAAAAAATCATATTTATGCAATGAAAGCAACCAATATTAAACCTTTTGTTTTCTTTTTTCTTTCCCCTTCTTCTTCCTCTTCTAGTTGTCATCAAGTTGTGATGGAACAGTTATCGTTTGGGACATGAAGACAAAAAAATCTGCACCATTAGAAATTATCACCGTCATGGCACCAACCAGCACAGAGTAAGACTTTGGGATATACAATATTTAAAACAGGAAAAGAAATTTGTTTTTCAAGGAAACGAGTGTGTCGCTGATCAGCAGTTTTATTAAATCTTTTCTTTTCTTTTCTTTTTTTTTTCATTTTTTTTCTTTTTCATATCTTTATTAACACGTAACAGATCCAAATACAAGATCCCTATTGCATGGCATACGTCTGGAGAGTTTTTTGTCATTGGCAGAGATAAAGGTATGTAAAAGTGCAAAATCGGTATCAGATTCATTCTCAATGTATTAATTTCTTTCAATCAAAGATTTTATGAAACCTGAATCATACCCAAACCACTTTTTCCTTAGACATCACTGCACATCATAGACATACATGGCAAAAATCGTTTACTTATCGCTCAGGATCCTCAGCTGTGAGTACAACAGGGGTATCCTTATGCGGGGAATTGATAAGCGGAAAATATATATATAATGAACTGATGTAGCTATATTATAATTGTTGTTACCATTACCATTGTTCTCTTTGTAGGCTCCAACAATCCTTGCTTGGTCGCCCAATGGCCGATATCTCGCTGCTGCTTCAATAGAAACTGATATTTGGATTTGGAAGTACAAAGAGAAGGAGCAACCACATATCAAGTACGATTATAGGAGGAGAGAGAGTCTTTATTCTTCTTTCTCGCAATTTTATATGATAACTGACTAACTTTTGTCAAAAAAAAAAAAAAAAAAAAAAAAAAAAAATTAGGCATACACATAAAACTGGAGTCACTGACCTTACATGGAGTCCGAGTCGAAATTGCCTCGCCTTTGTATGTTTCAGATGATATCGTTTAAGGATTGAAAGGTTTTCTTTTCTTTTTTTTTTTGTCCGCATGCTTACAGGACATGTATCTAATTTCAAATCCTTGATAAAAAAAAAAAAAAAAAAAAAAAAACTTCCTTTAGGCCGATGCTGCAGGCGAGGTAACATACTGGGAAGAGGTCATTGAGGACGGAACGCCCTTGAAGGAACCAACGCCAGACCCTTTAAAAGGACTCTTTGATGAGCCCACAGCTAGAGGCAATGAAATTGGAGCTCAAGAGACTGAAGGTGCTCAAAAGGATCATGGTAAGGTTTTCTATTGCAATGACAAGTCGTTTTGTTAAATGAGCTCTTAATTTCGATTAAACAATTAAATAACCATATATTCGGAAATGATAATTCCGTTTGGATTTGCCTTGGATAGATATGGGTGACCTGGCTCAAGAGTATTTAAGTGACAATGAGTCACTCCGAGATTTTATCGTTGATGACGAAAATGACCCCTATTTGCAAAAGAAGGCATCCACAGGAGCTCAGAAATCTGGCGCACTAGGAATGCGTGTGGCTAAGGCGTTGCATCCCCGATTTCAGCCAGGCTCCACCGCTGAACGAGATAAACGGCGGTATCTCGGTGTGTGTTTTTGCAATGTCATTAGTTACCACAGCCCTTCAATTTTTAGGATTCTTGATTCTAATGCAAGGCGACATGCTCTCGCCCTTTCTTTTTTTTTTTTTTGTTATTTTTATTTTTATTTTTATTTTATTATATCATTCCTGTAATTTAGCGTTCAACCTTTTGGGCCTCATTACCACAGTTGATCATGGGAATCACGCTACAGTATCCGTGGAGTTTCATGACAAGCTCACCCACCGTGGTTACCACTTTACGGATGGATCTCATTATACGATGGCTTGTCTCGGTAAGTGCATTTGATATAAATCGAGACTTGGACCTTATGTAAATTGAAGGTTTACCGTTCATGAAGTGCAAGCTTAAAATGGCTAAATATTTCAACTTTTTTCTTTTTTAAAAAAAAAAAAAAAAAAAAAAAATGTGTATAATAATATGAAAAGGCATGACCGGAGCCTTGTTCGCAGCCCCAGAAAGAGCAGAAACTCCAAGTACAGTCTTTTTCAGGACATATGACAGCTGGGCCACCAAATCAGAGTGGCAGATTTTTTTGCCGGAAGGAGAGGATGTTACGGCGATCGCACTCAACGCAGAGTCAGCGATTGTATCCACATCCCGTGGGTTTGTTAGGATCTTCTCGCAGAGCGGCATTCAGACTGGTCTATTCAGTCTTGGCTCTGTTATTGCTGCAGTAGGAAAGGATGATATGGTCTTTTTTATATACCATCAAGGCGAGCCTTTTGAAGGTATAGTTATCAATAGAGCCGATCTCTATGCTCTTCGAACGAAAGATGAATGTTTTATTTTTATTTTTTTCTTTTTCTAAAATGCCAACGAATCATCTAACGATTCGTATTTATCATCATCTTCATAGGGTCACAAAATTTGGGCTACTCTATTTACAACGTAGAGACTGCACAGAGAATACAACATGGGTTGCTTCCAGTTCTGGATGATACAATAATTACATGGCTAGGGTTTTCTGAAGGAGGCATTCCAGCATTTTATGACGATAAAGGCGTCATGTATATTCTCAACTACTATCGTAGAGTTGATCAAGGACAGTGGACCCCTATCTTGGACACTACTGCCGTTCAAAACACTGAGTCTGATACAAACAATGTACCACATTACTGGCTCGTTGGCCTCACAGACCAGACAGCTACGTTTGTCAAGTGCAGGGTAATTTTTTTTTTTTTTTTTTTTTTTTTTCCTCCCCTTCCTTATGACTGGATTTGCTATCCGCTAAAACACAAGAAGCCAACTTTTTATTTATTTATTTTTTATTTTATGTATAATCTTCTAGAGAGGCGAAACAGAGCCATCCTTCCCAAAGCCATTTGTGACTGAGCTTCCGCTCAAGGTGCTTACACTTCATCAGGACACCCCAGCGGGACAGCATGAGGAGGCATGGCTTCGTAATAAGATCCTGTCGGGACTCAATAAGGATGAGAAGATTGCTAGATCGATTGAATCTATTGATAATTCAGCCGCGAAAAGAGAGCTAGAGATGGATAAGCTTGCTTTACAAATGATTGATGTAAGCCTACCTGCAATCTCCTTTTTGACAATATATTCTTAATTTTGATCAATTGTATCAGCAGATGCAGCTGACATTATCATATCACGTCCTTTTGTTTATCATTTGGATTGGTTTTGTTATTATTATTATTACTATTTTATTTTATTTTAATTATAGCTGGCTTGTAGAGCTGATCGGACGCAAAAAGCACTGGATTTGACAGCTATGCTTTGCAGCTTGAAATCGATTGATAATGCCATGAAGATCGCACAACATCACAGCCTCCACACACTCATGGAGCGAATGAGCAGAGTCAAGGAAATCAAAATGATGGAGGAGCAAGGACGTGATCCTGAAGAAGAGAGAGAGTTGATCATGGCAGATCCAGTTGTTGCAGTATCTTCACGTAAGAAGGACCAGGACAGCTTTAAGATCTCGTCTAGAGAAGAGGAAGAGGATCAAGTAATATCCAGAAAGCCATTACAGCGACAGGAAAACATCAAACCAAATGACCCCTTTGGTAGACGTGTAGTGAAGAGTAATCAAAACAGCACGGCAAAGACTGCTAGTGGTGGTAATGGGGGAACCGGAGTGGGGGTGGCTGCAAATCCATTCAAGAAGAAAAGTCATTTGGATGGGTCAGGAAGCAGTGGCTCCAAAGCATTTGGGGTGGTAGCATCGAGGCAGGAGGATAGAAATCTTCCAATCACTCGGCGGGCTACAGATGTATTTGAAGCAGCAGATTACCTGGCAGCAGATGAGCAGAGGAGCAAAGCACAAAGAGAGCTAGCCCGACAGGAAGAAGCCTTCAAGAAGAGAAAGGCTGGATCTTCTGGTATTGCAAATGGTGCTAGTAGTGGTGGTGGCGGCGGTGGCCAGAGGACATTGACCATGTTTAGTAAGGCAGTACCTGCTGCTGTGGAGGGATCGGAAACAGATGCAAAGCGCTTCAAGGTACAGCAACAACAACAAGAGCAACAGCAAGAGCAACAGCGTCAGCAGCGATCAATTGATGATACAGATATGATGATGGATGCTGATGAGTTTCTAGAAGGTGAAGAAGCAGGGAACTTGCAAGAGTCTCCCGTTGTAACAACAACGATAGAAGAAGGAGCAGCAGCAGCGAGTGTTAGGATCCCTGCAACACAGGATGAAGACTTTTTGATAGAGGAATCGATTGAAGAAGCGCGAGGTCATCTGGAGAAGACTGCTGTTGAATCATCCACTTCACCGCCTACATCACCATCATTATTAAGGAATTCGAGCTCCGTGTTGGCTGGGTTCCGGTTCAATACATCATCTTAAGGATTTTTTCTTTCTTTCTTTCTTTCTTCCTTTCTTTTTTTTTTTTTTTTTTTTTTTTTTTCTGTGTATACACCTGACATAATGCAGTAGATTAAGACTTTCATACAATAATTTTGGATTTCTTGTGTAGTTCTTGTGATATAATTATATAAATGGTAGTATAACATGTCCTCAAAAACTGTTTAAGGTAATTGAGCCGTGCATATTTCACAGTAAAATGTATTCTTATGTATGGTATACAGTACACAAGATAATATCAGAAAACATGCTCCATGGTTACTCTATTTATGATGCCCGTAGACAAACTTGTAGTCACACTTTGATATGAACTTGAATAAATATCCCAAAGATGTGATGTGTGTACCCATATCTTATTCTCACTTACTTCTGCTCCCTCGCTACTACTTGTCTGTCTAAAATTTTTCAGCCCTTCCTATTATAAAAAACGCCATCCAGACCAAGGATAGAATTAAATAAATTAATCAAAAAAGTATTGTCAAGCCAATACTTTCAATTTTTATAAGACGAAGGCCTTTCAGGGCTTAATCATATTTTGTAGTAGACCAAATCCCATTGTTGTCACCGGCTTGACGTCTCTCTTCCTCCTCTTGCCTGGACTCAACGAAGGTTCTTTCGGTATTTCGAGTTTGGACCCAGCCTGTCAGTGAACATTAATGCACCGCATTTAAGCTACAAGGCTGCTGACGAGCCTAAAACGTCGTAAGGATTCGTGGCTGTGTGCCAAGTCATGGCATGGAGACATCACAAAATAATCACAGGCCTTGAATAAATGGATTTTATGCCCGTTCAAAATTGACCAAGCTTCAATGTTGGATCCTTTCAAATGTAATCCATGGTTTCCATGATATAACCAAACTTCAATGATGGGTTCCTCCAACTATTGATACATGTGCATGATTAAATTGATTGGACACTTAGAGGTATCTGTTGATCCATAAGGTCTTTAAAGTTATATAGAAGGATACTGACGAAAATAAACAGAACTTACAAATTTTTTGTGAGCGTACCAGCGCACCCAAAAGCTTATGTCTAGGGTCGTATGCGGTTTGCAGGTGGAGCAGGTGGAGCAGGTGGAGCAGGTGGAGCAGGTAGAACAGGTGGAGCAGGTGGAGCAGGTGGAGCAGGTAGAACAGGTGGAGCAGGTGGAGCAGGTGGAGCAGGTATAACAGGTGGAGCAGACGACTCTTCCGTGGGCCTGTATTTTGCAGGTCTCTCTGATCTATCAATTTGAGCATGACCGACTCTTGCCATGTTTTCCGCTCCAACTGCGTCACGGTCAAAGAATACTTTACATGCACGGCAATATTTAGATTGAGGGTACACCGTTTCCAAAAAGTTATCTCAGACGGATCGAGGACAGCGGGCGCTGGTGTAGAATCCGTGCACCCCTACAGCGAAGTATTTCAAATGGCAGCCATTTATCAGTAAGGATTCAGAGGGTCAAGCTTGTCGTGCTTTTTGGTTAGCCCTTTTCAAATATAAATGGTTTACTTAACAAAACTCTTATAATTGAAAAGGACTAACCAAAAAGAGCGACAAGCTCGACCCTCTGAAAAAAAGAAAAAAAAATAGCGTAAGTGTGACGTATTTGAATTTATTGTTTCGCATGAAAGTATAAAAGACGCGCTTTTCTAAAACTTTGGAGGCAATCCTTCTCAACTTTAAACATTAAGATGCCACCAAAAAGACAAACACGTCAGGACCAGTCTGAATCTCAGGGTCCATACCCTAACACTCGAACAACTAAAGCCAAGCAGAAAGGCATGTCTTAGTGCTTGATGCTTTGACTGATTGTTTTGTTTTGAACTTTTTAGCATGCACAGTTTTTGAGCATCCATTACTAATGTCTTTTACGCCTTTATCTAGAGAATAAGGATAATCAGATACGAGGTAAGCGGAGAACGGTCTTAAAACTTGAGCAACTTCAACAGGATCTTCAAGTCCTACAGGGTAATGTTGAGGATATTATTACTTATGAAGGCTCAGATCATAAAGAAGTGATAAAAAAAATTGAGCAAGCTGAGAAAAAGCTTAAAGCTTTGTCTACAAAAGGATTCGAGGCCTTTGCCTCGTATAACGAAGAGATGAATCAGCCATTGGAGCCTGGGAGAATCCGAAAATTGATGAAAAAGTTGCGCGAACTTGCCCGGGATGCAAATTTACAAAATTTTGAGCCGGTGATCGAGGAGATTGAGAGCGGGTTGAAAACATGTCCTCGATGGCACTCATTCGACATGGTAGTTGAGACTAAATACTATGACCCAGATGGGAGAGGCGAGGTTAATGCCTGCTATTACATGTGGAAGGATGATACCCCCATATTCCTCGCAGATGCGACTTATTCTTGGCCTGTCCGGGGCGACGTCTATGGCGAGTATTCTTGCGGATTCACACGAAAAGATTGGGAAGCACTCGAATTCGTTCCAAAGGATTTGCATAAATTCTTACCTAAAGAGTCTATAAGTACAGAAATGTGCGAGGGATGCAAATCGGAAGGTGATTTATTTGAAGCGTATCAGGCTCATGATAAAAGTGAATGGTTTTTATGGCTTATTGCAGAGCTTGCAGATGAGGAATCGGATGAGGAATCGACATACTGGAATCTCTTGAAGAAGTTTGTCCCAAAAAGAAAGGCAACAATCCTTGATTAGGACAATCAATATGTAGTTTCTTTGACTCCGCTGGAGGAGCTTTGATCAAACATTAGCTGAAAAAATCAAGAATCTTCAATATTTTTAGTCTATCCAAACATTGAGTTAGATAGTTCTCTTGAACCTCTTGAATGAATATACGGTTCTAATAGCAAAGAATGTAGAGCTTCGGCTTTGTACAAAACTTCTCGACTGCTTGGTGTTCTCGAGGTTTCTGCATATGTTTCCTGTTTGAACTCATCAAAATGAGTTTCGATGATATCAATCAAAATGTGTCTGTGATCTGTAGAAGTATGGTGGGAACCACCAGTATACAGGATTGCCAACAAACATCTAAGCGCCTCAGCATTCCCTTTAAGGTTACGATCATCCATAAGTATGGTAAAACGCGCTGTTGAGATGGACATATGCCTTCGTTACAGAGACCCTAGAGGAACGACCGACCAAAGCAAAGATGGGGTTTCTGAACCTATTTTTGCTTGTCATGGATAATCGTGGAACGACAACTCACGATGGCTATATGTTTCCAGAACATCTATCCTTAGCTTGAGTGCGATTTGATGTGAATGTCTGTTCTCAAAGGTATCCATATCTCTCCTCCGCTACCCTAATATAAATGCGGATGAAACGAAGTCTTACTTCCCTCTAGAAACTTTAATAATAAAGTGAGGCTCGACGTTGCTTCAGACATTGTTGGTTCGGGTGATTTCATAAATTCATTTTTATAGACATTGCCGTTAGAATGATCAGGTTGGTTCTATATTGACAGAAACCAACGGTAGATAGATGATCGTTTTATAATCGATTGGATTTGTGAACAAGAATATGAACAGGAATGGATTAAGAGTCGATGCGTGGGGATCCATGTAAACATAAGGGTTTTGATAAGATATTCAGAAGAAAGTGTAAAGAATGCGAAATGTTGTTGAGAATTTGTGATTAGACGACGAAAAATCAGAGGGTTCGGTCTCCTGAATAAGAGCTGAGTATGTTGAAATTGCCGCAACATAATCTACAGAAGGGATTGGAAAAAGAGTGACCTTAGTCGATGAGACTCAAGGATGTTTATGAAGAAAACAAAGCGCTAGAGGAGAGAGTCTTAAACGCTGAGAAAGAGCTTTCATTAGTGATTGATGAGAAGTGATGCTTCAGACAGATTACAATGCTCTCGCTCTTTCCTACAAAAACCTACCCGAGAAATATCTTACTGCCACTACCGAGCCTTGTTCAATCCTTTCCTCTCAAGAAACAATGCGATCAATGTGGAAAACATATCTATAGGAACACAGGAATACGACCCAAATCACAGAGCTTTGTGAATGCACGCGTGAAAATCCCAATATTTGTAGGCGATACTTCAAAACTGAAGAAAGTACAGGATAGCTCTTAAAATATGAGGTATACCGACTGTTCCGCTGAATCTAATGACAAAGACCTCTTCATTTTTTGCCAATGATATTGTATACTTTGCCTGCACGATAATAAAGACGACCCAATCAGAGATCTACAAGAACAGCTTCAAAAAGGCACGATATACTTCAAAGAATATAAAGAAATAATGACAACGGACAAGGGGTTTTTGTTAGCCAATTTTAAGGCAGTCTTCCCTGATGACGGTACTTCTGACTATATCCCCCAACGCATCTTTATTTATATTTTTTTAAAGTTGAAGAGGAATCAAACTTATCGATAGAAGAGAATGATACTTCCTATTCTTTTTTTTTTTTTTTTTTTTTTTTTTTTTTTTTTTAATTCTCATTGTTCTTGCATGATAATCTTCTCCAGAGCGTCAAGTGCATAGGTGACAATCCTAAGATCAGCCTGCGTCCCCATGTGCCCTATTCTAAAGATTGCATTCGCAGTTTGACCATAACTACATAGATATATTAAATCAAGATAAAAAAAATTAAAAAAAGTAATGGCGTCACGTCGAATATATTCATTATAAAATATCACAGCACAGCATTATCACTTGTGTCTCTCTGCTACTTCGGATAAAACTTTACCTTCCACCTAAAAGAACGCCTTCATTACGCAGCTTTTTGTCAAGCTCCTCCCAAGTCGTATTTTCAGGCACACGGATTGCAGTAACAGAAGGTGAGTTCAAAGAGACACGCTCTTGGTCCCACCAGAGCTGCAGACCCATCTTTTTCACACGCTCGCGACAGTACTTGGCGACTTCCTCATGGCGAGCATAAACTTCTTGGACGTGCTCGTTGTTTTCTCCATAAGTTGCTTTGAGCTGCTCATTGAGCGCATCTATTGCCGACCACAAAGGTGTATAAGGGAATTCCTAGAGATTGGGGAGGAAATACGAAAATACAATGAGTTTGCCTTGATATAATAATAGTAAGTAGTCCAAGGGCAGAAGTATCACTGTGATGAGATATGTTGGCTGCTCGTATCGTTCATTTACCTTCTCTAAGGTCTTGAATGGTAATAGCGCATCATACCCTATATATGCTACCTTCTTTATCTGCTTCCATGCTTTACTGCTCACTGTGATAACTGCTAGCGAGGGCTCGCATGAGAATGTCTTTTGGGAACCAACCAAGCCTTTTTTTTTTTTTTTTTTTTTTTTTTTTTTTTTAAAAAAAAAAATACGTTAGGTAATAGTATTTGTAAAGGACAGCACCGCTAGTGAAAGTATAGTTTTTCATACGGACAAGGCAATAGAAGTAATGTTTTTCTTTTAAGCGCGTGCAGCCGTACCAATATCGATGTTCCAGGCAGAAACCTCGATTGGAGTCGCTCCTGCAGAGCTAACTATGTCGACATAGAACAATGCGTCTGCTTTGGAACAAGCTTCACCGATCATACGTACCGCTTCCGTGTTCAGCACTCCAGTAGGAGTATCACAATGTACCACTAAATACAAATGACAAACAAGGCAAGTAGCATCGTCAGCAGTCACCTCATGCACCTCCTTTTTTTTTAAAAAAAAAAAAAAAAAATTCTCCCTTACTTGTTACGAGGTCTGGTTTCCATTGATGAATAGTTTCCAAAACTTGTTCGACGTTGACGGGCTGGTCCCATGGGCCTTGGGCAGCCTTGACCTCCACATTTGGATATCTCAGGCTACGCACCATGTCATATATACCATCGCCATACACACCATTACCAATACAGAGAACCCTATACTTATTAGCAAACAAGTCTTTGGAGAAGACGAGATCCCCTTTGGCATCATAATCGTATACCCAGGGTATCAAAGACTTGAGTCCTCCCCAAAGGCCTGCCATTGCCTCACCAGACATGATCACAATCGATCCATCATCACTATCAGCTTGTTTTTGTTGGTGAGGCTCAAACGACAGCAATTTCTGTAGTCTAGAGCAGCACTCGTTGTAGACTTTCAGACACTCAGGCTCCAGGTCTCCACTTCCATAGAATGAGTTGCTATACAAGTCCTTAAGGCGTTGTGGAACGATAGTTGGCCCTAATTTTTTTTTTTTTTTTTTTTGTGAATCCTGTTAATCTCTTTAAAACAAGGTATTTTTTAACCTTTCCTAAATACCTGGAACGAGGTGCGTTCGTGGTTGCTCCATGATTTGATTTGAGGGATGAGTAAAGAGTAAAAGAACGAAAAAAGAAAAAATCAACAGATGAAGGAAAGTCCGAAGGAAATACGTAAAAAATCCTATACGTCAAAGAAAAATGCGTAAGTTCAGTGCATATTAGAATTGATTATTGATCAAGAGTCCCAGAGGGGTCAGGTCAATCGATGACAATGACAAGGCCTGTAGCGCCACGATATCAGGGACTTGTATTAACTACACGTTTGCACGCGTGTCGTTCATTCAACCCACCTTCGCATCATATGAATGAAGAGATGATGTTCCTTCGAGCTCTCTACTGGGTGGATAGGCTCCGATTTCACCTCACATCAAAGAATTATAGCCCAAATCCCAAATCTGTGTTAAAATCACGCAATAATGGGTGAATTGACTACTGCTTGCAATGATCCAAAATTTAGGTCGCAGAGTACAGAAGGCCAAAATATTAGGCCAAGTTTTTACCATCGATAGCATAACAAAGCTGACACCAAAGTTTTGCCCACAACGTCTTGCAGCCTGGCTTCGAGTCGCTTTATCTATATAAAGGAGGTATAGGTTTAATGCATGGCGCATATGAAAATACAAGCGAGGTAAGCAATTTCGGGTTGAACTCAAATGACATTTCAACCTGAAGACTGTACAGTCACATGAAGAAATTTTACGGCAAATTCTATTTTTTTTGTAATTTTTTGAGCACCCTTGACAAACAGATCATAGACAACATACACAAAGACTTTATCAATCAACATGAAACTTTAGAATTCGTTAAAGAGGTCGATTTTGTTTCTTTATGGAGGTTTTGAGGATATACTGTATGAAAGGTAAAAGTACTATGTGGGTTTAATAATGAGTGTGCCCACCTTTAGCCTTCCTCACTTCTTTCAGCCTGTTGGGCATGGAATCAACAAGGCTTGCCAGTTTCTCTTGTGGCAAATTATTCCACTCCTTAGTAAGAGCTACTGCGAGACTGGGGAGATCTCTTGGTCCTCTGGAGCGCTTATCGAGTGCATTAGCGAGAAATGACCATACACGCTCGATGGGGTTTATATCCGGAGAACATGCTGGCCAGTCTGGAATCCTAGAGATGTTGTTATTTTCACGCCATTCTTTTGCTATCTTACAAGTATGGACTGGAGCATTATCCTCCATGAGAATGCCGCCCTCTACTTCAGCCATAAACCTGATTAGTTCAACTTTATATACATCTTCCACAAAACACTGCCCATCTCTACGACCTCGTTTAAATATAACCAACCGAGACTTTTTGGTTGATGTGAATGCCCCCCAGACCATCAAGGATGTTCTACCACTCTTGAAAGTGGGTATAAGGCAATCGTGGTCGTACTTTTCCTCCGCCGTACGCCAAACTCTTATCTTACGGAAATTCTCGCCAACTTCAAATGACGATTCATCAGTCCAAACTACCCGACTCCAATCTTCATTGGACCAACTCTCGTACTTTTTGGCAAAAGCCAGTCGCTTCTTCATATGATCTTCATTTAAGTATGGTTTTGGAACCGCGATCCGGCTGAAGATACCCAGTGAATGCAATATCTCTGCAACGGTCCTTGTGCACACTTTCTTCGCCAATTGATTGGTGATGTCCTTAAGAGTGGCTCTCCTTTCTCTCTTTGTGCAGCGCACTATGCTCCTGATATCTCTTTCACTCAGTGCTCTTGGTCGTCCTGGGGCGGGGGCGCGAGCGGTGGTACCTCTTTTGTAATATCTTTGAATAATAGTGTAGACCGTTGATCTTGATACATTACGTTTCAGCGCGATCTCCGCATCCTTCATTCCCGCAAGATGCATTCCAACCATGATAGCTTTATCCTCGATATCCAAATTTAAAGGCATGGTGGTTTTTTCAAGTTGTTATTGTTGTGAAAAATGAGAAAAAGAAAGAGAGAGGATGATGCTATCTTCGCGTCAATTATTTTCTAAATTTATTTTGCCGTATAATTTTTTCATGTGACTGTACAACAGGCAAGTTCGATCAATTTGGCAAGAGCGACTCCCATCATTAAGCACCACCTTTGGAGTTCTTCTACTGAGCTGAATCATATTTACATCAGGGACCAAGCTGCCGTAAATCAGAGCAGCGATGCTAGTTAGGCTACGTTGGTCGGGAACAAGAATTACTTGTCCATTTTTTGTTGTTTATCTTTATTGTTGTTTCTGTCTACAACCTTCCTGATCTCTGAAGGTGTCTTCAGGGCACAATTGTTACCTCTGATTTGCTGCCAAAAATCAGGTATTTTTCTCGACGCCACAAATTGACGTGTCTCGCGGCCATAGTTTATACTTTTCATCTCCATCTTTAATGTCAGCGTTTGCTTCATTGCCATCTACTCTTTTGTCCTAGACAGCATCCATTTTAGAACATAAGAGATACCCTTCCCCTAGCGATTTCTTTTATTTTATTTTATTTTATTTTTTTTAACTCATTCTCTTCGCTTCATCAATTATCCTTTCCTCAGCAATGAATCCTGCTAGAGGACGCGCACAGCCAACTTCACACTTGTCCCTGAAACGGACTCTTCTCCGCTCTGCCCTTGTCCTCAGCGCTGCTCTTGCTTGTGTCAGCGCAGTTAAGCGCGAAGACTTTAAGACATGTAGCCAGAGTGGTTTCTGTGCCCGTAACAGAGCTTATGCTGACTTGGCAAAGGAAACTCCTAATTGGATGTCGCCTTTCCAGTTGAGCTCTTCTTCATTAAAGCTTCAACGTGGAGTGCTTACGGGGGATTTGATCAATACCCAGGAAGATACCCAGGCCTCGTCAAAGCTAGGATTGACTTTTGAGCTACATCTGCTGGAAAATGACGCTGTTCGTGTGCGGATCAATGAACGTGATCCTGTTCATCCCCGATATGATGGTGTACAGGATACAGTTCTGGTCAAGCCTTATGAGTTTGCAAAAGATTCAACTTATCAGCGAGTTGATACGGACAACGATGGCATCTTCACCATTCAGTATGGAGCCCAGAATCAAAACACAGTCAAAGTCAGCTCTTCACCTTTCAAGATAGAATTCTTTGTCAATGGTGTTTCAACCGTAGTATTGAATGATGAGGGTCTCTTACGCTTGGAGCGTTTAAGAGACAAGTCAAAAGAGGGAGGCGATGACACCAAACTAGTCGATCAAGCTCCAGAAGGAGGTGAAATCAAGATTGAGAAATCTGAACTGGAGCGTAAAATGGAGGAAAATCTTTGGGAAGAAACTTTTAAGGGCTCTACAGATTCTAAACCTAGAGGTATGATGATAGCTTTTTCAGAAACATGGATTTATTAATCCGTCGGATGATTGGACGATAGACTAATACGAGAACGATGGATATTATTATCTCAATGACATAGGTCCCGAGTCCTTTGGTCTCGACATCACATTCTCAGGGATTCAGCATGTCTATGGTGTACCAGAACATGCCTCCAGTCTATCACTCAAGCCAACAAAAGGCGCTGGCGCGGCCTATAGTGATCCTTATAGGCTATATAACCTGGATGTTTTCGAGTACGAGTTAGATAATCCAATGGCACTCTATGGATCGATTCCCTTTATGCTTGGTCATAGCAAGAATAGTACAGCGGCTGTATTCTGGATGAACGCTGCTGAGACATGGGTGGATGTGGAGAAGACCCTGAGTGATGAACAAGACTCTGGAATCCTCTCTTGGATCAAGGCTAAAAAGGTTGCCCTGAAACCATCGACTAAGACCCATTGGATAAGTGAGGCCGGAGTACTTGATCTTTTTGTATTCTTGGGTCCTACACATCGTGATATCTTCCATCAGTACACTTCCTTGGTGGGCACAACAGCTCTTCCTCAAGCATTTTCAATTGCATATCATCAGTGTCGCTGGAATTACAATTCACAACAGGATGTGACTGAAGTTGATGCTGGATTTGATCAGCATGATATCCCGTATGATGTCCTCTGGCTAGATATTGAGCACACGGATGGCAAGAGGTACTTTACTTGGGATCATGCTAAGTTCCCCAATCCTGTGGATATGCAACAATCACTTGATGCAAAGGGCAGAAAGATGGTGACGATCATTGATCCTCATATCAAGAAGGATGACAACTACTATGTCTCGAAGCAAGGCGCGGAATTGGATATCTACATCAAAAACAAGGATGGAGAATCTTCATTTGAGGGTTGGTGCTGGCCAGGAAATTCACAATGGATTGATTTTTATAACCCTAAAGCAAGGGACTATTGGGCTTCCCAGTTCGCATATGACAAATATCAAGGTTCGACCAAGTCTCTGTTTACATGGAATGATATGAATGAGCCCTCTGTCTTCAGCGGGCCAGAAATCACTATTCCCAAAGACGTGCTTCATTATGGCAACGTAGAGCATCGCAATGTCCATAACCTTTATGGAACAATGTTTGTAAGTAGAGATAAAAAGAATTTTATCTTAATTTTCGCCTACAATATCCATTTATATTTTATGAAGTGCAGCAGTTTATTTTTTTATTTTTTTATTTTTTTTTAAAATAGCATTCAGCTACAGCGCAAGGGTTGACGCAGCGCAATGAGACAAACCAGCGGCCTTTTGTTCTTTCTCGCGCCTTCTTTGCTGGTACCCAGCGATATGGAGCCATCTGGACAGGTGATAATATGGCGACATGGGAACATTTGGAGGTTGCATCTCCCATGCTGCTGACAATTGGATTGTCTGGTATTCCATTTTCTGGAGCAGACGTAGGAGGGTTCTTTGGAAACCCTGATGCTGAGTTGTTGACTCGTTGGTATCAGGCTGGAATCTACTATCCTTTTTTCCGTGCCCATGCACATCTTGACAGTAAGCGTCGAGAACCTTGGCTCTTCGGAGAGCCCTATACATCGCAAATTCGTGATGCTATCCGTACTCGCTACTCTTACCTGCCATTCTGGTACACCCTCTTCCATGAAACTAGCGTCGATGGAACTCCCATTATCAGGTAAAATCTAGTCAAGTGCTTTGAGTATTATTATTCTTATTATTCTTATTATTATTCTTATTATTTTTTTTAAAAAAAAAAAAAAAAAAAAAAAAAAAACTTTTACTAAGATTTGCAAATTTATATATATAAAAGACCTATGTTCATAGAATTCCCAGAAGATGAAGCAGTCTTCGCCCTGGATAATCAATACATGGTCGGAAATGCACTGTTGGTCAAGCCAGTAAGTAAGCCTGGCGTAACCGAGTCAGAGGTTTACTTTGCAGGAAACGAAAAGTGGTTCGACATCAAGAGCTACAAGTGGGAGCAAGGACCTGGTGTCAAGAAGGTAGCATCGCCTGCGGACAAAATTCCAGTCTATCAGCGTGCTGGAACGATTATCCCCAAGCGTGAACGACCTCGCCGATCCTCCAAAGCCATGGAAAATGATCCCTTTACGCTTGTTGTTGCGCTGAGCAGTCAAGGCGAGGCATCTGGACGGATTTATCTGGATGATGGGGAGAGCTACGGATATCAGCAAGGCGATTTTATTTTACGTGAGTTCCGTGTATCTAATGGAAAGCTTTCATCTCATAATCTGAAAACGTTCAACAATAAGCCCTCCGATTTTGTGCAGAGGATAGGATCACTTCGGATTGAGCGTCTGGTGATTGTTGGTGAGGAAAAGCCGTTGACCAAGGTCACTGTGGGCGATAAATCTGTTGAGTTTTCTTCACAAAAGATAGTGGATGGTAGTTATGTCTATATTGTGAAGGAGCCAGGAGTGGCCATAGGCGAGGACTTTGAAATCCTTTTAAGATAATTAGCACGAGTAATTTAATTGCGACTATTCAAAACAAATAAAAATAAACAAACAAACAGTCCGCGATACGCGTTCTTCGCAGTGTTGTTATTTTCTTCTCCATTACCTTTTTTATCTTTCTCTTCGTGTTTCTTTTGAGTCTGGACTTGCAGGGATGGATCCAGATACAGAGTCAATGCTAGTGTCAACCTGTTTGGCACTAGGTGGATTCGAAGATGTGTCCACAGACATGGATGACGACCGGCAGGAGTATGTCATGGGCGACGAATGTCTAGGTAGAGTCGCAATGACATTTAACATGAGGGACAAGCACAGTTTATTTTGACCATCCACGAGACTAGATACAAACAATACTTTTTTTTTTTTTTTTTTTTTTTTTTCTTTTGTAGGATGTCTCAAGGACATTAAGAAATTCATCAAGTATTATGATGAGCCAGGCGATAACGTAGTCCTTACCTTCCTAGGAAAGATGAAAATACTTGAAAAAGATCTGATCCCTATCATACTTCTTAATTCGCCTGCGGAGGATAACCCTGTCAAGGAGCGACTTATCCTCGCTTGCAGTATGTTTCCACTCTATTGTTACTGTTATTGAAGACTACAGATAAAGGATAGGAAAAGCGAGTTTGTATATCAACAGAAAAAATGTTTTAATTACTTTTTTGTGTCCTAGTTGAGTTGATTGTGCCTATGACCTGGATTATTGATTACAAAGAGTTACAGAAAATGGTAGCGTCTGAAGAGGACAACAGTCTTGTGGGGAATCTCCATCAACGGCTTGAATTATTGCGTGAATACAAAAAGGCATTTTTGACACCAGGAGTTCTTCAGGCGGTGTTGTCAGTTATGGTCAAACCTTTGGAAGTATCGGAAAGGCTGAGGACTACAAGGGATTTTGCAATCATTCGGCTAGGTCTGTCCTTGCTCCGTAATCTAGTTGCGATCCCAGATGCTGAGAGTAAAACGTCAGGAACCATGGATCAATATATCAGATCTATTATGCAGGTATCACCGAAATTATAGTGCCAATTTAATATGGCAGTGTGGTGCTCTTTTATTATATATATATATTGAAGTTGTTATCTTAAACAGCATTGTATTCTATAAATCAATAGGAAGAGCTGATTACAAGATTCGAGAAGGAGGGTATCACCGCATTGCTCATCTTCCTTGCATCTTCAGCATCCAATCCGAAGTATTCGGACTTCAACGCCATGACCTTGGAGATCCTGTATTATATGTTTATTGGAATTGATCCCGAGGCCCTACTTTCTACTGCGTCGGCAAGTCGTTATCCTATCGTCTTATTTCTGACATTTCATGAACAATATGACTAAAACGCTTGCGCTAATACGTTGTTATCGTATCTTTAAAAAAACAGGAGCGGAAAGCTAATGCACAATTACTGGAGCTGCTAAATAAAGAGGAGAAGGCAAAAAGTATACAGTCAAGTGCTGGACGGAAACGACATGATCGCTTCGGTACAACTGCTGAGATTCGTCTGCAGGTAAGCTTTATTGCATTACGACAAGACGTGCTCCAATCAAACTTGGCCACATTATTGAATATATATCATACTTTTATGCGATATCTAGGACGGGTCAAGGGTAGTTTTGCATTCAAAAGGTTCTCTTTTCAAGTCCTTTGAGTCACAAATAGATACCAGCAAAAAGGCAAAAACAAGGACTAAGCGCCATAAGGTATACCACTGTTAAGGAAAAGAATAGCAAATTTATAACTGGCCCTTTTTTTTTTTTTTTTTTTTTTTTACAAATAATGACTTTCAATGCACTTTTATTTTATTTTTCTTAGGAATTTGATGAGTATAAGAAATCTATCAGAAGCACAGGATTACGCCAATTGCGAACCTTAGCAGAAACATTACTAGGGAATGGCTTTAATGGTATACATCCTATAAACCGATGATGGTTTTTTTTTTTTTTTTTTTTTTTTTTTTTTTTTCGTTGCTTACTAAGCAGTTCGTGCTGTCGCATTGTCTTGGCTTTTAGCACTGTTTGGCTCACTGCATCGCGATATCGAGATGATGAGGGAGAAGATAAAGGGCTATCATCGTCCTCAATATTATTATGTTATGGCTTTTATGCTCAAATTTCAGCGTCTCTACCTTGAGCACGTCGAGAAAGAGTATGCGGAGCAAAAGAAACAGGCACAAGATCGTGCATATCAACTCGAAGGCGTTGAGAAGGCTTACCAAGATGCGCTGCAAAAGTGTGATTATGACTTGATTGCGGTAGTAATCGATAAAACTTGCGTCTTTCAGCTCATTGGATACCTTCGTGATCACATGGATATGAAGTTCAAGGATAGGGTAAAGTCATAATGAATCATTACTATTGGCTTTATTACCATATTGTTCACTCGAGTCAAGTTGAGCTTGCTGGTTCTTACCTTTTGGCGTCTGTCCTATTATTTAGCAATGGGACGAAATCAGGAGAATTATAAACTGTTTTCAGGAAATGGTGAGCTATGAACGTTGTTATTAGTCGATAATTGTCAAGCATATAACTTGCTGATGCTCTGAGTGGTTCAACTAACATTTATGGCTTTGCAATCTTGCCTTGCTTCTGTTGGCAGCTTATGACTCTTTATGCAATGACCAAATCGCCGAACGAGGATTATCGTGATGCATCGGATATTGTCCAAAATAATTTGTATTATGAGGATTCCACCCTTGAATTGTTTCTGAATCTTGCAAGGCAGTACAGCACCCAGTCTCAACTGTAAGTTCCTTTCATTTTTGCGATGTTGGATAATGATGATCTGTAGCGCGGCTCTCTGATGTATTTATGAATTTGATTACTAGGTATTTGCACACTCTGGTCAGAATGATCCACATTCTTCTCAAAACTTTGGAGAGTTATTCGAAATCTAAGAGCCACATGTTCATTCTTAAGAAAAGAGCTATTAAGAAACGCAAGGATAAGGAAAAGAACGATGCGGGAGTCAAAGATAATGAGCATCAGCAAGCCGCAAATGTTGGTGATGGTAACCCAACCCAAGCACAAAGCGAGGCTCAACCCATGCAAGATGTCCAGCAGGAGAGTAGTCAAGCCGAAAAAGAACGTGAAAGAACAGAAGACGATGAAGAGAACGAAGCAGATATCCCAACCCACACAATGCATGAGCACCAGTTTGTATTCAAGGAGTTTGAAAGGGTATATTTGATTCCATATGAATGTATTAGGCACGCTAGAAATCAATTATATTTCAAAATGTTGCTAATACCTTTTTTTTTTTTTTACGTCTTTTCATTCACTCGATTTCAATGATAATGTAGAGATTCGCAACCGAGAGTGTTATACATACATATTGTGCGTTCTTGGAAAACTTTCATGAGTTGGATGAGACGCAACTTCACTGGGCTGCATCCATGTTTCATAGAATGGCTGTTAATGCAAAGAATCCTGCGATTTTTTACAAACTCTCGACTCTACATCTGTTTCATACAATCCTCCAAAGTAACCATCCCGATGCGAAGAGAGATATGGTTCCGCTCATTTCATATGTGTTGCATCAGTTCTTCAAAAAAATGAGAGAATACCCTCTATTGATGGTAGAGGTCTTTTATCAGAAAACAAGTAAAACTTGTTTGGACATCAATGTCGGTAGAGAGGAAGCTGAAAAGGCCAAGAAAGAGATTTCGGAAAAGAGAGAGAAGAAGTACGGCAACTTATTCAAGGCGGTTTCCTTTGAACACTTCCTTGAGTTTATCTTGATAATTAATAAGCAGAGCAGTTATTCTAACTTTCTTATAATTTCCAATACACCATTTTGTTACATTGCTTCCTGGTTTGTCTAGACTAATGGAGACAGAGCTCAAGATAGATCCTAACCAACCAGAGTCTGAGCAGATCAAGATTGCTGTTACTGCTCTACTTGATGAAGATGAAAGAGAACTTGTCGAATGGGTCGTTGAGGTACGTGAATGCTATTGGCTTTTGTTGTGCTCAAGCGATAATGTAGTATTTTTGAAGGATCATGTTTTAGGGAAAAAAAAAAAAAAAAAAAAAAAAAAAAAAAAAAACTCATTTGCCTTTATTTCATATTTTATCTTTATAGCTTCTTAAAGATGCAGTGGCAAGGCGGCATTTGATGACCTTCGATTCCGAGAGTGAGCTGGAGCAAAACCCTAGTTTGATGCATTCTATTGAGAGCGTTGAGGATATTGGTATGTCTTTAATATCAACCATTTTGTACACGACGCGTGAAAGAGTACTTGTTTTGAATACCATTCAAACCCAGGCTTCCCGCATGTACACTTTTATCTAGCAATCGTTCCGGATAACCCTGCAAGGCAGCAAGCGATCCGAATTATGCCTCGCTTTCGACTCTTGCTCAATCTACTTCAATTCAGGAAAGAAATAGGTAGGGAGAGGTTTTTTTTTCTTTTTTTTTTCTTTTTTCTTTTTTCTTTTTTTGTTCATAAATATTTATATCTCAACTTTTGATTTGTAGCGCTCGATGGCATACACTACATTATCCCAAAGGCCATCCCAACTGACACGTTATCGCAGAATCAGGAGATCATTGAGTCTGTCCTTGAAGAAGATCCCAAAAACTACAGTCATTATGATTACTCTGCATTGATTCAAAAGATTAATGCATCAGCAAAGAAGAAACCGAAGAGGCGAGATGAATCTGGCGAAAGAAGGGAGAGGGAGGCAGTGGTTAAGAATCCTGTGGCGTATCATTCAGCGGAATATGTCATTGATTCCGAGGATGATGATGAATCGTATTTTGAGGCCGAGAAGCGACTGAGGACACGAATCGGTGATGAGTTTCAAAGGGCGGAGGAGAAACAAATGTTGATTAATGCAAAGAATGAGTTACTCAAGAATCAAAAACGAAAGAAAAAGCTCATTCCTGAAAACGAATCCAAAGGAAAAGGGTATTATGAAGTGGGAAAACAGCTGAAGGAGCGTCTTCAGGAGCATCATAGCACAATGGCAATGGGAGAACAACGGGAGCATGAGAACAATATGTTGCAACAAAGACAATACCAAGGATCTGGGCTCTTGAGGAATATGACAAAGTCAAATAAGAGAGTCTCCATCTCACTAGCAGACGATGAAGATGAGGAGGAAGTTGTAGAAGAGGAGGGGGATGAGGAAGGGAGAGTTAGTCATCTCTTCCGATTTAGCGATTCGGAAGAGGATGATCAAGCAACACGACCTGCGCCTAAAAGTCTTAGTGATGTCGAAAGCAACGCTGAGAGCGATGACAATGGCAAGACTTATAAACTATCGAGAGCTCTTCCACGACAGCAGTATGGCGTCCGAAAGAGAGTAATTCTATCAGATGATAGCGACAATGATAAAGGCGGTAGTGAGAATAGTGATGGTGACAAGTCAACAAGCGCACGGACGGGGTCATTGACACAGCGGCTGGAGGCACAGACAGCGGTAAACAATAAAAGAAGGATTATCCTGGCCGACTCTGATGTAGACGAAGACGAGGGTATGGCTGAAGATAGATATAGTGCAGGAAGGGGCGTGCTTAGTAACTTATCAGCTTCAAATGATCGACCCGCAAAGAAAAAGGCAGCCATCGAAGATAACAATGTCTTTTAAACATGCAAGCATGCACAGACAAAAAAAAAAAAAAAAAAAAAAGAATGCCATTAATCGCACACGTATATACAGCCCCTACAAAATAAAACTGCTTTCTTGATTAGTGACACTCTCGTTATTAACACTGATGAAGGATTCATTCGGCAGGGTCAAAGACTTGATTTTTTTATCTCTTTTGCCACCATTTATGAATGTATGGGACAACTGACGATGCAGTTATATATTAAACTGACAATGAATTTTTATTTGGAGTGATTGAGGTGCACGTTCAAAACACTTTGACATTTATTGGATCGCGTGAAGACAACTTATGATATATAGAAATATAAAAATATACAGATATACAAATATATATTTTGTTCGACTCAGGCTATTTCAGGGACGTTGAATGAATGAAACCGTTTGTTGCATGTAGCGATGGAATTGCCCATCCTGCACGAGGCTGTAGTTTTGATGGTTTGAATGCACAGACAAGAGCGAGCTTCGTGCATAGCTCTGCAGGCCTAAGAGAGTGGGCAGGATAAGGAGATCTCTAGGCAACCGCAGCATGCTGGTCATGCGACAAAGACTCGAGATCAAGAAAAAAGAACAATAGAGGCTGCAGCTTTCTCATTATGAAAGACACTATCGCCATATAACCATGGCAACGTCAGAGAGATCTTTTATGTTATTCTTATTTTGATTCCCACAATGGGTAGTATGGTGTTGATGAGCAGCTGTGAATAGAATATAAAATAATGTGAATAAATAAATAATAAAAAGGCACCAAACTCTTCGCCTGTCTGCCGCGAAGCAGACAGCCCAGGGCGCACCACGTGGAGGTGGCCTGGCTGCGTGTCCCCCGGACCAGAAGCCCTAGGGCGGTCTATCGACACGTACCATCTTCGGGCCGACGATGGAGCCCGTTGGAGAGAGGCTAGCACTCTTGAGCGTGCTAACACACCGCTTTAGAGGCCGTTGGAGATTCAAAAGAGAGCGAAAAGAGAGGTCTTTTTATACATTGTCAGGACCTAATGACTTGCTTTCTTTTCATTTGTTACCAACCTTTGACATGGTCGATCGATTGCGGGACCTTTTTTTCGTACGAAAAGCGCTTCACAATTTGGAGGTTTTTTCATCTTTTTCCAAGAAAATGCTAATGATATTGAATGAAAATGCACTTAATTTCTCTTCATACAGTGAGATATCGAATAAGCATCCACATGGCTATAATCCTGTCTGCTTTTGTTTCTCTCTTGGCATCCAAGGCGATCTGGTTTTTTAAATTTTATCTGCACGTCTTTGCTAGGCTGGTCTGTGCTCTCTTACCGTCTAATTCTAATAGAGTTTACCTGTTTGTTTGTTTTGGTTTGGTGGAAAGACAACAAAGCGGAGTAAGTGTATTTACAAGTGTGGAGCTGCAACCTTAAACAAAAAAGACCCTGAGAAAGACATTGCTTGTCTTAATGTCTTGTTGTCTTACTGTTTTGAATGCCAGGATAGTCATGGTGGTCGATTCCAATACAAAAGTAGACAGCCACACCATCAAGGCAGGCTGCTTACATAATTGGTAGCGATCGATGACTGCTCTTTACAGATAAAAAGCAAACTGTTGACCATTCTTGTTCAACGTTGATGGCGAAAGAAACAAAGATAAAAAAAGATATCGTGGCTCTAAATCCCGGCAAAGAATTTCCTTTCTATCGTCGCTATCAAGTGAAAATAAATAAATAAGAAAGGGAGTGAAATCTATGAACTATACTCCATTCGTTGCTGTGTCCTGAGTGTCCCCTCACCATCCTATACTTATTTTATTTGGATGAATCCTATTCTATACCTGCCTAATGATGACTTTCTGTTGAAAAACAGGCGTTCATATCGATGAGCGGTCAGTAAGTTGATTAAGTGTCTTTGGTAGAGACTATGCAGGGGCAAGGTGGTATGAATTGTAATGTAATAAAATCACACCTTCATGGACTATGATAATGGGTGGTGTTTTTTTTTTTTTTTTTTTTTTTTTTTTTTTTTTAATTTGGACCATTTTCACTTTTATTCCATCTTCTGCTTTATTCATACAATATATCTTTCATTTTACGATCTTTATCTATAGTTTGCTGATCTGTCGCACGACGGGAATGTCTAACTGCTCACGCATCGACCCAAACTCGACTTGGATAAGAATTTGGTCACTGCCAGTCCATACTGTCCCTGTCGGGGGCAGATACCGCACATGAGATAACGCCAGGTTGAGTTGTGCCATGCTGACAGCTTGTCCGAGATCCATCTGAACTCTTTTCGCACCTGCACCAGACGAGTTCATGACAATGGAGCCTTCCTTTACCGTAATTAATATAGATGCCTTTTTCAGCGCTAACGCTGCATCATCTTCAAATGGTGAAGATGACTGCTGTTGTTGATCTCCGCGCACAAACACCGCATCAATGCCTCTGAATGTACCTGGAACTTTGGCTAACAAAGAGTCCTTGGGCGAGACAGCGATTAGTGTTGATGGCACATGATAGTAAAGAGTCTTGGGCCCTTGAAGTCTCGAGCTGTTAAAACGATGATTAGTGGATGTTGCTGGGAAGAGATCTAGGCTCCAGATTTTGAATGCTGCAGCAACCACACTTCCTTCTTCGATTTCTTTTTTGTTAGTGACTTTCCCAAATAAATGAAGGCCAAACCCGTGTTCTTCCAGGCTTAAGAGCTCGTCTTCAGCCTTGTCGGATTTCTGAATGGCTGCTACAACCTCCTTCCAGCTGTATGGATATAGCGCCTTCCGAGGCAAAATTTGAAGCCCATTCTTCTCTAGCGAAATCCTGTGTGTCTTTACATATGTCGTGAACGCCTTTGGTCCCCCGCAGTTGAAACATTCAGGATCATAATTGGCACTTGTGAAGACATTGTTGGCAATCTGCCTGAACATGGATCTTCCGCGCCTGAATCGCATTACACCGTTGGCTAGATAGGTGTTCTGAGCATCCAGTGTCCACGACCGATCGCTTTCGGTGTCGGAGATATCAGATCCAATGAATTCTGTGATCCTATCGCCTGGAGGCCGGATCCAGAGCGCATCTAGGTCCATGTACAAGCCGCCATACTTGTACAGAGCCACCAAACGTAAGTAATCTGCCAAATGGACTGGAAAGAATACGCTCTTTTTTCTCCATTCATCCGACTTTTGCAGCCATTCTCGTGTTTCTGGACCAAAGTGCCATCCGTGCTGAAGAAGTAGTTCCTTGGAAAAAGACAGGATATAGATTTGGTAGCCCTGCCGGGTATAGACCTCAAAGAACTTGGGAGGCAAAGTGTTGGATAGAACTATAAGCACTGCATTCGGATTGTGGATAAAGAGCGATTCAATCGCCTGATAGTGGCGGGCTTGCCAAGATATTGCGGCGTCTGTTGTCCAGATAGCCCAGTGAAGTCGAGACCAGTCCTCCGTATCAGAGAAAATGCTACTCTTGTCGCTTAGGATGCCTGGGATGATCCAGTCTGGAGAATTTCCCAGAAGCGGCATGGTGTCTTTGATGTCAACTGTCAAACCATCCTCAAGTTCACTAGCTGGTTTCAGGGGTGAAATGCCCATTGCACTATCACAATTCAGTCCGCGGTCTTTCCAATGACCTCCACTACGATTATAGCAAGAATAACATGGAGCGCAGCGATCTTGCCGAAATCCTGTGCAGAGTGGCTTCTTATCGATCACGTTCTTATACATGTTATGCATGGATTCTAAAGACTTGAGTCGTTCACCAAAATGTTTAGCGATCATGTCGTCCTCACACACATCCCATTGTTGAATCCTCCTATCGTGAACTGGCTGGATATTGAAAGCATGGAGCCAAATACCGATATTTTGATCCTCATATTTAGTAAATATCCGTGGTCCTGGATAAGTCAATAACGTAATAATATCTCGAGAGAGGACATAGAAGGTGTTGGCAACAAAAGGCGGGTAAATTTCTAATTCACTTTCATCGCTCTTGACTTTGGTATCGGGGCTTGCAATGGGGAGCATATTCCTAGAAATAATTAAAAACGATTAGAAGAGAGTGATGAAACATTATACCCACTTCTGTAGAAGCGCACAAAGAAATGAGGGTAAAGGATGCATACCGGAAGGTTAATCCTTTCCAGTGATAATGCAAAGGTCCTTTCATGATGAGTTCGTTCGAGACTGTGTCCCATCTGACGAAGACATCGTCATCAGTCTTACATAAAAAATCAAACTTGAATCTGTTACTCCATTCCAATGCCTTGAAAACTTTATAACCGCGGTCTTCCTGTGCGTCGGATACAGGCAGTAACAAAATATCGTCATACTTTTGGAGCTCAGCACTGATTTTGGCACCCATTTTATTTCTAGCATGGCTGCTAGGGGCCTCGCCCAGGACAAATTTGTAGGTGTAGGCGAATCTCGAGGAGGATGGAGGCAACAGTTTGAGCGTTGTATTTCTGATTTCCTGCCGCCTCTGGGATGCTTTAGGCGCCCAGGAGGATAAAATGATGATCAAGACCTGGACTTGTGCTGCTCCAATTACCAACTTTGCATCGCTGGTAGCCGAAATCCCTGCCACTCCACCGGTGGCGATAGCCTCTGCTGTAGATGGTCGCATATTGTTTTGATATAGAAGCATGATCATGGTGATGAATGATACGATTCCTCCAGGAATCAAGACTGTCCTATAAATCAATGACTTTGCATCGCGCCTCGGTTTAATCTTTGCTTCCAATTTGTAGTGCCCTTTGACTCTGAAATGGAGGATTTGGATGATTTGGATAACCGCTAAAATGGCGCAGATAACCATCCAAGGCCAAATTGGCTCCTCGGCACCAAAATAGCTGACGAAGAAGACGACTGAGAACCAGAAGAATGTTCCTAATGTGAACAATCGGATCATAGCAGGTCTTGGCTCATAGTGAATGAACCAGCGACGGATCAGACTGTTAGAGAGCCAAAAGCTCCAAAGCCCGCCTAGTAGACACTATTAAGAACGGTACCAAATATCAACATACTGTTGGATTTCCCGCAACTTTGCAGCCATTGGCCCGTCCATATCGTTTCACATCAATCTATTGCCTTGAGCAATTAAATGATCATACAACCAAGCGCATGCCTGCTTACCCAGAGGGCACCAACGTAGTTGTCGAGAGCAGAGCTCTTCATGGGATCAATTAGCCGGGCACTGCGGTTTTCGGCACTGTGCGCCTGAGCTATGTGGGTGTACACGCCCCATGCGGCCGGAAACAGACACAGGGCACGCAAGGCTCTACTCAAATGCAAGTACTGAAAGGGCACATCCTGAACATAGTACAAAGGCTGATTAAGCTATTTTGTTTTTTTAGAAGAATTGATCATTGGATGACAAGAATGAATTCCTGTTAGTTCCTTGTCTAGCTGATTCCTAATAAGTCGCATGATTCTGTAGATGAGCATTCCAGTGCGAATAAAAATGCTCAGATGAACACATTTTAGTTTCTTCCAAGCCCATTACCGGCGGCATGATGGATTGCTCCGGATTAGAGAGCGATGCAATGGGATAGCCAAGAAATGTGATCCGGTATTTTTGACGTGCACTTTAGTTACCAACTGTGTGAAGGTAGTACCAAAAACCCAAAATTTGCCACCGATGTAATTGCCCTGCCTTCCAAAATTGCTTTTTACGGGGCGTAACTTTACCTTGCATTTTATTCTAATGAAAGTTTGGTACCTCTGTTCTAACCTTTTCTCTTCTCTGTAACAAACACCACGCTCTTTACTCCGTTCCTCTACTTCTTCCATGCACGACCTTCACAGTCTTGACACTATTGCATTCGAGAATGCTGCTGTCGATTACCAATTGTCTCAGTTCATTGATGAGATGCTCCCTTGTGGTATGGTGACACCTTCCCCCCCCTTTTTTTTTAATATTAAAAGGGGTGCAAGAAACTTACTAGCCCTACTTACACATATGAACCCTGTTTGATCTACCTATCCAGAGGTCTCTCGAGTGTTGATCATCTACACTGGAGGGACTATCGGTATGAGTAACAGCAAAATACATGGCTATGTGCCTGTACCAAACTTCCTAGCAGAAACACTCTCCAAGCAATCGCGCTTCCATGATCTACAATCATTGAATACGGTCTTTGGACGTCTATCCCGCACAAATTCGAGTGTCAATCTGGATTCCCTAATGGAGCCCTCACTTAATAAACACCTTGATCCAGCCATGAATGGACTTAGCCACCACACTATTCCCCCTGAAAAGGCAACGATCAATGGCACATCCTCTGGCGCAAGGTTGCCGCCAAATACACCAGTCAATAAAATCCGTCTTCCCTGTTTCTCACACTTGCCCAACAATCAAGGCAGGATCCCTTCACTTATCACCCCACCCTCATTGTATGGCAAGCGAATCCGATACTCAATTTTAGAGTATGATCCTTTATTGGACTCTTGTAATATGACTATGACAGACTGGGTTCGAATTGCTACTGATATTGAGGCGAACTATGAACTCTATGATGCCTTCATTGTATTACATGGCACTGATACCATGGCCTATACAGCCAGTGCACTAAGCTTCATGCTGGAAGACCTTGGGTGAGTGAAATGACTCAAACGATCAACAATGACACCATGTTATATGTATTCAACTATGTTTTTTCTCTGGGTTGATGTGTTTATTGCTTGTAGTACTATTATGACTCTGCTCAATTCTATTCTCAGCAACCTTTGTTGAATGGATTGTGCACTGCGGATTGGATTTTTTGGAATGTCCGTGTACTCTTTCTGTTTGTTTGTGTTTGTTTGTTTATTACAGACTGCTCTTACTTTCCCCGCATTCATCCTCCAGTATAAAGTTGTTGTTTTTTCACACGGAGGGTTTATAATTATGAGGCCGTCACTGCAACGCTGTATAAACGCTAATTTTATCAACGTTCTTCCCCGCCTTACTGTTTGCTCTTGCATATGTTTCTTCCATACTCTCTTACTATTTGTTCCCTTGTTTTTTTTTCTTCTTCACAGTAAAACTGTCATCATAACAGGATCACAGGTGCCAATCACCGAAATTAGAAACGATGCTATCGACAATCTGCTAGGGGCACTGACTATCGCTGGTCACTTTGTCATTCCCGAAGTGTGTCTATACTTCAGCAACAAACTATTCAGAGGCAATCGATCTTCCAAAATGGATGCTGTCGACTTTAAAGCCTTTGACAGTCCCAACTTGCCACCACTTGTCAAAGTTGGAATCAATATTGGTAAAGAATGGCATTGTTTACACAGGGCTTTGATAAATCTCTCGTTCTAGGCCTTGTTGTCCCGTTATTGATTACTGTTTAACATTAATAATAAGCGCCATTTTACTTCTTATAACCTTCCTCCTCCCAAAAATTCGCATTCCGCTCCTTGCTTTGTCTCTTCCTTCATTAGATGTCGATTGGTCCGAGGTGATCCGCCCTACCTCCCTTTCACGATTTCGAGCCCACAAGTCTATGAACCCCCATGTAGCCAGTTTGCGTCTCTTCCCAGGCATAACCGAGACAACCATAAGGACGTTCTTGACCCCTCCCATCCAGGGCGTTGTCCTCGAAACCTATGGAGCAGGAAACGCGCCATCTACACGATCTGACTTGATTGCTGCCTTGAAAGAGGCATGTGATCGTGGTGTGGTCATTGTGAATTGTACACAATGTATGTTGAATCATAAGTAGATCTAGAAGAATATTTATTTAATCCCTCGCACGGTCGCGAAGTAAGTATTTAATACTTTTTATTTTTATCTGAAATACAAACGACAGGCAAGCGAGGGCTGGTGACTGACGCATACCAAACTGGCAAGGTTCTATATAATGCCGGTGTCATCCCTGGAAATGACATGACGCCTGAATGCGCACTCACCAAGCTCTCATACTTGCTTGGTCACGATTTGCCCATCCCAACAATCCGTGAGATGATGACCAAGAACCTGCGCGGCGAATTGACAGTTATCCAACCCCGTACACGATTCAGCTACATTAATCGCACGCATGCGTTGCTGCAACTGCTTCTAAGAGCTGCCTCCAATGGGATGTTGACCAATACACCGAAAATTGTGGGAAGAATTGAGTCTGCACAAAGGGCCCAGGAACTCGCTGAGGATCCGACCCCACAGCAGCAGGATGTCCCGCAAATAGAAAAGCAGATCAAGGAAATCAAGATTGATGTGGAATCAGACCGTAAGAAGCCTATCTTTACAACATCTGGCTCTGAATCTGATGAAGATTCAGACAGTCCAATACATAGTGATAATGATCAAGTTATCCCTAAAGCTCCAGAGTCACAGCCAGCGGTAGGCCCTCTGTCAACCGAGGATCAACGATGGATCGAAAGAAGTCTGTACCCTCTTTTGATCTGCGGTGCTGCTGGAAGTGGTGATGTAGAGGGTCTGACAAAGCTCTGGGATGTCACGACGGACGGTCAGAGCGGTTACAGCAAAGTCTCACAGAACCTTGGGCCTGGAGAAAACGATACTGGGTCCTTGGGCGGTAGTGCCGTCACAGGCGGCGATGGCATTATCTTGAACCAAGGTGACTGGGAGGGCCGCTCTCCTCTACATATCGCATGCAGTGCTGGTCACTTGGAGGTGGTCCGATTCTTGCTGAGTCATGGTGCGTCGATTCATGTACGCGATCGTCTTAATCATACTCCACTCTATGATGCTGTGACACGTGGAGACTCGTCCGAGATTGTGAAGATACTCCGCGATACGGGAGCTCATTTCAATCATTCTGAAGTGTTAGATTTGGGCTGGAAGCTGATGATTGCAGCAACAGAAGGGAATCTGGACCGTGTCAAGCTGATTGCTGAGGCTGGCTATGATTTAAATCGCTCACTCTTTGATAGAAGAACTGTGATGCACATTGTCGCAGCAGAACATCGCCACAGTTTGATCGAGTATCTGTTGAAACATTATCCAGAGATCAAGTTGGATCTCAAAGACCGTCTGGGACGAACTTGTGTGGATGAAGCTGGCCAATGTGACGCTTGCAGAAACCTTTTCCTTGTGAGGTGAGACGCATTCATTCCTGTAAATATTCAGTTATAATAGCATACAATAATAAAAATAACTACTAGTGACCAGCGTAGAACATACAGGAATATACTCTTCTCATCCCGCATAGCCTTCTCCATAAAGAAGTATACAAACATAGCCATATGAAGTCTCTATCAACTAGGAAAGCATTTTTTTGGGCATTAAGTGGTTTTTATTAAAACACGTAAGATAAATCAACATCTGATTGCTTTTAACTGCCCTCCTAAAACCAGCAAACGCATCGAGGGTTTTACAAGGATTGGGATGTATATGCTCTAGTTCCAAGTCAGGTCGCCAAAAGCACTGAGCCAAGGATTAGGTAAACAAACAAATAAAGGAAAGAGAGAAGAGTTGGTATATTGTAATAAGAGTACAAAGTAATCATAAACAAGACATTTTTTTGTTTTTTACTAACCTGTTTTTCCTGTTCTGCGCCGATGAGCTGGTTACGGGCGATGGAGTTGCGCCCGCAATCATGCTGAACAAGTCTCCTCCAGGGGGAACATTGCTAGTATTTGTGTTGATATTGCTGTTAGTATTGTTGTTAGAGCTGTTGAATCCACTGACATTATTATGTCCGAAGGTAGATCCTGGTTTATTGAGCCCATTCGCAGCCTGAATACCAAATCCTGGATTGGATCCTGTGCTATTAAACGTATCAAAACCAGAGAATGAAGATGGAGCACCAGATGCTACCTGTAATGTGGCTCCAAAGGCACTATTATTGCCCCAATGATTTTGTTGCGGCTGTGGTTGCGATTGGTGGAAGTGTGGCTGTTGAAACTGTGGTTGTTGTGGCTGAGAAGATTGTTGTCCAATTCCAAATGTTTTCATGCTCTGAAGCTGTCCAAACTGTCCAAATTGCCCAGGCTGTTGCTGTTGTTGCTGCGTGCTAATATTGAGCCCCGTAGAATGGCGGTTTGATCCAGAAGATTGGTTTCCATATAGTGACATAATTGAGTTTTTCCAGTCTGTGTTTGCAGCTTTGGCTGGCGCCGAAGGACTAGATGCTGTAGTCGGTGCTACCTGTGATGGCTGACTATTGGCTGATGGTGATGATGATAAAGTTGAGGGACTCATCAATGAGAAAAGGTCTTGGGCTGTAGAGCTTTGAGTCTGTAGTTGTTGCTGAGATTGAACTGACTGGATACTATTTCTCTTGAATTGTGGCTGTTGTGTCACAGGGTTCGTTGGTACAGGGTCATTGAACCCGAAGAGGTCTTCTTGTGCAGCCGTAGGTTGTGAAGCAGTTGGTGATGGATGCTGTTGACCAATGGAGAATAAATCAGCGCCCTGAACTCCTCCCAAGACAGACGTTGGTCGTTTAGAGATAGAGGAGCGCGCAGAGGCGTTACCGGGTGGAGGAGCAATGATTCCAAACGATTCAGATGACCCTGATAATCGATTAACTCTGTGACGACTTCCAGTCTTTCCTTGCTTTATTCATTTTTTTTTAAAAAAAAAAATAAAATAAAATAACATAAAATAAAATGAAAAACTGTACTGTCAATGGGCCTGAGGTTATTTATCAAGTCTTGGACTGTTGCTTACCAAATCCAAAAGCAAGGCTTCATCGACTGGGCCCAACTCAATGGGGTCGGGTATTGATTCTTTGTTTGCAAATTGCTTCCATTCATATTTTGAGCGGATCCATTGATCAATTCCCGATGTACTAAATAGAAAGAGAGAAAAAAAAAAAGTGATTTTTCAAGTTTTTGCTTTTTTTTTTTTTTTTTTTTTTTTTTTGGAGGACATACATACATGAATGAAAAAAAAAAAAAAAAAAAAAAAAAAAAAAAAAGAAAAGAAAAGAAAAGAAAAGGACACTTACTTCTCGTTTGGAATATTTGCCTCTGGTAATCTTGCTTCCCAGTACTTATTAACCTTTCCGTTTCCCCATTTAATCATGTTTTCGACCTGCTCTGCGGTCCAGCTATCGAGATCAACCGATTTTACTGTTATATATATATAAAGGCTGTTAGGGAAGTCCATGATAGAAGGTATTTCTACTCAATATTGTTGATTCCTGTTACCTTTGCTGATATGTGTACCCATGGAACGATGAACACCTGAACATCGGATGCACATAAAGCATCCGATATTGAAGCTAGAACAGAATTAAAAAAAAAAAAAAAAAAAAAAAAAAAAAAGCAAACAAGAAGAGGGGTACATGGAAACAAGTGGTTAGTCATTGAACAGAAAGCTAGGCATAGCATGGTAGAGTATGGAATATCTTTTTTTTTTTTTTTCTTCATACCTCGCCCATCGAGGGTCTAAGGGACAAGAAGGAAAAAAACTAATCAGTCGTTGCACAGATATTTCTTTCAATTTAGTTCAAAAGAAAATAATTATAAAGAAGCTTACACAAGCCTAACCTTTCTTGCGACAATCGACACAGAACTTGTTTTCTGGTTTCTGTAACAATGTCTTCAGAATGCGTGTATGTTTGTCATTGGTAGTCTTGTCTGCAGTACGCGCACTTCTTGTGGCCATGACGAGCTTTTGTGATGCAAGGTTTTATGTATGTATTGCTTTTGTTTTTTTTTCCGTTGTCGTGACAATGTGAGGGCTAATGGGATGAAATCATGAAAAGATTAGAAAGAGGAAAAGAAGGAAAAGGAAAGTTGAAAGTAAAAAAAAAATAGTTGAAAGGAGGCAGAGGCACAGCCGACGTGCATTTAGAGAGCCTTTGCATATGCCTCTTTCTCCTATTTCCTAATAAATTTGCCTTACACGCGATCGACGTTGATTATCGTCATTTTTTTGTTCTTCAAGGCAACTGAACTTGTCCTCTGCGCATTGCTTCATTGTCTTATTTTCACCATTAGGCTTTAAACTGCGGTTTCTGCAGCTTGCTACCAATTTTATGCTTTTGCGCTTTGCCCATCTTACTCAAACTGAGGCGGTGAATACTGTTAGCAACACGTTTCATCGAAAGATTGAAAACGCATTTATGGTAGAATAGCGGAGGAGAGATATGGATACCTTTGAGAACAGACATTCACACGAAACCGCACTCAAGGTGAGAATGGATCTTCCGGAAACATATAGCCATCGTGAGTTGTCGTTCCACGATTATCCATGACAAGCAAAAATAGGTTCAGAAACCCCATCTTTGCTTTGCTCGGTCGTTCCTCTAGGGTCTCTGTAACGAAGGCATATGTCCATCTCAACAGCGCGTTTTACCATACTTATGGATGATCGTAACCTTAAAGGGAATGCTGAGGCGCTTAGATGTTTGTTGGCAATCCTGTATACTGGTGGTTCCCACCATACTTCTACAGATCACAGACACATTTTGATTGATATCATCGAAACTCATTTTGATGAGTTCAAACAGGAAACATATGCAGAAACCTCGAGAACACCAAGCAGTCGAGAAGTTTTGTACAAAGCCGAAGCTCTACATTCTTTGCTATTAGAACCGTATATTCATTCAAGAGGTTCAAGAGAACTATCTAACTCAATGTTTGGATAGACTAAAAATATTGAAGATTCTTGATTTTTTCAGCTAATGTTTGATCAAAGCTCCTCCAGTGGAGTCAAAGAAACTACATATTGATTGTCCTAATCAAGGATTGTTGCCTTTCTTTTTGGGACAAACTTCTTCAAGAGATTCCAGTATGCCGGTTCCGCATCGTCATCGTCCGATTCCTCATCTGCAAGCTCTGTAATAAGCCATAAAAACCATTCACTTTTATCATGAGCCTGATACGCTTCAAATAAATCACCTTCCGATTTGCGTCCCTTGCACATTTCTGTACTTATAGGCTCTTCAGGTATGAATTTATGCAAATCCTTTGGAGCGAATTCGAGTGCTTCCATATACCATGTGAATCCGCGATAGAGCTCGCAGTCCCGGCCAGGAAAATAACAATCCACATCTGCGAGGAATATGGGGGTATCATCCTTCCACATGTAATAGCAGGCATTAACCTTGCCTCTCCCATCTGGCTCATAGTATTTAGTCTCAACTACCATGTCGTATGAGTGCCATCGAGGACATGTTTTCAACCCGCTCTCAATCTCCTCGATCACCGGCTCAAAATTTTGTAAATTTGCATCCCGGGCAAGTTCGCGCAACTTTTTCATCAATTTTCGGATCCTCTCAGGCTCCAATGGCTGATTCATCTCTTCGTCATACGAGGCAAAGGCCTCGAATCCTTTTGTAGACAAAGCTTTAAGCTTTTTCTCAGCTTGCTCAATTTTTTTTATCACTTCTTTATGATCTGAGCCTTCATGAGTAATAATATCCTCAACATTACCCTGTAGAACTTGAAGATCCTGTTGAAGTTGCTCAAGTTTTAAGACCGCTCCCTGCTTGCCCCGTATCTGATTATCCTTATTTTCTAGATAAAGGTGTAAAAGACATTAGTAATGGATGCTCAAAAACTGTGCATGCTAAAAAGTTCAAAACAAAACAATCAGTCAAAGCATCAAGCACTAAGACATGCCTTTCTGCTTGGCTTTAATTGTTCGAGTGTCAGGGCATGGACCCTGAGATTCAGACTGGTCCTGACGTGTTTGTCTTTCTGGTGACATCTTAATGTTTAAAGTTGAGAAGGATTGCCTCCAAAGTTTTAGAAAAGCGCGTCTTTTATACTTTCATGCGAAACACGAACACGAAGTTAGGGCATTTCAATAAATTCAAATACGTCACACTCACGCTTTTTTTTTTTTGTAGAGGAAATAGAGACCCGAGCAGTGCATTAAAAACTAAGAGACAAGCAAAAAATAATGATCTATGCAGGGGTCGAACCTGCAATCTCCTGATTCGTAGTCAGACGCCTTTCCATTGGGCCAATAGACCTTATTGAGGCAAGGCTCAAATAATAGCTTATATATTTCCCAGATTACAATCACGTGGATGATTGCGCAATAGCGGCTTAGATGGTACTATGGTTGTCTTTTTCCAGCCACCATCCATATTTTTCACTCTTCTCTCTCTTTCCTTCTTTCATATAAAAGCTGACAATCATCTTCACTTACTGCCCATCCACATCTAACAGGGATCTAGACAGAGATTTGCATTTTCTTACTACCTTCTCCTCTACCATTTTCCTTTCATATTACTATTTTGATCAAATCTCTCTTGATAGCAAAGTCATTTTCATCTATTATTTCACAGCAGCGCTTTTCATCAGCTTGCGCAGCACTTTAATCCAGGCCTCTTTTACTCTCTCTCTCTCTCTCTTTCTCTTTCTCTTTCTCTCTCTTTTCATTTCAATATTCAAAAAGGTCTTTGACCAACTTGTTATTCTCATCTACTACTCTCTGTCAAAACTCTCATCATGTTTGCTGTTCCCCCGATCTCTGCTTCTGGCTCGTCCAGCACTACTCAGCCGGAGAAACCTGCCTCAGAGCTGACGTCGGAGAACCAGGCTGCTGTTGACAACTCCTTGCACTCTGTTGCTGGTATTGTACCAACACTTCAGTAAGTGTTTTAATATTGCAAGTGTATTAAAAATAGGAGTTGTCTTAGTACCGCAGTTATCACAAACGAATAATAATAATAATAATAATATTAATAATAATAATAAAAAAAGAGTGGATACGTGGTTTATGTGTGTGTAGTGTGTATGTCTCTGTATGCTTGGTATTGTATTTGCAGTAAGGACTGCGAGACAAAAAAAAAAAAATAAAAAAAAAATAAAAAAATAAAAAAAAGAGAGCAAGACTGGAAACACAAAAAAAGTAAGAGATAGACTCTAAGGGGTGTGGAGACAGAGAAAGAGAAGGGGGAAAAGGGGTGAAGTAAGAGAAAGAAAGACAGAGCATTTGTCTCCAATGTTGAATTATTTATGCAACAAGGGTTTACGCCACTTGGTGCTGTATATTTGTACAGTGGCTTTGATCGTGATGCACTACTAATAAATACCTTCTTTACAATTTTATAGGAATATCGTTGCTACAGTCAATCTGGATTGTCGTTTAGATTTGAAGACCATCGCGTTGCATGCTCGCAACGCAGAGTACAATCCTAAGGTACTAAGCTGAATGTCGTAATATGTGGATATTGATGGATATTCTAAAGAACATACTAGGGGAGCATATCTAAAGGCATCCTATCTAGTCGACGAAGAAGTTAAAAAAGGAGAAAGCTCTTATTCAACTTTTTTTACTTTTTTTTTTTTTTTTTTTTTTTTTTTTGTAAAAAAAAAAAAATAAAAATAATTAAGCGTTTCGCTGCTGTTATTATGAGAATTCGTGAGCCAAAGACGACAGCCTTGATCTTCGCCTCCGGAAAGATGGTTGTGACAGGCGCAAAATCGGAAGATGACTCCAAGTTAGCCTCACGCAAATATGCACGTATCATCCAGAAGTTGGGTTTCCCTGCAAAGTTTACTGACTTTAAGATTCAAAACATTGTTGGTTCCTGCGATGTCAAATTCCCAATTCGTCTTGAGGGTCTTGCCTATGCTCACGGTCCTTTCACCTCGGTAAGCGGATGAAGGTTTTTCTAATTGCTTGTAGCGCATACATTCGCATCGAAAGTTTTCTTGCGAGTGATGCCTACTGACTTTTTTTTTATAATGTAGTACGAGCCCGAGTTGTTCCCCGGTCTCATTTACCGCATGGTCAAGCCCAAAATCGTGTTGCTTATCTTTGTTTCTGGCAAGATTGTATTAACTGGTGCAAAGGTAAAAAAAAAAAAAAAAAAAAAAAAAAGAATAAGAAAAGGCAAATGACCTATAGTTGTATTGCTATAGTCGTTGCTCTTTTGGTTACAGCGACTTTAACAATCAATATCTTATTTTTGCAATCTAATGTGCAACAGGTTCGCGAGGAGATTTATCAGGCGTTCGAAGCTATATACCCCGTCTTGACGGAATTCCGAAAGCCCTAAAAAAAGCTCCGGAGCTGATAATCAACCCATGGCTTTGGGCCAATTTGAAAAAAACCCCCCTCTTCTTTTTCTTACTACTCCTTGCATGAGTATCTCTTTATTCTTTCACTCTTAATCATTTTCTTCGTTATCAACCCTGTATTGTAACCTCAATCATCCACTCTCTCCAAATTGTTGCTAGTGCTGAACATGAAAGGAAAAAGGGGAAAAACGGCAAGCTCATTTGCTTATGTCTCTTCCTCCTGTTATTTCACAATCTATATCTGGCAATCATTTCTTTTTTCCTCTTTTTTCTTCTTACTTGTAAAATATTATCAAATCAATCGAATGGCAAAAAAAAAAAGAAAGAAAGAAAGAAAGAAAGAAAAAAAAAAGAAACGTCAAATGAGTTTTTTTTTTTTTTTTTTTTTTTTTTGTCGTCTGTTATTAAAACTGTAAAAACAAAAAAATCAAGAAAATTATAAAAGATACAAAAAAAAAAAAAAAAAAAAAAATTCTTCAATAAAGCTTTTACCCATTATGGCAAGATTTTTTTTTTTTTTTTTTTTTTTTTAAAAAAAACTATGTCTGAAGCATATTAAACGAAGAAGCTGAAAATGTCAATTCATTTAGTGGTGCCATCTGTGTTGGTGGCGATTGATGTTGCTCTTGGTTTGAAGTGCTTTTGCTAGAATGAACCGAGAATGCCTGTGTATCGAGCTCTGCTCCATTAGCAATTATACTCATGAAATCTCCATCTTGTTCCATTGTCATTGCGGAAGCTAACAGTGAATCGGACCATCCTAATCCGAACGCTGTATATATTGAATTTGATTCGGGACCATTCAAAAGCGTAGATTGATTGATGCCTCCTAGAAAATTGGATTGTGGGTAACAGTGACGTTGGTGTGGTTGCTGCTGCTGCTGCTGTTGCTGTTGCTGTTGCTGCTGCTGTTGATGTAGATGTGGATATTGATGTAAATGTGTTTGCAAATGTGGGTGTTGTGTATACTGTGGATATTGATGTTGATGTTGATTTTGGTAATGATCCTGCTGATGAAGAATATGTGGGTCATGGTTTTCTTGATGACCACAATCGTCCGCTGTGAACCTGTCATGACCATTATTGCTACCAGCCACAATAGCTGGAGGCGATAGCAATGCTGTTGCTGTTGCTCCTACTGTTGCTCCTACTGTTGCTCCTACTGTTGCTGGTGGGGTAAGAGTCATCTGTTGCTGCTGTTGCTGTTGTGGCCATGGATTTTGACCTGCAGATAAATCATTTGGAAGTGAGCTTACAAGTCCACCATCCATACCCTGGGGGTGATTTATAAATGAACTGGAGTCGTCATTGGGTCCGGATCCGTCACTATGAATAGCAGTACCATCTATCGAATAGCCAGAGATACCCATAAAAGATTGTTGCTGTGGCTGTAACTGCCGACCTGTGCTTGAATAATAGCGTTGAGGAAAGTAAGTATCTTGATCAAATTCTTGGTTACTATGGCTACTTGCAAACCCATTATCTGCTGTTGTTTTGGCACCATGGCTTGAGAATGGGTCATTGAAATGATTGATGGACTGTTGATAGTTGTGATGAGGATGAGGTTGCGGAGGGTTTGATCCGCGGTGTTGTAGCGACGGCCGAGTGGGGTAAACATACCCATTACTGTTGTTGGTACCATCTCTATCATAAGGCTGCTTCGGGAAACTTGGTGACATAACGCTTGTGTATGATCCAGCAGACACAGGGCTCTGTAATGAGCTTGGTACTGTATCGATATTATTACTATTGTATGCCGGTGGTAGACAAGTTGTTTCGACTACAGGACGTTGTTGTTGCTGTTGTTGCTGTTGTTGTTGTTGCCCCGTTGTTGGATAAGCTGGAGGATTTGATTGAGCACGCGAGGTCCCAATCATGCTGGGATGTGGCCGACCAGATGAAGTCTGCTTAAGTTGATGTTGCTGCACGGGAAAATAGCCTCCTGACATCCTGCTTTCATCCTCATCCAGATCACTTGATTCTTCGCCATCCTCTGAGCTGACGGCTGTGCCTTCAGTTGTCTGAGTGAAAGAGCTGCTAGAGGTACGTGTTGGCGATTGCTCATTCCATGTGGGCGATTTTGGCACTGTAAGAACAAATGAGGCAACGCTCCCCTCTGCGTTCCTAGTGATGCTAGTATATTTATCAGTCGCAAGCTTGATTTGACTACCACGATCTATACTAGGGGATTCGCTTAGGATCTGGGCGAGCATTTCTTTGGTTTCATCACAGTGCCGTTGTGCACTCTCTTCCTTCCCTGTAACCATGTTCGTTACCACGATCGCAAACGCCCCTGCAGCAACAGGAAGAATGACATGTGCATTCATCCGTGACATTGGCCGTGTCGAATAAATATTTTTGATGGCGAGTGCAGCATCGTAGCAATATTCACTCCACATAATATGAATACCCTCCTCCTTATGAGAGTCGTGTAACTGAAAGGTATGATGCAAAGCAATCTCAAACATGTAGCTGCCGGCATGGTAAAACTTTGAAAACCTTGATTGTCTCTTGATTGCTGCCATGTCTGTAGGAGTGATACGAAGCTCTTCCGGTAGCTTTGTTCGCCATTCCACCAGCAAGGCTCGCATTTCGTCCACTTTAGCCTTGGGGCGTTGCCGTGTGGCTATGCAGGAGATATCGGCTATCTTTGCCATAATTTCGAACAATGGAACGAAATGCTCAAGATGTTTGATGCCTTCGAAGTCATCATGCGGTACGCCAAAGAAATCGCGGTGCCGGTCTGAGGGCAGTGGCTTTGGGAAAGCGATATCGTAGTCGTTGGATGTGATCAAAGGCGATTGGTGATTGAGAGAATAGCCAGAGCAAACGATCACGACACACCAAAAGGTCCGATGGCCTCTCTCAATCGTTTCTGTAGTGTATTCTTTACCTGTTTGAAGCATCTGATAATAAAGGCCCCTGTTGTGGCTAAGGCCTAGACTAACAGAGATAGAGTGGGCCAGTGCAACCAAGTTGTGGACAGCGTCATAGTTTACAGTGGAAGAGTAATATCCAGTAAGGATTAAATAGCACTGACAATTCTCGATCGAAGAGGTGAATGCGCCCTGAGCATTGAAATGATGGAACTTGCGAGACATGGTTTCACCATAGTGAGGGTCTATCTGGTCGATCACATTCGGATCACCAATCTCGCGTCTAAAAGCGAAGCCAGTTGCGAGAACACAGGCCAATAATTTCTGGACTTTAATGTCCTTGCGCCGTAATGGATCTATCACGTCGTTCATGAAGGCTTTTCGATTCAAAACCGGCAGATAGTAATTAAAGTGATTGAAGTAACAATCGATCAACTGTTTGTCGAGATGGTCGATTTCAAGGATCCGCTCCATATCATTCTCAAAGTTTAGTGGTTTGGGTTCACATCGTGGCAGATTGATGACTTGAGAAAAAATGGGACCAAAGTTACTGTTAGTACCTCCGATATCAAGTTCGCCCATTCTGGCTACGATAATGTCTGGGCTCTATGGGGCGTGTGTAGAAAAGACGGATTAATATTAGGAATACGATTGTGTTATTGGCAGGAAAAGTCGTGTTTCTCGGCAGATTATGCACAAAAAAAAATATATATATATATTATATATAATGTATATTACATAAAAGACTCACCTTGAGATGTTGATTAAGTTCTAGTCTTTTTTTGATCACATATTCATCGTGGATTCTTCTCTTGGCAGCGCTTAACTTGTCATAAGTACATGCTATCGATGCCTCTTTGCACGATGTACAGGGTTCCAGACCATTGCACTATTAGGCGTCAGGGAAAGAGGGCCAAGGAAGACAAAGAGATACAAACTATCAATCATCTGTACTAACTGGATAGAAGGTAGATCATGAGGTACTACATGGTATCATGAAAATATTTTCCTTTCTCTTCAACTCTGAGGGATCAGAAAGAGGGAAAAAAGAAAAAAGAAAAAGGAAAAGAGCAGGGAAGGATGTAAAGAGTGAGAGAGAGAAGAAAGAACAAATGTAGAGTAGAATGATAGTGCTGGGCAGTGGATGAAGGAAAACCGATCAGACACAACAAAAGTTGTGATTGAATTTGAAATCAAGAGAACGAATGCATAGTTTATCCTTTCCCACTTTTTTTTTTTTTTTTTTTGCTCTTTTGCATGTCGGGAAAGGAAACAGGCCCAACAACTGTTGCCATTATCTGAAAAATGTTTTTTGACCTGTCTGCTTAGCTCATGTGTAGAGGGACAATTTAAAAAAAATCTTCATATGATGCATGAAAAAGAAAAAAAAAATGCAGTGCACTTGTTGTTGTTGTTGTTGTTGTTTTTCCTGCATCAGCAAACTCTTCAGAAAGATTTGTCAAACTGTGGAAAGGGAGAGAGAGAGAGAGAAAGAGGGAGAGAGAGGAGAGGAGAGAGGGAGAGAAATAACGAGATCTTATTGACAATGTGAATCAAATTGTCCTGCACTGTACCGAGTTGACGTGTCAGCCAATGCGAACTGTTGGAATGGGATGAATCAAGAATGTACTGTTTGTACCATCCACTTGGTTTGTACATACAGATGTACTTCCCATCCTTTCTACCTTTTACAACCAGGGGACTAATCAACAAGAGGAAAGACAGAGGATTTACCTTTCGGTGACCTTCTTTACAGGAATCACAAGAGCTCACTTGAGGTTTCTTCTCTCCTGGCTCTGCCCCTTCTCCACCGACTCTTTTCCCCTTTTTCTCGGGACCAGCATATGGCCTCTTCCTGGAGGATGTGTTTGTTGTTGTTGTTGCTGGTACTGGTGCTGTCATTGTAGTTATTGATAATGATGAGGATGAGGATGAGGATGAGGATGAGGTGGTTGATGAGGAGGATAAGGAGGGTGTAGTAGGGGATTCCTTAAAGTGAAGTTGCGATGGTGTACGTCCATTAGAGCCACCAACTATGGCTGTGGATACTTTGGGAGGAGCCATTTGTTGACTTGAATTTCAGAAAAAGTGAGGCGATTTTTGTTGACTGGTGATGTTTCTTCGATATAACCGAGACTGACAATCTCTCTTTTTCTTTTATTATTATTACTGTTATTATATATTTTCTTATCGACCTTATTCGTGGAAAAAGAAAAAGGAAAAAGAAAGAAAAGGGTGTGAAGAGAGAGATTATTACAAAAAAAAAAAAAATAAATAAATAAAGGCAGCTGGAATCAGGGCAAAGTAGATCAAAAGAAGAATGAATGAATGAATGAATAAATAAATAAATGACTGAGTAAATGGATGAATGAATGAATGAATTTTAGTCGTGAAGTGAAAAGATGATTTCGAGTTGTTCTGGTTGTGTGTGCGTGTATTTACTTGAATGAAAGAAGAGTAGAGAGAAGGAGAAAAAAAAAAAAAAAAAAAAAGGTTCAAGAGAAGGTATAAAATAGGGTTGCTTATTGCTTATTGCTTGTTACTTGTTGCTTGTTGCTTGTGTTTGTGCTTTTGAGCTTGGTTTGTGGAAGGAGAGAAGGGAAAAGGGAAACAGGGGAGAGAGAGAGAATGTTTTTTTTTTTTTTTGTGGCCATGCAGATGCTGTTGGAGAAGGATGGGAGGACCTTTACTTCTTTCTTCTAATCTGTGATCGTTTCATCTCAAAGTGAGAAAATCAAGTAAAAGAAAGGCTTTGTTGCATCATTGGACTCGGATCCCTGTTCGTGTTCAAAGACATTGGGATGGAAGATGAGCCATTGGAACCCATTGGATCAAATACTTCTTTTTTTACTTTTACTTTTCCTTTTACTTTTACTTTTCCTTTTCCTTTTGCTTTTCCTTTTCCTTTGCCTCTTCGTTGTGTTCGTCGCATTCGATCATCTTTCTTTTGTTGGATACAGAGACCAAGTCCTCCACCAGAATGTACCCCAAAGCTTCTTATTCATCAGAACAACAGCTCAGCCCAGATGGAAAAAGCTCATTCCTCATTTCCCTCTACGCATGTCTCTGTAGAGTCTGGAGAACCAAACCTTGGTGTAAAGATTAATGTGAGATGACCTTTCCTTTCTCAACACAGCCCCAATGACACATTTTGTTATTTTCCATTCACTTTTCACTCTTATCCCTCCAATTGGACGAGACCCGATAATTTTATCCTGGATTTCTGATTTGTCTTGTTCCTATGCTATACCAGCCAGATAAACAAACGATCGGGTGCAGAAGGCTGGACGATCATCCTCTTACTCATGTTTCTGATCACTGTCCACCCTCAATATATATATTTATATAGATGAAAAAAGAAATGCTTTAAAAAGCAATTGAGTTCTTGTCGACCAACCCTAATTTTTTATTTATATTTGTATATATGCGATTATATTCAACACATCTATATAAAATATATATGTATATTCATATTTATTTCCTTTTCCCTGCCTGGCCTTTCACTTCCCATTACTTTGTATGACTCTACTAGATATTCAATCCCACTTTATCACTCCTTTTACTCTCTAAATCCTCTATACCTACACCTACACTACACATGAACCTTGCAGCTTTATGGACCACCCTTTGGGATGAAATCCAGGGGGAAAGGCACGTAAGAAAAGAATAGGCGGGAAGTGAGAATATGTGGCCATGCTTTAAATCAATGTTACGAATCAGGGCTGAGTCAAAAAAAAAAAAAAAAAAAAATTGGGCTGAGTATTTGATTAACACACCCTTATTTATTTAATCAAGCCCAAACGTACGATTCCTTTCTTTTCTTGTTTTTAATAACAGTAATGATAATAAAAATGTATACAAGCTAACAGGTAAAAAGTAAAACAAGGCAAAGCCAAAATAAAGAAAACAAACCAATAAACTACAAAAGGAGATGAAACGCTTCTGTGATTCGATGCAAAAAAAATTGATGATGATAAAACTAAAAGCAATTGTGAGTTGAGATGATGAAAAAAAAAAAAAAAAAAAAAAAATAAGAATAATAATAATAATAAGAAACAAAAAAAATAAAATGCCCTTATCATCGTCGACGGAGGAATCTGGTGGCCTGGCAGCCAACTACACCCATCACTGCCACAACCGAAACCAATGTCAATCCAATCGTTATAACCGATCTTCTTGTAGACGTAATCTTGGCGTACTTTTGGCGTTTTGCCCGATCTCGTCCTTCTGTTCTCATCATCTCATTGTCGTAATAGCTGGATCTGCCATCTTCGTCCGTGCTCTCGCCAGCTCCTTCTGTCGGTAATACCTTTGTTTTTGACCGCGAGCCCTTTAACCCAAATGGTTCAAAAGAATAAAACACATATTACACACACCCCATACAAAAAAAAAAAAAAAAAAAAAAAAGTATATTCCCGTAATAACATAATTAGATAATACAATAACGAAAGCAATAGATTAGCAAATGAATAAAAAGACATGGTAACGGAAGCATTATCTAGTCACCAAATCTTCGGCACAGGTCCAGAGCTGAGCCTAACAGAGTGTTCTCCCAAAATGTCCTGCTATTGGCTCCTTTTTTTTTTTTTTTTTTTTTTTTTTTCTTCAAAAATCTGGATCTGTCGACTGCATACACACAGCCCCCACTTTTTTTTTTTTTTTTTTTTTTTTTTTTTCTAGACTCTGGAATTCCCTTTTGTTCTTTAGTCAATAAGATTTTCCTCCAATTATACCCCATGATATATTGCATATGTAATCATCCACAATGCCAATAAAAAGACAATGATGAGCAAGCTTTGGATAGAACAGTCGTTAGCGTCAACGACATAATAGGGTAACTAGAATGTGCGCGACCCAAACTTGTAAACTGAGAGCGAAGGTGTCACATCCTTGTCAGAAAGTAATGTTACTAACGCTACTGTAAACCCAGTGGAAACACAATCTAGGCCGTTTTTCCCGCAGGATGGAACAAAGACAATGCATGAAAATCAAACACAACAGGCACAGTTGCTGTTGCAGAGGGGGAGGGAAATAAAAAGACCATGTGGTACAAAGCATAAAGATATAGTGAAAATTGGATGATCATGTTTATAATTTTGGTGCTCCATCACCAATCTTTTTCGGAGCAGGGTTTGGCACGGGTACCTTTACTGGAGCAGGCGCATTAGCGACGATCTCGGCAAATCGTAGGACGCGGGATGACACTAAAAAGTAATGTATCCGGGGATAGTTAGCCTCTTATGCATGAGCGCACACACCTACTCATCTGCGTAAACAAAAGCGAGCTTTTTTTTTTTTTTTTTTTTTTTTTTTTTTTTTACCTGTGGCATTATCACGACGATTTTTGCCTTCACGTCTAAAGGTACCAATATGTTCCACTAAATCCCATAGAGCACCTTCAATACTGACACGTCCATCAGCATCCCTTGTTGGAATAAAGTCTGGATGGAGTGCAACCTTCGTTCGCTCCTTATTGTTGGTTGCCTTCTTAAACATCAGAATACCATGGTCGCTAAGACGGTTAAATCCGTTTTTGAGGGTTTCCATGTTGACTGACTCAAAATATGAGAGATCCCCCTGATAATAGAGCGTCTTTCCGAACATCTGGGTCTTTTCCATAAACACACGTTCCTCGACCCAGTAAAGCTGAGGCTCGCCATTAGGATCTAAAGGAGGGATCAACTCCTTCGCTGTCGGAATAAGGGTATACAGGGACACAGCAGCCAGCCAGTATGTCTCCACAAATGGCCAGAGTAAAAAGCAATAAAAGTCTATTTATATATATATATATATATACAGTAAAAATAAACAGCTTTAATCCATGTACTCTCTTTTGTCACAGAAAAGGTATAATCGATTCAGTGTTAACGGAGAATATCAATTTCTTACCATAGTTTTCTCTACCAATGCTGCGCTCAACATCAGAAAGGCCAACGTATCCTTCACTGTCAATCTCTATAACGTTTGATTTCTAGTAGCACCGATAATGTGCACGCATACATGCATGCATGTCAGAGTCATTTATTAATATCCTGAATCCGTCACACAAATGCAAGAACTTCCGCGGAGAAAAACCAGAAACACTGCGCGTATCAAAGTCATCATACATACCTTGAGATACTCCAGCGTATTCTCCAAATTGCTTTGGATGTCACCCGGGTTGTAAATAAAATCGGTCTTGAGCAAGCGGCTCAAGAATGTCACCTCATTCAGCAATTCATCATGACTGATCTTTTGTGTTGATTTTGCACCACCCATCTTGATGCGCGTGTACATCGTAACAGCCACGATTGCTTCGTGCACAAACAAATGGATCAGTTGGTTGCGGTAAAAGGAGAGCTCAAAGCGCTTGACAGCGTAGAAAACAGGCTCTAGCAAGTTCTTTTGCAGCGCCACCAAATCCTTCAATACACCCAATGCACTATCGAAGCAAAAAAAAAAAAAAAAAAAATGGATATGAGAATACAATCTTACAATGTCAACTCTTTTTTTTTTTTTTTTTTTTTTTTAAGAAAAAATCGATTCCTTACCGATCAACAACCTCGCCTGTTTCCATCCCGCTAAAGTTGGCGACACGGCCTCCTTTTGATAAGATCTCACGTTTTAGCCAATCCACACGTCGGATAAGTTCATTACGACCAACACCCTAAGGATATTTTGGTAACACACGGGCCAAGTATTCATCCATGTTAATACGAGTGTATGCACATAATAACCACCATAGCAGCCCAGTAGAACATCAGTGCACTTACCCGACCACGAAGTGTCAAAATGACAGTTCCGACCAAAGCAGTTGGCATTACAACAGAGACAGAGTTCTAAGCAAAAGTCAAAGATCTTCCGTTAGTATTGCTACATCGACACTTGGAAATAAACAACCTGTCACAAAAATCACAAATGACTCACAATATCAGCCAAGACCTTATAGCCCAGAGCCTTCAGCAGTTGAGATTTGGCTTGAGTGCTTGCCAACTGCTGATCATTAACAAACCTATTATGAACAGATGATGCCGAACAGCTGTTAGACAAATTTCCTCGAGCACAACTGGGTTACGCTCGATCATACATACAGTGGCATGCAAACCAAAAAAATAAAAAAAAATAAAAAAAATAAAAAATAAAAACTACTTACTCTCTCCGCTCAATTTCCTGATTCATAAAGTTGCGCAAACTGTAAGGTTTTGCAAAGCGTACATCGATACGTCCCATCTTTAGTTGAAGAAGTCTAGAGTTCGTGATAACGCCCCACAGACTCTCTTTCTCTTTTGGAATCCCAAGAAGCTCGTTGATATATGTCTCTGTCTCAATAACCTTATCGTATCCAATCGAGATCGGGACGATGTAGCAGTCTTCAATGCGTTTAGAGAGCATGGCGTCCATAATGATCTTTAGGACTATTTCAGGTAGGAGTAATAAGACAAAGTTACAGAGATGAATTTCGTAAACAATTATTCAGAAATATATATAAAAAGATAGATTAGAGCCGAGTTAGGTGTATGTAGGGTCGTACCTCCAAGTTTTGGTGGCAACAGCTTTCCTGTTCTACTACGTGTCCCTTCAATGAAGCACTCAATGTTATATCCTCCTTCGAGCAGCTCCTGGACGTATTCGTGCACGATGCTAGTATAAAGCTGATCATCTGCCCAAGATCGGCGAATAAAAAATGCTCCCGCTCCTTTAAGGGCTTTTCCTACAATGGGCATGTCCAAGTTGTTGCCAGCAGCAATGTGGGGTAATGCGAGACCCATACGGAAGAAGATGTAGGAGACGACTAAGTAGTCAATATGGGACTTGTGGCAAGGCAAGATAATCATTGAGTATTTTCTTTCTGCACAGTATTCAGCAATCCGTCGCAACTCCAGAAACTCGGACTCCTTAATGTGAATTCCTTGGTGATACATCCTCACTAGGATATTATTGATAAGAAAGGCGAAGAACCTAATAGATCAAATTACAGGAATATCTTTTTAGCTTTTTAGCTTTTTAGCTTTTTTTTTTTTTTTTTTTTTTTTTTTTTTTTTTTTTTTTTTTTCAGCAATTGAAAATACACACGAACCTGATGAACTTCATGCTATTCATATCACAAACCAACTTTTCAATGTTGGTTTTGGCTACCGCAGTGAGTTCAGCTTCCAGAGCCTTGCGACGCACTTCAATATCCTCAGGTCGCATGGGTCTGTTTTTGGGTTTGAAGTTTTTCTTTCCTGCATTAGCTGCCATTTCTGCATCGTACGCTTCCTGTTTCTGGTGGATCAATGCTTCCAGTTGTTGAGCAGCCATGCTTTTGATTAATTCATTCACTGTAAAGACCGATTGGAAGAATTAATAAAAAGAGATTGATCAGTATAGAGTTCCGGTACTGTAGTTGTATTAGGTGTGACTATACATGTCTAAATGACACTATGGTAAGCGAATATAAAGTACATACCTTTTTGGCTAGCAAGAATCCTCTCTTTGAAGGTCGCTGAGAAACCTTCATAGAGAATACGGGTACCAACATAGTTGCTGTAACTTCTCCAACCCTAATGAAGCATGATCAAAATTAAAATTTATGGTCAATTTTTTTTTTTTTTACAATTGACTAAGTCGGTCGTTGCGTAAGGCTGCATAAATATTGAAATAATGAAACAGCTGACAAGCAATTGCTCTGTGTGGTTCGAACGCATATTTTTGGTAAGTGCAAGTAAGAATCTGCGTTTCAGTGAAAGGACCAAAAAAATAGCAGTGCAGCTCATATTCTTCCAAGCTGGCCTGCTTTCACGCGATCATATTACTAGGTTGTAGTCCATGTATTATAGAAAGAGATATTTGGGTATATGTGGTACTGTTGAGGTATGTAATGGCTCATCCTTATATAGCGTCGTAACAAAATGACAGCATGAAAATAAAAAAGTCTAAATCGCGGGGCATTTTTTTTTTTTCCTGTTAATTTACGCAGCATCACTGATCGGGTTATATCTTCACGTACCGTGCCCTGATAAAATGCTGCTGTCTGGACTACAAAGCCAACCGGATCCTCTCGGATTCTTCCGGCATGTTTCTTACTTCATGATAATAGATATAAATTAAAAAAAAAAAAAAATAAATAAAAAGGATCAGAAAAAAGAAAAATAGAAAAAAAAAATAAAAAAAAAAAAATTCCATGATCAACTGTTGAATTACGTGATATTCTCGACGCCGGACTCATCATTGTCGGGATTCAGTCTCTGTACTGAAATCGAGTTTGGTGAATTGGGGGACTCTGGACTCGTTGCACCAGAAGGATGACAAGAGGAATCGACTTGCTGAGCTGGAACGATAGGCATGACATTCTTGAGCGGCTTCCGCTCCAATGCTGGTGGCACGACGGACGATTGTTCCGTTCCACTTTTAGTATTGCTAGTGGAATTATTGTTGGCGGTAGGATTGTTGTTATTACTGCCTGTTGCCATAGTGTATTTGTTTGTAAATATCTGTGTATGTTGTTTGTGTGTTTTTTCAGAGTTGTTGGGTAAAAAAATAAAAAAGAGAGAAAGAGAGAGAGAGAGAAATGTGTATAGTGTGTGTTGAAAGGAAGAAGTAATACAAAAGGTGAATGTGAAGAAGAGAGGTGATCAGATTCTACACAGAAGATCACTAATGGCAGGTTTGCAATGAATTTTCGTCAATGCAGTTGGTGATCTAAAAGCATAAGAATCAAAAAGAAGGAAGGAGGGTGTTTGTTTGTGTTTGTATTTGTGTTGAATCTGTGGAGAAATGAAATAGGTGAGATAAATTTCTGCTGGGGTAAAAAAAAAAAAAAAAAAAAAAAAAGACTAAAACTGGGGTTTGCAGTCTGTCTATCACTGGAAATAAAATCTACAAAAGTTCCTTCTACGACAACAACTATTTTTGATGACTATCTATCCTATTTACCCTATCTACTAAACTACAAAGAGGATGACAGACAGACAGACAAGTCAAAAATGACACCACCAGGAACAGTCAGTTAAAAAGAACAGTAAAAAAGGGAAGAAGAAGAAAAAAAAAAAAAAAAAAAAAAAAAGAAAGAGTCTTTTTCACGACGTTTTTTCAGATATTGGCGTGTGTGTATGTGTATGTGTGCGTGAAATAAAAAGAAGAAAAAAATAGCTGTGTAGGGAGAAGAAGATGCCTGAAAATGGATGGCAGAACAAAGAAGAGAAAAGGAAGAAAAGAAAAGAAAGAAAAGAAAGAAAGAAAGAAAAGCTGTGAATATACTTTACAATGATCATTTTATTTTGTTTGGACAAATGATGTATCTTAACGCCTGTAACCTTGCTGGGATCCGAGCAATTTTTACTCTGCTATCCGGATCAAATGGCGACCAAGGCCGTTAAATGTATTAAAAATATAAGCGAACCTTGCTTACAATGGTCTACTTTATTCATTTTTGGATAGATGCCTACGATTTAGAATCATCATGATGATCGCCATCATCGTGATCTTAGCCCATAAAGACTTGTTGGGGTTAAAAAAGAATCAAAATAGTAACTAAATCAAGGATCATTTTGTAATGATGCCTATCGCCCTTTGCTCATCATCGAATCGTCTTCTTTTCACTATTATCTTTGTCTTTTAAGCATCTTTGACTACAAAGGTGAATGGAACAGTTGATTCAGATAATGAGACCTATCCGCAGTGTCCTTCAAGAGAATAGCGACGCTACAAACACAGGAACAGGTTCAGGTACAATTGGTTTTATTTGGTGTAATATGTCTCTGGACATTTTCTTGGAAGCAACCACATGTTTAACCCTTGTAATAGCAACACACAGTCTTGGACACAGCTGTTCTCTTTTTACCAACCGACTTGCGTCAAAAAAAAGAAACAGTTGTTATTTGGGAGAGCGTCATTCAATCCGTCGATTACGATTAAATCCATTGCTCAATCTTTAAAAGTTAAAAAATCATTTGAGCGAACGGACCACTCCGCCAAGTCTTCATCCGACCCGACATGAAACTTGAAATATCTATTGAATTAGAAGACTCGGAAAGTACATGGACATTGCGGACCATCTTCATCAAGCCTTCTTGTTCACCCATGTGCTTGCAGATGCTAATCTAATAAATCTTATTCATCTGGATCGTGCTTTTGATACATGTGCACTATTGTTTGTTTAGTCTGTCATCATTCTTTAATTTTCAAATAACAATGGCAACGGTATTGCATATCAATAAGCTAAACATGCAACGTTCATACATATTCTGCTCATACCTTGTTTGTTCAATCTAGCTCAAGCAATTTTTCTCAGTGTATCAGAAAGAACCGCCTCAAATATTTAACTTCGTATTTCTCATCACTCCGCTCTTTTCCTTCCTTCATTCCTTGCTCCATTGTCGTTTCCGTTCACCAAGGCTTCGTCGTTTGCCTGAAGCACATTTGGGTAAGGTTAATTATCTTTTCCTGTGCAACGTAATACCCAGCCAAGCCAAGATCCCATGGAGCGAAATTCTTATACAAACACGAAATGTCGCTTTAAAAAAATTTTATCCCTTTTCTTTGAAAAAAAAAAAAAAAAAAAAAAAAAAAAGTAATAATAATAAGTCAAATTCGTAATATCCCGAAAGAATTATACGAGACTTGGAACGTGGCACTTTTTAGAAGAAAACATTATAGAATATAGACTTTTAGCAAACTCGCACAAGAAATCAGCCGAACAAATCCATGCTCTTCTTATCGATAAACGAAGCACTTTTTATTTCAAAAGTCAAAAGCTTTCAATGCATATTCTCAACTTCAAAAAAAAAAAAAAAAAAAAAAAGTATGATTATTTATTCTACATATGGCTTTCTTAGATCCAAACAACGCATGCATTAATGTTGCCGGTAACAAGATTGAGTGAATTGAGTAAACGAACAAGGCGTTCTTTGGGGGTTTGTATGAGTGAATGCATGTGTAAATGTGTGTGTTGTGCGTAAAAAGGAATTACTCGATCAATTCAGCAACAACACCAGTGCCAACAGTGCGACCACCCTCGCGAATAGTGAAGCGCTGACCCTTCTCCAATGGAACTCCGTTGACGAGCTCACAGTTCATGGTGACGTTGTCTCCAGGCAAGACCATCTTTTCAGCATCCTGTTCCTCAGCAGGGTGAGTCAAGGTCACAGTGACGTCCGAAGTGCGCACAAACATCTGAGGGCGATAGTTATTCAAGAATCCAGTATGACGTCCACCCTCATCCTTGGTCAAGATGTACAACGAAGCGGCAAACTTTTTGTAAGCCTTGACAGTGCCGGGCTGGGCCAAAACCATACCACGACGGAGCTGCTCACGCTTAACACCACGCAACAACGCGCCCATATTGTCACCAGCCTGGCCACGGTCAAGCTATATTATTGGTTCCAGTAGATGTTTTTAAGGATAGCTGGTCAGAAATGTCACTCTTTTACAGCAGCATGCAGTATCTTCCATGATTCGATTTTGGTAATCATTACCTCCTTGTGGAACATCTCAATACCAGTCAATACGGTCTTGAAGCTAGCGCCCATACCGACAATCTCGATTTCAGCACCCTTAGTGATAGTACCACGCTCAACACGGCCAGTGGCGACGGTACCACGACCAGAAATAGAGAAGACATCTAGAATTACGGCCCATTATAAGTCCCTTTCGTCTCTTCTTTTTGTTGATATATAGTCTCATCCTTTACCGATGATATTAGAAATAGAGTTAAACAATATAGCTTACCCTCAATAGGCATCAAGAATGGTTTTTCAAAGTCACGGATGGGGGTATCGATGTGCTCATCAACAGCAGCCATCAACTTCATGATGGCATCCTCACCAATCTCCTTGTTACGTCCTTCCAAAGCACAGAGAGCAGATCCCATGACAATGGGGGTGTTCTCACCATCAAACCCATAGGTGGTGAGAACATCGCGCATCTCCATCTCAACAAGATCCAACATCTCTGGATCATCAATTGCATCAACCTTGTTGATGAAGACCACCAACTTTTTAATTCCGACTTGCTTAGCAAGCAAAAGATGCTCACGGGTCTGAGGCATCTGACCATCAGTGGCAGCGACGACAATGATGGCTCCGTCCATCTTAGAGGAAGAAAAAAAAAAAAAAAAAAGCGAGACATCAGCAATGGACGGATCTTAAAGTAAAATTTACAAATTCAAAATTCAAAGAGGTTAAAATGGATTGTTTGACGCTTTACCTGGGCGGCACCAGTAATCATGTTCTTGATGTAATCAGCGTGTCCAGGACAGTCAACGTGGGCATAGTGGCGGTTATCAGTCTCATACTCAACGTGGGCAGTCGAGATAGTGATACCACGGGCTTTCTCCTCAGGAGCCTTGTCGATCTGGTTGTAGTCCATGAACTGGGCCTGACCCTTGGTAGCAAGAGTTTTGGTAATAGCAGCAGTCAAAGTGGTCTTTCCGTGATCGACGTGACCAATAGTTCCGATATTGACGTGAGGCTTATTACGTGAGAACTTGTTATCGGTGGCCATGGTGCGACGAATGACCATACGAGGGACTGCAATGGCGGTACGAACAGAGGGCCTGACCAATGAGGACTACCAATGTAATCGCAAAACAGTAAGTGGATTGGTAAGTCTGTATAGTTCTATCGTATTAGAAACCAAGTTGAGCGTTGTATAGACCTGTAGATCCATCAGATCCCACATGGAAAATACTTACAGCAACCTTCTGAGCAAGAGCGGCAGGGTTAGTGGCAAGCACTATTTAGGAACAGATTTAAAAAGGAATGAATAGGAAGGGCCAACATTAGTCAATCTTGACTATGGCAAGAATAACACTTGACACAAGCATGAGACGATGAGTTGGGCTGCATGATGATCAATTATTTGCTGATCAGTTCGGTGGCGTCTTCTAACGCCAAACCAATAAAAAAAGTTGACGAAGAGCGCGTAAAATTGAATACTTACTGCTACGACCAAGGGTCGAGATGCAGCGCTGGGTGGAAGGAGTGGCGACCTTAGAGCCGAGTCTGTGGGCGGTACGGAGCGAGAACATGGCGAAACAATTGATTCAACAGGGGTGGACTGAGAAGCGAAAAGAAGAAGACCGGGCAGGGAAAGAGCTCCGAGAAGATTTCAAAAAAGGCCAAAAAAGAGAGGCAAAACATTTAAGTGACTGCTTACTGGAGAGTTCACCAGGATAAGCCACTGAAAAATCTATATCTGCATATTTTTATAATTGAACAATGGTTAGTTGGACATGAATATATTTTGTGAATAGCAAATGATTGTATGATAGTTCGGATTCCAGCTTGTATTTCTATTCTCTTTATGCTTTTTTTTTTTTTTTTTTTTTTTTTTTTTAAGCCCTTTGTCTTTCCTCTTCATACTCCTTGCTCGTTTGCTCACGTCCTCCATTTATTCACATTCATTCATCCCCACAGTCTGTTATCGCCATTGAAGTAGTATTCTTGCGGTATTTCATTCCTTTCACTGTTACATCAACCTCACGTTCTTACGCAATGTCAGCACCCCCGCATTCCGGCAGTACCTTTCAACCTTCTAACGCCGCCAACCAGGTTGTTGAGGATACAGGTATAACAGTAAAAGCATTGATATAACAAGATCTTAAACATGTCCGACCTGTGAATAGTTCACTTCTCTGTTGTATCAATTGGCTAGCTTGTTGGTGCAGCCAGTATCTCAAACGCGTTTTTTCTGAAAAATAAATCATAAAATATGGAAAACCATTGCAAAGCTGATAAAAGGTCTTCTATTGTCTAACCACCTCGCATTAATATAGCCAGGGTGATGGACAAAGCCTGGGAGATTGTTCAACAAAAAAGTAAGTGAGGGTTTGTTTGTGATATGTACCTGAATCAGTGACGCTTTTGCGACCCAATTACACGCGAAGCAATTGATGTCATGAAGCAAAAAAGTTCATGGAGAGCATTAACATTAATTCATCACTCCAATGTATCCAATTTAATATACTCTCTCCGATCTTTCTTTGTACTTTCTTTTACCTATATATCTGCTTAGCCTTCACAAAATGGTAATAGCTCCCATTAATAGTTATGACGAATAATCATGAACTTGTTCAAAAGTTGGGACGGCTATTTTGAATTGATGGGAGGTCTAAATATGCTTATTGAAAATGTTCTGTTTCACAGGGTGAATACAAAACTTACCTTGGGCCGATATCCCGAGATTTCAAACTTACTGCAGATGTCTGATGGAGTACCTTTGATCCAGCTCTTGGTAAGTACAACTTTCTTTTTTTTTTTTTTTTTGACCTATTTGCATCCCTTACGTGAGATAAATCGAACTGGAACCAGGATCGAAGCGATCATAAATTGAAACAATGTACCTAATTATGAGATTGGTCCTAAATATTTTGATAGGAAGTTATTGGAGATACCAGTCTGGGCCGGTACAACAAGGTATCCCGGATGCGTATTCAGAAAGTCGAAAATGTGAACAAGTGCCTGGAGTTCATTCGTTCCCGCGGAGTCAATCTCACTAATATTGGTGCCGAAGGTGTGTTTTGTGCATCGTGTATTATCGGCTCTTTAATACCACTGTATTTCTTGGAAAGATGCTGTACTGACATTATTCCTTATCGTCTATAGATATTGTTGATGAGAATTCAAAGTTGATTTTGGGCATGATCTGGACTCTAATTCTGAGATTTACTATCGCTGATATCAGGTATGGTACATTCAACGTATATTAAAAAGAAATAAGACAGTCAGGTGTCCTTTTCTAACGCCATGCTTTATTATTATTATTTTTCTACAGTGAAGAAGGCCTGAGCGCCAAAGAAGGTTTATTACTATGGTGTCAGCGCAAGACTGCGCCCTACCGAGAAGTCAATGTCAGGGATTTCACCTACAGCTGGGCTGATGGACTGGCATTGTAAGGTTACTGTATTATCTTTTGCCTGCGTTCCCTCTCTCTCTCTCTCTCTCTTTTTTTTAATTTTTTTTTTTTTTTTTTCTTACTGCCTTTCTAACTATAATTCGATCCGACTTGTTTAATCTCTAGTTGTGCATTGATCCATCGCCATCGCCCTGATCTCTTGGATTTTGATTCATTAGATAAGTCTGACAGACACGGCAACACGCAACTGGCTTTCGACGTTGCTGAAGAGCATCTAGATATCCCCAAGCTGCTGGATGTTGAAGATGTATGCGACATTTCCAAACCTGATGAGCGTTCCATTATGACCTATGTTGCTCAGTATTTCCATGCCTTTTCAGAACTCGGGAAGGTTGATACAGCTGGCCGTCGTGTCGCAAAGTTTGCTGAAGTCATGGAGTCTGTATGGACAATGCAGAATGATTATGAAAGACGTGTCAAGGCGGTAGGCTTTATACTAATCAGATTGATATATACTGTATATGACTTGGGATCCAATTCACTAATGGCTAAAAATATGTAACTCAAACGCAAGATCCTTCTTTTTTTTTTTTTTTTTTTTTTTTTTTTTGTTGTTACATAGCTCATGCAAGCCATCCATAACAAGAAGGCGGAGTGGGAATCATCCACGTTCCGCGGTGATTATGCAGATGCAAAGAGACAATCCATCGAGTTCAATAACTACAAAACGTCTCTGAAACGCACCTGGGTAGCTGAGAAGCGTGATGTCGATACTCTACTCGGTAATATCCAGACTAAACTCAAGACATACGAGCTTAAGCCATATCATCCTCCCCGAGGTTTGACACTCCAGGTAGGTACTTCCGACGAGCGCAGTGAGTAGCCATCCTATGGTCCAATATCCACGCTGATTATATGTCGAACTTCCTTCCTTATAGGATCTGGATAACTTCTGGAAGAATCTTTTGATTGCTGAAGAAAAGAGATATCGACTCATTAATGCCAAGATCAGAGAGTGGGTAGACTGCGAAACAATATTGGTGTCCTTCACGTCCTTACTATAAAATATGTTGCATTTCAATTACCTACTTATCACCTTTTATTTTGTTATCGGATGGTAGTATTAAGGAAAAGCTTCGTCAAGATTTCGCCAAGCAAGCCAACGATTTCCAAGCAAAGGTCAATGCCATTTCACATGAGCTGACGGTGTTAGACGGGGACCTGGATGTAAGCTTTAAAAAAATAAAAAATAAAAAAATTGCTTGGTTTGAGAACGGCTGGAATGGAGCTAGTTAATAGCCTTAATCTTTCTACAACATAACTCATGTTGACCTCTCTTTTCCTTTCTTCAAATTAACTACAAAAGCTCCAACTAAACCATGTGCGTCATTTAGATTCGCGTCTCGGGCCACTGGCAGACACATTGGAGCAGATCCAGCGACTGGATGATCAATGTGTTGAAGCCAACATTGAAGAAAATGACTACACCATCTATAGTGCGGACGATCTGTCATTTGACTTTGCTTTATTGGAACAGGCCATGCAAAAGAAGTCTGCCTTCATTTCGAATCAGGTAATTATTTTGCATAAAATCCTCAATGCCTTACTTCTCTCTCTTTTAGAATTTATAGGCGAGTTTAATGATCTAAGCCCATTCATTCAACTGTGCTTATTATTGTTTATGAACTATAGATTGTGTCTCGTAACATGACAAATTTGACGCCTGGACAACTCGAGGAGTTTGAAAGTACTTTCCGTTATTTTGATAATAACCAAACCAACTCGTTGTCATATGGCGAATTTAACGCAGCCTTAGCCAGCTTGGGCATCATGTACGAAGATGAAGATTTTGCGGGTGTATTTGCACAATGCTCCCAAGGAGCGCCTGAAGTTTCATTTGAACAGGTAAAATGAATAACAAAAAAAAAAGGCTCTTCAAAAGCTTATCCCATGAAAGATGAAAGATTGTCAAACTAAAGTATTTTCTATATTTTCCATATTTTCTATATTAAAAAAAAAAAAAAAAAAAAAAAAAAAAAAAAGTTTATCAATTTCATGGTGGGCGTCACAGAAGATCGTACATCGAGTGATCAAGTACGTGAGTCGTTCAGAATTGTTGCTGCTGATAAGCCGTTTGTGACGGAACTTGATTTGAGGCAGTCGATGCTTCCTCCTGCAGTTGTCAGTTATTTGCAGTCGACTCTGCCTCGTCATGATTCTGGGAATGGATATAATTATGAGGCTTACTTGGACAGTGTTTTTAAATAAAAAGACTTCATTAAAAGCAGGTAGATTTTGATACAAAGAAAAATGCTAAAGAGTCACGACTACCAATAGACTTGGTTGATTAAACTGTCAGTATCTGGAAAACAAATAAACAAGTGGTCCTGGGAATATTTTTTTTTCTTGTGCTCTTGTATTTAGTCTTCAGATTCAATGACATGATATATAAAAGGTGTCATGAGAAAGAGCGAAAGAAAGAGCCCTGAGCACGGGAGGATGTTTTCTAACATGCAGGGAATTCCGTTTTTTTTGTCCTACGCTCAATGCTTTAAATCGGAAAGATGCGACCGAGCTACAAATGGTGCGGATACATATCCGGCCGGCAAAAAAAAAAAAAAAAGACAGATCGATCAGATAGATTACGCTTTGTAAAGGATTTTTTTTTTTTTTTTTTTTTTTTTTCCACGGTCATGTTGATTTCTAATGTAAACACTTATTAATTTGGTTTATACTTTGTTTGAAACGCTGTTATTTTGATTATCTGGACTGTACAAGGTATATAAAACAAAAGAAAAGACGTTTGTATACTATGTTTGGCCATGATTACCATCTTGGAAAAAAAAAAAAAAAAAAAAAAAAAAAAGGAAAATAGAAAAAGCAGAAGACACAGAAAAGAATAAGAACAAGGAAAAATTTGTCCACTTCCTGATGAAATCTCTTCAATTCTTCAGTGCATCAACAGCATAGTGTGCTTGATTCCTGTAATTCAATGCCGGTGGGCGTAGCAGACTAATATGCCAACCTTTTTCGGTCGAGAGAAGCCATCTTTGGAATGGTACATCCTGCGTATTTTTTTCCCTTTCCTGCAGGATGGAGTCAGTCCAAAGCAAACGGGAGTCCCAAGGAGGGAAATCATTAAAAAGATATGAAGAATCGGTTTTTTTACATAAAATGGGAGGTCTATCTTGTTCACGAGAGTGTGAGCTTGAGCTTTGCTTCATATTGTGTACAAAGTCTGTGTGTCTGCATTTGGCACACATTTGCCATCCTTCCAAATATGGTCGACATCGCTCCAGAGGACTTCGAAACCATATCAGTTCAGCAGAAGGTTTTATCAGTAAACTTCTTTTTTTTTATTTTTTCATCATCAAGAACATCAAGAGCATCAAGAAGGAAGGAAGGAAGGAAGGAAGGAAAGGGGGAAACCAATGTTACCTGTGTTGATATTGCCATTGCAATAAGAACATTAGTGTACCAATTGCTCCCATATAACCATCGCATAAGATTCTGCTTTTTGGTGTTCAAGAGATCTCAGAGAGATAAAGACACGAGATGAGGGAAACAGTCAGGATACATTGATGGGGGCCATTGCAGGTCTGTAGGTCTGTAATCCTGTGGAGAAAAAAATGGTCCTTTTTCATTTTACTCCTCCACTCCTCTATTGCAACCACCATCTCTCTTTTACCCTTCTTCTTTCTCTTTATCACTCTCTCATTACACCCCCACGTACCTACATACTTACACACCTTCAGCTTCATTTTTGTCTCCTCCCTTTCTCTTTGTTATTATTGTTATTATTGTTACTTTGCGCTTGCGTGCGTCGTGTCTAAAGTATCAGAGTGCACGTTTGTTAAGCATTCTTTTTAATTCACCTCAATCCGGATTCATAGACGGCTCAATCCCATCTCATCTCATCTCATCCTATCCTATCCATCACAACATTGTCATTGTATGAGTGAATGTATTCATATTTACACATTCACTCTCTTTTTTTCCTTACTCTTTCATTGCTGCTTTCACATCTATAACAACTGATCTGCCCTTATTCTTGTCTTTCCGTTCTTCACGATTGTCCAAAATTATCTCTGGTGTCCCATATCTTTTATTTTCTATTTTATTTTGAAAACTTGGACAGTTGCAGCATAGCTTTTAACAGTGTGAAGGCGTAGTCGTGGTTTTAGTCATCGACTGCCTGTCTTTTTCCAACTGCTTCGCAGTTTCTCTCTTTCGTTTTTTTCTTTACTTTTTTTTTTTTTTTTTTTTTAAAAAAAAAAAAAAAAAAAAAAAAAAAAAAAGAATAGAACACTTGGAGAGTAACCAGCTATCGTTGTAATACCTGAATTGGATACATACTCCCCCACATGAGTTCCTGGTGTGGCAACGAGCCTTGGGTATGTTTTGATTTTCGCTTTTTGATCTGTCTTGTAAAAAAAAAAAAAAAAAAAAAAAAAAAAAAAAGCCGACAGCAAAGGAAACTTATGCAGCCACAACTTCGTTCCTTACAATGGCTCTTGCGCGGTTGCTTTGGTCGATTTTTTTGATTAGGGCCCATATACAAATGATACCCTTGACTTCACACCATGCTTTCGTGAAATCGTTTTCGAAACCAGTCTTCCTCTCACTTTTCTCGTCCTGACTCTTACAATATGTGGAGCACGGCCGTTGCTTGAACACTGCATGAGAACACCCAAGCCTCAGCAAGTGGGCGAAAGCGTGGTACATCAACAACAAGAACAATATCGTCCCTCAGGGACTGCAGCAGGAATAGGAGCAAGAGCCTCTGCCACATCTCCTTTGCTTAGCCATTCACAAGATAATCAGAATAGACACAATGGCTATAGCGCGATCACTACTGCCAGTAATACCATCAATAGTCATCACTACAACAACTCCAACAACTATAACGATAATAGCAATAACATTAATCATAGTAATATAGATGGCAATATGACTACAACACCACATGTCAACGGGGGAAGCAAAACACAACTTGTCCCTGCATTAAAACAGGGGGTATTATTGTCTAGAGCTCTGTCTGCAGACTCAAGTATGTAAAAAATAGTAATAATAAAAGATGGCTACAATCTGAGAATACTCCACAAGGTTTCGCTAACTCGATTTTTTTTTTTTTTTTTTTTTTTTGCTTGGCAACAGACGCAACTGAAGACGTAAAGTTGCTATTACAACCAAAAGCTCATTCCGATAGGGATCCAAGGCCAGAATCCTTTGTCAATCATCCTACCAATAGTGACATTGCTCTTATCCTTGTGGCCTTAATCCAGGCCTTGGGGTTCATGGCCCTTGTACTTGTGCGTTGGAGATTTTTGGAGATAGGTGGCCATCATGGGCAACCAGGACACATTCATTTACCCGCATATCGTTTCATCATGCCAGTGACACAGGCATTTGTTTGGGTAGGTCGGTCTCATCTCCCTATGAATGATAATATCGAGAGACAGATATGGCCATATCAAGCTGCGGCTCACTATTCATATGAATCAAAACACTACTCTTTATTTTCAATTCATCATTAATCATATTCATTGTACCACAAAATCAAAAGATTTCTCTTGTTCACTTTGGAAGCTCAATGTTAACGAAGCTGGACTAACGTGGTATCTTTACATTTCTGTGCTCTATTGCTCATTTGCTTTCAGTCGTATACATTCATACTGTGTATGTTGGCGGCATTTACGCGGCATATCGTGCCGCCTTCTCGGATCAGGAGGATGCTTATCGTATTCTCGATGCTCACGTTTGTCAATGCCATACTGCGGCTGAGGACCACTTATAGATGCCTTAGCACTGATGAGGATCCGGACAATATCAGGACCCCGGAGCAATATCAGAGAGTAGAAGTTGAATTCATGCTAGCAATTGTCAATGCAACTTTATCTACAATCTTTGCATATTTTATCATGACTACGAGCAAAGGACCTGACGTTTACTTTGAAGGCCGCAAGGTTTCGCCTGAAATCAACGCCTCATTCATCCGCTGGATTACCTATGATTGGATGAATGAACTGATGTGGGATGGCTATGATCGCGCTCTCGAGTTGGCGTTCCTGCCCAGCTTGACTGACAGGATGCGTGCTAGACCAGTATACAGAATCTTTGCACGAACCAGGTAAAAAAAAAAAAAAAAAAAAAAGGCTCCTTTTCATTTGGATGAAATCAAAGAACATGAATTAATGCTTGACACCAACTTGACATTATTTTTTTATTTTTATCTTTTATTTTTCTTTCTCTTTTGCTGCCTCTAGACTTTTCTTTCAGCAGCAAAAACAACGTCCACCTTCATTACTCTGGCGTATCTATATTAGTAACCGACGCGATATCTGGATCAACTTTATTTTTGGTGTTATTTCATCTATTGCGTCATTCGGGATGCCTTACTTCCTCGGACAGCTACTTGGCTACATTGAAGACAAAGACAATGGAGTAGAAGAGACAGAGCCTAAAGAAAGAGCATATCTTTATGTTTTCGGCATGCTGATCAGCGACATCATTAAGAGTGTAACCTTTGGACAAAACCTTTACTATGGACGGCGTGTGGACATTCGTTTGCGTTCAATGCTGGGCGCTGAGGTTTATGCAAAGTCCCTGCGGCGTAAAGATATGACTGGAATCATTTCTGAACGGACAAAGAAGGGGGCACGTTCAGACACAGGCAAGATCACCAATTTGATGGCTGTGGATGCCAATCGTGTTGCCAGTGTGGGGTCGTCTATTTTCTATTTGTATACTTGTCCTATCGAGATTACTATTGCACTGGTGATGCTCTACCGGGAACTCGAGCTATCATCGCTAGTGGGCTTGGCTGTCATGTTCTTGACATTTCCTATTCACCACTTTGCTGCCAAAAAATACGCAAAAATCCAGGAACAGCTGATGGAAACTCGGGACCGTCGCGTCGGAATGATGTCAGAGCTATTGCAAGGAATCCGTATGATCAAATTCTTCACCTGGGAGAATAATATTCATAGGAAAATCATGGGTATGTTTATTACGTTTATGATTTGAAAAGTAGTATGTTTTTGAATATAATGATTCTTAATCACTATTACTATTCTTACGCTACATCTTCAGAGGTTCGTGACCAAGAGCTCCGTCGCTTTGTCCGTCTTTATATTATCAATACGCTTTTCACTCTGCTCTGGTTCGGCTCACCTATACTAGTCACGGTGATGGCCTTTACTTCTTATACCAAGCTGGAGCACAAGGAGCTGACTCCTCGTGTGGCCTTTACCTCGATGGCAATTTTCATTCTTCTCAGGGGTCCACTCAACATTTTACCAGGTATGGTCACAGACCTGCTGGAAGCTAAAGTTAGTATCAAGCGAATCGAGGCTTTCTTGAATGAGGGCGAGATTTGGAAGTACTCGGATGAGGCTCTCAAGGAAGATAAGGTCATTGAGAACCAGGCTCTTAGCCTCATGAAAATGTCGAACCAAAATCAGACGACAGGCACAATTGGATTTACAAATGCCACATTTAGATGGCATACTAAGGCCTCCGCCAATTCGAGTGATCAACAAGGCGCTCACTCCAATTCCACTTCGAATTCAGGGGCATTCATGTTGAAGGACTTGACCATCCATTTTCCTATTGGCAAACTAAGCTTGGTCTGTAAGTCAAATTGTTGATTATTGAGGAGAAGCACGGGCTGCAGTAAGAACTGTCTCAATATTTCGCTTCAGTTCTAGCTTTTTATATTTATGTAATTACCTCCCTCTTTTATAGGTGGATCCACAGGATCTGGCAAAACATCGCTCTTGATGGCACTGTTAAGAGAAATGGATTTGATTTCTGGCTCAGTTGATATGCCTCGGAGCAAATCAAAGATCATCAATCCTAATACAGGTTATATCCCGGGCACACTTGCCTATGTTTCTCAGTACCCTTGGCTTCAACAGGCGAGCATTCGAGAAAATATTTTGTTTGGATCTCCTTTGGAGATTGAGCGATACCAACATGTGTTGGAAGCATGTGCTTTACTACCAGACCTCGCAGTCTTTGAACATGGTGATTTGACTGAAATTGGCGAAAAAGGCATCACACTATCTGGGGGTCAGAAGCAACGTGTTGCTCTCGCGCGCGCCATGTACTCAAGAGCTCAACACCTGCTGTTTGATGACTGTCTCTCTGCTGTGGACGCGCACACGGCGAGACACTTGTTTGAACACTGTTTAAAAGGCCCATTGATGAATGGCAGGACAAGAATCCTTGTAACACATCATGTCCGCCTGTGTCTGCGGGATGCATCTTATGTTGTGCTGCTGAAGGAAGGCTCATTGGCTCTGACAGGTTCCCCTGTCAAGTTGATCCGTTCTGGCCTTTTGAGTGAGATTTTAGAAAGAAATGGATGGATGGAGGAAGACCAGGGCTCATCTCATTTGGCAAAGCTTACCTCGGAACATGGCATTATTGCAAAGGATATTCCTTTCAGGGCAGTCCCTCCAAAGAAGAAGAATACCACAGAGGCCAAGAAGCTTGTGGATGAAGAGGGTAAGGAACGAAAATAACGAGGAATTGCTTTTATGGTAAAAGCGAGGTTCAGTCTCTGTTCAAAAAACTATCACTCATGACTAACTTTTTTTTTTTTTTTTTTTTTTTTTTTGCAACGTTTGATTAGCGCGCTCTCGTGGAAAGGTGAAGCTTTTTGTCTACAACATGTACCTGAAGGCTTGTGGAGGCCCTCAGTTTTGGTTTGTTTTACTTTTTATCTTTACGGTCGTGAAGCTTCTTGGGATTGCAGAGGTTTTATGGATCAGAGAATGGTCCACTGCCTATCCTGCTTCTTCGGATGAATCAATTTACAAAATCTCGGCAAAGATGATTGGAGTCTTGCGTTGGGGGCAGTCTGACGATGGCGATGAGGATTCAGTTGATTTGGATTTTTACATTGGTATTTATGCAATGATTGTTTTGATGGCAGTCTTCTTGACTATCGTCCGGATGTTCTGGCAGTTCTACGGTTCCCTTAGAGCGTCGCGAGCTCTTTATGAGGAGCTTTTAGTGTCTATCATCCGCGCACCCATCCGATTCTTTGACACAACCCCCATTGGCCGTATCATCAACCGGTTTTCTAAAGACTTTGAAGTCATTGATGGACAAATGATCTATAAGATGGGGAGTATGCTGTCCGATACTCTTGGAATTATTGTTGTCATTTTAATGATCTCGCTTGTCACCCCAAGCTTCCTGATCACAGCTTTCTTTATTGGTAAATTGGGTTTTGTTTTTGTTTTTTAGAAAAAAGAAAGAGGAAAGGATTTATATTTGGTGACTTACTTACTATCTTCTTTTTTGGACAAACTTGAATAGCCTTGGCATACTTCTTTGTTGGGGCCTATTACATTGCCTCCAGTCGGGAATTGAAACGCATTGAGTCTGTCACCAAATCGCCATTGTACAGTCATTTTGGTGAGACACTTGTAGGCGTGTCCACCATTCGTGCGTTTGGTGTCGAATCCAGGTTTATGGAGGAGGTCCTTGTCAAGCTTGACAATAACAACGCTCCATACTACTTTTTATGGATGTGTAACCGTTGGCTCAACATTCGGGTGGATTTTATGGGCGCTATGGTGAGCTTTGTTGCAGGGATTTTGATTTTGCTCAATCTAGAGCATCTGGATGCAGGCTGGGCTGGTCTCAGCTTGGGATCTGCCATGAACTTTATGGGACTAGTCTATGTAAGCGATCCATCTTCGACGTCAAAACAGGGCGCAGTGCCGAACAAAATAGCGTGTAAGAACTACGGCTAGCATGCTATAAATACTAACACTTGCGTTTTATTTATGGCATATGATGCATAGTGGCTCGTGCGTATTTACACTGAGATGGAAATGTCCCTAAACAGTGTGGAGCGTGTCAATGAATATTTGGAGATGCCCCAGGAGCCGCCTGCTATTATAGAAGAGTCTCGTCCACCAGCTGGCGTATGTTTCTTTTTTTTTTTTTTTTTTTTTGTACAAAGTGGTCGACCATCCGTTCTCTCAAAGTACTTTGACTAATACTATTCCTTCGTTCTTTTTTAAAATTTTAGTGGCCATATGACGGAAAGATCGAGATTAAGGACTTGACAATGCAATATGCTCCTGATATGGGCCCTGTCCTCCATAATATCTCTATCAGTATTAGACCACGCGAAAAGATTGGTATTGTCGGACGAACAGGATCCGGAAAATCAACATTGGCGTTGTCTCTGTTCCGGTTCATGGAGCCTGTTGCAGGGTCAATTGTCATTGACGGCATTGATATTTCAAAGATTGGTCTTGAGGATCTACGCAGCCGCTTGACTATTATACCCCAAGGTAAATATGGGCTATGTTTGGGGTATAAGTTTCATGAAGATGTATATATATTTTTTTTTCGTTATCTGATTTTTCCATCTTTTGCTTTTATTTTTATTTCTGTTTTTGTTTTTATCTTTTGCTATTGTTTGCGTGATATAGATGCCGTGCTATTCAATGGCACTATTCGATCCAACCTGGATCCTTTCCAGGAGCATACAGACTATGAAATATGGGAAGCACTGCGTCGCGTGCACCTTGTGAAGGCTCGAGGATCCAGGACTGGGTCAAGGTCAAGTTCTCCTCCAGGCATCAACGCCGCTTTCTATCAAAATCACCAAAACATACCACATCCTACCTCGTTCACATATATTGGCCATCCCTTCGGTATGAATGATGATGTACATGCCCATCTACTTGGCCATCCTCACCAACACCATCATGACGCACCTGAAAACGTTTATATGAATCCTGGAATAACCGCCCCTGCTCCCGACTTTGGAGGTCCTATCTACAACGATCCTTTCCATCCTGCGCTTTGCCCACCCACAGCACCCGATAGACCTGCTATTGTCAGCATTCAGGGCGATTATGTGGAGCAGCAGCCAAGGACGAGTCCTGGAACAACACCACAGTTGTTGAATGGGGCCAGAATGCATTTTGCTAATGCTAATGGCCATTATGACAGCAACGGAGGACTGCTCCCTATTGACCCTGTTTCACCACGTGTTCTTTGCTCTTCGCTGAACCAAACCGATGCCACAGACTGCGTTACAGCGCCAACCAATGGATTATTGCAAGGAGTAGTCTCAATGCAAGATGATGCAGATGATCCTTTTGAGGATCTGGATAGCCCTGTGAGTGATGGCGGACATAATTTCTCTCAAGGTCAACGGCAATTATTGTGCATGGCCCGTGCATTGCTTCGTCAAAGTAGGGTTATCATTATGGACGAAGGTATGATCAAGAAGCAAATGATGATTATGACTTTATGAGTATGTGGCTACAGTTTTATGTCTTCTGACCCTAAAACTGACATCTTACGCCTGTGCTTTCCGACTGATTTTTAGCTACTGCAAGTGTGGACTTTGCTACGGATGAGAAGATTCAGACGACCATCAGAAATGAGCTTGGAGATTCAACTTTGATCACAGTAGCTCATAGACTGAGGACAATTATGGATTATGACCGAGTGTTAGTTCTAGAACAGGGACATGTGGTGGAATTTGATAGTCCCATTAATCTTATTACGAATCCCTCCAGCCGATTCCGCGACATGGTTGAGAAGTCAGGCGAGTGTGATACACTCTTTGAAATGGCTGCCAGAGCGTATTAAACAATTATATTATTATTATTACATTTATTATCGACGTTCTATTACAGTATTTTATCTTTCGATCCACTCCATACACATGCTTTTGTCGTATTCCATCCCAAACATTGCTATTAAGCAAAAACGAGAGGCTATTACTCTATTGTAATTATCGTTATTTTGTTTTATCTTGATATTTTACAAAGTTGTTTGGCGCTATTAAAGGGTATGTTTATACAAATACAAATGTATAAATGTATAATATATTGCCACTGCTCTTACTCTCTCTGATTGAATCAAAAAGTATCTTTTTCTAGTAACTTCGACAGGAAGTTGTCATTATACTTATAACTGCACTCAAGGTTTTACTGGAGTTCTGGCACACTGAAGGAAGAAAAACCTTCTCGATCACATATTGAGAATCGAAAAAGCTCTGGTCGACGTGAATGTTCCGAGGAAGGGATAAGCATTTGTGCCTGAAATACAGATTTTGGTTCTATTGTTACTTTTAGATCATGGCTACTTTCGGTTAATGTTCGTCGTGGTTTTTTCCTTTGATGCTGTTCATTTTCCTTCATTTTTCTCTCCGGATCTAGCTCCAGCCCCTGTTGCTGTTGCTGAAACTCGTACAGGATTTGTTGCCTTCTTTCCCACTCACAAAGCAAGTCGTCTTCCGAAATAAATTTTTGGAGTGTTCTGGGTTGCATCATAAAACGATACTTAAAGCGCGCTCTTAATGTATCCGTAATAGTCCAATCGGCCGTCAAAGAACCAGAGCCCATTGATGATGATGATGCTGATGCTGATGCTGATGCTGACGGAGGTAGGGACCAAGATGTGGAAATAACGATGAGTTTCCAACGAGCAACTAACCTATTCAAGGCATCGACTAAGGTGGTTGTGAAGCGGTTGTGACGAGAGACTTTGTTAATGGTCAGGGCATGGGATTGAGCGCGTTCCAGGAAAAAGAACGAAGAAAGCGAGTCGAGGACCAGAAGAGCAAACGGGGGATTAAGTTTTGATTTTGATGAAGCTAGTATTCCTGGCATTGTTGTTGTTGTTGCCCTTGCTGCTGTCGATGATGATGGATTGGTGGTGGAAGTAGGGTGAATGACAGAGTTCATAGTAGTGCTGCGGGCAATATAGGAGGGTAAGGTCCGGAGGATGACGATTGCGGAGATGGCATCATGTGGACGAAAAACGTGGACGTTTCTGAGACATGAAAGAGCCAATTGATCGATTTTGGCCTGCATCTCTGTAGAATAGACATTGACCGGGCTATAATTGTACTCTAGTCCTTCCTGTTGCTCTTCTTTTTCCTGTTGTTGTTGTTGTTGTTGTTGTTGTTGTTGCTGTTGCTGTTGCTGTTGCTGTTGCTGTTGCTCTTGTTGATACTGTATGGCCCTTTTTTCAATTTCACGACAAAGCATGTGCTTCAACTTTTGAGCATCAAAACCCTGTTCCATGTCTAAGAAGACGACGCTTCTAGCTTTGCCTCGAAGAGGAATGACAGGATTATTGGGGGCACTGGTCGAGTACCGCCAAGTTTTGGGCAAGATAGTAGCAATGATGATGGCGTAGAGCATCAGAGTTTTACCGCTGCTTGGGGGGCCAAAGAAATCGATCATGTCACCGGGAAATAATAGGCCGTGTTTCTTGAGAAGCAGATCAATTCCATCGAGACCCAAGACTTGACCTGGTTCTGATGACCCAATAAGACGAGCTGTAGTAGGGCCAACTGTAGTAGTGGCGGTAAAAGAAGAAGAAGAGGAAGGATGAAAAGTTGGTAGAGCTGCGGCTATAGCTGTCGCTTTTGTGTTGTAGGATTGCAACTGATGATATTGATTATGGTGTTGGTTAGGTATATAAGGGTGGTAACCTGGTCCTCCTTGGAAAGTGGCTGTTGTCGTCAGAGGGTTTGCTGCAAAGATGGCTTCATTTATATCCTCAGATACAGTTGACTCGTGTAGTGTCTGCAGGAACTATAAAAAGAAAGCTATTGTTTAAAATGGATGCATATTCATTTCGATGGTGTTTTTACATGTATTATTTATTTTTATTTTTAAAAAGACTTGCCTCGAGTCCTGATTCTTGTCGGACATGAGAGAGATTCTCACGATGAGTATGTGTCCTCCAAGTCTGAAGATTGAATGGCTTCATGTGCATGAATGAGGAAGAACCATTATAATACAAAAGACTTGTCTTATGGGATATTTCTTCTCCTGCAAGAGTTCTTCTACGATACACTTAAACTTGAAAGAGACTGCAATTTAGCAGTCATAAACAAACACAAATATCGCGTAGCTGTTAGTTCCATACCGCGCCACCTCACACTCAAACTCCTCTTTTTATCGCTGTATCAAAGTGTCCACATCCACCCGCTTTCTTCATTCTCTCTCTCCCACCTTTGCTTTCGCTCCTCCCTTTCCTCTTTCATCTCTCTTCTTTCCTTTCTCATACTTTCCTCCTTTATTTTACTTTATTTTTTATTTCTTCTTCGTACAATCGACCATAAAAATATTTACTTTTCTCTCACGGTTTTGATTTTGACAACGCGTAACTTCCCTTTGTATGAATCGCATCACATTTTCTGTCCAATACATGTCCTAGTGTGTCTTAGGCTTGCATTCATTTACAAAATAGATTTCTCAATTAATTGTCCTCAAACGATCTTTTTTTTTTTTTTTTTTTTTTTTTTTTCCTTCGAGAAAAGACACAAGAACTAGCAGTAGCAAGTTTGTCCTGATAACCTACATTATCTTGCTCAGCATAGTACAACACTCAAAATGGCTACTCAAAGGTGAGCTAATGCGTGAAAACAAAAGCATTGTTGCGTAAAATATCGCTATAAGCTCTTGATTAACAATAATACCCTTGCCTTTTATCTTTTTTTTATTTTTCTTTGAAAAAAGATCTTACTCAGATATATTAGTTGCTATATCAAAACAGGGCACGGAGGTTGAACTGGATTTAGGAGTACTCAAATCACTTCTTGAAGGGCCAATCAAGGATATAGAGCTCGGAATGGAAGCTTTCAAGCCATCCTCCACAACAGCTCGCTCTGGTATGGCAACTGCCACGCGCTCGGACGGCAAAAAGTACACAGAGACTCAGATCAACTTGGCGAAACGGCTAAGCGATGCAGTTAAATTGGATGAGATTCAAGCACTTAAGGTCATTGAAGGGATTTCTACAGTGACAGGAGCAGATATCCCAGAGACTATTACGGAGGAGCATGTCTTAGAGGCTATTTCAGAATATTGGAAGGAACGTACATCTCTGGTAGCAACCTTGGGATTGATTGCTAACCTGGCCAAACAACATACGTATGCAATCTTATCTATTGCAGCGGTTGACAGGCTCCTGTCTCAGAGTGTTGTAGTAATCAAAAGGTTGCTTCAGCAATATGCAACTAAAGTCACTGAGATAGTACCAGAGTACTTCACCGCCAACACAGAATACTTTGATCTCTGGATTGCTCAATCCTTAACAGAGCAATGCACATTACTAGAAGCTATGATTGCCCTCGCATATGCAGGAAAAGACCCCAAGACCGATCTCCCAGCAGCTGTCCTCACAACTCTCTTGAAGACTCAGTTCGGAAAGCAGCAAAATAACAAGGGAAGGTTCAGGCTTGAGGCAGTTGATCTGTGGGATGATGTGTGCCTCCTATGCGTTATTTTATCAGTTGTATCACTCGACCTCGAGAATTTATTCAACATGTCTATCGAAGAATCGCTCGATTCTGGCAGCCATACATTCCAGTCGGATATTCAGGTTGAAGCTATTAACAAAGCTCTTCAAGCAGCAGAACGACAGCAGGAACTAGGACCTTTTATTTTAGGCTGGTCCAGCGTCCTCTCAGCACGTATCGTCGCACAACAAAACAGCGCCAATAGGAGCAGTCAAGCAGAGACAACTCGGTTGGCGGCACAACTCACATTTATTAGCATAGACACACTCAAGGTATTTCAGTATCTTCATGAGCTGTTTTCCAACGACTATTTTGGCAAGGCTTCGGAGGAACGGCCAACATATAAGCGGATATTCTTCTTACTCATTGAGCTCTTCCTTCTTGATCATCAACCCAATATGATCAAAGATTTTGAGGGGCTGGTAACTTGCCTGACAGACTTGCTTACAGATGAAGAACAGCTATGTACAGGTGTTTGGGAAGTCTCACCGTTGTTGGGACGAGGGACTCGAGAGGTTTTGGAAACAACTCGTGGCCGTTTTCCAATCCGGTTTGAACCTATGATGCAGCTTTTAAGCGCCCTTGCCTCTGGAGATGAGGTATCCGCAAAACATGTCGTTCATTATTTCCACAACCTCCCAACGCTGTCTAATCTCGTACCACTCTCGTCACCGTCGATTGAAGTTGATGCTCATCCAGATACAGGAGCAACAATCATCAGAGCCATACAATCAATCCCTCTTGGGATCGCTCCTGACCGACCTTTCACGATGATCCCTGCGAAGACGCAGGGAAGCTTGATTTCCGCTGAAAATAAAGCGCATGTAGTACAATGGAGACACGAAAGCTCTGGATGGAATCTGTGCTTCATTATGCTTGATGCTTTCCGTCAAGCCAATATTCAAGACTATTCTTCAGAATCTAGCGTTGAATTATCGCATCTCAAAGCGATCCTGGATCTGTTTCAGTCTGTTTTTCGCCATCGCACAGTGACGGCAGAATTGATTAACTTCTTCATCGAGGGTGAATTCAAGATCTCGCCAATTCCCACCTTATTTGCCATTCTCGACCAGTGCTCAAGATTCCAAAATCCGCCCCTAGACGTCATTGGCTCTTGTCTAAGATGCTTCACCTGGTTGAGCGAGACCTTTTCACAGGATATTTGGCTGTATCTGAGGCAAGCATCGTTTTTGCCATCTGTCATCACTACAACAGTTCAATTTACGGGACTGAGTCGGATCCAGACCAGCGGATTGGCTCATAATATCCTTGCGAGGTTCGAATGTATTCAGGGCGACTACTCTGTAACATTGGCGTTCCTGGGCCTCGTTCAGAAGCTGATATTCAATGCTCAAGCAATGGAGCTGTGGGACTCAAAGGAGCTTCGCTGCCTCAAAGCTGAGGTCCTTTATCCATGTCTGGTTTATTTCCTGAACGATATTTTCATCAACTATGAGAGCTGGTACTTCAAAAACATCAAGAATCGATTCATCATCGCATCAACAATCCTTGAAATTTTCAACCAAGCTCTAAACGACTTGCCATTGCTTGACGGATCAGATGCTGTTGCAGATTATATTGGCCTCAACACTTTGCAAAACTATATTATCAATAGCTTTTTATATGATGGTGGCAAACAGCTTACACTTCCCTTGGTTTCCATCATCGGTACAGGTCCCGATTTGTCTGCCTTTTTCTCAAAATACCTTCGCATTGAAGAAAGGGCTGAGGTTTGGAATATGGTCATGCAAGGCTTATCGCTAGTCAAGAGCTTACTCCGTTACCGCAAAATCAAAGGGGGTCAACCGTCTTTCTTGGAGGTGTATATGATTGATCGCACTGTTGGTCGCAGCAATGCATCACTGATTCAGATTCTAGCTTCATACTCGAACTTTAATTGTGGCGAGGGAGTGGCATTAGTGTCGACAGATGTGTTAACGTTGCTGTGCTCGTTGACTTTTGAGTGGCAGACAAGACCATCCTTTGTGGGATACCTTGGAGAGACTGATCAAGCCCGACAGCTGGTCCTGACATTGGTCAAGAAGTTGAATGACGACAATCAATCGCCTGACTATCGTATTGCTCTTTGGAGCTTCATCTCCATTACCTTGACGACACAGCCGGGACTGGCCATCTTATTTTTGTCAAACGACCGTGTAGACTCTTCTGCAGCAATCCCGGAGAGTCAATTCAAAGAGGCTGCAAAGAATGCTGTTTTAGTAAAGGCCCTTGGTATCCTTCATGATTTCAGGGTAGTTTTGAACAAGGAGCCCGAAGTATTGCCTCACGTACTTCACTTCCTGGATGTTTTATGGCAGAACGCCAAAGATCATGCTGTTTTGATCAAAAGTCTGCAAGAGAATGAAGCCTTTTGGAAAGATCTCGAAGGGATCTTGGGACGCCCTGATGCCCACACTGATCTGGAGCTTGCAGATTGGGACAGGGCACCTTCCCAGTATGGTGGAGACCTTGTTGAGCAAGTGATTAGGATTTCAGCCGCCAGTGCCGACCAACGCTCAAGGGGCCATGCCCTACGCATCTTTGCGCTTGCGATCCATTTCCACTATGCTACATCGGGCGTTACAAGCAGAGACTTGGAATCTCTGCCTACGAGCGTCAAAGAGTTCATCAAAATAAGTGTCAATCAGGGACGATTTTCAGAATGGAACAAAACTATACCCATCATTCATTATCATTTCCAGCGTCACCGAGAACTCAAACAGATGAGCCATGAGCTACTTTCGCCCTTTAATTATCTCAGACTGGGAGTCAGAAGGTGGGACGAGACATATGATACGGACCATTTACCAGGAGAGTCTTTCATGCTTGATTTGGCGAAAGCGAAGTTCAAACTAGAATGGGGCGGACACGAAAAAGAACGATTGTTTTTGCGGTCTATCTTGTATGTTAATTTCAATTGGTCTATAGTTCATTCTGAGATTCAACAACTTTCTGCGTGGCGCTTTTTTGTCGAAGTGGTCTCTAGCAATCTGGGTATGTCGGTCTGGACAAACAAATCAAACACCGCTCCTGGTTCAGGCACATATTATCAGTTTGCGCTCTGTTTGCTAGAGCATATTGGACGCGATACGCATGGTAGTCTTGTTTTACGAATGGCGCGCCAGGACTGCTGTCAGCTTCTACAGTCTGTGATCGAAAACTCTACAGCTGCAAAACGTTCCGACAAGAAGAATTTGGCTACTTATTTCCCACAAATTGTCACGAGGTTGCAAAAATTGATTCAGAACCCTGACATGGATGTGCTGGAGACAATCCAGAGTTCTGTTGAAGGACAGTCGGCACATCGGCCTCTACTGTTAACACTGCTCTTCTGTTACCGAGCTTTGCATGACAAAGAGGTCTTGGTCAGCTTGGATTCTGCGGATCGAGAAAGCGTTCAAAAATCTGCTATCTTGCTCCTACCATTGATCGCCAACTGTTTTAGTGCAGTAGTAGAAAGTCATCTTTTGGGACAATACGACCTTTCAAATACTATTGTGGTCTTGCTTGCCCTATTGGAAGAGCTATGCCATCCAGTCTGGAACCCTCATCCGGCTCTTTGGATCCCCATTTTACGGAACGCTGACGTCTTCCGGTTCAACCTTCAGCTCTTCGCAAGGAGTGTTTCCTCTGGTGAATATGACAGTCGTCCATCCTTCTTTGAGAGCAGTCTTAATTTTGTTCTTGCGCTAGCCAATGTTCCGGAGATGGGAGCTTACCTATGTGACGCTGGAGTGATGTCTATGCTGACACACAATGGTCTGACACCACTGATCCAGCGAGGTGAGATCGCACATCTAGATGAACTTCATGGTGATCGAGGAAATTGGCACCACGCTTGGTGTATGATGTTGGCAACGGTCACGGGTCTATTGCGTTCAATGGGATCTAGTGATGCATTTTTGCAATCGCTTATTGGGTTTATTCAGTTATATGGAAACCAAATCAGCAAGGGCCTAGATACATCGACTGATGGGTCGCTCACAAGTGCCAAACTCGAAGAAATGGAGCGGATTACGATGCTGTTTTACGAATTATCAAAGCACGATGCGCGTCTTGAGTCATGGGGAGGAGATGTCCTCAAGGCATTCTTCGATCGATCCCTGTTTATTTTACAACATGCAGTCCACTTATTCACACATCCGAATACACTGGCATCTGTGATTGTGCCAATCACCAGAGAAGAGCACAAGGACAAGGAGGCCGGGGGCTCTGCACTGTCGACATTGGTTGAAGGCAAGCTTGCGGCAGTAGTTAGGAATATACTTTCGGCTATCTTGACGTGGACAGATCCCGCTGTGATCCTGACAAAGTCCAATTTGGAATGGCCAATCCGGAAGACAACAATTGCGCCAATTACCAACACACCTGTGTATGAGCCTGCATCGATTGGTACCATGTTTGATTTGGTACAATATGCAATCACCTCGCTAAAGGAATGGGAGGCTCGATTGGAAGGCAAGACAGGAGGCAGCGCCGGATTGTTCAAGGATTCAGCAGACGATGATGGTCTAAAGAGCACAAACAAATCCTCCTCGAGTAGTGGAGCGGCCAGCTCGAAGACATCTTCCAAATTGGCATGCTTTGGAGACCTCTCGACGATATCTCCTCCAGCACCTACTGTAACGACTGCTAGCTCTGCATTAACAGCAACGAAAACGAGCGCATCATCACCACCTATCCCTACAGCTTCTTTGACGGGAGGCACCAATATAACCTCTGTCAGCTCCAAATCAGATCAATCCGCATTTGCAACGCTCTCCACAATCACCGGGTCATCAGGCCGTATGATTTCATTACTGGAGGACGCACTTGTGGTGATTGCAACACAATTAGGGTTATACATGTATCATCCACAATTGGATATGGCGGTGAGACGCGATATTCAGGATCAGTGTCTGGATTTGGTCTCGACCTTGAATTCAACACAGCGCATGCTGCAGCGGTTTGAAAACGTGCCTCTCGCGGTGGTGAAGGAGAATGAAGAAGCCTATACACAGCTGCGATCACTGCGGGACATCATGATCCCGATCATCAAGAACTTTGCGGAAACCAAGATCATCGTTCAATAAAAGTGGAGAATTAAAAAAGAGCGTGCATCATATTTGATGGTATGAAGAGTTGGGGAAAAGCAGATGGTGAGGAACTATCTCTAATATTAAATAAAAATTAAATAAAACAAAATTATTAGCTTCTTGTGTTCTTTTTAATGAAGCACTATGATGTTGCTTCGCTTTATTCTTTCTAAGGATCAATGGTGCCTTGTTCAGTTGTAGTATTTAGGGTTGCTGGTAGGCAGGCAATCCGATTTTGTCTGAGACAATGGCACGTACTTGGTCAAATGGTGGGCAAGAAGTAATTGAATATTGTCAAGAGGAAATTGAACAATAAGCATGTTGTAAAGGTCAAAGGAACTGGAGTGTGAATATTTTCAGTACATGTACCTTGGGTAATGCCTGGAGAAGATATAGAAGGGAATGGAAATAAGAAAAATGTCCAAAACATGAAATGCATTAAAGGATAGTAAATAGATCTAGAGCCGAACAGTCTGAATGGGACAATGACTCCCCAAATAACGGACACTAAGAAGGGAACGCTAACAGGAGAACAAATACAAGGACATCCTTTAGAGATGCAGATGTTGGGCCTGGTGGCCAATGGCTAATTGGTGGCCACTACGTTGCCACATCTAGCAATGAAAGTTGTAATGAGTTGAGTCATCAGCATAGTTTTGAGAAAGGTTTTCATACATTAACCTAGTTTGAGGTCACAAGAAGAACGTTGTATGGAAAATGATGAAGGCGATACCTATTGTGACCATAGTCATCTCTACATTTACAGTGCTCTTATGAAGGGATTAGGGCGCTGGGAAGCAAGTCATTACAATAATAGTCATATTTTGCCTTCGCCGCACTGCTTCCTTAGCTTGACCTTGTTAATTCCAAAGCACCTATTTTGAGCTTGTTTGCAACAGTACTTTATGCCAAAAAGCTATCATTGTCTTCGCTACCATCGCCATTACTTATTATTCCACTCTCTATTGCGAGTAAGGTGGAAAATATACTCAAACCCGGCTCTCCATTCGTTAAAGTAGACTAGCACGCCTATTCTATTCGCTAGTTCTTCATTACCCCACTCAAATTCACTGGACTCTTGCTTCCCAGTAGTATCCAAAATTTGTTAAGATAACACTAGATCCTTTAACAAAACTATTGTACAACAACCATAAAAAAGGCCGCTGCTATGTGTCGAAAGCGAAGCAAGAGCACTATTAGTGGATTTGCGGCAATAATAACGGTCATTAAACCCGAAAAGGTTGTCAGCAGCCCCTACAGCGACTCAGGTTCGGGTTCTGAGAGCAATACCTGAAGTATGGTGATTTTGGGGAAGAAATAGCGGCTTTTCCACAAGTCAACACCGTGGTATTGACTACTCATCCACCCTATGTATGGCTTTTCGATTTGGATCATAGGATTAGGGCCGATCTTAACGCTTTCTTTTACCAATTAGGTAATATAGAAAAAAAAAAAAAAGAAAGGGAGCGCGAAATAAGGTTAATTCAGGTGACACAACGGCATTTGTGAAATTTTACGGTCACGTGCAAAACACATCTCCAGTAACTCGGTAGGCTTTAGTTTATGCACAAAACCATCTGAACGTTTTCCTCACTATCAAATCAAATTTAAGGTCTTATTATTTTTACCGTTTTGCATGATCGCATCAAAAAGAAATGCAGATGCTGAAGGGTTTATTTATTTTCCTTCAAAGAAATTACATAACTCATATTTAATCAAGCAAGGAGGTTTCTTTATACTTTCATTCAATACTAACTATCCTACTAGGAGGATTTCTATATATTTTCCTTTCAAGCTTCTTAAGTACTCGCTCTTACCAGGACACTTGTCTGGAGGGAATTATGTTGTGGTTAGCGGTCATTTATATGGGTTCTACTATCTTTACCCCTTTTTATTTAAAGAAGACCCCTGAATCAGAATAAAGATATCTTTCTTTCCTTTGACTGCTACTATTTCTGATTACTCGTAATCGTAACACGCTTAGTTCTTCATCTATTTTTTTAAATACACTTTCCCTCAGTATGTCTTGGCTCTTGTCTTTGCCTTATTTTTTGTCTAGCTCTTTTCGTAATCGTTTTATCTCCAATTTAATCAATTCTTTATCTTAAGTTCCTGTCCTTTCAAATAGCATCCAATAAGTCGTAACATCCAATAAGTCAAGGTATCCAGGAAATATGAACTTCAGTATTGCTAATTCAGGGCAAGTCCTCTTTCACTAAACTCAAACAGTGGCAAGCGAAGGATCTAGTGCAGTCTTAGCATCAGTGTTGCTTGTTGTCGCAGGTGATGATTATTGATCTTTAAGATCTTTAAGATATGGAGATATAGAAGCCTGGATATGGGAGCAGAAGTTGGCCTTGACTATGTAGACAATATTGTAATGAAGAGAGTGCAGAGGCAAAGACGTAAAGTACATGGCCGCTTTTTGAGGCAAAATTAAGCAAGTAAAGTTAATCTGTCAACTATTCGTGGTAATGAGTGTCTCTTTAGAGGTGATACGGAAGGTTCCCTGAGAATGGAAATGGAAATGCCAATGGGAAAAAAGAAGAAGCCTGCTATGGTTGTAGACGACTGTGGGTATTTTTTTTACATCAAGGACAAAAAGATCAAGCCTTGTGCTTTTCTTTCAGGCTCGCGCTGTTTGTACAACAGGATTGTGCTGTTTCAGCCCGTTTTCTTCCAGTACCAAAACATCAGCCTCTTTCTCTTCAGACTCAGATCTCTGGATAAAGTTCTCTACCTAAGAGTCTATTTTTTCTAATTGTGTAAAGGGTTAACCTACTTGGCAGCCAGGTGCCAAATATAATCAACTTTGAAGACTCTCTCTAGTAGCCCAGCTGTCAAGGAACACCCTCATGCTTTGCAACCTGGGTTATTTGACCTCTATTTCTTGTAGTATCTATAATAACTCTCGTATCTCGTTTACTAAGGACAAACCTGTGTTGATAAGAAGCATAGGGACTCCTGTTGAATTTGCAGACATCTAACAAAAAAAGGTCCACCAAGCTTTTTGATCGTGACATTCAGCTTCAATCCAGTGAGGCACATCAACATATTTAGGCGACCCTAATGCTTGCTGTCTATTGATATTTTTAATTAGAGGAAGCCCACCAATTAAAGGTAGGTTATAATCGAAAGACTGAAAAAAAAAAAAAAAAAAAAAAAAAAAATTATTCGTACAGGGGGCAGTGTGAATAAGATGTGTACAGGGTCGTGCAACTAACTCCATCATTTGGCCACCCAAGTGTGTGGCGGCCCTAGAAGATTACTATGGATAAAGTTATTTGCACGGGTCTGTACACGCCTTATTCGTTCGGCCCCTGTGCAAATAAATTCTCATCATAAAAAAATTATTTGCACGGGGGTGTTTTTTATGGAATGTCGATACCCTTAGTGCTACAGGTAAAGTCATTCATTTCAGACCCCAGCGAGCTCGCTCCGCCTGGGGCCGCTAGCAGGCACCGAAGTATAACCTATTCAAGTAGGTTTTACGCTTCCTGACGAATGCTTTTTTGTAGCTATGTGAAGAGTTATTTTAAATCGAAGATAATAAGTTCCGCTTATTGACATTCAATAAAAAAAGATTCACCACTATGGATCAATGTATCTTTTCGATCATGATATCCTGCTACAATCTAGTGACAGTAATGGTTAGAGACGCATCAATGTATTTATGCGATCTTAATGCTTCCTATCTATTGGCGTTTTTATTTAGAGAAAGCCCACCAATTGAAGGTGGGCTTTTACTTGAAAGACTGAAATAATAACCATGGGGAGGCAGTGTGAATAAACTATGTACAGGACCGTGCAACTAACTTCATCCAAAGAAAACTTTTGTTTAAGTCTAGCGGATGTAAAAGGTATTTGCACTGCCCCGTATCCACCTTATTTACATTCCCCCCGTGCAAATAAAAAAAAAAAAAAATTACTTGCACGGAGTCTTTATTTCATCTACGGGCAGCAACATGTATCCTACAGACTACATGATTCTAGCTTTTTATTTCGGAGGGAATAAGCGAAGGTGAGTCTAGAGTAGATGGGAGTCTGGAATTATTACTGTTGGAAGTTGCAGCGCCGTGGGAGCTGCGATACTCATCGCGCTCTGTTGCATATTCCACAGCATGCAATATTATGATAGAAAAAAATTACTAATGCGCTAAAAAGATTAGCAGTAGAAATTAGTGGCAATAACGCGCCACACAAAGACGCGATAAATCTTTGATATGAATTTTTTAGAACGAACCTTTGTCATCCTACAGATAGATACGTAGTTACCTGGCATAAGTCCCTCTACCAGAAAATGAATAAATACCCCATGGGTGTGTGGACTCATATCTTATTCTCACTTACTTTTCTACTGCTTACTATCTGTAAAATATTTTTCATGCTCTATTCCGCTCTACAGTTACTCGAAAGAAAGTCTGGTCAAAGTGAGCTATTTATTATTTTTTTATTTTGAATCTCTGAAAAACAGCTCATTTGTGACATACAAAAATACTTCATCAACCAAGATGGAAACTTACACTTTTATTAATGAGGCCAATGTGGATAATCACTGAAGTTTTTGGGCAGTACAGGCTGAGGGAAAACGGCAAGAAATAAGATTGAAGACAGTGCTTCTCTTCATTACCATTTCAAGTGATTGTACAATATGAAGCTGGTCCTTTAGACGCAGTGAGCATCTACATGTGCTGCTGAGTATGCAATACTGCGTGCTAAAGACGAACCAAGGTAAGTTGGCTATGATAATAAACTTGGAATGTAATGAGACAAAACTAAGGATTATTGCGATTAGCAGTCATTTATATGGGTTTTTACTATAGCTAAGGTTTTTACCCTTTTTATTTAACGAAGATCCCTGGATCATAATAAAGACATCTTTCTTTCGTTCTCGTTACTTATTATGACCCTGGCATATTTCAATAACAAAAAAGAATATTAATGTCTCTTTTCTATCACTATTAGTCACGGTTATGCTATTAAAGTATTTTAGCCACTTAGATATAGAGATATGGGTGATTGTGGCACGTTCGGCTTTGAGTGCGAACTGTCACCAACTATCAAAAGACAAGTAATATCGGATAAGAAGATAGATATTCCACAAAATAAGCTGAGGTCTACCCATTGTATTTTGATGAATTTGATAAACAAAATAGTACCGAGGGCGCTTGAGTTCTTAATAAAGGACGACAGAGATAAGGACATCTAAGAGAAAAGAAAGAGAGCAGTAACATGGCGCGCTATGCATCATAGCAATGAGTATGGTAGTATGATTGGTTGTACATCTACCGACACAAACTACACGTTAGAGATTCCTAATAACTGAATTCATCGTTGTGTGCTTAATAGTGTACGGAAATACCTAAGATGTATGCACGCGTTAAATGAAAGAAAGCATCGGGGAACCATAACAATGCAACCAACAAAAGTGCAAAGTAAAGCTGCATAGTATATTTCAATTATAGATAAATCATTTGTGATTCTGTATTTAGTCCCAGTCGCATAAAGAATGCCAACATCTACTCTGAGCTACATACGAACTTGATAAGATATTCTGATCAGTATTTGATGCTTAGGCAGCGGCTCTAGATCTAAGCCTGTGTCGTGGAAGGCTTCCTGGTTATGGTGTTTAGGGCTGAAATAAAGACCCCGTACAAATAAAAAAAAAGACCCCCGTGCAAATAATTTTTTTTTATTTGCACGGGGGGAGCGGTGTAAATAAGGTGTGTACGGGGCAGTGCAAATAGATTTTTGGATTAATCTATTTGGCAGCCCATACCAATTATAGTAATTTTTGCCTCTATTTGGCAGCCTACTTCTGGGGGCTGCCACTTAACTTCGCACTCTTGGGTGGCAGCTGGGCTGCCAAATACATTACTTTTTTTTTTTTTTTTGATAACAGGGTCATAACATTAGTGGTAAAACAGGCAGCGTTCTGTGGATACATTGCCTTGCACAGCTAATGCCACCGGAGGTACTAAGGGCAGCGGCGATGACATCTTCACAAAACAGCCTTCAATGTACACGGTTAAGGAATGATTTATTGAAGACGTCTAGGTAGCAGGTGAGACGCGTTTGCTCCGAGCGAAAACCTCTCATAGGCATTGATCTCCAAATGGCACCTCCAAAACTGTATGAGCGACCTACTTGAAAAAAAAGTCATTAGTTTTCAATGAGACAAGACAATGTCACTACACATAACCATGACGTAGAAGATGGAAGCTTTATTAATTTAAAGTATGAGCGTTATACACATATACGGTTCCTAGGAATGAAAAAAAAAAAAAAAAAAAAAATAGTTAGAGGCCAAATAACGCTGGGTAGGCTGCCAAAGAGAGTCTTGAAAGTTGATTATATTTGGCAATGGGCTGCCAAATAATATTTAGCAACTAGGCTGCCAAATAGATTAATCCTAGATTTTTTAAATATTTGTACGGCCCCCGTGCAAATAAGAGGTGTACGGGCCCGTGCAAATATCTTTTTCCATTCTTTATTTAGTCCCAGAATCCCATAAAGAATATCAACATCCATTCTAGGCTACGTACGACTTTGATAAGATAAATATTCTGGTCAATATTTGATGCTTGGGTATCGGAGCTTGGGTCGTGGAAGGCTTCCTGGCAGTGGTATTAAAGACTGAAATAAAGACCCCGTACAAATAACTTCATCTAAGATAAGATCTTACAACAAAAAGGATGAATAGCAGAATTCCGGATTTGAACCGGAGACCTGCCGATCTGCAGTCGGCTGCTCTGCCGCTGAGCTAATCCTGCGATTCTGGGAGTGTTGTAGAGCATCTACTAGTGATCTCTGGAAACTAGTAGGTAATGATGAAAAATGAAGAATTGGGCAAGAGCCTCGTGGTTTCGGGATACGATAGTGATCCTAAGTAATGCTTTGAATGATTTTGAGGATGCTGCAAAAGGGCATCGATAATAAGAAGAGAGATCTTTAATAACTGCTAATTTTCTGAGAATTCATAATGAGAATAATGAAGATAAACTCACCTGCAAAAGGGCATCGATAATAAGAAGAGAGATGCCGTTTTTGCAGTGAAGGAAAAAGCTACTTAAATACTATTTAAAAATGGTAGAAAATAGGATGATAGGAAATAAATAAATTGAAAGGAAATACATATTTAGGTAAATGAATAGGCGTCATTTACGACAGGAGAGGGGATACTAGCATATTGATAATTGCATAAAGATCACGTGCAATAGTAAAAGGTGCATAACAAAAAAATTCACGGGTACTCAAAATAACACTGAAAGACTAAGTAGAGTCCTCGCCAAAAAGTCATAAACTGGATATATTTTAAAATACTCAATTTGAATTAGAATTTGAAGAACAAAAAAATTACGCACCAAGACAGAAATTCATATACTTTTTGAATAGAATGAATGATTGGATGCCATCAATTCAATCGTCGTTCTTGATTAAAAATACTAGAATTTGCTGGGAATGGACAACCTCATCCTCATTGCCAACCTACTTTACTCGTACTGTTGAAACAGTGGATCTTACGCCAGATACTGGAAGCATGTTTGATTGTGAAAGAGAATAGAGGAATATCTTGTTGATAACAGATCCGTAAAAATTAAAACTTTGAAGTTTGTACGAATTTTAAAAATGGAAGTATTCTATTCAATTTAAAAGCCTGAAAAATATATCCAGTTTATGACTTTTTGGCGAGGACTCTATGACATTTCCATAGAAAATAAATCCCATGACCCTGAGGGTTCTTGTTATCAAAAAAAAAAAAAAAAAAAAAAAAAAAAAAAAGACTAAGTATGACATTTCCATTATCAGCCCACGATACAAAGCTATGACAATCCGACTTGATAACAGCGCAGTTGTGACTCAATTCCGAGCATTGGTCCGAGGCAGAGTGGATAGCACGTTGCGACAACGTATTAGATCACCGTATGCAGTGGGCAGCTATACACAACGCATTTATTCAACAAGGATCGGAAGTCACGTCGAGTGGGTCAAAGGACATGCCGGCAACAGAGGGAACGAAGAAGCGGACGAAGCAGCAAAACATGGACATTATGGCGAGCTATGGGATATCAACATAACGGAGCATAATGACATGTACTGCCATGCAAAGTTCAACGGTGTACCAGCGGAAGATGACTTAAGGCAGATCCTTAAGTTACAGTCAACAACTCGTACACATCACACGTGGATCGCTCAGAACAGGACGCAGGAGCATGTTAAGGATTGGACAAAAATTGATTGGCGAGCTACTATGAACATTGTTCATGATAGCAACCTACCAAAAGGACTCTTCACCAGCCCAGCGGACTGCCAAAAGCGAGCGCACAGGATCAAGAAACTCCATGGAATGTTGCCTACACAGTCATATATGAGACACTGGAGGCCGGACCTTTACGAAGACGGCAACTGCAGAGTGTGTGGGACAGAGGATGAAGACACATCGCACATCTGGAGATGTCCAGGGACGATGGAGACTCGGGCCGAGAAGTGGAAGGAGATAATCCAAAATGTGAATGTGATAGGGGAGAGGACATGGAGGAAAGAGTTGAAAGCAGTGCAGGAGCAAGCACAAAGGGCCAGAGAGAGAGGTGTAGACCCACCAAGGACAAAAGAGCCAACTTTTACTGCGGCAGAGGAGGACTACATTTGGGGGACTCTGGAGATGCATATCGATGGTGTGCGAGAAGTACGACGCCATGGTGATAGGAACGGCGATGATGAGGATGAGGAAGAGATAGAGCACACACCAGATTGGTCTGTGCAGGGCATTTACCATGGACTTACGCCCAAGTCCATTGCTCAGAGTTGGAAAGTTGGCTTCAAGACAACAACAAGGATAGCTACATATATGGCAGGGCGCTTCGTCAAGGCCATAGAAGAATTCGGTCGTACAGAAATCTGGAACAAACGGTGTAAAGTCACCGTTGAATGGGAAAAGGCTCGTGGAATCACTGCTATGAGCAAACGCGCTAGAGGACGCAACTGTGTTGGGGAGCACAGACGTAGTAGCAATGATTTCCTTGTCCCTTCCCTCAGACAAAGACAGAGGCTGAATGTGAAAGAGATCTACAAGATCGCGGATGACCGAGTCCGGGACAGTTACCTTGGGAAAACCAAACTGGACGTGATGGAGCGGCTAGGTGGAATGAAGTTTTTGATGACTATGGATAGCGGATAATTTGTCGTGTTGCGCAACAGGCCACGTCGGAAAGGTGGACTTTGAGTACCAACCACGGCGGTCAGGGTTTATGAAATCATGGATACAGCGGCTCTTGTCGTTTGTGCAGTAATAGCTGTTTATTGACTATAGTTTCTGGAGCATTTTGTTCATAGAGTGTAGAAAATAAATCCCATGACCCTGAGGGTCCTTGTTATCAAAAAAAAAAAAAAAAAAAAAAAAAAAAACCTATTGATGATACACAAAATAGCCCTTTAAAAACTGAATATGGCACAGGTGGGTTTCGAAAGACCCCTAACATTTTACCAGAGATCGTGCTTATAGCAGTGTCACTGAGGTGAAAACTCAGCTTGATCGCTGCACTCTCGGTAACTCATTCTATTCTTTGCTGCCCGTACTATCTTATACCTATCCGTCCGCTAAATTGTCATCCAATCTCGCCCCTCAATTTGAGCAAGACCGGTTCTTGCAATGTTTTCCGCCCCTAATGCGTCACGGTCGAAGAATACCTTACATGCCCGGCAATATTTAGAGCGAGGGTATACCGCCTCTAAAAAGTTATCGCAGAGGGGTCGGGGACAGCGGGCGCTGGAGTAAAATTTGTGTGCCCTTACAGCGAAGTGCAGTCGTTTATCAGCAAGAGTTCTATGGCTTTCCAGCTTTTCTTATTTTTTTTTAAAAAAAGTCATACCCGTGTGACAAGGTGTCTCGTTATAGCAGTATGCTTACTGGGAACTCCTTTACTACTTTCAAAGGATCATAGGCCGACGACAAGCGCTCCTTTCCCCCCGAGCAGCTTCAACACTCGCTGCACCGCATAGTCGAACGTAGCTCGTTGAGCCTTTCGTAAGTCCTATTTTTTTTTTAGGTGCCATCTGGACTCGTAGAACTCTTGAAGCACATCCAAATTCTTTGATCCTGTCTGTGTCTGGGGCTCCTCGTTCATCCATTGAAAGTACTCATTGTATGTATCCCTTGCAAATACAGGGGATGGCGCTCTCCACCTCAATCATTCCTTTTCACGCTTCCTTTAGTTCAACAGGTGACTGAAGCGGAGGGCGGGAAGATACAAGAACCTGCTTCTCGCCTTTACCGTTTGCCGCAAGTTAGGGTTGTGAGGGTCCAGCGAGGAAAACGTAAGGGCGTTAACAATACCAGAATCGCATCCGGCAATAGTTGTGGTGTTTGCGGATGGGCATCGCCCTGGTTCGTTGAATATGAGCTCGACGTTTTCAAGCAGTTTGGAGCTCCTCTTCCAATTTATGTTTGCGTAGCCTTCACCTGTCAGGCCTTCACCGGCTGTCTTTGAATACGTCGTGTTGAGAAATTCCTAAGAAAGCTCCAATCCCTGACTGGGATTTTCTTCATCTACGTCAGACTGCCGCTGTCTCTCCGTTCGCCCAGAGGGTGTCAACTAGGGCGTGTTCAGACAGATACACATACTCGGGTGACCAGGAGGACGTAGGGAAGTCTGAATATTTTTCACTTTTTTGTTCTCCCGCAAAAAAAACTCAATGTCGCTCATATCTTCGTTAGTTTTCTCGACATCAAACTAGAAAAAAAAAAAAAAAAAAAAAAAAAGAGTATGAATAAAGAGCATTTGATTGCATGAAAATACCATACACAAGGTTATACCACTGCGTTCCTGTAGTGCTGCCTTAAAGATGCCTGTACTTGGCTCATTAATAGCTCTGATGCTCTTGGAAATGAGATCTTTTTGGGCTCGAAGTCTTGCACGTCCCCCAATGTGATGTCTACTTCCTTAATTGGGAAAGTTCAGTGGAAATGTTCATAAGTGAGGAGATAGTGAGGTGTTTCTACCGCCCTTCCTTGTTTTTTGCCCTCGCCTAAGCTGAATTGGGGCCACCTTGGCCACTTAAAAGAAGAGTGGCGAGACGGAAGGAATAGTCAGTGCTATCCAAGACCTCGTCCAGTGCCTCCCGACCTTGCTGCCCTTGGTAGCCGCATGACCCTCTCAATGTCCAGGGTAATCGCTCAGTATGCATAGCGACGTAGTCGGTTAAGGACAACAACTGTCCCTCGGATTTGGCTTGCAATATTATTTCTTTCATCTGCGTCCAGTCCGCCTATTCTTGCCATAGAAGCCTTGAGGGATCCAATTGTTAAGGCCTTGATAGCTGTAGCTGTGATCGACCTTCGTAGCATCCTTGAAGTTCTTAATTGGTGCACCTTCTTTTTTAGCCCTGTGAGGCTTCTTGCCTTTGTGCTTCCGCTTTTGTATTTTCCATTACTTCTTTTTTGCCTTTCTCCGACGTGGTGGATGCTTAAGGCCTCGCCTATCGTGCTGACGGCAGGTACTGATATCAACTGTGCGTCCATTCAATATGCTCAACTTGTCGGAAAAGATGAGCCGGAACTGGTTTCTATGTGGTCCTTTCGCTATATAGAATGATGGTGCGTCCCTACAATATCCAGGAAAGGGGCCAACGATTAGTACCGGGGACGTTTGGTTTCAAGATCAAAACTATAGCTTGAGCTTTCTTACGTTCTACGGCGTTGCGATCGCCTTTGTTGAGCCATTCTGTGGCGAAGGTCCTTTCCATTGAGTAGACGCTGCTTGAAGTTATCGAACTCATTGTTCGATGGTAATGCTTGGGCCGACGTTTGATGGCCCGAAGTAAAACGCGGAGAGCTATTTTGAAACGGTCTTCTTCAGAGGCTACGTTCCTTCCCAACATCTTACTAGCTTTCCTAAGGTAATCTCGAAGCATTTTACTGTAGCTCTTGTTCCACGCAACCTTTCGAGCTAATCGAAGATTATTAATCGGGCCCAACGTCTCGAGGTTCTTTGAGTAATCATTGCCTGCGATGGCACAGAATAACACCAGATGTTTGTGTGATGGCAGGTTTAGTGCTTGGATAACACTATCCACGTCATAAACCCAAACTTCCGTCTACGGCGTGGAAGGGGTCACACTAGGATGTAGACTCGTTCGTACGCAAAAAAATCAGAGTCTTGGGATACATTATGGCATCCTATGCATGGGTCCGCTTCATATGCACACAGACAGACATCGAAGACAGAGCCAAGGCCTGTGGCCAGCTGATTCTTGTCCTGGGCGCTCAGGGTGTGGACTTCTCGAAGGCCCTTCTGGATGCGCGGTATGACTTGAGGACGAGTCCAAACTCCGTTCCGAGAATTTCTCTCGAAGGTGTTCGTATCAAAGCATCCTTTCTTAGTGGACGGCACCTTGTTAATGGTGATATTGCACAGCGCCTTGTGGATGGAGGAAGAGCAGAAGCGGGATTAATACCGACGCGTTTGAGTTCCTTTCCAAGGGATTGTTATAACTATGGTATGATTGTGGAGTGATCGCCAAATAAAATTTGTTTATTTCTTCTGGAGGCTTCATTGGAATTGCCTAGAAAACAAAAAAGCGCCGCAATGCAAAAAGTGTTTCTACATGTGCAGAAATCAAAGAGACGCTTCAGCTGTTTATTCAATAGCCTGGTGCATGTTCGTGTACACACAACTGATAGTGATTGATGAACAAAAAAGGAAACAAGATTTGCCAAATATTTTCGAAACAATAAAAAAAAACCCATGATGTAAGAAGGTCTGTGTAGACAACAAACAAGCATAACTCACATACATTTTTTTTTCACCGTTGGCGTGGCTAAATGTCTTTTAAGCTTTCTGCCTGGATGTTTAACACAAGGAACCCTCAGAAAAAAAAATGCCTTGCATGGTTGGTGCCAGGTCTGAAAACAACAATAATACAATGCCGTGCATGGAAGACAAGGCCTTAACACTATGACCATTGTTATGCGGACTGACCAAAATAAACTTGTGATCACAACTGCTACTCATGCTCTGTTGCCAAAGACTTGAAAAGGGATACAAAACCCTTCTTCCTTGCTCTCATAATCGCTCACATTCTCTCAATACTTTCTTTCGCCGTAAATGTCCATTACATCTGAATCACACACAGGCATTTCACCATTCACTCCAACATAGATATATGTATCACGTTGGTATGATATGTTGTTGTGGTTCCCTCTGGTTTCGACAGGCCCAACAAACTCTATTAGCAGTGTATACCAACTCAGATATATCAAGGGAGCGCAAGAAGACGAGGAAGCAAACGATGTGACAATCGAGTCTCGCCGAGTTGTACAGGGAAAGATCAAGTTAGTCAAGCTCCATGGTGCGGTAGAATGAATCAACTCGGATAGCCCTCCTTTCAAGTCGATACTACAGCGGCGAATATTATCACTACTATATTACACCAGTCAATAAATAAACGATACAATGGGCCCCCAAGCGGATGCTAGGGTCATGCGAAAGTCTTCATGAGTTTTTTTATTTGCAAAAATAAAGAAGCCAGGATAGCACCATGACAGTTTAGTTTTCGGTCGAAATAAAATTTCGAGACAATGGATTGCTGGTAATTTGCCCTTCTTATGGACGAAGGGATAACGTGACTAGCATATGATAGTTAGGCAAGTGGACCTCCAAGTGCGAGAAACGCAGAATGAGGGCCGGTCCAAATATCGAAAGAATATCTGGGGACAACTGAGCATTTTGTCAATGGGTTCGCACGAGCGCTCTCTCTCTTCCCTTATTATCGCTGCTCATCGATTCGTGTGTTGTTGTGGTATGAGCTGAGATCATGGAATTGAATGAAAGGAGGCACAGCCTTTAAGAATGCCCTAAAAGATCCTGATAAGGCTATTGGCTGTGAGTCGCTCTCCCCTGCCGTTCCCTTAATTTCTCTTTTCATACTTGTTTATTCTTTATTCTTTAGTCCTCATTCTTCATTCTTCATTCTTCGTTCTTCATTCATTGATTCATTCTTCATTGATTCTTTGATTCATTCATTCATTCATTTATTTCTTCTCATAGCTGATCCTTTTATTCACTGTCGCTTACACCGCAAGCAAATTGACATTCATGCATGCATCCATGGATACTTCATGCCAACAGCAAAAAAACACTCATTTTACTCTGCCAGAAACAATTACTACAACCACTACAACTAAAGCCAGTGCATCCAAAACTAAGAGGACAGTTCCGGTGCCCAGTCCTCGACCTGGCGAACTCTTGATCTATGACTGCAGGCCGAAAGCGCTCGATCAATCTCAACCTATTGCTACTGTTTCTATAGGCATTGATTGTGATTCCCTTTCTTCTCCTTCGACTTCTCCTTTAGCCTTTTCCTACTCTTCCACAGGTGTCCATTCTAGCTTCTCCCCATCCACACCAATACCAGATCTCAGGGGAGGAGCCATTTTTGAGGAACGAACGCTAGCCAAGACACAACATGAAAGCGGTCAATCCGGATCATCTACTCGAATAGAAGGTATCCATAGTGCATATTTAGCGTATTTGTTTTATTACTACTGTTATTCTTGGAAGAAAATAATGCACAATTGAGACAGTGGGCTCGTTATGAAGGACGTTAGTAGTAAGTATATCCATTTGCTCACACAATTTTTTGTTCCACACTTGTGCTCCGTTATTTTTGGGTTTCAGGAGCATCGGATGCAGCAGCAGGGATTGAGCATGAGAAGCAACGACCCATTCGTTGTCTTCAATGGAATATTGAACGCAATTACAAGCCCGCAGAAATCCTCGCCACTTTAAAAGAGCTCGACGCAGACATCCTCTGTATCCAAGAAATCGATATTGGCTGTCATCGATCTGGTCATGAGCGAGATCATTTTCTGGAGATCTGCAAGTCACAGGGTCTTTATGGAGGCTTCGTGCCTGAATTTTGGGAGCTTGAACATCCAGGACGAAAAGATCGTGATCAAGGAGGGGGGGTTCACGGCAATGCTATCCTATCCAAGTGGCCCATCAATGGATTCAGAGCTTTAGATCATGTCCATCATGCTTATGAATGGGAAAAGGATGGGTTAAAGCTTAACGAGCCACGGATAGGAAGGTAAAAAGGTGATAGGTATACACAACGCTTACTTACTTTTTTCTAGTATTCTATATGTTAATTTTTTTTTTTTTTTTTTTTTTTTTCCTTCTCTTTCTTTTTATTATCGCTGTTGCTACTGCTATTCTCTGCCCTTTAATAGGCGCTTTACGATTGTTGCCGATGTTCAGACGCCTTCAGGACCATTACTCTGTTACTGCGCACATCTCGAAGTCTTCACAGGAATAATAGGCCGTATTTCTGCGTTGAGTGACATCCTGGCGGATTCGGCTCTCTATGCAGACAAATATCCTTATCAGATTCTCTTCGGAGACCTCAATACTATTTCACATTCGGTTGCCCGTCTTGCTAAATCCATCTCTACAGATCGGTACAGGGTGGGCTCCATTGGCCAACAAGAAGCTGAATGGTGGGACCAAAACCTTTGGAGCTGGCATGTCGAGGATGGAGAGTTTAACCTGGCATTGGCAACAGGAGGCTGGACATGGCTGAGACGATTTGGTATTTTGGGTCTAGGTGCAGACACAGGCTCAGACACAAGTGCTACTCTCCGACAAAGCAAGGGAGCAAACAGATTCATCTGGTCCGCAGATAGGAAGTACACCCAATGGCTCAAAAGCATTGTGGGCGCAGGACTTGATTATATCAAACAAGCACGGCAGCAACAGCTATTGCGTGACAGATTTATTTCCACACCAAATATTGACTCATCTACAGCTGGAGATGTAGCAGAGCAACTTAGTCGTCTGTCATGTAGAACTGATATTGTACATGGACAAGGGAATGAAATGAAGAGCAACTGGAGTAATTCTGATGACGATGATAATATTGTAATCGTCAATAGATCACAATTTTCCGACATGGCCGCATTAGAAGCTAGTTTGATCGACAGAAATGAATGCATCTCATCGTCCTCGAACTGGTCATCGCCTTTAACAGCCCCGAGTCGACGATATCAGCGACGGTACCATGATAGCGATGATGAGTATGAGGATAGTGTGGATAGCTCGTTGAATGGACACCAAAGTGATGCCAGAGCTTCTGGAAGTGTACACGGCCATGGTTCACCCTCCACGCCCTCTACACCATCACCAACCTTAAGACTTATCCCACCAACGCCTACACAGACCCAAGCGCCAGCTATTGGATTGGAAAAAATGCTAAACGTAACGGAAGAAGATCGCGGGATCCCATTAGAATATGATGATGATGAGGATGATTGTGATAATGACGATGTAGTTTTTGAAGAGGAGGAAGAGAGCTATGAGGACTCATTTATGAAACAACTTGATAATGACATGCTATACTCTAATGATCGCCATAACGACAATACTTACGCCAATATAACGACCACTAACAGAATGACAACAACAGCCTCTTTTACTTCAGATTCTAATACCGCCTCTACAACAGTCTTTGTGGACCCACAGCCGCCTTTCTTACTCTCACATCTCAGCACGATGTTTCCATTCTTTTCCACAAAGCGTCTTTGGTCTGGTTTTACTCCCTTGGTTCTACATCAGGCTCGTAATCCAGGATTTTATGACCCATGGTCTGCTCGAGATGATCTGACATTCCATAACCCCAATTTCTTTGGTCTCTTAAAGGCTAAGCTCGATTATACACTGTTGATGAATCTCAGGTGCGTAAGTCAATCAATTGGGAACCATGATTACTCTGCAAGTGACCACAAGTGGTTGTTGGTGGAAGTTGAATTTGAGCGCGAGTTTAGGACACAGACACGGCCATTGTCAGCAATGGAAATGCAAAAGGCGAAAGCTACGATATCAAAGAGCATGCCGTCCAAGGAACAACGTTATCTATGGTGGAGAGAACGACGAATGGAGCGGAACCAGACAGTACAGCCTTTCGATGACCATTGCTCAAATTCGGAACAACATTCCCTTCGCAAGCGCTCTTCTTCCTCTTCTTCTACGGTGTCAGCATCGTTGCTTGTCGCATCTCTGACAGCAGTGGCGGCCGGTGGGCTTTGGTGGTGGTCACATAACAGGTAGACGCCCCACCTTTCAGCCCTTTTTTTTTTTTTTTTGAATGAGAACATTCTCCGCAGAGTATGGTCTGCTCATAGTAAAAAGCATTCAGAAATAAAGACAATCATTCGGACAAACATGTATAAGGTTTTTTCACAACAAAAATCCTGCAACCAAAAACGGAAGTGTGTTCATGTGCTTGTGAGACCTCTTTCATCTGTACACACTGTCAGTTAATCATTGATTCATTGATTCATTCATCAATCAACATTAACGGCAATAGCAACAATAGAGACGATGGGACATCCTCACCCAGACTTCACACCAGAACAGGCAGCTACAGGCTGGAAGACACAGACCAAAGAGCAGATAGCCTACTGGGTACCTGAGGTCGACGTCAAGGGAACCTTGCCTCATGATTTGGTCGGTACCTTCTTCCGCAATGGTACAATATATCTTACTGTTTTTCAATTTGTACATGTAATAGTCATCATGAAAAAGTTGACTTTCATCACATCCTTACACTTGAATATCAATACCTTACTGCCCTAGGTCCTGGAAATGATAGTGTTGGCTCCACAAAGTTGACACATCCAATTGACGGCGATGGTCTTGTCGTAGCATTGTCCTTTCCCGGTAACGGGCATGTGCACTTCAACTCGCGCTTCGTTCAATCCCGTCATCGAGTGAAAGAACAAGCCGTCAGACGAATGATCTTTAGGGGTCAAATGGGGACTGATCCTAACAGCTTTAAGTCAAACGTTGCAGCGTTGATCAAATCGAAGATTGGCTGGGAAAAGAGCTCAACTGTTCTTACGTTCAGAAATCCATCCAACACCAACGTGTACATGTGGGAGGTAGGCAATTTGCTCCTTTTCCGATTTTTTTATAAAAACTCCGTTTCCATTTAGAATGAGAGGGTTTAACACGCCCATATGCCTTTAATAGGGCAAAGTTCTTAGTGCACATGAGACAGGTAAAATCTTTTTTTTTTTTTTTTTTTTTTGAAGCATTAAACTGAATTCTAACGCGTTTTTGCTTTGGTCTCCATCCCATCTTGCTCTCAAAATAGGCCTTCCTTACTGCTTGGATCCTACAACACTAGAGACTATTGGCGAAGAAGACCTTGGAGGTACATTGGAACTCAAAGTTCTCGGGGCTCATTTCCGTTATGATCCGTTACTTGACCGCCTAGTGACCATGTCTGCCAAACCTGGTGTCAATCGACTTCCCTCTCTTCAAATTAACGAATATGGCCGTCAATGGGTTGCCAAGAGCCTACAGGTAAGCACGGGTCATGTGAAGCGGACGTCTATCTATCTTTTTTTCATCAGGTCTTGAATATGAAAAACACCCAGACTCTTGACTTCACCTGATGTACTTACATTCCTCCGTAAACATCCCTTTTACTATAGACTTTCCATATTCCTCAGCTTAATTACGCACATGACTTGCTCCTGAGTAAACATTTCTACATTGTTCAAATCACCCCTTTTGTGAACGTATCAACAGCGGAGGCCTATAAGTTCTTTCTTGGCATCTCTTCTCCTGGCGATGCGATGCGATACTACGATCATCTGCCCTGTCGGCTTGTTATCATCGCTCGCACATCCCAAGTGGCGGATCAGATCCTTGGAGGTCGTCAATGGATTGAAGCTGATATCCCTGAACCCTGTCACATTTTCCACTTTGGAAATGTTCAGGAGATTGTGGAGGATGATCGCGTTGTAGGATTAGATCTTACAGCTGTCTGTTTGGGCAAAAAATTCACCATGAAGTTCGAGAACAATCTCTGGCTCAGTAATGCGTCCAAAGCACCAGGACTATTGATGGGATTTAAGGTTCGATTCAGTGATATCAATGATGCAGGCTCTACAACTCCAGTAACCGGCAATAACAGTAACGGCCCACTTGTATATCAGACTGTGCTACACCCAGCCTCGGTTGAATTTCCAGCAGTACATCCTTACCGCCATGGACTGGACACACGCTATACTTACATGATGGCATCGAGTGATCCGAAGCGCCCTCATTACTTTACAGCAGTACTGAAGCACGACTTATACGGTAGAGGTACTAAATTTTGGCAAAGTGGAGGCGTGACAGGCGAACCGTGCTTCATTCCTCGTGGGGGCTATGCTGTTGTAGGAAAAGAAGATATAAGGGCTGAAGATGATGGATTTGTGGTAGTGCAGGTGTATAATCCAAAGAAGCAGACGACAGACTTTGCAGTATTGGACGCACAGACTATGGAATTGTTAGCGACCATTGGCCTGAAGCATCATGTTCCATATGGCTTCCATGGAACATTCACGCCAGAGCTCTTTATCCCAAGTAGTCATACACCACCAAGCTTAGTCAAAGCGAAGCTTTAAAATAGGGATAGGACTTATTTAAAAAGGCCTCGGGGTTATATTAGCCTTAAATTAAGTTGATGCTTCATGAAATTGGGACAAAAAATAAATGAATTTCAGAACTTATGAACTAAAAGTAGCTCTTGTCCAGGCAACGAAATGGAGAAGCCTTTGTTACACCAACTTCAGTAGTACTTGTCATAAGATGCCCTCATCGAATAAAGCTACAATTGGACTAAGGCGTGTAAGCACTCATAAACTGCTTCCATGCCAAGCATTGTATGGTATGTAGCCTCTTTTTCTGTTAATCTCTCTTTTTTAAGACGGTATTGCTTCTTGATAGCAGTTTCCGCCCCTACTGAGATGATATAAGTAAAACCGGTCCCCTGCTTAGTAATGTCCACGAAGCTAGTCCACGCTTGCATTTCAGCGTTGAAGGGAAGAAGGCTACAAGCTCAAATTGGACAGCTGCTTTGATTATTATTACTTCTCGGGCTTTTTTTTTTTTTTTTTTTTTTTTTTTTTAATTTGAGAGCACTTTTGTACAAATACATGTATTTTCACATATTTTTACTGTACATGAATAATTGGTGCATTCCTACCGACAACTGTCAGTCCGCAGGCGCATGTAACATGCACCGCCACTTAAACCCCTGAATGCCATCTCAGATCGGCTTGATTTTTACATCGTTCTTTTTTTTTTTTTTTTTTTTTTTTTACACCAGTTTCCTATCTTTCAAGTCAATCCTTATCCTTGTGTAAATACACCTTTATTTCATTTAACAACAAAAACGAAGCATTAGTCAACGATAAAAGCTATGGCAATCAGACGATCATCTGATCCAATTGCCTTCTCCATTGCGTATTGGATTGTACTGCTTGCTGCTGGTAATGGATTATGTCTAAAACATTTTATCCGGACTAAATGGATGCATGCTTGCCACATTAATGGTCGCTATTCTCTGCTTATATTCACTTACACATATCTCTCAATAAAGTCAGTGGGCTAGGTTACTATGCCCACAACCGTATCAGCGTGGTGGTTAAAAGAGACTATGTTCTTCAAAATTCCAACGTCTACATGGATGAAAACCATCATGAAGTTCGAATACCGGATGTAATCTTTTGTTTGCATAACGCTCGATTGCAAGCAATCCCTCACGGAATGAATTATACACGTATCAATCTTCACGACCCAACAATCCCCACGGGGATGTCGGTTTTGACTCCCTGTGCTGATGATCATGACAGTATGATCATCATGTCGTGCCAGAACAGTACTTGGAACGCCGCTACTCACGGTGGCATTGTTTCATTTAATTTCTTCGCCCACGAACCTGGTGCAGCGGTAAATGACTAACCTTATTATTAGTATTATTTTTTTTTTTCCTTTTTTTTAAGTACCATGAAAGGAAAAAGGGATTAATATCTTTCATTAATTTTTTACAGGGTACACATTTCTTCATGTTCTTAATGCCAAGAGGTGGGCTGCAATCTATTTACTAATGTCCTTTATAGAGGGTTGTATTACACTTCATGCAATGATTACGTTCCTCAAATATTCAAATATGAAAACCATCTACCCTTTTTTTTCACGAAGAAAGAACTTAACATATACAAGAATAGGACATTGATTCAAGGACGTAACAAAGCTGCGGATCCTGAACTGCGACGAAACTTTCATGTAGGGATTGAAAATAGCGTCAACATGTATGTCTATGCGGTTCCTCAGACAATCAAGGTTTTGAGGAATGATATCTGGGGGCTCTTTGGGGTCTACAATGATTCTATGGTAGATTACCTGGTCACTTCCACCGTCGAGGGTTTTTATCAGTTCAACCAGACTTGGATTGCACTTGTAATTCCAACCATGGAGCTTGCCAGTAGACAGGTCTTGTAAGTGTTGTTTTTCAGATTAATCAGTCAGGGGCAATGCATCTTTCACCAGATTAAAAAAAAAAAAAAAAAAAAAAAAAAAAGAGAGAGAGAGATAAATGGTAGTGGTAGTGGACGGAGGTGGATATGCCTGATTAATCAGCAACTACCCAAATATGTCTTTAAAATCATTCTAAATGCATTTTTAGGCTGGTAAGCGCTCCAGATGCGTTCTCCTCCTGGGGGGGTCTGTTCTCTCTGGTCTTTGGTGTGTTTTATATGCTTTTCGGCAGTAGGTAAGCTCTCATATTTGAAACTTTTTTTTGGAAATGATCTTCGCATAAGGAGAAAATTGCTAATAGAGTGACCATCTGATTGCTGCCATTAGACGCATGTCCCCTTTTGGTATCATTCAAAAGTACATGCTGCGGTCCAGGACGAAGGCGATGATCGCAAATATATATGGCAACTGGAAACGGGATAGCAGTGGAAACTACTACTGTCGGGATAGTGAAGGCATCCCTAGAATGGAGGATGGCATAAAAGGCGGTTCAAGTTATATATCTTTGGGTCGTAGAGCCTCTTCTAGCGCCGATCTACCATTACAAGATCGGCAACAAGTACCACTGCCATATTTACCTGGAAACACTGATAGTAGCGACAGTAGCAATATAGTGCTAGAGCAGCAGTATATGACTCAGTTCAGTAATACCAAAGCTGCCTCTGATGGGAACGCAAATAATGTATACTCCTTGCAGCAGCAAATTCACCATGGAGAGTTCTTGGCGCTTCGAGACCAGGTGGAAGCGCACGCAAAAATCCTTCGACATCTCCAAGGGCATGAACAGAGATTCAAGGACACAGAAACATTACTCAAAGAGTTTTACCTGGATATGGACTTGGTGGACACAAAAGCGCTGGCACAGGATACAGCTTTATTGACTTCTACTACTGTGGAAAATGTGGATACTACATCAAATCAAGGCAAAGAACAGTCTAGCTGGCGCAAGTCCCTAAGTGACGGTTTATTTAGAACAAATCAACACCCCGTCTTGACGCGGAACACTAGCGATGACAGTGAAGAGAGAATTGCCTTGCGCGAATCCGGCTTTGCAATGGGATTCCACGGCAATCCTCGGGCTGACTCTCCTAAACACCCAAATAATCGGCCGAATTCATCGATGGAGATGATACAATATGTACATGAACCGTAATAGTCCAACCATTGTATGGTAATAAATTTAATTCTCTGTCGTAAGAAGTTGGTCCACTAATCTAAGGAGATTCGCGAATTGCTTTTTTTATTGCTTACAGTCTTAATGAATCCTGATTGAAGCAACATGGCTTGCCTACTCAATAAGCCTCTGACATCTACATGGCGATTTTGCTTGCCACATAATCAGGGTATTTGGCACCAATAATGCCTACCAACTCTTCAACATGGCCACACAGGTCTTGGATACTTGCATCCCACAACGTCGACAACATCGGTGCTTCATGCCCACTCATATCCTGGTCTCCATCCTCATCAATAGCACTGATGGCTGCGCCAGTTGAACCAGCAGCTACTCCGCCAGAACTACTTGCAGCACCACCGCTCTTACCTGTTCCTGCACCTCCTTTGGCTCCAGCGCCAAGCCGCAGCTTAGCGCCATGGGTGCGATCGAAAAAGATAAGCCGCTCAATTTGGTCAATGCTGCCTGACATTCTTCCTTCGCCCATCATCTTACTGGCTCTTGCTTCTGCTTGCTCTGGTGTTACTCCAAGCAATGCGCTCAGCTCTTCGAATGAGATGTTATTATATATCTTTGATGCAGATAGTAGGTTGTGCTCTATGACAGCGCGGTCCAAGACCGTGGTATTGTCGGAAAGGAGAGCCTTTTGATGTTGCTTTAGTGTGCTGGCAAACTCTGAGACCTCGTTGCTTCGAAGGACACGATCCAGATACATCTTTTCCAGGATTGAGAAATGTGGAAGGCGCTGAGAACGATCATCTTTATAGAGCGTCGCAAGCATCCGTGATCGCTGCGGTCCTGCGGGAGCCAATACTGCACATACAACAGCAGCAGATCTGCCGATGGGTAAAAAAAAGATCTGAAATAAGCTCCCTTGTAGCTAGGAGATAGAGATGACATACTAATACCATCCGAAAATATGTTTCCTGCGTGCACTTACAAAATCTGCATACGTTCCTCATAGTCAACTTCTTGGATATAGCTGATCTCGTGGTAACGTGAGCTAGCTTCGAGGAACTTGTTCTTGAAATCCGAGATCCTGGCCTGGGAAAGCTTGAACGTAAGCTGAAGTGCGAGATCCTTGGTTTCACGCATTAATACCGAAGCGCGATTCAAGTAAGCTTCTGCGCTGACAGCCTCATCATCCTCAAGTAGCAAACGCACGATGCGAATGTATATGCCGACTTTATATTCATTAGGGATAATACTAGGTTGCCGAGGAGATAAAAAAGAGGAAGAGCATAAATTTCCAAATATAAAATTCCACCTCTGTGATGGCGCAGTCGCTATTTGTCTCGCACAAACACCTAATATCGTTTCTCATTAAAGATGTCCCGTTGATTTTCTATCGTCATTTCCTTACCGATGGCCAGAATCCAGTGGAATGCCCATGAGAACTTGGGCAGCTTCTGCCCACTCTTCTTCGTCTTCATAAATGCTAGCCAAATGGGTTCTAATTGCTGATACCTAACATGACGTAGCAAGGAGTATATGTATTCATGCTCGTTAGTAGAGTGATCAAAGAAAAATCAGAGTAGATCTTTGCTTTCGAAAGGTCATTTCTGAAAACGATGAATTTAAATACCTGTTCTTCAAACGATACGACTCTACCCTGAACTTTCTCGAGAGCATGGCTATAGACTGCCTTCTTATTCTCTGCAGAGAGATTGGCGGTAGCGTCGACTGCAGCTGTAAAGTCTGAGAGGACCTGACGCGATATGACTAGGCCGACAGAGTCTTCAGTGGCAGCAGTGATGTATTGCTCAAGGCGCTGGCGCGTAACAGTCTGGTGAGTTTCATCAGCAGTTGTGGTTTGAAGGATAGATGCAAGCAAGTCTTGGTAACCCTTGATCTTGTCCTTTTGGTTTGTAACCTGCGTGATGGCAGCCAATTGAGCTTCAAAGTCCATGTTGAAAAGAAATGGTGCTGCTGTGTTAAAAAAGTAGAAGAGGAAGAAAGAAAAAAGAAGAGGAGAAAATGGTGGCAATGGAGGTATAAAAGTGAATGAAGACGCGAGTAAGGTGGCCAAGTCCCAATAGGCCCATGGTGACTGTGAACCCCCACATTGACTGACGTGAGGAGAAAGGTACGCTTTTTTTCTCTCTTTTTTAAAACTTCGCTCCATAGAAGATTACATTTAACATACACTACATAGACTCCAGGATGCCTACAACAAGAACGCATACAACTCATGGACACGTCAAGGGACAACACCATGGCAATCCAATTCCAGGTCATGGTCACCCTCAGCAGCAACAACAACCGCAACAACATGATTCGCATTCTGTCATCTTAGTAACCGCCGGCTATGATCATGTCATTCGTTTCTGGTAGCACAACAGTATATAATGCATTGCGCTGCGTCGCATATTTGCCTTAACAACTAACGCTATTGTCTCTCTTGTTGTATCTGCTCGAATCGTTACTCATTCTAGGGAAGCATTGAGCGGAGTATGCTCTAGAACAATCCAGCATCCAGATGCAGTACGTCAACCTGAAATAGTATTCGAAGAGGAAATTTTTATGTTTCTAGTCCTCTTCTTTTTCTTTATTACTTATTGTAATATGGTGATTATCTTCGTTCCTCGGATTACATTAGCAAGTGAACAAATTAGCAATATCTCCCGACAAACAGTATCTAGCGGCAGCAAGTAATCAACACGTCCGCCTCTACGACATCAATAGTGCGCATCCCAACCCTATTCTCTCTTTCAAAGGCCATACCAGTAACGTAACTGCTGTTGCTTTCCACTGTGAAGGTAAATGGATGGTAACAGCAAGTGAAGACCATACGCTAAAAATCTGGGATATTCGGTAAAAACATATTTAAAGCATGGAGCAACCCTTTTACTAAATAGAAAAGGATAAACATGGTTGAGGACTGACATTTACACCATTGATCGCGCCATGTTCTTTAGTTGTCCCGATCCACAGCGGAATTTCGATCATAAAGCGCCAGTCAATGACGTCGTCATTCACCCGAACCAAGGCGAGCTCATCTCATGCGATCAGAATGGAAGTATCAAACTATGGGATCTGGGTGAGAGCTCTTGTACACATGAACTGGTTCCAGAAGAGGATGTGCCCATACGTTCAGTTACGGTTGCGAACGATGGCTCTTCCTTAGTTGCCGCTAACAATAAAGGCAACTGTTATGTCTGGAAAATGGCTCATACTCGTGAGTTCACTGATTTACAACCGATTACTAAGTTTGCAGCGCACAACAAGTACATCCTCAAATGTGTCCTTAGTCCGGATGTGAAGCACTTGGCGACCTGCTCTGCAGATAGTACTGTGAAGATTTGGAAAACGGATAATTATTCGTTCGAGTTGGAAAGGACTTTGGTGGGCCACCAGCGTTGGGTGTGGGATTGTGCGTTTTCTGCGGATTCTGCCTATCTAGTCACAGCCTCGTCCGATCATGTTGCCAGGTTATGGGAGCTTTCCTCTGGAGATACCATTCGGCAATATAATGGGCATCAAAAAGCAGCAGTCTGTGTTGCGCTCAATGATCTCTCTATGTAAAAACAGTAAATAAAGAAGTTAAAAAAAAAAGAAAAAAAAGAAAAAGAGCAACGGGTGACTGCACAAAGTGACAAGGAAAGGAATTTAATATTAAATTCACTGCTCAAGGCTGCAGATAATCCCATTAAATTTTTTTTAAGATTTTGATGACTACAAAAGTAATCTATTCAGTGTTAGTTTCTGAATCGGGCAGTTGTCAGCGGACTGCTGTAAGCCTAGTTTGGGCCGGTAATAGGATGATGAATCCATGTGGGGCTGGGATCACGTGTGCTGGTGGTTACTTAGGTATACCGCCCATTAGAAGCTTGGTGTGGACATTCTGTCTTGGGCGTAGGCCCGGGGCAAGAGGCCCTTGAATAACTGTCTGCTACAGGCCAGCAATGGATCAGTAGAAATGATGGTAGCACTGGGCAGTCTGGTGGATCACGGGAATTAGTTTGGACTCTAGCACATGCCAGCCTTGGGTGGAGACTACCATCCGCTTCTCATTTTTTTTTGCGGATTAATCTATTTGGCAGCCCATTGCCAAATATAATCAACTTTCAAGACTCTCTTTGGCAGCCCAGTTGCCAAATAACATTCATTATTTACTTGGCAGCCTACCCAGGGCTATTTGGCCTCTAACTATTTATTTATTTATTTTTTTTTTTTTTTCAAGTAGGTCGCTCATACAGTTTTGGAGGTGCCATTTGGAGATCAATGCCTATGAGAGGTTTTCGCTCGGAGCAAACGCGTCTCACCTGCTACCTAGACGTCTTCAATAAATCATTCCCTAACCGTGTACATTGAAGGCTGTTTTGCGAAGATGTCATCGCCGCTGTCCTTAGTACCTCCGGCGGCATTAGCTGTGCAAGGCAATGTATCCACAGAACGCTGCCTGTTTTACCACTGATGTTATGACCCTGTTATCAAAAAAAAAAAAAAAAGTAATGTATTTGGCAGCCCAGCTGCCACCCAAGAGTGCGAAGTTAAGTGGCAGCCCCCAGAAGTAGGCTGCCAAATAGATTAAGATTAATCCTAATCTTATTGGCAGCCCAGTTGGCAACCTACCTAATGTTATTTGGCCTGTTTTTTGTTTTATCTGTAAAAACTCTCGTATCTCGTTTACTGGGGACAATCCTGTGTTGTTAGAAGCCAGGAGCTCCTATTAAACTTGTTAACAACCAACAAAAAAGGTCGCCAAGCTTTTTGATCATGACATTCAGCTACAATCCGATGACAGTAACGGTTAGAGGCGCATCAACGTATTTATACGATCCTAATACTTCCTGCCTGTTGACGTTTTTATTGAGAGGAAGCCCACCACTTAAAGGTGGATTTTAATTGAAAGACTGAAATAATAACCCCGTGCAAATAACTTCATTATTTGGCAGCCTAATTGCTACCCAAGTGTGTGTAGTTAGGTGGCAGCCCCCAAAAATACTATTTAGTATGGGCTGCTAAATAATATTTGGCACCTGGGTTGCCAATTAGATTAATCCTACCATCATTATTGGAATACAGTGCTGGCTCAATTGCTGGCGGAGCCCTGTCGCAATCCCATGTTCTTAAATCTAGAATTCTTGACATGGCAACCCTGACATTAAAGTTAGATTGAGTGAAACGTGAAGAGTTTGATTCACATATGCATATAGTTACGTCCAACCTACATCGAGTCCTTTGTCTCCATCATTGACAGGTGCGTTTGCCTAAGGAGCTTTCTGGAGATTTTAAAGATGGGGGCCTCCAGTTCTTCTAGGCCTTCCAACGAAAGGTTATCTAACTCATCTACACTGTGGTTCCGCATCTAAATCACACAAGTTTTGCGTTAAAAGCGATATAATAAAGAAGTGATAAATCCAATAGATCAATCGCTTGCCTTGTTTATGCAGGCGCCCATCGGAAGGCGCCATGGCTTGTCTGTCACAATGTTGGAAATAGGTTTAAGGATAGCTGTAGCAGGGGCCGAAGTGATTGATGTAACCATACTAGAGGAAGCTGATGCTTATTTTGGCAATATGAAATAACCAAAGAATGGCGTTTGGCGGTGTAGAATGTTAGCTTTTTCAATACATCATACTTTTATAGGCCTCACAATGCTTGGTAGTGTGTTCACGCTGGAAGGAGGCAGCCTGAATTAAAGCATTTTATCGCAGCATGGAGACTAAGTACTTTGATCTTTCCATGTGCGATTCGTCAAGCCTTGGTTTGCCGCATGTGACAGAAGCAGCACCTCACTCTAACAGATTGTTTGTAATCCAGGTATTATGGATGTATTATGGATGTAGATGACGGAAGATCACTTTGAGGAAATACGAGCAGCAATAAAAAGAGGAAGAGAGATTTATGTATCTTTTTAAGTCTTAGTGCCCACGCGTCCAGATGAATTGATTTCAAAAGCCCGCATGAGTTGAACAAAAGCTCATACCTCTCATACGTGTGCATCTTCATAAATCAGTATATCAGTGATGTTGGGGCGTTGATCTTGCAGCACTGATAAATGTCGCGCTATCCTTTATTTTTCTCACATATACTTAAAATAAGCCATCATAAATGCTCGATACGTTCCTCTCTGCTACGAGTTTTACAAGATCCGCTGGCTTCTCGACTTCATTGAGGTCTTCTCTTTTTTCATTGTTATTTGGTGGAGCAACACTGAACAACAATTTTCGAGAGACGTTGCATTTAGGCATCGTCTAGTTGGCCTTAGAGAAACAGTTTGCAGTTCTGATATTTCAGCATTTATGCAGGACTTTATTATTACTTGATTTTAAAGATTTACTTGAAATCACAATGGAAAAGAATAGGAGCTATAGTACAATTAGATGTATTAAAGAAAAATACAAAAGCATCTTTCCTTTAACGATCCCTCTCAGCGATAGGGTTGGCATGGATGGTAGTCGATAGAATACGGATAGGTTGTATGGGTCGATTTTTGGCATCCACAGGTATTTTTTCAATGGCGTCCAGAGTCGTGTCTGCGCCATCAATGACCTTGGCGAAGATAGTGTATTTAGTGTCCAGATGAGGCTGTTTATCATAGATGATAAAGAATTGTGACCCATTCGTATCGGGTCCAGAATTAGCCATCGAAACAATACCACGTCCAGTATGCTAATTTATTAGAAAAGGTGTTTGTCAATAGTTGATCGCCCGAAGTAAAGATAGATGGTTTCTAATGCATTGTTTTTCATTAGTGTTGCTACCTTCAATCCTCCGCGAAGCTCATCAGGGAATTTTTTGCCCCAGATAGAAGTGCCGCCTTTCCCCGTTCCTGTTGGGTCTCCTGTCTGCACCATAAAGCCTTTGATATTCCTGTGAAAGAGGTTGTTGTCATAGTATCCACTAGCGCAGAGGGCCAAAAAGTTCTGCAAGAGTACGTAAAAGAAAGTTGGTTAATGCACTTGAATAAATAAATAAATAAATAAAAGTTCTGTAGATACGTCATTAATTCCTTGCTTAAAGACTGCCATGTCTAAGAATTACCTCGGCTGTCCTTGGCACACTTTCGCAAAAGACTTCAAGCTTGAGGTCACCGAGGTCAGTATGTAGTGTGACAGACTAAAAAAAGAAAAAAAAAAAAAGATAGAGGGAGAAAGGCAGAGAGAGAGTAAAAGAAGTGCTTCAGCTTACTCCATTATGCATGTTACACCTCTTAGACATAATTGCCAATGAAAACAACAAGGCTCATACCATGATGATGAATTTGCAAAAAGTCGTTTTTGTGAATGTGTTTCCAAGAATGTAGCCAAAAGGAACATCAGTTGCAAAAAATATGCAGTCACATTATTGTTATTTTTCTGTTTTCTTTTTTTTGTCAAGGCAAATCCTTCATTCAACGTTACACCTTGCCATGTCAACTAAACTTAAGACAGAAGATATCTACAAGCTCATAGAGAATGACAATCAGTCAGATGCTTCAGATTATGACTCTGAAGAAGAGCGTGAGCGTAAGACGCCTGCATCAAAAGCAGGGTCCTCTAAAGAGTTCAAAAAAGCTACTAAGAAGAAAGGAGCAATGGTCTTTGGACTAGACAAAGATGTAGGCAGCGATGAGGACGAAGATGAGTCCGACTCTTTGAGCGAAGATGAATACAATGGTAACGGAGGAGGAGTCGATAGTAACTCTAATGACGAGAATACAGAAAAATATAGGGAAGCAACAGCAATATCTTCGGATCCACGCTTCCAACTTGAGGATGGGAAGGCAGAACATGAAGTTAAAAGCCAAACCCGAGTACGAGGTGCCAAAAAAAAGTCGAAAAAGGTGAAGCCATTGACACCAGAGGCATTAGAGAAATTTCAAGCAGCTCGTGATAAAACTGGGATTGTATACTTGTCAAAAATCCCACCTTTCATGAAACCAGTCAAGCTGCGTCATTTACTTGGAAAATTCGGAGAGCTTGGCCGAGTTTACTTGGCACCAGAAGGTGAGGCTAAATAAGAAATCCGACAGGAATACGGAGTATGGCTAGACGTTTTTTCCCCTTATATCAGGGACCAATTGCTAATGTTCCTTGAGCGTTTCAATCTACCCTTTCTGTATCATTCTCACAGATCCAAAGATTGCTGCACGCCGTAAAAAGTACGGAGGAAATAAGAAGCAAAACTTTACAGAAGGATGGGTGGAGTTCAAGGACAAGTCAGTGGCAAAGCAGGTTGCCAAAACTTTGAATACAACTACCATTGGAGGCAAAAAGAACAACCATTATCATGATGATATCTGGAACATCAAATATCTACCGAAATTCAAGTGGGACCATTTGACAGAGCGAATTGGTATGTAGAAAAAGGGAGATTATTAGTATATCATGATGTGGGTCTATAGTAATTGACACTGGTCATTTCTATTATTTCAAACTTAGCCTACGAGAACGCCTCTCGAGCACAGCGACTGCAAGCGGAGATTAGTCAAGCCAAGAGGGAAAACAAGTTCATATTAAGTAATATTGAAAAATCCAAGATGATCAAAAGTATTGAGGAGAAGAAGGCTGTGAAGAGGAAGGCTGCAGAGTATGAAAATGATAATAATGAAGTTGTTGCCAATGAGGAATCTGAACCTAAGATCCGGCGGGCTTTCAAGCAGCGGCGGCTAGAAGATCATAGCGAGTCAAGTACAAAACCATCGACAGCAACTCGAACTCTAGTTCAGGGTAAGATCAAAAGCGTTCTTGGAAACGTTTTTGGTCGCTAAGCTTCAGAGAGTTGTTTAAAATAAAAACTTAATTTTATGACTTCTGTTTGTGGCTTTGTAATTTAAAAAAACAACTCTGACCACTTCGGGGATCGTGCCCTGCTTCTTGTCTACACATCAATAACAAACATTTATATAAACAATGGCATCTCTCTCTCCCGTTTCTAGGGCTCTGTGGTCTCTCAAAACATCTAGAACACCCGTTACAGGTGTCTCTTCAATCATCTCACAACGCTTTTTCCATATCTCTCATTCAGCCTTCAAAGAGAATGACAAGGAGCACAAGGAAGTAATGACAGCGGGAGATGAAGCTAACGAAGCACAGGCAGAGACAGAAGCAATGGCTTCCACCAATATTAAGCTTCCTCACAGACGTAAAAGGTTCCATGCATGGCTACAGAGTGAAGGAACTAGATTTGAAAAACCCTCGTTCTCAGGGCCTAACTATGTCAGCGACGTGGTATGGATGACGCTAGCTCAACTTTTAGATCAAGAGAATTTCTTTGGATGGTATTTGTTTCCTGTAGCTAGGAAGGAAGGAGATTAATCACGACTACATAAATCCTCATTCTGTCCTTCCTCTGATTTTAGCCATTCCCCATGAATCCTTTGTTTAAGCCTATCCCGCCCATTTCCAACTCTGCAAAGGAAGAAATCTACAAGTTGCACTGCTCAGACACTTCGAAATGGACACCACGTCAACTTGGTATGAAGTATAACATTTCGATCAAACGCGTGGAGGCTATTTTACGCTTGAAGCATTTGGAGAAGGAGATGGTTGCGGAAGGATTTGTTCCACAGGAGAATTTTACAAGAGGCATGGAACAATTGATGGGTGTCAAAGCCGAGCGATCTGCAGCAATCGTTGAGCCCTTAATTGATATTTTACCTCAGGTAGGCAGCCCTAAATTCGAGGCTGTAGATGAGGATCAAGAGTTCACACCAGAGGATGCTGCGAAAGCACTGAAGCGTCGTCCTCTGGCAGAGATCAAGGCTCAGCAGCTGGAGCAGGAAATGAAAAAGCCCTTCAAGCTGGTGGATTCCGTCAAGGGTATTGCAAAACCTCAACCACCACAAACAACACCCATCAGTAAAAACAATGCAGAAAGCAATCCCCGATTCAAGTTTTCAATTGTAGATACATCTGCTAAGGTTAGGGAACATATGCATGTGACCTTGTTTCATTTAAATGGCTATCCTTATTACTGATGCTGACATGTTTTTGTTTATTTCTGATCTAGACTACTTTGATCAGAGAGAAGGATGGTTCTCTAATCAAGGTTCTGCAGGCATAGTTTTTGTAATCAAATAAATAAAGTGCTGAAATCTACACCACGTGATTATGAATTTTTAAAGACTCGATCAGGGATTTTGGCTCCTCGCGTTTCCAATTGTCCCAGTCGATTGATCCTCATGGACTCGACCTCAAATCGAATTACCCATCAGCATCAGGCGAAGACAGGCTTGCGCCGGCCCAATTATGGGCCGATGCAGCAGCGCATTCTCAGAAAGTATCCAGCAACGCCTCATACCACCAAACGGAGAACAGTGCTAGATGAGAAAATGCTTGAGGTACTTCATACAAACATTGAGCCTCAAACAGCTTCGAGAAGCAGAAGTAACCTTGAAAATGAAGGCTGGGATTCTTCTATTGATCAAAATGATGAGAATATTGAGGCCACGCGTCAAATAAATCAAACAGACAAGGCTAGAGCTAATGAAGATCCACTCTGGGTTTCAGCGTTGGTAAGAACTTTTATTCAAATTAGTGAACTATTTCATTTTTGAAATTGACGTTTCTAAATGATGCTTCGCAATGGAAATGGATTGGTAGAGCCTATCGGGACCGTTGCACATACCCCAAACACCCAGGCGGAAGTCACGCACGCTCACTATAGTACCGGGTTCAGGACGAAAAACGCCAAGAAGACAATTGAGGGACGATCAAAAATTGCGAACAGCTCCATTGAAGATACTTTCAGACATCAACCAAGGTCGGGATAATCGACTGGTTTTAGAAACGAGTACGAAAGTTCATGTTGAGCGAGACAAACACTCGCCGATGGGTATTCTGAGGCTCTTGAGTAGAAGTAAGCTTACAAAAGCAAAAGCAACAAATACAACAAAATATTGGATATCTGTAGCGATTGTAAGAAGTAACTAATATTGCTAATTTTCAATACGCAAATATATAGTCCCAGGATTTAACCCCTCTCCCGAATCACTTCCTGATAGGCCACAAATTCCAGGAAGCTCAAATTGGAAAAAGCTCACACCAAAACCAAAGAGAACAAATTTTATTCAAATACCAGACGAACCCAAAAACCCATTTTCAACAAATATCACCAATAGTACCGGCTTAGACCAAAGTATACACCGTGGCTCGCGTCAATCCTACAAATCTGAACATGATGCTTTGAACTTGGCAGAAAGACATGAGTTTGAGCGATTCCGGGATCAGAATCCATTTCTCGACGACGACGACTTTAACAGATGGGAAGATGAAGTGGATGTTACTAGGCGAGTAGGAGGAGGGGGGGGGCAAAATCTGTTTGATGTAGCAGGAGGAGTACCAAACGAGATCTTAGTGTTCATGGAAGATGAGGAAACTGGAGTTTTTTCAGCAATACAGCAAAGCGACCTGACAGATCCATTTACAAGCTCTGGTAATATTGTGGAGCGGTCATTGCACATCGGAGATATCACTAATACATCGCAGCGCGGGTTTCCAGAGGACCAGCATCAGGTTACTACTCAAGGACAATATCGGGAGCAACCACATAAGGGACAGGATATTAGTCGACAAGAATTATTGGTTTCTGTGCCTGATGATAGCGCCTTTTCGCCACCTGTTCCCCATCCTATCAGTTCGGCATTTACAATGAGTCAACAAAGCAGCGGAAGTACAGCAGACAAGAGGATGCTGATGCAAGTGTTCGCACAGAAAACTCATATCGACAATGCTGAAGAGATTATATATGGGACTTCTCCTCTGAATGAACAAAATGATCCAGAAGAAGAGGCTACTATGGACGACGAATGGGAGGATATTATTGAAGACGAGCATGAGGACGAGGGACAAGCAAGAGTCGCTCAACATCAATCATCTGATATTGTCTTAACTATGGCTACGAATGAAAAAAAATCTGTTGATGATGTTAGGATGGACTCGAACGCAACTGACGAAAACCCCGTTTCAATTTTGGATGACTTTAACGTGGAGATCCCGTCCTTAAGTGAGGAGATGGGGACAAGACATGGCCAATTGCTTAAGGAAATGAGTCCAAATGCAGATGACATTGCTATTGCTGATGAAGATATAAGTAATGAAGGGCAAGCGCAGGCTGATAGGCATCGTATCCTCGCTGAAGCGGGTCAGAGCCAGGAAGTTCGAGCCCTAATAGATGAAGGTCAAGGCCATAAGGACCAAGCATTAATGGAAGAAGATCGAGATCGTGAGGTCCAAGGCCCTATCAATGAAAGCGAGGCAGAACAGCAACAACAAGATGAATATGAGGATGGATACATGAATATGAATGAAGAGGAGCATCTTGAGCACCTTGAGCACCTTGAGCACCTTGAGCACCATGGGCAGTATGGCCAATTTGGTATTCAGTACTTCGATGACTTTCCTAGCGAGCTGGGCATTATGTCAAACGGAGAAGTGCTTCCAACAAGCCTGCCGATTCCCAAAAAAATCGTCCGGTATTTTTTTTTTAATGGTCATTTAACGCGATTCTTTGCTAGACGGCGTTTAGCACGAACACTTATGCACATTTCTTCTCCTATACATTCACAGGACCTCGACTGCAGGAATTCCAGTCCCATCTTTGCCGACTGCACTTCAAAAACAGCTTGTCCATACGTTCTCAAGATCCAGGATTTCTCAGGAAGCTATGGCAGTCATTTTGGACGGGTATGTGTGTTGGGATAATGCTTTTGAGTAATGAGTAGCAACCCCTTTTTGACTTTCTAGGAGATTGGATGTCAATATTGCAATTTCCTCTTACTATACTTCCATAGATCACACCAGTTTTTTGAACAGGCTTCAAATGATTTGACCGCATATGCAAAGCATGCTGGTCGAAAGACTATTAATGAGTCTGATGTGGAGTGCTTGATGAAAAGGTGAGATAAAGAAGATCCGACCACAGGAATGGGTCCATTTTAGTAAAGATACACAGTTTCTCACCATTTCGCATGCGTATTTTTTTTTATTTTATTACTAACATCATATGTTGCAATGTGACGCTCTACATTAGGCTCAGGATCACGAACGAAAAAGTCTCAGTAGAGTCATTGCTGCAGCGGTACCTCCCCCGAGAGCTTCGTGATAAGGTCCTCTTTCCAGAAGATTTGCAATACTTTCGCAGGAAATAATTTTACTGCTTTATTGTTTTTGTCATCTACACCATATGCTCTAGATCACAGCACATGCTTCCTCTTATGGGCTTGCTACGTCTTGCATTATTATACCATCTCCGATTATCTTTTTTTTCCTCTGTACGCTTTTCGTCTTTGGTGACTTGTCAATATCAACTTATATTTTATTTCTTTAATTTTTTTTGCAACGCGTTGTAACATACTATAAACTCCAAACAAAGATTTAATCCCCATTATAGAAGAATGCCATCATAATTTAGTAATAAAAATTAAAGCTTGCATCCTCTTTTTCATTTCTACCATGTCCCAACCAAGATATTCTATAGCAGGAGATAGACTCAGCATAGACAACCATCCTGCTATGGACCAGTCAGAAGAATTTGAATCTCTGTTCGCGGCAGAACATCATACTTCCCCTCCATCAACTCCGTGCCTACAAGGAGATAATAGCACTAGTACAGGGCCACCATCGTCAACAAGAGCCACCTTTGGCACTTCTATCGTGAATAAAGCGAGAGCCACGGCAGCCAGCACTCGTTTAAGTCACCATACATCACGTATTGCAATACAAAGCAATGGTTATCTCAGACCATCGTCATCCACCAGAGCCAGCCCCGTACTGGCTTCTAAAATGGCTCAAAGCCAACACAACCTTGTAAGAGATGCCGAAAATATGGCAGATAGTGAAGCTAGTACATCTTGTACAAGACCTCAGATGCGCGATGAGAGAAGCATCATACCAATGTCAAGAGCAACCACAGTTGCCACTAGTCCTTCATTTGATTGTTCGAGTTATTCTTATCCTCGTGAAAGCCAAGCCAGACCACCAACATCATTCAAGCATTATCCACGCTCATCTTCGCTGTTAGAGAGCGAGCTTTCTACTGCCAGGAATCCTCGGATGGCTAAAGTTGATAGTATTAGCAGCGTCGAATCGGGGGGTCGAATACTACATCGTAGGAAAAAGGAACCTTGCGCTCTTTCCAAAATGGACAATCCGTCTATTGCGCCCTGGTATCAACCAAGGGTAACGTCTGCATTTCAGGATAGTCGTGGCGAGTGCAGGTCAGACCATTTCCGGCCAACACCGTACCAAAGACAATCGTCTGTAGACATGCCTGCCATGGCTGAAACTTCATTTGGGCCAGAGGTAAGAAGACGTCTTTTTTTCTTTTCATTTTTTTCTCCGATCCCCAGATCTAACTTTAAGGTGCTAGGAAGGAAACCGAAGTTAAAGCTTGATACTACGCAGGGCTACCATTAATATATTTATATACACATCTAGATCACCATGGCTGTGAATTTCAAAGGACGAACCATGGGCTGCTCGTATTATGATGTTCAGCTATCGAAGCTCTTTGTCATGCAGGATATGATTGAATGTAACGCGGCAGCTATGATTGAAATTGGTAAGGAGCGATCAATACCAGGTTTAAACATTAGCGGGTTACTGAGCTTAAAAAGCTTGCCAACCGCTATTCAGCTACGCCAAAGATTAAAATCATACTTAGTGAAATCCCAGGTGAGACCGACCTTGATATTGATAAATACTCGGCTTGATGAGAGTGTTGTGGAAGTACTCAAGCTTGATTGTATGCTTATCTGTGAGTGACTGTGGGGCATTGCTTAACTTTAAGTAATGATGCTCTTGCTTAAATCCTGTTGCTTTTCTCGGCGATCAATCCTAGGCACTGGTCGAGAGCCAAAGATCGAAGTACGGCCAAGCGGAGACTTTTCGTACTCAATGGCAAAAGCGAAGCTAATCTCCGTCTGGATCAGCATAAAGAGATCTCAGAAGCGCAGATTTGGAGAACAAAGCGAGCCAGATGACAAACTGGAGCAAAATCAGCCGCCCCTCTCAGAAATGAATGACTCCACTCAGCGGGAAGCTCAGTCTCATTTGTCAAATGCGATTGACCTTCAAAGCACTGAGAGCGTAAGTTGAGTCTATACTACGCACTAGGCTTGTGCGTATCTAGCGTGCCAAAACTAAGCCCTAGTTTTCATTTTAGGTCGCATGTGCAGGCGCGCTGATTGGCTTCATCACGAGACATGAGGCCCCGCATCGAATAGTTGGAGGCGGTCAGTCAACGATGATAATGGCGATTGGGTCGTTTTCGATGTGAGTTCCTGTTAAATACATGTAAACTATAATATTGCCGAAACGGATTGAGCTAATTTCTACACACAATGTCTTAGGGATGCCTTCATGTTCATTAATCCAAACTCCCTCAGCTCGCTCCAAATCTTTGAAGATGAGACACATCCAAGCATGCATAACAGCATCCGGGGCCGTAAAGAGGGCCTTTCTGTCTATGGTATATATTATTGAGCTGCTTAAAATACTGGCTAATAAATTATATCTGCTCGGCCTTCGATTCTATGAAGTGACTTTATAAGGTTTGTTCTGCATCTTTAGGCATTTTAAATCAAACAAAGACACCCCAAGGGCGGTACCTGCTGAAGCAGTGGCTCTTAAGACCATCTTTAGACTTGAATGTTATCATTGCGCGCCATAAAGCTGTAGAATGCTTTGTCCGAACCGACAATCAACATATCGTCAAGCAACTCGTTAGCTATTTGTCACATATCAAGAACATGTCAAAAGTTTTGCAAGCACTGCCACGTAACGCAACCCTCACAGGATGGCAAAGCATCCTTCAGGTAAAAAAGTTTCAAAGCTGACATGGCTTTAAGCGCTCATATTCACGACGCCACCATTTGACAGCTTACTTATTTCTTCCTTATGCCTAAAAGTTTGTTTATTACAGTCTTAAGATCTACAACGACGTCCAGGGGCTATATCTCGGCGAGCTCTATATCACTAAGGCTGTAAGAAATAAGGCTGTGGAAGAAAAGATTGCAAAATTGCGGGAAAACACTGTGATAGGTGAGGGCATGGTTCCTAACTTTTTGACCTGCTTGGTATGTTGTAGATCTCCCAACATTTCATAACTACAGACCTCGCCGATATTGGCTCGTACATTAACGATGTAGTATGTCAAAGACGCTCACATTTCTGTCCTCCTACAGAAGGCTTTGAGTATTAAATTCACGCTGCTTCGCTCTTATCAACTAATGATAGCTGGACTTTGATGAGAGCATGATAGAAGGTCGTTGTGTTGTGAAACATAATGTGGATGAAGAACTTGATCGGATGCGCAGCACATATCATGGCCTTGATAGCTTCCTATCTGAGTGCGCGAGAGAGATCAGTGCTACGATACCTTCTGAGTTTACGTCAACTATCAACGTGATTTATTTTCCTCAGCTTGGATATCTAATCACAGTCCCATTAAATCCGAACTGGAAAACGGAGCAAGATTTTTATTTGGAAGGCCTTACATTTCAGGTAACTAGCACTCTGTAGCTTAATATTAATAAGGATATCACAATATCGCTGAGTGACCACCGCCGGGCGCTTATTGGGGATACTACCACTTTGGCGTCTATAGTTTAGCACCGAAAGCGCTGTTTACTATAAGAATAATGCGATGCGTGGTATGTATCCTGCATATGCAATAGAGATGTTGGAAATAAATGTACTTTTTAACGAGCCAAGCTAATCTCTTTATCTACTCGCGTTTGATAGAGCTAGATGAGCACATTGGCGACATCCATGGGCTTATTGTAGGTATGCATGCATGTGCGTGCTTGTCACAGAAATTATCGAGGTTTTTTTTTTTTTTTTTTTTTTTTTTTAATTCGCAGTATGTCTTCTAACATTGCTGTTATAAATTCTGGCCAATTGTGATAGATCGTGAGATCGAAATCCTACAGAGCCTACAGGAGCGGATTCTCGAGTACAGCGAGCTGCTTGTTACATGCAGCAACCTGTGCGCGGAGCTTGATGTGTATGTCAGGGACATCTGGCTTTATGAAACAATGGATTTAGATGGATTGTAGTGATTAACGGGTTTCCTATGCTTTAGACTTGTTTCTTTTGCTCAAGTAGCGCGATTGAGGAGCTACCATCGTCCGATTATGACAGACGAAAATGTGCTGCATATTACCAACGGCCGGTATGCTATAAGCCAGTAGGCAATTATCGATAGGGCCAAATAGATGATGAGAATGATGACCTTAAGTCCTCAGTCTCCAAATGCTTATAGACATCCATTGCAAGAGTTAGTAGTCAATTCTTTCGTACCTAATGATACCCAATTAGGCGAACTCTATACAGCTTCTTCCACAAGAGCTGTTGCATCGACTGCTAAAGGATCTGCGACAGAACATTTGATTGCAGAAGATATTGCTGATGTGCGATATAAGAATGATCCACTACCTCTCAATAACCAAGTGATGTTATTAAGCGGTGCTAACAGTTCAGGCAAGAGTGTTTACTTGAAGCAGGTGAGGATCTCCACTAGGTTTCTTTGACTGTCCAATGATGTTATCATGCTAACAAATACCGATTTTTTATAATAATGCTCTATCCTAGGTGGCTCTAATCACATATATGGCCCATATTGGTAGTTTTGTGCCTGCTGAATCGGCAGTAGTTGGTCTCACTGACAAAATTCTCACGCGACTGCAAACAAGGGAAACAGTTTCGAGTGTACGAGAGTAGCAGATCCTACGGCGATAGCATTGACACTGCCGATGGTCGAGGGAGCATTTTTAACATGGTTCATATCTGCTTTTACTTCTACCATATAGATCCAAAGTGCGTTCATGACGGATTTGCAGCAGGTTTCTATGGCGCTGAAGCATGCGACTAAGAGATCCCTTGTTATTTTGGATGAATTTGGCAAAGGCACCATTTCAACGGGTAAGGGCTAATATAAAAACAAAAAAAAAAAAAAAAAAAAAAAAAAAAGGATACTTACTAATACAATTAACGGCCTTAATAGATGGTGCAGGGATGTTTTGTGGTGTAATCGAGCATTTTGCTAAGCGAACACATGATCGTCCACGAGTTTTAGCAACTACACATTTTCACGAATGCTTTGAAAACCATCTACTTAACCTCTCATTGCCTATATCCCTATATACTATGGAGGTCTTGCAAGGATCCAGTGGCCTCGAGGTGACTTTCTTGTTCCGGTAATTATTGAATCCCTCATGGAATATTAAGCCCCCTCGCCGCTTTCCTAAGTAATGCCAGAGCTCCATACTGACCTCATATTTTATAAATGCTAGTGTTATACCAGGTAAAACACCTTCCTCACTTGGACCTACCTGTGCAGCAATGGCTGGAATGCCAGCGTCCATTGTACAGCGTGGTAAGCTTTCATTTGATACGCTCATTATTATAACCGCCATTGATCAAATGGACTTACAGACGTGTTTATTGTTATTTTCATTATCAAAACAGGTATTGAGCTATCTACACTATTTCGACGCTATGAGAAGGTTATTCCTGTGCTGACAGAGCGTGAAACGGCAATGCAGAGGATGTATGAGCAACTGACGGGTATGTTGTTGCACTTGGACTTGGATAAAGACCTAGATATGTTGTCCGACGACAATGACAATGATGATGAAAACCGTGGGAAATACCTACCCACAGGATTAGAGAATGGGATAGTACGGGAATTACCTACTCATAATCTATCTGTCCACGATACAATTGCCATCCAAGGCACCGAAACTGAGACAGAGGAGAGCAATAAGGATAGCATTTTATATGTCGATGGGAATATTTCAAAGGGGTCTGGTGTCGGAAGGAAGCGAAAACGCAGAGACAATGAAGGCGCTATGAAAGAAAAGCAGCGACATGGTGGCAAGAACTCTTTGAAAAAGGAAATTATTCATCTGTTGCAGTACGCAGCCCAAATCGATCGGTTGGAACAAGCACCTGAGTAACAAGTGGTTGTCAGACCTAGTTAGTACTCTCCTTTTCGCATAATTATGAAAGCATGTGTGTTTATTATGCACAACTCCGACGTTAATGTGAATGTATCTAGACGTATATGCGCTTCTTTTTTCCTTGCTAGTGCTAGTTCGAGGTGTGATAAAGATGAAAATGATAAAACGAATGATAAGATTGACAATGCAAAAAAGGAAAAAATGAAATGACAATGAATAATAGAATAATAATAAGACAAAGAAAGTTTGGTTATATTAATCCAAATGCATGACACCCTGACTTTTTTTCAGGTTCTTCATAACTTTCTCCTGTCTTGATTTTTCATTTGCAAAAGCTGCTTTGGTAGCCTTCTTGGTTTCACGACGGTTACGCTTCTCGGCCTTGACAGCTTCCTTCCGCGCCCTCTTCTCTTCCTTTGTCTCAGTTTTGTTGCGTTTTGAACCTAAGTTCTCTCGTTCTTCGTCCTCAAACTCCTCATCATCGCTGTTATCGTCTTCCTCACTGCCGCTGTAGCTGCCTTTAATAGCGGTCTCGGACTCCTCAATTTCCTTCCTACGCTGCAATGCTTTTCTAGAGAGCTTTTCTGTGACAACAGGCATACCAGTCTTGGGGTCAATTTTTATTCTCTGACGAGGTTGCTCCTTGATCATTGCGGGATGATTATCCAAGTTAGAGTATGTGCCTAGAGAAAAAAAAAATAGAAAGGCACTTAAGAAATTGTTTCCACACACGGAATAGGAAAATCAAAGAATCGAGAAGGTTGAACTTACTCAGAATCGTTTGGACATCCCAGTTATCACGCATTCTTTCTGCGCGACTCCTGAAATCCGTTTGCAGCTCTGTTGCCATATCTTCGTCTAGGTTCTTTTTCTGAGACTTCTTTGAGCCACCGACCGTGGTTGCTACTGATTTCACATCATCTGCTTCGTCTGCTAATAAGGCTTGGCGGATCGTCGTCAATTTATGTTCACCTGTGGTACCATCAAGCTTGGGGACCATTTTGGATCCCACGATCTCAAACTTGTCCAAGAAATCATCCAGAATCGAGTCAAAGTCCTTCCTTAGTTCTTCGGCCTTCAAATCACGAGGACTCTCATCATCCTCATCTAATGAATCATCCTCATATTCCTTTTCAATTTTGTCAAAGCGTTCATCTAAAAGAGTGAGATTTTCGTTACGGAACATGGCAGAAGACGACATTGAGAAAGTTGACGCAGAGGCTCCACCGGATCGGCGTGAGGTCCTGGAAGTCTGACTGTAGTTTCCGTCGTCCGATCCATCAAATGAGCCATCATCAGAAATGTAATTTTGATCCTTTTTGAACTTTTTAAAGTCTGCCTCCCAGCCTGCTCCTTCTTTCCCATTCTCATTCTCATCCTCATCCTCATAATCATCACCATCATCATAGTTATAATTGCCATCGAAATCTCCGTCATCGTCCAACTGATCAAAAAAGGACTCGTCCAAATCCCCATCTACGAAGGCATCGTCTTCTAGGGCCTCCAGGGTCTCACGAATATCAAATGGCATGTCTGGTTGCAAGCCCAATGGGACAGCACTTTGATAAACATCAGAGAAATCCAGTTCCTCTCTAGAGGGCAAGACCTCCGAGGGTAAGCTAAATCCTGTTGATGATTTCTTGTTTGATTTCTTTGAGGTGGGGGCTGTTGAGGCGACTAGCCTTTCATCTTTTGACATTTCCTGAGCAGCACCAGCGTCTGTGAATTGAATACCACGGGATTGAGCAGCCTTCTTCTCTTGGGCGACGGTTTGAGGAGCAGCGACATAGACAGCATCCGAAGCCTTCCCCATCTCTTTCATGTGTTGTGAATAATCATATGTGCCATCATTAAATTCATCGCCGACCAATCCCATCAATGCGGCTTGTCCAATCTTCCTGTTGGCGAGAAGGGAAAAAGAAATACATATATATACATATGTCAATTCTCTGGTCAAAAGAATGAAAGTACAAACATACAAATAAATAAATGCAATCATAAAGCATTACGTCTCGTCCTTGCCGGTGGTTTTTTTATTATTCTTCTTTTGAGAAACAGCAGGAGCCTCCAAGAGTTCGGTCTCTTCGACAGCGCGATCGTAGGTACCGTAGTTGATGCCATCATCATCACCATGTCCTCCAAAGATATCCTGATCATCATCTGAAAAGTAGTCTATATTAGGGTCGTCATGAGGAACTTGAACTTTCCCGATCATATTGGCGGGGATGACTTCCTTGAGAACTCGTTGCGGCGCAGATTCGTCACGGGAGAGAGGGTCACGTTGGGAACGGTGAACCAAGTGGAAATGGCGAGCATTTTTCCGGTCAATAAACTGCTTTTTACCCATATTTGAGTTAAAATGAAGAGATAAAGGAAAAGGTAAAAATAATAAAAAAGGATTCGATGTTTGAGTGAGCGTGAAAGGCTCCTAAGAGTAAGCTATTATCCTTGTTACGTATATTTTATATGTGCAGACTCCCCAATAAATGTGGAAAGAATCGCCACGAGCAAAAAATAGTTCAGGTGGAAAGTTAATGAATGAGTGTGTGCTACTGAATACCATTTCAAAAAAAAAAAAAAAAAAAAAAAAAGGGCAAGCTTCATGTGGCTTTAAAAAAAATAGAAGCGGACTGCTTTCTAAATTGGCCACTGCGGTGATTATTTGGTCCGTGCGAGCTACGTGTAAACAAAATTTTCTTTTCAAGCGACTTGACTCTGTTGCTGGCTTTCTTCAAAGAGCTTCCTTGAGCCTCCTTGTGGCAAAACGTGATCTGCCTCTCGGTTGTTGGCTAGAGGCAGCCAAGCAATTTGAGACCGGTACTCGAGCATCTTGCCCAGACTACGCTGCTGTATCCATCGGGCATATAATTAAGCATCAAATTCTGGATGATACATTCCGGCCATGCCTAGAAAAAAAGCGCATGAAGAATAGATAGGAAAAAAAGAACATTAATTTCAACTATTCATTTTTCAATGCTTTTATTATCTACTCTATTCTATTCTTCCTTTTTTTCTTTTTTTCTTTTTTTACCTGTTCTGTTGTAAGCTTCCCCAATGTCTTGCTGCGCTGGATCTGTGCATCAGCACGATGGTACCATTGCTTGTAATACCTTTCATAAGCCGCACCGATACTCTTAGAGGCTCGGTCAGGCATACTATACAAGCAATTGGCAAAGGCAACAGCATCTTGCATCGCGTTTATAGCACTTAATATGAATGAGATGTTTCAACAGCGTGTACTAGCAACATAAGTAGCACAGCAGTTTTTTTTTGTTTTTCCTTATTTCGTTGATCGTTTTAGCCTACCTTGACCGCCAGAAGAGAGCATCTATAAGAAACGACAAAATACACTAATTCGTTGAAAAAAAAAAAAAAAAAAAAAAAAAAGAAAGCTTAATAGAGGTCTATAAGAACATGAGGCGATAGCATTTTTCCCTTTTACCCCTTTGCCCTACCTTATGGTATGCTGTTGAAATGAATGGTTTAATTAATTCAGCTTTACAACGCTAATATTTTTAAATTAAAATACAAACGTGTATATAGGCTTCGTGGCAGCATATCTACCATCACCAATAAACACTGTACGGTCATGATACCAAGTTGTGAACAGCTTCTCTTTTATTTATACTTTCGATATCAAGCTTCTGAGTGTTGCTTCAATGACCTCTCCCATTGTACCACCCCAGGGGCAAGGGTGGTCTTGGAAGTCCTTGATCAGAGCCTCGATAGACTCAGGGCTTCATTCTGAGTTCCGGAACCGCCGGCTTTGTGATTCCTCTGCTGTTAGCTGGATGCTAAGCGTCCAGTAGGTTTGGCTATCGGCAACATTGAAAACACCCCATTATTTCTGGATATCCAAATGAATAAACAATATGACCCTATTGAACAAGGCATTATATAACCAATGTTTGTTACAGTAGCATGTCAAACTTGCACCTCGACTGTCGCCCCCAAGGACCTTTGAAAACCGAGCATACTGTTCATTCAGCTGGGGGTGCCTTTCTGAATCTTTTGGATTGGCCACACCGACCATACTGACACATCCAATCGAAAAGTTTTCGAGATCATCTTTGGGTGGTAAACCTTTTTCATCCAATTGCTTGTAAAAGGATTTTGAACACCGCTATAAGCGCCATCGGCTCCAACGAGAAGGCCTCCTTCATGCTGTGTATTATCAGAACAGTAAATCCGAGCTTTCCCATCTTTCTCTTCTGCCCGAAGGACTTTTCTGCCCATGCTGACCTTGTCTGCTGGAATATGTTTACGTAAGACCTCATAGAGCCTTGGTCTCGCGAACGCTAAACTTTCATAGGTCATTCTAGATATGCGATATAATAAGAATAAGAATAGTAAGCAGTAGGGGTAAAAGTTATAAAATGAAAAAGAAAAGTAGAAAGAAACATATGCTTCCTTGACTCCGTCCATGCCAATGATACCAAGTTTCTTCATTTGAGAATTGTATACATGCATCTCAACCGAAGGTAAAGAAATTCTTCCGATTTCATGTAGGAGGCCGAGTTGCTCAAAAACTGGTAGGATATTTGGCCCCAAACCCATCGCTGACCCTACGTAACGTTTGCCGCTTAGTGTCGTGTGTCAGCTGGTAATACAAAACACAGCAGCTTTTTCCCTTTTTCCCTTTGTTTTAGAGATCTGATTACCAAGGGGTCTGACTTCTGTTGCTTGTTCGACTATATGGTATGGAATCTTAGTACTGTCCAAGAGAATACTAAACAGGGTACTTTTTAGGCTAATTTCCTCTCCTGAATTTTGGAATGTCATATCTTCTTGCTTTGTTTTCTCTTAGTGCGTCGTCTTGGGCTTTTAGGAGATGGAATGGGAATGACGAAGAATGAATAATTGCGAAGATAGAAAAAAAAAAAAAAAAAAAAAAAAAACGATCTATACATGGAGAGACGAAGCCTTGCACATAATTTCAGCTTTCGTTTGAAGGCCCGTTAAAGCCATTGGGGGCGTTAGGGGCATGGACTGAGTTGGAGAAATGTCAGTGATAAGAAGAGTCCAGTGTGAGGAAGAAGAGCGTGACCAATTGACTTCTTTTAACCACAAGGTGCAGTGTACATTACCAGCCATTGATCAACCAGTTAGTTTTCCGTATTGCCCACCTTTGACACAAGAAACTCTCGTCCCAAATTTCAAACTTATTAAGCACAACTAACTCAATCAAGTAAAAAATTATGTACATGTTTTCATCCATAATTTGCTCCTCTTGTCATAAAAGCTACTCTTGTTGGATCATCTTCAGAGAGCTGTCAATAGTTTGGGTATAGCCTTCGAAGAAATCCTCCTAAGTAAATAAATCCGAGTGCGAATAGGAGTTATTGCGGCAGTGAAGGTTCAGTAACAGAAGGAATTAAAACTCGGGGTAGAGGGTTATTTTGATAGGATGAGTGAGAGATCACTCTGCTTCCAACTATTCGAACAAATCGGATGGTAATATTCGCTTAAAGGTATCTTTACATTTTTGCTGCTCAGACTCTGCGCGGACTCTTCACTAGCATCTCATAGAAGCCAATTAATGAACGATTGTCCTACTTGAACTAAAGTCGTCATTCACATTAGCTGCTGTCCCTTTTCAAGAGCCCAACATAGTTGTTAATGGAATAGTGTATATGTTTTGTCCGTTAGCCATGCTTTGAACTAATATTTGATCCCGCATATTTATTAAAACAGGCAATGAATCCTTGTTTGGAGTGAGTGAAGGTTTTCAAAGCACACCTTCAAAGCACTTTAATATTACTGGATCGTGTTAAGACAACTTATGATATATAAAAATACACAAATATATATTTCGCTCGACTAAGACTATTCCAGGGATGTTGAATGAATGAAGCCAGGTTGCATGTAGCGATGGAATTGTCTGTTTCAATTTGGTGGCGCACTTGCAGCATCTAAATTAGGTTATACGTGACTGTTGAGTGCTACCACCACACCACTCTGTCATCGTCGCCATTACCATCACCAAAAAAAATAAAAAATAAATGACAGAATTCTTCTCCCTGCGGCATGTACTATACAAGATGACCAACTTTTCATGATATGGCTTAAGTATTTATTCCTGATGTTCTCATTAATTTCAAATCGGCTCTAGGGTAAGTACCCGCTTTCAAAAACGCGTGCCTTCAAATTAGAAGAGATCCAACCCTTTTGCTGCCTTTTCCTTACTATACTTCATTACCAATCGCATACTTGTGTTGTTGTTTTTTTTTTCTTGCAACATAAGGCATTTGGCAGTTAGCATCGATGTAAGCGTCGATGCAATCTGTTAAAATTGCCAATGAGCTCTGGTGATTGAGTACCTTCTCACCAGAGCCAAAGGTGAGTACTCTCTTTCGAAAAGTGTACCTCCCGATTAGAAAGAGATCCAACCCTTTTGCTGTCTTTCCCTTGCTATACTTCATTACCAATCGCATACTTGTGTTGTTGTTGCTTTTTTTTCCCTGCGACATAAGGCATTTGGCAGTTAGTATCGATGTAAGCGTCGATGCAATCTGTTAAAATTGCCAATGAGTTCTGGTGATTGAGTACCTTCTCACCAGAGCCAAAGGTGAGTACTCTCTTTCGAAAAGTGTACCTCCCGTTTAGAAAGAGATCCAACCCTTTTGCTGTCTTTCCCTTGCTATACTTCATTACCAATCGCATACTTGTGTTGTTGTTGCTTTTTTTTTTCTTGCGACATAAGGCATTTGGCAGCTAGCATCGATGTAAGCGTCGATGCAATCTGTTAAAATTGCCAATGAGCTCTGGTGATTGAGTACCTTCTCACCAGAGCCAAAGGTGAGTACTCTCTTTCGAAAAGTGTACCTCCCGATTAGAAAGAGATCCAACCCTTTTGCTGTCTTTCTCTTGCTATACTTCATTACCAATCGCATACTTGTGTTGTTGTTGCTTTTTTTTTTCTTGCGACATAAGGCATTTGGCAGTTAGCATCGATGTAAGCATCGATGCAACCTGTTAAAATTACTAACGACTTCAAGTAGGACAATCGCTCATTGATATATACTTGCAAGACATCCTAATCTCGAGTGGCAATCTAAATGCAACAGCTACGCCCTCAGGACAAAGTGGAACAATAACTGGAAATATTAATAAAGCTCACCTGTGTATAGCTCTGAGGAAGATGTCATCATCGGCATGGGGTCAGTATGAACCACAGCAATGGTAGACGATAACAAAAAGAATTCGAATGCGAGACAAACAGGCCGCTATCCAGAACTGAGCCATCCTTTGTCACAAGCAACTCGTGTGGACGATGATGGCAAGGGCCAGAATGATAATGAGGCAGGTTCAAATGATGATGGTAGTGTGGTTGTGCCCCCACTGCTCCGGGTGAGGATTATCCAGGCCAACAGACAATTGAGCATAAGGACAAGGGCTCTGTATCACTCTAAGCAGCAACGACCACATTGCTACATGCGAAAGCAAGTATAAGCAACAATAGTTTGTACCATCCTCTTTTTAAGTAAATATCAATTACAATTACTCAAATGGTCACTGGCGATCATAATCAAGGATAGAATTCGGCTTCTTTTTCCTCGACCGGCTGGTATTTCTTCAACCAACTTACTACTACTACCATCCATACTGCCGACACCACTATTTCCAGCGTTGATGCCTTCAGCATGTTTCTGCTGGTACATCCTCAACACCCTAATCATTTTTCAGTTTAGACCAACGCTGGTGCTCAAAGATGCCTCAATAAATCCTCACCACTAATGTGAATGCTAAGGTCGGCGAGTTCATAAATATGCTTCAAATAGGAAGACATTCTAGAGCGGACAAAGTGATAAAGTTCATGCTCAGGACAGCTTTTTGAATCTGGGATGGGCTGAATGCATGTGCACGTACATTTACATCTGTTCCTTCGCTGATAACTGGGAGCAGAGACTAAAGGACAGTATCTGCACTTTGAGCTCAACTCCCAAAGAGACTTTGATTATACTAGAATAAAGAGCGCCTGATTAGGCAGTTCTGTAATTAATAGCCATCATCCAGCTTACCATTAATAAAGTGAATATAGGATAGTATAAAGATTCCAGTCTCTCTTTCCTATTTACTTTTGTTTTTACTTAGTGCGTACAACGAATTAACGAAGAATGCGAAAGAGAAGGAAAAGGGATCATTTGAACATTTTCTGGGTCTAGTGCCTTGTTTTCTTTTTTTGTGTTTGTAGACCGGCCTAGCAAAGATGTAGATAAAATTTAAAAAGACCAGGTCGCCTTGGTTGCCAGAGAGAAACAAAAGCAGACAGGATTATAGCCATATGGACGCTTACTAGATCCCCCAAAGTATCAAGAGGAATTAAGTACATTTTCATTCAATAGCATTAGAGGAAAAGGGGACTGCATTTTCTTGAGAAAACCTCCAAATTGCGAAGCACTTCTCGTACGAAAAAAGATCCCACAATCAATCGAACATGTCAAAGGTTGGTGATAAATGAAAAGAAAGCAAGTCACTAGGCCCTGAAAGCGTATAAAAATACCTATCTTTCCCCTCTCTTTTGAGTCTCTAACGATCTAACGATTTGACAACAGAGAAAATGTCTGCTTTTCCCAAATTCCCACCAAACGGAAATAAGAAGTTCAAAGTTGATGGCAATCATGTATTTTTCTCAGATCAGAAAGTTCACCCAAATGACTGGACACCATGGAACTTTGCCAATTACCAATTTGGAAATAACTTCAGCGAATATCTTCAAGGCTTGCAAAAGTTGCGTCGCGCGGGTAAATCAGCAATATGCTGCCATGCCAGAGAAATTTTACAGTGGATCGATAACCCATCGAACGAAAACCTAGTCTTGCAAGCAAAAACGCGAATTGCTGAGAAAATTTCTGGCCAAATCGCCGAGATGGCGGCTAATGCAAGGAAATACGAAGATGTAACTAACATGCCTACCAACAAGAGGTCTCAAATTGGTATGTTTTTATTTTGCTAAAATTTGATTGTTATTAAAACAAGGATGTAATGAAAACGTATGTAGAGTCAATATTCCTTACTGTCTTCGAACATCATTCTTTGCTTATTCATGCCACCAAAACAAGCATCAGCCTCCTCTAGTATGGCTACGCCAATTACCTCATCAGTCCTTACTACCACTTCACCTGCTATCGCTTCACCTACTATCGCTTCGGCTACTACCACTTCACCTACTACCACTCCACCTACAGCTATCTCCACACCCATTTCCAACATTATAACAGAAAAGCCGTGGCACCTTCTAATGGTCGCGTGCATAAACAAGGCAAGCGATTTATTTATTGGATTTGTCATTTCTTTATTATATTGCCTTTTAACATACATAACTTATGTGATTTAGATGCGGAACCACAGTATGGATGGGCTGGATAGCCTTTCGTTGGGAGGCCTAGAAGAGCTGGAGGTTCCCATCTTTAAAATCTCCAGAAAGCTCCTTAGGCAAACGCATCTATCAATGATGGAGACAAAGGACTTAATGTAGGTTGGACGTGATTATATGCATGATGTGAATCAAACTCTATTCGTGTTTCACTCATTTATTCTCTGACTTTAAATGTTAGGGTCGCCATGTCAGGAATTCTGGATTTAAGAACATGGGACTGCGACAGGGCTCCATCTGCAATTGAGCCAACATTGTACTCCAATAATGACGATATTGGACAGCTAAATACCCAGTTATCCAAAACCCTTCGACTTGGGGTACAAATGTTTGCTCTAAATTGTGATGTAAAGATTGGAGAAATCGCCGAAGTGAAGATGCAAGGTGGGGATGTCCCGACAAGCACCCCCATGCTTCGACTTGTCTCGCATTTGTAAGCTTGCTTATCAAATTTGGAATGATCGCCCACTGAATACTTAAGGATACAATCACTTTCTACGACTCCCTCATCCGTTTATTTATTGTCTCTTGCTGCTTTCCTCTTTACTGTTTTAGTGCTAATTTAATTGAAAGAGGCAATATACCGGTTTCAGAAGGCGAGTTTGTAGGGCTTTGGAAGGCGACTCTTGAGATCCTAAGCGAGGGCCACCTTAAGTTTCTAAGGTATTAGGAATTATTTTGCAGTCATGAATCAATCTTTCTACATGTTGCACAGTCTAATTTTTGAAGTTTCATCAGTGGAGAGAAAGTTTGTAAGGCTACCCAAGCAGCAAAACGCCAATTCAAAGAAATATTTGGCGTGGAAGGGGAGACAGACAGTGGTCGGCGAGTTGACTTGTTGCTACGAATTGGTGATATGGAGATCCTCAATACTGAGGCTAAAGCTCTGGGTTGTGATATTCAATGTGAGCAACAATACAAAAAAAACATTCGCATTAATCACGCAATTTATCAAGAAGCGAGACGGAGCAACATTGACCTTCCACCTATACTGCTACTTGATATCCGAGGTAAGACTAATGGATGCAGTCCAAAAATAAGAATAAGACCATTTCATATCGATTTATTGTCTGCCTAAATAGGGTTTTCGGCAATGGTATGCCAATTAAGAAAAGCAAGTGATACTGTATTCATTGCGGGAGCAGCACATGAGAGAATGATAACTCTTCCCAGCAACCAGGATGAACTCCATAAGTTCTTGGATGGCCAGTCGCCGCAAATACTATGGAATTATGCGGTAAATAAAATAAGCATGTCCATATGCTGAAATACTATGTAATTTTTAACTTTTCTTACATATTCATTTCTCTATGTATTACTGTAGTCATATTTAGTGGTATATCAAAACCAAATACTGACACAGTTAGAGAAAGCGAAGGATTTGTCGACAACAACCAATACAAAACGGAAAATGATGAGCTTCGATGATGACGTTAATATTAACAATAAGCATGATACAGAGCGCCCTTGTACACCGCCCAAGAATCGATTACTCAAAATCGGCGATACAACTGTCTTCACTCCAAAGAAATCAGTAAAACAAATAAAGCTTGGTCAGCAGCAGTAACAAGAACAACAACAAAAACGCAGGTATAATATTAGCGGGTTAAATTTGATGCTTTGCCTGGAAGATAAGATGTCTTTTACAATACTGTAGAGACGGGGGTACTGTTCACACGAACAGGTTTGGGTCAGTGCCTAGGAGCTGGTCTGAAATAGATGATCAAAGTCTTGTCCGGGAACAACAGAAATAAACTTTTTTTTCTTATCAAAGAAAACAGAGTTAATTCAGATATCGCCCTTTGCTGTAGCAGTCCTATTAAATTAACGAAAAGCAAAGATATTTGTTGGCCCATAAGTTCCGGCATCAGTGGAGACGTTACTGGTCGTGTTTATTCCTTCTTGGAGTAACAGTGAGTAAATAGGTCTTTGATCGTCATCTTCTCGCTGGGAGAAGCCTTGTGGATGCACGGGAGAGCGAGAAGAGAGAAAAGGTGGCGGCCTTGGCGATCTTGGCAGCCTTTGGTATAGGGTGGCCAAACCTTTAGGACTAGAGAGCTTGAAAAGCTAGAAACCAGTCTCTTAAGTTTGTCTAGTGAGGATTACTTTATTTCAACGTACACAACTGGGCAAAAATGTCTTAATGCTCCCTATGGGCAAACATTCCTCCTTCGTTTCATAGGAATCATTAATATAAACATTACTAGTGTTTGGCAAAGATAAAGCACCCATTGGTGTTTCGGGTCGTTGCTGTATTGGGAGCCGAGCTCAAGTCCTTGAGCGCCATCTACAGACTCCTGAGGTACATCGATGTTTAGTTTTGGACCTGTAGTGCCATCGGTCACCGTAATGTATCTGGGTCCATTCTATGGGAACGGTGACCACACTTTCATGTTACCGGCTCCTTGCACCAGCCTGCGAGCTGTGCATTCGGAAGTACCTAAGATCCACTCAATGTCATCAGAGTCCTCTACCAAGAACCGCTTGGCGGTGACTGTGGTTTCGACAGCAGGCTTGAATATATTGTTTGATAGAATGTGTTTTATGTAATGTTGTCTCCATTATTACTATTGCCACAGTTGGATGTCGTGGTCACAGTTTCCCTTACAAATTATGTTTTCGGCTTCTTCATTATCCTTTCAGCTCAGCTTTCCTTAAATAACATCTCCCAAAAAATGATCACCTCAACAGGAGTACTCCTGACAATAACCCTCATTAAACCAACACCATCTCCCACACCAGTAGCTCCTTCTATCCCTACTTTCTCTACCTACTCACCACATATAGGTGCCATGCAGAGTATAGAAGAGGCAGGCCTTGCGAGTAATGTTCTGGTTTGGACAGTTGGTTTTGGCTTAGGTTATCTCCTTGCAACTTTCCTCCTCTGCGTATGTTACGCGAGGAGGCTTCCCTCCTATTTAGCGCCCACTACTATGGCTACTTCCACAACAATACCATCCAATAACGCTTTGTCTCCACATCTCCTGCAAGCTCCCTTACGTAGTAACCTCACCTCTGTCTTTCCTGCCTCTGCTCCTTCTCACTGCTCGCAAAATTATCTTCATGAAATACCTCTCCGGGAGGGCCTCAGGCTGCCTACGGCTAAAGAGGGAACGAGTGGTGTCAATAGAGCAGTAAACGCGCTTCATGAGTCAGCAGACTTTAGGCTAGTCGAGCAGGCCGTTGCAAGGATAGTTGCTGTTGCTCCTGCTCCTTTATCCGTCCCGAATCATGTAGCAACTACTTTTAATGTTTCTGCTGGTGAAATGCAAGAGCCAGGCAGACCACAAGAAGGAGCCACAATGACAACCACAGCCGAAGCTTCGTATGCATCTGGCGACAGCTGTAGCGCTCAAACAGAGGATATTAGCACTACCACCATGATACCTACTGCACCTACAATTTCTACAGGCCATGAACTTAACCACGACTTTCAACTTGACAGGCTTGGCTCTTCAGAGTCGCCTATCCCATCGAGCCATGAAACGCAAAAGACTGCAGTCACTCTGCCTTATCTTCCAATCGCCGCTTCCAACATGGCTTGTAAGATCTCAAGTCGCACTATACTTCAGACGGTAACTGTTCAGAATAATGATAACAGGAATGAGAACCTAATCGAGAGCAATAATAAGAATAAGGTTATAAAATCGAATCCTCTAGAGATAAATTTCGACGAGGCAATATCTCTACCATTGGTATTCACCCCGTCTTTGCCCTCTTTGCCATTGATATCGTCGGCACCATCGTCACCAACGTCATCACCGTTGACTAAAGAGAGCTTATGGAGATCAATGCTCCGGGAACGCTCGCAACCACTAACTGAAGAAATTGCTGTTCTCATATGCACAAAATATGATCAAAAGTATGGCCAAAAGCAAAGGGAAGAGCACTTCACTCAGGAATACAATATCCAAGTTGAAAGCCAAATCATAGAGCAAACTTTTTTAAATATTGTCACTTCATCAAACTTAGATTATTCTTCCACACAGAAAGAGGAGGAGCATCAAAACCAAGTGGGAAAAACCACTTTTTTCTGTGTCAAAGATCCATATAGGAAAACAAGTAAGGCGAAGAAAAGACGATCCAGTGAAAGTAATATTGATCCTCATATAATCCCCATTAAATCAGTTTAAAGGAAAGAGAAAATAAAGTAAAATGCTAAACAAATACCTCGCTATGTAATCGCCTAAGGCTCCACAATAGCAAAATGAAGAGAAAAGAAATTTGCATAGCCCCGACAAAAATCTTGATCGAAAGCGTCTAGGTGACAGGCCTTACAGGTTGAACGTTCTTTGTGCAAGGGTGTATGAGTAGGGCCCTATAGTGCTATAGGTAAAGTCACTCATTTCAAACCTAATCGGGTTCGTTCCGTCTGGAGCCGCTAGCAGGCGCAGAAGAGCAACTTATTCAAGTGGTTTTTACGCTTTCTGATGAATGCTTTTTTGTAGTTATGTGAAGAGTTATTTTAAATCGAAGATAACAAGTCCCACTTGTCGCTCAATCCAACAGGAGCCATTCATGCTTAAAGTAAACTTTGTCGCGATTTTTGGTACAGTCCCAGTTAACGCTGAACGGACTGTTATGTCTAGCGTTCTCTTTTGTACATTGGATATAGAAACGTGTAGTAAGCACCTGGTGCTCGAAGGAAGACACAACAGCTTACGATGTGTCGTCCATTGACACCTTTACTGAGGACAATCCTGTGTTGATGAAAAGCAAAAGAACTTCTGCTGAACTTGTTGACATCCAACAAAAAATGGTGCACCACTGTGGGTCAATGTACCTTTTCGATCGTGATATCCTGCTTAAATCTAGTGACAATAACGGTTAGAGACATCAACGTATTTATGTGAGTCTGATGCTTCCTGTCTATTGACGTTTTTATTTAGAGAAAGCCCACCAATTAAAGGTGGATTTTTACTTGAAAGACTGAAATAATAACCCCTATGCAAATAAAAAAAAATAGGATTAATCTATTTGGCAGCCCATACCAAATATAGTAATTTTTGCCTCTATTTGGCAGCCTACTTCTGGGGGCTGCCACTTAACTTCGCACTCTTGGGTGGCAGCTGGGCTGCCAAATACAGTACTTTTTCTTTTTTTTTTCTTTTTCTTTTTCTTGATAACAGGGTCATAACATCAGTGGTAAAACAAGCAGCATTCTGTGGATACATTGCCTTGCACAGCTAATGCCGCCGGAGGTACTAAGGGCAGCGGCGATGACATCTTCGCAAAACAGCCTTCAATGTACACGGTTAGGGAATGATTTATTGAAGACGTCTAGGTAGCAGGTGAGACGCGTTTGCTCCGAGCGAAAACCTCTCATAGGCATTGATCTCCAAATGGCACCTCCAAAACTGTATGAGCGACCTACTTGAAGACAATGTCACTACACATAACTATGACGTAGAAGACGGGAGCTCTATTAATTTGAAGTATGAGCGTTATAAACATATACGGTTCCTAGGAATGAAAAAAAAAAAAAAAAAATAGTTAGAGGCCAAATAACGCTGGGTAGGCTGCCAAGTAAATAATGAATGTTATTTGGCAACTGGGCTGCCAAATAGATTAATCCAAAAAAATATTTGAATAGAGAGGCAGTGTGAATAAGCAATGTACGAGACCGCAAAATAACCATCTAAAGAAAACTTTGGTTTAAGTCTAGCGCATGTAAAAGGTATGAGACAAAATTATATAAAGTCAAAAAAGAATCGCGACAACAGCAGGATTTGAACCTGCGCGGGAGAACCCATGAGATTTCTAGTCTCACGCCTTAACCGCTCGGCCATGTTGTCCCCATTTACAAATTCCTAATTATCCTAGAAGAATATAAAAGGAATAACTAGGTGATCCGCACGTGTCCGATCAAGTTACCTCAGTTACTGAGAACCCCCTTGTCTGTTTACGCGCTGACGCGAACAGAACTTTGACAGTATCACCGGCTAATCAAGCTGTTGAGCCACCAATTGGAATTAAGTGGATTCTAGATCAACAGAAGGAGCGGAAAAAGAGACGAGAAGCTGTTATGAAAGAGGCGCGCAGAGCAACCAGAGAACATAATCTTAGGCGACAAAGAGCAAAGTTAGATGCCATAGTCAGAAGAGCAGAACGCCACCAGGACCGAGAGCGAAGGCATGGTGAACGCATGCGAGCCCGCGAAGAAGCGAGGAGACGCCGGACCCAGAACACAAGGAGATATGAGGGTCTGAGCGAGCAAGCTCTGCTAAGGAGAGCAAAAGTCGACCTGGATTCCAACGAGACACCGTGCCTAAAAGTGATCCCTGAAGTCAACAGAGGCCTAGCCAGGGACACAAATGGAGTTATCATTAGTGCCAATACTGAGGAGAAAATCCAACGCCAAAGGGAACGGTACAATATCCAGCCGGGTAATGTCATTTATACGGATGGATCTCTCAAAGATATTGGCACTGAAAGAGTAAGTATGGCATTTGGTGTGGTAGTCCAGACACAAGAGGGTGAGTTTTACACTGCGCTATCTGGTAGAGTAGCAGGCAACGCATCCTCGACAAAGGCAGAGCTAGCTGGTTTGTTGGCAGGAATACTTATCAGCCCACGAAACAGACCTATGACAATCCGACTTGATAACAGCGCAGTTGTGACTCAATTCCGAGCATTGGTCCGAGGCAGAGTGGATAGCACTTTGCGACAACGTATTAGATCACCGTATGCAGTATGGTGGGCAGCTATACACAACGCATTTATTCAACAAGGATCGGAAGTCACGGTCGAGTGGGTCAAAGGACATGTCGGCAACAGAGGGAACGAAGAAGCGGACGAAGCAGCAAAACATGGACATTATGGCGAGCTATGGGATATCAACATAACGGAGCATAATGACATGTACTGCCATGCAAAGTTCAACGGTGTACCAGCGGAAGATGACTTAAGGCAGATCCTTAAGTTACAGTCAACAACTCGTACACATCACACGTGGATCGCTCAGAACAGGACGCAGGAGCATGTTAAGGATTGGACAAAAATTGATTGGCGAGCTACTATGAACATTGTTCATGATAGCAACCTACCGAAAGGACTCTTCACCAGCCCAGCGGACTGCCAAAAGCGAGCGCACAGGATCAAGAAACTCCATGGAATGTTGCCTACACAGTCATATATGAGACACTGGAGGCCAGACCTTTATGAAGACGGCAACTGCAGAGTGTGTGGGACAGAGGATGAAGATACATCGCACATCTGGAGATGTCCAAGGACGATGGAGACTCAGGCCGAGAAGTGGAAGGAGATAATCCAAAATGTGAATGTGATAGGGGAGAGGACATGGAGGAAAGAGTTGAAAGCAGTGCAGGAGCAAGCACAAAGGGCCAGAGAGAGAGGTGTAGACCCACCAAGGACAAAAGAGCCAACTTTTACTGCGGCAGAGGAGGACTACATTTGGGGGACTCTGGAGATGCATATCGATGGTGTGCGAGAAGTACGACGCCATGGTGATAGGAGCGGCGATGATGAGGAAGAGAGAGAGCACACACCAGATTGGTCTGTGCAGGACATTTACCACGGAATTACGCCCAAGTCCATTGCTCAGAGTTGGAAAGTTGGCTTCAAGACAACAACAAGGATAGCTACATATATGGCAGGGCGCTTCGTCAAGGCCATAGAGGAATTCGGTCGTACAGAAATCTGGAACAAACGGTGTAAAGTCACCGTTGAATGGGAAAAGGCTCGTGGAATCACTGCTATAAGCAAACGCGCTAGAGGATGCAACTGTGTTGGGGAGCACAGACGCAGTAGCAATGATTTCCTTGTCCCCTCCCTCAGACAAAGACAGAAGCTGAATGTAAAAGAGATCTACAAGATCGCGGATGACCGAGTCCGGGACAGTTACCTTGGGAAAACCAAACTGGACGTGATGGAGCGGCTAGGTGGAATGAAGTTTTTGATGACTATGGATAGCGGATAATTTGTCGTGTTGCGCAACAGGCCACGTCGGAAAGGTGGACTTTGAGTACCAACCACGGCGGTCAGGGTTTATGAAATCATGGATACAGCGGCTCTTGTCGTTTGTGCAGTAATAGCTGTTTATTGACTATAGTTTCTGGAGCATTTTGTTCATAGAGTGTAGAAAATAAATCCCATGACCCTGAGGGTCCTTGTTATTAAAAAAAAAAAAAAAAAAAAAAAAACCGAACCAGCGGTGCATCTGGCAGCACATCCTCCCATTCACCCACTTGACTAGGACAGCGATGATCACAAAGTTTGAGTCCACCCCCAAGATTTGGGTCCACATGCCAGTGGATTTGATCGAATAGGAAAAAAATTAAGTCGTCCTTAGCTAGAGTCGGCACGCCAGCCTCCGCGGCTTTACACGGGCGTAGCAGGCCACATCGGGAAGATGAACTTCGAGAACCGATCACGGTGTACATTGGTAGAGAAACCATGGATACGAATTGGCTCTTCATAGCCATACTATGCGAACTTTGAGAGTTTCGCTTGTTTCATAGTTGAGGGCGATATCATTAATTTAGAGTGAGATTATGAAATAAAATTCCTCACCTCTGTGGGTTCTTGTTAAAAAAAAAAAAAAGTATTACACCACTCAATTTGATAAATGAATGGAGCCCTCTGTTTTGCACAGAGCGATCTGTCGCTCGTAAAGTGATTTTCAAGTTCATTGACTACCTTGAGCAGGCTATGGAGTAGATTTGAAAGCCACGTTGTAAGAAAACCATCGCCAAGAAGGACTGAGGTGTGAGACCGAGGCAGAGGCGTACGCCACACACTGGGCCAAGAGGTGACTGGAGTAACGGATGTAGCTTTATGACAGAAGACTTTTGCCCTTGAGGTACGACAATGGATGTGCATCGCGACAGGTGCTGTCCAGGACCTACGTTAGACCCACCCGCCGCAAACAGGGTTCTGTTGCAGGGCTTATTAGGACAACGGCAGTTGAGAACCATGGAAAAGATGGGGCGCTTCCTTTCCTGTACCAGTATGTTTTTGACGTTAAACACGGCGATGAGTCGTGGCAATAGTCGCGCGGTACCCGAAGGACTTACCGAGGGAGCGTGACTAGACTTGTGGCGACTGTAAAGCGATCCTCTCCGGAGGATAGAGCATCGAGTACATTTTAGACTAGATAGTTCTTCAGTTTTATAGCGTTGTTCGTTTAGGGGCCTCGTAGGTCCTTATTATCAAAAAAAAAATAGTATTGTCCGTTTAGAGAGGCAAATTGTTATAAAAAAACCCTGCTGTTTATTGCATTGTTCGTTTAATGAGACTAATTGTTATAAAAAAAATAAAATAAAAAAAGGTAATACAGAGGACGCAATTGTGCTCGTTATCAAAAAGAATTAAAATATTTATATATATAAAAAATAATATGTGTAGAATCATAGTAATAAAAAGCTGTCTATTGTGTGAAAAGCGATCAGCAAAGTCATCATGTCTATTTAGAGGTGGCAAAGATTAATATGAATTTTCGTAGTATCAATAACCATTTTTACAGTGGGGGATGGCATATATATACCTTGGCAAGTGACAATTTTTTATATTTCGCTATTCTTGATTAATGACTTTTTGTAAGAGATCATTGAACAATTGAAAAACTTTATTTTACAAAAATAAAAAATTATACGCCTCGCCTTTTTTTTTTTTTTTTTTTTTTTTTTTTTCTATCACTATTTACTAAATGAATGCTACAACCAATGCCCCGATTTCTTCACAAAAACTAGTCATACACAAGTCTTTTTTTCTTTTTTTTCTCATGCTGTCTGCTCAGGTTTTGTAAGATGGTTGCCAATATACTTGTTCATAGTGAAGCAACTAATTTGGTCTTGTCCATCAAATAGTGTCTTGAGTTTACTGTCACAGTTGATCAGGCGTTTGTCTAGCAGTTGAGGTCCCATCCACCCAAAAAAAAAGGGAGGGAAGAGAAGAGAAGAGAAGAGAAGAGAAGAGAAGGAAACACAATGGATGAGGAACCAATGCTTCAGAAGGAATTGATAAAGTAATATATAAGAATAGCTTACCATTAGGTGCCTGAAGGTTGTTCTCTTTAATATAAACCCAAATTTGCTTAACGACTTCGGGTCGAGACATCTATAAAAGAAACAGTGAAGTTTAAATGTTAGATATACAAAATCCTATATAATTTAATATCAAAAAGGAGGGAAAAGTTAGTGTTTACCTCAACTTTTCCGGAGGGACCGATTTCTCCTGCATGCCCGATGACATCGTGCAGCGTGGGGCTGATGAGCATGGGACGTGTGAAGTTATTAACTTTGGGCGTACCATCCTTATTTGTCGGTGTCTTACGCTTGGATTTATCATCTGTAGACCTTTTTGATGATGCCTTTGACGGCTTGGCCTTAGACTTTGATTTCACTTTTACTTTCTTTGATGAAGATGAAGTCTTAAGTTTCTTAGTTGCTGATCCTTTGTCCTCTTCTACAGATGAGAACGATGCGTCTGATTCACCTCCTACATCGTCGCCGTCCTCAGAACCATCCTCCGAAGCAATGGCTGATGTAAGTGCTGATGCTGGCACTGGATTTGGTTTAGGAGGCATGTATGATGTTGGAGGGAGAGATACTCCGAAGGCAATTGTCTGTGGCGGCAATTGCTGCTGTTGCTGCTGCTGCTGTTGTTGTTGATAACGATTGCCGTTTGATTCAGGCGTGGCACCATTCAGTACAGCACGCTCGATCTGGTTCACAGTGTGAAACATCGATTCATTAGTAAATTCGATTTTTTTTGGCAAAAGGAAAATTCCGATCCATGCTTTCAAAGAAAAAAAAAAAAAAAGGGTAAGGGAGCATACAAAGGACAGGAGAGGTTGAACATAAAAATCTTACATCGTCCGTGATCTGTTGGTATATTTCCATAACCATGTCATCAAAGTCCTTCTTCACATCCTCAAGACTAGTATTAGTGAGAGACTCTATCTGTTTCCTGATTTTACGTGCAGATACGGTGGTGATATCAGCCTGGCGGATAAGTTCTAAATCAATACGATCAATATTGGTTATTTATTATGTATTAAAATCGAGCCAAGATGTATGTCATACACCAAAGCGTTGAAGGATCATCAAGCATGGCGAAGCAATGAAGGCGATGATAGTGGGGTTTAGTACACACAGCCTGTCGATCGTATTACTAGTGCTTCAATTGCATTATCACCATGATGAGGCGTAATGAATCGAGGCAAGAAGAAATGATTATTATTGCCCATCAAGAGACATTCCTATTCACAAGGCTAACTTCTTTCCTACAGTAATTACCTTCCACTTTGGCACGGTAAATGTCCACGCTCATCTTGGGTTGGAAATCAATTAACCAAAAAATGGAAAGGTATCTTTGTATTTATACTGAGGTTTTGAAGTATTGGAGCTGTTTTATTATTATTATTATTATTATTATTATTTTAATGTGGAAAGTGCTTCTTGAACTTTCACACAAAAGTTGACCAAAGAATGTCGATTCAATTACTGATGAAGCAATGTGGAGAAGAGCTGTGCTAAAAAAAGCGTGCTTTGGTATTCTACATGCCCCTCAAATGTGGCTGCAATAATTGTTTTGCCTCACAACACGTGCAAAATTGCCCCAACCTGACCCGTGAGGAGATGTTTGATCAGTTGGGATTGGGCTAAGCACAAGGATTGCAGGAGAGTACAGTAGTTTGTGGTTGCTGATGGGCGATACCACACTTTAAACAATAATGACAAGAATCCTTGAGGAAAAACTTGTTATGCACGGTCTACTAAGTAGAAATATCCCCTTGGCTCTTTGAAGCATTTCATGTCTCACATGTCGGTGGTATATTTTCAAATGAGAATTAGGCATCGTAGTTAATCGGAATGCTAGCAGACGTATATATACATTTATATATATAATATACAATACTGATTGTTGTTTACAGGAACCCACACTGCCTCATTTTCCTATTCATTCGAATAGCAAATGGTGGAGCGCGAAGAAGTCTTTCGAGAGGGGGAGAATAAATATTTGGTCAATCTGGCCAATCTGCTTCAACCTTTTTAATTTCATACATGTCAGGATCTGGATGGGAAATTCGAGGGCGAGACCCTCGATTGGTGAAAGGAAAAAAAAATAAAAAAATCGTGTCGTCATTGTTTGCGCGGTTTTTTAATAACAAACGCGAAAAGGAGAAAAGAGAAAGTTCGAGAGGCGCTTCACCCCGCTTTGATTTAGATGAGTCGGTGCGTGGAACTAACAAGGAACTGTCGGCTTCTGGGGACATTTCAAAAAAAAATATTGCAATACGTTTTGAATTTCTCAATGAAATTCTGACCTGTTATTAGTACCACTTCTCAAGTCAAATATGCATTAAAACATCATAGTGTCCCTGGCTCTTTTCTTGTCCCTTGTTATCTTAGCTAATAGTTAGTTTCCACAATATTCTGAGGATGTACTCTTGAGGAGAAAAACGAGAATAGTAATAAAATAGGGACAGGGAGTGGAGAACAAGGAGTAGGGACAATGCACAGCTTGTTATAAACCTATTTATTGTATTAGGACGTCCGCGCTTTATGAAAATGTCGATGTTCGGTATCCTTCAAGAGAAGAACTTGCAAAAGTTGCACGGTAAAAATATTAAAAGAATGGACACGTGGATGACCTAGTCGCAGAGCCATTCTTTTGATAGCGATATTTTCAGTAATAAAACGATCGACACATGCGCCAGTGCAACACTAACCGTATATATCTTCTATCCGGGCACAAACGATCGCAGTCGTTCGTTCTAGTGCCTATTTAGTCCAATTCTCTTACTAAAAGCTTGAGATTGTGCAGGAATGTAATCGGACACGGACTCTAAGAAGGAAATGAAGAGAAAAGGTGTTGGTGGCTATGTGTTGGATACTTGATAGTTTTCAAAGAGCGGAAAGTTTGACATGGCATCATGTGTATTTGCCTTTTACCAAACAATATCTCCCCTATCTCTTACCATCTTGTCTTTGACCCTATGATGCTCACAACGATTGCAGTGATGTGTTTTTATTATTATCATTATTGTTATTGTCATTTTTTTTTGTTGGTGAGCTTAGTTTAGCCATTCTCGAGGACTTGAATAGCAAAGCAGACAGTGGTACAAGTCCTCTTTTTTTTTTTTTTTGCGATCCAAGATCTGGAATTGAAAAAAGACAAAGAGCCTAAGAGATTAGCCTAACACCAATATAATAAAACAAGGCTATTCGTCTATTTGTCATTGATGCGATTTCCTTTGCTTTTATAAGCCGTCTTTTTCTTTTTTTTTGTCTTTGAAGGCGCATATCGGCAAATGCAGATGCAGTGTTGCATTTTGCATGGTGCTCTCGCTGCATACTTGGGGACACAAAAAAAGAAAAAATGAGTGAACGCATTCTTACAAGGACAGGAGTTAAATGTGTATATTTTGCCATGCCATGCTTTGCCATGTCATTTCAAAACTAAAAACGACAAACACGTTGAGCACAAACAATTACAACCTCCATGATAGAATATGAAGCAAATTCACATTTCAAATTTACTTCTCATTCAATTACTCTCTCTCTTTTTCATTCTGTCATTCCCTCTTTTCTTTCTTGTTTTTTTTTTTTTTTTTTTTTTTCTTCATTCATCAAGTACATTGTTGACAATAAGCACTGCAGGTAAACTCACTAAAACTCAGGCACAGTTTTATTTTTTGTTTTGTTGGTTCCCTGCCTGTTGGGTTGTCACCATCTCACTCTTATTATGTCTATGGTGTCCCTCCCATTTATCATAGTCTTCTTTTGATTATTTACTTTAATCCTCAACAGAAACACAACTCTCTCACATACACTTTAGCATAATAACATGTCCGAATCCACGGAAGCTTTGCACCAACCGCCTGCTATTGCTGTCGCCATCACTGCTCACAACGATACACTTTTACTACAACACCAACAACACCAACAACAACAACAAGTTATGCTCCTTCCTTCGCAATATTTACAACAACAACAGCTGCTCTTACAACAACAACTGCTACTATCGCACCAACATCAACAACAGCAACAGCAACAGCAACAGTTAAGACAGCCTACTTCACGCGCACCGTCTCCTACACCACCACAGTCTAAGAGTGATATCAACAATAACAATGCTACCTTAGCTCAGGAACAGTACCAAAACTTCCTTTTCCTTCAGCAGCAACAACAGCAGCAACAACAACAGCAACAACAACAACAGCAACAACAGCAACAGCAGCAACAATACCAGTACTTTATTCAATATCCTCAATCCCAGGCACTTTATCCCATGGACCCTGTTGTAAATGCTGAATGGGATCCAGATACAGCAGCAGCAATCATAAATATGACAGCTGACAACACTACCAATACATCTGCTTCCGTATCACAGCATGCACATGAGAGGGTTCGCCAGTTTGATATGAGTAGATTTATTGACTTTTGTGTTGAAGCATCTACTCTACTCGAGACGCTTCATCAAAACGGGCTTATCCATGGACAACTTTGCCCCACGTCGTTCCGCTGGGAAGAGTCATCGTCTATGAAGTCTACTGATAGCCATGTCAACGGCAATAACAGTAACAGCAGCAGTAGCAGCAACCTTGCTAACAGCAAAACTGCTTCATCTCAAGCTTCCGCCTCCGCAACATCCAAGCCGGAAATGGATCATACTTTGAGTAAAGGTCTTACTACTACTCCCTCGCTACACTATAGTCACCAGACACATCCAAGCAGTACTAGCAGCAATAGTGCCAGTAAAAGCCATAGCTCTTGGCGGACAGGGAAACAAAGGAGATACTCACTTGTCCTTGACTGCACACACCTCCGCGAGCATTCTCAGTCCTCCTTCAATGATCTTAGCTCCACTTCATTCACTGTTGCTGGACCTAGTCAAGCTGGAACAAACAACACAGCAATAGCAATGCCAGAGTCGGGTCCAAGCATCGGATCTGTTATTGATCCTACACTCTTTTCGCCTTTAGACCTCAATTTACCACCCTATACTAGTACTAATGGCGCTGTCATCCACGACGCCATCACTTCACGCGTCGCACGCTTCAAGCGTTCGTTCCTATTTTCATCCTCCTCTTCTCCAGCTGTCACTCCTTCATCTTCATCGTCATCATCTTCATCGCCATCATCCAGCATGTCCTCTTCGCCCTTGTCTACATCATCATCTCAAGCGACGACTCCTTCTCCTGGAGGGGTTTCTGGACCAACTTTCCAACCCATGCCTGTCAAGCAGCACTTCCTACTGCATATTCCCCAGGTAGGGCCAGCTTTTTTATCCTTTGTGGTTTTTTGTGTTTACTTCCTGTGATGCCCATTTCTACTTTTTCCTGCATCAGACACCCTTATGCAAGGCAATCTGGTCATAGTGCATCGTGCATTTTTTTTTTTTTTTTTTTGCTGACATTTTGACCTGAAAGATCACATTGGTGAAACAGACGGAAAAGAAAAAGGAGAAAAAGACAATTAGACTAATAATTCAGTCTGGCAAGCTTTTTTTTACCAGAGCAGGCATATTTGACATTAAGGGATGGGTTACTGAACGACACTAAATAAAACATTCTCTTTTATTGCATATATTAGGGGTTGCATTCACCTTCTGGGTGTGTTCTTCCTGTCCAAATAGATATCTATTCTCTCGGTACGGCTCAACAACAAAGAGTGTCCATGTTGGAAATGGGCAGAAAGAATACTGGCTGACCTCGTGTGGTTTTGTTTTTTTGTTGTCTGCATATGCATCTCCGTAGTCTCTCACAGAGGGGATCTACATTCGATTTTAATTAATTTCTTGTGCTTTGGGCATCTGTTTACATCATTGCCATATGTCATCTCTCATAGGTGTCATGTTTTACTACTTATGGGCTTCATACACAACATTTCAGCCAGGGGACTTAAATCCTGGGGCCATCGCAGAAGAATTAGATGCAGTCGCATCAGGGTTTGGAGCAACATTTTCAGAACGAGTGTCTGCTCATCCAAATACACCTGCGTTACTGGCCAATGTCATCTTAAGAATGGTAGCCAAGGTAAGCCATGAAACACCTCAATTTCCGAGTGCTTCTGTTACGATTTTCAATCTGATGTTCTTGATTAAGTTATGAGTAGGAAGGAGATTAACAAACTCGTGCGAAAATGAATGCAATTTCATGTGAAACAGAGTTCTAAGGACAGATTCTCGAGCATGGTTCAGGTTAGAAAAGAGTTGACGGCTATCAAAGACCAGGAACATGAAGCGCTGAAGAAGGATGCTGAATCTAAGGTAGGGAGTATGTAGCGTATAGCAAAATGATAGCGTCTAGAGATTAGAACGACAGAAATGATAATAGGATGCAATTGTAATTGTTTGACATCGTAAAAAGCTACAATACGAAAGAAGCCTTTCTTTGAAGATCCTCCCTTCTACTTTCTCAAGACTGCTTCATTTTGCACTCTTTATACTCACACTCCAAATGCTTTCTTGGATTTATAAATTCATATCAACCATCCCCAAACTGGTCTTATTCAATTATGTATTTTATATTTCTATTTGCTTTACTGACATCATTCTACATCCTTCTTCTCTGCTTTTATTAGGCACTCAACAGAAGTTTGACAGCCAATAAAGGCCTTCAGATACAGGGAACATCGTTCTCCTCATATTCTTCGTCTACCACAGCGCGACCATCCTCGCCCACCAACTCTAACTACTCCTTCAAATCTACATCCACCCATACAAGTCAAGATCATGATATAGGCTCGTTCTCAACCCGATTCTCCGGATCTAATCACAATAGTGCTGATAATAGCATTAGCAGTAATGGAAGCAATGGGAAAAATAGCGGTGGCACTAACAACAATATTTCACATGAAGATCGTGCGTTTGTGCTCGAATCAGTGTTGGCTTTAGCGCATATCTCCAATTTGCAGGAATTGCTCCGCGCGATTTCTCACGCGTTAGATAATTTATTGGTGGGTCATCCACCAGAAGAAATGGCAATTATCCTATGGCAGAAAGATGAGCATCTTCCCAATGGCGGAGCCTGGGCAATCGTGGAAGATAAGTATCAAGTGGGGGCAACACAACCCACATTGATTTGGACAGATCTTTCGGAGCGACGGGATCATATGCCAGTACTATTACGTAAAGCTTTAGATACTCAGGAGCCTATTTTCTCAACTGCTCTGGGGAGTCGGTCTCAATTACCAACAATTGCCTGTGTACCCATTATTGCGGTGCAAACAGGGATCTCAACACTCTTGGGGGCAATCTATCTTCATCACCTGCATCCTCGGTTTTATTTCAAGAAGCGTGAACAGGACATGCTGGTTCTATTCTGTCAAAGGCTTGCGACACCATTATTGCATTGCGAAAAGGTGTCGGGACTGGAGAAGCTACTATCTCATGCAACACAGAGAAATCGCGTCCTGGAGGATACATTTGCCAGGATCCAGAAGGTACCATCTATTACCATTTCTGCTTTATATCCTTTGCCAACCTTGTTAGACTTTAACTAATCAAAGGATACCTTAATCCTCTAACAATGTTCTAGAATGAACATGAGGTCTTCTCGTGGATGGAAGCACTACCATGCTTTGTTTGGGCGGCTGAGAGGGATGATAGTACGAAAGCGAAAGCAGAAACAAAACAAAAAAAAAAAAAAAAAAAAAAAAAACGCGATGGCTTTCTTGACCTTTCCTGTATAACCCTCGTATCTCAATTAATCTAGCTTTTCTTCCTATTTGCTAAATTTTCATGATAGTTGTGAGCCGGCGTTACCTCTCCCGATCTTGGTTTGACTTTACTGGGCTTCCAGGAGATGCCCGTACAAGTGACCGATGGCTCAGTGCTATGCAGTATGTTTGAGACAATACCACTGGATTTCACCAAATCACGTTAATAACTTCTGTGAATATTGGTTATTGATACGTTCTGGCCTTAATACTTCAAATAGTCCTGATGATGTCGCCTCATTCCAAAAGGAGGTATCGCAGAGCTACAAAACGGGTGTGTACAAAGATTGCGAGTTTAGATTGATGCGTTATGATGGCGTCTATCGTTGGCACCTTTCCCGTGCTGTCCCCGTGTTGAACCACAGCGGAGTCATCCTGAAGTGGATCGGAGTCACTATTGATATTGGTGAGTATATTAAACTTACATGTATATTTAAAAAGAAGCGAAAACGAAGGTATCTAACATAGTATTGTATACATAGATGACTTGTACCTGGCACAAAAGGCTGAGTTACACAAGAAATCAAATTTCCTTGCCAACATGAGCCATGAGCTACGAACGTAAGCTTCATACAGATAGCGCCCATACAGTTGTATCATATGAATCATTTTATGCGGATAGATTGACATGTCAGCTTTCTTTTTATATTATTATTATTACATTTTTTTCATCTCTCCTACAACATCCTTCCAGTCCGTTCTCAGGGTTCCATGGGATGTTGAGTCTATTAGGGTACTCCAACCTGGACGAAGAACAACAAGAATGCGTATTTACTGCTAAAGCTAGCTGCGAGAAATTATTGCTCATTATTGATGATCTTTTGGATTTTTCCAAATTGGAAGCCGAAAAAGTTACTCTGGAAGCTTCACCTTTTGACTTGCAGGACGTGTTTGATGAAGTTGAAGACATTGTAGAATCGTTAGCGGCACAAAAGTCATTGGAACTTGCATTTATTAAGGCTGACAATGTTCCAGAGGTTCTAGTTGGGGACTGCAATCGACTCAAGCAGATTCTGCTAAACCTAGTAGGCAATGCCATCAAATTCACGCACGCAGGTCACGTCATTGTACGATGTGAAGTCTATGATCGGGATGCAGAGATGGCCGCAGTGACTGAGAATGGTACAGCCACTTTGGCAGAAGAGATCGAAAACGACAAGTTCTACTTTATGCATGGAAAAAGCAATGGAAGGCAGGACCCATCTGATTCACGCCCACCAAACTCCGGCCGCTTTTCATCGCCAGAACCGTTGAGCGAGACATCAATCAAACTTGTATTCACAGTTGAAGACACTGGCATCGGAATTAGCGCAGAGGAGCAAAAGATGTTGTTCTCTCCATTCTCTCAGGTGGACGGAAGCGCCACGAGGCCGTACGGGGGATCTGGTCTGGGCCTTTCTATCTGCCGCCAGTTGGTGAAGCTGATGAAGGGCCGTATTGATCTCTTTTCCACCCCAGGAAAGGGCTCCACATTCTGGTTCATGATCCAGTGTGAGCCATGTGCACCACCGGAAAGCCCGATGAAACCTGTTCCGGAAGTAGAGCTTGGCGATTCTACAAAAGAGATCAAACGTATCACACGAACTCTAGGAACGCCCCGTATTTTGATTGCTTCCACTAGTCAGATGACTGTCAGCACCTTACAGTCTTATCTTTCAGACTTTAATACAGAGGTTGCTAATACACCATCCGCTGCAGCCAGTCGTCTTGAGGAGTCTGTTACGAATGGAATTCGGTTCGACTTTGTGTGCTGGGACTTCCCAAAATATGATCCAGAATACACAATGATGCTTGAGCTGCAAGCTAGACCCAACCTCAACAATGTACATTTTGTTCTCTTATATACACCCAATACAGATTTCGTCCGACGTGCTCATTCACTCCAGCTACCGCATTCATCTTCTAACAGTTCATTAGCTGTTGGAAGGAAGAGGCCTGCACTGAGTCAGTCAGTCTCATTGCGGGTTGAGAACAGTGGCTCAAACTTGGCATATAATAACTATTCGGGCTCGACACTTGCCTCCACCTGCGAAGTCCCCGGCCTGAGCCCAGAGAAGCTTAACAGTCTACGTATCACTTGCATCTCCAAGCCAATCCGGCGACTCAAGCTCCTACGCGCTTTTGTAGAAGTCCTTGACGACTCTACGCGAATCCACGGTGCACAAACAGTAAAAAAAACCGCTAGTGCTGGTGGGGGGAGCGTCACATCGGGTGCTACACCCTCGAGTCCTATTATAACAACGACCCCAGCTCCAAATATGGCATCGGCGCCTGTGTCTTCGCCCACAATCTCTGCCCCTGTTCCTCCAGTTGCTTTGCCCTCGACTATGATTCGTAGTCCTTCAGCGCCTATGGTCTCAACTCTAGAAGAGGCTCTTGGTATTCAAATGCCTCAACCGATTACGCCAGCTATCATCACCATTGAAGAGGCCCCTGTCAGGCCGGACCTTCCTAATGTCGACAGTGGTACTCATTTCCTGAGTATGGCCCAGGAGCAAAAGACAATCAGTCAAAGTCTTGCAGAGATAACAGATTTGTTCACTCAGTCTACTCCAGATAATGATGCGACGAAAGTACTATTAGAGGAGTTAATTTCGCCCGAAGAGAAGACGTCCGAGGGAAAGACATCTGGTGAGAAGGAACCTGATGAGAAGGCGCTCGAGGAGATGAAGAATGATGTACAAAAAAACGACAAAGAGCATGGCGAAGAAATGGTAATTACAACAGTCATAGAGAAGGAAACTTTACCTGAACTATTGCCACCCGCTCCTAATGACATGGAGATGAGAGAACCAGCTGATACTAAGGAAGCTAATAATGAAGCTGAAACTGAGGCTAGTCCAGAACTAGAGGCCAAAATGAATCAAGGGGATGAAATAGAACTCACGAAAGAACAAGGACAATCTAGTGGCAAGGACAAAGAAGATGACGCCGAAATAGAAGAAGAGACGGTGAAGGAGAAGGAGAAAGAGAAAGAAAAGGAAAAGCCAGTAACCAAAGCAAAAGCTTCGCTGAAACAAAAGATGGCTGCAACAGCGAATGGGAAAAGCAGCAAACTTCGTTCTAACTCACCCAAACCTGCGAAGACATCCAAGTTAGTGACCGAGGAAGCGACCGAGATCTCATTATCGCTGGAGGAAGCTAACAGGATTGCAGGCATGCGTATTCTTTTAGCTGAAGACAATTTGATTGCACAAAAGGTTCTATCAAAGCAGTTAGCTCTTTTTGGACTTGTGATTTCATGCGCGAACGATGGTGCGGATGCCTTGAACCTGTTTAAATCTCATCCGCGAGGATACTATACTCTGGGCTTCTTTGATCACCACATGCCTAACTGTGATGGTGTACAAGCAACGCAACAGATCCGAGCACTTGAAAGAGAACACGCTGCTGAAGTCAAAGGGCCAGTTCCACGGTTGCCTCTTGTAGCAGTTTCGGCAGACATCCAGGAAACAGCACGCAAAGCATGCCTCAACTCCGGTATGGAACGCTATGTTACCAAGCCACTGATGCAAAAGGACTTGGTAGCAATGGTCCGTCATTATTGTGTGATTGGTGATGCTGAGGCGAGCACCCTTGCATATGTCCCCCCACCTGAGGAAGCACTACCACAGAACCACCCCATTGTTGGAGTTCCCAGTACCACAGCTGTAACCTCGACAGTTGAGGCCATGGTCTCGGCAGGCCATGTTTCGGCGCCAATAGGAATCACCAACGCTGTTGGTCTCACTCCTCCTCCATTGCCTCTCGCTGTCACATCGACACCCACAGGGACATCCATCCTTGCTAATGCTAGCGTTGCAGCTGTTGTTGAAAAGGCACCAGCTCCAAAACTAACTGCACATCCCAAGCGTGAGCCGGAGCTATCGCCTGCCGCATTACGTGGACTAGCATTGATTCGCGAAAATACTTTGCAGGACGAAAGCTCCAAAGTTGGAGGCGGAGGGAATATCAAGTCCACGAATATTATGATGGCAACTGTACCCTCTTCGGCAGCATCTGTGTCATCTCCAATATCCACACCAATAGTTCCCGCAACATCATTAGCGACAACAGGTGTTTTCACCGGCTTGTCGGGGACACAACCTATGCAACATAGCAGTAGCCATCATGGATTCGGTAAAAATCACAGTAACAGTGAAGCTGGCGTTAATGGACATTTGAATACATATGGAGGACACGTGCTTTGCAAAGCTAGTTCTTCGTCATCTCTATCAGCTAGCTACCAGGCTGCTGCTGCTGCTGCCGCTGCAGCAGCAGCAGCGACTGGAGGAGGACTAGTGTCAGCACCGATGATGTTGGTTACATCTCCGAACTCAACTGGACCAACTATCACGCCATCTCCATTAGCATCGGCTGCAGCTATACCGACACCTGGATTGGCGGCACTGCCACCGCTACCACCAATAACAGCAACAGGTTTAGGGTCCACGTCGATGTCGGTCTCCACGAACGGACTGAACATGAACGCGACGATGGCTGCAGCCTTGTCAGGAATCCAGCCGATTACAGCCATAGCGGCCAATGCGGCAGCAACATCGGCAGTTGTTCACACTGGCGGTTCTGCCATCCACGATCACATTATTCATTCGACACCGTCGACTTTTGTAACTACAGCTGCTACTGGGTCAGCAAGTGCCGGGATTAGAACTTCTACTGTTGCTAGTGCTCCAGTTCCAGCTGCAACTGTAGTAGGAGCTAGTGAAGTAATGAATGGTGCGCCGTGGCCGACTGTAGTGAATGGCACTCTACTAGACCCACATACCCAACTCATATGGCAACAGCAACAGCAACAACAACAGCAACAACAGCAACAACACCACCAAGCTGTTATGCAGCAGATTCAGCAGATTCAGCAAATCCAACAGATTCAACAGATCCAACAGATCCAGCAAATCCAGCAAATTCAGCAGATTCAGCAGATTCAGCAACTGCAACAACAACAGCAACAGCAACACCAGATACAGCAACATCAACAGCAACAACAACAACAACAGCAGCAGCAGCAGCAGCAGCAGCAGCAGCAGCAGCAGCAGCAACTACTGTCATCTCTATCAGCACAACCAATGCAGCTACCGGTGCAGGTTTCAGTGCAAGTCCCCGTAGCACAGGCACCAGTTCCATTGCCAGTCCAAGTCCCTGTTCAAGTGCCAGCCCAAGTGCATGGATTGACGCCAGCGAACTTGGATCAATGTCAGCAGCAGCAGCAGATCCACTCTCCAAAGGAGGTTTTCGCTCCTTACTTGCACCCATGTGAGCCTTCACCGACGACAGAGCCAGACCATAATCCGATGTCAATGAATGGTACTGGAAATGAGAGTGGAGCTGAAGTTGGGGCTGGAATTATCCCAGTGACTACTGCTAATCTGAGTATAGTCCATGGTATCGCGAATAGTGTTGTAACCGCTTCTGGCGCTGGCCCTGCTATCATTACGCCAGTGCCGGCTTCTGCGTCTGCAGCAGATGTTGTTGCCAAGGCACAAGCAGCGGCGGCGGCGGCGGCGGCGGCCTCAGTAACCACAGCTTCTACTTCAGCCACTGTAGCTAATATGGCGACAACAACAACCACTAATATCTCAGGATCACCTTCCCCTGTATTCCCTGTGAAGCTGAACCATTGGATGTAAAAACAAAAATCCATGTATATATATACGTGTATACAATTATAGTGGCCATTTACAACAGAGTGCACCTTCATCTTTTGTATGTAAATTATATCCCAATAAAAAATAATGAGGAGGGAAAAACTTCGTCCGTCACAAGGGCAAATTTGCCATTATAAATGGGCTAAAAATCCAGCAATCCATGGGCATTGTCTTGAAATTTTATTTCGATGTCGAAATAAATGACCGAAAACTAAATTGTCATGGAGCTATCCTGGCTTCTTTATTTGTGCAAATAAAAAAACTCTTGAAGACTTTCTCATGACCCTAGCATCCGCTTGGGAGTCCATTGTATCGTTTATTTATTGACAGGTGTAATATAGCAGTGATAATATTCGCCGCCGTAGTCTCGACTTGAAAGGAGGGCAATCTGAGTTGATTCATTCTACCGCACCATGGAGCTTGACTAACTTGATCTTTTCCTGTACAGCCCGGCAAGACTTGATTTGTCACATCGTTTGCTTGCTCGTCTTCTTGCGTTCCCTTGATGTATCTGGGTTGGTAAGCACTGCTAATAGAGTTTGTTGGGCCTGTTGAAACCAGAGGGAGCCACAGCAACATATCATACCCAAGGTGATACAAATATCTCTGTTGGAGTGAGTGGTGAACTGTATGTGGTTCAGATGTAGTGGACATAAACGGCGAAAGAATGCATCGAAAGGATGTGAGCGGTTATGAGAGCAAGGAAGAAGGGGTTGGTAAGCCTGTTCAAGTCCTTGGCAAGAGAGCATGAGCAGCAGTTGTGATCAATGGTATAGTTTCTAGACCCTATCTTCCACGTACAGCATTGCATTACTGTTGTTTTCAGACCTGGCACCAATCATGCGAGGTATTTCTTTTTCTGAGGGTTCCTTGTGTTAAATGGCCAGACAGAAAGCTTAGAAGAGATACAGACACAACGGTGAAAAAAATGTATGTGGGCAAACAGTTGCTGTGTTTATTTGTTGTCTGCCTTCTTTCATCGCGGGCTTTTTTTTTTATTGTTTCGCAAATCTTGTTTCCTTTTTTGTTCGTCAATCACTGTGTGCACGAATAAGCAGCTGAAGCATCTCTTTGGTTTCTGTACATGTATAAACACATTTTACATCGTGGCGTCTTTTTTTGTTCAAAATACAAGCGTTTTCCATTGGTGCCTCCAAACAAACTTTATTTTGGTGGCCACTCCACAATCATTCCATGGTTATAACAATCCCTAGGAAAGGATCAAACGCGTCGGTATCAATCTCGCTTCTGTATTTCTAGATGCATATGTTTTGGCAATTGGTATCAACTATCAAATTCACACATACACACACCAAACGACCGCCAAAAACCACCACTCTCGCTTCTGCTCTCCCTCCATCCACAAGGCGCTGCGCAATATCACCATTAACAAGGCACCGTCCAGTAAGAAAGGGTGCTTAGATAGCTTTTACTCCAAGCAATAAGCGCATGCAACTACATCACTCCTATCTCCGCCATTGATGCCGGAATCTGAGAGTCAACGAATATCTCTGTTTTAACGCAATAGTACTGGGGCTGTTGGAGCAAAGAGCATCATATGAAGCCATTCTCTGATAAAAAAGACTTTTTTTTCTTTAGTTGTTACCTTTGACAAGGATATAATCACCGAGTCATATCTGTCAATGCATTTATTACCCCTGTTCAAAATTATAAATCTTCTTTTATTCATTAAATTCCTCACAAAGCACAAAGCAAGGGCCAGTGCAAACAAAAGAAACTGAAAAAAAAAATTGTGTAAAAAAGATCGACATCGACACTGTATGCTGTATATGGAGATGATTTTTTCGAATGCTCACTTTGGTATCTCAATACTATTGTTTCCAATCCGGCGCTCATGCGAGAGCTTGTATTTATTTGTCAATCTCTGCTATTGACTTGGACAAAACCCCAAGCCAAACAAAGGAACTGAATAAAGATTGATGTGGCCTGTGAAGCAAAGGATCGATATCAAAACCATATGAGACAATGTTAAAATTCATCATCAATCCAGGATATAAAAAGGGATCATTGTCTTCCTCCTTCAAAGTCCCATCCCTTTTACCACTGCCACTTGTTCCTGTATCTTTCCCTCAATATTCTTTATTTATTCACTTTGGATCTTTAAACCATAAAAAAGCTCATCCTTTTATACCTTTGTCGCTCTTTTTTTTTCTTTTTCATTTCTTTTCATCACCACCATTTTTCCTTTTTTCTTTCTCTTTCGCTTAGATATTGACCATGGGGCTGAAGTCCTTCTTCAAACTGGTTGCGGATCGCGGGGTTTTACCTTCGGAAACTGACGTGGGCACTTTCTTGGCGGCAAATCCTGACTATTCTGTTCATGTAGATCTCCTCAATACGTTCTATTACGACATCCTCCGCAGAGTCGTCCATGCAAAGATGAAAAACGAATCCATCATTGATGTAGGAAGGTCCCTGGCTCTCGTGATAAAGGATCTTTTCATAACGGACAATCTGACTATACATATTGATGGGGAACCTTGTACTGAGAAAGAAAAAGCAAGGACAGAACGGCAAGCCATAAGAGAAAAAAATATGGATGCTTTGGAGAACGATATGAGCACCTTCGAGAGAAATTCTCGGAGTGGGTATGGACTCGTCCTCAAGTCATGAGGCGCATCCAAAAGGGTCTTCGAGAAGTCCACACCCTGAGCGTCCAGGACAGGGATCAGCTGGCAAGAGGCCTTAGCTCTGTCTTCGATGTCTGTCTGTGTGCATATGAAGCGGACCCATGCATAGGGTGCCATGATGAGGAGAATGATAGGATCGTGATATCCCAAGACTCTGATTTTTTTGCGTACGAACGAGTCTGCTTCCTAGTGCGACCCCTTCCGCACCGTAGACGGAAGTTTGGGGTTTACGACGTAGACAACGTTATCCAAGCACTAAGACTGCCATCACACGCGCATCTGGTGTTATTCTGTGCCATCGCAGGCAATGACTACTCAAGGAACCTCGAGACGTTAGGCCCGGTTAATAATCTTCGATTAATTCGAAAGGTTGCGTGGAACGAGAACTACAATAAAATGCTTCGGAACTACCTAAGGGAAGCTAGCAAGGTGTTGGGAAGGAACGCAGCCTCTGAAGAAGGCCGTTTTAGAGTAGCTCTCCGCATTTTTACTTCCGGCCATCAAACATCGGCCCAAGCGTTACCATTGAACAATGAGTTCGATAACTTCAAGCAGCGTCTACTCAATGGAAAGGATCTCGCCATAGAGTGGCTCAGCAAAGGCGAGCGCAGCGCCGCAGAACGTAAGAAAGCTCAAGCTATAGTTTTGGCCTTGAAACCATACGTCCCCAATACTAATCGTTAGTCCCTTTCTTGGAAAATGTAGAGGCGCACCATCATTCTATACAGCGGAAGGGTCACATAGGAACCAGTTCCGGCCCATCTTTTCTGACAAGGCGAGCATATTGAATGGGCGCACAGTTGATATCAGTAACTACCGTCAGCACGATAGGCCGGGCCTTAAGCATCCACCACGTCGGAAAAAGACAAAAAAGAAGCAACAGAAAAAACAAAAGCGGAAGCACAAAGGCAAGAAGCCCCACAGGGCTAAAAAAGAAGGTGCACCAATTAGGAACTTGAAGGATGCTACGAAGGTTGATCACAGCTACAGCAGTAAGCATCCTATCAAGGCCTTAACAATTGGGTCCCTTAAGGCCTCCATGGCAAGGAAAGGCGGACTGGACGCAGATGAAAGGGATAGTATTGCAAACCAGATCCGAGGGGCAGTTGTTGTCCTCAACCGACTACGCCGCTATGCATACTGGGTGATTGCCTTGGACATTGAGAGGATCATGCGGTTACCAGGGGCAGCAAGGTCGAGGAAAAAGGCACTGGACGAGGTCTTGGATAGCAATGACTATTCCTTCCGTCTCGCCACCCTTCTTTTAAGTGGTCAAGGTGGCCCCAATTCAGCTTACGCGAGGGCAAAAAAACAAGGAAAGACGGTAGAAACGCCCCATTACCTCCTCGCTTATGAACATTTCAAGGCCACCACTGAACTTTCCCCAATAAAGGAAATAGACATCACATTGGGGGACGTGCAAGGCTTTGATCCCAAAAAGATCTCATTTCCAAGAGCGTCAGAGCTACTAATGGGCCAAGTACAGACATCATTAAGGCAGCACTACAGGAACGCAATGGTATAGCTTGTGTAGGGTATTTTCATGTATATTCTGCAATCAAATGCTCTTTATTCAGACTCTTTTTTTTTTTTTTTTCTTTTTTTCTAGTTTGATGTCGAGAAAACAAACGAAGATATGAGCGACATTGAGTTTATTTTGCGGGAGAACAAAAAAGTGAAAAATACTCAGACTTTCCTACGTCCCCCTGGTCACCCGGGTATGTGTATCTGTCTGAACACGCCCTAGTTGACATCCTCTGGGCGAACGAAGATACCAAGCAGCTGCTGGAGCGTATTCTGCCTCTCAACAATCCTTCCAAGACTGCAATGTTTGAGTGTGTACAGGGAACAAAAGGGGTTTTGATACAGGCTCTCTTTTGTGACATTGGAAGTGATCGCATGGTTCTTGGATATCGAGACAAAGTATCCTTGCTGTCACAGGACAAAGATCTAACTCGGTTCAAACTCAAAGGAACGATTTCTACCAACGGTCTAGTTCTGAATCTACTTGCCTATGACACAACCCAGACGAAGAGACAGCAGCAGTCTGACGTAGATGAAGAAGACTCCAGGCAAGAACTGGAGCTTTCTCAGGGATTCCTCAACACGACGTGTTCAAAGGCAGCCGGTGAAGACCTGACAGATGAAGACTATGCAAACATAAACTGGAAGAGGAGCTCCAAACTGCTCGAAAACGTTGAGCTCACATTCAACAAACCAGGGCGGTGCCCATCCGCAAACACCACAACTATCGTCGGATGCGATCCTAGTATTGTTAACGCCCTTACGTTTTCCTCCCTGGATCCTCACAACCCTAACTTGCGGCAAACGGTAAAGGTGAGAAGCAGGTTCTTGTACCTCCCCGCCCTCCGCTTCAATCACCTGTTGAACAAAAGGAAGCGTGAAAAAGGAATGATTGAGGTTGAGAGCGCCATCCCTGTGTTTGGAAGGGATACGTACAATGAGTACTTTCAATGGATGAACGAGGAGCCCCAGACACAAATAGGATCAAAGAATTTGGATGTGCTTCAAGAATTCTACGAGTCCAGGTGGCACCTGAAAAAAAATGGGACCTACGAAAGGCTCAACGAGCTACGTTCGACTACGCGGTACAGCGAGTGTTGAAGATACTCGGGGGAAAAGGAGTGCTTGTCGTCGGCCTAGGGTCCTTTGAAAGTAGTAAAAGAGTTCCCAGCAAGCACACTGCTATAACGAGACACCTTATCACACAGGTATGACTTTTTTTAAAAAAAAAAAAAAAATAAATAAGAAAAGCTGGAAAGCCATAGAACCCTTGCTAATAAACGACTGACCATTTGAAACGCTTAGATCAAAGCACGAGGACACTTCGCTGTAGGAGCGCACGAATTTTACACCAGCGCCCGCTGTCCCCGACCCCTCTGCGATAGCTTTTTAGAGACGGTGTACCCTCGCTCTAAATATTGCCGGACATGTAAGGTATTCTTCGACCGTGACGCAGTAGGGGCGGAAAACATCGCAAGAATCGGTCTTGCTCAAATTGAGAGGCAAGAGAGGCCTGCAAAGTACAAGCCCACGGAAGAGCCGCCTGCTCCGGCTGCGAAGCGCGCACGACGCTAGACACAAGTATTTGGGTGCCGGCACACCCACAAAAAATTTGTAAGTTCTGTTTATTTTCGTCTCCTGTGATCCTCTCTAATCTTTTGCCACTAACCTTAAAAACCGTACAGATCAACAGATATTTACGTATGTACTTGAACTCCTTAAGCTTCTACAAGAACCTGTAAACAAGCCAGGCATACAAAATGGTTTCTCCACCTGCTCACACATCGGTAGAGCCCCCGCGTCTCATCAGTGCTGTAATAATCAAGATGGCTTCAACTTCTAGCTCTACTCCAAAGTCTCGCCATTTTACTCCTGCTTTTATTCCAATCCGCGATCGCGTACCAGAGAACCTTCAAATTCAACTTCACATTCGGAAAGGTCGTCCTCAGGTGACATGTCGAGCTTTAAAGGATCTTCCTGATCCTGCACCATGGACTTTTGTCCTCAATCATGAGGATTTTGAGAGCTTGCTAATGGGAATTCGTGATCATATTCCAAAAGCAACCAAAGATGGTTTTTACTGGCCAGAGGATGCCCAACCATATTTACAGCCTACTCACAATACGACACAAAAGCTTTATCAAAGGCTGGACCCAGAAAATTATAAAATGCTGCTTACAAAGTCATGGCGGAAAGAACTTCGACGGATGAATGGGGATGCGTCAAAAGTCTATGTTCACTTGTATATTTATCTTGCTTCACCAGAAGAAGGAGAAGAAGGACAGGAACAAGGACAGGAGCAAGGACAGGAACAGGGACAAAGACAAAGACAAAAACAAAGGCAAGAAAGTGCTGATGGCGTTTCCGTTATTACTGATGATAGACAATCAACGCCTGCCAGTCAAGGAGAAGCATCAACGTCTAGGAAGCGAGGCATTTCAGAGGTAGTGAGCATGGAGCCACGACGACAGGATTCTATGGTTGGATACATTACTCCAGTCCAATATGGACGTCGCTCAGATCGTGAACCAATGTTGCGTACACTTGAAGATGATATATTACTGCAGCTTGAGAGAGAAGCGCAGATTCGAACACAGCTCATTCGCGAGAGAAGACAAGCGGCAGAAGAAGCAGAACAACGACGGCAGTTGCGGCAGCAGCGTCAACATCAGCATCAACAAGAGGATCTTGATGATGACAATGATGAGATGAGAACCATCTACGTTGAGATCAATGGCACTAGACTACCTGTTCGAGTGGATGTACATTCTTTGAGAAAAGCGCTTGGCGTACCAAACCCAAATGAATTTGATGATACATGCATGTGAAAAAAAAAAAAAAAAAAAAAAAAAAAAAAAAACGAATAAACGAATAAAATACCCTTGATGCTATTATGCACCTTTTTCCCTTTAATAAAATAGAATCCTTTGTGGCCTTTGAGTCCGATTTTAAAGTTAAAAATATGAAATGTGCCGACAACTTTGTACATGTATATAAATTAAATTTTCTTAAAACCAGTTTGTGAAACTCATCCAGTAAAATTTAGATAACTTTTTATATATATCTTATATATCTTAGTTCATGGGATACAGAGTTCAGGGTCAAATTGTTTTCGCAAGTGCTGTGCTTGTAAACCCATGGAGAGGATCACTGCTTTTCAAGCAATTCCTATATATATATATATATACATGTATATATAGATACAATACGAGACTGTATTTCAAAACAGGTAGCTAATCCAGTCTAGTTGTTCAGTGGACCAGTCGTTCAGCGGAATAACAATGATGAATCCTTAGTTGCCTAAATTTTTCGTCCTCTTTCTTCCTTGGGAGGTGGTTTTTTCCCCTCCGCCTCACTTCTTAGTATATAATCCATAGATTTTATAAATATATAAATATATATATATATATCGCCAATTTTATTTGGTCACGATACCTTATATTTTTAATCTAAAAACGATGATTGAATTGTTCTGGTGGCATCTCACTACGTGACGGACTTGCAACAATACTCGTAACAAGCGAGCTAATTGGCTGCCAATACACTCGAAAGTATTCAAAAAATATAAGGTATCGCGACCAAATGAAACGGGCTATATATACATATCACCTTCAGTTTAAACTCTGTAGGACTATCCGGAAAAAATGTTGTAAAGACAGTACCCCAATCTCCCACAAACTTTAAAAAACATCTCACAGATGGATGATTGATAGCAAATATATATATATATATATACATTCATAATATTGAAGTATCTAATACAATGATGGATATATACATCCATGCCTTTACGGGGGATTAAGTCTACATAGCAGACTAACCTTAGAAAAGATGAGGCATACGGGACACGGAACTTGTAAACCGAGTTGACGCCCTTTCAAGACGCTGAATCGCTTGTCCTGAACACTATTCACCTTTTGTTGGAAATTGCCAGGATGTGTACATGTATACTGTTTGCCCAAGTCATGTGTGACATCTATGACCAGTCGCATATGGAGCTTATATGAGGAAAAGAAGAGAACATCTATTGTACAATTGTATATACAACACCAAGGACTCCTGCAGACAAAATGTAGGCGATGTCATCGCGCTTTGCTTTTTAGGGGGAAGTGGTTTTGCTTTTGCTTTGTTTGTAAATCGGCCGATCTGCGAAATAGACTATGGGTCCTAATAAATATTTATGTCAAGGTACAAAGACTAAAAAGCATCTAAGAAAGATGTGATGATGGTCGATGAGAGCTGATGACTGTAAGCTTTCTTTCTCCTGTGCTTCCATTGATTTAAGAACAATGAATATTGCTGAATGACTTTCAGTCTTCATTACTTCTCTTTGCCCCTTTTGCTGCAAAATTAAGGTCAATGATGGCTTGTCTACAGTACGTGGGCATACGTATATACAGTGGAATCTCGATAATTGTACACTTTTGTACAAATTTCAAATTTGATATATTTCTAGGCCATTGGTTGGCTAAGAGCCTTACTCTTTTAAAAAAAAGTATTCTAAAAAACCCACACTCAACTGGAGTAGAGGAATCAGCAGAGGATTTTTAGAATAGTTTTTCATGAATTGTGGGCTTCTTAGCCAATCAATAACCGAGAAATATAGCAAATTCGAAAATTGTACAAAAGTGTACAATTATCGAGATTCCACTGTATATTATACAAACCATGAGTGCCATTTATGGTTGTATAAAAAATTACATATCTTTATTCATTCCTAGTTTGTCAACATGTCGATCATTCTTTTTTTTTTTTTTTTTTTTCCAAGCTGAGCCCACTTACAGTAAATAATTGTATATATATATATATTGTTTAATATTTGTTTTTTCTGGTCACGAACATATTTTAAAATCATAAATGTAATGATAGAATTAGCTTAGCGGTCCCACAAAATGGTAACCAATGTCCTTTTTTGATAGATCCTAGACTTTTTTATTGAACAGAAACAGCAATCAGAACAAGGCTTGACTACAAGGAATGCTGGACTTCATGTAAATTCAGCATCATTTCAGAGTGGTGCACTTTTTCTAGAGTCAATTTAATTAATATAACGATAGAATACATATTAAGTTCTTACTAAATGACGGGGACAAACCCTGTACAGTGGAATCTCGATAATTGTACACTTTTGTACAATTTTCGAATTTGCTATATTTCTCGGTTATTGATTGGCTAAGAAGCCCACAATTCATGAAAAACTATTCTAAAAATCCTCTGCTGATTCCTCTACTCCAGTTGAGTGTGGGTTTTTTAGAATACTTTTTTTTAAAAGAGTAAGGCTCTTAGCCAACCAATGGCCTAGAAATATATCAAATTTGAAATTTGTACAAAAGTGTACAATTATCGAGATTCCACTGTATAATAATACTTCTTTATTTAATATCATTTGGCTTGGTTTTCAGGGGTCTTCTCACTTTCAACTACGCTTCAGCTGCTCTTCAATTGTCGTGATTCTGATTTGCTGACTTCAACCTTATGCTTTCGAAGCTTCGTTGTACTCAGCAAGGGAACACATGTGTCACTAAAAATTAATCTTACACTGTGCCTGAAAAGAGATTGTCTTTAAGATGCAAATATATATATACAAATAAGAAACCAGGGTATGTGAAGCAATGGTATACGCATCGTTTTTTCTCTTCCCAATGGGATGCCCGTGTATGGACATGTATTTATATACATATTTTATATATAATACCATGTATCCTCGTATTCGTCGGGGAATCAAGCATTGCAGGTCGTAATGGGTGGAATGCATGTCGGGGATCCATTTAACGTTACATTCATTCACATTGTAAATGTTAATTTTTTTCTCGGAAAATAAGTTTGAGCCAGTATGCATTCAATCTAGACTATAAAAACCAGGTAACATCGGGGAGCATGCCATGGCTCATTCTCATTCATCTCTTCTCATTTCTCAACCAACCTCGTATTTCATCTCTCTTCATTCTTCTTCTTTTGTCATACTAGCATCATAAAATATTACCATTCATCCATCCATTCTTTTAAAATATGTCAATCATGTCCGGCACATCATCACAACAATCACATCAGCAGCCACCTCAACGGGCATATCCTTCCGTCATAATCGTTGGTGCGGGTCTTGGAGGATTGATGCTTGGAGCACTGCTTGAACAGATCAACATCCCTTATCACATCTTTGAACGTGCTGCCGAAGTTCGGCCTCTTGGTAAGCCTCAAGAGACTGATTTTTATAATATGTGTTCAATAAACATATTTTGTGTTTTGTAATGTTTGGTGCTTGATATGTAATGGGCACAAACAATAGCAAAACAACAAAGCAGGGTGGTACAAAGGATGTACAGCATCCAAGTAACACATGTATCGATAACTCATCTTTTTTTTTGTTCTTCACGGATGAATGATGAAAAGGATCGGCGATGACTCTTGGTCCAAATCTTATGCCTATCTTTGAGCAGCTTGGACTAGTAGAAGAGATTCGAAAGTTCTCATTACCCTGTCTGGGCTTGGACGTCTACAACGAATCCATGAAGCATCTAGGCACGATCGACCTGAAATCCCATAAGGCTCTGTAAGTCATTCCTTCCCCAAATCATATCCTTATCCACCTCTTCGCTCAGATATACCAGCATACAAACATGGACAAACAAATGCATCTCTTCGTATACGGCGTTGCCTTCTTTGCTCACTTTCTTTCACGCCATCCTATTCCTTCTCATTTGCTCACTATATCCATTCAACAAACTTACACACAAACAAACAAACATTCCGGCATTCTCCCCCACACAACTATTTGTCTTTTATAATATTTAAGATATTATAGCAATGGTTTCTCATCCTAAACACGCACTCATATATCCCTACTTTTTTATTATCTCATGACATCAAAAAAAAAAAAAAAAAAAAAAACGACTATAACAGCGCTGGTCATGAACATCTGCTTTTTGCACGCCCACTTCTTTATGAGTTGATGCGGAAACAAGTTCCGGCAAGCAAAATTACCATGGGCAAAAAAGTCCTACGAACAGAAGAGAAAGAAGATCGAGTGGTGATTCACTGTTCAGATAACACAACCTATGAAGCTGATATACTGATTGGAGCCGATGGCGCATACAGTGGAGTTCGGCAGTCGCTCTACAAACAAATGGATGCACAGGGAATCCTGCCCAAAGTCGACCTAGAGAATTTCTCAATTGGCTATGTGACCATGGTTGGGGTTGCAAACCCTCAGGATCCAGAAAAGTTTCCACAACTCAAAGATAGCGTATCACACTTCACCTCTGTCATGGGAGAAGGCAGTAAGAACGTAAGTTTTACCATTTCAAAAAAGATATATCATGCAAAGTATGATATTTTGCTATAAATGTATCTACTGCTCCTTTGTGTTTTTAACCATATATCTGTATACCATTTTTCATTCTTGGACAAAAATAAAATAAACATAAAAAAGTGGACAATAGTCAACGTTCCTAATAATCAAATCTGCTGGGCCATGAGTGTTCAGCTGGGGGATTCTAAACTCAAAGGTCAACAGTTCCGCAACTCAGAATGGGGACCTGAAGCCAATGAGTCTATGATCAAGGAGTTCCAAGATTTCCCTACACCTTGGGGCGGCAAGATGGGGGATATCATAGAGGCCACACCCAAGCACTTGATTTCCAAAGTATTCTTGGAAGAGAAGGTGTTTAAGACCTGGTACCATGGCCGAATTGCCCTTTTGGGTGATGGTAAGTCATAGAACATTAGACAGGACAGGATGAGGATATAGAAAAAACTAGCATTCTAAGACACCGACGCTCCCTCCCTACTATACTTTCAAAAAAATAGCTGCCCACAAGATGTTGCCATCTGCAGGCCAAGGTGAGTCTCTTCTTAATTCCTGATGGATCCTGTAGGTCAAAAATCATTGTCTAAACCATAGTCTCATCCTTTTTTTTTTTTATTTTTTTTTTAGGTGCTGTTAACGCCATGCAAGATGCTATAGTGATGGCTAATTGTCTGTACAATATGTCTAATTGCTCTGTTGCAAGCATCCGCGCAGCATTTGAAGATTATTACAGTCAGCGATACCATCGTGCAAACGAGCAGTTTGAGCGAAGCAAATCACTGGGCAAAGTTATGCTTGGACAGGTAATAAGCCTTTTTATTCTCTTTATAATTTCAAACACATTATTGATCCTCAAAAATTAAACGATTATGATTGCTTTTTGTTAATATCACTTAAAAAAAAAAAAAAAAAAAAAAAAAGACTTGGTCAGATAGAGTCGTCCGTCACGCAATTTTCAATTATACGCCTGATTGGGTAGTACAGCGCGGGTTTGCAAAGTCATTTGAATATCGTCCACAAGCTGCATGGTTACCTCTAGCGGAGAACAAGGGTACTGGCAAGGTTCTTCCTCAAGAGTGCAAGAGATGGGAAATTAACGATAAGGAAAAACAAGTAGAGCAAGCGCAACAACAGGCACGGCAACAGGTGCAACAAGTATAGTATTAAGCACAACAGGCACAACAAGTACAACGACAGTATATATATCATAAAACACAAATCTTGTTCCAATAAAATGACGGTATAAATTGAAAGACTCTACGTGAGAAAAGTGACTTACTTGCTTGCTTGCCTTTGTTTGTCAAAGTGCTTACGTACGGCCAGCAATGAATAATTTACCATAAAATCTAACTCCTAGCTTCTAAAAGCTCTAGTGAAAAAAAAAAAAAAAAAAAAAAAAAAAAAAAAAAAAAAAAAGCTGAGTCATATAGCCATGCTTCGATCTATGGAGGCGCTTCCTTTAATTTCTACACCTTTACTTTGTCGCGTTTTATGTGATCATAAACTGTGCTTACTGGAAAAAGTTTTTTTTGTAATTAACGTCCATCCACGACATTATTGGCCATTTAACTAAGATCCGCAATGCGGCCGTCATCAAATAACTACGAAAGCGTAAAATTGTGAAATTGGCCCTCAGTTGTGCACCTGAGTGAGAAGTCTATTCTGGACAAATTATATAACTACATGTACACGAACTGAATCTCCAATCTGCACTGCAAGCTCAGAAGGCTCCGAATTAGCGTATGTAGCAGCCATTAATCATACATCGTATTTCGCACCGAGGCGCTGGTTGTTTCTATGGTTTGTCAGAGCAGGTCCAATGACAGCATCCATGAGGGTAGCCAAATCTGTACATGTTCACCCATAGGCCCGATTGTCAGATATCTGGTACTGTACCAGCCAGGTCGCAAATAAAGCAGTATCCAATAATCAGCCGAAGCCGCATCGTCATACTGCCACAGTACTACATCCTGTTCATAAACCACATCAGCATTGAGTAGACTTCCTTGGTCCCTGTGGACCTGTGCCACGGCTCTACCCCTTACTTGGTCTGTTGTGCGCGAAGGTCATCCTTTTACTGCCTCACTTATCAAAAATTTACAACTTTCCAGGCGCTCCATCACCCCCTATTCCACCTGCTGTCGGTAGCTTGGCGCCACCCGCTGGTCTGCCTCAGTCCTGATCGCCTTCACGCCTGCTGCTCGTTGTTGTCTCAGGATAGGTCCTAAGAAATCACCTCTGCTACGTCTGTGCTGCCCAACACAGGTGCGTCCCCCGGCGCGTTTGCTCAGAGGTGATGCCTTTAGTTCTTTCCCAGTCGACAGTGACTTTACAGCGTCTGTTCCAGATCTCAGTCCTTCTGATTTCCTCGATAGCTTTGGTAAATCTGCAAACCACTTATTTTGCTTTTTTTTTTTTTTTTTTTTTTTTTTTGATAACAAGGACCCACGAGGTCATGCAAACCATTTATTTTGCAATGGATGCGGTTGTCTTGAAAGTATCTTCCAGAAATGCTGTAGGATCTCTCTAGGCGTCCGCGCGTAAACAGACGAGGAGGGGGAATTCCGGGTGGCTGGGGCATCAGGTCGGACACGTGCGGGTCACCTGGTCTCTTCTCTTATGATTTGCGGAGGCAATTAACAATTTATAAATGAGGACAACATGGCCGAGCGGTTAAGGCGTGAGACTAGAAATCTCATGGGTTCTCCCGCGCAGGTTCAAATCCTGCTGTTGTCGCGATTCTTTTTGACCTTATATAATTTTCTCTCATACCTTTTACATGCGCTTTAGATGAAGTTATTTTGCGGTCTCGTACATTGCTTATTCACACTGCCTCTCTATTCAGATATTTTTTTTTTATTTGCATAGGGGTTATTATTTCAGTCTTTCAAGTAAAAATCCACCTTTAATTGGTGGGCTTTCTCTAAATAAAAACGTCAATAGACAGGAAGCATCAGACTCACATAAATACGTTGATGTCTCTAACCGTTATTGTCACTAGATTTAAGCAGGATATCACGATCGAAAAGGTACATTGACCCACAGTGGTGCACCATTTTTTGTTGGATGTCAACAAGTTCAGCAGAAGTTCTTTTGCTTTTCATCAACACAGGATTGTCCTCAGTAAAGGTGTCAATGGACGACACATCGTAAGCTGTTGTGTCTTCCTTCGAGCACCAGGTGCTTACTACACGTTTCTATATCCAATGTACAAAAGAGAACGCTAGACATAACAGTCCGTTCAGCGTTAACTGGGACTGTACCAAAAATCGCGACAAAGTTTACTTTAAGCATGAATGGCTCCTGTTGGATTGAGCGACAAGTGGGACTTGTTATCTTCGATTTAAAATAACTCTTCACATAACTACAAAAAAGCATTCGTCAGAAAGCGTGAAAACCACTTGAATAAGTTGCTCTTCTGCGCCTGCTAGCAGCTCCAGACGAAACGAACCCAATTGGGTTTGAAATGAGTGACTTTACCTATAGCACTAAGGGTATCGACATGTCCATAAAAACACCCATGCAAATAGTTTTTTATAAGCGAAAATTTATTTGCATAAAGGCCGTACAAATAACTTCACCACTATTATCTGCCTGGTTACTTCTATGCTTTATATGTTGTCATCGTTTTTGCATGGCCCCAACAAAATCTAGTTCGAAAGCGCCTGTGACCTGTGCTATTCAGGTTGAACATCTTTTGTGCAGAGGTGTAGGAATAAATTACTTTTATGGATGCTTCGTGACATTGGCTGATGAAAATATTAGCATTCCAGGCATTGGCCTGACGGGTAACATTGATTTACAAGACTGTTTCTGCTCTTTCGGAAGCTATCGACAATTCCTATCCCATCATCATTAGAGTGGATTTATTCCACCAATTTGGCTTTTCCGGTTGTGGTTTCATTGATCTCGGGGATGATGTCGAACCTGAGAAGGATGTGAAACCATCCTTGATCCCTAGCTAAATCCCTGATGAAGAAAAGACTTTTATAAAAAGAAAGCTTGAAGCGAATAAGAGCACTGCCAACGGGTAGTCAATGTCCTGTACCAGAAAAGAAAGTGTTTCCACCCGTAAATGCAATTCTATATCGAAGACCACGATCTTCTGCTGAACTTGATAAGACCAAAGAAAAAAATAGATCGGTGATGATATCATCACACATTGGCTTCGGCTGGCAACGCTCATAGTAGCACGCTTACACTGGTGGCTAAAAAAGATGAGCAAGGAACCAAACCCTTTGGCGTGTATGCCTTGATCCACGTCCGCTTAACAAGCATCTTCCGGATGACAACTATCCCTTGCGTTTAATACCTGATATCATAAGGCATTTAGCGGGTCATTCTATCTTTACCATGATCGACTCAACAAAGACTTATCATTAATTGCCCGTGGATGTTGACGATCAACCTCTGATTGCTTTCATGCATCTAGGAACACGATAAATGTTTAAGAAGACACCATTTGGTTTGAAGTCCTTGTCTATTCTTTATCAGAGGGAATGTCGCGAAGTCTAGGTGATCTATCATTTACCCATAACCCTACTAATGACATTGTGGTGTTGTCAAAGGATAGAGATGAACATGCATAACAAGCGCGCACTGCGATTAACCGGCTGAACGAAGCCAACTTGGATTTAATATTGATTCGCACGGTAGAAGCGTCAATCTACTAAATTCGTAAACATAAATGACTGGAGAGAGTCCACAACGGCGAAATAAATGTAGCTATCCCGACATGTTCAACTTCTTCCAAGAGTACATCCGCCTTTCCAGTGAAGTGTTGGCGCCGTTAGGGCGACTGTTCGATGCTTGTTAGTTTTCCAAATCTGCTCTGATTTCACCGTAATTTAGCGGAGTTGATTAGATCCCCTGAATAGCTGCCATCCAGAGGGACTACTTCGAATGGACAGGATTTATATTGTGTTGTTCAAAACAATAAAACTTGACTGAAAGTCTGCTAATCCTCACTCAAACCATGAGGCAAATAACACCTCTGAGCACTTCAATAGGATTATGGCGTGCTTTTAGGGTGCAGAGAAGACAACATTGTCTCTTTTGAGCAATGAAGGATATAGGATTTGTTCCTTGGGGCAAACTTTTTTTAAGCCACGCTTGTTGCTAGTAAAAACACAAGTGGTTCCTGTTTTCCGCATACTTTCAGCGCTTCCACAATCCATAGGCTGTGATGTAGCCATTAAATATTACATGTTTGTCGAAACATTGACACATCCCTTGCAAATGTTCAGATGTATGCTAAGAATATTGTTTAAGGGACATAGAGTAGTCAATGACATGTGGTAGTGGTCAGATGTTTATACAGTATCATATGGAGTCGAACAGTCGCCTAGACGGACTTCATAATCGTGTTGATCTTTTTGTATATTAAATGACACTTTCTTTCTTTGAAAGAGCTGTGCACTCATGCACGTGTATTATCATTCCTGGACTTCAGTAAACCCTTTAATGTTGCAGCAGATGCTTCCGATGTGGGTATTGGAGCAGCCTTGTATCAGGTACCAGAAGAGACTGCAAAACCTTACAAATTCAGCTACGTATCCTTTATGGCACATTCTCTCCAAGGACGAGAGTAAGAATATAGCACTACAAAAAGGAGCTCTTAGGAATAGTGTTTGTTTTAAATGTTTCGTTACTATTTATGGGGCAAGCAATTTGTATAATTCGCATAAAACACATGTAATTCTCTACTTTTTTTTTTTTTTTTTTTTTTTGGTGGCAACTAAGTTGCTTTTGTTTATTTTTAATGCTTCATTGTCTACATTCACATTTAACTTTACTAAAACATTCGTCTCTCTCTGTTATTGATTTTCGAAACCATTTAACAGTCCTTGTAAAATTCATTTCCCTCATGTCAGACAATGAAAGCATCTATTCGTTACAAGCAAGCAGTAATTCCTTAGAAAGTCTGCTGGCTGAACAATCAGATGAGGCTAGATTTTTTCCTCCGCTTTGGCAACAAAGGAGGAATCTAGCTGCACGTATCATTAAAGACGAACATGCTACTTCTGTAGGTGCTTTGCCTCGAACTAGTTGGATACTAGTGTAGTCTTTACTCTCGCGAGATCTTTTTCTCTTTATTTTATTTTTTCTAATCCGGCTTTCGCGTGCAAAATAAAACAAATGAAATAAAAATCAAATAGGTAATTGACTTTGGGTGTGGTGAGGCTGCTTTGACATCCTTCTTGATCTGGGAGTCTACAGAGAGTTATCCGATTACCCACATCGTGGGTGTAGATGTGGCTGAAGATCGGCTCAAACTCGCAGAAGAATCGTGTCAACCACAAGATTTTGAACTTGGACCTAATCTACGGGTAAATCCACTGACGATCGAGATCTTCCAAGGATCTGTCGGGCAAGCCGACTCACGGTTTGTCGGCTATGATGCATTGGCATGCCTTGAAGTGTAAGGTTATTTCATAAACTTTTTTTCTTTGATCACTTGATTGTCAGATTCTTATTGATATACTGATCAACCAAGTCTTTACATTTGGGTTTTTCTTTGTTTATTTGCAAAGCAGGGTTGAACACTTGGATCCGGATGTCCTCGAGAAGTTCTGGAGTGTGGTTTTGGGTGCGTTAAGGCCCAAAATTGTCATTGTGTCCACACCTAATGTAGAGTTTAACATTCACTTTCCACAGCTCAAATACGGCACTCCAGAATCAATCTTCAGGAACGATGATCATCGGTTCGAATGGACGCGTCAAGAATTCGAAACATGGTATAAATATTTTTTTTTTTTTTTGCTTGTCTCGGCCACACTCTGATCTATCTTGTCATGTGCAATATCTTCCTGATACTTTGAGCTCTTTGTTTCTTTGAACATCTGAAAATGGAACATTGGCTCCTGTAGGTGTAAGGATGCAGCCAATATGTATGCGTATGATGTATCTTTTACAGGGGTTGGCACCCTGCCGAACGGAGACCGGACAGTAGGGCACTGCACACAGTTTGCAATTCTTCGGCAGAAAACAGCCCTGCCATCTGATATTTCGAGGACCATTCCCACCACTACAGAGTGTTATCGCCTCATATCCAAGATAGACTACCCCATTTATAGTGAAGTACATACTGAGGAGGAAGTAATGATGTTTTTGCTTGAGAAGATTGCCCAAATCCGACCACGTCCCCCGAATCCTCTTAATGAAGACGAGGAATATCACTCAGGATGGGGAAATAGTCAAGCAAATGAACATACAACTGCAGTTGATGGCAATGCTCCCTCAACTAAGCCCTCAGCTGAGCCTGAGGATAGGCAAGAAGTTACAGCGGTCGAGCTAGGAGTATTGCCTCTAGATGACCTTTGGCTATCACTTGACATTCGACAGCGCTGCAAGACGCGCAATAATATGATCAAAATCCTTGAGAAGAGCCCACTACTTAAGCTAGATCTAGAGAAAGACCGAGTTGTGTTTGACGATGAGGACGAATTTTGGAAAGCATACGACCGAAAGATCACTGAAATACCAGACAATGGCTCTGAGAGCTCATGGCTTAGCGGGAAAGAAGATGATTGGGACGACGATCCATGGGATGAAACGGCCATAGAAGATGTAGAATGCCAGCAAGATCTCATGACGATCGATTGGAACCAGACTCAGGGACAGCAACTTGTCAGTGACGGCTGGGAATCAGGTAACGCGTTATCAGCTGAAAATGGTGATGAAGGAGTCGGCTCTGGATGGTTAGTTCCGGTAGGCGAGCCTAGTCCACGTCCGGCTGACCCATGGGATTCAATGTAAAATTTGAGTGAACTAAAAAAAATAGTACATATTATCTATATCTTCCGACATATCATGGCCTATGATAAACGAGATGATTGACGAGTAAAAAAAAAAAAAAAAATTGGTTAAATAAAAACTAAATAGAATTGACTCTCTATAAGTGCAACACACCTGTTGCATTGCACAGACAGTGCTTGCAGTTATGAGGCATCACGTGAAGTAGTTAGAACTAGTTGGCCACCCAAACCCGATCCTGATTGTAGCAGTTAGCACTTCGGTAAAGTCGACTGTATATGTTAGACCTTAGGTTAATGATGCAGAACAATGGTAACGTGGCCCATGTGCCGTGGATATGACCACAAAGTCCGTCAGCAAGTCTCTGACTGCTGTTTTTGTGTAAGCTACAATCGCGAAGTTCTCCTAGGTTCTGAAGTCTATATAATCTGAAAGTCCACTTACTTGACTTTAGACTTGATTTTGTAAAAAAAAGACAAAAGCTCGTATCAAAATATCTTTGCATTAGCTAGGCCACATGCCTATTACGCTTTTTTTTTTTTTTTTTTTTTCAAATTGGGCACGATCCACAAAACTTCTTCGCAGTGGAACTTCTCTTTACTGCCTTGAATTATCTCAAAACTGTTACGTTAATGGCCCTAACCGTCATTGTCACCACAATTGCTATGACGCTAATTTTCTCTTATTCGTAGTGGAGTATACAGGATTGAATGATTAAATTGGCACCATTTGTCTGTACGGAAGAGAGAGGGAAGGAAGGAGAATGGTTTCTGATCGAGAGATCTCTCATCCGCAGATGACAGCATCGCTAACAGAGTGATATGTAATAAGCAATTGTCATAATAGAGTACATGTTGAGGGTAACGAATGTACTCAACGTTTTGGTCATTATTATGATATTAGATCGCCAGCGGATTGTTGGAGCAAAGAGGAAAATCCTTGTCCAGATGGACACCAAAGATGCATAGCCTGAAGCAGGCAGGTTGGAAGAGGTGCTTTTACTTGAGAAACGTGGGGAGGTTACTCAATTACGCGCGTTTTTTTTTACGCAATCAACAGAAAAAACGCTTTTACCTCCTCATTTCATTTCTTATTTTCCATTCCTCTTGTTTCTGTTCAACCTTTTCTTTCATTCCTCTCTTTTACAAATAGACATTCCTTCCCTCCATTGCCCTTCTCTAATTCTTTACTTCACATTCCTACATGTTTGGTTTACTTCGACTCGAGAGGCGGACAAAGGAGTTATGCAAGAGCTATGGCAATGACTGGGCTTTAGTCATTTTTGTCCTTGTGGCATTAAGCCTTATCGAACAAATCGAGCCATTTCATCGTCAGTTCTCTGTCAGAGACACCACTATCCAGCATCCTTTTGCCAAAAGAGAGACCGTTCCCGTCTGGCTTCTATTGGTATAGATAAAGATGAACAATGGTAATGAGCGACGCGTTTTTTCTTTTAGTTTAATCATGCTAACGCGCCTTTTTCTTTATTAAAAAAAAAAAAAAAAAAAAAAAAAAGGTCCTGTCATTCTTGTTGCCAATGTCAGTTATAGCAGTGATTTCAATATTCTATCGCAAGTCTTACACTGACTTGCATAATGGCTTCTTGGGACTCTTCCTTGCCCAGTCCTTGGTTCTCATCGTCACAGACTGTGTCAAGGTAAAAAAAAAGTTGATCAATATTCAAAGAACCAAAAAAGAAAAAAAAGGTGGTATGTGCACGTATATCGACAAGGGCACAGGATGGTGTTGTTTTCTCCAGAGGATCAAATGCAAATAGGAATCAAGAAACTTTTTTTTTTTTTTTTTTTTTTTTTTTTAGAGAATGAAGTATGTCAGGATGGTTGCATTTGAGATAGTTGCGGTGAAACAAAGCAAGAGGGAAGAGTGTGAAAGACTCTCAATTGTACAATCTTCTGACTGTCCGTATCCTGTGCTGACGGACTATCTTCTATCTTTTTTTTTTTTTTTTTTTTTTTTTTTTTTTCGTCTTATTCAGATTGCAGTTGGGCGGCCAAGGCCTGACTTTCTTGATCGATGTTTGTCATTGTACGACAATGCAAAGGCAGGCACACCCTTGGGATTATTATCAGACCCCCCTAATCTTCTCTCCAACTCATCCATCTGCACAAGGACTGATCTGTTACGTGATGGCTTCAAGTCATTTCCTTCTGGACATTCGTCGTTTTCATTTGGTGGCCTTGGGTTTTTATCAATGTATTTAGCGGGCAAGCTCCATCTTTTTGACGAGCGAGGACATACCTACAAGTCACTTGTGGTCCTAGCACCATTAATTCTGGCTTCTCTAATTGCCACATCCAGGTTAGGGGACTATCGGCACCATTGGGAGGATGTGCTTACGGGTTCATTCATTGGCAGTGTCTTTGCAGTGTTTGCATATCGTCAATACTATCCATCGTTAACATCTGTCAAATCGGATTATCCATTCGCGCCAAGGATCAAGGAGGATTTCTTGTTGCCGGTAGCGAACTTACTAGGGCGGGACCATGTTCAAGGAGCAGAGACAGATCTACTAAATCAACAGTACATGGATCAGAGCGACAATGCCAACAATCTGTTGCACGATGGAGATGAGGTAGCCGAGGAAGGATCACTTCTTGGCGGAAGACCCGACGTGGGGTTCTCACAGTTCTTCCGGCGAGATCCTGTAGATGACGGACTGATAACGGACAACAATGGCAATGGCAGCGGAGCATATACTCGTGGAGGGAATAACAAGAGCAATGGCAATGGTCAAGATGCTCATCTTGTAAATATTTAATAATATTTTGTAATTATCTGTCAGGTCAGCAGAACAATGTCTAATTAAACTAATGGAAAAACTTTTTAAGACATTCTGACTCTGAAATGTGTTTGTTAGGCCACACATTCGTTAGACTTCATTCATCTTTCTGTTCAACTCCTTGCATCATTCATTTCCATTTGAATATTTATACCCATTAAAAGTTGGACCGTCAATAATTACCATGTGCATCTTACTTTGGACTCTACCTTTTTGCAACCATCCTCGGTTCAAATTGTATGATAAAAGATAAAAAAAAAAAAAAAAAATGCTCATAATCATATTCAAAAGTGTGGGAAAGCGGCGTAGAATATGTATCATAGATTAAAAACAAAGCTTTTTATTGCGATAGTGCATTTGCAAGCAATCGTGACGAGTTCATGGGTCGTGAGGCAGCTCGTGCGGATTTTTGGGATATCCCATCTGTCCTGAAGCGAGCCAACACCCCCAAACAACCTAATCGTGGGACGTGTGGTGTAGGGATTCTCTCCGGTCAGGACCTTCAACCATCTCAAGCGGTGAACTATGTGATTCAAGAGACTGAGACATTGCCAGATGGCCAAGAAAAGACAACATTGGTCTTGCCGACCGAGGATGTACCGGGAACATGGCTGGGGATCACGACTCACGGAGATTTGGTAGGACTGACGAATTATCGAGAAACGATGGCTTACCTGGCTGAGAAGCGGTCACCCAAACTTTCTAGAGGTAAAGTCTGTGGGGAATACTTAATCGCCATGGCGTCTGCACATGAGAACCATTATCGCCGTCAACAGCAACAAAGCATGGTGAGTGACAATTGTGATAGCAGCAGTAGCATCACAGCAGCAACAGGGGTACCTAAGGACCGTGCAGAGCAATGGATCAGAAAACGAGCAGTTGGTTGGGATACTGAGTTTGAAGGATTAAACCTGTTGGTAGTGCAAAATGCCGGCGACCAACAGAGCGTTGCCGGCAATAGAGAAGGATCGGAGCTTTTTGTCTTTAATGAGACATCGAGGAGTAACGCAGCAAAAGTGGCAATAGCTACTTCATATGATAGTGATCCATTGGACAACAGTAATCCCACAATCCTACCAGGATCTGTAGTTGGAGTCAGTAATTCCGTCTTCAAGCGCCCATGGACCAAGGTTGATATTGGAGTCCAGGCTTTGGAGAAGATACTGAATAAGAGTATCGAGCTTTTTGGAGCAGGCTCAAAAGCATCACTCCGAGAAAGTGCTGCCTCTCTTATTCCTTCCCCCTCTTCTAATTCACCATCAATACCATCGCCACCATCCACTAACGATGGTCGTCCAATCATATCTAACGATGACCAAAAAGAAATAGCCTGGCTAGTTATTCAGATGTTGACACTCTTGCGTGTTAACACCAAGCCATTTCCTGACGACAGAGGTGAAAAAGACGTACTGGCCAAAATTAATGGGCTTCGCGAGCGTGTGTTTATTCCTAAAATCACTCTGGGAATAACAGATAGTCATGATTATGATTATGGTACGCGATCGAGTACAGTCGTATTGTTCGGACGTGAAAACAAGGTGGCAGTATATGTGGAAAAAATCTGGTATGGACCCTTGGATACGGAGACGGGTACACGGGAAGAATATTCAGTCAATAGCACAGAAGGTATGGTGTGGTGGCAAGGCATCGTAGGTCAGCCACAGGAGCAATGGCGGAGAGTGCAAGGCCAAGAGCTGGAAGGTTTGATCGAGCTTGCGTATGACATCAAGACAAACGTGTAGGAAAAAAGATGACATAGAAATCATGCAATGGTCTATGGTTTTTACGAAAAAAAAAAAAAAAAAAAAAAAAAAAAAAAGGGCTTCCTGTGAAACCATCCAGATCTCTGTTGCTGTTTTTACATGTAGAATAGTAGAATACAGTCGAGCGCTACGGATTGCAAATCAAAAAATTGTCAAGTTTTGTTATATTTCCAAGATTATCATTGGCTTAGAGCACATTTCAATTCAAATATTTTTTACTTTCTATTCAATAACTTCAGCCTATCAACTCCTATTCTCACTGAAGATACGTACGCCATGATTTTTTTTGGCGAAGGGGAGCCCTGCTTGACACTCTGCCTAAAATGGAAACTGATAGTGACACTTCATTTGACTATTAGCTCTGGTAGGAAGACATTTTTTTTTCCGTTTCGTGTTTCGTCCTTGTAAAGAAGGCTTTTCAATTTTTGGGGATGCAGTAACGTGACGAAGGGCCATGAAGCCTGGTGGAGGCACAATGAAAACCACAGTGCTGAAGGGGTAGTGGAGAACTGTCATTGGTTGAGTCGAAAACAAAAAACCATCTCCTCACCGCTGCCGGTTTGTCACACGCGCCACTAGTCGGAATTAGAAGTTAGCGGGACGTGGTGCGTGATCATGCGGGCGTCATACCTTATTTCGAGTGCATGGGATCCTATTTCGGGTGCGCAGACAGTTTGCCTTGTTGCAAAGTCATTGTGTGTGGAAAATGTTGACAAAGAAAATTAAACAGGCGTGGTTAAAATGAAGAGGAATGTGAGGGTGAAACGCTAATGGGCAAGCAAAGTACTATCTCCATTACGCATGTATTCTCGTCCGTTCTTCAACCATTCAGTTTTGCCACCATTTTTTTTTTTTTTTTTTTTTTTTTTTTCAGCGAGAAGGAGCCAAACCGTATTGGCTCGCAACAATGAGTCCACTCCATTTTTGTTCAAGAATAAAAAAGCCAGGCTCCTCTTTGTTTTCGTCAAACCATTTGTGAGTAGATTGAAAACCCATTTCGACCAAGTTTACTGGGAATTATCAGTTTTTACTACTTCCTGAGCCAGATGCTGCGATGAACAGTCATTTCATATGGATTTTCACTAAAGCCAAGATTTTTATATCATTTTTATTTGAAGATAGATTCCTGAATCATACTGTTATACGTGCATCTTCCTTTCTTATTATGATCCTGACACACTACAGAGCAACTCTCGTTTTACAGAAGAGCAGCCAATTCCCCCTAGGCATACACCTCATAACGCCATGTTGTGGGAGCACGGGAAAACATGATAGTCTTTCCAGTAAAGCTACTAACTGATGAAGGTGAATGGTAACAAAGGTAGTGATCTTGTTCGTCATGAGTGAGCTTTGCACTGTTATCTATACTTTGTCTCCTTGTCCCAGTGTATAATCTTATACTCCTAATTTCATTTAGAAAGGTATTGGACACCCTCTTCATTTTATTTAGTATTTTAGAAAAACGGAACGAACATGCCCATATACTATCCATGGAGACTGAGTTATGCTTAGATCATAAAAACCGCAACAGAACACAGTGTAATTTGGAACTTGGGTTATCTTTCTCTGGATTATCATCCTTTGGGTTCTCTTTCTCTGGGTTACCTTACTCTGGATTGTCGTTCTCTGGGTTGTCGTTCTCTGGGTTGTCGTTCTCTGGGTTGTCGTTCTCTGGGCTGTCGTTCTCTGGGTTGTCGTTCTCTGGATTATCGTTCTCTGGCTTACTGTCCCTATCATTCTCTGGTCTATGACGCTTGAAAAACGTCGAGATCGATTGGTTTGTGTCTGCGTCTATCATCCTTTTTTGATAAGGGTTGTACAGTTTCTTGGATGATGATGGCGAGGACTCCAGATATGGTGGTGGTTTCACTGATGATGGCGGCTTTTGTGATGATGGAAGCTGTGACCTTGACAATAATAGTGCTGTTAGTTGCTCTTGCATATGATCTGCCCGAGCCTTTTCCTCTATTATTGATTTAAATCCAGGTTAGTTTTTTATTTGTTTTACGGTTTGTTCTGTTTTTGATTTTGCTTTGATACGCTTTACCTACTTTCGATAATTGCGTTAAGCTTCTCAAACTTGTCTTCCCAGGCGGCTGAATTGTTTGATATGCCTCTAACTATCTCTTCCATCTGAATCACTCTTTGCTCTGCACGCATTTCTCTTTCCTCGGAACGTTTTTCCTTTTCCTCTAAATATTTTTCCAAACGTTTGTCTCTTTCCTCTGAACGTTTTTCCAAACGTTTGTCTCTTTCCTCTAAACGTTTTTCCAAACGTTTGTCTCTTTCCTCTAAGAATTGCTGTAATCTTATTAACGTGGGCTCTTCTTTCGTCTTTCTGCCGTCTTCTGAGTGCTCTAGGCGCGGTAGCTGCTGTAGGCGATTTGTCTCTTCCCTATTTCTTTTTTTATTTGGTTTACTAGACGGCGGAAGGCTGGAGTGCTCTTGGAACTGGCTCTGTGGCTCTTTCGGCTCTTTGGGTAAGTAGATTTTTAGATGGGCATCTACTAAAGACACCGAAGTCTTGAGGACCACATCGACAAGCGCATTAATAGCCGCACATTTTCTGACATGACTGCGCAAAGTATCTCCTGGTTTACACGTCCATTTCGGCCAACACTCACACACAAATAGCCCTTCATTGTTCCGAATATACTCGACCGAGACATCTCTAACAGAACATGTGTAGGACATTCTATGGTAACTTCTAATATGGAAGTGGATACTCTTGTCTTCTGAAGAGTCGGTTGGGTATCCATGCTCACACCACACAAGAGAGCACGCTGCTGGTTGCCCTTTAGGCATTTAGCTGAGATTAAAATGGAAGAAGAATTGGCAAAGAGTGTTTTTTTTTTTTTTTTTTTTTTTTTTTTTGCAGAGAGTGTATTTTTTTTTAGAGAGAAGAGTGTATTTTTTCTTTTTGCAAAAAAAAAAAAAAAAAAAAAAAACACTTTTTGCAGAGCGTGATGGTTGCCAATTTTGTCTTCGCCAAGATAATAAATAGTTTTTTCTCAGGGACCATGGGAAAATTCTTTATTGCAGCATTGGAGGCAGCCGAGAACTACGGCAACATGGCCCATGACCGACAAGAAAAACATTTTTTTGCATAAAGGAGGATCGTGCAGCTAGATGTTTTTCTCGGTTGCCATTTTGAAAGGAAGACTACAGCGCATGATGAAGCTAGACGCACTTATCGTTTTGAGTAAAGAGTCGTCCATAATGTATGTAAAGGTTTACACGCTCATCATAATAAAAAGGAAGCTTTCACATGCTCTCAACAATGACAGGGGAGTTTTCACACACTCACCACAATGAAAGGGCTTCCACACACTCATCACAATGATATGGAAGCTTCCACACACTCACCACAATGAAAGGGGAGTTTTCACACACTCATCAAAATGAAAGGGGAGTTTTCACACACTCAGCATTTGAAAGGAAAGCTTTATGTATAGTGCGTGCCAAAACTGATGCAATAAATTGCATTTTTCAACATTCATTCTTTATGATCTTCCCTGCCACCACCGTTTCTCATTCTCATTTGTCTCACCTCCATGGAGTCTCATCGTCATCGCCATCAGTGGCCTAATTAGCATTTAATTGCAATTTGCTTTCAGCATCTCATTGCATCTATTATGGCAATTAACAACTCCTTGTTTTATTTATTCCTGTTACTTCTCCTTCCCCCTAACGATGTTCCCTCCTTTAGCCTTATATAACTCCCTCATCCTCTTCGGCATACCGCAGTATAGCTGGTGTAAGAATTCAGGAGGGATATGTGTCCATACGTCTTGGACTCTCTCCCAGAGATCCTCCATATTCTTTGCCTTGTCTGGATAATGATCCAACTGCACCTTCATGTATGCCCATATGTTTTCTATTGGGTTGATGTCAGGAGAGTTTGCTGGCCATTCCATGAGAGGTATCTTAGACTTTTGGATATAGGTCATTGCTATTCTTCCGGTATGAATCCTAGCATTGTCCTGCTTAAATATAAATTTGTCCTTATCCATCAAGTAGTAATCCTTGAGAACGTCGACGTAGGTTACCGAATCCACCTTGGCTTGGAGCCAACAGCCATCGCCTGGTCCGTAGTAAGTGATACAGCCCCAGAACATCATTTTCCCTCCGCCACCTTGCCTTGTCTTTTTGATATGATGTGTAGAGTTTTATCCCATCGACGTTTGTAGTAGTACTTTCTTTCGCAGGACCCAACTCTGCTAAAGATGGTCTCATCTGAGAACATGACATTCTTCCAGTCTTCTAGAGTCCAGTTCAAGTGATCCTTTGCAGAATTATATCGAGCATAGATTTGCTTCTTCATCAGATCAGGCTGCTTCTGTTTTACATATGCCCCCATATCATCCTGCATAAGGAACCTCCTGATGCTCGATTTACTAACCTGCACTCCTTCCTCAATTGAACAAGTTGTTGGCCATCTTTTAGGGTCTCCAATACACCCATGTCAAAAAATCTTGATTAAAGCTGTTTTGTTTTCTTAGTGACTTTGCAGGGTCGGCCCCTCCCCCAGCACTGGAATACTTTCTTTGCCTCTTTTCCTAATCCTTTGAGCTGAGGTAACAGATATCCCTAAACTCTTTGACACTTCTCTGCAAGACTTTCCCTGACGAAGTAGAGCAGTTGCATTTTGGATAGTTGATTTGGATAGTGATTTCATGTTATGATATGACAGATATGTAGAGTGTCGCTTGGTGTATCAGTGGTGATGGTGCTATAAAGAAAGAATAAAGAATAAGAGAGAAGTAAGGGATGGACAAACCTGACATGTACTTTTTACCAAAACTGATGCAATGAGACATGACTTTTCAAATGGCGATTATTTCCTAATTGCGTCATTGATGAGAGCTGAGAGAGATGAGAATGAGAATCGGTGATGTTAGGGAAGATCATTAGAAAGGAAAAGGAGAATGAGGAATGGATGTTAAAAAATGCATCAGTTTTGGCACGCACTGCACCATGTAGACCCATATAGCGTATACGATGATTTAATTTACCACTCACGTGGGGCAGACGATATCTTATAGTATATAAGATGTCGTCTGTCCAGAAATAAAGACCCCTCTCTTTGTCCTATTGAACTTTGGTTCCATATACATAGTAAGCTATATCAATTAGGTTAAAACATTGCACGCACCATAGACCACAAACGTTAAGCAAGGGGTAATGGATGTTTAATGCATTACTAAATAAATTATGGGTTCCCTTATCAATTAGGTCGCTGGACTGTGGACCGAGTCGCCATGGATTACGACAAGTAATATTTTCCAAGAATGTAACCTCAAGATGGGCAACGGAGAGAAGCTATTAAGAGAACGTTGTAAGATTATTGTCATATTCTTCCTCTATACAAACTGATGAATGTCAAAGAGTGAAATGTAAAATTCTCTCTAGTATGCTTATTTGGTTGCCTGGTCGGGTATGGCAATGAGGATTTTTTAAACTCCTTTGATAAAGGTGTAGTAGAGGAGGGGGTACGGCTCTCAGTTCAAAGCATGAAAATATAAATATCACAGCAATATGGTATATGAATCCTTATATCTGTTCATTACCAGTAACCATGTCTGCCCCCTCCCATAAATCAATTAAGCCTCTCCCTCTCGACAATGACAGAAGCTTGAACATCGGACAGAAAGTAGAAATCCTGAGAATATGGGATAGTGTTACGTCCTGAGGCTAGGGAGTGTACCCAAATGGAGCACTCCCCTTTTTATTCATAGATCAGAGCAATTAGTGACGGCTATGTTGGAGCCTATATAAGGCTCCGACCTAGCTAAAATAATAAACAACTTTTGATCTCCTTGACTTCCGACTTACCATAAAATATTTCAGATAGGGCATGTCGTAAACTACAACATCGAGCTTAAAGGGGAATCTGTGTTTGAACCGACAAAGAAAGTGTTCTGCAACTGCCACAGCATCACAGTGGGAATCCTCAACCACATGTTGGCCAAAAGAGAGGAACTTCTGAAAGTTCCTCTCGGTCAATCTTCCTCCCAACATCGCCTTCAAAGCAGCTCTAGATCCTTTTATCCGGTTGAAGAAGGTCTTTTTACCACCATTGAGCATATCAGGCGCGAGCTCCTTCTTCCTATCGATAACTTGGGTGTGCAGCTCATGGGCGGCGCAATCTATGCGCTCCTTGAGGCTCGCGTGGGTAAACTTGCCTTCAAGAAGCCCAAATTTTCGAACGGCTGGCTAAAAGGCTTCAAGGATCGGTATAGTCTCCAAAGATATAGCCTGAAAGGAGAAGCGGCATCAATAGACATGGAAAGGATCCATCCACAACTAGAGAATATTAAAAATATCCTCAGTCAATTTAAACTAGAGGATATCTACAATTGCGATGAGACTGGTCTCTTCCTTCAATCCACGTCCAACTGGACTCTGGATTACGACAAAGTCTCCGGGACCAAGGTGCGGAGCACAAGAGTTTCGATTCTTTTGTGCACAAATGCAACGGGGACTGACCGATGCAAGCTCTTTATATTGAGTAAGCAATTCTTTTTTTTTTTTTTTTTTTTTTTTTTTTAAAAAAAAAAAAAAATCAACTCATTTTTTCTTGTTATTGTAGGCGAGAATTTGCCGCAAGGTTTCAAAAATGACGAGCCGCTTCGCTCAAAAGTTGAGGTCCTGCCTTGGAGATCAGGCAAGCAAGTTGACACAGGTATCTGGGAAACCTGGCAAGAAGAGTTCGAGCAGCTCTCGAAAGAGTCTCAGGACACACTTACAACGCCCTGGACTGATAAAAGGCCAGATTACATGAGATCATTAATTTTTGAAATCTGGCTGCTTCGATTCCAGCTGAAGGTCGCGGCCCAAGATCCCCACCGCCGAGTCGCTTTGGTGTTGGACAATGCCCCGAGCCATATGCCGAGAGATTTTGTGCTTGATCAACTTCGCAATCTGCATATTGTGTTCCTTCCTGCAAATTCCACAAGTAGGACACAGCCCCTCGATGCTGGGATTATAGCTGTGTTCAAAAGGAACTACAAGGCAGAATGCCTCCAGGAAACCTTCTACAAGCGCCAGACTGCAAGTCTGCACGAGAGGACAGCCGCTATTGCACGGAGGCTTTTCATTGACAACCTTACGGGATGGACACTTATTGCACGCGTCTGGGATAAAGTAAAACCACAGTCGATTCGGAATTGCTTCGCACATGTTGACATATTCTGTGATGAGCAGAAGTTTGATTTCAGAGGCTCAATGGATCAGACTCGAGACCCAGATGTTGCTAGTGCCATAAAATATATACGATAAAGCCTTCGTACTGCTGCTGTTTCCAAGGCAACAGAAGGCCTTGATCCAGAGAATGATTCTTGGTATGACGGACAAGAGTCAGGCTCAAATTCAGCTCAGTTCTCCTTTGCCTCTGATGAAGAAATGTTGGGACTGTACAAGCTTTTAGATGGGTCCCGCTCCATCTGCGAGTATGTTGACTCAAAGTTAAAAGACCATCGCTTCATGGGATTCTTTAACTGTGAAGACGAGACTAGTATGGTGAACGATTCCATGGAGCTTGAAGAAGAGAGTGTGAATGATGATGATTACGAACCAAGTATTTCCTCCGATTACCATGTCGTAGATGAACATGGCCATAACTTGTCGCCGGCGAAGAAGGAGCTCCAGACGCGTGGAAAGAGTTATCCCTTTTATGAAATTAGCCGCCTGGCATCGCCTGAAGCTATGGACTTTGATAATGATAGCCTTGCCGAGGATGTTGCAGAGCCAGATCCTAGTATCGATCTTCAGGACCCATACATCCTCATGGATACTGTAGCCCTGTTAAGACACCTGGGCCATGAGGATGAAGGACAAAGAATGGAGATCATATATGACTCTACGATCGATAAGGACAGGGTCTGCATCAATGAAAGTTATTTCAAGCAGCGGCGACGATGGCATGAAGATGAAAGAAAGAAGCTGCGAGAGTCAGCGCTTCAGTTGATAAAGGATGATCAAAAGATCTGTGGAAGATATCCAAATATAGGAGCCAGCGTTCGCTTGATGGGGGATCCCGCACGATCATCGCAACTACCAAATCGGATACAGCGCGCGTTGATTCCAGCCCTTGCCCCAGCCTCAATCTCGACCCAGTCCCCAGCTGCAACCACGGCCACATTCTCGCCCTCATCCTCGTCATCATCTTCAATTCCCTCGTCCTTGTCCTCACCTACGCCAGCACAGCCACTAAATATAGGTCGTAATAAAAGTGTCTTTGTTGTTTTGCAAGTGGACAATAGGGTAGCAGTAGACACGCTCTGATGTGATAAAGTTATTTGAGTCAATATAGCGTTCCCACTAGTATCCTTGCTTTAAGGTATCTGGAGGGTAATCCTGGTTGTCGTTTAATAAGTAACGTCAGCACCGGTTTTTTTTTTTTTTTTTTTTTCATATCATCACACACTCTTTTTTTCACACTTCACATCCACATCACCAAAGATCATTACCGGAACGCCGATTGTTTCTACAGTAAATGATCTCACTCTCGAGGGGTAAATCCAAGTTGATATAGATGACACTGATGAATCAGAAGCTGTGCACTATTCTCTGTTATCTATTCCCTGTTCTCTATTCTCTGTTCTAATTGTTTGTTGCTGTATTTCCAAGCCATTACAACTGTTGGTGCTGTTCCAAATTCCGACTTGCCAGCTCGGCCTCGAATGACTTAGGCAGAGCCATTACCACTGAGCTGGGCCACTTCGCGTGGCCGTCCAGGTTCAGAAAGGTCGATGTCTCTGTCGGCTACAAGTAGTGCCTATTGATTAGACCTACTATGTATGTCTGTTGTTCGAGGTGCTAGTGAAGGCACCGCATGTTTAGTGCTGAATGATTGGGCATCGGACCTGTGCTGCTTCGCGTGGCCATCCAGGGTTCGAGACATAGTTCAGCTTCTGCTTGCGAGCTGCTTTCTTAGTTGAGCTAGCGGGGTCATTTGTAACGAGTTGTGACAAGGGTGACAAGGGTGAGTTCAACACGATCACCTCGATGTGATGACAGTGATGATTGATATTACCTTTGTGGTATCCTTTCTAAACATTATCTTGTTTACTTCTCCAAGCCCTTGCTCTTTTCTGGGACCCATAGATGACAATTGCTCGATTGGTGCCGACCCGCATGCCTGAAAATAAAGCAACCCGTTACTAGAAGGGAATGACATCAAGGATCCTTTTGGTCAAGAACAGTGCTATTAGTACAAAAAATACCATACAATAAATTGATATATCGAAATATAAAACAAAACGCAGTGTTTAAATGTCCCACTTTTTAGATGTTATTATTATTATTATTAGCATCATGACTTTTTTGCATTCCCAAAACATTACCTGACTATGATTTACTTTTATGGAGATGAAGACTTTCTAAAATTCAGCGAGTTCCTTCCTGTGCAAACCTATAGAATCTGATAACTACCCAAAAAGATTAGCCTGTTTTTTCTAGTGCGTTAGTTCTTCCTACCAGAGCTAATAGTCAAATGAAGTGTCACTATCAGTTTCCATTTTAGGCAGAGTGTCAAGCAGGACTCCCCTTCGCCAAAAAAAATCATGGTGTACGTATCTTCAGTGAGAATAGGTTATTGAATAGAAAGTAAAAAATAAATTGAAATGTGCTCTAAGCCAATGATAATCTTGGAAATATAACAAAACTTGACAATTTTTTGATTTGCAATCCCCCATAGCACTCGACTGTATGTCGAAATGTTGCTAGAAGTAATGGAAAAGTAAAGATACCAGGCGACGATGATCTCGCTTAACTTGCTCGTTTGTTTCTTTCATTCTTTCTTGGTTTGGCTTGGATGAAATTTGCCATTTGCACGATCGGATCTACTGTCCAAAGATGACAATGCTGCTGTTATGATTACATCGTGTGTTTTGAGCTTGTGTACCTGATTTTTAGAGACAGGGGTGTTTAGTATGAAGAAGTAGGGCTCACATTTTCCTCTTTCTCTTTTTTCATATCCATCTGTGAGGTGGCATCATTCCTCTGAGGTCTAAAGAGCAAATGAATGTGCGTGCATGTTGCGGTCAGTGCTTTTTTGTCTTTTAATTGAGATGGATGATATAAGAGTGCAGTTAACATACAAGTGAGAGCATATGGATGTAGTTGTACATGCTTCTCATTAACACACATTCATTTCATTCTTCTTTTCATTCCTTCCTTTCATACCCTTCTCTTCTTGTGTCCCTCTCTCTTTTCAAGTCACTGTGACTCCCTCCCACTTCCCTGCTTCATAAAGGTTCAGAGAGAAAAACAAGGCTGTTAGAGCGGCTTAAACTGCCTTACCACTTTTAATCCTTCCTCCTCTTTCAAATCCTTTCTGTAATCAAATGGATGGAGAATTTCAGGGTGTCACCCGCATCTCTTTGACCCCCGCCGAGGAAGCACTTGTTCCCCGCCCCCATTCCTCAGCCTCGCAAGTCGCAACTGCTTTGCCTCCAGGATATGGATACGGGTATGGAAATGGTCGTCGCGGATCTGCCTTGCAGGCGGTTCCGGCCTCGGCTTCGGCCTCACAATTGCACCTGCATCACTTACATCATCACCAACCACACCATCACCAGCCTCTGCGTTCACAACTATCTCGCAAACAACAAAATAATCATCCTTATTCTTCTGGTAGTCAAGGATCTCGTTCCCGAATCTTTTCCTTTTCATTCTCCTCGTCCTCCATCAACACCCGTCCACAACAGCAGCAACAACAATCACCATCGTCTCCATCCTCTTCCACCCCATCATCTCCTTCTACACCCACCAACAATGCTTTTAGCTCGACTCATGCTGAACACTCTGCAGCAGTTGAAATCGAGTATCCACAAAACCCGCAGGATTCGTATTACCAGCACCAGTACCCAACACCAGTATATTCATCTTCGCCTATCCGTGCGTCCCACGTTCCCAATGCGTCTGTAACTTCATTAATTTTGGGACTACCCCCTCGCCGATCCCTTACGCTCTCGCCTCCATCTCAGTCCAACGACAACAACGACCCGTTGGACAACGGTAACAATAGTGCACTCTCGCTGCGAAGATCCTCTCTCATGCCCTTCCCTACGTATTATCCTCAGAGTTCTATACATAGTACTAGCCCAACACTACACCCACCATTGCAGCTAGCTCTGAATCAAAGGCATCAGGAGTCATGGGGAGGTACAGCAGCAGTAAGCTCTTTCCGAGTTGAGTCACCCACGCCGCTCTCTGACTCTGAAAGTTCGGAAGAGCAGTTCAGTGATGACGGCGAAGAGGATAGGAAAGGAAAGAGGACAAAGAAAAAGAAGCAAAAAAAGATTGAAGAAGGAGATGAAGAGGAAGCCAAATATGTAATGGGCAATCACGGTTACGGGCCGCGCCGTTCGAGAAGCAGAGGTATACTCGGTATAGCAACTGGATCCACATGCACACTACCAAATGTGGCAGAAGAAGGAGCTTACCAGACCAGAAGTAGCGTTGATTCATATGAGTATAGGATGCAGCATCAACAGCAACAGCCAACTCATCTAACGGAGCATCGTCGTAATCGCTCATCGTGGCGCCCTTCATTATCATTGATCCGACAGGAGAGTTCGTCTTGCAACGTCCATCCATTGGAGCAAGGTCAAAATAATAACAAAAGTTATCCCCAAAATGACCAGAGCCGCGTTAGTGAAGCTCATATTTTTATTGATGATCATCCTGAAGGAGGAAGAAACATCCAGCCATTGTCATCATCATTATTACAGACAAAAAATGGCAAGAGAATGAAAAAGAAAAAGAAGGGTCGCACAAAGAAAACACAAAAATCTCGGTCACATTCAGGCGGCAATGCAAATGAAGCAATAGTAGAGTTACCTCACCTGGTTGATGTACTTGAAAAGAGGGCCCGATACCCTTTAGGGTATGAGGATTTTGAGGCGTTTTTACGATGCCATCAAGGCGTTGAATATCTTAACTTTTGGGCCGTAAGTCTTTCTTTCTCTTTTTATTTGAATAGCTCTCTCCTTCAAACATAGCAAGGCCAGGAAAAAGAATGATGCCTCTTTCCTATCTGATGCATTTTTGTTTTTCTTTTTTTTTCTTTTTTTTTTTCTAGGACGTGACTGCACATGAACAGTTATGTAAGACGTTCAGAATCTCGGAGCGTAGGCTCCAGCGAGAGCAGCAACATGGAGGGCGAGCTCTGACACGCGAGAGAAGAGGGTATCATAGCAGTCGGGCCTTGGCTGGCAATAATAGCGGTGGAAGGACATCCTTTGAAAAAGGACAAACTCTATTGAATGAAAGCGGTGATGTTGCAGCAGTAGACTCTGATATGCACGAGCGTGAACAAGATCGTATTTCAATAGATCCGCTCGGAAACTTGAGGAGTGCTAGGAAATCATCAACTGCAATTGAGTATCTTGGAAATGGTATCAGGCACAGCACCTCACAGCAATTTTCCCCCACAACGCCGTCACCGCTTCTGCAAAGCCAGCAGCAACAAGAACCTGAGATACTTCAACAGACACAGCATCAAAAAGTAAACGAAGGCCCTTTCCCTCGTCGATCGTGCGAAAGTACTTTCCCATCATCTAGTGCACATAATGCTATCCAAGACAACAGCATTGGTCGACCAATGATGATACATAGCTTTAGGACAATTGGTATTGAGGACGTGGAGGAATCAGCACTACGGATCTATCGCAAATACTTGGTCCAGTTACGCACTGCGTCGATGATAGCCGAAGAAGAGAAGGCTCGCCCTATCCGAGCCGCAGCAACAATAACAGACCTAGGCTCCAAGACAGAGAGAGGGGCAGGCATTGCAGCAACAGGAAATGAGGGGCTGAGCACATCATCCCATCAAAGACGCGCAGGCAATGATGGAGATAGAGTGCTTTTTGGGCCAGGTTGGGATGGATATGCGGAGCAAGTCATTGCAGAATGGAATGAAAAATGGAAGAGTAGAAGGAGCGCTGAGGCTAGGAGGAGGAAGTCTAGACGAGCTTCCCGTAGGCATAATGGCGCTAATGCTCTACAGAACCCCATGGGTGTTGAAGGACATGATCATTCAACACATGGGAAAGAGGGGCGAGCTTCTCCTACAAACCGTGTCACCATCGGCCACAATGACGTCGTTTTGGACGTAGACGTGGAAGAGAAGGGTGAATCGCCAGGCGCAGACGACAAGGGTAATGATTATAGCGCTGTTCCCAACAAAAAAGAAGCTGCCACTGCAGAATCCAGACGCCCCAAATTAGAGCGTAAGGCAACATCCACTGGTATCACAGCCTTCTTGTCGAGGCTTTTGAAGTCTGAAACCACCGTCATGGAATTGCCGACGCTGACTATCAACACTACGACTGTTGAGAAGGACTTTGGTGAAACAGATGACAGTGATTACGATGAAGATGATGAGTATGATGACGATGAGAGCGATAGATATGATGGGGATGAGGATGAGGATGAGGATGTTAAAGATGGGAACGAGGATGATTTATATCGACTTTACGCGCCGATCATGTCATACCTGCAAAGTAACACCACAGAACGACCATTGACCGATAGTTCAATTGCAGGTTATCCTCCTGTCCCTGAAATTGGTGCTAATGGATCAGCCATCCAGGCTCAGAATACTACTTTAGTTAATACTCTTTCGCCCATAAATGAAGCTTTGCTAACAACAGCACTTACACCGCCCCAAGGAGTGGCACCTTCAACATCGGATTCAGCAAATACAAATGTAGTAGACGCAATGCCATTGCCGTTACACTCGATTCCAAAAATCGACCCTATTTCTACAGACATTGATCAACCTACTATTACGGCTTCTACCATGGCTCCGTTCTACCTTCCACTTGAATGTCGCCATCGAATCCATACACAAGTCTTACAACAAATGCAGGAAAGACAAAATGGACTTTCGTCGTCGACACGTACAGAGAATAACTTTTCGCTATTGTTTGGGCCAGCCAAGCAGTTTGTGACAGAAGTGGTACTTCGAGATTATTACTACCCGCTATTTCTGAAATATGTGCAGGATCAGAATCTAGGACTATTACATCAAACTCATGTCAATAACCGGATCAAGCAGCATGGACTGTTGACGCTAGGAATTGGTTTATGGGCCGCTGTGTTAACGATCCAATCGCTGTTAGCACTGGGCATACTGGGCGGACCTGGATATGGAGGTTGGAAGTCTCCGTGGGTATGGGTTGTAGGAATCTTAGGTGGGTGGCCGGGCGCAGTTTGTATAGTCGCAGGGCACACAGGGTTCTCACCAGTCTTGGGCCTCTTGGGTAAAATGTAAGTTTACTAGAAGGTGATATTATACTACTGGGTATTTTCTTCTTTGTTTGCTGAAACTGAAAAAATAGCATGTCACTTACAGGCGTTCTTCTCTTTCTTTTTTTTTTTTTTTTTTTTTTTTTTTCAATTAGAGCTGTGGACAGACAAGTCTTCCGGACACGTGCGATCAAGGAAACGCTGATTCGAAAGAAGCATCGCCAACAGGCCATTTGGATATTGTCAGGTTGCCTTTTTTGGTCCGTAGCCGCCACTATTATCTTTGCTGTTCTTCCACAACCAGAGGGTGAAAAATAATGTAAATCTACTTCTGAACATTAATGTAAATATACGCTTATAAATTCGCTCGCATAAAATCCCTCGAGGAGATAGCATATTCTGATTGATGGGATGGGTCATTAAGCAGAATTTGGAAACTGCAGTCATTTTTAGTACATGTATTCTGGAAGGACATTCTCATTCTGACAGCTCCGAATCGCTTTCTTGCAGCAGCCAGTCAAACGCATCGTCCCAGTCATCTGTTCTCTTTTTTATTATTATTATACGCCACTTCGAAGAGTCTTCAAGCACCTTTCTATGTCAGAAATAGTACGAGACTTTATTCATTTTAGTGACATGTCATCATCGTTCTCCAGAGGACAGTTGCCTCGTCCATTCCCTACAAAGAGTGATGATATAGTCCTCTGGAGGGATAGTACAAGACAGCTATCCAGCTATCTATAATGATGTTGCCTCATTCTGCCTCTTCCGGAGTAATGCTATTGTAACTGTGCGCACCTCATTCACCACACACGGGCAAGATGACCAACATTCCACAGAGTAGACGCGTCGCGTGTAGCTATTGACTTCACGTGACATAATGTGTCTATTTAAGGTTTGTTTCTTAGCTTTTCTCTACTTTTTTTTTTTTTTTTTTTTTTTTTTCCAACCAACTGAATAACATTGCTCTTTCCTTTTCCAACTAATTGAATACTTCACCTTTTTCTTTCCCAATCAACTGAGTACCTAATTGTTTATTCAGAAAGAAAAATGCATTCCATCGGAAAACGCAAAGAAGCTTCAGACAATTCTACTCAGCATGACATTCAAGTGACAAAAAAACAACGAAATGAAAAGACACAAGGACAAGAAGAAATAGAAGATAACCAGTGTAGCATGACAAACCCGAGCACAAATGTAACAACAGCAACAATGGCTGCCCCATCGTCAACAATTGCGGTATCACGCTCGGTTATCACCTCAGGACTTGTCCCTCGCCATGTTGCTGTTAAAAAGACCCAACCGAATCCAATCAACAAAAATATTGGTGGCAACAACAGTGGCGCCAAGCATGACGGCAGCAAAGCCTCAACAACTTCTACTTCTGGGTCAAGTGTCTTCCGTGCTAAAGACATTATGAAGAACTATACCCCAATGACCCCGTCGTTGTCAAATGCCAATACGGCTAATGGCGCCTTGTCGTCCTCATCGCGGACGCGAACATTCAAGTACGACAAAAGCAATTCTAACAGAGTGCACAGAACGTTTATACGTGATCCAGCAACTTCAAGCGCTTTCACCATATTATCCTCTCCATCATCCAATGGTATCAAAGTGGAAGAAACATGGGGATCTCAACCAGACTTTGTACCCCAAGCAAAAGATAGTGAGGTGACTTCAAAATCGGATCGGAATGGCACGACTGTTATCGATATACATTCTTCTCACGATGCAACACCAACAACCCCATCATCAGCAATGGCGCCATCGAGATCAGTTAAAGCCACTGCTTCACAACCTGATCACGTTATTCGGACTGATGCTGTAAAGAATCCAACAACTTTGATCAACGCAAAGCCCATTGTTGTTCAACCAGCAAATTCTCACTCAGGAACATATGCCTATCCTTATGGCAACTACCCAAACTACTATGAAAAGCGATCTCATGAGCAAGAAACATCCGAAAGAGATAGTAAGCGTGCGAAACATTATGCAAATAAGGGTTCTAGCTCTAAACCTAAAGCAGAAACAACAATAACAGCGGCAGTGGCAATCGCGCAAACACCTGCATCGACATCTTCTATTTTTATGTCCGGATTCAAAACAATAAGAGGGTTCAAAGAGCAGCAACAACAGCAGGAGAATCAGCTGCAGCAAGGACATCTGCCAGAGCAGCGGCCGCCACATAAGCGCAATGACCGCTGGGCGAGCATGCCATCGCTCCTATTCCCGCCCGGCTCAAGCTCTAGAGGCTCTACGAGCGTTAACGAGCGTTCAAGCGGGGGCAAAAAGGAGATGACGATACAAGAGCTAGCCAAAGAGACAGATCTACGACTTGAATTCTTGGACCCAATTTGGTTTCGAGACAAACGTGTGCTAGACATTGGGTGCAATGCTGCTCTTTTAACAACATTTATTGGTATGGAGACCGACTTTTTATTATTATAATTATTATTCACCTTCAAGGCATGAATGTTATAAATTAAAAAAAAAAAAAAAAAAAAAAAAAAAAAGAGTTCAAAGACTAATAGCAAACGGTATTGCATTGTCTCTTTTTTCTTTTTTTTTTCACTTTACAGCTTTGCATTACAAGCCGCGATTGATTCAGGGTGTTGATATTGATCCAAGCCTTATTGGAAAAGCACAAAACCTTGTCCTCAAAACTTTTTCACAGCTGGCGCCAAAGGTCTACAAGCAAACCAAAGATGATATTGATAATGATACCAGTAATAGTACTAGCGGTAGCGATGACAGCAGGAATGTAGGTGGGGACATACGATATGAAGCTTACTTTCCAAAGTCCATGTACTGGCTACACGGGTTTCTCCCAATCCCCAAGGCAGAGAATCCTCAGCAAGAAGCTCTGTTCCCCCACAACATCGAGCTACGAATAGCAGACTGGGTAACGGAGGAGAATGATCAAGAGGCAAATGCTGAGCAATGGGATGTCATTCTCTGGTAAGGGAGTCTAAAAAAAAAAAAAAAAAAAAAAAGAAAGAAAGAAAGAAAGAAAGAAAGAAAGAAAGAAAGAAAGAAAGAAGAAAGAAAGGGATTATATATTTTTTTCTGTCACAAATGTTTTTATTTTATTTTTTTATTTTTTTTTTATCCTTATCTTTTTCATAGCTTGTCGTTAACAAAATGGGTTCATTTGCATCATGGGGATGAAGGTCTGAAAAAGTTTTTCCAAAAGATCTACCGTAGTCTATCTCGAGATGGAATCCTCCTGTTGGAACCACAGGCATTCTCTACCTATTCAAAACGAAAACGTATCACAGACGAAATGTTTGAGACCTATCAACATATTCATTTCAAGCCAGATCAGTTCCAAGAATATTTGCTGGGACCAAAGGTCGGATTCAAGGAATGTGTCCATTTAGGCCATTCCGGCGGCGCTGCTGCCAATTTTAACCGCGATATCTTTTTGTTCAAAAAGTAAAATATATAAATAAGTAATAACAATAGTAATAGCAAAAAAAAAAAAAAAGCCATTTAGCAATTAATAAAAAAGGATGTCGCATAAATCGCCTTTATTCATTTAAATCTGTGTGTTACAACTATATACAGCTTTATTTGTTTGTCTTTGTTTTTATTGGCGATATCCGCTTCCATTGCTGTTGCTGTTGTTGTTGACGTTAGCAGCTGAGGAAGGAGGCGCGCCAGCGTTGAGAGCCGTGTTCTTGCCATAGTAACGTCCGTTTTCACCACCATCCATCAAACTCTTGTATTGTTGTTGTGCTGCAGCGACTCCTGTCAAGGCACGTCCTTGTGCAGTGGACATGTCATGCTCATTGTTATCTTCTGTCGTGGTATCTTTAGTACCATTGGCGCCTGATGACTTTTGATGACGATGCTGGTAATGTTGTGGCAACCTGATCTGCATGGTCGAAGGAGCATCTAGATCCAATTCATCCGCCAGCTCAGAAGGGATCAAGCCATCATCCTCATCATCATGTCCATCCATTCGGTACTGCAAGTACCTCTCCCTATCACTGGCAGACATCTTTGCAAACGTTAGTTCGGTGTCAACCCCTTCCAAGGGTGTTCGGATTCTAGGAGATCCTGGAGCAGATCTTGGGATCGGAATCTTCTTCTTTGGTCCTTGTTCACTGACCAACAACTGTTGGGTTTCCTTATCCAGGTTCGAGAGGACAAAGTCATCATCATCAAACGAGTCTGGGTAGGCTCTTCGGAGAGCCAGTTGACGGGCCTTGATATATTCAAGTCCCATGCGCTTCCAGTCCAAGAGATCTGACAGGCGTTCAGTTCTGTTACGTTGATTGATACGTTGACGACGAGATTTCTGACAGAAGACCAACATTTGGTCTGCAAGTTGTTGAATCGATTCCTCGACCGACTTCATCCGGCGGTCGACAATGTAGATTCCATATTCTGAAGAATCGACAATGTTATCATCCATAAAGCATCCAAAGCCAGACAGGTTGGTAGTGATACTAGGGACTCCCATGACTGTACATTCAGCAGGTGTATAGCCCCAAGGCTCATAATACGAAGGAAAGACACCCAAATGACAACCTCGGACAAATTCTTCATAATCCAATCCAAACAATGGGTTGTTGGAGTTGAGGAATTCGGGATGGAACACAATCTTGACTCGATCAGAAGGATGGTTGAACAAGCCTAGGCGGCGTAGTTGAATCAAGACCGGGTCTTTGCTATCGTCCGCCATGTTATGGGTCACAATCGGAGGCAATGTTGAGCGTTTGAGAGCAAAAGTACGGCGTTTCAACAGGATTTCATCCTCGCTCGTCAAGAACTGAGTCGTCGCCACATCGCCGCCACTGAAAGAAGCAAAAAAAAAAAAACAGATGTAGAGTCAGAAGCAGAAGCGGAAGCAGAAGCAAAAGCAGAAGCAGTAGCAAGAATTAAAAAAAAAAAAGAGAGAGAGAGAGAGAGGGATGAATACAAAAGCATAGCAAAGTCTAGTAAATCAAAAATAACTGAAAAAATATTGGATGTTTTTTTCTCTTTCTTACCGAGAAGCCTTCTCAAAAAGACGGTTTTCCATACGCTTAGAAATATCATGGACAGTCTCCTTAAGCTGCTTGACCACAGCTTGGCCCTTCAGCGCCTCGACAGTATACGAGTGTGTTTCTGCAGGGGTGATAATGAATGCAACCACTGTCATGGGTGAGTTGGTGGCTTTGAGCTTTTCATTCAAACCTATTTGTTTCAATAAATATGTCATTGTTAATAATTATGAATGTATGGCATGCAAAAACAGTAATAATGATAATAATGATAATAATAATAATAAACAACTTACGCTGAAGGGATTCAATATACATGTCAATGCCCTTGTTGCGGTATTCATATCGACCAGCTGTAAAGAAATACAGTGTGTTCTCTAAATCAAAGTCATAATGGCCATAGAAGTGTCCTCGCACAAAGTCATGGATACGTTCCTTCGACACTGCATGCAAGTTTTGGAACTCATGCATGGCTGAGAACTTGACCACATTCAATCCGTTGGGCAGTACACCATCTAATGAGAGAATAAAAAAATAAAGAAAAAAATATCTATTAATAAATTAAACAAACATACAAACATGAAAGAGAGAGAGAGAGAGAGAAAATGAAAGGAGGAAATGATGGCAAATGAATCTACTACAGTCAGGGGAAAAGAGAGGCTAAAAAAAAAAAAAAAAAAAATCGCGTTTTCCTTGCATTGATTACAATTAATCATTGTTTGATGGATATTCCTTGCTCATTAATCCCTTCCCACATCCCATACATGCAGGTTCTTTTTTTTGCATTGACATATAAGCTTTTTTTTTTTTTTTTTTTTTTTACCTGGCTTGCGTTTCAATAGATGCTCGGCTTCATAGGCGGTGATATGTGAGACTGTGGTGAAAACATCGCAGCAATGAGTAGCAGCACGTTCGATACAGTATCGGTGATAGATGCCTCGTTTGCCTGCTTCATGATCGACATCAAAGTTCCTCAGGTTGTTGTAGAAATCAACGGATCCAGCACAGAGGTACCGACCTAATAGGGTGGCATGGGTCGTGAAGATGGTGGTGACGTCAATGTGACGCTTCCGACATAACGCGATACCTACACCTGCGAGCCATTCATGGAAGTGAGCGATCACCGCCGCTTTTGTCTCATGGGCCACGAACTAGTCAGTCATACGATAACATACGAGAGAGAGAGAGAGAGAGAGAGAGAGACGAAATGAAGAAAAAAAAAAAAAAAAAGTTTGCATTAGAACACAGACTATCCTTCCTTGGGCATAGTGTAAGAATATTCGAAGGGCATATACGATAGTGGATAAAGTTCTTGACCTAATTAGTGCGCATGGATCCTCCCCTCTTCCCTTCAATTGATATTTAGGGCATAGAAAGGATCGATTTGACGTGATGATGCAAAAACAAACACACCCAACAAACCCTTTCTCACTCTTCTCCATCACCATTATCAATTGTCATACACGAAGAATGTGTACAGATACAAAATAAAAATAAAAATAAAATAAAACCCAAATCCAGCAGCATGAAAAAAAAAAAAAAAAAAGAAAAAAGAAAAAGGATATAGGAGAGCCGCGTTAGGTGGTAAATTGCATCCGGCAGTGTGTTGGTTGCTTATCATCCATGTGTTACTATCGCCCGCAATCTTTCGGTTGGGGGGAAGTAGATAGGATAGGATATAGTTTCAAGGTGGAGTGAGGATAATAAAATGGTGAGCAATATGTAAATGAGGATTTGTGATCACCTAACTAAAATGAAAAATCTTGTAATCCGATAACAGTGCTTTCCCACGAAATACACAAAAAAAAAAAAAAAAAAACTTTTCGCCCATACAGTTAAAGGAAGACAAAGGGGAAGATATCATTCGATGTAATAGAAGGACTCCATCCAGTCAATCCTCTTGCATTCTCGGCCATTGTCTCTCACTCTATATTTAAGCTCTTATTGGTTTCAATGATCACTCAATATGAATCCTTTTTTTTTTTTTTTTTTTCTTCTTCTTCTTCTTCCTCTTCTTCTGACTTACCTCTCCCAAGAACCAGGCAACAAGATAACCGAACAAGATGGCTTCGTTTGTCTCATGATCATTTGGTGGGGAAGGGATTCCGGCCACGTTCCAGAGATCGCCCTTCCACTCATCCAATTTGTGATAGACCGATCCAGTGTCGAACAAAAGGACCTTGGGAGCACCCTCAATCAACCAACGACCATAAAGAAATTTGACACCACGTTCCTTCATTGATTCGAGTGTAAGTCTCAGCTCGGGCGTGTCTGGTTCCAGGGTCTCGACCTCGAGAGGGGCAGTCTTGTAGGACAATGGTCCGATCATTGTATAACGATCGCCATATTCATGGCTTGTGACTGGTGCCTTTGATTTGAGCACCGTGTAAATTCCTCCGACTTTTTTAAATGGCAAAACGAGTGTTTATCAGTCAGATCTCTTTTTTTCCTTTTTTTTTTTTTTTTTTTTTTTTTTTTTTTTGGAGTAAAGCAAAAGGTTCTTTTTATAGACTGGTGAGTGTTCCTTTACCCTTGTTAGCAACCTCCCATGCAATCTCAAAGAGGAGGGGCTTGTGAACGTTTCTTAATTCGCTCATGGTTCAAAAAGTTGTGAGAAGGAAGGTTGGAGAGGTAAATGAATGAATGAATGAATGAAATGGAGAAATGGGGAAGAAGAGAAAAGAAATAAACGAATGCGGATAGAAGACAAAGAAGGAGGAAAGAAAAGGAAGAGAAGAAAAAAGGAGAAAAAGGTAAAAGAAAGAAAAGATAAAGAGGTCAGAATGCTGGACCAAGACAGACGAACCAGGCTAGATTAGATAGCCTCAACGGAGTTTGTTAGTTTGTAAAGTATATAGTATATGTATAATATATTTATCTAAGTAAGTTGGAGATAATAAAGTTATTTGCTCAATGACGACAAGTCAAGACAACTATAAACTCTATGCACATGACATGCAGCAAACAAAGAGGCCCATGCATTCCTTCACTTTTAGCTATCAGTTTATAACTTTATAAACTTGTAAACGCGTAACAGTAATCGTAATCGTAATCGTAATCGATCGGCTATACACACATACAAATATCTATGATATCTATGTATATATTAATATTATCACTTGTAAGACTTCCTTCCCCTCAAAGTATTGTTTTCGTGTTTCCATGTAAAAAAAAAAAAAAAAAAAAAAAAAAAAAAGTTCTCTACAATTGTGTTTATATCCAAACTTGTTGGGAAGAAAACATCTCATTTTTTCTCATGATGACACCACGCAGTGGTTTTTATTTTTCATATTATAATTATTTTTAATATCAATGTTATTATATATATATCTATATATACATATCACTTATTATTATCATATTACTGTTTTTATATACATATTTACGCTAGTCCAAGTCTAGTCTCAAATTTAGACGCGTTCTTTTTTATTCTTTCAAAAGAACTAACTAGAAAAAAACAACCCGACTGGGCCTTGGTGACTTTGCTGTGCTGCTAAAAAAAGAAACATGTCGTTTTCATTTCACATTCATTTATCTACACACAGACACACACAAATATGTATATTTATATAAATATACACATATCACATCACACATCACATATGATTGCATGCTAGTTTACTAGGTAGAGAGTAAAATAGAAAACTTTCCTTTACGCGTGACGATATAAAGCAGTCTAATCTCTGCTACTATGCTCTTTTTCTTAATCTTTTTTCTTCTACAGACGAAGACTAGCTCTTGATTGATTAAAGCAGGAAGGTCTTTTTCTTTGAATGAAGAGAAAGAAAGAAAGAAAGAAAGAAAGAAAAAAAAGGAAAAGTAGAAAAAAAAGGAAAAGTAGAAAAAAAAAAAAAAAAAAAAAAAGTTAAAAAGGTTTTTGCTCCGCCACAAAAGTCATGTGCGCGTCAAATGTTTAACAGAGTAGGGTAGAATAGAGTAAGAATAAGAGCAAGAACAAGAATAAGAGTGCGAGTGCGAGTAAGAGTAAGAGCAAGCGTAAGAGTTGGGATCGGCAGTAGGTTTATCACCCTTTCTGGAAGAATAAGAGAACGAGAGAACGAATTAGATTTAGAGGATGGTACATAAACTCTTTTTTTTTTTTTTTTTTTTTTGGATTTATACATGTTCATGTTCATGTTCTGTTCATAATTTCGGTTCACTTTGTGCCAAAGACTTGTCTATCCGATGTACATCTGCTGACATATATACATCCTTCACACTAAAAGGATGAACCGAATGAAGAAAAATAAAAATAAATAAATAATAATAAAAAAAATGCCATTGTTTAAAGTCAAGGGCAAGGACTAATTTTGTACGAGATTACAAAAAAAAAAAAAAAAAAAAAAAAAGTACATTAGAGAGCCAAGCATGTGTTGTCAGTTTCGCAGAATTTTTTTCTTTTTATGGAGAGGAGGATGAGGAAGGTGGACTGGCTTGAATTCCAAAATAGGAAAAAACCGAGGAGAGCTTTGGAGTAGAAGTGAGTAGAAAAAGTCAATGCACTGTTAAAAATAAAACTCTTGATAACGTCCAAAAAAAAAAGGGGGGGGAAGTGAGAGAAAAGGAAAGGAAAGGAGGTAAAGGACCATTGAATGAACGTTATGTTGGAAAAAAAAAAAAAAAAAAAAAAAAAAGAAAAGTGCATGGACATTAGATTTGAAGCAAGGATACACAGCGGCTCTCATGAATGCTCATTTCATAAAACTCTTTTTGTAAACCTACTGTTTCACTCGTGTCTATGCATGGGTCATTGAGCTTAAGAGAGAGAGACAATGAGAGTGAAAGAGTGGATGGAAGTGAAAGAGAAAGAGAAAGAGGGGTGCTGTCCCATGTTTCTAAAACTTTTAGTAAAACTCTTTTTAAAAATCGGAAATAATTTAATCGGCAAATAAAAAAAATAAAATAAAAAAAAACCATTGGTCCTTATCCATTCACGTTTATCCACTGGCCCTTCAGGCACAATTGACAGTAAGACAAAGGGTTTAGCGATGTCCTCACAACCGAGATCATGCTCCATTTGTTGCTCGTCTGTTATGAGCTGCTGTCAAGTCGTTCATCTTGTCCTTTAAAATAGCCATGAGAGCTATATAAAAAAAAAAAAGTATAAAAAAATTTTTAAAATAAGAAATAAAACAATAAAACAATAAAACAATAAAACAATAAAACAATAAAACAATAAAACAATAAAACAATAAAACAATAAAACAATAAAACAATAAAACAATAAGGCAATAGGAATTACATAGTGATATGTATATATTTATATAAATGTGTATTTGCTATGCATTTGACATAGTCATTATCATCAATAAACAGCATCTCTACATCTTCGTCATCATCACCATCAATGGTCAGTTATTAGTTATCAATCATCATTATAATCATTAGCAATAACTTCCTGCATGACTCGGAATATGCCTTGTAGTAAACCAAGATGTTTGTAAATCGAGTCGAAGAGGACAAGAGCTTAGTTTACAATATATATATATATATGATATGATGATAATATGGTGGCGATGGTGATAATGTTAATAATAATGATGATGTTGGTGATGATGATGATGATGATGATGATGATGATGATGGCAATTGATTAGTATAGGATTAAAAATAAAATAAAAAAAAGTGAGCGCGTGTTTATAAATGTTGAACCATCATTTCAGAAAAAAGTTGATGTTTCTCTAGCACATGGTATACATGTATAAATATCTTTTGAATGTCGCATGTCTTTTCATTGCAATAAATTGCTCCGCTTTACTTGCCATGGAAAAGCAAGCTAAATACTTTCTTTCCTTTCCTTTCAGTTGATTTATATATCATGGTCATGGTCTAATGTCGATGTAACATGGGGAGCATTGAATGAATGAACCCTTTTTTTTTCTTATTTTTATTTATTTATTTATTTATATTATTATTATTGTTTATTTATTTATACGCTTTATTTTTTATTAGCTTTATTTGCATTTGCCTATTTATTTGTTTAGGTTGACCGTTGGATGAAGTTGTATGACGGTAAGGAATCAAATGGGGATCAAGAAACTGGATTGCAAAGCTTGTAATGTGTATAATGTAATGAACAAATAAATAAACATTGCTACTGCGATTGCTATTGTCGTTGCCATTGCAATGGCCATGCCATGTGCATGTTTGCATGTTTACAGGTTTGCAATGTTTGCATATTTGCATATCCTTGTCAAAAGAAAGGGAAAAAAAAAAAAAAAAAAAAAAAGCTGCTTTATTGTTCCTGTCATGCCTTTTTTTTTTTTTTTTTTTTTTTTTCTCGAATGCTGGTTTACGGCGTTATGTCAATGATAAAATAGAATTCAAAGGAGGAGAAGCGTTCGTTGTCATACATGTCGTATAGAGTATATATAAATATAATAATGATAAAAGCCCTTTTTCTCTCTCTCTCTCTTTTTTTTTTAACCACCATTGCTCTCTCTCTCTCTCTCTCTCTCTCTCTCTTTTTTTTTCTCTTCTTCTCTACTCACCTTTCTCTCTTTCTAATACTCTTCTTCTCATCTTTCTCTTGCACCCTCGTCGCTTTCTTGCTTTCTTTCTTTCTTTTAAAAGCCCTTTGGTCTTCTTTCTTTATTCTTTCCTTCTCTCCTTTCCTTTCCGTTCCTTTCCTTTCCTTTCCTTTCCTTTCCTCTAAACATTTTATCCGTTCCAATACCACTTCTTTCACTATGCAGGCCATCAAATGTGTTGTCGTCGGAGGTACAATCTAAACGCCCTCCCCATCCTTCTCTTTTCCTTCGCCACCTCTTTTCCAACCTTTATACCAAATGTTCATCTCATTTTCATTTCATCTCATTTCATTTAAAAAAAAAAAAAAAAAAAAAAAAAAGTTCATTTCAAAATGAAATCGACTTGACTTGAACCTACTTGTTTTCTTTCTTTTCTAAAAAGAGAGTTGTTTATGTGTATTTTGCATGGTGTTACATTCATGTGCCATGTAACGGTACAAATGTTTAATATTATTTTCCCTCAAACCAGCTGTGCGTTAACACCCCTATTCTCTCATCCATCTCTTCACCACGTTTTTGTTTGCTCTCCTAACCTTTTTTTATTTTTATTTTATTTTTATTTTTTAATCTTTAATCTTTCTTTTCTCCTTCTTTCTTCTGGAATGAATACTACATAGATGGAGCTGTTGGAAAGGTAAATGGAAGGAATCTGAAGCGAAGAAGAAAAGAAAAAGGGAACGAGAACTGTGTGTATTGCAGATGAAGTAGTGACAAATGGACTAAAGGAAAAAAAGAATTGTAAATATACATATTACCTTTAGACCTGTCTTCTCATCAGTTACACCACCAATGCTTTCCCAGGCGAGTACATCCCTACAGTGTAAGTTTCTATTTTCCTATTTTTACCCTTCGTTGGAAGGAAAGCATTTGACTTGACTTGACTTGACTTGACCTGACCTGACCTGACTTTGGACAGAATGAATACTTTTTTAAAATCTCGGAGATATCAGTGCGCGCGCTTTTTTTTTTTTTTTTTTTTTTTTTTTTTTTCTTTTTTTCTTTTTCTGATTCAGCCAATGACATTCTAACTGTTCCCCCCCCCCCCCTTTTTTTTCTTTAAACCAGATTCGACAATTACTCTGCCAATGTGATGGTCGATGGAAAACCTATCAACCTCGGTCTCTGGGACACAGCCGGACAGGAAGATTATGATCGCCTCCGTCCATTGTCCTACCCCCAAACGGATGTTTTCCTCGTCTGCTTCTCACTCGTCAGCCCTCCCTCATTCGAAAACGTTAGCACCAAGGTAAGAAGAAAAAAAAGGAAATGGCCCAACATTTTCTGGATAGTATTCAATACTCTATGGATACATTATTACAAAACAAAACAAAACAAAACAAAACAAAAAAAAAAAAAAAAGAGAAACGGTGTGATAGTTTTTGATTGATTTTTATGGATGCAATGCAGGAGAGCATTTGTACATCAACACACAGGAAAAAAAAAAAAAAAAAAAAAAAAAAAAATCGCACAGATATTAGAACGTTGAATTGGGATACGAAACATGGGTCCCAACTTTTTTATATTCTACTGAAAAAAGGAACGGGACAGCGGACAATGGGCAATCAATAATGGACCGTGGACCATGACCGGTGGACCCCAACAAGAACCACCTTTTTCTTTTTTTCCTTTTTATTTTTATTATTATTGTTATATTTCTACTTTTTTCTACTATGCTGCAGCTTTCTTTATTTGTTCAGCAAACACGGTTCATATATTATATGATCATGGCGTTATATTGTGCATTGTCGTTTCAGACAATCAACAAAAGCCCAACAATGGACAAATAAACCTCTGAGAGTGTATCCTTCCCCCCCCCCCCCCCCCTACTTTCACTCCCTCAGCTCTCGGATAAAAAGACCAGAGTCCCCCTTTACCGAAAGATCTATAACTGATCTCTCAAATTTGTCAGCCGAGCACTGGAATAAATATATATATATATATATATACATTACATATATACATGTATTTGCATACAACATCAGGGGAGTGAAGGGAGAGGAAGTGTGGATGGGACAAGCTCTATACTCCAGATGTTTCATCTTTTTGGAAGATGGATAGAAGGAGTAAAAAAAAAAAAAAAAATTAAGGGAACACTACATTCTCCAAAGACCCTTGATCATGGTACTGCATCCTCAATGCGTTTACAAAAAGTGGTGCAAAACAACATTTTTCGTCCATTTTCGGTTGTTGGATCAAGGATTGATTGGATGTCTTTTTCAGCAACAACACCAACACCAACACCAACAACAACACCAACAATAACAACAGCAATAACAACAACAACAACAACAACAACAGCAACAGCAACAGCAACAGCAAAAAAACAAAAGATTTAAAAGTAGTAATGCATGCAGAGATTGATCCTGGTGATTATCACAACACACCATGATTTTATTTTACATTTTGTTTTATTTCATATTTTATTTTATTTGAACATCAATCGGACTTTTAAATGTGTCGCGCAATTGCAATTTTGAGTGGGGAGATCGAGATGGGGGGGAAGGGGAAAGAGTGGCGCGTGCGTGGATAAGAAAAAAAAGAAAAAAAAAAAAAAAAAAAAAACCTGGTTTATAAAGAGAACCTGCAGCTAAACACCCTTTTTACCCTCCTTTGCTCCTTTTTTTTTTTTGTTTGTTTTTTTGTTTTGTTTTTGTTTTTGTTTTTGTTTTTGTTTTATATTTGTATGTATACAATTAGTGGGCACCCGAGATCAAACATCATGCACCAAACGTCCCTACGATCCTCGTGGGCACAAAGTTGGATTTGCGTGATGATAAAGACACACTCGAGAAACTGAATGAGAAGAAGATGACCCCGATCTCATACCCCCAAGGACTTCAGATGGCCAAGGAGATCGGTGCAGTCCGTTACCTCGAGTGCTCAGCCCTGACCCAATCAGGATTGAAGAATGTCTTTGATGAAGCCATCCGTGCAGTCCTCTGTCCAGTCCAACCTGCCAAGAAGTCAAAGAAGTGCTTGATCTTGTAACAAAAAAGGGATTTTCTTTTAGTAGTAGTATATCCTTTTTCTTTTTCTTTTTCTTTTCAACTTTTTACTTTTTCATGTAATACCTTTTAATGCTTTTTTTTTTTTTGTGTATGTGTATGTGTGTCAATTCTTTCAAAATAAAAGAAAAGAAAAGAAAAGAAGAAAAATATACATTCTTTCTTGTTCAAGCTTACCTTTCAATCCATTTTACAAAGGGCCATTTCAGCTAAAGCGTGGTATAAATATACATACATATACATGTAAACGAGATCACTGTACATGTACACTATTTTAGTCTTCGCAAAATCGCCATTTTTTTTTTTTTTTTTTTTTTTTTTTTTCGTTGAGGCCCAGAACGCGTTAAACTGTTGCGATCAGGCCAATCAGCATTATGCATTTGTGTATATTTGTATAAATGTGTGTACGTTAACACAATCATTAGCATATTAGCATCAGTGGGGCATGAACAATCTTTTACTGTAACAAGCCCTATAATGATAGGAAAAAAAAAAAAAAAAAAAAAAAAAAAAAAGACCAGGAGCAAAGGACTCTGAATAAAACTGCATTCTGAACAGATTTCATACTTCTACTTTTTATTCAATCATCAGGCGTCTGATTTGCTTTGCTTCATTCATACTAAAAGCCCTGTATGCTCTTCCTCTTCCTCATCCGCCACTACAAAGTCATCTTCGAATTCCTCTTCTTCTTCCTCCTCTGAATCTAAACTCTTGACAGAAAACGTATCCTCTTCCTTCTTCTCTTCGTTCTGCTCAGAGCGCCTGTAATGATGATGGTGATTGGTTTGTTGGCCAGGGTACCTTTCCTCACGTATCTGACCATTAACACCATTAGAGCCAAGTAGGCCCATATCGTCTTGGACTGACAATAGAGGGTATGAGCGGTCCATATCTTTCTTGAGTCGCACCATGAAATCCTCAAGATCCTCTGGAGATTGGATTAAAAACCCTAGCAACATCGATGGATCCAATTCTACAATGTCCACGCAGCGCACCACCGAACAATGAAAGCTCTGCAACAAGTTCCCAAAAAAAAAAAAAAAAAAAAAAAAAAAATTAGACTCTACAAAGAAACACCACATATCCCACAAAACTATATATATATATATATATATATATTTTTCAATGATCCTTACTGGAACAGGACAGGTGCCTAGTTCTTCCGATAAGGCGCGAGGCTTAACAAAGTGTGGATCATAATAGAAAAGCTCATCTCCTATGAATAGCAAAATAAAGGAATAAAAATGGTTATTAGCATCCAATGAAATTATCACCATACTACCCTCATAACGATAACACCAAATATATATACCTTGGCAAGCAACAAAATAGAGTGATCGACCAGGACGTCCACCTGCGATCCCCATGAACTGAGGCATCCGGAACAGTTGCTTCAGATTAGGGATATATTTCTCTGTTAATTTATCCAACCCAAACCGTGTCGGGATCAACAATAGAACCGGCTTCCAAGCACCTCCCAGCAACAACTGGTTCTTCGTCTCTGTCGCTGATGATATGGATGATGGCGACAAATTGGTCTGATTCTGAAATGAACCTCTCTGCTGCTGCTGATGCTGCTGCTTAACATGCGTAGCTGCTTGAACCACCCCAGAAACTTGGAGCAACCCATCCATCGGGACCATAATAGACAATGGACAGTCTTCATGCTGTTGTGATAGTCGCCTACAAGAAAAAGAACCCTCGTCTTAGTATCTATCATACACATTCCTCCAACGTGGTTTTAATCAGGGATCACATTGTGTTCATGCGCATTTGCTTACTTGAAGGCATGGGCAACAGTCGAAGGTCCAAACCACTCTCCAATACGCTTATCGAGTGTCAAACCAGCTTTCGCGATCCGATGAATGCTATAAGGCCGATCAGGATCATCCACAAACCAATTCAAGACTTCTGTATACCGCCTCTGACCATATTGCGTCTGCGACAGATGTGCCCTCCATTCTAATAAAAAAAATAAAAATAAAAATAAAAATAAAAATAAAAATAAAAAAATTGAGTAAAATAAGGCAGTATTCATTCAGGGACAAAGTTATTACAAGACAATTAGGAGGGGAAAAAGCGTACCGCGTCCAAGGAGAACTTGCACAAACGCTTGTGCAAGAAGACTTTGCCCTGTGCGCATCATACATCCCCATCCTGAATCACATGTATAAAACGAAGGTTCAATCCTTGCCAGATCTTTACGATATGTAAACCACAGTCGTGACTGGAAATCCATCAAGAACTGTCGCAACACCTCTTGTTTAGCCGTCAAGTGGTTATAGAATGAAGCATCCGGCGCTGGACGCATCAAGGAGAGATAGTTGGCTGTAGAGGGCGGCAATGAAATGAGCGAGCTATTACTGCCGCTAAGAAGATCATAGTAGCTGTAGTTTTCATCATATTCATTCCCGAGTCCTGTACCGTGCATCGACTGTCGATGCCGCTGATGCTTTGGATCCAAAGCTGAGCCGGGCGACTTTGAGCGGATTGGGGACGATAATCCTAGGGGAAGTGCAGACTTTGCAGTCGAAGCAAGAGACAAGGACAAAGATCTCCACGATCGTCGCAAAGAGGATCCAGGTGATGATGGCGGAGATGGTGAGGATGGCAGCGGTGGCGGTGGAGAAGCTATTCCCGACTGTGGTGTGGATTTTGGGGCGGTGGAAGCAACTGGCATGCTATTTTGACGTTTGCTCGAGAATAAGCTCGTCTTTAATGGTGACGATGTCCTAGGTACATGCTCATGCTCAAAGGTCTGGACTGGCACAGCAAACGTAGATGCACGCTCGCGAGAGACTGGTTTGTGGGCACGCTGTGCTGCTTCATCGACTCCATTGCTAACTAATGTGCGACTCGTTTTGCGCTTGCGTTCCCGCGCCGTAACCGGTGCCTCTGAAGGATCGGGTTGTCCATGCTCTAATGAGGCCACTTCATCACTGGAATGATGTCCCAAGACACTAGGCGAGGCGTTTCCTTGTAAAGTCTGCCTACGTGGATGAGGATTGGCAATTGTTGTGGCTCTGCTATAATTTTTGCTAACTGAATGATGATCCGTTGCCTGCGCTTCGGGTATAGAGACTAGGGACGCCCTTCCGACAGACCCATGTGATTGCATGGATGACAACATTGTTGCTGATGGTGATTTGGGCGTAGTTGGTGTCGTTGGTGTGGAGGACATTGGCGAACCGCGATGTGATTCAGCACCTGCAGTAAAGTCACCTTCAATCGGTGCTAAAAGCTTCTTCTTCTTCTTCTTACTAATAGACTTACTGCTAGACTGTGGAGTCAATGGTGACACATCATTAACAGGGTCTACCAAGTCCTTAAGCGCTGAGACGTTGTTGGCTGCACCACCATTAACTTGTCCGTTACTGGCTGCAGCAGGATTCCCATCTCGCGCAAAAAGGTTTGAAATGGTCATCCTGCGTCGCCCCGGTTTACGAGCTGATGGTACAAGTGGTTCTTGCTCAGGCTGAGGGCTCTGCGCACGCTGTGGTGCCGCATAAGTCTCGGTTTGGTCATCTTCTAGAATGTCATATTCCTCCATAGCAGCATTGCCAGGCTCGAGGCCCATTTTGGAAAACCTCGTCATCATGGATGACTTGATGCTGCTAGGTGAACCAGATTTAGAAGATGGGACGACGGTGGATATAGAAGGTGTTCTAGATCGCTCTGTAGGTGGTGAGGTTGACTTTGTGGTGCTGAACTCTTCGTTTTCTGGCCCGGGTGATGCGGATCGAACATGTGAGTAAGACCACTGATTCTCGTGAAAAGTGGGGGAGGAGGCGACTGTAGGTTGTTGAGTTGACGCGGCCGCAAAACAAGATACAGAGTTTGACTGTGGGCTCTTGCCCTGTTCTGATGAGGTTGAGTCAGGTCTTAGTAGGGGTGGGTTAGCGATGATGCCATCGTTGGTGCTTATTCTGGTATTGGTGCCGGCACTAGTGTAATGGGATGAGAACTTTGTATCATCAGCATTGCCCTCATAGTCAATGGGCGAAGCAGGTATTGTGTCATCTTCCTTTGGCGGATCGAAGCTATATCGTTCTCCAAGCATCCATATATCTTCAGATGGGAACGCTGTCTTTGTCCGGACACGGTCATCGCGAGCAATATATTGCACGACCTTTGAGTTGTATAGCCAATATCTAAGACCAAGAATTATGGTTGTAAATGTATCAATATTGAGTAAAGAATGCTCTTTTTAATATCCACCCTTTTACCATCCCATACCACTCACTGCCTGTAAAGATAATGGTGATTCAGGCGCAGTTAAAAAATAAATAAAAAAAAAAAAAAAAAAAGAGCCAATGAGAAAGAACATACCCCATTTTTGAAAAAAACTGTGATGTAGCTTGCATAAAGTGTTCTCCAGCATCTGGTTCTTCTACAACTGCATCTATTGCTGACTCCTTTGTAGTTAATTTCTCAACCTGGTAGTCTTCATTATCATCCTCATCCTCAATGTCATCATGCTGTAGACTAGCTCCGTTAGGTGAGACTAGCTGACTCCTTAAAGGTGTGGACGGTCTGGATGAGGTGGTATGCGAGCCCTGCATGGGCTGAGATCTGGTGCTCCTGCTATTGACGGCATCGACTCGATTCCTGCTGGTTTCGCCAAGGCGCTGCTGTCCATTCATTCCGAGCTCGGATCTAGTCCCACTGTTATGTTGTTTGTCCCTGACAAATGAATACGAAAATTCTGCGTACACAACCCCTTGAGGACTCTGTAGTTTCAAATCCAATACCACTTCAGAGTCCATGCCTCCTGACTGCTCAAAGTCAAGCGTCTGCGTTTCATAAATGTAAAGAGGTGGTGTGGTAGCATCTTGTCCGTCCACAGGGTAAGAGCCATTCGGTACAAAGTTCCCCATGAGCTCCATATGCTCATGGATTGTTCTGGTACGTGTAAAGGCCGTCTCAAGGTACCAGAGCGTGGTTGGTGATGAGGATGAGGCAGAGGAGGAAGTCGAGTGCTTTGACTTGGACTTGGACTTTGATGACTTTGAATCAGAGATGATTCTGGATGAAGATGATGCCGTTTCAATAGTGAAGAAAAAGACAATGGAAAAGGGTCTCCCACTTGAAGAAAGAGCAGCAGCAGAGGCGGCACTAGAAGATCTGGGAGTTTTTATAGGCAAGCGATCGAATTGGAATGCTCCGTGATGATTGGATGTATTCTCATCCTTGGATGCACGTTGGCGGTGCTGATGCTGACGATGGTGTGAGGGGTACTGATTCTGATGTTGGTGCTGAGGGTGGTTGCAGTTGTTAGTGGGATTCAGGTCAGTCTTTGTCAAAACCTGCCAGATCTTGACCGGTGCCCGGCCACCCCTGCTTTGAGAAGTGTGATCGTGAGAGCGATGATTAGGTGAGGATGTGAGAGGAAGATCTGAAGTTGCGTGTCGAGTATATATCGGATGCTGAGCATAAAGTGATGCCCAAAATTCAATGTCGTCGCGCCTTTCTGAGGTGGACTTTTTCCTTGGTGATGTGTTATTGAGACTCGAGGAAGATGGAATTCCATTGACACTAGCAGAGTTAGGTGAGTGTTTATCTCGACAATGTCTGACTGTGTGTGATCCTGGCAAAGGAGAAGACACTGGGGTGAGTGGTGATGATGACAATGGGGAGAATGATCCAGTGTCTACGTTTGATCTTGTCACGCTATCTACTTTGGAGGACAAGTTAGCAGCTGCAATCGAGACTCCATGTGAGAATGAAGTCACTGTTTCTGCTGTTCTTGTTGGACCTGCTCTTTCGGTCGTTATAACTATTGTCTCTTCCTCTGAATCTACTTCGTTTGTTTCTGGCTCTTTTCCTGTTCCTGTTCCTGCTCCTGCTCCTGCTCCTGTTCCTGTTCCTGTTCCTTTTCTTTTCTCAGTTCTTGTATCCTTATAACATGACCTTGTGACAGGATCTGCTGTAAGGTGAGTCGGTATCATCTCAGTTGGTGCCGACTGGTGTACGTATTCCTCTATACTTCTAGAAAAGGGCAGATACGTTGGAGATGATGGTAGAGGGCCGTGGTGGCTCCTGCTACGGGCATACATAGGACGAGTATCGCGAGAGTGTTGCATCGATGGAAGCTCCGTTAATTTTTTCAAAGGAAGTATCAATATGTGTACAACAAGGGACAAGGAGCAGAATACAAAAAGGATATATTCAACAGAGTCGAAATAAGGGTGCGTTTGAGAATTTGGGAAAACACATGAGCAAAGGAATCAATGCTAAGAAATGAGGAATGTTTTTTTTAAAAAAAAAAAAAAAAAAAAAAAAAAAAAGGATGGGGAAAAAAAAGAGACGATGAGGATGAAGGAAGGAAAGAAGGAAGGAAGGAAGGAAGGAAAAGGGGGTGAAGCAAAGGGAAAACAGGAGGTTGCGACTAAAACGCCTTAAAAAACAAAAAAGACATTGTTGCGTGTGTATATACATTCATTTATTTTTTTTGATGTAATTCCGTGCGCTTTTCATGTCGACTTCGTAATCATTGTCTCCTCCCCTTCTGGCTCTTTTGGGTCTTTTGGAGGACGGGGCGGAATGATCAAATAAGAGGACAGCAGACAGCGTGTGTTTTTTTCTATCCAAACGACAGACCCAAATGGGTCCGATCTATTAAACAAATCGCTCTTCTAATTCTTTTCTTTCCTTCTTTCTTTTGTACTCGTTTTTCATTCGTGTGTCTACGAAATTTGATGTGCGTGCGTTCGTTGTTGTTGTTGCGATTGCTGTTGTTGTTGCGATTGCTGCTGCTGTTGCTGTTGTTATTATTGTTGTTGTTGTTGTTGTTGTTGTTGTTGTTATTGCTTGTCCAATTATGTGCACACATTTGTCCATGGCGAAATGGACTGGGATTGTCTATTGTACCGTCATAGTCTTGGTTATCTTATTTTTATTTTTCTTTGTCTAGTCCTTTTTTTTTTTTTTTTACGTCGTCTGGCATAGATAATGACGGGAACGTGGCATTATTAACATTAGACTTTTGTTAGACACATTCTCCGTCAACCAAGATAAAAAAAAAAACAACAACAACCAAAGGTCGGCAGGAGGGCAGTGCACTGCATGAATACATGAATACAACACAAACACATGTACACATGGGTGCATAGGCCACGCTTTTTTACTTTTACCTTGCAGTTGACATATGATAGTCCCTTTCCAATATTTCAATGTCCACCCACATCTTGTCCATGGGTCCTATAGGACATTGACAAAGCTGTGCTTAAAATACAGATAGAAAAAAAAAGTTACCGCTTCAACTTGCTGGTTGCACAAAGAACACAAAGTTGGGTTGTGTAGCAATGGGCATGTTTGTCTGCTCATAGCCCTTCGCCCCCCTCTCCTTCCAATCCTTTCATGGGCAAAAGACCTGGTTCGTTCTCGAGGCAGAAAAAGATCAAACTAAATGAATATGTATACATGTATATAGATATATATATAATAAATGTTTATTTTTCAAACTTGAGTTGTAATCTGCTTTCTTCCCGTCTTGCATAACAACAATGCTCATTCAAATTTACATGCAAAGATGTTCTTTTCCTCTTTGGTGTCTTCTCATCGAACGTCTTTAATACAGCCATAAAGATCTATGCAAGTTATATGCATGCCACATTGTAATAACAGACGCATGCATACAATGTACAAACGACAGCAATGCACACACCATAGAACGATATACTGCCACGTGAAAAGGTGTTTTGAAACCAGGAAGGTTGAGGATACAGAGGGCAAACGGTGTATTTGTTCGCGTGTATCAATAATATATCGTGATAACAATAATAATAATAATAATAATAATAATAATAATAATAAAACGAAAAGAAAAGTGGACAAAGAGCGTGTGGTATTTTTGTTGTGGTGATAAAAAATGCAGATGTTTGATGCCAGATTGATGCCAGATTGATGAAAAAAAAAAAAAAAAAAAAAAAAAAAAGATGTATGAAAAATGACAAAAACAATACTATAGGCTACTTTTGACTATGTCCTGCGAAGACGTGCTGCAAGACCTTCGACAGAGATCGAATTAGCATCACTCATATCAGTCGGCTTCTTCAGTGGTTTAGGTGCTGCAGCCTTCTGTGCAGGCGCTGGATTGGCAGCAGCATACGATGACTTGGCTTCCTTAGCTGGCGCGATATGTTTCTCGTGGACCTTGCGCTATAAATGGGAAAAGTAGGTTCGATAGAACAGATGAGCATAGAGTATAAAGACAGACATGATACATGACACTGTTCTTTCTAGACAATAAAAAAAAAAAAAAAAAAAAAAAACTTACGCGTTCTTCATTCAAAGCTTCGTTCTTCTCAGCAATTTTCTTCTTCCTGTTTGCACTTTTGTTTCCACCACCGCCTGCAGTCAACTCCACATTAATTGGTCGCTCTTTAATCAATGTCTTGTTAAAGAACAATGCTTTCTAATAAATCATCATTACAAATAAGAACAACCATGTTAAGGAACTTGAGGCCTTCTGTCTAAACAACAATCATTTACTCTCCCATTGATTCAATGATTCAATGATTTTTTTTTTCTTTTTTTTTTTTTTTTTTTTTACCTGCATGCTCTCAGAATCAGGAAACTCGAGGAATGCGAATCCCTTGCCCTTCTTGGTGACTTTGTCTGTCTGGATACGTACCGCAAAGCCCTTGCCTAACAAGTTTTATGTAATCGTTGTTTGTGAAAGTACCAGCACGTTGAAAAAATAAAAATAAATAAAAAAAAGTCAGCGATTTTTATCACCATGATCCAATTCGAACATGATTTCCTGATTGTAAAAGTATTCCCATGACAACGCACACATACCACAGCTCTCAAAATGTTTTTCTAATTGCTCCTTGGTGATATTATATGGGAGATTGCCTGTTTCCAAAGTTGAAGAGGAGAAAAAAAAAAAAAAATGTCAGCAGGTTGCTTGACCAGACTATCTCCCGAGGTATCTTTTTTTTTTTTTTTTTTTTTTTTTTTTTTCTTGAAATGTCATAAGATAGCCAGCTCCTTTTCCTGATCAAACACGCATAAATGACATTACCAACAAAGACAATAAACTTTGCATTCTTGGGTGCTGCCTTAACAGAAGTGGTAACCGCATCTCCTTCCTGAGTGCCTGCTTCTGGCGCTGGGTCCTCTTTACTGCTTCCCTTGCCTCTCCTGCGCTTCTTCTTCATTCCTTCGGTTGAGTCGTCTCCTGTCGATGATGGTGATGGCCCCTTTGATTCATCCTTGCTGCTCTTGTCTTTTTTCTTATTCTTGGTATCCTCTTTGTTACTACTACTGTCGGCATTATCACCCTGGACAACATCCTCTTCAGGTAGATCAGCAACACTTTCGTCTAGTTTTCTTTTCTTTCCTCTAAACTCATTGGTCTTCTTTTGCTTCTTTGTCAGTTTCTCTCCCATGGCGAATGGCTGAATTAATGGAGTTGATGTGTTTTTCTTATTGGTCGTAATTGTAGTATGAATAAAAGGAGAACAAGGCAAAAAAAAAGTACTTTGACCCAAAGTCAAGGTTTGTTGTTTAATTTTTTTTTATGACTGCTTCTTTCGTGTTGTTGAAACCAAGAGCTTTTTTTTTTTTTTTTTTTTTTTTTTCAGGGCATCCTTGCCACTAATATTTTATCAATGCTTTGCAACCATAGTCCATTAATCACACATAGACATGAATATTGAAAATATTATACTACAGCAGTTACATCGAAACATTATTTTGCTTATTTATGGGAAAGTGAGCAGCTTTATGAAAATGATCAAGAGAATTATATTTACTCCTCATCCTCCTCAGCATCTTCACCCTTGTTGGCGGCAGCAGCAGCACGCTTTCTCTTGACACGGCCAGCACGTCCACCACCATAGGGAGAGGTCAAAGAGAAGTCGATGTGCTTCTGAGAGTCAAGACGGACGACGAAGGAGGGGATATCGACGACCTGCTTGCCGACGCGGATGTGGCGCTGACGGATCAAGACACGGGCGTGGTGGATGGACTTGGCAAGACCGAGCTTGAAGACCTGGGTCTGGAGGCGACGCTCCAAGAAGTCCTCAATCTTCAAGGCCAAGACGTAATCCAACTTCATCTTGTCCTCGTCCAATACACCAATGCGGACCAAACGACGAATCAAGGCGTTACCCTCGAAGAGACGACGGGGGTCCTTGTCCTCCAAAGTCAACAGCTCACGAGCAGCACGACGAATGTTGGACAAAGTGTAACCGATGCGCCAGATCTCACGCTTGTTGCGGAGACCGTATTCTCCGACAAGCTTCAACTCCTGGTCGAGACGAGCGGCCTCGAAGGGACGACGGGGGACCTTATAGGTCTTTGAGCAGTTCTTGGGAGCTCCAGAAGGCACTGTAATATAGTAGTAATGATTGCATCAAAAAAAAAAATAAAAAAGTAGCATAGTGAGTTGCTATGCTTTGTTTTTTTTTTTTTTTTTTTTTTTTTTCCTCGACTGCGGCACGTATAAAATTCGACAAGTGTATAATGCACAACGGTCCCTTCTCCCAACAGAGAGTTCTCCCTGTTTTTGTTGAAATCATCCGGCATGTCCAATTACAGAACTACAGCTCTGAGAACAAAGCATTCCATGAATGTCAACAGCAATGGTAGAACAATGTTGAATGAAGAAGGTTCCCTCGTGGATGATCCATGATTGGTGATGAATTTGTCCCGTGATAAATAACTTACTGGCTAAAAACTGAGAGAAAGAGAAGGATCTCCAATGGCTGTAGCAAAGTCAACGTTCTTATTGACAAAAAAAAAATCGCGAAATGAACTTTTTGTAAATAAATAAAGGATGATTTCTAAATATGGTAGTTAATCCTGGTCGGTTTGACCAGGGTAACAGGTAAGCCACCTTGTCACATGAAGTGGTTCCAACAAAGCTCTTTTTTTATTGGTCATCCAAAAAAATTTTACCAATAGGGTAAAAAAATAACTTTGACTGTGGATTGATTTTGGTTCCTCCTTTCTTTCTTGACCTATTAGGGTATGGGCATATTAATCGGGATGCTTTTTTTTCGCATGAGGATGTCTATCATTCTCGAGAAAGGAAAAGAGGATCAGCAACAAATATAGTCATGGATTGAATGTGAATCAGAGATTTTGTTAGACTATCATTTCATTCCTGCATGGATCAACAAAATCAGATTTTTCTCAGAATCATAATGACATGGCGAACTTATGCTTCATTTTTTTTTTTTTTTTTTTTTTCTCTCCTTATTTCTTTGGATCTTCAATCTCAGAATTGATTCAACATGCCTCACTCCTATGGTATCCGTGCTCGCACCCGCCACATGTTCGCCCGTAACTTCAGGGAACATGGTATGCCCATCAAGCTTACCACCTACTTGAAGACCTACAAGGTTGGCGATATTGTTGACATCAAGGCTAACGGTGCTATCCACAAGGGTATGCCCCACAAGTTCTACCATGGGTATGTCACCTTCCAACCCAGCGAACAAACAAAGGAAAAAAAAAAAAAAAAAAAAAAAAAGCAAAACTAAGAGGATCCGGGGATCAACATATACTTAATTTTAAGAGGAAGGACTTCGATATCAACAGGAACAGGCAACAGTCAATTGTGCTATATATTATTAAGAGACTTTTTTCGTGCAAGGACTATTGTTTATCCCAGTCACACAGTTTCATTCCGATGAATGGCAATCTGCGAGATTCTTTGTTAAAATCACTTTGTCTCCCTGATTCCTGGAGAGACTTTGATTACCATGATGCAAATCAACATTTTGCAATTTGGCTTCATCCCTTTGTCCTCACTGGAGCACGTGGTCAAAAAAAAAAAAAAGAAAAGAAAAAAAAGACATTAGCGGACAGTGGACAAAACGCAGCAACACAATTTTTTTTAGCTATGACTTGAAGAGAAAGATATTGTCATGAATATCTTTTTGCTCAGGGCTTTGCCTCTTGCACTTGGAGCCAACCTGCTCAGACATTTTAGTACGAACAAACGCGTCCTCATTTCCATTTTTTATCTCTGGAACCATTATTCGACGTGCTTTTTGTGGTAGACCCCCCTTGAATCTCCGATAATGCTCAGCAAACCAGCAATATAAGCATACAAAGAGGACACAAATACCTATATCAGAATTCAAGGCTTTAAAATTGAGTTTTTTTAACGCCTTTTTACTATTTTTATTTTCCCTAAAACAGTCGCACTGGTATCATCTACAACGTGACCAAGTCCGCTGTTGGCATCATCATCAACAAGAGGGTCGGCAACCGTTACCTCGAGAAGCGCGTCAACATCCGTGTTGAGCACATCAAGCACTCCAAGTGCCGTGATGACTTCTTGCGTCGCGTCAAGGAGAACGCTGCTGCCAAGCTCAAGGCCAAGACCGATGGTGTCAAGGTTAACTTGAAGAGACAACCCGTCCAGCCTCGTGAGGCCCGCTTCGTCACCATCAAGAACAACACCCCCACCACCTTGAACCCCATCCCCTATGACAGTAAGTTTTTTTTTTTGTTTTTATTTTATTTGCTTTTTTTTTTTTTTTTTTTTTTTCTCTTCTATTCTTTTTATATCTATGCTCAATGAAAGAAAGGAAGGGATATTTTATATAATAATGAGGAAACGAATACTATGATAACTAACTATTTATTATTACTATTATTATCAATGCTTTTCACTCTATCTTAGCCCTTGTCTAATTCTTGGACTGGATGAATCGTTGTATGCGGAAGCGATGCCAATAAATAAAAAGACTTCAAAAAAAAAAAAAAAAAAAAAAAAGAAAAAAGAAAAAAGAAAAAGAAAAGAAAAGAAATCTTGTTTCAAGCAGTTTGCTCTCATTAATATATTATTATTGTACATTTATACCGTTATAAACATTTATGCTGGAAATGGGGAGATATGCATAAAGGATGCACTCTATCACGTATTTTTATACATTCGCTCGATTGGGAATGAGATAATTATCTGTCTTTATATTTTCATTTGAAAGGGGGGCAAGAGAGAAAAAGAGAATAGGAATCTCTTGTTAGAAAAGGGATGGGATCAGATATTAAAGGGATCATAACGATGGATGGAGTACACCCACCCTTGTTTATCATTCTTGCAATATTCATTTGGTAGAATGGGTTGAATCAGATCTTTTTGCTCTTTCTAGTTTAATCACAATCTACCTTTCCCTTCTTCCTCTCGTCTTTCATTGTTCAGTTAATATCCGCCAACACTTTCATTCATAACATACGTCGATGATGACTAGGAAGTCAAATTCTTCCAAAAGAACCAGATCAAAGGTCGATGCTGACAAGACAGTCATTAATGATACCAACCATCATCAGAATACAGTGATTGCAAGTATAGCTTTAACACTGGCTCAACAGCAACCACTGTCGTTGCCTCAATCTCAATCTCAATCTCAATCTCCAATGGGATCAGGCAGCTTCGAAGCTCAAGAAGAAGAAGAAGAAGAAGAAGAAGAAGAAGAAGGGAACATACTTTCTGATCAGAAAGAACGAACAAGCATGGATAACATTGAGAATGACAATAGCTACTCGAATTTGGCAAAAATTGATAACAAACAAGATGATGAGGATGATGAAGTGGCAGGACAATATAAAAAAGATAAAAATGAGAACAATTCTTCTGAAGCAGGGTTTAATCAGAAGGATTTACCAACAGGAGACGACCATGATCCGATACAAGTAGAAAAGAAACAAGCCAAGAGTTCATGGGAACTTGCACAGAGTTCACAATGTACTCATTCTACTATGGATCGACAGGATTGGAAAGCTCTAGGTCTCTTGACCGCTCTTGCTTTAGTAGTACGCCTGTGGCGGATTGACAGGCCTGGTGAGGTTGTGTAAGTATTTTATTTTATTTTATTTTATTTTATTTTATTTATTTATTTATTTTTTGTTGAAGTATCAGTCAGTACTCAAAGATCAAAGATCAAAGATTAATTATAATTAACATTGTTATGAAAAATACAACTGCATATGTTAACATTTGCATTTTAGGATGGACGAAGGGCATATGGGCAAATATGTGAACGCGTATCTGAATGGCGAGTTTGCATTTGATCGACATCCTCCTCTTGGAAAACTAATTTTGACTGCCTTCAGCTCTCGAGTTGGCCATTATGACGGTTCGTTTGATTTCAAAGAGATTGGCGAGTATGTGAATTTTTTTTTTGCTTTTTTTTCTTTTTTCTTTTTTCTTTTCCTTCTCGTTTTCATCCTTGCTGTAACAATGATTGAGTGCTAATGACCTTCGTCTTCCTTTATTTCGTGGTTGTTGCTACTTTTTGTGATGAAATTCAATACAAATACTTAGCGACTACCCTAAGAATCTTCCATTTGTAGCCATGCGTTCAGCCATGGCTCTCTTAGGTGCATTGTGTGCACCCATTATCTTTATGACCGTACGAGCCATGGACCAAAGTATCTATACTGCTGTGCTCGCGTCCATCTTGATTACTTTTGGTAAACCCTACAAAAAAAAAAAGAAAACATTTATCTTTGTTCAGATCGACTTTTACACAAACCTCATTGATGCACTCTTTTCATTTGCCTTCCTCTGACGAATAGACAATGCATTGACAGCAAACAATCGGCTAATGACGCTGGACGCCCCACTCTTGTTTTTCACTGCGCTCACATTCCTCTCCTGGAGCATGTTTACTAAGCAACAGTCTCTCAGGTAAATAAAAATGAGACATTCCTTTTGTTTTGTTTTATTCATATCAATATATATATATCTCTTATTCATCCACTTTATCTCTTAACGGTTTAGGCCATTCAGTTCTCACTGGTGGACATGGCTCTCCATTACTGGTCTCTCACTCTCCTGTACAGTCTCTACAAAATCCAATGGCTTCTTATCCTTTGTCATGATCGGCTTTTTGTCCTGTCAACAGATGACCCAACTGGCTTTCTCTCCATTCATCACTCTTTCATCTTTTATTCGACATTTCACATCTCGAGCTCTCCTTCTCTTCATTATCCCAGCTTTGATCTACATTCTTCTTTTCCATATCCATTTCTCGTTTCAACGCAATCAACCTTCTCTCTTGCCCGGTAGTGGTAGAGATCCTGGTCGGGTCGATTATGATTTCAACCTACTTTCATATCCATTCCGAAATTCATTGATCCGCCAAAAGGGCTCCCCTTCATTAGAAGGTCCTCCTAATGGAACATTCCTCGGAAATATGGATCATATCCTTGAGGACAATCATTACAACAATATCAGCAACGGTGATGATGACGAGAGTGAATATTTAATAGACCCGATTTGGAAGGATGTCTACTACGGATCAGTGGTTCAACTTCGAAGTGAGATTCGTCCACCAACTTATCTCCATTCCTTCAACCTGATTTGGAGAGGGGGCTCGAAACAACAACAGGTAGCCGGGTATGAATACCGAGATCCGAATACACGTTGGATCATGAGTCTCGCCCTTCCCTTTAAACAAAAGATCGTCCAAGCCAATGGGAAAGAAGAGAGTCAGGAAGCAAAACAACAGAGGAAGAAACTAAACGACATGGCTCAGATTCCAGATCGATTACGCAAGGTCCGTCATGGCGATATAATCAAATTACGGCATGTCCCCACTCGAAAATGTCTCCATTCACATAATGTGAAATTACCGAATACAATGGCTCAAAAGGGCAAGAAGAACCGGTTCTTTGAAGTGTCGGCGTATGGCTTAACGGGGGATCGGGATGGTGACTCAAATGATTGGTGGATCATTGAAGTTGTGGATAGTGAGCGATGGGCTAAGATGCCCAAGGCCTCGGCTTCAGCTCCACCGTTTGAACAGGATCCGAATGATAAGGGTGTTGATATCAAGGTGAAGGCTTTGGAAACTACGTTCAGGTTGCGCCATCATCAACAGAAATGTTATTTATCAGTGATGCATGACGAAGTGCCAGAAACCCAAAAGGGCGGTCGAGGTAGACGAGTGTTGGGTTGTGTCAAGGATGCCAAGGTTAACGCGCGGAGTACCTGGCGCATCACTTTGAATGATCATGACTACTGTAAATTTTTTTTTTTTTTTTTATTTCTTGAAGTCTTTGTCGACGCGATTCACTTTGATTTCTTCAAGGGTTAATCTTTTTTTTTTTTTTTTTTTTTTTTTTTTTGTTTTTCCTCTCTCTTTTCATAACAGTGCCAATGGATACAGAACTTGCCTCCTATCCCAAGCTGTCGTTCTTCAAGAAGATGACAGAGTTGCACCTATTAATGTGGACAAAGCCTCGAGCATTCGAGACCACTTCTTCATACTCAGATGAATCCAAATCATCACCATCATCACCATCATCGTTTTCAGTCCAGGATAATCCCCGTTATTGGCCATTAGCTCCACTCTTAGGTCATGAGAGTAAGATACCACTCTGGCGAAAGCACCTGCCTAGTACTGAGGAGGGATATCATCAATTCCAAGAGATAGCATTGGTTCCAAATCCAGTTGTCTGGTGGGCAGGTGCTTTGGGCATTATTACCTATTTGGCAGTTCAGACTTTGATCACCCTGAGAGAGAAGCGTGGCTATGTGGACCAAAGAGTCATGCATGGTAAAAAAAAAAAAAAAAAAAAAAAAAAAAAGAATTGTCATTAAAATGGATTAATACTTACTTATGGGCCTGATCTCTAACAACTCCTTCATACTCCATTGCTATTGTTTATATAAAAAAAAAAAAAAAAAAAAAAAAAAAAAAAACTATAGACTTCAAGAATCGTGAACTTGTCCATGTTAGGATGCTTTTTGCGATCTGGTCGATTCACTTTCTCCCGTATGTGACCATACTCAATCAAGAACATCGCCATCTTACTATACATCATTATTTCCCCGCTCTATACTTTTCTATCCTTCTCTCCTGCACACTCTTTTCTGCTCTATCTCGGTTCGTTTCCTCTAGAACTATTAGTAATAGAACCAGAACCCCTTCTTCTCCTTCCCCTTCCCCTTCCCCTTCTCCTTCTCCTTCTCCTTCTATTTTTACCTCTATGCGACTTGGTCTCGTAGCCGCATTCTCTATCCTTACAATCAGTGCCTTCTTCAACCATTCTCCACTCACCTATGGTGGTCCGTCTCTTCACAGACTCACTGGTAACGTCGAGGCATCATCACCGCCTGTACGACTACCCCGCTCCATCCAACGAGACCGTCCTCCAGTCCTGGAGACCCGCTATCCTCCTAAACAACAATCCTTACCAATGGAACACCTATTCATCACTCCGACTCAATGGCCACCTCAACTCGGAGATTTCAGTCGCCAGAAGGGGAAACCGAATCCATACCAACAACAACAATTCCATCCAATCTTTATGGAGACCCCGAGGTCGAAACAAGAGCAGGAGAAGCTGCAACCGAAACAACAGGGGTCATTGCAACAACAAAAAGTCAAAACCAATATTAATATCGACGCTAATCAAACCATACAGGATTCAAAACCTGATTTGTCTTCCAAACTGAAAGGGAAAGAAATGGGAAAACAGGCATCCATACATGTGGATAAAGTTCCTGGTTCTGACAACCAGCAACAGAAGCAGCCGCAGCCGTAGTCGCAGCCGCAGCAGAAGCAACCACAACAGAAGTAACCGCAGCAGAAGCAACCACAACAGAAGTAACCGCAACAGCAACGAGAACACTAGCAACAGCCTGAGATAAGATAAGGAAGGATAGAATTGCGGGCTCTATCATCTTAACCTGATAGCTCTATGAGTACAAGGGTAAGAGTGATGGCATATATAACAACATCAACAACATCAACAACATCAAGAAGGACATAAGATTGAACTGAATACCATGAACCAAGAAAGATAAGACAAAGAGAATAATAGTAATGGTGATATAGAAAATCGATATGAGTATGGTCATAGCAGTAATCGGATGAAGGTGAAAAAGGAAGTTTTATTCCAACAGGGGGGGGGGGGGAGGGGAGGGGGTTCATTCGAAAACTATTTCTGAATAAAAACATTTGATCTACACATCCCATCCCTACGCGTCTTTAGTTTTGTTTGTTTTGTTTATCAAAAATAAACAACGCGTAACGCAAAAAAAAAAAAAAAAAAAAAAAATCATTAAAGATAAACAGTTTTTGGATCAAGGTAAAAAAGAAAGAAGAAAAGCCCATGGCTCATCTTCCCCATTTCTCAACCATGCTCGAGCCTACTAAGCACAACAACAAAAGATCATTCATGCTTCATTATTTTTCCAATATCTTTTTTTTTTTTTTTTTTTTTTTTTTTGCACTAAAGATGCTATTATATTTATCAACTGTCTTTTATTAGCATTACTATTACTATTATATAAATATTATTATTATTGAGGAAACGATGTTCGTTGCAGAAAAAGGCTTTTTTTTTTTTTTTTTTTTTTTTTTTCTTACAGCGTGGTCGGTTATTAGAGTGCTTTATAATATGCACGGAAGATATGGTAGTGAGAATAGAAAAAAAAAAAAAAAAAAAAAAAAAAAAAAAAGCAACATCAATAAATACCAGTGGAGTATTCAAAACAACATAACAAAAAAAAAAAAAAAAAAAACAAAGGATTATTATAGTAAGATGATCATGTGAAATAAAGGGGAAAGAGTTATAGTACATGGAAGTAATTAAGTTGGCATTATTGACCGTAACTGTTTGTGCTGTTTGTCATCAAATTTAAAGAAATTAAAATCAGATAAAGGTGTAATCATTAAAGAAGAAAGCAGAAGAACTCAGCTGAGGAACGCTTATTTTCGGCTCATTGCTTCTGTAACCTGGCCACTTCTTGTCGCAACATCTCAACCTCCTTTGACAGCTCATCCTGACCGGTCTTCAAGCTAGAAATGTAATCGACAGCTAAATGGCAAATAGCAAATGATGAAAAAATAAAAAAATAAAAAATAGAAAAATAAAGAGGGGAATATCAAACGCGTCAATCAACTGCAGCCTCAATTAAAGATAAATGATGCTGAATATCCTCGAATCTCATGCGCTATCCATAATTTTACCTTTGCTCAAAATCTCCCACTTGCTTGTTTTAAGACTACGGTCCACGGGCAATGAGTCCCGAAGCTCATCAAACAGCTCTTTCATTTCCTTTCGCCGCTTTCGTTCCGCAAGCTTGTGTGAAACTCGCAGCTCAGGTGATCGAGAGTATGGTGTATCACCTTTAGCCAGTGACACGCTTTCGGGTGGATACCCGGTGGCAGATGGATATCCTGGATACAGATGACTACCAATAGAGCTATGATTAGGTGGTGTCGGCTGAGGTGGTTCGGATGCGCCATGAGCCCCTGATAAATGCATCCTTTCCATGTCCATGTTCATATTATGATCATAGTCTTGATGGATTTGCTGCTGTTGCTGCTGCTGCTGTTGCTGCTGCTGCTGTTGCTGTTGGTGATAATGTGAAGGATAGTGGTGCACATCTGCCACAGAGGATCGTCTTGATAAGCTAACATCTGACAAGAGTGAAGGACGACGGGGTTGGTGAAGCGGGAACATGGGACGACCATGGTCTATCATTGCAGAATGTCCATTGGGCTGCATTGAAGATTTAATCTCGGCTGCAGGCTGAAGATTCAGTGTAGGAACCTGACTACCATTACCATGATGATGAGGAGGATGTCCAGCAATGGATCCTCTCCTCGGTGGACTCGAAGGCGCTGACAACGAACTCCGTGGATGATATGGGTGATGATGATGTGGGTGAGGATGCGGATGTGCGATATCGGGAATAGAATCTCGACGCTTCGCAGGAGGCTCGTGGTCAGCCGATGAGTGCACTTGGGACAACGGTGTAGCCGATGTCTTTCTTTTCAAGGAACCCATATGGTCGCCATGGGCAATAGAGTGGCGGCGTTGAGGCTCCTGTGCAAGAAGCTGCCCTAATGGGCCTGCACTGCTATGAATCGATGGAAGCGACTCACGCCTGCCTAGATTATGTTCAGATTGACGGAGTTGTATCGGCGAGGTGGATGGATGCGTGGGATATTGAGGGTAGTGGGATTCTGAGGTTGAGGCTGGTGCAGACGGAGTAGAAGAGGTGGCATGTCGATTTTCGTTTCCCCCTCCATTACCATATCCATTGGGTGTATCCATGGCAACTGAAGATCGATGGTGGTGCATATCGCTGCCGCCCGGAGTAGCAGCATGATAATCAGGCTCTACCAATGATCCACGGCGCGAATTACTCATGTAGCTGTGAAGTGGATGCGAAGGGTCGATAGGAGGCAGTGGTCTACCCTGGTATCCATCAGGAGAAGGAAGAGGGGGTGAAGGGGTCGTATGAGACGGTTGAGAGGCGCCTGAGTGAGAATGATGTGAGTAGGCCTGATGACCCTCATGATCATGCATGTGATGGTGTTTAGTACTGTTGGTCTTGCCGTATTGAGATGGGTAATGGCGTTCTTGCTGCTGCTGAGGAGAGTGGCCATTTGTGTGACGAGAAGGATGGAACGGGGTCTGGTCCTGAGAATAGTCGGATGAACGTCCATGGGGAGAGGGTGTGGGAGTGATTGTTGCATTGTGATCCATGGACATTGACCCTCGATGTCTGTCCATGTCACTGTGATGGTCCCCTTCACTATTGGCGGCTTTCATGTCTTTTAGTGAATTAATAAAAAGATGAGGAGAGAGAGAATCGAGATGATTGAGGAAAAGTAAAATGTGTGGAAGAGAGAACAGAGAGCAAAATTGAGCAAAAAAAAAAAAAAAAAAAAAAAAAAAAAGGGTAAAATGTTGAGCGTGAGTAAAAAGATGTGAAAGGTTGATGGGGAAGAGAGAGAGAAAGAGAGAAAGAGAGAAAGAAAGGAAAAGAAAAGAAAGAGAGTAAAGGGAATGAGGTTCTCCCCTGTGTTGAACAATGAATGTACCATCACTTGCCCTTGTGCATACATAAATTTCCTTTGACACCCTTTTTCGTGTTTTGCCATCGTCGCCCGCCTCAGACTGTTTTTCTTTTCCTCTATTCCATTTCCTCATTGTTGTGGACCCTCATTTGGGTTTTGCTTCTGGTCCACTAGACCAGATTCTTTTTTTCTTCTGTGCTCCCACTGAACCACGCGCACGTACACACAAAACGCAGCCCACCGAAAGCATATTCTTCATTCTGTCTGGTTTGTGCGCTCACTATTCTGTTTCGGTCTCTCTTTTGTCGCAAAGGTGGTACAGCATATTTACACAAACACACATGCACACGCCAATGATCCAAATCTCCTTCCCCATGCCAACAAACAAAATGTAAAATGTAAAATGTAAAATGTAAAATGTAAAATGTAAAGAACAGACACATCGCAACATGAACTTTAATGTCCTCAATGATTTTTTTACCTTGTGGCGTAGATGCCCTGGACGAGAATGAGGGCAGGTTCGAATGCACATCGTGGGAAGGGAAATGTTGACTACTATCAGGTGTGGGCAAAGGATTCGGATCATCATCATGGTCCCAAGTACGATGATGAGTAAAAGAACCATCGACAATTATCTCAAGATGATCGTTAGCCCTCCTCGTAGTCGAATGAGCACTGTAGTTCTTATTATTACTACGCCCATTCGCCATTGGCGACGTAGCCTCCGATACTTCGGAGAGGTAGGTCAAAGACGAAAGGTGTTGGTCCCTGACAGAATTATTGTTACGGGACATGTTCGAAGGTGAGGCCTTGTTGAAATGATAACGTGAGTCGAGTGGTTCCTGAAGTGGCGTTGACGGCGTTGGGATAAGGTGTTGTTGAGAATAAGTTGGACGAATGCTGTGATGGTGCTCTGTTCTCGACGACGTGGTCATGACTCAAAGCGTTCTTCCGAGCGTGTGCGCGGTATTAAAAAGAAAAATCGGGCTCAAGAAACTAGTAAAAAAGATGGTAGGCTGAATATGAGGCTGTGTATATGAATGACAAGTGGACCAAGAATATTGTGAGTGTTGTGAGAGGACAAATTAAAAAAAGAGTAAAAGGGATGTTAATGATTGGGAAAAAAAGGAGAAAGGAGGAAAGAAAAACGCTTTGCACAACAAGAATTGTTGCTATCAATAGACACTATCCTTGATTCCTTAGAATGAATGAAAGATGAAAGCAACAGATCATAACTATTCTCGGTAGAGAAGACAAAAAAAAGGAGAACGAAACAACTCTTTGTCCGTTGACAAAGAGGGAGGAATAACTGGGATGGTAACGGACAATAGAGCAAACAAGCCGATTTGTTCTACAAACGTACTCTATTCCAACAGTATCAATCAAGACGTGTTCAAGCATCAAAAAAAAATAAAATAAAATAAAATAAAATAAAATAAAATAAAATAAAATAAAATAAAATAAAAAATAGGAGATTGTGCAAGTAAAACATGTGGTATGAATGTGGCATAGGAACAATTGCCTTTGAGATTAATGTGTGAACAGGAGATGAATGGCTAAACAGCAAGATAAAAATAGGGCTCAAACTGGTCGATAAGCAAGGAACTTCTCAGATAGCATGTCGGTTCATCATTAAATCGGCAGCTAGAAAGGGGTTAACAATAGTCTATCGGAGAGTGTAGCCGTAATCTGTAAGAGATCGAGCCAACCCACAAAAGGGAAAGAAGAGATGGATATCAAACATACACATTCGTGTGTACAAACCTATACGCACAACAGGAGAGAGTTTAGCTGTGAAAGGAGAGAGGAATAAAAGGGAAAAGAGAACAAGAAACCACACAAGTACAGAGGAATACATGCAAAGCTTGTAAACAAACAAAAGATAAATACAAGAAGTTAAAAACAGGTGTGTTGTTCAGAGCAAGAATGACGACGTCCATGCGATCGCTTTGTCTTCTTCTTTCCCCTTGTCCCATGCACCTCGCCTCTCTCTCTTTTTCTTACTTCGGTGGGGTGCATGCAATTTTTGCCCTCCTTCATCAATGACAACTGACACTTCCCGCGGACTCTAAAAGCATTTGGACCATTATAGAACCATATGTAGGGAGATACATCCGACTCCATATGTGGATGGAGGTGTGCACAGTGCACGCCTTTTGAACATGAATGGACGTGGACGAAAATATGCAGGGTAAAAATATATATAAAAAGAAAAAGAAAAAGAAAAAGATACCTCTTTCACTTTCTATTGTGGATATATCTCCCACTCTACTCCACCTTTGTCATTCAACTTTTATGACTCATGCTCTCACAAATGGACATTATTTGAAAAAGGTAGAGATAGAGAACAAGATGTTGATTGGAGATAGAAGAAAGAGTCTTAGTTCTATGCAAATGTTTGGTGGCGTAACATTTTTACCTTCTTTGTCAGCTGATTAGATCAACAAGAAAAGTAACGAACAAGGAAGGACAAGGAAGGGCAAGGAAGGGCAAGGAAGGACAAAGAAGGACAAGGAAGGACAAGGAAGGATAAAATGAAATGAAATAAAGAGAGATGAGGATCAAGGGATGTTCCTGCCACAAGGAAGAGAAAATATGAATTAGCAGGGCTAAGCTGCTGCAACAAAGAAAGAAGCGAGGGTAGGGACTTGAGGATAATAGAAGAATAGAAATAGAGAGATAGAAATAGGATAGAAATAAAGGGATTAGAAATAGAGCAACAGAAGTAAAGAAAGGTAAGGGAGAGAAGCAAAGACGAAACAGAAAGAGGGACAAAGGATATCTTGAAGCAAATGAGGAATGGAGGTGAGATAGGGCATGGAAGGACAGATGGAAAAGTGTGTCTGCTTTGACTTTGTTCTTTTTTGGGTAACACATGCTTCCCCCTTCTCCCATCCAGCCCTTCCTTTCTTCCTTTTCCTTTTTCCTCACTCGTGTCTACGAACTATGCATCCGAACATCATTCACAAGCTGTTATTTATAAACTATGCTATGCTATGTTATGCCATCATGCCATGCCATGCTATGCCAAGGTCATGACCATGATAATTGCCTTTGTCATTATCAATATCATACTCCATGCACTGCTGGATTATTTCATAGTATCCACCTAGTTCTCTTCGATCTTGAATTATTTTTTTTTTTTATGGATCGATTCGCTCTGGGAAGGAAAGAGATGTACCATCACGCAATTTAACTCAGTCCTAGTCCAAAGCATTTGTCTTTTTTTTTTTTATACCTTATTCCCTTTCCCCCTACCTGTAACTACTGTTCGCCACTCTTCTGCCCTGCCTCCATGCTTCGTTACACCAACTAAATCTTAAATGTCCCTCTTGCTCCATATCTTTTTTTTTTTAAAAATCAATTAAATGACTGAACTGAAGTTTGACTGGTCCAACCAAATAACTGCGTTAGTAAAAGAAAAGTTGGAAGGTTCAAAGATTCAAAAAAAAAAAAAAAAAAAAAAAAAAAATCAATAAAGACTTACGGAAAATGTCATTGACCCCTCTTCTTCCACACCATCACCTGAAGACTGTGCCCAATGAAGAGTTCTGATGCTCAGCCCTGTGCCGCAATAAATGACTGTAAGCTCTCCTCGATTTTCCGGTCTTCTGATTCCATGTAGAACAGGTGAGAGTAGCGGTCAAAGCTCCGATTCTACATATGGAGAGATCGTCACTGCCAAGGTTCTTGTCCGATGTGTTGAAATAGAACCCCACTGTAAACAGAGGATCTCGACTACTGATCGAGTCTTGCCACACCCCTACAATCAATCATAAATCAAATCACATATTAGCTGGCATCTCCAATTTTGTCAAAATCCATATTTTGCTTCTGGCTTGACAGAGTGATAAACAGCAATTTTAACACCACTGAAGACTGATCCAAGATAATTTTCTGCATTTTCTGTTTCCTAGATACTCTGAAAATAGCCAATCGTCTTAATCCCGTCCTACAAAAAATGTAGATCTCGGAACGAATTAGCACTGTGGTCTAGATATCGGACAGCGTACTTCACATTGATTCCATCGTTCCCTACATTGAAGATCTCTGGATTATCGAACTGTAGCTTTTCCTTGACCGCTGATAAAAGCGTTTTTGGTAAAGTTGCGGAAACAGCTACAAAGCTGGTTGATGGAGCCACTTCTGCCCTCCGTGAAAAATTTTAGACAGACAAGTAGTAACTAGGGAATAGAAGTAGGTGAGAATAAGATATGAGTACACACATCACATCTATTAAACTGGGTTCCTCTATTTGACTGTTAGGTGTCTTTGTAACAGTCGCCAAAAAGACATGGTTGTCAAACGTTTTCGACTACGCTTTTGAAAAGAAAAGGCCCTGCATCATATGGCATCCGACGCCTCGGGAAGAAAGGAAAAAAAAAAAAAAAAAAAAAAAAAAAAAAGGTTTATTCTGTGCTAATGCCTTTTCCAGTCGTGTCCCAAGTTGAAGAACACGTTTTTGTCTTCAATCTCCCACATTTTCACGTACTGCATACCTTACCATGTGTGCGCCAACACGAATAGATTTTAACAATCAAACATAAACGCATGGAAGGATAAATAAAAGGAAAATGATTGGAAAGAAAGACCCTTCATGCAAAAACTGCAAATAAAAACAAAAACAAAAACACTTTGCCTTTGTTGTATACGAGAAAAAAAAAAATTCCAATCCAATCCATGCTTGCATGGAGAAATCTGTTACCTGGATGATAATGCTTCCCCTCAATTCCTTGGTCTCGGCAAAAATGTGAAGCACTTTCTTCCGTAGCATTCCTCATTTATGTGAGGGGTATTTTTTTTTTTTTTTTTTTTTTTTTCTTTCCTCATCTCTGTTGTCATACATGAACCTGACATGCACAAATCATAATTTGGTCCCACAAAAAAACCCCCTCCGTGTCCACAGTTGTAGTGAAAAACATTCAGTTCGTATCCTTTTTATTGTTTTTCCTTTTTCTGAAGATCAGTGTGTAGACAAATATAGTACATGTAGGAGATTGTACATCTTCTCCTGAGTTCATTTTTCCTTCCCCGAACTGCACAAACTTTGCTCACCCCTCTCTCCCTCCCTTTACCAAGGCTATTCATTTTCTGTAATGTTTCTTGGAAGAAGAAGAAGAAGAAGAAAAAAAAAAAAAAAAAAAAGGAGTTGACTCTGTTGGCGTCAATACGCGTAAGACAAAGTGCATAAATATTTTTTTCTTTGACAAGACAAGCCTGCAGCGACACCGGTCTATTTTTTTACACTTTATGTCTGCATCTGGTACTACTTTATATGTACTAGACTGATGATAAAGTATTATCCTAGAATGTATTGAGTCAATCGAATAATCATTGTCCCAATCCCTTGCTGGAGCAGAGTAAGGAAGATTAGAAAGGAAGAAGAGGGGTAGAAGAGAGGAAGCAAGGGTTGACCAAGACAAAAGGCAGGAATGAGAAGGGTACGTCAACACGAAAAAAAAAAAAAAAAAAAGACACGTTCAACAGAAATAGGTCACGCTACAAGTAACCAATAAGATCACGAGTGGATGTTTATAAAAAGAAAAAAAGATTAGTGGCACTTCTTGCAGAACAGAGGGAGACGTCAATTACAAATCAACGAAGTTTCTGTGGCACAAGGAAGGAAATGACGACAAGATCATTTGAGGGCCATGTGGATGGGTTTGATGTCCTCTGGCCAGCACTGTTCCTCTTCTTTCCAGTCATATCGGCCATACACTTCAGACTATCCTCTCACTGCCAGTCAGACGATCTAGCCTTATTTACTCTTTGTTCCGACGAAGTATGACGCGTGTGGTGTTGAGCGCCCAAGTGGATGTTTTATTTATTTCCTAGTGCATCAATTTCTTTAATGAAACGCTAATAAAATAAAGGAATGAATGAATGTATGAATAAAAAAAAAAAAAAAGCAATTACTCTGAAAAACATTCAACTGATGAAATGTCTCTCCGACATGATCTGATTATCCATCTAGATGTTTACAAGAGAATGCATGTGTAAGAGAGAGAGAGAGAGAGAAGTAAGAGTGAGGGTGAAACAGAGTGGGATGTGCATATGATGGATGGCTTTGACCTCGTCTCACAAGGTCTTCGTATATACATCTCATCTGTACTTGCATCCATCTGTCACTTCATTCTTCTTTCTTCATTCATTACTATTGTCTTTGTTGTAGTTGTTTTCGTTCTCCTCCGCTTCCTTTCTTCTCTCTCTCTCTCTCTCTCTCTCTCTCTCTCTCTCTCTCTCTCTCTCTCTCTCTCTCTCTCTCTCTTTGACGTTTCTTTGTCTCTTTTGTCTTTTTTTTTTTTTTTTTTTTTTTTTCTTGTGCCCTTGCCTACATTCTCCCTTATCAACGTACTCAATTGGTATCCCACGTCATTTTTTGTTACAACAAGCAGCTCTCTCCACTTGGACTTTGTCAGCAACACAGCAGCTATTACAGCATAGAACAATAGTCATTTAACAACCAAGGACAAACAACTTCTCCACAGCTACTCTTTGTCTCTCCACACTTACATAGCACTTGTTCATACTTTGATAGTCAGATTACACAATACAACTGCAGCCTTTCTATTTTATTTTTATTCTCTGTCTTTTTTCTTTTGTTTGGCATCCAAGTTCTTTTCATCCTTTGTTTTTCTTTCAACACCACTCCACTAATTTACTCCAGTATTGTACTTGTATTCGTCCTTTTTTTTTTTTTTTTTTTTTTTTTTTTGCCTAATCATCACGCCACATTCCACTGCAACCCCCTTACAGAGTGCGTCACAAAAAAAAACCTGCTTTGTTTTCCTGAACGGATTTTTTGCATCTTGCAGCAAGATTGTTTTTTTTTTTTTTTTTTTTTTTGTGTATCAGTCAATCATCTGTCGGTCTGTCTTTCCTATTTTGTTTTATTTGTCAACAATGGACCAACCTAACGTCATCATCGGTGATGATGGCACGGGACCAGGTTCTGGCTCTGGATCTGGATCTGAATTATCATCTACAGCCGTATGGGCAGCAGGCATTTTTGCATTCAGCGCCACATTGATCTCTCTTGCCTCTATTTGGATGCAGCTTAAAAACTATAGAAAACCCGTAAGGAAGAATTATTTACTTTTTCTTTTTCTTTTTCTTTTTTATTATTATTATTATTATTTTCAGAACAATTGCGGATAATTTACATCGATCCTTACTAACACCTCGCTCTCTTTCTAATATCCTTATGATAATAGCTACTACAACGCTTTGTAGTCAGGATTTTATGGATGTATGCATTCGTCAATAGTTTTCCAATAAAAAAAAAAAAAAAAAAAAAAAAAAGATGATCTTAATTTGTTTAATTTTAAACATTATTTTTTATTTCATAAATTTATAGGGTACCTATTTTTGCCATCTCCTCATGGATTTCATTGGTATCACTTGATATTGCCTTCTACGTAGATGCCTTCCGTGATATTTATGAGGTAACCATCTCTTTACATATACCAGACCATCATCGTTTGCGCTGATAAACTAAAAAAAAAAAAAAAAAAAAAAAAAAAATCATTGTTAATCTCTATTCTCCTAGGCATTTGTCATTTACTGTTTCTTCAGTCTATTGGTCTACTACCTTGGAGGAGAGAGATCATTGCTCTTGATGTTACATGGACGACCTTATACAAAACACCTTTGGCCTGTCAGCCTATGGTCTAGAGACGTGGACGTTGGAGACCCCTACACCTTCTTATTCATCAAACGAGGCATCCTTCAATATGTTTATGTAAAACCAGTCCTGGCAGCCGTCACAATGCTGTTGAAATCTAACGGAGCTTACAACGATGGATCAATTTCACTCAAATCTGGATATTTTTGGGTATCGTTCGTCTACAATTTAAGTGTTTGTCTGAGTCTTTACTGTCTAGGCATGTTCTTTGTGGCTACACAGGATGATCTGGAAGAGTTCAGGTAAAGAGAATGAAAGGACCTGGATGAGGATCAGCATAAGGATAAGAATAAGCATGGGCATGAGCATGGGCATGGACATAAGAATAAGAATGTTGTATGTGGGCTAAGCAATAGTGAAGGCTGTTAAGGAATTTCTGTTCACAATGTAATATCCTTACAGATCATATGGACCTCTGATTAAAAGAGAGATGTATCTGCTTTTCACCAACGCAACTTTTCCGCTTTTTTTTTTTTTTTTTTTTTTTCTTTCTTTCTTTCTTTCTTTCTGGAATGCATTCTTTTCATTTTGCTTTTTTAGACCTATTCCTAAATTCCTCTGCATCAAAGCCGTTATTTTCTTTTCATTCTGGCAAGGGTTTGCGATCTCAGTCTTGATCGCCACAGGCATTATGCGGAACAGTAAGTGTATATACTATAAATAATTGTATCCCAAGAATTTTTACCTTGGATATTCACCTGCTGACATGTATTAAATATTCCCTTTTCTATCTTTTTATTTTATTTTATTTTATTTATTTTTATTTATTTTTTTTATATATAGCTACGGCGGATACTGCGGTGGCGATTCAAGATTTTTTGATCTGTTTCGAGATGGTGTTTGCAGCAATAGGGCATTGGTATTCGTTTTCGCACAAAGACTACACGGAACTGGATATCCATTCTGCAAGGATGCCAATATATTATGCAGTTAGGGACGCTAGTGGAATTAAGGACATAATTCAGGATTCACTAGAGACTTTGAAAGGGACGAGGTTCACATATAGGACCTTTGAGCCCTCTGAAGGCGTGGCGACTTCAGGAATGAGTCGAGATGGGCGAATCATGGCAGGACTTCGGTATACAGGCGGAGGCACTTCCAAATACTGGTTACCGGACCCAGATAAGCTCAGTCGAGATGCAATGCGTCAAGCTACCGCTACCGCTGCTGGAGAATACAATGATGAGGCATCGTCCTCCTCCCTCCCTTTCCCAGGCGGTCGACCGGATTATGGACGGAACCCCAATTCGTATACGCAGCAGGTTCTGGGAAGTAGCTATTCAGAGCGAGCACCGAGCCTTTATTTCCCTGATCTGGATGATCAGGATGAGGATGGGATGGAGGAATTGTATGATGCTTCAAAACAGTTGAAGTTTGGGGATTATAATTTCCCCGCGATAGATGTTTACGACCCACATCGGTCCAAGGAAAGTGATCGGAGGAAAATGGCACGCAAGAATAAGAAGAAAGCGCGACAGCATAGTTATGAGAGCGGCTACGGTGGTGCTTATGGTGGTAACGATGTCAGGTATGGCGAGACATCTTCGTTACTGGCCGGCGCAGATTCTTCACTACGGGAAGGCGGACACGAGACAATAGGTCGACCACTGATGAGTGAGCCTGAATATGTAGGTTCAACATTTGGAAAGACAGGATGGTCTACTGTCTCGGGTGATGAAGATAGAAGCACGAAGATTAAGGGAGATAAAGGAGAAGGAGGAGCCACAGCTAGAGCGACAACAACGACGGCGACGAGGGAAGGATGTGTGGATAACGTAAATGGGTACGTGCCAGAGAAGAAGAAAAGAGGGGTGATGCCAACCAACAACAATCTGAGCAGCAGCATCGGTAGCAGTAGCAGAAACAACAACAACAACAACAGCAACAGCAACAATAACAACTATCTTCATTTTGGAAATGGGTATGATACATATGGTTATGGTTATCAGTCATATCAGAATCAACCACAGCAACAGCAGCAGCAGCAGCAGCATCAGTATAGGCCTAATGGCGGTGATGATGAAGAAGAGCATCGAGGACCAATGTTCTTTTTCTTGTAACAACAGTTTAAATCATTCCTATAAAAAAAAAAATAAAAATACAAAAAAATAAAAAAAATAAAAAGTAAATTTGCAAGATGTATTGCATTTTGTTTACGCGTGCAGAGTGGGAGATGTGGTCTGTGCTCAATGCCCTTGTATGTACATGCACTCTGTTTTCTAAGCGGATTATGAACTCCCGCATTTACAAATTAAAAAAGAAAAATGATGACGAGGATAGTAATAGCTTATCTGGGACCAAATAAGCAGAGTCGTCATTGTTGTAATCTACGAAAAACGTGACGCTCGATGAAATCATGAAAATCTTATTCATGTGATAAGAACCCTGCTATTGAAATAAAAAAAAAAAAAAGAAAGCCGTAGTGTGCATCATTTAAAATACATTATCATTTCCTCACCATTGACACTCTAACACCTGCTCATTCCTCCTTTGACTTTCTTTCAGTCGACCAAGACATTCTTTCTCCTCTTTCCACCCCTCCACTTCCTCATACGCCTACATTCGCACACATACATACTAATATACACATCGGATAATAAACATATTCACATCAATACTTTTTTTTTTTTAAAAAAAAAAAAAAAAAAAAAAAATGAGTTATAAGAATCAAGATGGCGAACGTAATCAGGATATGATGCCTCCACCGCCCTCCTATGCTGCTGCCAACACATCCTCTTCACAATATGCTCCATCATCACAACCCGCACCTCAAGAACCTTATTATCAAGCACAGCCTATACCACCTAGTAGTGCCTATGTGCCTCCAGGCAGTGGATACCCACCACCTTCAGAAGCACCACCATCAGGTACTGGCCAAATTCTCTTTGTTGTTGAAAAAAAAAAAAAAAAAAAGTGTTGTGTGGAAGTGGACTGAACGATCAGTACTACCACATATCGATAAATTGAATCAACAACGATATTTATAACATGGAAAAGAAAACTAAAGACTTTTTTTTTTTTTTTTTTTTTTTTTCCTTATATATTTTCCTTCGACTTAGGGGGACATCGATATCATCCAAACGCAGTCATTTATGTAGTGGATGATGATCCAGATACATATTCACGTAGAAATGGCATGCCTGTCGCTATGATTTGCTTTATATTCGGGTAAGGAAATCAAATCAAATCATCAAAAAAAAAAAAAAAAAAAAAAAAAAAAAAAGCAACCGGGATCCATAATGACAAGATGCACTATCTCATTCTTGGGATACATTTTACTCATTTTTTTTTTTATTTTTTTTTTTTAATACCTTGCAGGCTGTGCACATGGGTAGGATATCTATTTGGAATGTGCTTCATTAGGTCGCCTGATCCACGAGAGAGATGGTGGGCTCGTGCTTGTATGATCATGTGTTTCCTCTGGTCCCTCATCATCATTTTCACATCCATCTTTGCTCGACCAAGATACTATTGATGAACTCTTAATCCAACAGACTTGATGCATTAAAAAAAAAAGCAGTTAAATGGAAAACAAGACTACCACTTTGTACATTTGCTCAAACGTAATAAAATAAAAAAAGCCTATTCCTTAATCACATTGTTTATGTAATGTAATTTTAGCTTTGTTTGTTTGAAATGTCTTTGCTGTGCTTTTTTTTTTTTTTTTTTTTCTAAAAAAAAAACCATTCGCGCGTTAAAATTAAAGAAGGTCAACTAAAGGAGAGAGGCCTTTATCAAAATGCAACGCGATTTTTACAAACCGTCCTTCTTTATCTTTTTCCTACATATCTACCATTCCTCTTATTGAAAATATGGTATTCACACTACAACGCTTTTGAATCTATTCCAAACAACCAAACAAGATATTTTGTACGCTGCCCATGCAAATCCGTGATAGAGAGAGACCCACCCTTAATGGATAAAGATGATAGAGGCATTACTAGAATAAAAAAAAAAACACAATATCTAAATAAATCCTACGTGACCCCTGGGGTCCTTGATATCAAACCCGACGCCATTTTTTTCTAGCGACCCTCTCCGGAGGATGGTCGTCAAGTGCAAGAAAAAAATAACAGATATGGTCATCATCAATTACAAAAAGTTAATTAAGCTATAAAGCAACAGACTTGTAATTGACAGAGTTATGATAACTGATTGAATACGATTGAAATTGAGTGTGGTCTCTTATGTGACTACTAGGTGTGTTCATACTACATGCACTGACTTCCGCAGTTCTCTTCCTTTTGTCCTTTTGTCCTCTGCCCTATATTTTGTATCCATATTGAACTCTCCAACGGAAGGAGCAGTATAATTTCCCTTCTACAATTAACACATTCACATTCATCACAGTAACCCATTCACAATGCCAAAGAACCTAGTGCAAAGAGATTCTGCTGAGAAAGCTTATAAAACCTCTAAACCATATACGCGGAGGCGACAAACCAAGCGAGCTCCCAAGCCACTTAGCTTGTGTATCATATGTATTGTTGATGGAGAAGCAACATCTTTTTCTGTAAATATCCCTTCTGATCGTTCAGTCGACGAACTCAAGCAAGCCATCTATTTGCCTGCCAGGTTTGGTGATATCCCACCAGATAAGCTAACTCTCTACAAGGTCTCCATCCCTGACGAAGACAAGACTGTCGTTGAGTCAGAAATTGTGTCGAAAGAGGCTCTCGCACCCGCGTCAATGGAGCTTTGGGAGATATTTAATTCCAAACTTCCAGAGGAAACTATCCATGTTTTTGTCAAGCCACCACAGCGAGGTATATCTTTGGCTCTTGATGGACTGATTGTTAATATTTTCAGCTGATGAAGCTTTGTTTTCTATCTTAAACGGCCATGTGCATAATATCACCACTTGGTTTGTGCCTTGATTAACTCTGCGTTCTTTCTGATTACTCGCTTTGATACTTAGCTCAGAAAAGAAAACAAGATGAAGTGGTTGGTGAGTGCTTTTGACCGGGATGCTGATTATTGTTTGTAATAGAGTAATGTACAATCGAACAAAAATATTGACTTTGATCATTCTATCTCTTTTAGCAGAGTCACCCTCTAAAAGAGCTCGTCCAAGTATGAGTATCACAGGTAGATCTGGTACTCTTATGGATGCGATTGCAGGGTTTGTAAGCAAAGGGATAGTGGATGGCAGAGGCTCATACCGATGTCTTACCGCTGCCATTTTTGGTTAGTCCGCTATCAATTACAAAAGGTTTATTAATTGGTAGGCTGCCTATAATTGACTAATACCGATATCGGTATGAGTCTCTACCCGGCATCAATAAGCTCGAGAGGCCGGCGGATCTTGTAAACCTCGTAGCAAAAGGGTGCATTTCAAACATCCATGGTGAATGTTTGTTACATAGATGACCAACGACTGACCATCAGCACTTTCACCTGAAATGTGGGTCGAATCTGAAATTATTCTGAAGTTAAAAGATCGGATTTGGGATACAGTGCTAGAAAAGCTTGTGGTAGGTGGCGAGGATATTGCCAAAGGGACAATGTTTGAAATGTACGTTCGTGATATATTCAAACGTGGCGATATTAGGAGATGATGAAGAGTCCTGTGGAGAGCCCAGTGATGAGTCTGATGATGAGACCCAAAATCATATTGTTTTCACCGGGACAGCCAGCATAGGAAATTATCCCTTCTCATATACTTTGTTATCTGGATGCTTGCCACTTGTGGAAGACCCATCGATTATCACCATCCAGGGCACCAGAATGTTTAACTAGGAGCTAGGATGACAGCTCCGTTCTAAAGATATAAATGTCGTTTTAATCCCACGGTCCATGCAAGGGATGGCAACCTGCGACCAATGAGATCATATTTACTGTATGTTCGGCCAATTCAGTGTCAATATGTGAAGGCAGCGCGTTTTGAATATCTAGGCATCTGGGGACATGGAATAAAGAAAAATATCAAGAATTAAGCCAGAAGTTTGTTTGTTGACCCTTACCGATAGATAATTTAACTGGATGCTAGAGCGACGATTATACTATAGAAAAGTACGTCGTCCTAGCATCCGTCAAATGTGGCCCGTGCATTAGAGAATGGGTGGAAGCCGGGTTGGGTGTTTATTTCTATTCTAAGACACAAGCCATAAGTTCAATCCTCCATAGCAAGGTCAGCTGGCCTTAGAAAGATACCCAAAGGACCTGAAGGGTGGACTTCCGAGTACAAGCAACAATTCGAAATCCAATAAATCCAGCAGCATCCGATCAATCAAGCGGTACTCAAGGGTTTCCACCAACGACGGAAGAGAGCTGCTGAGGGCGCGAGGTGACCTGTTGAGCCGTTTGCATCTTAATCCGCCAAAATGCTGGATATTCACATGGAGAGCTAAGCTTCACTTGCGATACCGGCTTTGCTGGTCAACTCATGGCGCAGACCAACAGATACCAGTCCTGCCTTTAGGTTGGGACGCCATGCACTTGGTACAAATACTATAGACCCATTCAAACGTAGGCTTTAGTCCATGTCAGGCTGATATTGCACACTTTCCGGACTAAATAAAGAACTATAAACGATTTATCTATACTATGCCGCGGTGAAGTATTTTTGTATGCCGAATATGAGCTGTTTGTCAGAGGGTCAAAAAAATAAAATAAAATAAAATAAAATAAAATAAAATAAATTAGAAATAACCCATTTTGACCACTGTCTTTCGGGTAACTGTAGAGCGGAACAGAGCATGAAAAGTATTTTGTAGATAGTAAGCAGTAGAGAAGTAAGTGAGAATAAGATATGGAGTCCACACGGAGTATTGATTCATTTTCTGGTAGAGAGACTTATACCAGGTAACTACGTATCTATCTATAAGATGACAAAGATTCGTTCTAAAAACTTCATACCAAAGATTTATCGCATCTATGTGTGGTGCGTTATTGCCACTAATTGTTACTGCTAACCTTTATAGCGTAGTATTTTATCAGTGTTTTTCCTAGTTTTTTTCCTAGCTAGGCCATCATAATATTGCATCCTGTAGTGCAATGGTCAGATTACTCGTGCATAGAGTATCGCAGCTCCCACGACGCTGCAACTTCCAGCAGTAATAATCCCAGACTCCTCCCTCACTCTAGACTCACCTTCGCTTATTTCTTTGCAGAACCATTTATATTTTTTAAATATCTGTAGTCCCCCCGTGCAAATATCTTTCTGCCTTATTTTTCTTGCCCGAATATATATGTATCTCTTTTACAAGATGAGTTCGCAAATTTCCTTTAGATTAATCTAATTGATAGCCCAGATGTCAAGGAATACCCTCATGGTTTGCTTGACAGCCTACCTAAGCGTTATTTGACCTCCATTTCTTGTTTTATCTGTAAAAACCCTCGTATCTCGTTTACTAAGGACAAACCTGCGTTGATGAGAAGCATAGGAGCTCCTATTGAACTTGTTGACAACCAACAAAAAAAGGTTCACCAAGCTTTTTGATCGTGACATTCAGCTACAATCCGATGACAGTAACGGTTAGAGGCGCACCAACGTATTCATGCGATCCTAATACTTCCTAGAGGAAGCCTACCAATTAAAGGCGGATTTTAACTGAAAGATTGACATAATAACCCCCGTGCAAATAGCTTCATTATTTGGCAGCCCAATTGCTACCCAAGTGTGTGAAGTTAGCTGGCTGCCCCCAAAAATAGGCTGCCAAATAACGGCAAAAATTACTATTTAGTATAGGTTGCCAAATAGATTAAGCCTTCTTTCTGGTTAAATTGGCTGTTTTTATTTTATTTTTTTTAGTTTATTTTTAAGCAGGACGATACTTCCAACGGCCGCCATTGATATATGCTTGGATACGCGGATTGGACCGGAGACGTTTAAAGAGTCTATAGGTTGTTGGGCGAACACTTTCGGAAGCGATCATTGGTGCTTGTTCATGGAAGTCGGAATAAAAAAAGTCGACCCATTCAAACCAAGGGAACTCAGCATACGTTGTCTAGGAAAAATAAAATAAAAGGACGTGTAATAAATACAAGTTTGGTTCATGGTCATTAAAGCCAAGATGCTATAGATCTCTTTTTGTACATTTACTCTCTTTCTCTCTCTATCCTTTGCTTTTTGCTTTTACTTTTTTTTTTTTTTTTTTTTTTTTTTTCTCTTTCTTTTCTGTACCTTGTCATGTAACAAGTAGCCATTGGACCCATTTTGGACCAGCAGTCGTTCAAAGCAATCAAAGAACGGCGCAAGTTTCGCGAATGCCGCGTCAATAGTAGCTTTATCCTTGGGATTCGGTTTCAACCACATGTGGATGAGTAAGGTGCTGAACACATTATCGAACGCACACTGGTAGCATGAATCTAAAAAGGCCTCCTCTTCAAGGTTGTTGCCTGATAAATTAAACAGACGAGCAATATAACGCGTCAAGGCTGGTCCTTCTGCTACTCTCACGCTCTTGCCATCTGGTTTGTAATGTGTCAGAATCGGGAGTAAACCAAATGGGGTGCCCTTCTTCTCTTCAGCCCAATTCACAGGTTCTATGCTTTTGTAATCAGCCTTTATTTTATGATGAAAAAAAAAAAAAAAAAAAAAAAAAAAAGGGGGGGAGGGGGGAAAGAGTGATACTGTTTAGTTTTCATGCATGGTAAAGTAATAAATACACACGAATGAACATTGTCTTACACCAACGTATTCAAGAATCAAACGAGGCACTTCAGCACGAGCGCGTGCAGGCATATAGAGAATCTCGAATCGAGAGTTCCTTAAAACATCAGACTTGATCGTATATTCGTCATTGGAGGTATAGCCAGACTGGAGAGGCGCTTGTGATCCACCTTGAGCTGGTTGACCGGTGGTGCTAGCCATAGTTATAAAGAGCTATCTAAATGTGGATTTGGATGTGAATATGGTAATGAATATGAATGCAAGGTTGTTTCTTCGAGAGGGATTCTGCGATGTCTGTGAAGAATGGAAAGGAAAAAGAAAAAGAAAAAGAAAAAGAAAGAAATAGGTCTGACTAGCACTTGGCTTACTGTGCAGTGCACAGTAAAGAAAATCCCTCATTCCATGGACACGCCGTTCTTCAAGACCTTTCTTAAAACATTACAAGACACCATTCTCAGTCTTGTCAACAGCCTTAACTTTATAGGTCTCTTTCTTTCTTTTTTTTTTAGAGGACAAAGCCACAGCATGGTTTGTTTCTAATGCTTCTTTATTACATGCAACATCAAGATTGCCCTTTATATGCTATTGATGCTTCATTGTTTAGGCCTTAGTCTCCAAAGGGACCTTGAGGCTCTCGTCGGCTTTCGCTGTTACCTGCTTCTCCTTGCCGCCAAAGCTGGTTAAAAAAAAGCATTTAGTTTTTTAACATTTCGATCCAATGTTCCCATATAAAGAGACAGAAAAAAAAAAGAGAGAGAGACTTACTGGTGATAGTCAATAAAACGGTATCCTTGAATCAATTGAGCAGTCTCATTGGTAGCATGGCAAGCAAAGAGAAGGTAGTTGCGAGGTTGAACCATCCAGGCGAAACGCATGAAGAGCAAAGAATAGACTGTCAAGGCACCAGTCATCTTGCCCGAGATCAACTCGGGATCCTTCTTGAAATCCGAAATGGCCGCAAGAGGAAGACCCCAGTTGGCAACTATCCAATATACAGATGTATATATAGTTAAAATAGGAGTTACAACAAGTCCTTGTTAGATTATATCCATGGATAGTAAACAAGTCCAACGTTTAATCATTGCAGAGTGGATCAAAATATAGCCAACTTACCAGGGCCCCAAAAATGCTAATTATCATTATTTCCAATACAAACGTAAAGAAGAGAGGATATGACCGTTAACATAATAAAAGTAATAATATTGCAGAACCCATTGAAGTTTTCTTCTCTTCTTCTTTTAAAAACAATCGTGTCTTTGTTGAATTATATTCCCAATGACAAAAAAAGAAAAACTAAAAACGAAGATCATGGATGTTTTTTTTTCCATCCCTATTTTCTTCTTCTTTTTCTTGCTCAGCACCCTTACACCAAGATCCGGGATACGAAAAAGACTGGTTGATTCCTCATTTTAACATCCATGCTTCTGTTGGTGGGAAAGGACTATCCCATTTGTTTCATATGATTCAATCCAAGCTGATGTGAAAATGCCAGCAACAAGATCCGAGCGTCAACAAAAAAAAAAAAAAAAAAAAAAAGAAAAATCTTAAAGGGACAGATCCATAATTATTTTTTTCCTTCCTGATTAAAAATATCCAGAGTTTGTTGGGTTTCCCTGTCTTTATATATTAGGTATATCAATGACTTACGGTGCTATGTAGTTCATAAAAGAGAAGTAATAATAATAAGTAGAAAAGAAAAAAAGATGAAGAAGAAAAAGAAAAAAGTATCATTAGTCATAGTAGCCAAGGTATCAAGGTATCAAGGTATCAAGGTATCAAGGTATCAAGGTATCAAGGTATCAAGATATCAAGATATGTTACATGGAAAGGCATCATGAAGAATGAAGAATAAAATCAATGTTACCTCATCAAGTAATTTCTAAATTCTGGGCTGGCGATCTTCTGACCCAGCTGAGATGCCCAAGAAGCCATGATAAAATGTATAAAGGGAAATGAAAGAAAGGAGTGGAGAGTGAAAAAGAATGAACGACGTTGGGGAAGTGAGGATAAAAAAAAACTCTTATCGCTCACATTTCCTTCGCTCCTAAACCCTTTCCGTTGGGGAATTTTTTTTTTTTGCCCGTCTTTAGTACATGTAGTCTAATTGAGAAGGAACAGGTGGCTTGCTCTTCTCTTCTACTCATTCACCACACACGGGCAAGATGACCAACATTCCACAGAGTAGACGCGTCGCGTGTAGCTTTTGACTTCACGTGACATAATGTGTCTATTTAAGGTTTGTTTCTTAGCTTTTCTCTACTTTTTTTTTTTTTTTTTTTTTTTTTCCAACCAACTGAATAACATTGCTCTTTCCTTTTCCAACTAATTGAATACTTCACCTTTTTCTCTCCCAATCAGCTGAGTACCTAATTGTTCATTCAGAAAGAAAACTCATACCATCGGAAAACGCAAAGAACCCTCTGACTATTCTACTCAGTATGATATTCAAGTGACAAAGAAACAACGAAATGAAAAGACACAAGGACAAGAAGAAATAAAAGGCAACCAGTATAGCATGACAAGCTCGAGCACAAATGTAACAACAGTAACAATGGCTACCCCATCGTCAACTATTGTGGTATCACGCTCTATTATCACCTCAGGAGTCGTCCTTCGTCATGTTGCTGTTTAAAGACCCAACTGAATCCATTCAACAACAATACTAGTGGCAACAACAGTGGCGCCAAGGGCGACGCCACCAAAGCCTCAACAGCTTCTACCTCTGGATCAAGTGTCTTCCGTGCTAAAGGTATTATCAAATGCCAATACAGATAATGGCGTCTTCTCGCCCTCGTCGTCCTCGTTATGGACGCGAATATTCAAGTATGACAACAGCAATCCTAACAGAGTGCATAGAACGTTTATATATGACCTAGCAACTTCAAGCACTTTCATCTTATCGTCCTATCCGTAATCCAATGGCATCATTGGAAACAACATGCCATCCCGGCGGAGCTGCCACCAATTTTAACCGCAACACCTTTTTGTTCGAAAAGCAAAATATATAAATAATAGTAATAACAATAGTAATAGCAAAAAGGAAAAGCCATTTAGCAATTAATAAAAAAGGATGTCGCATAAATCGCTTTATTCATTTAAGTCTACGTGTTACAACTATATACAGCTTTTTGTTTGATTTGTTTTATTGACGATATCCGACTCCATTGTCGTTGCTGTTGACGTTAGCAGCTGAGGAAGGAGGCGCGCCAGCGTTGAGAGCCGTGTTCTTGCCATAGTAACGTCCGTTTTCACCACCGTCCATCAAATTCTTGTATTGATATTGTGCTGCAGCGACTCCTGCCAAGGCACGTACTTGTGCAGTGGACATGTCATGCTCATTGTTATCTTCTGTTGTGGTATCTTTAGTGCCATTGGCACCTGATGACTTTTGGTGATGACGATGCTGGTAATGTTGTGGCAATCTGATCTGCATGGTCTAGATCCAATTCATCCGCCAGCTTAGAAGGGATCAAGCCATCATCCTCATCATCATGTCCATCCATTCGGTACTGCAAGTACCTCTCCCTATCACTGGCAGACATCTTTGCAAACGTTAGTTCGGTGTCAACCCCTTCCAAGGGTGTTCGGATTTTAAGAGATCCTGGAGCAGATCTTGGGATCGGAATCTTCTTCTTTGGTCCTTGTTCACTGACCAACAACTGTTGGGTTTCCTTATCCAGGTTCGAGAGGACAAAGTCATCATCATCAAACGAGTCTGGGTAGGCTCTTCGGAGAGCCAGCTGACGGGTCTTGATATATTCAAGTCCCATGCGCTTCCAATCCAAGAGATCCGACAGGCGTTCAGTTCTGTTACGTTGATTGATACGTTGATGGCGAGATTTCTGACAGAAGACCAACATTTGGTCTGCAAGTTGTTGAATCAATTCCTCAACCGACTTCATCCGACGGTCGACAATGTAGATTCCATATTCTGAAGAATCGACAATGCTATCATTCATAAAGCCTCTAAATCCAGATAGGTTGGTGGTGATACTAGGGACTCCCATGACTGTACATTCAGCAGGTGTATAGCCCCAAGGCTCATAACACGAAGGGAAGACACCCAAATGACAACCTCGGACAAATTCTTCATAATCCAATCCAAACAATGGGTTGTTGGAGTTGAGAAATTCGGGATGGAACACAATCTTGACTCGATCAGAAGGATGGTTGAACAAGCCTAGGCGGCGTAGCTGAGTCAAGACCGGGTCTTTGCTGTCACCCACCATGTTATGGGTCACAATCGGAGACATTGTTGAGCGTCTGAGAGTAAAAGTACGGCGTTGCAACAGGATCTCATCCTCGCTCGTCAAGAACTGAGCCATCGCCACATCACCGCTGAAAGAAGCAAAAAAGCAGAAGTAGGGTCAGAAGCAGAAGCAGGAAAAATGCTTAATGGGACAGATCCATAATTATTTTTTTTCCTTCCTGATTAAAAATATCCATAGTTTGTTGGGTTTCCCTGTCTATACGAGTATTGGGTATATCAATGACCTACGGTGCTATGTAGTTTATAAAAGAGAAGTAATAATAAGCAAAAAAAGAAGAAAAAAGTAAGGTGTCGGCAGGGAGCATGAATGAGGGTAATGCACGAATCCTATAAGCTTTCGTCAAGGGACTGTCCAACGTATTAGATTGATAATGATGTTGTGGACATTGTTTTTGTGCAGCAATTTTCGAAGCATTTTTTTTTCATAACTTTTATTTCTGTTCCCAGCATCCATCATCTCTGTTTTTCCAACTTCATCACCAATGTCATGACGTTTCGATGTTATGCCCATGCAGACAACACACGCGAGTACATCATGACTAGCGATGCCAAGCGCATCAATTCATATGACTTTATGCTAATTTTTATCTGTCTGGGATTAGTTTACGCTTTGGTATGTGAGAAAAATGAAGTTGGGGGGAAAAATGAAGTCTGCTTTACTTTTTCTTGTTTGTCCATACTAACATGTAGTGATGCGCGCAATTTAGGGGACAACAAAGACTTGCTATGCTGTGGTTTCATTATTGATTTTGTTCCGGATTGCTTTCAAGCTGTTGTTTATGGTGACAGAAGAAACGATTTTGGTGATTCGAGATGTAGGGGTCCAGGTGAAGACGGTTTACTTGGGAGGCAGGAGTTCATCTAGATTCATTGATCGATCCAAGATCACGGATATCATCATCAATGAGGCGATTACTATGATGCATATCCGAGTGTACATGGCAATCATTGTCGAAGGTGAAGATAGGATGGTAGTTGTATTCCAGGTTTGTAGTAGCCTTGTACTAATACATTCTAATGCTGATTGTAGCTGTTGTCGCACGTTGTTGTCGTTACTTACAAGCACTTTATTGTTATTTTTATTGCTTGGGTAACCGATCTGAATGAATGATAGCACCTGTTACCAAGACTGAATGTTCTGTTGCAAGCATATCATGGTGCAAGATCAATCATCTTCAACGAAAAGGATAATTCGGACGTGCCACTAGAATTTTCATAAGAGAAATTATCGCGTTTTTGTGTTGCAAATTTTCATCAGCCACACTCCCTGATCAAGTTTCTCAACGTGCACAATGCCGTTACCATCGCTCACTCTTTGACATCATTTCTTCATTTGGATCTTCTATCCTATTATCCTGAACAAATATTCATTATCCTCTTTTGTAACTTTGACAATATAGTACAAAAGCACTATCGAACAACAACAACAAAAAAAAAAAAAAAAAAAAAGTATAGCAGACAATAGATAATCTCACTCATGTCACAGCCGGTGCATAAAAAGTAATGCTACCGTATAATACAATAATACCAGACATGTGTGTTTTGATGAGCCTAATATCTTTGATGCTAATCGATCCTTCTATACTGTCATTCATCTTTTTTGTTACTCGGATTACTTTTATCACTCCACCAGGAAATTTGGATTTGAGTTCTTATGTAAGACACGGTACAGGAACACGTTACCACTGCCGCCATTTGCACCCAAGTTGTTGGCGTTGCCGTCATCTACGGAACGATGCATCAAATTTCAGTCCACAGGGTTGGTTGAGTCCACTGCTAATGAGGTGATCTTGGATAATCAGTATGGGGTACCTATTGATTTGATTGAGATGCGGGACAATTACTTTGGAGAAGCACGTTCTAGTCATCATCACCATCCTCATGAGGGTGCAACAACAACAACAGGATTAAATCAGCTGGATGAGATGTTGTTGACGGTACCTATCCAGACATCATCTTCAGGAGTAGCAGGACTCGGCATAGGAAGCAATGGCATGAACAATAGTAACGCTGGAAGCAAGTCGAGGTTGCCAGTCGTATCTTGGTTACGAAGAACGGAGTATATCAGTTCAGAGACACCTACCGGCGCAGGAAAAGGCGCATATAAAGAGTAAGCACTTCTTTATTTTTTTTTTCTTTCTTTCTTTCTTTCTTTTTTTTTTTTTTTTTTTTTTTTTTTTAACCTGTGTTTCATAAATACTTTATAGCACTATCAAGAAAAAGAAGGTTGAGGTTGATAGCTCGAGAGAAGGACAGATCAGGGCAATTGAAAAGACATTTGAACGATTTTATAGGAAATCATCATCAGGATCATCAACACCATTATCAGAAGAAGAGTTCTTGGCTAATCTTAAACATCCAACAAAGCCAGGCATTACTGCAGTCGAGTCATTACCTATTTTCCCAGACTTTACTATTTGGGGCAATGATTATACGCTAGTGACATTTGATGTCGATCCAGAGATGACTAACGACCGACCTGTTCAGATCCAGGATGAAGGAGTATGTATTTTTTTTGCTTTTGAAGAAAAAAAAAAAAAAAAACGCCCTATACGATTTAACTAAGGAACCGAATACCGAATTGTATTTTGATCTTCTACGTTGTTGTTATTACTACTGCACATAGTCGTCTGCGAATAGAGCGCAGCGATCATCGAACGCTTTAATCAAACCTATGCATAATGCTAATGATCCAGAGACTTGGCTGGCTTACTACTTACCCGATATTGAGACTGCAAGGGAGATTAACCATCGCAAGCGAACTCGTGCACAACTTGAGGCCAGTGGTTTACACAACCCTGATGATGATGAGGATGATACAACAGAGAGAGTATATAGCTTGCAGCGTGATTACACTTATACGACCATCCCCTGTTCATATTTATCACAGCTCGTGTTCACATTCAGAGATTTGCCCGAGTCCACTAGTGGCGGCGGTGGACAAAAGGCTGCGTTCTATAACCCGATGCAATCCAAGCTCATGCTGCGCAAAAAACGAGTTAATGTAAGTGTCTCTGCTGTATCCCTCTATATGTTACTGTTATGCGAGAAGAGGGTGAGAGAGGTCGATTTTGAAACTGTAGGAGTAACAAGAGACTGACACATGTGTATGAATGTCTTTTCTATATATATATATATATATAATAGCGTTATGAGGATGATGATCCACCTATCACCCATATTGATGTGACAAGCCGACGCATGAATTCAGATGAACTAGCAGCGAAGCGGGATGCATTAGAAGCCATTGGACTTTAAGAGGCGATTGGAAAAGGAAAATAAGAGATATTATCAATGATAGTACCAGGAGGGGAAAAAAAAAAAAAAAAAAAAAAATGAAATGAAATGGCGAGTCTTGCTCAGTAGACTGGACGATCCTGCAATAATAACAGTAATAGCAATAAAAAAGAAAGTCCAGAACAATGGACATATCGATCATTTGGTTATTTTATTTCACAATTATTAAAATCGCAGAAAAAAATTACAAGATAGTCTTTTCATTTTTCTAGAGTAACCAGTTAATGACTTTTTCTTTGCTTTTTTTTTTTTTTTTACAGCTTGGCATGTTTGTTAAGTAAGAAAGCAGCAACTTCAGGATACATATCCTCTTTGATAAGTCCGATAATGGATCCTGCCTTGGCCTTGGGTGCAACCTTGCGCGCAATGGTTTTAGCGAGTTCGAATGCAGCGTCAACACCTTCCTTATCGGGAATCGCGTCGACGATATGGCTCGCCAATGCGTCCTTGGCAGAGTAGCGTCTAGCCTCCAAGACCACAGAGCGGTAGACGTGATGAGGAAGCTTGTAACGCAACAAAGCTGACATCCCAGTAGGCAGAGGAGCAGGAAGATCAATCTCGTTCTAAAATATGATGCATTCGGATTAATTTTTTTTTTTTTTTTTTTTTTTTTTTTTTTCGTGCATACAACAAGCGTATTCAAAAAGAAAGAAAGCTTACCATGCACATGAAACCACGATCGCTCCTCATAACACGATAATCATGCGTCATAGCCATCAACATACCACCGGCGAATGCATGTCTAAAGAAATAAATAAAAGAGCATTAGCAGTTATGAAGATGTAGAAAGCTTTATGCGTTTTCGCCCCATGTCAGGTGATCCTATTCTCTACGTAAGCATGGGTATTTCAAAAGCTTCCATTCCATATTCCGAGAGCAAGGGTCTTATATGGAGAGGTGCTACAATCCTCGCCAGAAAGTCGCCGACATATATAGCCCGTTTCATTTGGTCGCGATACCTTATATTTTTTGAATACTTTCGAGTGTATTGGCAGCCAATTAGCTCGCTTGTTACGAGTATTGTTGCAAGTCCGTCACGTAGTGAGATGCCACCAGAACAATTCAATCATCGTTTTTAGATTAAAAATATAAGGTGTCGTGACCAAATAAAATTGGCGATACTTTCAAGATTTTAAATTGCCGCCATTTCAGACGTTTTTTAAAATATTCGATGATGGATAAATTCTACTCCGGAAATTTGATTGAAATTAAATCTATCCATTTCCCTTTTCACTACGATCTTTGATAACTTGAACTAACCCGAGGAGTTCTCATTACACATATAAATGAAAAAAATAAAATAAAATAAAAAACTTACCCGTTAATACAAGCGACCGTTGGGAGAGAGAACATCAAGATCTTATGAAGCATAGGCATGAAGATATCCTCTGGGAAATTGGGGATAGCCAAAGCCTTCTCAAAATGAAGACCATTCGAATAAAACTTCTCAGCGCCTCCACGAGTGATCAGAGCAGCTTCCTTTAGGTCTTCCTTATCGACGATATCAGAGACATAGTCGAGCGCATCGCAGATACCGCCGCAGAATTCCTTCGTGAATCGATTCTCATTATCAAGCATGGTCAAGATGAACAACGGGCCATCACGAGTAACAGACATCAATTGCTTAGAATCGGAGGGGAAATATTTAGTATCAGTAGTAGGAGCCATTATTTCAAAAAAAAAAAAAAAAAAAAAAAAAATTAGGAGAGTGAGGTATTAGTTTGTTACTAAAGATTAGTAGAGCTGAAGAATGAATAAATGGAGGATGAAATGAGCACTCGGTGAATGATTGGAAAAGAAGAGATGAGGACGGACAAAGGGTCCAAAGTAGAGAGAATATGGAGTCAATTGGTGAGCCGAAACGATGAGACAGGGCAGAATCCCACCCATATGTGATATTTTTTAGATCCTCAGGTTCATTTCCAGCACGTGCAGAAAGAAAGAGAAATTAGAAAGCTAGAAACCGAACAAACCTGTGGCGGGACGAGAATAAACAGACAAACTACACTACTTGCCAACGCCTCGCGTTGAACAACAGGGATTCCGTGTCTATCAGCCTTAGATTCGGGGTTTTGATCAATCATTAGAGCCAGAAAAGAAGACGAGACAATAGGAAACCGAAGTCTCTAAGGAGCATGGGTTTTCTTTTAAAGAAAATGAAAAAAAAAAAAAAAAAAAAAACCGTAAAAAAGAGAATATCTTCGTAAATACGCTCTTAAAGCTCATTATTCTCCACAAAACGACCTTCAGTTCACTTGACTTGGAGGCCTTCAAGATGATGCGTGCAGTACCCAATCCATTATACTCAGTCTCGAGCATAGACATCATTCCATCAAAAATGGACTCGAAAAGAAATGTATTTGGGACAAGTTATTAAGAAATGTACTTATAATCGAATAGTTTCAGGAGTAATCAAACGAAGTTCTTTGGAGTAAATCATTTTACAACACATGGCTGCCAGCTGGCTTCAGCAACCATTGTGCATGAAGCGACTCCAAGGCCCTCAAGTGGCAGTATTGCCTTACTTCCATTATAAAAACACAAATCCCAAAGCGTTTACCATATTTGGAGGATGTATTGATTACTACGTCTGAACATTTATCGCAATCTCCGTAACACCATGCCAGATGCCAAAAAAAAGACTTGAATGTGGCACATCAATCACCCATGGGCTCTTTTTTTGTTTAGGAACTCATTACACACAACACGCGTCTTTTGGTTTCCCTACTTTCTGTAAAACAGAAATAATCTTTTAATGCATCTTTATTCTAGAAATGAGTAATCTGCTATAATAGTAACGATGATGATTAAGGGTCAAAGGTGAGCTACGCCGGCAGTGATCTAAGCTGGAAGCGAAGCAGCAGCGATTTTTGAGAACAAGCACGTGCTGGTTAATTTTTTCAGCATGCTGGTTCAATTTTTCAGCATGCTGGTTTATTTTTCCAGCATGCTGGTTCGTTTTTCCAGCATGCTGGTTCGATATTTCAGCATGCTGGTTCGTTTTTCCAGCATGCTGGTTCGATATTTCAGCATGCTGGTTCGATATTTCAGCATGCTGGTTAAAATTTATTAAAATTTTTAACTTGCTTAACCAAGTGCTCCTCCATGCACTGCTACCTCAGACATCATTCGCATTTATTCTAGAATCTCGAGCATCAATAAAAGCTTGATTACTCACAGCTACAGAATGGATAATCCTCATTCAAACATTTGTCAGTTTTGTACAGCGTTTTTAATTGTTTTATCCATTTTAAAATAAACTTTATCGGTTTTTTTTTAAAATTGTTCCAATGAATAAAAAAATTTATCCAAAGGTAAGTTAAAAAGTTGGCCGAAAAGGGCTGAGAAATTTATCCAAGTGTTTGCAAATTTTGTCCAAGTGGTCATGCGGAATTAACCATGACTTTTGTGGGACATGGAAAAGGACATGGTGTTTGGATATTTGTTACAGTCGGTTCGGTTATTATGTTTGAAAAAATGGATAATATTTCAGACACATTCGGATAACTTATAGGATAATTTTATTAGCTTAAATGGATAAAGCTTATTTCCCATCGGAGCAATGCAAATTGAAAATGGATAAATGTTTTTTTAAAATGGATAAAACAATTAAAAACGCTGTATATGCACATGCCTAAAAAAAGATGTCAGCCATAGTTTGGCATCTGTTTTAGAAATTAAGCGTTGCCATAGAAGTCCTTTATTTTAATAAAAAAGTTAGCTGCTACTGCTACAACTCTGTAATTTTTTCAGGGCAGAGACAAAGCTATGATAAAATATGATGTTACGGAAGTTTTGATTGGTCATTCGGTTTCTGCGTGCAGACAGGATCCATCCGGCTCTGCTGAATAACCTTTCAGAATCATTGGAAGTAGCCTGGACAGAAAGGTATGCTCGTGCAAATGGAGCAATATAATCCATTCCTCTTAATCCCTTGTCCTTTTGCTCCTTCCAGTAAAGCTCAGGAGTAAAAGCAAAACGCGCGATGTCCATCATCGGCGTTCTTGAAATAGACGCATCATAATATACCATATCGACACTAACTATCGAATGGTAATATTCTTGTTCCAAAAGAGGAAGTTGATCCCAACATGCTCCATCTTGGGTGGCGGCAAACTTTTTTGCTGCATCTCTGGTCACCTCTAGAGCTTTCTTCCTGAGAGAGTCACCATTGGTTGTCATTATGTCTTTAATGATACTCAAGGTCACCGGGTTCAGGAATAGCGATATGAGCATAACATCGGGAATGTCATCCACGGCCCACATCGTATTGATAAGCCTGTTAAGGTTTCTCCAGAGCTCCTGTGCCGTCTCGGTGTCGTATGTGCGAGAGTCCGGTAGCAACTCTTTCAACTTCACATACATTTGTGACAGTTTTGGATGGTCGGTACTGCCCACCCATTCAGTGAATTTGACTGCATCTGTCATCATATGAATGATTTCACGGAGAGCTTTGACCTCATCACGATCGAGTAGGTTTGGCTCTAATTCCTTTGCTTTCAACCTTATCTCCCTTTTTTCGGAGGATTCCATGCGATGGTAGGTGCGAGAAATTGCTTGAGAGTAAAGTAGCACTCTATTTGCCATCTTGTACTGGGAGTTCCATCTTGTAATGTTCCTCGACAGCAACTTGGCACCCTTGCCTTCCTGTTCTTCCACTAAGATAGACATCGCCGCGGCATTGCCTCTGAAAAAAACTGAAATATCTTGGCACTTGTCCAATAATTTCTTAGCGGGCTCGCATAGCTCCAAAGACTTATTGATGCAAAGCTGGATCTTATGTGAGGCGCATGCCAACCAGTGCACCCCCTTGTGATCTTCTTGGTAGAGAGCTATCGCTTTTTTTATATTAGCACCTTGGTCTGTTGTTACGCAAATGAGTCTTTCGCTCATATCCATGCTATCAATAGCCTCAGCTGGTAAATGAATCAAAAGACCACAAAAAAAAAAAAAAAAAAAAAAAACGTTAAGAACGTTGCAATACTTATGAAAATATAAAGATAAGGGGCAGATGTATCAGCATTTCACTTACCAAACTTCCGGTGAATATTTTGGGATGTTTGCACCCCATAGACTTGTTCCATCCCTATTGCAATAGATACTGGCTCGAAATTTGGCGTGAAAAAATGCATTGTAGTCCCCAAGAACTTCCTGTGATCGACGCTTGTCCAGCAATCTGTCGTGACGGCAGCGTAAAGCTTATAATAGGTAATGTACTCTTTGATTTCGCGTCTCATCTCTCGAACTCGTCGATCCATCCTGTCTTGCATAGCCATTGTGGTAGGGATATTGAAATAAGGATTGGTCATTTCAATGATTGATCTGAAGATCGTCGAATTAACTGCATCGAATGCCACTCCATTGGAGGCTATGTGCAGTAAAAGCGTATCCTCGAATGCTTCTTGTTCATGAGGGAGCGGCTTCTTGAGGCTCTCATTAACAATCTCATCTCGTGCGATGTCGAATTTTGCCTTTCTTGGTGGAGCCACGTCAACTTCTTCCGGATCAGGTGGCAGCATGATACCTTTAACCCCGCTCTGGTAATTGCGAAATTCTTGGAGGGCACTATATAAATCGCCATGGCACTGAGTTAAGTGAACAGATCTTGAATATCCACTCCCAGTTTTCTTGTATGTAGTACCACAGATTACTCCATCTTTCAGGACCAGACACTGGAATTCTTCCTTGCTTGATTTGAAAAAATGACCAATCACGCTGTTTTTGCGAAAGGATTTTTGATTTGGAATCAGGCTTTTTGAGAGGGAGGGGCGTCAGAGCATTGTTCTGGCGTAGGAATGGTACCAAAATCCAGTAACTCGTACAAATCATACCATCCGTTTGATGCAAAATGACTATCCCTCAGCTCTCTCCGCCGGTTGGCCAATGCTTCAGCATCAATAGCACGTGTAAAGTCAAAAGAGGGAAGATTAATAGATCTTGAACGCGTAAAGTTAATACTGCGCAGTTGCGTGGAGCTCAATGTAGAAATCGAGGAGACTGAAGATGGGCCTGGTTTTGACTCCCGATATTGGGAGAAGCTGTTGGATGAACGGAGAGATGACAGTGGGGCTTGCTGTGCAGCAAGTAGCGTATGATTATAACGTGATGTAGGCAAAGCTGTTGATGATTGAGAACGTCCAAACGTCTTTGGTCTGGCATGATGAACCGATTGCGCAAATCCACCGGGAGGAGAAGAAGTTTTGATGAACCTCCTCTTTTCGCGACCATTGCTTACCATGGGTCTCATCGTCTGGGATGAAGACGAGATTGGGTTCGCACCAAGATAGGAGTCTAGTACCTCAAGCTCATCACACGGCATATCTTGCGTCTCGAACGATTCGCCATTGTAGGCTGCATCACTAGTTTGGGGAGAATCGATTCTATTTGCTGGAAGACTTTTCTGGAGTTGCATTCTTCGTTCGATTTGATTTCGGCGAGGTATAAGGGTCTCTTCCTCGTCCTCGTCCTCGTCCTCGTCACTGGTGTGCTCCTCCTGATACTCATTCCCCTCCTCGTGTCCATCCTCATACTCATCCTCATCTTCATCCTCATCTTCATACCCCTGTTCTCCATTCTCATCCTGGTGAAGAGGATCATGTGTATGATTTGCCATTATTTCTTAAAGATTTTGTGTGAAAGTAAAACGGGTAACAATGGAAAGAAGATAAAGAAGATAAAGAAGATAAAGAAGGTAAAGAAGATAAAGAAGATAAAGAAGATAAAGGCAACGTTGTATCATTCAATTGGTGTTTGGTTTTGTGTAGCATGAAAACCTTTCTGTTCCACCAGCTGCAGTTAGCACGCCATTTTTGTTTTTTTGTGAAGAGGCAATGAAGGGTGACTATGGCTGACATCTTTTTTTAGGCATGTGCATATACAAAACTGACAAATGTTTGAATGAGGATTATCCATTCTGTAGCTGTGAGTAATCAAGCTTTTATTGATGCTCGAGATTCTAGAATAAATGCGAATGATGTCTGAGGTAGCAGTGCATGGAGGAGCACTTGGTTAAGCAAGTTAAAAATTTTAATAAATTTTAACCAGCATGCTGAAATATCGAACCAGCATGCTGAAATATCGAACCAGCATGCTGGAAAAACGAACCAGCATGCTGAAATATCGAACCAGCATGCTGGAAAAACGAACCAGCATGCTGGAAAAATAAACCAGCATGCTGAAAAATTGAACCAGCATGCTGAAAAAATTAACCAGCACGTGCTTGTTCTCAAAAATCGCTGCTGCTTCGCTTCCAGCTTAGATCACTGGCTACGCCATGATGATTGACTCCGAAAAGATGTTAATGTTTATATGTGAAGTTTTACCAAATTATGGCGATATGTAAAAAAGACATGCATTAAAGTATCATACGCTAATATTTTCTTCAATCAAAGGTCTATGCTCTAGATACCTGAATTCAGATTCATGCTATTCAAGGCTGATGCTGTGCTATCCCCATCCTCTTCACTATTACTATTATCATCGTCGCCACTATGGCCGCCGCCTAGACCGTGATCCTCCTCGAGATCAAAGTAACTGTATTCATCGTCCATGACATCGTAATCCAAATCGTTGCTATCCTGATCTTCTTCATCGACATCATCATCCTCGAGCTCATAATCCTCGTCTATATCATCCATTAGCTGATTGAAATTTACAAACTTGATCCCATGCTTTTCTAGTAACTCGGAGATTTTAGACGTCTTGTCATCGCTCATGCCGTCACCATCACCATCACCACCATCAACATCTACTTCCCTCATAATTGCGCCTTCCAATATCTCCAAACATCTCCAGTGTTTTATCATCCACTCAATCATCAGTTCTATTTGATTAGATTGAAGCGGCAATTCCATCAAAGATTTACAGCTAAAAAACTTAAGGTTCTTTAGCGTTCTAAGCTGTGTAAATCCTGCCTGCAAACTCATCTGAATTGGATATCCGAAGAACCTTCCCATCTGTTCCGTATTACTGCTGGCGATGGAAAGATATTCCAAGTTGGTTAACTGCGCCAACATCCCATACACTTCCTTATCCCTAGTCACAGGTCGTGTTACTAAGGAACAATAGCCTGTACCATGTAGTCCGACTGAAACTATATTAATACCAACATCAAACATTTGTAGGTTCCTACAGACCCAAGGCGTTTTGATGTCCTCATAGCTGAGTTGGTCACCACTGATGCTCAATAGGTTTGGGCAGGACGCCATGATCTGCTGGATCATTGAGCTTGTAGCCATTGATGCGTGCTGTAGATTGATGTCTTTTAATGTTGGGAAATGTCGCTCGAGTGCCGCAAAGGCCAAAGGCCCAAACATTGTATTACTCAGCGTCAGTTTTTCTATGCGAGGAAAAGCGTTCAATATCTGAGCAATGTCGGCATCTGTAATGTATGGCAGTGGTAGATGGAGTGCAATCAAGTCGGGACAGCTCCTTGGGATTAGATCACAAAATGCTTGAACGGGAATAGTTTCACGAGGAAGATCCCAATGAACCGAAATAAGATTGGGACACCGGCGGATCCATTCCAATTGTTGCGCAATGGAATCAGGCCACAGCTCCTTGATATCTAGATATCGTAGCTCCTTAAAGATGAAGCCTGGTTCAAGTTGGATCTGATCTGAAAATGCGTCGCGACAGGAGGAAAGCCGCTTGATATTATTGCCACTGATCTTCATATAGGCAGCTGTAGCTTGTGCATCGAATGAACACTCAAAAGTCTCAAGCACGATCAGTTTGGGGCAGGTACAAAGTGTCTCCAGGAACGATGCTGGGACGTCAAGGGGAGAGAGCATGGCTCCATTATTATTCTCAATCACAATCTTGCGGAGGTGGATATGGTTCCTGACCATGTCGGAGAAACGTTTCCAGAGTATTTGGGCTTCTGTTTGAGGAAGATGACGTGTGATACTGAGTGTCACCTCGTCCAGGTGAGTGCACTGACAAAAGAAAGCGATATGGTAGGCAGGGTTCATCTCCTCAATGGTCAACTGACGAATGTGGTGAGCATTCCTTTGCATGAGTACGAGACTAGGTCGTTTGCTTTCGCTGGGCGCGCCATATACATCCCTGGAAGATTTGCAGGTGAATGATCGCCAAAGCAATGGTTCCAGTTCATGCATCCATGTCTTGCGAACACAAATACAATTAAGAATGTCTTTTTTGTTTAAGTATTTGCTAATGCAAGCAATGATCTCTGGTAATTCTAATGCTTTTTCCATCGGTTTGGTAGTGACAGCGGAGGAAGAAACTTGTTAGTGGAAGGAGAGAGTAGCGAAGGGGATTAAGAAAGAAATATGAAGTATGTTGTTCAATGTACCCCCAGCAAAAACTTTCTCCACAGCACTGGATCGTACTTTCCCCACAAGGCTGCTGTCACGCGAAGGTTTGACGTGCATGCAAGCAAGGAAATGCAAAAAGAAATGGAAGCTTTGAACCAAAAGAAAAAAAAAAAAAAAAAAAAAAAAAAAGAGCCCTGACTGTGTAGCTTATGATAAACTTTAGACAAACTTATTCTGTGACCCTAGTAGTGTAATTGCAGATGATCAGTGAAAAAACCATGATGAAAGGGTGGTGAACAGTGCTGATCAATCTTTTAGTTCTAAGCGATACTATTGCAAGCAGACTTTTTGACGCCTTGCGCTGAGATTAACACAGATGGTTTTGGCGGGAGGTGATGATACACGCAATGCACATTTTCAAGATTGTATCCATCTCCAGCCATGAAAAGGAGATGTTTAAAATTCTCCGCCGATATTCGTTTTTAGGATACTAAAGACATTGATGACGCGTCTTGCTGAAATATCCGTGACGAGATTTCGGAAGCGTCAAAGGAATTGTATGCATGCTGATGATACAGATGATCATACTGTAGGAATAGTAACCTTTGCATCAACTTTCGATGTCGTCCAACGATCCGTACAATCTCCCGTGCTTGAACTTCATTCAGCGTTGGTATGGATTGCTCAATGATCCAATAACAGCTACCGGAGCTTCTTAGACTCTCTAGGTCATTCGGGTCAACTCTGCCTGTCTCTAAATCCCGCACGCACATAAACCCATACACCATCACAGCTACACGATCGATTGACAGATCACCTTTGGATCGATCTAGAAACATATCGACAAACGTGTTGGAGGATAGACATTGGAAGTGCCAACCCACCAAAGGTAGAAAGCAAAGAATACGTGTCAAGTGTGCCACAGAGCGAATGTGGATAGGGAGAAGCTTTTCTTGTTGACTGACTAGAATGTTGCCTGTTAAGTCCTTGAGCTGGCTGGTAGGCAGTGGCTTGGATAGCGGAGATGACATGGATGATGGTGGGGACGATAATGATGATATCGTTGCTGTTGCTATTGTTGGTATTGATAGTTGCGATCGAGGAATATGGGACTGTAATTGCGTCCACGAGGTTCCTTCATGAGTACCCTTCATCAGCTCTGCAGATAAAGTCTTGGCCATACTGCTAATGCTACTGATATCGCTGCAGCTGTCGATTGGATGGAGTAACGGAAGTATGTTTTGGAGCAGATATTGAAAGCATAGTGCTCCAAAGGTAACTCGATCATCTATGACCGGCATTCTCATAATAGGCTGTCGCGTAGGCATATTGACCATGTACTGGAATCGGTTCTGGTCATGAAGACTTGTAAGTGCCTGCAGGACTAAAGCCGCTGTTTCTGGCAAGCAAATACCTCTACAAATTTGATCTGCGATCACCCGAGCAATTACATGCATATTTTCTTTTGAAGTCATGAACGGACTCAACAGCCGTGATTGTGATGATAAAGGTGAAAAAGATGTCTTCATGTTTTCATGTCGTTGTTCGTCCAGTGATTCGGTATAGTCTATAGCATTGGAGTTGTCGTTGATATGATCTAAGAGATACATTCGCTGAAGAATAAGCTTGCAAAATGACATCGTCATCGTAACAAACTCTGAAATTGGTGTCTCGAGCGTTTCAATTTCTTGGAAATAAAGTTCTGACAGTATCAAGCGGACATAAAGCTCGAATGGGGACATCGTTTCCTGGCTCTGCTCCTTGAAGGTCCCGCTATCATTGATTTGCACAATCCCCCTATCGGTTGTGCTTCTATCGCTATTATCGTTATGCGGGTATGTGAATGTGGTGCTATGGTGGTGACTGCCATTGGGCAAAGCGATATGAATATCATATGAATGAGATAACTGAGACAAAGAGAGGATACGGAGGCGAGTTGATACATGGGAAAGAGCAAGGACATTTTTTGGAGAAAGGAAGTTCATTATCCAAAAGATGATGTCTGCTGGAAGGGTATCAAAATCTGTAACAGATCGAGATATTGCAACCATGTTCTTGATGTTACACTCATGGTATGGTAAAGAGTTGATCTGCTCTCCAATGCGAGGTTTTCTTCTGGTGTTGGCGACACAAAGACTCAAAGTCATGGTTGATATTGATAAAGCTCAATTATGAAAAAGAGGGAAAGAAAAGAAAACAATGGATAGGAAAAAAAAAAAAGAAAGAAAGAAAAGGACAAAAAAGAAAAAAAAAGGGGGGGAATGGTGCTTTGAGACCAATTCAATCATTGCCGTTGAGAAAATTTACTACTGCAACACATTTTATCATGGAGAAAAAACCCAGTCACAAGCTATGAATTTTATTCATTTTCCGTGGTTCACAAACAACTTATTGGAGAGTTTTTGTAAATTTGTACTGTATAATTGAGAATATAATTATAACTATTAATGCGCTGACCTGAAGACACATTGCGAACTGTATTTCATTATTATTAATATGAATGCTTCTATGGAATTAGGTAGGCAAAAATAACCAGAGGATATGCTTGAGATAATTCTCCTTCTGTCTTTTTTTTTTTTCAGTTCCGCGTCAGAAATGTAGGGTCAGTCTTCGCTTTCCTGATTACGTTCTGGAACCAGTCATTAAAGGCCTTGACAGGTAAATAGCTTGTGTCTGGCCCTGCTCCTGCAGCAACGCTCGAAAGAACATTAGCCGCTGTTCCTGGTCCTCCCGCTGGTACTAAAACAGTTGATCCTACAGGTAGCACAGCTGTTGCAAAAGAAGTGACATGGTTGTAAAGATGTGTCATAACTTTTTGTGCTACAGCTGCAACAGAATCTGGAGATGCACTTTTAGCAGTCGATAGCGGTACAACTGCACTGCTATTGATGTTTGAAGACTCTGATGCTACCGCTGATGATGAAGTAGAGCCGCCCAGGGTGCTGGAAGATGAAAGATTGGCAATCTGTGCAAGTACCGCTTCAATGGGTTCAATAGAAATGCCTAGAGTTGCTGTAATCTGTGACGCTGAGGTTTCTGTAGTTGTTCCAATAGGTGTATCCATGGACATGTCGTTCCCAGTAGCAGAAGTACCAGATTTATTTACGCCTTTGAGACGGAATATAGCGCTAGCCTTCTCATTCGATAACCTAAAAAAATAGCAAGTGTAAGCATTGCAATTGCATATCCGTTTCGTAAGACAGAGCCAATTGTGAATGCATTATTTAGTTCAATAGATCCACATAAAAAAAAAAGAACCACCTCAGACATGAAGAGAAGCCAACGTCATAAACGAAAAGAGATTGACATAGATCAAAGATCATATCCTACACATACATGCCAAGTAATTGCCATGTCTTATTAGGCCACAATAAATGCACTGTAGCAGCATAGCCTGGTTGGAATGGAATGGTTCCGAGCAGAAAGACTACAATATGATTGATGTTCTCAGCATCATCAAGCTGAAACGTAAACTTGTTCACGTCAACTTGCTGTAGATTGGTTTGCACCTATTATTATTATTATTATTTTGGTCATACGAAAAAAAAAAAAAAAAAAAAAAGAGTTGTAAGCACAAGAAAGCAAGAAACGAGGTAATTGATATGGTTTTTGGGCGAAATGTTGTATATTGCAAAAATACTTAATAAAGACATACTAGTCGACCAGCAACAATGCAACCAAACATTCTGATATAATTAGGGAACGAAGAAGGGAAGTGAGGAAAAGAAGAAAGAAAATATAGTGTATGAGTAATAGGAGAGCCAGAATAAAAGAATGGCGATCAAATCATCAAAAAACTGAATGAAGAAGTAAAAAAAAAAAAAAGGTAATGCTAACCGTTAAGAAGACAATTTGAAGAATCTCGCACTTTCCATGTTTTTCTACATTGACAGACAAAAAGGAATAATAAAAAAGCAGAATTCCGGGTTTGAACCGGAGACCTGCCGATCTGCAGTCGGCTGCTCTACCACTGAGCTAATCCTGCCAATAGGGCTAGTCACGGGACTAGCAAATTATAATTATTAAATTAAACTTGCACGTGATACACGTGATTATAATAAACGGCATGTGCATGGCATGGATTCTAATTTTATGAGCTACTGAGGCGCATAGCTTTGAAAAAATCACTGTCTTAAGAACCGGGGGGAAGCCCAATGGCTGAGTAGTATACTCGTCAGGGCACCCCCCTGTCTAGCCCAGGGGCCGGGTTCGAGTCCTGGTTAAGGCACATAAAGTGAAGCAAACATGTGCCAGGTCAGGGATTTGCTTGAGTTTTTATACTTTCTCTCCGAGACAGCCTAGTGTTCTCCGCTAAGGCTAAGATCGTGGGTGCACTACCCTAAGTCGCCTGGCTGGCCACACGTCTTAGTTATATATTCCACCCCCCAGCCGAACCAGCGGTACATCTGGCAGCACATCCCCATCCACTCACTTGACTAGGACAGCGATGATCACAAAGTTTGACGGAGTCCAAAGTAGAAATTTCAGACCAATCCCGCAAGATTTGGGTCCACATGCCAGTGGATTTGATCGAATAGAAAAAAAATTAAAAGTCGTCCTTAGCTAGAGTCGGCACGCCAGCCTCCGCGGCTTTTCACGGGCGCAACAGGCCACATCGGAAGGATGGACTTCGAGTACCGATCACGGTGTACATTGGTAGAGAAAAACATGGATACGAATTGGCTCTTCACAGCCATGCCGTGCGAACTTTGAGAGTTTCGCTTGTTTCATAGTTGAGGGCGATATCATTACTTTAGAGCGAGATTATGAAATAAAATTCCTCACCTCTGTGGGTTCTTGTTAACAGGAAAAAATGTCTTAAGAACCGGGGGGTTATACTGAGATGCCCTTAAAAACCGCAACGAGACGCAAATACATAGAACACACTGAAGTGTTGTACCAAGATAAAGGTCTTTATTAGTTTATGATACATACACTATCATGCAAAACTGATTCAATAATTCATTCCCATGTGCATTTCTTTTTTTCATTCCTCGAAACCGTATATGCATACAACACTCATACTTTGGTTTAATAAAGCTCCCGTCTTCTTCTACGTCATAGTGATGCGTTGTGACATTAGCTTGTCTCATTTGAATAGCTAATGACTTTTTTGTTCATTCAGGTCATTGAATCAGTTTCACATTGCAAGCGAAATCACTATAATAATTTTGTGCAACATAGTATTTCGCCCATATTTCTAGAGCATTCCTTGCAACAGGATATTAACTAGTATAAATAGGTCTACTTTTCTATCTAGTTCTGTAGCATAGTTCCCCCTGAATAAAGATACCTTTATTGCACCCTTAGATCCCCCTAGAACACTACCTTGACTTTTGCACACATGTGCCCATTCGGTGGCCAAAGATCTTTATTCTTTTGTGAGGCATAACCTTACATCAATAAGTAGTATTCCAACCATGGGCATCACTGACAGCTTGGAGTCTCTTATGGATACCTATGATGAGTTTGCGGCAGAAGTCCACTGGGATCCTGTACCATTCAACCGATATTCGCTCCCATAGTTCATCACAGCTCTTAGCTCGCTCGGGATACCTAGAGAGCCGCCTATCCAATTCTGCCCACATGTGTTCAATAGGGTTGAGGTCAGGGGATTGTGCTGGCCACTCTAGAAGTGTACCTTCCTCTTCTGTCAGATGTACTGACTCCAAATACTTCCTAACAATCTTCGCCGTGTGCTTCGAGTCATTGTCGTGCTGAAAGACGATATCGCTTTTAGTTAGGCCCTAGTCATCAAGCGACATCTGTAGATCCTCCTGGAGTAGTTTGATGTAAAGTTGTGCGTCCATATTATTGTCAATCTTTGCAATGTATCCAGGTCCGTACCATGAGAAGCATGACCACACTTTAACATTACCACCCCCAAACTTGACAGTGCCTTGCACCGACCTGCGAGTGAGGCGTCCCGGATTGTCGTCCCAGATCCACTGCACGCCATCAGAGCAGATTCGGTTTATTTTCGATTCATCTGACCAAATAACCTTTTTCCAATCTTCCAGAGTCCATTCCTTATACTTTTTGATAAAATGCAAACGAGCTTTAATATGTCGTCGACGTAAAGCTGGCTTATGTACACGCCTCTTTGCTGTCAATCCTAACTCCTTGAGCCGTCGTCTAACGGTGGTCTCAGAAACAGCCGCTGGTATGAGCTGGTTGGCTCTGACGGTGGCCTCAACTGCAGACTTGAGTGTACCTCGTTTCATGTTCACCTTAAGATACTGCATGATACCTCTAGGTACTTTCCTTGGTCGACCGCCTTTATTGACTGGCATGTACTCCTTATTATGTGCATAGATCCTGGTGGCCGTCGCTATTGATATACCAACACTAGCAGCAGTTTCTCTAGTAGACATGCCTCCCATCATTAACCTCCTGGCTTCGTTGACTTTCCTTTGTGGAGTGGGGCTCATATTCTGTGAAGGTATAGTTAAGAGAGAGTTAAGCAAGTGTTCATAAAGGAAAGAGAGAAAAGTCCTTTTTTTACTGGCATTAAATGACGTCCAAAGTTGTCATGGGCAACATTTTAGACCACATGTGAAACTGATTCAATGACCTGCATGAACAAAAAAGTCATTAGCTATTCAAATGAGACAAGCTAATGTCACAATGCATCACTACGACGTAGAAGAAGACGGGAGCTTTATTAAACCAAAGTATGAGTGTTGTATGCATATACGGTTTCGAGGAATGAAAAAAAGAAATGCACATGGGAATGAATTATTGAATCAGTTTTGCATGATAGTGTATAATACTATACAAGTAACTAGTGCTGAGATGAATGAGGTTGCATACCTGAAGTGTTGTACCAAGATAAAGGTAAGGAGCACTTCAGGGACGGAGAGTCCACTATTTATTATAGCGGGGAGGATCGGGTGGCTGAGCTCACGTCCAGGCAGGACGGGGTGGGTTTGAGGGTACCACTATAGGTATACCTCTGGTCCTACCTACCATGACGTCACTTGTTATAGGACGTGAGCTTAAGTTGCCTCGATTTAGGACAGCTTAAATATTGGAAGCGTGGTTGGTTTAGTGGTATAATTACCGCCTGCCACGCGGTAGACCCGGGTTCGATTCCCGGACCACGCAACCTTATTACTACGGAAGTATTTTTGTTGGATTAATCCATTTGGCAGCCTATTTTTTGGGGCTGCCACCTAACTTCACACACTTAGATGGCAGCTGGGCTGCCAAATAATGTTTTGCAAAACTAATTTGAAACGGTTGATTGACCACATACTACGCCTTTTTGCACTCATCATGTAATTACAAATATTAGTGTTTGTCAGAAAGAGTAAAGCCCATATGAATAAGGTGTGCCTGTTAGCGGCTTCGGATGGAGCGACGACAATTAGGTTTGAAATGAGTGACTTTGCTTACAGCACCAAGGTATCAACATGTCCATAAAGAAACACTCCGTTATAATTTTTTTTTTTATTTCCACGAGAGGAGCAGTATAAGTAAGGTGTGTACGGGACCGTGCAAATACTTTTTTGGAAAAAGATATTTGCACGGGCCCGTACAAATATTTAAAAAATCTATTTGGACTGCCCCGTACACACCTTATTTACACCGCTCCCCCCGTGCAAATAATTTTTTTTATTTGCACGGGGGGTTTTTTTTATTTGTACGAGGTCTTTATTTCAGCCCTAAATACCATAACCAGGAAGCCTTCCACGACACAGGCTTAGATCTAGAGCCGCTACCTAAGCATCAAATACTGACCAGAATATTAATCTTATCAAGGTCGTATATAGCTCAGAGTAGATGTTGGCATTCTTTATGCGACTCTGGGACTAAATACAGAATTACAAATGATATATCTATAATTGAAATATACTATGCCACTCTACTTTGCACTTTTGTTGGCCGTGTTGTTATAGATTGTGGATGGTTCCCCGATGCTTTCTTTCATTTAGCACGTGCATACATCTCTAGTATTTCCGTACACTATTAAGCACACAACGATGAGTTCAGTTATTAGGAACCTCTAATGTGTAATTTGTTTCGGTAGATATACAAACAATCATACTACCATATTCAATGCTATGATGAATAGCGTGCCATGTTACTACTCTCTTTCTTTTCTCTTATATGTCCTTATCTTTGTCCTTCTTTATTATGAGCTCAAGCGTCCTTGGTACTATTCTTTGTTTATCAAATTCATCAAAATACAATGGGTAGACCATAGTTTGTTTTGTGGAATATCTATCCTCACCCGTTTGTAACCCGAGAGATTACTTTTCTTTTGATAGTTGGTGCAGTTCGCATTCAAAGCCGATCGTGCCACAATTACCTATATCCCTGTGTCTGAATAGCTAAAATACTTTAATAGCATAACCGTGACTTATAGTGATAGAAAGAGACATAAATACTCTTTTCTGTTGCGTTGATAAAGATCCTTATTTTTGTCTCATTGCATTTCAAGTTTGTTACCATGTTCAATCAGGGTTGATTTTTCACCAATAATAGCCAGAACTTGCCTTGAGTCGTCTTTAGCACGCAGTGTCGCATACTCATCAGCACATGTAGATGCTCGCTGCGTCTAGGGACTAGCTTCATATTGTACAATTATCTGAAAAAAAGTTTGGTCAAGAAAATAAAATTTTAAAGAGAAGCACTGTCTCCAATCCTATTTCTTGCCGTTTTCCCTCAGCATGTACTGCCCAAAACTTCAGTGATTATCCACATTGGTCTCATTAATAAATCGTAAATTTCCATCTTGGTTGGCGAAGTATTTTGTATGTCACAAATGAGCTGTTTGTCAGAGATTCAAAATAAAAAAATAATAAATAACCCACTTTGACCAGACTTTATTTCGGCTGACTGTAGAGCGGAATAGAGCGTGAAAAATATTTTGTAGATAGTAAGCAGTAGAAAAGTAAGTGAGAATAAGATATGAGTCCACACACCACACCCATGGGGTATTTATTCATTTTCTGGTAGAGAGACTTATACCAGGTAACTACGTATCTATCTGTAGGATGACAGAGGTTCGTTCTAAAAACTTCATACCAAAGATTTATCGCGTCTTTGTGTGGCGCGTTATTGCCACTAATTTCTACTGCCAATCTTTTTAGCGAATTAGTGTTTTTTACTCTAATTTTTTTTCTATCATAATATTGCATACTGTGGAATATGCAACAGAGCGCGATGAGTATCACGGCTCCCACGGCGTTGCAACTCCCAAGAGTAATAATCCCAGACTCCCCTCTACTCTAGACTGACCTTCGCTTTTTTCCTTCGAAATAAAAAGCTAGAATCATGTAGTCTGTAGGATACACGTTGTTGCTTGTAGATGAAATAAAGACCCCGGGGAGCAGTGTAAATAAGGTGTGTACGGAGCTGTGCAAATATAGATGGATTGATCTATTTGGCAGCCCATTACTAAATATGATCAATTTTGAAAACTCTCTTTGGCAGCCCAGCTGCCAGATAGCACCCTCATAAAAAAAGTATTTGCACGGTCCCGTACACACCTTACTTATACTGCTCCTCTCGTGGAAATAAAAAAAAAAATTATAACGGAGTGTTTCTTTATGGACATGTTGATACCTTGGTGCTGTAAGCAAAGTCACTCATTTCAAACCTAATTGTCGTCGCTCCATCCGAAGCCGCTAACAGGCACACCTTATTCATATGGGCTTTACTCTTTCTGACAAACACTAATATTTGTAATTACATGATGAGTGCAAAAAGGCGTAGTATGTGGTCAATCAACCGTTTCAAATTAGTTTTGCAAAACATTATTTGGCAGCCCAGCTGCCATCTAAGTGTGTGAAGTTAGGTGGCAGCCCCAAAAAATAGGCTGCCAAATAATTGCAAAAATTACTATGTTTGACATGGGCTGCTAAAGAGATTAATCCTAAGCTGTGTACGGGGCAGTGCAAATAACTTCATCCTTTTCCAAAAATAATTTGCCCCGAAGGGCTATCCACTCAAGATATACGTGTCATCCTTGTGCAGGGGCCATGCTAATCTTCTCTGTATCGTTCCATTTTTAGAATATGTAGCGCAGAAGCGACTACAACAGACTGTTAGCTGTCTACTCGTTATATAGACTATAAATTTAGAGAAAGTAAATTATGGGACTAAATATATTTCTTTCACCTAAATTTGGAGGGTAAAATATTAAAGCAGTCACACAATACAGTCAAAAATGAATTTTTTTTTTAGAATCTACCCAAAGGTTCGTCTCTATTTGCGAGGACAAAGTTTCTATTGACTTCAATCTTGAGAATACCATCATTGATATCTCCCTTTTTTTTTTTTTTTTTTTTTTTTTTCCCTTCCCTCCCTCCTCTTCAAAATCCTTGCAATATTTCTCACAGTGGAATATGAGAAGCCGAAACGAGGAGCAGTCTTTGCAAGAGTCAATCCTTCATCAAAGATGGACCTGATAATTTTTTGACGAAGATCGGATCAATGCGTTAAAGCTTTTTGAACGTGGCATGGTGTAATGTTGAATGAAAATAAGAAAAAGAAAAAACCTATGAAGGCGAGACAGGAGTATGTGACATCTATAAAACCAACAAAATTGTGATTTTGCTTGCAAAAATAAAAAGGCGCTCTCTTTTCAATTATCTAACCTATTGTAGTTTATGCGCAATACAAGGTTGATTTTAAACCATATCCTAGTCAAGCTCTGGATGATGGGCGATGAGTTGATCCTATACGCCATCAAAAAGAAGTGTTTAAACTTTTCATGTTTTTTATTTTATTTTTTTACAACGGTAAACAAAGTAAACAGTTAACAACCAATCTGTTGCCAACTATTGTTTATTTGTTGTTTGTCTTGAAGGCCAGAGTCAAACTCCTAATTGGATTGATCTGTGCATGTAAAAAAAATAGAGAGAGGCAAGCTTCATTTGACTACCCGTACTACCAACTCCAACTCAACTTCTCTTGTGCATAATATGCCGAAATAAACAAATAAATGTAATGCAACACAACCTGGACTGAACAAATCAATCCCTCACAGCTCCTCAATCAACCAGCCATGTTTTCTTGTTCGTGAGCATAAAGATAAGAGATGGCGGACAGAGGGAACTTGACTTGCCACCAACTTTATTTTTATTTTTTTTAACAGACACAATAACACGCCGCGTTTTTGTGCAAGTTCCTCCTTGTATAAATACTCAAAGCTTTTCTGGCTTTAACAAGAAAAAATTCACATACAAACACTTCTCTCTCCCCTCCCTTCTTCTTTCTCGCATTCTCTTCCTTCCTCTATCTCATACGCTAAATACCAAGTTGCAAGTTATGGCTAAGCGAACCTCTGCTTCCAACGATGATACCATCAACGACGTTGATATGGCCATTGAAAACAGTAACGTCGACCAAGCTACTGCCAAGAAGATCAAAGTCGATGATCAATTGGACAACAAGATGACGTTTGCATATCCCAATGATGCCTATATCATCACCTCCGAACATCTCAAGAATTCAACGTTCGAGATCCTCTACATGGCCACGCGTGCCCGTGCTGAGACACCTCGTATGCTTCTCGAATACGTCGGGGTAATAATAATGAAAAAAAAAGTCTTTTTCTTTTTCTTATTGAAATATATTGATATTATATTTTCTCTTTCTGTGTAATCTTCACACACCGTCTTCTCGCTCTCTTTTTTTTTTTTTTTTTTTTTTTTTTCAATTATGAAAGGCTTCGTATGTGAGTCTGGCTCCTATCAACTGGCCTGCAGGCAAGAAGGATACTCCCTTTGGCGTCCTCCCGGTTTTGACCCATATCAAGGCTAACGGAAAGAGGTTGGTTGTTCCTGAAGTGCCTACCATCACTCGATACCTGGCTCGCCTGTTTGGTCTCACTGGCTCGACTCTAGAAGATGAAGTCATTGTTGATGCCTGTTTCCAAAGCGCGGTCGATAACATCCTCAGCACCATGATGTCAGAAATCTTTATGAAGCCTGACCCTAAAGCCAAGGAGACCGTTGATACCGCACTTGAAAAGCTAGCGCCGTTCTTTGATGGATTTGAAGGTTACTTGGTTCAGAATGGATCTAATGGATACCTTTTAGGAGAGAAGGTAATAATAATAATAATAATAATAATAATACTTTATTACTCATTCGCAACCTGTATCTAATCCGTTTGTTTATTTTGTAGACAACGTATGCCGAATTCCCTTGGTATGACTGGATCCAATATCTCATGACCGAATACTCTGAACAGATGAAGGACTTTATTTCCGAGACTGTCCGTCCAGCGACCTACAAGCTGTACCAGCGCTTCCAATCCAATCCTAGAATCCAAGCGTATATTGAAGGAGGTCGATGGAATTATCGTCCTGCCAAGCCCATCACTGGAATTGCTACAACAGGTGTCATTGTTGCTGACGCAGAACGATGTAAGCCCTTCTGTCTCTTTCTCTTTCTCTTTCTCTCTCTTTCATCTTGTTATTATCTTTTTTTTTTTTTTTTTTTTTTTTTTAGACATCTTCTAAATGATATATATGTTTTTATGCGTCTTCTTTTACTATATTAGCTCTGGACTTTTATCAAAACAAACTGGAGCTGAAGGTAGTAGTGAACAAGTCCCCTCAACCCGAGGTTGAAGGTAACAAGTGGATTGAGTTTTCGGTAGATGATTCCCAAAAAGTCAAGTTCTCGGTTTACAGTCATGGGAAGAACAACCCTTATTCTTCACCCAGCAATGATTCATCAAAGCACACTGGTATCATCTTCTCTGTTCGCAACGTCAGAGAGACTTATGATAAACTTGTAAAGAAGGTAAGAAAAAAAAGCTATAAAAAATTACCGTGGGCTATAGATTTTTTTATTTCCATTATCTAATTATGCTGAAACAATAAACAAAATAGGGTGTCAAGTTTAACATGCAGCCTATGCAGATGCCATGGGGCGTTATCGCTCAGTTTGAGGATCCTGACGGTAACCTTTTCTCCATTAGTGGCCCTGCGGATGAAAAACTCGAGGAGTAAAAAAAATTTTGTTTGCATTGGTATCATTTTTGTTTATCTATTTCATTCAATCATCTATGGTTCTTTTTGAAATAAAATGTGTGGTCTATATCCATAAAATAAAATATTTTTAATGGCCTTGTCTCGAATGAGCAAAGATGGGGCATATATGCTCTTCCTATGATGGAGGACGAGGAAGACCTCCTTGAAGAGGTCTCCTAAAACCTACAGATCCACCCGTTTCTTTATGTCCTGAATTGTCAACCTTGCCGTTATTTCCACTAAATGTATCTTCCTGACGCATATTACCACCTCTTCGCATGCCGCCACGATTTCCACGACCTCCTCCTCCTCCTCTGAACGGCTTTGAATGCTGCTGTGGGGAGCTACTAGGTCCCTGTGGCTGCCGGATCACATTATAGCCACCACTGCCGCGGCTGTTTTTAATATTTAAACTAGAGTCGTCCTGTAATGAGACAGCTGAAACTTTTTGGGCAAGTTTGAATGTCGGGGGCACGCCTTTGAACTCTATGGGCCTATTACTGAAATATCCTGGACGACTTCCTCCTACTCCTGCTCCTTCTCCTCCTGTACTTGCAGATGGTAATGGCAGTGGTGATGATGATCCTGAGCGTGATCCTGAGCGTGAGACCGAAGAAGACCGTGACCCGTTGGGTGAACCTTTCAAATCATGTTTCTGATCCAAATGTCGATTTGCATAGCCATTATTGTTAATATTACTGTTGAGGTTATTGCCATTGTCATTGTCATTGTTACAGGTATTATTGTTGCTATTGTTGTTGTTGGAAGTGCCAAAGATCTTTTCACGTGCTGCATTGTAATCAGCCTCACGTTGAGCCAAGGTCTTGGCTTTCATCTGTTGTTGAAGTTGAATTTTGGCCATGTCTTCATGAACAGGACTCTTGGGTCGCCTCAAGATCTTGATCTCGGGAACATATTCCGTTCTTGTATTGTCAGCTCTTGAAATGATGGGTTGCTCATACGAGTTTCTGTATTAAAGGTAAAAAAAAAAAAAGAAAAGAGAAAGGGAAACCAAAGGATGGGTATATATGAATAAAAGGAAGAAAGAGCAAGACACCACCTTTTATCTCTTTGATTTTCTTCTTCAGCACTTTACGCTTTGTCCCACAGGGCACGATTTCGTTCATGTAAGGTCCGACTATCATTCTCTGAATCTACAATGGTTTGATCTGATAAATCAAAATCTGAAGGGCTGTCTCTGCGGAGTAAAATAGGCTTAAAATCTCCTCGTTTTGCAATAGTTGTATTATTAGGGGCTGTTGACACTGCTGATGCTGATGCTGATGTTGGTGTTGACGATGGCGATGATGATGATAATGATGATCTTGCTAATATTGATGAGGGTATCTGTGTTTTCTTGGTTGATGGTGTCGCTATTGATGCTGCGACTGGTGCTTTAATCTAACCATATTTTTCATAGACAGTAAAAATACAAAGTTAAATTGAAAGACAAGTTCTTTTAGGCTTGTTTTTGTAATAGGGAAGGTTGAATTATTACATCGTACTCCTCTGCTTGTTCCCAGTCATCTAATGCTTCGGACATTCTGTGTAAATAAAAGAGGAAGAAATAAAAGTCTCGAGGAAGCGAATGAGAATTGTCGATGGAGGAAGAAAGGAACAAAAGGAGAAAGGCGATCGGAGTGACAAAAAACCAATAACAAGCTCTTTTTTTTTTGTCACCAAAGGGGTCAATGGATGGGCTAAAAAGAATTTTCCGTAATTGCACACATGCTAAATGATGTTCACCAATAGAAGTGTAATATCCCAACTTCACAAAAAAGAAAGACTTTCAATGTCTAAAGAATAAAAAAAGAGGTGTACATGTATATATATATAATCAAAAGTCGAATTGCGTTTATTTACAATTATCATTATCATAAATGCTTCTCCGTTGCCCATAGCCTTGGTAGAAAACCTTTTACTTGAATATGTCAACTAGATTATTTTGTTTTATTTATTCATTTATTTTTTATTACTTTATGATTTCAGTTTTTTTTTTTTTTTTTTTTTTTTTTATGTTAGCAGATTATTGGCTTCTGGGTCCTCCAAACGAACAGACGGTCATGTATGTGTTTCCATTAATCACTGCTTCTGCGCGAACTTCCGTTAAACCTATTAAGAAAAAAAAAAAAAAAGAAAAAGGTTTGTTAGATCCAAGTAAGTAAGTAAACAATAAAAAGCAAAATGCAAAAAGAGAGACAGGTACATACCAAAGTACATGTTCAATTTAAAAACAACTCGAGTGCGAGGCTGTGCGCCTGGGATTTCTGGCATAGGGATATGGAAGTCTGCAATCTTCTGGACTCCAGGATCTGTAATGTACTTTGGTTGAGTGGGCGAGTTACAGACATAGAGAGGCGAATCGAGGCCCTTAGGATAAGACCAAGTCACATATTCCTTCGAGACACATTCATCCACCCCAATCTGCTGGCCTGGGCGAACATAGACCGAGAAACGCTCCTTGCAGCGAACATGCCCGTCATGTGAGATAATCTTCTTGGATTCTGGGTCCACACCTTCTTCGAAGGGCATGTTGGCATCAACTCCATACCAACGACGGGCCACACGCACGTTGATTGTCTTTGTGTTCAATCCTGCATAGACTGCACCACGGACCACTGCCAATTCAGGACGCTGTGGAACAGCAATCAGAGGGACAAGGTGTGAGAACTCATGGCGGACACGCTCCTCCAAGTAACGGGATGATCCAAACCCTCCAACCATGAAGATGGCATCGCAGGACTGTCGACTCTCATGAAGCTGTTTCTGGATCAAATCCAGCACATCTGAAATCACAGGATCAAACACCTCTGCCTTCATCTCCTCAACAGACACGCAAAGTACTCCGTCTTCTAAACCGATATCGGGGTCATTCAAGTCCTCCAAACCCGTAGCTTGCGGAATCTGCATCAATACATCCTCCTGCCCATTAAACATGGGTTTGACCATATCTACGAATGTATCCATTAACGCTGCCCATCCGCATCCCTTGATGCCTCGGCGATATCTCCTGAACTTGCGTTCCAACAATCGCTCCATGTTAGCGTCCAGGAATCCAGATCCACAGGACGCACCATGGCCGCGAGTCACCTCACGCAAATGACGAGTCTTGCCTGGGGGCTCATCTACCTCAAAGACGATTAGATCCACAGTTCCACCGCCGGCATCACAAATCATAAATCGATCTCCATGCTTGAGTGAGAATCGATCCACCATCCTCTCGCAGTACATGGCAGCAGCTTCTGGTTCTGAAATCAACATCAATCGGTTGGGTGGATCTCCTTCCTGGATCAAGCCTGCACCGATCGCGGCCCGTCTCATCGTGTTCTTGGCAGCATCCGACCACATCGCAGGCACTGTCAGACAGTATTGGAACTGCGTCGGCTCATAATTCTTGATAAACCCTTTCATCAGTTCTGACATCACATGTCCATGCAACTTCTTCAGGTAATGTGTCACAGCCTCTAAAGCAGAGATTCCGTTCTCCAAGGGCTCGTTGTGCAATGTCTCATCCAGTTGCAGCTTGAACTTTCGGAGCAGACAGAAATCTTTGGCAGCAGGTTTGAGCATGGCCAGACGAGCTGCATGACCCCAGTCCAAGATCTTTTGCGAGTCTTTCTTGTACAAGCTGAGAGTTGGGGTCTTTGCATATTGTTGCAAATGTCGAGGCCTAAAATAAAAATAAAAATAAAGATGTCATGAGAAAAAAAAAATATAAAAAATATTTTTCTTATAACTTGAAATTCTTGGCTTTTGTATTTGGCTGTTTGGTTTTTAATTGATTGTGCCAATCAAATTGAACCGTTAGCTTCTTATTTTTAGGTGCTAGTTTTGCCATACCACTTGGTGATATCGTGCACTTCTCCATCAGCCTTGAGGGCATAGGCAACGCCAGAGTAAGTCGTTCCTGGAAATAATAGGGCAAAAAAAAAGGAGACAAAATATGTCACAGAATTAGTAACAACATTTACATTTTAATGGCCACTGGAAGGACTATCAGCCTAATCTTGATGGTAAATCTGCTAAAATCGATACACACATACACAAAAGGAAAAAAAAAAAAAAAAAAAAAAACAGGGGTCAAAGAAAATACTTACCAAAATCAATGGCCATGACAACAGGATATTCCACCGGAGGCTGGGTTGTCTGTGCACGAATAGATGCTGGAGGATTCATTCCAGGAGAGCCCTTTGCAGGGTTATAGACAGTCTGCTGGTAATTCAACGAGTTGGATTGGTAACCGTCGTTGTTATTACTGTTGTTGCCATTCATATTACCGTTATTGATGTTGTTGTTGTTGTTGTTGTTGTTGTTATTGAAGCTGCCATTGCTATTATTGAAGTTGCTGCTGCTGTTGTTATTGTTGAAGCTGTTACCACTATTGAAGTTATTGGTGTTGTTGTTATAGCCATTGTTGTTATTATAGCCATTGTTATCATAACCACCACCGTTGCCCATGTTGAAAGAGGGGCTTGAGAAGTTATTGCTGTTCATATTGTTCATATTACCCACGGCTCCATTGTTCATGTTACTCATTTGACCATTGTTCATGTTGTTCATGTTCATGTTGGCATTGTTCATATTACCCCCCATCGGGCCGTTATTGATGCTACCCATGCTTCCGAGGTTACCCAGGTTAACAGAGCCACTTGAGAAATTAGTGTTGTTGAATGCAGGACTGGCAGGATATCCAGGTCCAACTGACCCAACTGGTCCGTTACCCATGACTGGAGGGTAAGGAGTATAAGGAGGTGCGTTTGGATCGTTGTAACCATTGTTGATGTTGCCACTGTTGGGGTCATAAGCTGTTGGTTGCTGTTGTTGTTGAGGAGGATATACACCCGAGGGGTCATATCCTCCTCCTACTCCTCCTCCTCCATAAGGGCCTGGTTGTCCAGGATAGCCTTGACCGTAGTTCATTCAGGGACAGTGTAAAAGTAAATGTGTGTGGGGATGCAAATAAAACCAGCAATTGGGTGGGTTTTGCAAGGGTAAGATAAAAAGGACAAAAAGAAGAAATGTGACGATAGGCTACCTTATTTATTTGCAAATAAGAAACACGCGGGCAAGGGGAGGAAAGGAGTGATTTGAAAAAAATTAAACAAGAAGAAAAGAGGAGAAGAGATGAGCAAACAAAATGTTTTCTTTCTCTCTCTCTGTTTTTTAAAGCATTAAAAATCTTCGGTAGTGTGGAAACGCTCCTTCTCTGTCCTCATCCATTGATGCATTCAATACGAAGAGGACAGGGCTGTGCTGGAAAATCACAAAAAAAAAAAAAAAAAAAAAAGAAAACAATATCTGTCGACTATTTGCTCTCGATCTTTGCTTTTCTAAAGTTTTATTTTTTTTACTTTCGACTCTGCTCCGCCGTTATTCTCTTTATACTAGAAAATAGACATGTCAAGTTCACATTTGTCAATAGAAGAGCATCATTCCTGATACTCAAGATCTATCAATTATCAGGAAAAGAAAAAAAAAAAAAAAAGTGAAAGAATAATAGTTTCTCAACCCAAGCAAAAGCCCTTTTTCCTTCCCTTCCTCCACGCAATCTTTGCAAAAGATCTTTGAAAGAGAAATCAATGATATCAATCTTGATTCTAACAGCAAAAATAAAATAAAGCAGAATTCCGGGATTGAACCGGAGACCTGCCGATCTGCAGTCGGCTGCTCTACCACTGAGCTAATCCTGCAATATGAATGTATGACGTGGAAAGATCTATTAATGATCCCAAAGATTGACAGAAAATGAACAAAATGATAATAAAAAGTTGGACGAAGTGCCAAAAGATAATTTCAAAAAATGGACAAAGTGCCTGTACCAGCGGAAGATGACTTAGGGCAGATCCTTAAGTTACAGTCAACAACTCGTACACATCACACTTGGATCGCCCAGAACAGGACGCAGGAGCATGTTAAGGATTGGACAAAAATTGATTGGCGAGCTACTATGAACATTGTTGCCCAATGGCTGAGTAGTATACTCGTCAGGGCACCCTCCTGTCTAGCCCAGGGGCCGGGTTCGAGTCCTGGTTAAGGCACATAAAGTGAAGCAAACATGTGCCAGGTCAGGGATTTGCTTGAGTTTTTATACTTTCTCTCCGAGACAGCCTAGTGTTCTCCGCTAAGGCTAAGATCGTGGGTGCACTACCCTAAGTCGCCTGGCTGGCCACATGTCTTAGGTATATATTCCACCCCCCAGCCGAACCAGCGGTACATCTGGCAGCACATCCCCCATCCACCCACTTGACTAGGACAGCGATGATCACAAAGTTTGACGGAGTCCAAAGTAGAAATTTCAGACCAATTCCGCAAGATTTGGGTCCACATGCCAGTGGATTTGATCGAATAGAAAAAATTAAAAGTCGTCCTTAGCTAGAGTCGGCACGCCAGCCTCCGCGGCTTTTCACGGGCGCAACAGGCCACATCGGAAGGATGGACTTCGAGTACCGATCACGGTGTACATTGGTAGAGAAAAACATGGATACGAATTGGCTCTTCACAGCCATCCCGTGCGAACTTTGAGAGTTTCGCTTGTTTCATAGTTGAGGGCGATATCATTACTTTAGAGCGAGATTATGAAATAAAATTCCTCACCTCTGTGGGTTCTTGTTAACAGGAAAAAGAAAAAAAAGCTACTATGAACATTGTTCATGATAGCAACCTACCGAGACTTTGAGTACCAACCACGGCGGTCAGGGTTTATGAAATCATGGATACAGCGGCTCTTGTCGTTTGTGCAGTAATAGCTGTTTATTGACTATAGTTTCTGGAGCATTTTGTTTATAGAGTGTAGAAAATAAACCCCATGACCCTGAGGGTCCTTGTTATCAAAAAAAAAAAAAAGAAAAAGAAAAAAAAAAAGAAAACATGGCGATGTACAGTTACTGGCACTTCAGTTTCAGTGTCAACCTTGAATATCCGTTTTTTGTCTACATTATTTGCATTGTTTGTTTCAATGGGCTATGATGATGAATTTGTTCTGCACTCTCTAAGGGACGATGTTGAGTAGGCGGAGGATTGGTGTTTGTATTTACGAGGGCAATGTTTGCCCTTTTCCATGCAAGGGCCGCGGTGCATAGGTAATTTGTTAAAATGTTTAAAATACCAAGCCGATAAATAATGTCAAAATTAAATTTTAAGAATGAACCGCCAACCTCACATGATAATAGTTGCCTTCACTTGATTGTAATGAACTAAATAAACACGTTTTCTAGTGCGTTTGCCATCTTTTCGGCAACGTGAAACAGTTTCATCGACCAATTGCGACCTGTTTTAGCAAAAGGTCGTTGTCTTCTAAAGATAGTTTTGTTTGGGGTCAGAAACTGTATTGGAATTGTTGAGTTTGCATTTAAAGCAGATTGTATGGGTTCTAGTGATCGTTTATATTCTGGAATTGAGCCTGCGATGAGTATATGTGATGAGTTTTAGTCATGCGAATAAGCAAGTTAATGAGAAGCGTACATCCTTTGAATGATCACCTCCTACTACTTTAAATAAAGATGAGGGATAGTCAATAATTGGTCAACCTACTTGTAGCTGATATGTCACACGTTCTTAATGAAACTAAAAAATGCCATCATCTGGACGCGTTCTTGTCTACGGATATTCTACACCCTCGGGTTGGGAAAGGACCAATTGTCCAAGAGAGCCAGAGCTCCATCTTCATCACTAAAATACCAGCATGAAGAATTTTACCTCTATAAGACAAACATGACGATAAAAAATTCACAAACAATTTATGCAAAACGAATGAGCCTCTAAAACAGAAACCCTTGGTCATTATTGTTTAATACCTTCACTATAATTTCGTAGTTTTCGCTTAAAAAGGCAGAGAAATCCTCTCTTCAACTATAACCCAACCATGCCCAAAGAACTCGAACTAGAATAAGTTCGCTTCAAGCATCGAGCGCCCTGTCTCTTATTTACGCCCCATTATTTTTATTTGATTTATTAACCCAGTCGGATCGTCGCAATTTCCTCGCAGTTTATCCTTGAGTGAGGACTTTTCTTTGATGCACGGTTCCACCCGAAGGGCGTCCCACCACTTTGAATAACCACGGCCCTTATTTTACTTGATTTATTTTTTTATACTCCCTCTGAATTCCGCAACGCTGCTTGTTTTTCCAGACATGACCAAGGCTACTGGGCAACTGCCGTTCCTTGATGTGCAAGACGATCCTTTGGAGTGGTTGGAAGAGTTCCTTTGTGTGGTTCGCGCAAACAAGTGGACTGATAACCAAGCTATTGCAGTGGCGTTCCTTCAGATGCACAAAGATGCCCGAATCATGTTCTATCTACAGAACAATGGCAAAGTCGCCGAAAGCGCGGCCTATTCACTACAAGAATTTGAAGCAGTTTTCAGGACCCATTTCCAAACAACTGGTTACAAGTACAAGGCCTATAATCAAGCTCTACATTATCTGCAGGGTGAAGAAGAAAGCATTGACTCAGTTGTTGCCAACATGCTCTCATTATTCCGAAGCGCTAATATCGAGGATGAGGAGACTAAATGTCGCCTATTCTCAATGGCTTTAAATGACCGGCTGTTTGAAGCCATCCAAAGGGATCCTAAAGACACGTTTGTGGGCATGGTTGCAGTAGCGCGCCAGGAGTATTATCTCGAAAAGGCTCTAGCTGAGCGTCGCCGTCATAGAAAGATCATCCGCGAAGGTGAGAATGCTTGCTCTGCTCCCCTTGAAAGCAGCATCAAGCCGATAGATGGTGAAATAGATGTAGGTCATCTTATCAGTCAGATGAGTAAACTTACTTCAAGTCAGATCTCCAAAGTCTCGAACGCGATTAGCTCCTTGTTACCAGGAAATCCATCCCCCCAACCTGCCTCAGAAAACCCACATCCTCAGCCTCCACCAGAGAACCAGCCCTCCGAGCCCCCACCAGAGAACCAATCCTCCGCGCCTCCATCAGAGAGCCAACCCTCCGAGCCTCCACCAGAAAACCCATCCTCCTAGCTTTTACCTAATTTAAGAATCTAATCTAGCTGGATCTCCAGAGATGAAAAAGAAGACTTAGTGGCTACAGATCGCCCCAGGGGAAAAGATGTTTCTATGACAGTCTTCACCTGTTATTTGAATAAATAATAAAGGATTATCATTTTTTTAGTGTATTACTACCTTCGATCCAACTCTATATTGTTTGGAATCCTTTTCCCTTGGTTTTTTCTAAATTAAAACCTTTTCTCCTCACCTCCTTCAGGGCGTCAGCCTTATTATAATTTTTTTCTCCTAAACTTACTTTCTAGCCTATCCACTCTGCTTACTTATGATTTATTATGCTGACAGATACAGTGTTCGCTATCGTCACCGCCTTTGTTTTTTTCTGGGGAGAAAAAAAAATAAGCTTTTCAAGGCTGGAAGTTTTTAGTCGATGCTGGTACCTTTCATCAATACATTGGTAACAATATCGGTGATGAGAAAGCCAAAAATACTTAATAAATAAACGCGTCTTAACTCAAGGCCTCTTTGATTCAAAAGGCTCAAGTCCCTATTTCTACATTAGCTATGATAATTTAGCCCAAGCCTTGTTGGCGGCCATATTAAACGCTTTGAAGCCCTAGGCTAAGCATCCGAATGGCCGCACTTGACTCCAGTCGCTGGGCAGAAAAAAGCCAAGAATGATATGAAAGCCGTCGCGCCTTAGTCTTTAGAAAAAAGCTTCCCTTTGTGTGGTCTAAGCTCCGAAAATAAATCATTGGCTTTCTTAAATCATTCCTCAACTGTCCTCCGCGTTCTTTTCGCTTCTCTCCCCACGTTTCTCGCCATATTATCCTCTTCTCCTGGCAAATGGAGGTTGAAAATAATCCTTCAGCCGATATACATGAGCTCCACCCCCGAGGCTCAAATGTATGGCTCTACGTGTACCAGGCTGTTCATCCAAACCATTCCCTTAAATGCATGAAAAATCAAAACCGGCTCAAGTTCGCGTCCTTGAATACCTGGAAAGACGTCAAAATCCTCGATTTCAAAGTACTAACAGATCCTCCTGAAGACTATCCAAACACATTCGGCAAAGTCAAAGCGGTGTATAAAAGTTGTGCCAACATCATTCCCGTTATGTCCAGGCATACTCGCCGGCTAGTCATGGCTTCGATTGCTTCCCTGAACGAGCTAGGTCCTGCATGCGTCAATCTGGTCCAATTCACTCACATCCCTGCTTCGTGGATGTGCTATGATTGGAGGGTATTTTCTCCTATCGACTACATGGATTCTATTATTGCACTTGAGCCTCATGCAGCCGAGATTCTTTCAGGCCTCATCCGGCGAAATCCAAAGCTCACATCCGTGTGCCTGCAGTTGCCCGCGGCTTATAATAACGTATTAGGGATTGTCGATGCCTTAGGCGCGCTACCTTACTTGAAAACTCTCGGCATCAGTGGGGAAACAGGATTAATTACGGATTTCAATCACACTTCTTCAGTTGTTCACAGAGTTATCGAGCGGTGCCAGAGCCTCAAGACTCTTGTTGTCGGCGGAAATATCTGTGGGTTCATCCCTGCTCCTACAACAGCTGCCCATGGCCCGGCTAAAGAAAACGTCATCTTGAACCACAGTTTGGAAACGTTGGACCTAGGAGGCACGATCCCACGCGACTGCCCTGATCTCGCCTCGTTGATCTGGAAGTGCACTCGTCTAAAAAACCTGATCCTTACCAGCGGATCAACCCCAAAGATGTTCCTGGACCTGGCAGATACTTTTTCTTTGCGATGCACACATCTCAGTGCTGTAACCCTAGAGTACTGCAAGCTGGAGCATGAATCTTTCTCAAAGCTCTTAGAATCATTCCTCAGGCTACACCACCTCAAGCTCTCGTATTGTTCAGGATTCAAGGCATCTATGATGATAGGCCCTTACGGGTTAAGAAGCCTAATGTATTTGGACACATTGGTGTTTGATTTCGACCCAAGGGACAGTGCTGGAATCCATGAGGCTGCAACAATGCTTGCAGTCTTGCCAGGGAACATGGATTACATTAAAGGCCCTTATATGGAATGGAGGCGTCCAAGACTTTAAAAATCTTATTCCTTCTAGTGGTCACCGGATCTGCTAGCCCTCATTTTTTACTTTCATTCTCTCTCTCTTTTTTTATTTTTTTTTATTTTATTAAAAAATTCACATTGTATAAAGACATTAATAAAGCATCAATTAGATAAGTATTCTTCAGAGTGTTCCTAGTGCTTATCATTTAGAAGAAACGAAGGCGGAGCCTGCTAGCTTAGTGGGCTTCCTGGTACATAAACCTGAATTAAATAATAATACAAGAAAAATGTAAATAAAGAAGCAAGCGGCAGATGTTTTTGACCTAATGCTGTAGTTATTAAGCCTTACAGTTGCTTTGGTAAATGCCACAAACTGCTTAGGGAGCATTCGCAGCTTATACTTGGTGTCCAAATGACTGGGCATATGAACGACAGATGCTATCTTCAATCAATGAGAGAAAAAAAGGCACAGGTTCATGGCTTTGGAGAGAAATTTCACTTATCTTTGGCTTCGTCTACCTCTTTCTTTAACTTACTTCTTACTTTATTTCTCTTTTCTACTGTCCTGCGAGCTTTCCATTCATCTTTGTTTAATTCCCTTCCCTAAGCTTCTTCATTCCACACGACAATGGCTATTATAGTTGGCTCTGCAGCCAATGTTAACTACGTCCACCCTCGTGGCCCAGATATCTGGCTTTACGTGGTTAGAGTCCTCTATCCGAATCAACCACTGAAATGCATGGAAGACCAAGTTTGCCTCCTTCACATGAACAAGGCAAATTGGACAGAGATCAATCTCCTTGACTTTAATTTGAAAACGGAGTTACCAAATAGCTACCCAGTTTCATTTGGCAAGGTCAAAGCTGACTTCAAGAACGGTAGCAGAGCTGCGCGTGCCATGGCCGAATTCATTCATTCACTGACTATAGCGTCCATGAGTTCGCTCAGCGCCTTGGGCCCAAAGTGTGTTAATCTGGTTCAGCTGACCCACATCCCTTCCGCATGGATATTGTATGACTGGACTGAAAAATATCCTTTCGAATATTTGAAGTCAGTCGCCGCATTCGACATTCGAGCGACTGAGATCCTTGCAAGCCTTATTCAGCGTAACCGGTCCCTTCAATCGGTTTGTTTGCAACTGCCCGCAGCGTATCGAAACCCGTTTGAAGTGGTTGATGCCTTGGGGACCCTGCCTCATCTAAAAACCTTGGGTATCAGTGGCGAAAGATCAATTTCTACGAAATACAACTTCACGTATATCATTATTCAAAGGATAATCGAGCGATGCCGAAACCTCCAGACCCTGGTCGTCGGTGGGAACATCTGTGGTACCTTCCCTACTTATGCAGCTCAGATCCGGTCCACCAATATCGCCAGTTTAAACCGCAGCTTGAAAACTTTGGACCTTAATGGGACAACTCCATTTGATTGTTTCGATCCCGAGTCAGTGATCAAGAGGTGTCCCAGGCTGGTGAAACTTGCTTTACCTAGCTGTATGCCACCAAATGTGCTCCTTGGCCTCTCGGAGATCCTTTCCAAGCACTGTAGGCTTATCGAGTGTGTGGTACTGGAATATTGTGAATTGGAAGAACTCTCTTTCAAAGCCTTTGTACGATCGTTCCATAGGCTTTCTCAACTAAAGATCTTGCGTTGTCCAGGATTCAAAGCTTCTATGCTGATGGACCTCCTCGATGTGAAGGGTCTATCTTTATTGGACACTTTGAGGCTCGAGTTTGATATAAAGGATCGAGCGGGGATGGAGGAAGCTGCAGTATTAATTGCTAGCTTGCCTGGAAACATTGATCATCCTAGGTTGCCCTGTATGCAATGGGTTCGTCGACTCGAGAGACCCATCATTCTGAGTAACCTCAGTTATGGTACAATAACACCTAATATTCGTATATGATAACAATTAAAAAAAAAAAAAAAAAAAAAAAAGAGCTAACGCGTTGATTTAAATAAAAACGAGCCACGGTTGGCTCTTGCGTTACCTGAATTACGTTCAAGATCGAATACGTAGCTCTGGTTGAAAGAAAATAGTAAACTATAATTTTGGGGGCAGCTGTTGCATACTTTACACAGCGCTCGTTGCATAAAGATTAAAGCAAATACTTTCCTTGTGCTTATGGACATACATCTAGGAAACAATCGTCATAGATGCGCTCTATCTATGTTACTCGCACACAGACTTGTAGCTATGCTTTTAATATGCTCTGATGAACATGATGAAATAAAAAACTTCTACAAATACTCCATGGTGCGATATGTCGGCCCACATATCATTCTCAGTTACTATACTACTCATCTTGCCTGCCAAAATCTTTTCACCAGTGAATACATGGGCAGTTTTGACTCGGTGTGTAGGGACCGGTTTTGAAACAGAAGGTGATTAAATCCTTGCCAAGAGTAACAAAGAAAAAGGATAAAGTCTCTTCTTGCTGTGCGGTGCTTTGCTGGTGACCTTGTGAGCGAGAGAGAGGGCAAACTTTTGGTGTCTGTGTGAATTGGATAGTCGGTAAAATATACGCATACAGGAGCACAGATCACAACGTGGTATCGAAGTTATAGCAGCAGCAAGATAGATATATACCGACGCGTTTGGGTGTCTTTCCTAGGGGTTTGTTATAGTGGCGACGAAGACGAGAATTGGTGCCTGTATGATTATGGCGTGGTCACCAAAGTAAAGTTTGTTTATTTCTTCTAGGGGCTTCTTTGGAAAATACATGTGTTTTGGTTCCCATTTGATTCGAATTGTCGAAAATGAAAACACCGCACCAGCACAGCGAGATGCCTTGTGTTTCTACATTACAGAAAGCAAAGAGGCACTTCAATCGCTTGTTCAACGGCCTGGTCATGTTCGTGTCCGTGATACGGATAAAAAAAGGAAATATACAAAGATTTGCACAACTTTTTTTTTTTTTTTTTTTTTTTTTTTTTTTTTTCGATGGCAACGTTAAAACATAAGCAAGGGGCCATTCAAGATAACAAGGCCAGATAGAACAGCACGGCGGAAGCCAACATGAAATGATCTGGAGTGAGTACCTGGGAAAGCAGTTCGAACAAACCAAAGCGGGAAAGGAAGAAGAGGAAAGCGGAGAAGGGGAGGAAAGTGGAGAAGGGGAAGAAGGCGGACATCAAAGGCAAAGGACGAGCCGATGATGTTGGAGGCGATGGTGGGGAAGGCAATAAAGGTGTTAGCCATGGAGGTTGTGGCGATGATGGTGGCAGTGGTGGAGTGGTCATGGTGATTTGCACAAAGAGTTTCGCACGTGCACAGCTACTTTAAAGCAAATCATGCGTAATGGACTTTTGAACGGTAACTCTGGTAGAGGTATGACAGGCTACCAAAGGGCCTTGGGCATTTTGGGGCAAAGTCAAAAAGCAATCACCAATGTTGGGGAAGAAATATCTGTGCTGGCACTAAGGTCGTGATCATCATAAGTAGCGGTCGATTAATGATATTGTGATGCCTGAGATGAAACCCTTAAAGAGGAAGAGATACTCATCTCTATTTGCTTTATTTATTGTAGATCGACAGCCAGGTCAGATACAACTCGTCAGCAGGGATCGTCAGGTGCCTCTTGCTCATGAGTGAACCCCTACCGGCCAAATACCTCCTTAAAGCCAGTGTTAAAGTTGAGCTTACTACAGAGGCGCTTCAATCACTAATCGAAGGCTGCGCTGATAATACGGGATAGAAGAACGGGTGCCATGCAGGTGGCCCCCAGTAAGGATAGCTCACTAACAATAGCAACGACGACCGCTGACATTGTCAGGGCCCACACTGCGCTCAGCAGTGTTCGAGAGGCATTGCAGTCGTTTGAGACGTCCATCTCCATGCTTAAGCAAAGTCGCAACCAACAACTCCGAGCAAAGCGAGCAGGACCTAAGCTGTGTGCAGCTGAACGAGGGTACGTACAGGGACATGATCTCAAGGCTTGTCGGGCGCAGACGTCGGCAGGATTGGGGTATCTGCCATCCGCAAGTACTGTACAAGCAGGTACATCTGCGTCATTCAGTGGTGCCTTGCCAGTGGCAGTCGTGACGATTGCAGCACCCGTTGCACGGCCAGTGATATCGCCTGCCGATGGCTGGTGTACTCGGTGCAATCGCCATCACATTACGAACCTGAAGTACGAGATTCATACACGTGAGCTAGTGTCCAAAGTCTCGACCGAGAGTTCAGTCTGTGCTTCTGATCGGGGAAGCCGATACAAGTGTCGGGAATCGTATAGGAGGAAACCAACAAAGGGGAGGGGCAAAGCTGAAGGAACATGTGTGATGCTGTCCAATTGGAGTGACGGATGAGTATCGAGCCTCGAAGGTCTGTGTCTTCTGCTTTTCCAGGTGCGACAAGCCAGGGCTCGACGAATCATATAGGGAAAGATCAAGACAGTTAATCTCTATAGTGCTGCTGAATATATCAGTCCAAGTTATCCATCTCTCCGGTACAGGTATGCTGTTGAGTCTCGAGAAACTCATGCGGGTGCTGCGATAGCAATAGCAGGTGCATCGGTATTGCTCAGCAACGAAAGACAGACGCCACCTTTCTTCTCTCGTCAAGTGAATCCATCCCAGATCAATACCACGGCAGCGACGACAGCAACCATCACTACTACATACACCAATAAATAAATACTGGATAAAAATGAAGCTCACAACATCATTAAATGATGTCCTGGAGTCCCCAAGCGGACGCTGGGATTTTGTGTGTCTTCATGGGGTTTTTTTAATTGCATAAAGTTACCTTTATAGCAGTCACAATTTTGCTAATGAATTTAATTGGTGGCAAACCATGTTGTGGCTGTAGCTTTTTTGTTAAAAGACATCCGATGTCAAACGTAGAATAAACAAAAACCCAGTTGAGGCATGGATCGCAATCGAAAGAAAAAAAGAGCAAGCAACACCAGCAATAATGCCTCCCAGCAACGACATCAACATGTCAGCAAGATTGATCCCATGTGTATGCCAGAAGTCTTGATGAACATCATGCAATTCTTGGACCGGCGATCGCTTAACACCTGTAAGTTGGTCTCTCGGTTCTGGAGGTCATGTGCTTTACCTGTGAGCTATGAACAGTATATTGTGTATATGGATGACATATTCAGCACTTTCAAGAGCGATAGCAGAGGCTTTGACGGCAGTGAAAGCACCCGTGATGTGCTTACGTCCAGAATAGCGAAAGAAAAGTTATCAGCTCTCTCCTATGTTTCTCGTAGGATCAAGTCCTTGAGGGTGTATTTCTCTAGTGGATCAGGAAATTCAACGTATAATTCAAAACTATGGGTGGAGCACGAAGACCAATTCTCGTTCGATCATCTCCTTCACCTTGATTTTTCTACTGTTTCCTTCGACATGGGAGGCAAAATTAGCGATATGTTTGAGCCTTACAATCTATTTTACTCGATCATCTCTAGCGCCTCATTGCTGCGCTCACTGGAAATGAAGATCGGACCATATAGTCAGGCGATTGTGACCCTATTGAATGTCTTAATTCCCTCCTCCAGTGGTGGTCCTCGGGGTGGATCAAGGTCAAATCAAACGTGGAGCTGGCGACATTGTCTCAAACGACTAGCTTTATTAGATGCTGGTATCAGCAATAGCTCTAGTTCATACATATTCGATTATACTTTCCAAGCTTTGCTGGGTTCACCGTATGCTCGCAGAACATCATCAAAATCCCAAGAAAATGGCCTTATGGAGACATTTCCAGGAGTCCAGGGTTGTGGGAGTATCAGTAACAATCTTGAGTACATCAGCAATGCCACCAATGCTATCACCAACACTAAGTCGACTGATATCCTTAGTAGTGCCGTCAATTCTATCAATAATATCGATAGTGATCCTTATCCTAATTTTAGTTTGGAGGAACTAGAGGTTCGTTACTGCACAAACAGCAGACAATATCCTGAGCTATCTTTCAACTGCCACAGCCCAGAGGACTTAATTATTCCACTGCGCTCATTAGCCCTCATAAATTATGATGTCTGTGGCTTGGATAGTGAACTAATGGATGATGGCGGAACTTTCGAAGAGGGGTTGATTCTGTCCATTTTAAAGCGCTGTCCTTTGCTTGAAGAGCTCACCATTTCATTTGATATCAGTGATATCGAATATTTCTCCGGTAAACCCGACTTCCGACTCTTGTCTTCCTCCGCATGTTTCCATGAAGCCATCGTGGATTACCATGGCACTATGTCTATGGAAGATTGGACCCCGAAAACCGGTTCATTCGTCAAGAAAATGTACCGATATTGTCCTCGCCTAAGGTCCATCCATTTCGGGATGATGTATGATCTAAGTGCAAACCATTGGGTGGAGATGATGGACCTTTATGGAAGTCAACTTGAATCTTTGAACGTCTGTGGTTCTTATACTTTTGACACTTTGGCTCTCATGACCTTGATTGGCCCGCCTGTTAATCACCCAATTCGAGCATTATCAACTGAGAATCTACATCGCTTAACATCGCTGAATATCAATGGCGCATCAACCTTGTGCGACAAGCATTGCATTTTCTTGCTCTTTCGACATTTGAAGGCGCTCAAGGCTTTACACGCTCGAAGCGTCAATATTGATGCCGTGACTTTGATTGGATATGATTGGGCTTTCAAGGATATAGAGACGCTGGAAATTTATGTGTCAGTTCCGAAGCAGTTCCAGTGTTACATTTTCCCAGCTATGACTTATTCATGGAATGAGGTTGAGGCGAATTGGGATTTAGAAAAGGATTGTGATAACTGGAATGATCTGGAGTTCGAAGAAGGTGACGATGGCGATGACGATGGTATATATGAAGTGAGATACAAGCCAAGATTCCGGCCGAGAGGCGATAGCCACCTCGCAGAACATATGAAATGTCTTACTAGGGAACAGAGAGAAAGTGGCGATATTACAGAGAAATCGCCAATTAGGACATTGCAGGACATGTTAGAAGAAGAGGAGGATGAAGAAGAAGAAGAAGGAGAAGGCATATCAAAGGGAAAGAAGGGTAAGGATGGCTATGTGAAGAGAGAGGTTAAGAAAACGAAGATTGGCATCGAGGTGGGGAAGTCAGATGAAGTAGACAGTTCTTGTTCAGACTCAAGCTCGGATTCAAGCTCAAGCTCTAGCTCGGACTCAAGCTCCAGCTCGGACTCAAATTCAAGCTCAGACTCAGGCCCCAGCTCGGATTCAAGTTCAAGCTCAAGTTCGGACACGGATTCGGATTCGGATTCGGATTCGAGCTTAGAATCAAGCTCAGAATCAAGCTCAACTACAAACTCAGCTTTTAATTCGAACATCAACATAGACTCGAACTATGAAGGGGATCTTTATTGCTTTCAGTGTAATGACCCGAGTTTTGAATTGAACTTAAAAATGAGGACATTGAAGCCTGAAGAGTATCGGAAACAAATCCAGATTAAAGTCTGTGAACAGCTGGGTCGCTTGAAAAAGCTAAAACGGCTCGCATTGGAGGGTCCAAAGGGAAAGTTGTATGACGAGGGGAGGTTTGGTTGCTTGGATTTGACATTGGAGACTGGGCTGGATCAGCTGAAACCTCTACAGGAGAGTTTGGAAGAGCTGGTCGTATACCAACTGGAAGAACTTTTGTGTGTGCGTAAAGAAGAAGTTGAGTGGATCGCACAGAACTGGATTCATCATAAGAACAAACGTTGGTTACGAGAACATGCACCGCAGGCACTAGCCCCAGAGGATAGAGTTCCTCCTGTAAATGAGGCACAAGATTACTTTGTCCCATGTCCCAAGTTAAAATTGCTCGCCGGCGTTTCGATTTCTGGCTATGGTCAACCTGTAGCCCAGACAATGTTTAATATTCATTGGCTCAAAACTCAATGTCCTTCACTTCAGGTCAGGGAGCATTCTCCGGCAGTGGCACCATCACCATCTTCATATTTTTTCGATTTCTCAACCCCTGGAACCCTTGAAGACTTTTAAATAAATTAAATTAAAATAGAGTAGAAAAGGTGTATCATGCCACACTAACATTACTATGATTAAACAGTGGGTTTTTCTGTTGACAAGTTTATGTAATGCTGTTAATCTATGCATGCTCTTTTTATTTTTCTTTTTTTCCTCAAATGTTGTGATTACAAATAACTCCTCTCGCTCTTGGGAGGCTTTGGTTTCCTAGGCCCTGCTGGCGATACCCGCGATACTGACGCTGATGCGGAGGATGGTGCTGGAGAAGGGTCCTCAGAAGCAATTTCCTTGTCCTTGCCAAACACGAAGTCCTGTTTTTCTGCTGATATCAATACTACGCACACCATGCAAAAAAAAAAATAGCAGCAACAGTAACTTATGTTAGTAACAATGTGTCTTTTTTTTATTTTTTTTAATACAGCCTCTTTACCAATAAAGAAAGAAGAAAAAAGAAAAAACTTACAGTCTTCAAAATACTTGTCGTCGACTTGCTCCTCTCTCTTGCTTCGATCCGCACCAATGGTTAACAAAGATTCCTCCTCTTCAATAGATTCTCCTCTCTTCAGCTTGTCTCTCATATCTGTTAACACGCCAATCTTCCATTCCTGTTTCTCTTTCAGATCCTTAGCTTCACCCTTGATCATTAACAAATGGACAGGTAATGAGCCTATGGCAGACCAATAAATGATGTGATATAAAATGTACCAAAACTTCGATTTTTTTGCCTTTGGCGGCGGCGCTGATGATGTGGACTGTGAATCAAAAGAGTCTGATTTAGCTCCTGTTTCTGATGACGAGTTGCTGCTTTCTGCTGATCTCTTATCATGATGAAGGGTTGATTCTGATTCTGAAGTGGTAGAAGTCCCTGATACGGTTGTGGTATCTCGGCTTAGATCTGCGATCACTTGTTCGATTGGCTTGACATTTTCATTTATATCTAGCATAGACCGTTCTGGCGTAAGTTTTGATGGCTGAACTGCTGTAGGCGGTATTTCCTCTACAGGTCCAACTCCTGGTTCTGATTTTGATCTAGATCCAGATCCAGATCTAGACACCGATGCAGTGTGATTGTTGATATTAGCTGATAAGTATCTGCTCTGCCGTATGATAGTTATTGCTGGTTTATTTGTAGTCAAGAGCATTTTGTTTTTAGATGTAGTAGGCACTCCATAGTGGTGGTGGTGGTATCGTTGGAGTCGCAGGATCCGTGCCACAGTTTGATATGATGTTGATGTATTCATCACTGTGTTGTAAAAGGATTATGGCCCAGCTGTCAGGTCTTAGCGAAATTCTTCTTGGAGCACGTTCTTTTTTTTTTTCCTGTTATAAAGTAATTTGATGCAGTTACAGGTTTGATGTCGGAATGATCAGACGTTCAAGTTGAAGTTGTTGTTTGCAGAAAAAAGAAAAGGAATTAAGGGTTACTTAGTCAGAGCAGGAAAGGAAATTGTCAGTGCGCGCGTTCTGTCTGAGAAAAAAAAAAGGGGCATTTGCAGAGCATCACAGGATATGTCATAGGAATCAACGTCAATGACGATATGTATAAAAGAAGGCTAAAGAAACCACCATGCACAATTCAAACTTCTTGCATCCACAATTCACATCCTCTCTATTTTCTTCATTCATATACACAATACACAAACACATTCACATTTATACTCATTTAACACATCATGGTAAGGCCAAGCAGTTGCTGTTGTCGTCTTGAAGCAACAATTGAGAGACTCTTGTTTCAACTGGTTCAACCCTTTCGCTCACTCTCTGCTCCAACACGTTTTTATGCTTCTTATGAAATACTAGTCCGTCCGTCGTCAGAAAAAGGCCAAGCGCGCCATCCGTCAAAACTCAAATGTGTTCGCCATGTTTGATCAGAAACAGATCGTGGAGCTCAAAGAGGCCTTTTCACTTATTGATCATGACACAGATGGATTTATTGACCGTGAGGATTTAAAGGATATGTTAGCATCCTTGGGGCAGTCACCTACAGAGGAATATATTGAAGACATGATCTCAGAAGCTCCTGGAAGTATCAATTTCACAATGTTTTTGACTCTCATGGGAGAAAAGTTATCTGGAACTGACCCAGAACATGAGATTCTGCAGGCATTCGAATGTTTCGATGAGGGAGGAACCGGTATGTGTAATGCAGAGGAGTTACGGGAATGGATGACTACTATGGGCGACCGGTTTACAGATGATGAAGTAAGTATAAGAGCTACGGCAATTACAGTTTGGCGAGCTATGAGCCATATACGAAAAGTCGTTAATCAATTATAACATTCTCTTAAAAAAATCGTGTGTATTCACTTAGGTTGACATCATGTTTAAAGGAGCAACAATCGACAGGGACGGCAACTTTAATTACAGAGAATTTGCGCGGGTACTAAAGCACGGCGAGTAGTGCAGATCTAATTCAAGTATGGACTGCGCTAGACCTTTCGCCCAGCTTCTGTTCATACTCCCCTTTTTTGTATTCACATAACACCTGATATTGATACTACAGCTAATAAAAAACAACAACAACAACAGCAAGAGCAACAACAAAAACCCCTGGTGTCCTTCCTTCGTACTTTTTGCACTTTCTTGTAAATATATATTTCACATGTGAGAGTTGCTTCTCTTCAAGACTATGCTATTCTTTCCAATACTTTAAATACCCTTGCCTCCAGTCACCTCCAACGTATGACCTGTGATATAGGACGCAAAAGGACTGCACAGCATCAAGACAGATCCTGCAGCCTCGTCCACATGTCCAACACGCTTCAGGGGTGTGTCCGCAAAAAGAGCTGCTTGAACAGAGGTATTATCCTTATCTCTCGCGGGAATACCTAATGAAACCTTTTGTCCATCGATCACAATGTTCTCTCCAGCCTTGGCGCGCGTCAAGCGTGTATCCACTGGTCCGAAGGCCACGGTGTTGCAACGGACACCAAATGAACCCCATTCCTTGGCTACAGTCTTGGTCAATCCTACAATGCCGGCCTTGGCAGTCGCATAGTTAGCCTGGCCAAGATTTCCATGAAGACCAGAAACTGAAGAGACCTAGAGGGGAAAAATAAAAAAAATTAATATGTAGGAAACGTGCAAAAGTTTTTTTTTTTTTTTTTTTTTTTTTTTAAGTAGGACCATTACGTTGACAATAGAACGAGGCTCGCCATCTTTCAGGCGCATGTATTTAGCAGCAGAGCGGATGATACGGAAGGGCGCAACGTTGTGTACATCCAACATTAGCTGGAATTGCCTGTCGCTAGTTTTGTGGACCATTCCATCGAATGTGAATCCTGCATTGTTGACAATAATGTTGATCTTTCCAAAGACTCTTTTGGAAGAAGAGGAAAAAAATAAAAATGTCAACCATTTTATCCCCTTACAAATTCCCGATTTCTTTGCGTGGTTAAACATTCAAGAGCGTATATTACTTCACAGACTCCTCAATAAGACGGTCAGGGAAGGCAAGATCGGTCACATCACCACTAACAGCAATGGCTTTACCTCCAGTAGCTTTGATTTGTTCAGCAATGGCCCTACCCTTGTCTTTTTATTGAAGAAACAAAAAAAAAAAAAAAAAAAAAAAAAAAACTCAATTGTTAAGAACGATTATGCATATTGGAATGTGTTGCACGAGCATTGCTGCACTCGGTACTTTTTTTTTTTTTTATTTCACACAACTTTTGATTCCGGGACAAAGTTTTTGGTCCAAGAGGTAAATTCCATTTCAAACATAACTTACTATCGTCAAGATCGCTGACCACAACGCTAGCGCCTTCTTTTGCAAAAAGAAGGGCAGTGGCAGCTCCAATACCCTGGCTAGAAACGCAATGATAAAAAAAAGATTAGTTTTGAAGAATGTTCACTAGCGTGAAGGAAAGATAGTTAAAGGATGATGGCAGCATTTTTGAAGAAATGCCTGGGATGTTTGACCGTTGTACTTGATCCCTGATAGAAACGCCATACGTTTGATTTGGATTTTCTCCTTCATTTACCCAATTGCTCGGCTTGGGATATGTTTTATTCACACAAACAATGTATTTTAATGAAATTAAAGAACACATACCCGGCGCCGGTTATTATAGCGACCTGGTTAGTAAGCAAGCCGCGAGGATGAGAAGCAGAGGAGGCTGAAGCAGAGAGGTGGTTCATAAGAACTGAAACACGGCTGGCTGCAGTCGTAGACATTTTTAAAAAAAAAAATGGAAATGTTGAGTGAATGAAAGAATGAATGTCAAGAATGAGTTTGGAGAAAATACCCACGGGCGAATTTTAAAATGCACGCGTCTCTCTGGCGTTGCACCAACCATATCACAGCGATTTTTTTTTTTTTACTTTACAGGTCCACATGCCTCGAATGTAAGCAAACCATGCCGATTTCCTTACTACTACAGAAATAACATCAAGCCTTGCTGGTCCGCTTGCGAGCTTGCTGGCCCTACTACAAAATAAGGGCGCACAACGTCCTATCGATGCGTTCGAAAGCAGTATGAGAGGGAAAGCAGAAATAACGGAAGACGTTTCTGGCGGAAAACCACAGTTTAGAAACCAAGTATCAGGCAGAAGTGCCCCCTTGGGATTACTGTTCGCTCAGAGAAGGGGCCAGGGCAGAGTGAGCCCAGCGAAACCGCGCCTTTTATCAAGTACAAGTAGAGATCGGCAGCATCCTGCAGGGCTCTTCCATTAATATGATAATCTATGCAGATCCTGTGTAATGAGGGCCAGGAGGTACGTGTCTTATGAGATAACTTCAAATGGGCTTTATTTTGAGCTCTCTACAGAGTGGAGGCCAGCAGGAGATTGATTTGTTTTATTAGCACCCGTTATCTTTCCGGGTAGGCTAAGCACCGTAACGCATTACTTAGTACAATCACTCATAGGTGGCAAATAGATACGTTTCTAGATGAAGCGTTTAAAAGCATGTTGTGTTTGTGGCGGTAACCCCATGTGAACATGCTGAGAACTCTACACGAAGCACCAAACTGAAGAACACGCTTGGTCAATTCAGTTTCCACTTCAGGATACAAAGCAATGCCTGTTGCTATATTATATTGCATGTGCAACTTGCAAAGTATATTTTATAGAGAAAACATCGCCAGCTGCACACGTCTTGGCGCACTAGGAAGGCCCTTTTTTCGAGAGACCAAAACTGGCCCTTCATCATTACGATCAAAAACGTTTATTGAAAAAAAAAAAAAAAAAAAAAAAAAAATCGAAGCATTGGCGCTGGACTTCATCCCAGTATAGTTTTACTTCTTTTATTTCTTTGTGTTAATGTGTCTCACATTTGTGCCACTGCATGCATTTTGTTTAAACGTTCAACATGGATGGATATAATCCACGCTACATGCTTGGCCTTCCCTTGCTTGAGGAGAGATTACCCAGATTGATCGCCTTTTTTTAGATCAGGAAGCAAGACAGCTCACCAGTCAGAGGCATTTTCTTTTTCCCATTTTCGGTGGGTCAAGTCCAACTATGCATGACATCTCTCTGAAATTGGCTTCATTTTGATGAGTGCATCAAGCATTATGTAGCTCCTATGCATCTACTGCAACAGGTCGGCGACTTGATGCGAGCATTTTAGCTTGTACCCGGTTTATAAGAGCTCGTGAATAATCTATTGCTAGTTTCATTGTCCTTGAAAGTAATACCCCAGATGGCAGATCCGCAGAGCATTTCCAATGCAGAGAGCATTGGTATAGTTGAGTCGTATAGTTGACGCGCGTTATGTGCTATATACAATGCTAGTTTCCTTTGAAGAGCAAGTGTACCAAAAAAGAAACCTTTGCCTTAATTGCATTGTATTATTGTTATGCATACAAACACCAACGTTGAGTTCTAGTTCTTTGTTCTGATAAGAGACAGACAAGGGCCAGACCAGAAAGAGGATAACAAGCGCTTGCGCTTGGGGCACATTCACTCCCAAGGATAAATTACCAGCGAATGTCACAGGGCCAAACAAATAAGCAAACTCGGTCTTTACAAATCTTGGATTCACACTACAATCGATTGGCACATTCTTTCTTCACTGTCTGACAAACAAGTAAAAAAAAAAAGTTGGCAGAAGATGCAGAAGATTGGTTTACATCATCAGGAGCGTTCAATTGTATTTTTTTTTTCCTGTGCCTAGAAGCCTGCCCAAATGGATTGAACACCTGTGTTCAACTGCTGTGCGAGGGCTCACAATTTATTCGATCTGCAAAGTTTATAGGATCGAAGGCCCTATAGTAACAGTTTATCATCCTGGAGCCTCTCAATGTTAATAATATATACATATACAGTGCACAGGCAACCAGAAATTGCTGGATGCAAGTTATCAAAAAGTAGTACAAGAAGTAATCAAGTTTACAGAACTTATTGCAGCAATAGCATTGTGGATGATAAATATATGTACTGTACATATTTGTCGTGTAGTATGCATGAGGAGGTGTCATCGGGAGGTTGGACTGGTTCCAGCAGAGCAGCAGAAACTGGATTGTGATTTATCCTATCTACAACAGCTCTCTTCATTTGTGGCGTGCAGGTGCCCCCTCCTCCAGATGCATCATGCAAAAGACGATGAACACAAGAACTTTTTTTTTTTTTTTTTTTTTTTCTTGTCCGTTAGAGAGTACACAGCATACAAATTTACACAAATGCATCCAGGAAAAGAGCATCGTAACTGCAACCGCTTTGGTTGGGGTACCGAAACCACGCTTTCTTTCCTTTTCTTTCTTTCTTTTTTTTTTTTTTTCTCCTTTTTGTCTTTGGTATGCTGATCATCTTTTCTCTTTGTCATTGTTCATTGTTCATTCATCTCAATCCCTACTCTTCATTCTTCATTTACATCGTGTCATCTTTTTTCCTCTTTAAGGGCGAAGAATAATTGATTAATTAATTAATTTTAATAATACAAAAAAAAAAAAAAAAAAAGTTATTAGAAAGAGATGGAAGAATCAACAGCAGAGTCCACTTCTTACAGACCAATGGTGGTCATTGTGGGGGCTGGTTTAGGTGGTCTGTTCTTGGGTATTCTTCTTGAACGTGCTCGCATCCCATACCGCATCCTCGAGCGTGCCATTGAGGTCAAACCGTTGGGTAATACAGATTAACCTCGCTTTGGCATGCTTAAGAGATAATGCAGCATATATATAATTGCTTTTACATACTACTGTTTCTACTGCTGATTCGAAAAAGGGCCATTCTTGTTTTTTACCACTTTGATCCACAGGTGCGGGCGTGACACTAAATGTCAATATCATGCCTGCATTTGAGCAGCTTGGCCTGCTGGATGACCTCCTGAAGATTGGCATGCCAGTTTACGACGTGAATCTGTTCAATGAAAAGATGCAGAAGATAGGGACTGTCTCTGGCATGAACAGGAGAGCCATGTAATACTTTTAAATGAATGACAATAATAATGAAGGACATCTTTCACTCTCTTTTATCCGGATATTTAGCCATTTAAAGTTTTATTCACGTATCCACTTTTTTCCATCTTATTTTGTTTTACTTTATTGTTTTTTTCTTACAGTGATGGGTACGACACCCATCTCTTCACACGCAAAAAACTGTACGACTTGTTGTTGAAGCATGTCCCGGAGCACAAGATTTCATTCGGGAAACGCGTCGTTAACATTGAAGAGCGGGACAGCAAGGTCTTTATTCAATGTGCAGATGGATCCATTCATGCGGCCGATATCCTTGTCGGAGCTGATGGAGCCTACAGTACCGTTCGTCAAGCACTTTACAAAGGACTGGATCAACGAGGTCTGTTGCCAAAATCAGATCTCAAGAAACTAGCTGCTGGGTATATCAATATCATTGGAACTGCACAACCAATAGCAAAAGGCGATCCAACAGCAATGCTCAACAAGTACCCACAATTAAAAGAAGATACGGTGCAGTTTTCAAGTGTTATTGGCCAAAAGCAATTGTCGGTATGTTTTTAATTCTTCACAAAGCCCTTGCTGCAAACACAAAACAAAAAGAGCGATGATTGTCGAATACAATTTTACTTTCACTTTTTATTTCTCATGCTTGTGTGGTAAGAGACCTGATGTGTACCACTTTGCTTTAACATATTAGTGGGGTGTTGCAAGTGCAAAGGACAACGAAGTCACATGGGGTATAGCATACCAATTGTCAGAGAAGGAAGCAGGCGATCAGCTCAAGAGCTCAGAATGGAACCCTGAATCCAGCAGTGATATGCTCCGAGGTTTTTATGATCTACCTTGTCCTTGGGGTGGCACTATGGGCGAAATCATTGAAGCCACACCCAAGGAAATGCGCTCAAGAGTCGTTTTGGAAGAGAAAGTCTTTGAGACTTGGCATCATGGGCGAGTTGTCCTTATAGGAGATGGTAAAGCACAACAACAGCAATAACAAAAAAAAGGGTGTTAGCAGAGAGATAAGACCATGCATTAAGTCGTTTTTCTTTTCTCTCTCTTTTTTTTTAATTATTATTAAAATGATCAATCCTGGGATGACTAGCCTGCCACAAGGTAAAAAATATTGACAACAAATATAAAATATAGAAAATATATAAAATATGCTGACATTTTCACTTTTTTTCTTAACAGATGCTCATAGGCGCTGGTTTAGGTTAGTAGGCACTTTATAGAATATCTGGCTTCTAAAAACCATAGAGTTCTAATCATCAACGTGGAAACTGACAGCCCTTATTCTTTTTTTTTTTTTTTTTTTACTTTGTACTTGACAGGCGCCGTAAATGCGCTCCAGGATGCTGTGGTCCTTTCGAACTGCTTATACGACTTGCCCAATATAAATGCAGAGAGTATCAAAGCTGCATTCCAAGAGTACTACGAACAACGATACAGCCATGCAGTCAAGGCCTTCAAGTTGAGTAATATGGTTTCTGGAGTTATGAATGGCACGGTAAGTGTTTGAATAACCTTTATCGATTAAAGGAATCATAGTTGCAATCGTTTCAATCGTGCATGTGTCTTTGGCTCACAAATCTTTGTGCCTTTGTTAAAAAAAAAAAAAAAAAAAAAGTCTTGGAAACAGAGGATTATGCGTTATATTTTATTAAACTATATTCCGGCCAAGTTGCATGAACGTAGTTATGCAGAGTCAACAGCATATCGTCCTCAGTGTAATTGGCTTCCCCTTGTAGCCAAAAGAGGGACAGGGGCGGTTTCACCACAAAAGCCATCTAGACGGTATACAGAAGAACAGGCACGCGCTAAAGCTGCCGTTCCCGTATCACACATCGTAGCCAATGCGGCTGCAGCGGTTGTCTAATAATAAAGACTCAAGAATATTAGACGATAGAATGTATTACGGACGGTATCCATATTTGTACAAGCGGTAGTAACCATGAGCAATAATGGTATCGATTGTGGACGAGGATCAACCATGCTGCGCTGAACATCTTTATTTTATTTTGTTTTTCTCGCCATCTTTCGATGAAAGGTCATGTACATGTACATGTAGAACATATACATAATGGTGCACTACATGGATTGTTTGGAGACCACTCCCCTCTAATTGACCCAATTGAGCAATTATGCTTCTTTTCTTTCTTTTTATTTAAAATCCAAACTAAAGTCGTGGGCTGAGTACGGAAGAGGTCGGGAATATTTACTGCGCATGTCATTCATGTCATGACTTTTTTTTATAAAAGTTGTCATTGATCTTTTTTTTTTTTTTTTTTTTTTTTTCTTTTTTTCCGCACATCTCTCTCTCAGTCTTATTTCTTTATTATTATTGCTTTTCAAAAAAAAAAAAAAAAAAAAAAAAAAAAAAAGGGCAGTAACTTTGACAGCACAGCATTCATTACCATCTAAAGTATCAGAGAAGAAAATTATGACAGCCCAGGAACACGAACGCGAACGCGAAGCACAGACCACACCCACAGTCCTGATTGTGGGAGCAGGTCTCGGAGGCTTAATGCTTGCCATGCTGTTGGAACGCATCGACGTCTCTTACCTTATACTCGAGCGCGCTTCAGAATTACGCTCTCTTGGTAATAGTTATAAAATAAATAAATAAAAATACAAAGTCAAAATAAAAATTGGAGGGACAAAGTAAAAAGCAAGAAAAGTAGCGTAATAGGGAAGAAATAATTATGATGCCTACTTGAAGTTTGTGCTGTATCATTGTAATTAACACCCTCCTCTTCCTCTAGGCTCAGCAATGACCATGGGTGCATCGATTCTTCCAGTGTTCGAGCAATTGGGCCTATTGGAAGAGATTAACAAGATTTCACTGCCTGTTGATAAGGCAGACTTTTACAATTCTCGCATCGAGAAAATAGGTTGCATCTGTGGGAATAACCGTAAAACGTAAAGAGCAATAGCAACGATAGAAAAAAAAGAAGAAATGATCTCAATTGTCTTCATGCTTCCTCCTTTATTAATCTTTTTTTTTTTTTTTTTTTTTTTTACAATTGGACACAAAAGTACGGGATATTCTAATCATCTCTTTTCTCGTCCAAAGCTCCATCAAATTTTGCTAAAACATGTCCAGCCTCACAAGATTCAATTGAACAAAAAGGTGGTTCGCATCGAAGAAGTCTCAAACAAAGTTTATATCCATTGTGCAGACAATTCCACCTTTCAAGGAGACATCGTAGTTGGAGCCGATGGTGCCTACAGTAGCGTCCGCAAATCCTTATTCGCTCAGATGAAACTAAAAGATATTCTACCTCGAAAAGATGAAGATTCGTTGGAGATTGGATATAGTAGTCTCGTGGGTGTGACATCTCCTCAGGATCCAGAGATTTTCCCACAGTTGAAGGATCCATTTTCGCACTTTTCACAAGTCATTGGGGATGATACCCGTAGTGTAGGTTATGAAGCAAAAGTTAGGCAGAAAGGCATAGTATATAATTAACATGCCTTCATCCTCATACTTTTTTTTTTTTTTTTTTTTTTTACATGGACAACAGTGGGGACTGGCCAGTATGGCAGACAATGAAGTCTCATGGCTCCTTAGCTACCAGGTGACGCCTTCAGAGAGCAAGGCACGCATGCAACAGGGCCGTGGTACGGGTTGGAGCATGAGCACAGATAGTGAGTCAAATAACGTTGATATGATGATAAAAGAATTTAGAGACTTGCCTTCTCCATGGGGCGGAACAATGGGAGATTTCTTTGATAAAACACCCAAGAATCAGATCACAAAGGTGTTTTTAGAAGAGAAGATGTTCACAACTTGGTACCATGGTCGGACTGTCCTTTTGGGCGATGGTAATCTTATGTTTGGTATAGTATGTCGATCAAATGCTTTTCGGTTTTGTGTATCATACATCAGTTAACCAGGACCTCTATTTCTCTCTTTTGTAATGGAAATGCCACTAATTTCTAGCTTGCCACAAGGTAAAAAGAAAAGAGAATGCTGTCTTTCGCTTTGTTAAAAGTTTATATTGATTTTTTTTTTTTTTTTTTTTTTCCATTACTCTATGCATAGATGCTCCCATCTGGCGGTCAAGGTAAAGCTACTTCCTAATACCATGGATGTTATCTTAAAAACAAAAGCAAAAAAAAAAAAAAAAAAAAAAAAAAGGTAGAAGCTAAAACACGTATACATGTGCACTGTTATCTTTTTAGGCGCAGTGAATGCAATGCAGGATGCGGTAGTTCTTGCCAATTGTATCTACTATATGAAAGGTAGAGATCTCGAAGATTTTACGGCCGCGTTTAAAGAGTATCATCGCCAACGGTATCCGTGTGCAAAAGCACAGTATATTCGTAGCCATAACATCGCGAAATATATGTCTGGCCAGGTAAAGAAGATTGCTTTTTGCTGTACTAAAAAAAAAAAAAGAAAATCTAGAATCGAGAACCTTGGCCCTTATTCTCGTCTGTTCATTCTTTTTTCTTCTTCATATAAACACGTACATGTACAGTCTTGGTCAGAGCGAATCATCCGTTATGTGATCTTTAACTGGGTCCCTAGCTGGGTTCATGCAAATGGATACGCACAGAGCGTAGAATATCGACCCCAGATTGCATGGCTTCCGCTAGTTGAGAACCGAGGCACATGGCCTGTCAAACCCCAGGATGAACCACAGCAGCTTCTGACAGTCGAATATGCTGATGACGCCAAAGCCCGTAGTGCTTAAAATAAGCAGGAATAAAAGCACTTTCCCTTTTACTTCTTAATATTGGCCGTAGCTAATTTGGGTTCATAGACTTGTAGCCAAAAAAAAAAAAAAAAAAAAAAAAAAAAAAAAAAAAAAAAAGGCTGGTGGGAGTTACCACGTGGCATCTAAAAATCACTACAGAATCTGACGATGTTTCGCATGTCTTGGTTGAGAAATGGAGGGACATTGGACTTTGATGTAATTGTAACTGTTCAGGGCTCGTTAAATAGATATGCATTATTGCATTTATACCATGCAAACCTATCCACTATCAACAGAGGTCTAAAGTACTAAAGCAAACAAAGCACTACAGGTCAATTGTGTATGCACCAATTATGGAGAATCGGAAGAGTTTTTATTTCTAGAGTCTGACATTCTATGTGCTATAAAATGAACAGTAGCGCTTCTTTGAAGCACGATGCAGCATGACTTTGGTTTTTAAAGTTTAAAAAAAGCTTATTAAGGTTTTCATTTTTAATACTAGTTATATATATAAAAGCGACCATTCGAGCACCAGTTTTATTTTTATTCATCACTTTTTTTTTGTGGATAGAAAAGTCCATTTAGAACTAACGGAAATAGTTTGCGAAAGGAAAGGGAAGGGCAACTCTGTCTGCACGTTTAGATTTATATATATCAGATGTTCATTGACCTTATTCGCTGTACTGTGGGGGAATATGATTATTGTGGGATGGCTGTATTATACCAATGAGGATCGCCTTTTAGTGTATATCCGGCTCCAGCAGTATCCAAATTGTCTTCTACCCAGAGGAGCGATTCTAATTCATTCATGCACCTTCGTTTAAAGTCAAGAAGGAGCCACAGAATTCTTTTTGTGACCCAATCATCTTCCTAATCGATCAATTGTTGCGCCCAATTTCTTTGTGCAACCATTCTTAACATTTTTATATAAGCCGCATTAAAGGAGCATTTAATCGATTATAAAAAGTAGGCAATGCCTTCCATATTATTACCCAATAGCGTATTCAATTGAGTCCCGGAAGTGTGGCTCTCAATCTTACCGATGTACGGTTTCAATGCAATTACCTTCAATATTTATACAAACATAAAGGATGTTTATTCATTATTTTTCAAGAAGCAAGATGTATACTGTACATGTACACATTCGTTTACAAGTCAATGGACAATGGGCAATAGGCAATAGGCCAATGATGAATGTTATGATTGGTAGATTCCCTAGGTCCCTATAAATGTAAATATATTTTTATATAGACCAATAAGTCTTTATCATATTATTTTATTCAACCTGTTATTCATCATGGTGCACAAGTCAAACCAACCTGGATCTTCAAGGGCTGTTTTACCCGTCTCTGTTCTCAGTATTCGTCTTTAAAGAATTAATCCGAAGAAGACGGAGTGCCAAAAAGAAAAAAAAGATTCTCATTTGTGCAACATGACATGCAAACCAAAATATATACAATATGAATATGTGATCTCTCTGGTGCATGGATGGGAGACAAATAGAGTGAGAACAGCAAAAAAAAGAAAAGACAAAGTCGTTGAGAGCTTTTGAAAAGCTTTGTGAATAAACAAGCGGGTTAGAAAAACGTGGAGGAAACGGAGAGAGAAGGGTATCGGCATCTTTTTCTTACTTCGCTTTCTCATTCCTCTTTTTTTTTTTTTTTTTTTTTTTTCTTCACATTCCTCCATTCACTCTCATTCACTTCCTGTCAAAACAGTAAAAAACAAAAAATTATCCAGATAGAAATAAAACAACAATGTTGACATATGCTGAGCAAACGGAGAATAAGCCCGTCGTTATGATCGTCGGCGGTGGTCTTGGCGGTTTGATGTTGGGTATTCTTCTAGAGCGAATCAATGTCCCATATCATATTTTCGAACGCGCAACCGAGATCAAGCCTCTTGGTAGGGTGGTAGTCACACGCGATCATCTAATATTTGTATAATTGCAAACATTCACTGATTAAACAAATTATTAAAAAAAAAAAAATCTTTTTAATAGGATCGGCCATGTCCTTAAGTGTCAACATCATGCCCGTGTTCGAACAACTTGGTCTGCTGGATGAGTTGTTGTCCTTCTCAGTTTCGTATAACAACTCGACCATGTATGATCACAAGCTCAATGTACTTGGTACTGTCAGCATGAAAGATCAAAAGCAAATGTAAGCACATATATATATGTTTTTATATAAAAACAAGAGAGAAAGAGAAGAGTAGCCTCATTATAGGTCTTGATTTTATTAAATTTAAATTAGCTGTGGGTATGACAAGGTGATTTTCGCCCGTCCAAAGCTGCATGCAATGATGCTCCGTCAGATCCCAACAGATAAAATCACCTTCGGCAAGCGAGTCTTGAGGACTGAAGAAATAGATAATAAGGTCTTGATCCATTGTTCAGATAACTCAACATATTCGGGTGATATCTTAGTTGGCGCCGATGGAGCCTACAGTTCAGTGCGTCAATCACTTTACAAACACCTTTTAGAGCAAGGGATCTTGCCCAAGTCAGACTCGGAGAATTTGTCGCTAGGTTATAACTGTATGGTGGGCGTCACGGATCCTTTAGATCCCGAGAAATATCCTCAGCTCAAGGATGATTTCGCACACTTTACAGCCATTCTTGGAAAGCAACGCCTCAGCGTAAGTATTTTTTTTTTTTTTTTTTTTTTTTTTTTTAAAAAAAAACAAAAAAGAGTGAAGGAATCCTATTTTGTATCTCTCGAGAATTGATAATTGCACTCTTTTGGTAAACGCAATGGTATTAATGAGTGTTCCTGTTGCTTTCTTCCTATTTGGGGATTGCACATGTATTCACTTCCTTCCTCCTCTTCTCCCCTTTCTTTTTACTTCGGTACTACACTAGTGGGGTGTGGTGAATGTGCCTGGCAATCAAATCTGCTGGATTTTGTTGGTTCAATTCGACAATGCAGATGATGCGGCAGAGCAAAGATTCCGTAACTCGGAATGGGGGCCAGAGTCCACAGATGCGATGGTCAAGGAGTTTCGCGATGCTTTGAACCCTTATGGTGGTACCATGGGTGAGCTCATCGATGCTACCCCCAAAGAGAGACAATCTAAAGTCTTTTTGGAGGAGAAATTGTTTGAAACTTGGTTCCATGGCCGTACAGTCCTTGTGGGAGATGGTATGTTTTTGTCACCAAATGTTTGAACCAGGTCTTGAATCACCAATATGTGGAGCATGTGAGTAACTATTATTCTCCGCTTTGTTCCATTCTTTCTCCTCTGCATTGGTTTTTTAAATAGCATGTCATAAGGTAAATCAGCAATCATTGCGTTGGTCTATTCATTGTCAGTGCTGCGGAAACTTTGCATAAACACTAACCGTTCAAAATAAAATAAATGATGCCTTTTTTATAAATATGTTAGATGATCCCTGCTGCTGGTCAAGGTATACAAATGTTCACAATCACACAAACATTTGCACCGGATGGCACTAACTGAACCTAATTTTTTATTTTTTATTTTTTTTTTTAGGCGCTATCAATGCAATGCAGGACGCAGTTATTCTTGCCAATTGCTTCTACGATATGCCCGATGCCAGCTTGAAGAGCATTACGGCTGCTTTCCAGGACTATTTCGATCAACGCTATGAGCATGCAAAGATGCAGATCGACATCAGCAAGTTTTTGGGCAAGGTCTTTGCTGGCCAGGTACGATCCCAAATGACGTGTTTATACCTAAATGCACAGTCATTTATATATATAAACATGTAACTTTACATGATTAACAGTGAGAAATAATATCCTTTACGTTTTTTTTTTAATAGTCATTCTTTGAGCGAATTTTCCGTAAAATGATCTTGAATTATATCCCAGATTGGATGAATGCTCGCAATAACATCAAGGTTGCATCCTATCGTCCTCAAATCACTTGGATGCCTTTTGCACCCAATCGCGGCACAGGTCCTATTCTTCCTCAGAAACCCTGCAAGCGGTATCAGAAAGAGCAGGCAAGGAGGGCTGAGGCCCAGGGTTCTATCCCAAATACAATATCATCCACCACTTCGGCCTCAGTGGTTTAAAAAAAAAAAACAATTATTAATCTACATCGCATGCATAATTTAAACCAAAAAAAAAAAAAAAAAAGCATTTCTCAAGGGAAAGTTAGTGCAAACATTCCAATAAAATTGAAAAGATCCTTTTCCAAAACTCTTTGGGCCTCAATCTGTGAATAACGCTGTGTGGGAGTGATTAGAGCCTCTTTCTCTCCTTCGCTCCTATCCCAATCGCCTGAAGACGCTGGAATGGTATGTAGTCCGAGCGAGCTCAACAGCTAGAAAGCACTTAGATCTTTTTCTCTTTTTCAAACTTCCTTCTTATGCATACTGAACAAAAAGTACATTCACTACAATGGATAAAAACGGCGCAGCATGGTCATATGGTACGGGCAACAATGTTTACTGAAAATTCCAGAGGTGATTATATGTACAGATGAATCATAATATGCAAATGCATCATATACATGTCTGTTAGTTTTATTAATCAACTATGTTCTCATTTTTATTCTTGTCTTCTTTTGTCATGTCAAGTTGTGAAGTACCATTATTTCAACACCTTTGATTGCCTATCGTATAGTATACGGATACATCTTGATTATGAGTGAGAAAGCTGATCTTTAGAATATGGTGTTAGCAATAGCCTTCTCCGATGTCCATTTGCTGTTATACTTTCTTTATTGGATAAGAGGCTATGATTGTGAATAACCTCATCGGCTCAAATTTACTTTGCGATATTACACACATCAATCATTAGCAGTCAGACTGCAGAAATAAAACACGAGTGAGGCGAATCTCATGGATGAGGAACGGGAAAAGAAAAACGAGAGACTATACATGAATTACGCTACTTATCATTGTACAAAACGCATCGTGCCGCATTTTATTTAACTTCTTCCCTTTTATTACACTGACACTGCTACGGCTAGGCTGGTCCTCCATTTGGTCAATGCTGCCCCTGTAGTTCTCATCTGGAGGGGCGGTCTGTGCTCGTAACTCAAATCTTTATGCTGCTGTTGGTTAGCGTTTTCGCATTGAAGAGCTGGCGTTGAAGGGCTCTGTTGCGATCGCGAGCTGGTAAATGATGGCCCAAACTGCCCAAGTAAATTTCCGCTGCAAGTGCGCTGATGCCTTCCAAGGGCCTTTAGACCACTTGGAGGGAGCGGTGACGCTTGTTCAGGGCGGACTTGTGCTGCAGGTCCAGCCCTAGAGCGGTCACTTGCCGCCGCAAGTGTGTAGCCAAGTGTATGTCTCTTCCACTGCCTTGAGGTACTGGAGACGTGCTCATTACCAACAGTTTTATTGTTGCTGAAGACAGTGTCACTGGCACCATTGGCCTTTTGGGCATCAAAGCCCGCTGCAAAAAGCGATCCCTTAGGCCCATGGCCGACACCTGCCATCAGAGGAACTGAGGGAGGGAGGAAATTGGCTAAAGTTGGATTTGCTGTAATGCTTTTGGAATGATGGCTGTAATCAGATCCATACCTTTTGAAGCTACTGCTTCTGCTTATACAGCTTACACTGCTTGCGCTGCTGCTGCTGCTACTTTTGTCGTATCTGGTGCTATATTCACTCCTGCTAGAGCTAGTAAAAGTAGTGAAAGTATTGACTCGGCTTAATCCTGTCCCCGCCAAAGTTGGTGGAGGATAGTATCCAGTCACGGTATCTACTGCATTATCATCATGAAGTCCATTCAGTAGCGCCTTAATCATGTTTGCCTCACATTCTTCTGCGGCAGGCTCAGTCGTAGCGGCGGCGGCGGCGGCGGCTCGGCCTTTAGCTTTCAGGGGGTTTTGCGCTTTCATAGAAAGTCGGACCTCTGGCAGGCGTGGGGCATGATATGAAGGGATCAAGGTTTCTTCTGGAGGAAGCGCCGATCGATGGTCTTTGATCGGCCCATCTGAAAGGCGGAGGAGCGTGGGGGAAATGAATGCGGGGTTTAATGGGTTGTTTGGCAATTTACAGCTCATGGACATATTGATCATTTGGCTCTTAATGATACTTACCGATAAATCTTTCAAGTGCACATTGCAGTGCTTTCCAGGCTTCTTCAGTTTCTGTGTAACCTTTCAATGTCACGGCTTTATCTCCATCATCGCCATTCAGAGGGCTTAACTCCAGGAAAGGGCATTGTTGCAAGAGTGATCGAATTGTTGTCTGCATATTCTCCTTGTCATTTTCCTTGTCATTTTCCTTCTTAGATTCATAGTCCTTCGCCATTTCTCTTCCATGCTCTTGAAATCCTTCTTTCAACAGCTTCTCACGCAAAGGCTTGCTATTATCGCTAACACCGCCGACCAACTTGAGCTGCGCGGCTTCCACATTTACAGAATCCTTCAATTTCTGGGCAGAAGCCCTCTTCTTGGCCGTAACCTCTTGGAGCGAAGGCTTGGTTACTACTTCCTTATCATTACTTTTCTCCTTGCCATGATTGTATTGTCGCTGTTGTTGGCTAGCGCCCTGGGAAGCGTAGCTTTGGGTTCCGGGGGCTTGGACACGGCTCTGCATTGCTTTCTGGAGATGGCCTGCTAATGATAGCACATGAGAAGTTGGTCTGATATCCGAGAGTAGCTCAACTTCCGAAGTTTTGCTTGCAGTAGCAGCAATTTTCTCCTCTGCAGATGGGTACAAAGTGCCTGTAAGTTTAAGTAGTGAGCCTGGTGCAAATAAATTATGCCGACTTTCCTCTACAACCGAAGATAGCATTGAACCAGGTGGCGCAGATCGAACCCGGGTTCGGTTCTCAACGAATAGCGATTTTGTCCTACTTAGTAGGCTCTTTGCGACATGACCTGGAGGTAACGTTTCGGCTTGAGTGGATAGAGCTGGCTTCAAGGGTGAAGGCGATTTTGAAACCGATCGTTCTGGCGGCGGTACTGATAACGTATTGCGTGTCCTGGCTGTTGCCTGAGAAGAAGGGGATGGAGCCTTTTCGTGTATGAAGGACATGGAAGGCCATATTGGCTTCGGGTTTTCCATAGGTGTTCCATTAGGGACAATATTGCGAGTTTGTATTTTTTGCAAAGATAGAGGTCGGTCTGATGGCTCACTTAAAGAGGACCCCACCATCCTTTGATGCGTTAATGGGGCGGAGAACCGTTTTATGTGTGGCCTGGGGGATGATTGCTGGTCAGCCAGCAGTGAACCACAGCCAGAGTTACTCGACTCTATTTGATCTTGATTTAAGGATGATACTGTCTGCGCCTCTACCATTGCCTCTGCCAACGATGAGGCAGAGATTTTAAGGCAGAAAAAGCGCAAACGCATCTTGTAAGCCATTGAAACCTGAAATCCGCTATTCTTTCTTCCACCCATGCCTTTATTTTCTTGTCTGGGTCCTCTATCAGCCGAAATTCCAAATGGGGCGACCGAGCCAGCTTGCCAATCAGATGGTCTCTTTGCATTGAGTTGGATCCCATGAATTGGATTAGGTTTCATTGCTGTCCCACCATATTCACTAAGATCAGCGCAATCCATATGGTTCTCCTGAGACGGGTCTTTATTAACCTCCACCCAGTGGAATTGGCCAAGAGCATTAATGACCACGAAGCACTTCACATACCGCCCGGATGCCTTGGCGATAGGAATATTGGCTGCCTTCGACACGAATCCTCGCGACGTTGACGATAAAGACGTAGGTTGTATTTTTGCCAGCAACCCAGAAGATGGCCATCGCGCCTTGGGAGAGGGCGATGGGATGGGCGAGCAAGGGTTGCTTCTTCCCACCGAAGGTGCTTCCGGTAATGCTTCTCTTGTTCCTGCTGTTTTTATTTCTTCTGTCACGGTTTTGATAATCGGCGGAAGCGGTATGCCGTTATCTGACGTGATTGTGGCTGTGGGAGAAAACACTGATATGCCTGTGTCTAGTTTCAAATTCGAAGTAGAATTGGGAACATATAGCCAAATATGTCCACAGAAGAGCGGTGGAGCTGATGACCTAGAAGTTGAAGCCTGAAGAAGCGCTTGACTTGCAGGATCGAAGTCTAATTGTGGAAGCAGGTTTTTGTCCATAGTATCTGAAGCGTTGGTCGTGCTAAGTGCATCAGAGGATGATTTTGGCGTTACACCTACGACGGCAGCATAGACACAATGCGGGGGATGTAAGTAAGAGTTAAGCTTCTATTTTAAAACACAGACAACTAAGGAACAGCAAAGAGGAAATATTTGAGGGCACAACTACACACTACCTCTTGATCGCTGAAACCTATCTTTTAGCGTGTTCCTCCGGGCGTGAAGATGTCCTGCTGTGCTTGCGAATGAGGGCTGCTGATACCATGTTTCCTGGTCTTGCACCTGCTCTTGCTTATGTCCATCAATCAAAGGCCGCGATCGGTAGTTTTCATTCACCAGCGTTGACGATGATTGAAGTGATGTACGTCTGGATAGCTGGGGTGAGTGGCTTTGTATTTGGTTTAGGCTCTTGCCGCTCAGTAATGACCCCGCCAGCGTTGATGCCAAGGCTGATGCCCTCTTATAGCATCGGCTCTTTTCTACTGCGCCGCTGAAAGCCTCGGGATAGCTTTGGAGGCCAGGGGTGTGATACGAAATACCCGCTAAAGGGATATCCTTGATGCTACTGCTACTGCTACTGCCGCAATTGCCGCTGCCATCATTATCGCCGCCCGCTGGCCCTTGTTGGAGATTTGAGAATACCATTGCTGCATTTAATATCAAAGCTGGGTTGATGGAAGGCGCCAGGTTCGGACCCTGAGATATTGTAATTATACTATCACTCTCCATCGCGCAATCCCGTCCCCTTTTTGCAATGAATGGAGTTATTAGACTGATACTGTCTCCATTTTCTGCTCCGTTTCCATTAACGCAGCTATTATTAGCTGATATAGTAGTGCAAGATTGACGCCAACTTGGAGATTTTGTTAGCGAGCAGCCCACTACAGTCCCATCCAGGGAGATTGGTGGCGGCTCAAAAGGTAATGGCGGCAAAGGCGGAGGAAGTTGGATAGGCTTTGCCATGGGCGAAGAGACGTGGATGGTTACAGGGTCAAACGGTGGAGGCGCAATCCCCTGCGGTAGTGTACAGTTAAGAGAGTTGAAGATCCGTACCCAATGCGTCAACTCCTATGGAACCGAAATAGCAGCAATAGCAGGGAATGGTTATTTATGACCAGTGGCGCTTTTTTAGGACCTACATATATACTCTAACTGCTTACACTTTCACTGGGAGCTCGGAAGTAGATTTTGGGCACTGTGGGGTCTAGTGACACTGTCAATGCGATCAAGGTATTGGACATGGGCGTGGTTGGCGATTGCTTGAGGCCATATTGAGGATCGTGTGGTATAATAGCTGTCACCACTGTTAGTGGCGTTTGCAATTCAACAACCTTTTTGACTGTGTCCTAAATATCAAAAATAAGAAGATTAATAATTTATAGATTACTGTCTCTAATAGAGGTTCCTCATAATTGCAACCCCCATTATCTTTTTTACTAGTAAATGTAGTCGTAATAGCTGTACCTTGTGTTTCCTGTGGAGTAGTAGGCTCTTGCCTTGAAGCACAACCCAGCGCTCTTTCCAGACATCCTCTTCTTCTTCTCCCTCCAAAAGGTAATCTTTGAAATCATTATTGTCGTTCGTTAGCCTGTAGCCCTTTTTTGACATCTTGTATAAGACACCTTCCGCATAATGATCATAGTAGTCAAGGGATGTGCCAGACAGTGGAAGTTGGACGTAGCTGCTCCGAAGCTGAAGCTCCAACAAGCAGTGTGGTTGAAGATTGTATGAACTGATGAGTCTCGACTCATCCAACCAATGGTCCTAATCCATCAGTCAATTATGTTCAAAAAAAAAAAAAATAGTTAATCGGCCTTTATTCTTAATTATTTACCATGATTGAAAAAGCAAAAAAAAAAAAAAAAAAAAAAAAAACTTACTGCTGCAACCCAGAATAGCCCATAGCAAGCTTTCCATGCGGTAGATTCCGCCTGCTTAGCTTCAGTTATAGATGCATTGTCATCATCACCAAGGCAGTTGTCCAACGTAGCACCATGGTCCAGTGTCCTATGATTCATCTGTCTCGTGCTGTTATTGCTCTGTTGGACCTTATGGGTATCCCACACAGGAATGCTTTGAGTCAAGCTCATCATAGTATTTACAGAGCTACTGTTATAGCATTTTTTTCGCCCCGTCGATGGGAATGATGCATTATTCTCGTCGACGCTATAAGGTTTAGAGGAATCCTTGTTATGGAGAAACGAATAAGAAATAGAGTTTTGAGGTTGGTCATTGCAAGTAGTGGCGCTGCTGTCACTAGCGTCATTGGCCAAGCTATGGTGGTGTTGCTGCTGTGGTTGCTGTTGAATTATTGTCGATGTATACGTTGCTAGATGGCTCGCGCTCGTCAATCGTCGCTTCAACATAAAACTGAGCCTACTTTTATCCGATAAAGAAGAAGCGCGTGATGGTGTAGTGGATGGTGATTGAAGGAGCACATATTCCTTCATCAACTCCTCTGCTTGCATCTCTGCTTCATCGTCGCCAATGCTCTCTAGGTCGCAGAAGTCGTCTTCATCCAGTTCTAGCTCAGTGCTACATCGGCTCGGGGGGCAACTCCTCGATGACAGTATTGAAGTCCCGTCTGCATTGTTGAATTCGTATGCTGAAGACGTTTCAGCTGCGATGCCTAGCATCCCATCTGAACTATCCATGTCTGCAGATATCCTTTCTCTTATGCCTCTATAAACTCCCATATCTCGATCTTTGGTTTTGACATTGTAATCCCCATACATGTTGCGATTTATTTCTAAATGATGTGCTGAGCCCATGACAGATAAAGTAGCCTCAGATTTATCCTCATTTGCATTTGCGTGTTTATCACTTGTCTGTGGCTGTGGCTGTGGCTGCGGTATTTGTGATCGATATTGGTTATAGGGCCGATTAGATGTGGAAGTCAGTCTGCATTTCGCTATAATGAGGTCACGCGCTTTATGAACGGGAATATCTCTAGGTATGTCAACCTGAACCCAAAGATCCTTGGATACATAACGAACATGAACAGAAATGACGGAAGTAGACTGATTTCCCCCTACTTCTTTATCATGACGGTTTGTGTGAAACGGTTGCTGCTGTTTTTGGTGATGGTCCATTCCAAGCAGGTGCTGGACAAACAAGTTGTTCCCGAGATCCATAGATGTGTGGTGACCATTCCGAGGAGGACGGGGAGGAGGAGATAGATGATAGCGATGAGGATTAGGATGCTCGTAATGGCGGACAGGAGCAGACCGAGGGCGAAAGCCGTAGCTATTTTTATTATCAAGGATCTCAAGAGATGTATCAATCCGTACCGATGCTGGGTGTTTGACGTTCCTCCGTTTTTTCTGCTTCCGCTTCTGTAACTGTTGCCGCTGCCCTTGATGGTGGTGCTGCTCTTGGCTCAAAGCCTGCTGTGGCGGATGTGGCTCTTGTTGATTCATTTGTGAAGGAGGTGGAGCCTGTGAATGTTGTATGTATGGTTCTTGTCGCTGCGTTACGTATTGTTTTTTAGAGTCTGGGCAAAGCTGGGTGTAATGTGATGAGAGTGTATTTGTTTCACTGTTTGGATCGTTATGGTGGCTATGAGGTGATGGGAGGGCTATTTTGAAGGGAATAGTGGAGGCAGTACTGGTAGATGAAGGTGCACCGGGAACGGACATTAATGAAGATGAAGAATGGTGTATTGAGGGCAGATGGAACAGAAATGAGCATTTAGGCGAGAAGGAACCAAATCCAGGCGTAACGGAGCGTATTGGAGATGTGATAGCAGAAATTGTAAGAGGTGTCTCTATCTCACAGTCGTCTGTATTAATGCTATCCCTGATTGAGGGTGAGGAAGAAGCGATTGGTGATGATACTTTTGACAGAGAATGGTCGCTCTGATTTAAAATCCCTGCCATCGAATAACTTTGATGGTTCTGCTGTTGATGTGCCCAATGCATATGGTTTTGTTGTTTTAATAGATCCGAATGTGTCTTTGATCGACGTTTTATTGCAGTTGGGACTAAGCTGGAGCTCGTACAGATATTACGTTCGTAAGAGGAAGAAATATGTGAAGATAAAGATTGAGGGTGTGAATGCGTATTGATCTCTTTATCGACGGCATGACTATATTGAAGATTATGTGGTTGCAACGAGGTTTGAAGTAACAAGTCAAGCACATGAGGATCGATGAATTTATGAGATGTGTGAGTTGATGACATGTCGTTTTAATTTCCATTAACTCCTCTGCAGTTAGGAGTCAAGAGGTTTGAGGAGGATGTTACTTGTGGTAATGAGAGAGAAAGAAGGAAATAAAAGTAAAAATAAAAAATGCAGATATGGGTGTATAAAGATGTGGTTTGGAATATCAATGCCGGCGTCGTAGCGTCAAAGTCACAGAGAGAAAGCAAAAGCGAGGAATCGAGAGCAAAAGAAGGAAAATGAGAAAGAGAAAAAGGAAATTTAAATGACAGAGCAACCAGGTTGATGAGCAATATAGAGCTAGATGTAGCTTCCAAGAAAGAAAAGAAAAGAAAAAAAAAAAAAGGAGTAAAAAAAAGGGGTGAGTGGATAGAGGAAAAAAAGAGCGGCGACTAGAGTACCACACAGCCAAAGGATAGAACAAAATCTGAAAAGAATCTTACGAAAGCAATCCAGTAAAGATCCAGCGAAAGCACTCAATAAACATAGTTAAGGCAATAAGATGGGGCAATGATAAATGGAGTGAATGGTTGTGTCGTCTAAAGGATGTGAACACAGAGGGGGAAGAAATAAAAGCAACTTTCCAATAAGGGAAAGAGTGAGAGCGAAAAAGAACAAGAGCGAGAAAGAAATAGAGAGGAAGCAGTGGATTCACTTAATTCTCCATTCATACTTGCCTTCATGGTGAATAGAAGTGCATTGATGTTCCATCCTTATTACGCGAATATTTAATGGGAGTGGTTTATTATTATCATTACAAGCCTTTCTTTCAAGCGTCCAATGCACGATGTTTGTTCTAACGGCTTTTTTCTGTGCAACCAACAATTTATTTCACAAAAACAGAAGCATTGTTGTTCATGTCACACACAAATTATTATTATTATTTTTGCGACTTTTCACTTTTCCTCAAAATAAATAATGGCCTGCATGCCAATTTATATTTCTCCTAGAAAATAAATATAAACTAAAAGCGAGTACAGCACTTTATTCTCTTTCGACCTGCGCTCTGACTTTTTACAACTGCAAACAACCCCTTGTTTCCTTCCAAGAAGGTGATATCCATACGCCTCAAATACATGATTATAGAAATCACAACTAAATACAAACACCTCTCTCCTTTCTCTCTCTCGACAGCTGCCTCAGGGAGTAGCTTTTGATATCCCACCCTTTTTTCTTTTTTTTTCTTTACTGCGAAGTGAAGTATGAATGACTCTCTTCTTTGCTTTACTCAGCTACGCACTTACACCCACGCATGAATGCACGGTGACATGGATCTCACTAACGATTTTCCTATGGAACGAAGGCATTGACAGCCTTTCAATATATTAAACAACAATGATAATTCATTCAGTGTCATCGAGCGCTCCAGCGCCAAAAGATAAAGCTGTTTGTTTATTCATTATGGAAGAAGCGGTGATTCTACTGATCCCAAATACACAATACATGCACATAAAAATAGACGAAAGATGTCTTGTGAAGTCGTCTGGATGCTTCGTTTTTTCACTCCGTCTCCTTTATTTTCCACGATCCCGGTTACCCGATCAAGGCCAAAGAAAGAAAGGAAAAAAATGATGGGCCTATCAAACAATCGTATTCTCTCGATTCCATGGTTTCGTCGAAAAGAGCAAAAATGGAGAATACATCTGCCAATTACCCAGTACACCAAAGCCCCTTTTTATTCATCCCCTCTCCTTTTTTTAAACTTCGAACCCTCCCACACCATGCCCATACACAAAGAGCATCGTTCGCATGGCCCATCCCTAGTCATGCCCATTGGTGTTTAGAATCAATAACTTTGCACAAGCAAGGCTTCAAGGCACTTAAAATGAAATGAGCATTTTTTTTTTTTTTTTTTTTTTATTCTTTATACTGTTGCGAGTAATTAGATTTCTCTCTCCTTGATGGTTTTGAACTTTTTTTTGACAATGGAGCACACGTTTAGCATAGGCCGCAAACATAACGCCCAGTTGGGTATTATCGAAAAAGCAACGAAATAAGTAACTCTCAGATGACACGAATGCATTTATTTTTTTTTAAAAAAAAGTGACATACTTTGTTTCAAAAAAAAAAGAAGGGGTTCGGTTAGTACATTGCATCACAGCAAGGCATCTGCATGCGCACGCGTGTAGATTTTCGTATTGCATTGTGACACAGACGGAATGACCTTTTTTTTTTCCGGATTTGATCCGTTCTATATCTTGGCAGAAGTGGTCATCTTGGCATAATATACACGTTTTGGTTTTTTTACAACAATGGACACGGTTATGATATTGCTAAAGGCTCTCAACTTTTTCCAAGAAAACACGCGTCGCGTTGTCCAAGTAAAAAAAGTGTAAATTTAAACACCGTCAATTAAATCTTTCTATTGCCCATTTATTTATTTTATTTTTTTCTTTTTTCTCATTGTTTTGATTGAGGGTTATAAACAGACCAAACTGAAACTTGGTGTTGCTTCATGATCTGTTCAAGCCGTGCCTGCATAGCTTCGTCTGGATGCATCCTTCCTTGTACCACCTTCAGTTCCGGCCAGTTCTCCAACATCCATATCACATCCTCCACACCCATCTCCTGTTCTGTTCCTGTAAATCGAATCATTCGTAATCTCTTCAACTCGCTCAATTGGCTCAATCCTGAACGGAGACGTAGGTCTAATCCTCCATAACCACTAAGCGTATCCATCATTGGCTTGCTTGTTGCTGAGCCTATGGTTGCAGTTCCTGAACGAAGATATGAGGGTGTTTTCGAATCAGATGTAAATGATGAAGACGTCGCTGTTGATGCAATCGCAGTTGCTGAAGCTATAGTTGGGTTCGCTATTGCACGTGACGTGCTCCTACCTCCAACAGAGAGATGCACAAGTTGTTTCAACTTTCCAAGATGTGCGAAAGCCTTCCATTGCCTCTGCAGATCTTGTTGCGGATCAGCTGCAAAGCCTGTCATATGGATATCTAAATACTTGATCTCCCTACACGCCCACCAACCTTGCGAGAACTCTTTTTCTCCCCTTTCTTCGGCGTTACCATTGTTATTTAATGCTCCATACTGGGATTTGGTAGTTGCAGTAGTTGGTCCAATGCTGTTGACAATATCTCTTGCCAAAAGCTGATGTCCATCGAAGCTTTCCAATAATGGGCAGCCTCTCAGGATCTCCGCCACCATCCAACTCTCTAGCCCTGAACATTGGTACAAGTCTAGATACTTCAAGGTCCTAAAATGTCCACTCTCTTTCAATGCCGAAAACGCCTGAGATGCAAAATCGCTCCTCCGAACTTCAAACCGTGTCAAACCTTTCCTTCTTTCTCCTACTAACCTTGGCCTTAAATCAGAACTAAGCATCAAGCTTGATTGTGCAGTATCTGCATGGCGACCCCCAAAAAGAGAAGCAGATGAGCAATAGCGAAGATCGTTATAATCAGCACCGCCATCATTTTGGACTACTCGGCTGGCACTTCTCAAAATCGCACCCAATTCTGAATCATTCAGCCTTGTATCCGGTAAGATCAAACTATGCAGTTCCTCCCAATCTTGACTCAAAGCCTCGCAAAACTCTTTTACTGGAAACCCTAATCGGGGTACTCTCCAGTCCAAGCTGGCAAGTCTTGGGCACTGACGCAAAATTAATAATTGCATCTGAAGACTAGTCCCAAAAATCTTTCCAAACTTCACTTCTTTTAGCCTAGGGAAGTGTAAAGATCGGTAGTAAGCCTCATCTAGTTGACGAAGACTGCATTGTTGCAAGTCTAAGGATTCTAAGCGAGTGCACATCTTCAGGAATGGTTTGATATGTTTGTAGACTTGAAGGTTTACAAGTGATTGGAAAGCAGAAAGGTTTGGGCAATGGCGTGGAACGGATAGGGTCGCTTTTGTAGTAGTAGCTGTAGTCAAAGCAGTAGTGCCAGCAATAGAATCAAAATTGGATGGCAACGATGACGGTGGTGGAAAAAATGGCAATATATGAGCAGGCTTGATAGTACGAGATGCAGCCAGAGCACGCCAAAATGATCCGCCAGGGGACTTGCGTTCGACATAAACTTCAATTCTGCTTAAGTTGCGGTTACGAATTAGGAGGCTTGTCAACTTTGTGTTAGGTTTTTGTTTCTTGACCCTCTTATCACGCCTCTGATTCTGTTTCTGTTGTCGCCGCTGTTGATGTGATTGTGCATCCGATACTTGCAGCGAGCCAGCCGCTCCTAAGCCAGTTTCAGAGGCTTCTCCCACACCGCTATCCCTTCTGAACATATCAGATCCTTTCTCTTCTGCTGGCTCTAGTCCTTCTTTCCTATTATTATCATGAGTGGCTGCAAATACACCATCACTACTTCTATGTTCAGGCCCCATTGGACGGTGCATGAGATGGTCAGGCAGTAGTGGATTGCCTTTGAACAGTGTCGCACCCAAGTTGGAGCTGCTGCCACGTTCATCATCTATTGTAATATATCCATGCCCACCTCGTCCAGTTCCCTTGTCTTGGATATCCTCTTGCTTTGCCTGCTTCAAATATTTATCATCTCCAACCTCACTCTGACTCTCACGCTCGCTTTCATCCCCACTTTCATCACTACTTATATCCTCTTCATCTTCTTCTCCTTCGAAGGCATCGGGCCATAGGATCAGCGTTTCTAACCGAGTACACTTCTCCAACACTCCGTCCAATCCAGTCAAGTCCGCCAAGGATAAGCTGCGGATATAATGTGCATGTGAGATCATATCTTCAGCCGAGATATCGTTTGCAGTCTCAACGTGAGCCCAGACCACGGGTTGGAACGCTGCATGCCATGAACGAGAGACTAAAACGCAATTGAGTGCATCTCGTTGTGAGAGAAATTTGCCGATATATGCAAGAATCTCGGGGAGTTCTAAAGCGTGAGGAAGACGACAACGTAGATGATGATCGTAATCAACATCTTGGCTGCAAGCTCCAGATGCGTCCGCCAATATGGAGACCTGGCTCAAAGGCCTAACAGTGGATGGCTGGATAGGAGAAGTTGAGGATGCAATAGCAGAAGTTAAAGACATGTCGATATCTTGTTTTTTTAGGCAGAAAAAAGCTTCTTTTTAGATTGATGGAATATTTGTGAGAAGTGTTTCCTATTTTTCAATTTCTCTTGGTTGCCAAGGGAATGAGAAAAATAGAATGAATGAGTGCAATGAACGAGTTGTACACGAAGACCAGACTGAGGTGAAAAGTGGAAGAATGCACCACTACTTGAAACATGGAGAATAAAATTTCTTCATTTTGGACCTAATGCCAAAAATCACGCGATCTCCAGCTGCATGAATAGCTTCTTCTGAACAGAGAGAATCCACTAAGTTTTTTCCCAGAGAACCGTGCACTGAAACGGTTTCCCTCCTTTGAGAAAGCACATTGGAGACCTTTATTGTGCAAAACCAGAACTGCAGCACGTTAAGCTATATTTCAAAGTAAAAAAATTAAACCCAATGATAAAATTGGAGGGATTGAAAGGATGAGGGAGAGGAAGAGAAAAAAAGAAAGACGGAAAGAACAGACAAAGCAGCGCCAGTAGAGATCTAACCTGTCGAACAATTATAAAGGTACAAATGAAGGAATATGGTATCTATCCTTAACCAATTCGGTCTCAATACATAAAGTTGTTTCTATTAAGTAATTGTGCTGAATGTTGCTGCTGTAATGCACCCCGACCATCATTAACCCCACCAAAATCAGCTGATGTGTATCCTGAGATGACTGATGATGAATGCGTATTTGATGATATAGGTGGTGGTGTAGCAGCATTGGAAAGTGATGAGGATGATGGCACTGGAGACAAAGACATTGATGCATTAGATCCTTCTGGCGAGTCAACTAGTCCATTTAAGTTAAAAACTGAGTGGTGTATCTCCAGTTGTTTTTGCTGCTGTTGCTGCCAAAACGGATATTGAGTTTGAAGTAAATGCTGTTGGCCCATATTCTGCTTGACTAGCTCAACTATAGGTCCTTGATTCTGTCTCGTTTCTTGGGTCGATAAATATACCTGCTGAGACATCTGTGCTTGTCTTTGTCTCTGCATTAAAAGGGTCTGTTGCAATTCGTGGCGCTGTTGCAAAAGAGTCAGATGTGAATTATCTAGCAATGTAATTTGTTGTAAAGGCTCCTGCTGCTGTAGTATAGAGAGTTGTTGATCGGATTGTTGGAGATGTGTTGTGATTGCGGATGATCCCAAGTTAGAATCCGGACTCTTTGTATAGACCGACATTGTTTCCATGTTTGATGACTGAGGTGTAGATGATGGAGCTGTGTATGGATCATTCTGTAGCTGCAGCGTCGCGTGGTTGGGCTGCATCTCTCTAGGCTGAGTAAAAGCAGCTTGCAGCAGTTGTGGATATCTTTGAATTTGATCAAATGACGGCTGAAAATGCTGTTGCTGCACTTGTTGATGCTGCTCCTGAAACAGATGTTCGCTCATGAATACAGGCTCCCCTAATTGACGTGGATACCCATCCTCGTACCAGTTCCTGCGGTTAATCATCCCACGCTCTTCTAATCCAGTGTCTGATAATATGGGGCTTATACTGATCTCTCCAGAAGATTTACTACAAAGAGCTGTATTTTCTGCTACTACGGACTGATAGGGGCCTGACTCAGTATTACCATATAAATTGCTGTGGTACAGTTGGCGCTGCTGGTGAATTCGTAGATCCACACTTGGCTCTGCGATTGATGTGTCAGGCGGGCTATGCATCGTTGCCATAGTTATGGCTCCAGCCACAGGCGAAGTTGGCTCTTGCGACCGCAATATTATTTCATTCTGTATATTTCCTTGAGGAGGCTTCAATTGCGGCGGTTGGATATCGCCTTGGGATGAGTTAGTCTCATATCTAGAGCATTTTGGAGCCTGAGGTGCATTATTGATTTTGCCATTGTCCGTGTCATTATTGTTACTGTCATCATTATTGGAAAGGCTACCACTCGATATACATGTTGATTTTATGTTGTCTTCCATTGACTCCGTACAATGTTCTGTAGTTATGGTAGTATCCTCTGGAGCCATAGCGGTTGTTGGCCTCAAGCCATTGCCATCTGAAGTAGGTATCGATTTTGCTTGGCTCGCTATAGTGCTTGATGACACCAAAGTATTACCTACATTTGAACCACCGCGCCGCCTCGGTTTTCCAGGCGCTTTGGGCTTATACGCTCGGATAATAAGATCTGGAACATTTGGTACCGTGGAAAGTGGACCTGTAGCTCTCGATGGTCCTGCCGCTTGTGCACTTGAAGCAACATCTGGTCGGGCTAATTTTTTTTTTTTTTTTTTTTTTTTTAAGATAAATAAAATAAGTTAAAACATGACTTGACCTTCATGAATAAACTTAGCGGAATAAAGTCAGAGGATGTGGTTTCGCGCTACCATTATCAAACAATTTCGAAGTATTGTTAGGTTGGGGAGTACGATGATGAGGCTTGACTAGAACTGCTACACTTGAAATTCCTCGTTGTTGTGGTGGCATCATGTCCATACCAGAATTAGATAACTGCTTTGAGTCTTGTATCTGAAGATGCTTTTCTAAATGGTCTTCATCTGAATAACGGTGACGCTCTTGATACAACAAACGCACTTCCATAAAGCGCATCGACTCGTAATATGTTCGCTCATGTAGTGATTCTTCCTTTGACTTTTTCCTGCTAGCTGTCCCATCTTCAATTGCTGTCCCTGGGAAATTCATAGGCTCATCATCGTTCCTCTTTTGAGCGGTATTCACATCCGAATGCGTCCCACTATGAGATGCTGCTGTCGCTGTGTCTATCCTCACGGAGGGAAGAGCGCTCGCTATAGCCACAGCCGATTCCCAGTCAAAGAACTCTGCATCGTATTCTATTAGCGTCTGTCGTTGTCGCTCCGCCTCTGCCTGTTCATGGTCTAACTCCTGCTCTTGCAATATAGCGGCTAAGGTTCTCTCGAGTGATTGGATACTCAGGCTGACCCCATCTAATGTCCAGTGATAGACAGAAAACTTGCGGAGAGAACCCAATGTTCGATGGAAATTGTCAATAGCCTCCTCTTTTTTACGTATCGCCTCAATGACCTCATGGTGTCCGTTTAGGTTACTCTTATCCATCCCTTCACTTAAATCCATGGCCTTCATGCTGTGCAAATAATCAGCCATTGTGGGAGGCATCGCCGCCAACATGAGATGAACACGAGCGGCCTGAAGAAAAATATAAGCCCCCGCTCCAAAGTGCTCCAAATGAGTCAAATTTTGATAGTTTAATGACAGTTTAGTGATCCGACGCGCTGCCTGAGCGCATACGGCCATGGAATGGCATCCTTCCAATGCCATGATAGTCTCCGGTACACTTGGGCATTTATCCTGTTTTGAGTATGGTGTAGTGAGCATTAATTCTCCAACTCGAACACAAGGCCGATGCAGCAGGATCAATGTCATGTAATAAATTCCATGTAGAATATCTATATAAAACACCAATACATCCTTTTTAGAGATAGAGTCAAGATAAAATGGAGACGACAAAATCTTCAAATTGTGACTCAACATACCTCCATAACGGCTTGGTTGAGACTGCAGGTTATTCCATTGGAGATGTGGCGGGAGCGCTTGGGCCCATTCTGTGAGGGCTTTGTCTAGTGCAACCACAGCTGCGTCTAATTTCTGATTGGCAATACATTGCCTAGTCAACATATCTTGATGTGATAGAGAGCTACTAGTGGTTTGGTGATCCAACTCAAGTCCTAGCCTCTGTCCTTGATCTTTTCCTTGATCTTGCCCTGTTGGTACTGACAAAGAACCTGATGATGATGACGTTGATCCGCCTACAATACCACTATTTGAATGCATTGCTTTATCTTGATCTTGTGGCTTCAACTTTGTCCGGCTAGAAGGTTTGGATCTCTTCCTTGAAGTTGATGATTGTGCTCCCGCTCCTGCTGAATTTTGATCACGACTATGTTCTACATCACGTCCGCCCACAGTGTCACTTCCGTAAGTACCTTGGGCATCGCAATAAAAGCCATTACTAGAATTATTGGCAGGATAGAATGTTTTCATGACTCTTCCCAATAATGCAGATAAATGTATGAGGTTTAAGAAATATTCAATTTCCGCTTGATCATGCTCTTTGCTCCTTGCCATTGGATCCGGTTTTGGCTTCTCGGCACCACAGTCTTGATCTTGAATCAGGTACGGCCGTCCGTAAGTAGCTCCCTGTAGCCGATCATAGACATATAGGAACCACCAGATCCGGTTCCGATATTCTTCCTGGATTGGATCAAGCCCCCAACCAGAACAATCCCTGTTCAGACCCATATCCATGGCCATCCGAACCGCCATCCCAATGTACATAAAGCTCTTCGAAAACACTCTCTGGTTTTTGGATTCTTCTAGATGCTTTCCCAGAATGAGTAATGCCTGAATAGTTGATAATCTGGGATAATCCATGAACTCATCAATCAACCGGCATGCAGTCTTACAGTAATCTTCACCTGCAGTCTGAGCACGCATAGGGACCGACCGACACATTGGGTCAGGTGAATATTTAGAAGCAATTGCAAAAATGGCCAAAAGTAATAAAGGTGATTGAGCAACCCCTGCGTCGTATTCATCTAGAATCGAGGTAGGAATGATAGGTATAAAGCGATTGACTTTGGATAAATAGAGAACGATCAACTCGCGTGCAAGACGGGGTGGCGGAAAATGAGACAACACAGCTGCAGATTGTGCTACGACTGGGAAGTCTGGATCACGGTACCCTGAAGTTGCATAAGTTGTGGATGCGGATACAGGTGTGGGTGAAGGGTTGGCACTTGTACCTGCTGTTGCAGGAGTGCCAGACGGTAGAGACTGTGAAGGATATGGTAAAGCGGAAGACTTCGTGTTATTGCTGTTCTCAGAGCTGTGTAGAGACCTTGACCTGGAACTTGAATTTGTATGGCGATGAAACGAGGTTCCATTTTGTTCAACATAGTTTAAAGTGTCGGTGACGGTGAGATGGTTTAATGCAGATGCTGAGACATGTGTGTCGGGCGTCTTTGAAGTGAATGTACTGGTATTGGCATTAGCTGAGAGAAGAGGAAGAGCAGGTTTGCAACAAAGGTAGAAAGATGATGACTCGCCGAAAAAGTGGCCTTTTGTGTCCACATTGTAGTGATCAAATAAGGCCTGGAGGTGACGGAGATTGTGAGGAATGGGATTCATGACATGACACTTTTGTGAATCTGAATGAATGAAGAGTATGTAGAAAAGAGACGTTGGAGTTGATGTATTAAAGTTGGTTGATATTAAATGAGCGAATTGTCATGGTTTAGCAAGAGCAGAAAAACATCATTTCTCGGTATGTTTTCTAAGACCTCCTCATCCATACAGATGGAGTAGTGCTGCATACTTCAAATAGAGGCAACGGTATCTCGAAAGAACTGGATGCCTGAAATGAGCAGGGCCGTATTCCTACGTGGGCTTTAACATCTTCATCGATCGCAAGTTCGCAAAAATTTACAGTTTAAAGAAAGGATACAAATCAACTTCTCTTAAACATGTGCGTTATGTAGGATTCATGCTTCAAATCAGAACACATCTGAGAGCATGGGAAGAAGACACTGTCATCTTGGCCATCAGAATGCGTATCATGTTACATGTGCAATAAAGAGAGAAGGTGCTGACCATGGTGGCAAAGTCATATCACAATTTCAGGGGAAGATGGGAAAAACACTTTTTTTTCTTTTTCTTTATTCTTTTCTTTCTCACACAGACACACACAAACATTTTTCACTCTTTCCGCCCATTTGCTCATCGATAGCCAACTCTCTACATGAACTATGGATCGATCGGAGGTCAGGACATTGGTTTGCAAGGCCCTCGACATTGACAGCATGATTGCCTGTAGTCAGGTGTCTAGAGCCTGGTCTATGGACTTTACAAAACGTATCTGGCGAGATATCAATCTTCAAACACACCCAGCATTCAAGGAATTGGACCCGTCAATCATCGCAAAGCACGGCCATAATATCCGGATGATCAAGTCGATCGAAAAGCAATCACATCTCGATTTGTTCAGGGATAACAGCATTTGTCATCTGGAGGACTTGACGATTCAACTGAAACCCACGACTCGATTTTTTTCTCAAGCATTTGATCTGATCCATCGAAATGCAGGGACGCTACTAGTATTGGAACTCAATGGGGACATTGACTCAGACCGGACAGCGATTACGAGAATTGACGCCTTGGTACCTACAGATGCAAACACCACATCTAAGCTCAAGAAATTGAGAATCAAAAAGCTCTCCATGTCCCGGGAGATCTTTTCAGAGTGTCTTTCTTACGTTCCAAACCTCCAAAATCTTCGCATTCGAGAGTGTAGTTTTACGGGAGATGGTGGAAAGGACAAAAATTTTTTCAAACACCAGAACGTGCATTCTTTATTCTCTTCGACCAAACAAGTAATGGATCCAAACATACTGCCAGGAGACAATAGAGAAGAGAGGACCAAGGTCACTTCATTATTGGTTCATTTCCCAAAACTCAAGACGTGGGATACATGGCACCCAGGCAATCGAATAAGTGATTCAGAAGCAAAGACCATCAAAGATGAAATCCGTCGATATAGTCCTCTTTTAAAAGAGTTTCTGATCAACGACTGTTCGACCGACAATACAGAGGGGATTGCAAACCTAATGTTATCAGAACCCGAGATGATCTGTGTTGAGATTCGTAGTATTGCACCTTCGATTATTAAGAGTATTATCTTGCATTGTCAGTCGCTTGTGGAGATCCGAACCTATGACCCAAGTCTGCCGGCTGATTGGAACTATCGACTGAATACAGTAACGGAGGTGGGCGACCAAAGCCCAAACAAGTGGATGTTCCATGTACTATTATCAAAATGCCCTCATTTAACATATGTAATCTTGCCTGCGCATGAGATGGAGCTTGAATATGCAAAACAATTCCCATGGGCCTGTAATGGGTTACAGGATCTGAGGGTGCGTATACGAGGACTTGATACGAAAGAATTAATTGTGGCGGTGATTAAGAAGTGGGCCCGGCGGAGCTATGCACGACGAAGAGCTAGAGCTAGACAAGAAGCGCTTTTATCCGAGAACTCAAGAAAAGCAGTAGCCGCAGCCATATCAACAGTAGCTGTAGTAGCTACAACAAGAAAGGAAGAAAAGGCAGAACTTGTGGCAAACAAGAACGTCACTGCTTCTTCTACTTCAAAGGAGCTAGAACCATCAGAAAAGGATGTTGGTGCTGATGTGACAGAATCCACCTTACTTAAGATCTCGGTATGCGAGCAGGAGCAGGAGATTAGAAATGGATACGCAGAAGGAGAGAAGGCGGAACAATCGGCTAGGAGTACGAACACTCTAGAAAACATTGAAGGCGCAGCGGCAGCAGCCTTACTTGTTAGCGATAAAGGTTCAGATGACGACGATGGCGATAGTCATGAGAATCCATTGGTGGAGATGGTTGTGAACCACTTGTTGAAATTTGAGCATTTGAAGAAGATTTGGCTGGGGTATAAGGTCTGGACACTGTGACAGCCATCCATACTCAGACCTTTATCTATATTTTTTTTTTTTTTTTTTTTTTGTCAAACCTATATCTATACTCATACCCTTACTTATATTCATGATCACGATGTAGCTCCCATTTTTTTTTTTTTTAGTATACCAAGAATTACAGGAAAAGGAAATAAAAACAACAAAAACGAAAGTCAATTTCGTATAGATGGGATTTATCGTATACATGGGCAAATGCGAGTAAGGTTGCTCGTTGCTTGTTCCGCGGGAGGAGATTTCACACAAGTTAGTTGCTGCGGTTGATTGAAAATAGTTGCAATGCAGGAGGTTTTGTGCTGGCGTGATACAAAGGAAAACATTTGTGTGTTCATGCGGAAAAAACTCTCTCCCCTTCTCTCTCTTTCTCAAACGCTCCTTCTGCACTGCCCCATCATCTTCTCTTCTTTTCTTTATCCCACGCCATCTCTTTTCTTTCTATGTGTCTGATATCAAAAAACACTTTCTAACATCGCTTACGGCTTAACAACACTTCCTCATACCATAATGTCGACCGCCCAACGACAAAACCCATTCGATGTGCACGAGATCAGGAAAGTGCTCATCAAAGCACTCGATGCCAATACAGCCGTTGCCTGCAGTCAACTCTCGACAGCCTGGGCAGTCGATATAGCAGCTCATTTATGGCATACAGTGGACCTGAAGGAACATCCAAAGATGAGTGAGTTGGACCTGGATTACGTCTCCAGGAACGGACGCCATGTGCGAATCGCAAAGAACATTCTAAAGCGATCGCAGCTAGATATTTTTATGGATCCCAGCGTCCAATACCTTGAATGCTTAACAATGCGTATTAAACCCAAGAAGGGCTATCAGCATCAGGCAGTTGAGCTCATTCACCGAAATGTCCAAACACTCAAGACATTAGAGCTCTGGGGTACTGACGATCAAGATGATCCAACAGACTTCAATATCGAAACGCTTGTTTCGGAGCCATCAACAACAGCATCTCCATCACCGGCACAAGAAGGAGGACAGCCCTCCGACTCTTCCTCTACTTCCCTATCGATCTCTTCACCGTCTACGGTGACTCAGCTCTTGATTACCCGGTTGACAATCAAGAACTTCACAATGCGTCGGGGATTATTCGAGGGATTACTCAAGGGTTGCCCTCATCTCAAGGATATTGAGGTCCGAAGACTAATTTTCAAGGATCAAGACACCTCAGAGCTGCAGTTCAGGCATGAAAGTGTGTCGAGACTAGCCTCCGCTATCGAGCAAGTCTTTAACGTGGGTTCCGAACGAGCTAAGGTTCCCTTCCTGGCTTATTTCCCCAACTTAGAGTACTGGGATACTTGGAGTTCTAAATACACTCTCGATAGCCCAACGTCCGAAGAGATCAAAACTGCGGTTCAGGAGTATTGTCCTAAAGTGAGAGAGTATCTCTTGAGTGATTCGTCAAATACGATCCTGGAACCCTTATTGTCTCAGACAGCGGTCGAGCCTAGTTTGGTCTGTTTCCGCTATAAAATTATAACTCCATCGATCATTCTAGGATGTGTGCTTCATAAGGCAACACTGACGACAATCCGAACCTGTGATTCAAATACAGGCGATTGGGCTTATAAAGAGGATGCAATCTTGGGACAACCTGATCCATTTGAGGATGCATGGATGGTTCATTTGGTGATGTCAAATTGTAGCAAGCTGACTCATGTGATTTTGCCAGAACATGAAATGGAGATGCAGATGATTGAACATTTCCCATGGACCTGTATGGATTTACAAGAGTTACGAATTCGAGTAAAGGGTCTTAATACCAAGGCGTGGATTTTGAAGGCAATCAAAAAGTGGTCCAAGGCTTATTATGCGAAAAATAATGCGTCACTATCAGAAGTACCAACACTGGAATCTGAAAAAAATAAACTTGTGGAGGATGCAAAGGATAAAGGACACAAAGAAGCGGATATTATACAAGAAGCAACTACAACGACAGGCTCTATTACATCTTCTGCATCACAAGAGCAAGTTCCTGAAGCAACAACTGTTACCAGCATAGAAAATGAATCAGCACCAGCACCAACGACAATCACGGTTGAGTCACAGACTACCAGCGATACTGCTTCGACTCCAGCTGAGACAGCTCAAGCAGAAGCACAGGTGGTGACCAATGACCCAGTGCCAGCTGTGGCAGAGGCAGTTTCCATTCCAACAGATACAAATCCTGCCACAGTAAATAACGCGGCTCCAGATGAAGAGCAAACACAGGTCATATCGCCGGAAGAAGCGGCTCAGATTGCAGAAGCTGCAGCGGAACTAGAGGCGGATGCAGAGGCTGCAGCCAATGAGGAAGAAGTTGAGGAAGAAGAGCAAGCAAGAGAAGAATTGACAGAAGAAGAGCGCGAAGCAATAGAAGATGCGAGGAAGGAGGTGCTAATTGATCAGGTTGTGGAACATCTTCTGAAGTTTGAGAAGCTTAAGACACTCTCACTTGGTTACGGGATCTGGCGCGTTTAACAAAAGCTTTTCGTAGGCACTTGGAGACACTGACGTTGAAATGCATAAAACAAACTTGCTAAGAAAAGAATACGTGAATTTTTTGTGTCAATAATAAGAGCGAGCCTTAATATGGCTTAAACAAGTCAAAATGTTTGGCGATGCACAAACTCCTTCTCTTACTCTTACTTCAAATAACGCTCCTACAGGACAAAGAAAAGGAAAGGGGTCCAATCATCTTTGCAACTTGAAACTATTGTTGCTGTGGCACCTGAGCAAATAGCCTTCCCTTGGAATTCAGTTCAAGTTGTTTTCCAAATCTGTTCTCTCCATATTCTTGTTGGTTCCCGACTCTTCAAATAAGGGTCTGTGCAATGCAAATGAACATTTGCCCTCTTTCTTTCTCCTTTTTTTATTTTTTTTGCTACAACACCGACACACTCCACAAAAAAAAAGCATCCACCGCAGCAAACAATATCGACCACTTTTCTATTATCTCAGACTTTTATCCTAATACTACTTTAATGTCAAGAAATCCGTTTGATGTCCCTGATATCAGAGCTCGCCTTATCCAAGCACTTGATACTAACTCTGTAGTTGCGTGCAGTCGAGTATCTAAGACATGGAACGACTATTTCACACAACGAGCTTGGAAAAGCATTGATCTCAAGGCGAAGTCAGACCTCAAGGAATTGGACCCAAGGATTGTAACCAAGAATGGGCATCTGATTCGGCATATCAAGGGAATTAAGAAACGATCTGAACTCGGGATTTTTTTTGCAGCATCTAGTGTAAAATATCTCGAGAGTTTATGTCTCGGTGTGAAGTCTAAGCATGGATTTCGGCCACAGACGATCAAACTAATTCAACGTAATCTGGCAACACTTAACAGGTTAGAGGTATGGGGAAGGTCTACGGAATCGGACCGAGTAGAATTTGGGTGGCTGGTAGAAGCATTAATGCCACTGCCGCCTTTCAACAATGACAATACTTGTAGTGGCTCACGTTTGACACACCTGTCACTTGGATATATTCAAATGACACGGCATGCTTTCTCCAAGATCCTTTCCTACTGTCCTCGTCTCAAGGATATGACCATTAGCCATTGCGGCTTTCTTGGAAGCAGCAATGCATCAACAACATCAGCAACAGCAAGTGAGTCAACGACAGCAAATGATGAGGAAGTTTATTTTGGACACAAGGGTGTGACCTCCATCTATGCATCACTCAGTCAGGTCTTTCATCCGACACGATGTGGTTCAGCTATACCACTCCTAGTCCATTTCCCTGCCCTAGAAAAATGGGAAGTTTGGAGCTATATGACACCATTGGACCCTGCCGCCAGTGTAATCCAATCGGCACTTCGGGAGTACTGTCCACATTTAAAAGGAGCGGCTGTTAACCATACAGCGGGTCCTGTGGCACATGAGTTTCTTCGTAAAGTCTTTGTTCATTTATCATATATTGCATTTCCTTACAAGAAATTGAGACCTGAAGTGATCTTGGGAATTTTGGTCCACCAGTCGACAGTACAAACAATTCGAGCGTATGATAGTAACTTTCGAAGCTTTAGTTACTATGTGGATGAAGTGTTGCCGGTGGCGGCACAGGATCCATTTACAGAATCATGGATGATTCAGTTGATGATGTCCCGTTGTCCCAAGTTGTTGTGTGTGGATTTTCCGACACATGAGATGAATATGGATATGGTGGAACAGTTTCCATGGATATGCAAGGATCTGACATATCTAGGGGTGCGGATTCGAGGCCTGGATACGAAAGACCTGATTATGACAGTGATTAAGAAATGGGCTCGAGGATGTCATGCGCGGCGGCGACGAAAGAAAGCGGAGGTAGCAGCCGCAGTATCATGTCTACAAACCAAGGAGAAGATCAAAAAGAGGAGGAAAAAGAAAAACGGAGAAGAGGATGAAAAGGCAACGAGTGAAAGGCAAGATGAAGAAGAAGACGGAGGAAGCGGAGAAGACGAAAGCACGAAAAGGAAAAGCATGAAAGATGAGGGGGAAGAAGTGAAGCCGAAGAAAATGGATATGTTAGGGCACCCAGAAGGGCAACTGCCTCTAATGAACGCAGCACTGTTAGAGGAACAAGACCTGCTGTTGGCAAGCGATGTGTCAACAAGTCAGGTTCTCGACACAGAGAAGACGGCGCTGGTGAACCGAGTAGCCCGACATTTGCTCCAGTTTCCGCGACTGAAAGTCATCTGGTTAGGCTACAAACTATGGACAGTGCCAACATAGTCAATAGCCCTCGGAATTGGTATGCCATTGACAATAGTTGATCCTGAATAGGGCAAGGTTTCACTCACCTCGTGCTAATTAATGCATATGCAAGGGTATTAATAACAAATGCATCAATTGTATCCATTCATCCCCTTGCTTTCTTCATTATCATTGACATCATTGACATCATTTCCATCTCATCATCATCATCACTTAATCAATTCTCTCCATTCTCCTCTCTTATCTTCATCATCCACTAGATCTATTGTCTTGTCTCTAATAAAAAAATCCCTCCTTTAATACATCTTTTTAATATAAACACCAATACCTCTAGTAAAACAAACAGCTGAATGGATGTTAACACAACTTCCAACAACAGTGTCAATGGCAGCAACAAAAGTGAAAATGGCAAGCATATCTGTCATGACAATGATAACAGTGATAGCAATGATAGCCACACTACACCTGCACCTATAGCTGCAGGAGTAAATGATTCATCACATAGACCCTTATTTGCGACCACCACCATTGCTAATACGCAGGATACTGAACATCTAGCAGTAATCACAGAATATCCGAATGCCACCGATGGCGCACAATGGTTCTATAGGCCATATCTGCAGCCATCCTCTATCTCCACAACCGCCACATCCAGTCTCTTGCCTTACTCGTCGTCTTCCTCTGTAGTTTCCTTGTCTTCTTCGTCTTCATCTTCTTCTCTCACTTACCATCCACGCACAGCTCTACATACACCTTTCAATCCACAGACGCCATATCCGTCGTCAACCGCCATCCATTTCCCTTATAAGGCTAGCCTTTATGCTACACTCCAATCTTCTCTGGCTGGAGGTATAATAGTTGGAGGTTCATTTGATTCTACATCTGGAGGTAGACGATCTCGTGAAAATCATCCGACTTCTACAACCAATTCTTCGTCAACTATGATACCTTATTGGAGTAGGACAACTGGTCCTATACTCACTTCTGGACCATATCACATCAATCCATCGCCGTCACCATTGTTAATTAAGGACGAGCCTGCCATCCATCATAATCCATACAGGACACCATCACACACCAATAGTCGCGCATTTGTTCCACCGAGAGTACCTGGTTATGAATTCTCGGGCGGATCGCAGGCTGGAAACATGGGATTAATGATGGGGAAACGATTATCGGATGGTAGACTTGTAACAGGGAAACTACACCAGTCTCGGGTCCTATTGCAACATGAATATAGGATCTTAAAGAGGTTACAAATCGCGAATGCAAAGTACATTCCGAACGATTATCCTTCACAACCGTCAACGTCAGAACCAAAACTAGATTTACAATCTAAACATACTGAAGCAGGGGCAGGAATAGCAAGACCCTTGGACCAAGTATCAAAAGAAGGAGTAGAAAGTTCATGGCCTCGAGGATATCAACTCAAATCAGAGAAGAAGCAACCTGTTTATGAAACTGGATGCGTTGAGACCGAAAAGTATTTCAATCGAGTAGTCATCGATTTTGTCGATCTTGATCCTCATCAGCATCATCTACAGCAAGAAGATATGATGTCGATCTTGGTTCTTGAGCGGTTAGGACCAAATTTGCTTTCACACACACATCATCAATGGATGGGATTGGAAGGAATGGATGAACACTTAACACCGGACAAAAAGAGGAACTTCGGGTCACCATTTCCAGATGTGAAGACGTTTTTGATTTTTGCACTCAAAGCGGCATGTATACTGGAAGCCTTGATGGCGGCTAATTTGGCACATCTGGCTATCTGTCCGACAGCTCTTCATTGGATGCCTGCGTCTGCGTCCGTATACACGGCATCATCAGTCACTGCAGAGTCAACTACAGCAGTGAAGGCAGATCCTGAATTACACAAGAAAGAAGCGGGATTGGACAAGGATAAAGCAAATGAAATAGAAAATGGAGAAGCGGTCCATAACCAACAAACTCAATCAACAGTTTTACAAAAGGACCAACAACAACATGAGTCAACAGAATCATCATCGTCAATACGATCACCTGGAAGTGGACCTCGTGTGTTTAATTCAATTCTCAAAAATATGGATATCAATGATACAAAACTCCGTCTTTTTGATTTCACTCATTCCAAGATTCTGAGCCATGAACGAGCAAGAGCACCCAATAACCTAGTGGAATGGCAGGTGCCTGGGTACATGGAATATCATCTTCAGTTCTTGGCACCTGAACAGACAGGTCGGGCAGAGACGTGGATGGATCATCGAACAGATATTTATGGTTTAGGAGCCACACTATTTACGTTATTGACGATGCAATACCCAAATGTGGGTCAAGATAGTGTTCAGATCTTACAAGGGGTCCTATCAAAAGATCTGCCACCGTTGAGAGATTTCCGCCCAGATATGCCGCCGGTAATTGATGACATTTTGCGCAAGATGACAAAAAAGGTTTGTTATATCGGTCTCTCTTAGGAGGGAAAGGAAAGAACTGAGTTGTCATTCGAAATATGCAAATAAAGGCTAATGATATGGCATCCATTTTCGAAATTTGAACCACTAGCAACCAAGTCAAAGATATCAGAATGCATTTGGATTTAAGCAAGATATCCTTCAGTGCTTGAATGTCCTTCATCGGACTGGACGGGTAATTGATGATTCTTTATTTTTATCTTTTTCTTTACCGTGTCATCCAAATATTGAACGTCCCCCTTCATTTTTTGTAGATCGACTCATTTGAGCTAGGAAAGCATGACATCTCATATCAACTTGTGCTCCCAAACTCTATTTTCGGTCGTCATGTGGAACAACAGATGATTTCTGCTTGTATAGCACAAGCCGCTAGTGCCTATCAGCAGTCTCTCAACGGATCTAACAACGATGATGATGGCTCTGAGGATGATGATGGCGATGATGTATTTCATGGCGGTGGCGCTGGTAATAATGATAATGATAATGGTGAGATATCAGCTTCAGCATCTAAAAAAACAGCAGTCAAAAATGCAGATTATTATGTTTTTGAAGATGACATTGTCTCGCTCAAGAGTCAGATTGCAAAGATCCCATTGTCCTCAAAAATCCTGCTGAGAACCCCTAAACCTTTTGATGGTGCTCAATCAATTCATCGGGGGCATGAAGCGACAGACCCGATTGTGCGAGTTGTGTTTGTCAGCGGGCCATCTGGCGTCGGGAAGTATGTTTTTTTTTTTTTTTTTTTTTTTTTTCTGGAAATTGTATGGTGCATTTTATTCATGATAAGGCTCAAAAAAAAAAAAAAAAAAAAAAAAAAAGAAGTAATACTTATATTTGAATGTTTCATTTATACTCCCTAAAACTAATAGGACAATGTTGATTAGAGGCATGGCCGCAACTGCCAGGAATTCGGGGTTATTTGCAGGCGGAATCTTTGAAAAGGATGGATTAGCGCCATACTCCGCAATACTACACTGTATACAAAGTGTTCTTCAACAACTCCTGGCTCAACATTCTGACGCCCTCGCCTCCCTGGTTGTCGCAATCCGTACAGCATTCGAGCCTGATTCAGGCATTGGAATTATCTGTGATTTAGTTCCAGAGCTTAGATACTTCTTTAGTGGATCTGAAATGCCAGAATCTCAAGATATACCACTCTCTCATTCTGTGGCTCGATTTCATGCCTTGATTTTAAAACTGATTCGCGTGATCTCAACACATTTCTTCATGACATGGCTGATCGATGACTTACAGTTTGCAGATGAGAATTCTATCGATTTATTGGCAACTTTGGTAAATGTAAACAAGAGATTACCAATAGTTTTGATTATTACCCATCGAGATACGCCGGATTGTTTGTTGAAGGTCAAGCATATCCTGGGAGGAGGCAATATTGCTGGAGGACGACATCCTACAGGGTTTGGAGTACTAGGAGCAATGCATCATGATACACTCATGGATAATCTGTCATCCACAGGAGGCAAGCGGACAGCTAAATCATCATTCCCTTCATCGGTTTCTTCGTCATCAATATCGTCATCGTCACACAAACCAATGTCTAAAAGTACAGCTCTCCGAGGAATAGGATCGCCCATGGTGGTTCGTGGGGGTGGAGGAGTCCGGTTCATTCGACTACAGCATCCAACTATAGACACAATCCAAGAATTTCTCGCCACAATTTTACATAGGGACAAGGTTGATGTAGTCCCTTTGGCCAAAGTGCTGCATCAAAAATCATGGCTTACAATTCGACAACTTGTCCTAGAACTGTATCAAAACCGTACGATTTATTTCAACTGTGCAGCACGGGAATGGGAATGGGAGGCTTGCTCCGAGATCCTGGCAGAGACGGTTCGCAAACTGACAGGAGAAGAGTATGCATTTTTGAATAATCGGTTCCGATCTTTGAGTTGTAATACAAAGAGGGCTTTAGTCTGTGCCTCCATTTGTGGGCCGTCATTTGCAATCAAGGACCTCCAGTCATTGGTGTCTCGATCTTATGCATGGACCGTCAAGCAATGTCCAACAACTGAGATGGAAGAGAATTCAAGGAAAGAAGCGATTGGAACAACAAGAGCAAGAGCGGAAGCAGAAGGTGACAGTACTGGTGACGCTAAATTGGAGTATCACAATGACAATAATGGGCACAGTCGCTCCAACAAAGACGGAAATGCCATGGAAGGCATCCAGACTGCAATTCGAGAGGGCATTCTAGTCTACACATCTGTCCCAGATCATTTAAGGTTCCATCATGGAGTCATGCGTCGTGTTGCAACTCACTTAATGGATAGCCCTGAAATTATGGAGAGACTACACTATGAAATGATCAAGATATTATTCAACAAGTCAGGTCAAGATTTCAGGATTGCTAGTCATGTACTCCACTGCTTGAACTTGATTAAGAAGAAGATGGCCATGTCCATGGAAATTAAGGAAAAAGATTCGTCATTTATATCAATCTCATCGCCTTCTTCCACGGATCAATCGCCACTATCCTCTCCTCAACCAGATTCGGACACAGTGGGAGAAATTGAGTTGGAAACAAAGTCCCTTCGAAGGATCTTATCACTCGCGGGGGAAAAGTCACAGAAGAGTGGAGCACAAGATATGGCACTGACTTATTGGAATGCAGCTTTGTCTTTACTGCCAGGAAATTGCTTTGATCTCTTCCCAGAAAGTCCTCCAACACGGGTACAACAGACACCATCTAGCCGTGATGTAGACATGGATGTGGATAAAGATGAACAACAAAATGAGGATGACCATGGCAAAAATCAAAATTGTCAGAGTCATTTCAATATTTTGATTAAGGACACATCTGCTACTTCAACGGCTCCATTAAAAACAGTACCAAATCAGCAACCTTCTCTTACGACTTTGCAGGAAAATATACAAGGTATATCCTCAAAGCAGAAATCACTATATCGTGAAGCTCTCAAGCTTCACCTTCAATGCATTGAGGCCGAGCGATGGCGAGAGAACTTTGATAAAGCGATGAAGATTTGTGAAATTATTTTATCCAAAGTCACTGATCCGATTGATCGTGCGAGGGTGTATGAACATCAGATAGAGATGTCCGTCTGGGCATATTCCTCACCTGAACAAGCAACAAAGATCACAATCCGCTGTCTGCAGGAGTTAGGGATGGATCCCGACACTTCCTTTGACCCGTCAGAGAGCGAGATGCGAACTATCTTTGATCAGACGCATAAGATGTTAATGGAACATATGTCTGAACTGCAAGTGAAGCCACCTAAAACTTGCACTGACCCGCATATTACTATGATGATGGAAGTACTGAATATTGCAAGGTAAATAAGACCCTGTTCACTTTCTTCATACCAAATGTATGATTCTTCATTTGAAAGCTGGCACAATATTCAATTCTGCTGCAATTTTGTTTTATGTTATTTCATTTTACATATATGATATTAGTGCAAGTCTGTATTACTGCAACGTGCCGTTCATGGCAAGTACAATCGTTCAGTCAATGAAACTGATCTGCAAGTACGGAGTTACCAAAGATGCAGGCCGAGCCTTAGTCTCATTCGCGCTGACTTACTCTACCTGGTATGGTTGTCTCGACAATGTGTACGAGCTCGGAAAGTATGTTAGCTATCCTATAAACATTTATGTTCGCTTTTTTTAAAGAAATTTTCTGGCCTTGACACGAACCTTTCGCTGACACATACATTTCTCTCTTTTTGCCCTTCTACCTCCTGCTTTCTCTCTTGTTTTTTTTTGCTCTTTGCTCTCTGACACACATGCTATGGCTTGAATTTTCGGATGATATGATAAGATTGGCTTGCGAAGTCTCAAATGGAAACCATCATGTCAAGTTCTTATTCCATCTCGTGGTTCAGCAATGGGGTGACCATGTGGCTCATTCGATCCCAGCGCTCGAAGAGACCCTGACGGCTGTAGACTTGACATGTGATCGATTATTCCATACTGCAGGCATGATACATGTCTCAGTCATGAAGGTTCTTCTAGGACGTATCCATTTGAACGAGCTCATGACTGCGACCATTGATCTCTTGGCTAAGCATATCGAATTTGGCCCTAAATCGCATGGAGTCGAAGTCATGCAAGGGATATTACAAATGATTAAATGTCTCAAAGGCAAGACCCTGGCATCGAGCCCTGAGACTATTTTTGATGATATTGATTATTCAGAGGCAACAACGAAGCCTGATGCCAGGAATAGCGGAGGTAAAGTCGCTATGGATTCTTTCTCTTTACTGCAAAGCTTTGGCAATCAAGGGAAAAAGCAAAGTCGAAGCCAAAGTGAAAGTCCAAGCCAAGAGCAAAAGGGTCACAATCAATATCGAGACAGTAATGACAATAACGGAACTGGATCCATGGGATTCATGTCTGAAAAGAAAAAGAAGAAAGTGACAATGGTCCATAATAACAGCACGTACATGATGCTCAAAGTTGTGGCAGCGTTCATCTTTGGCCATTATCATTTCGTTCAAGACGTTACCCATGTCTGGCATGACGATCCGAAATCGATCTTGAACTTTGAAGGCTCCTGGATTGCACATTCGGTTTATACAGTCGTTGGATTGGCGCTAGTGAATGTGCTGGCGACAGAAGCAGATCCGCAGCGAAGACAGTTGCACAAGAAGCGACTCTTCCGAATCCGAGACACCATGGAGTTAAGGGCTCGCAAGTATCCGACCAACCATGCAGCTATGTATTATCTCCTTGAAGCTGAGATTGCAGACCAAGCACTAACGCCAGATTCAGATCTAGAGACTGGAGCAAAAATAGAACCAAAAGCAGCCAACCGACCTGACATGAAGCAGGTCCTATTACTCTATGAAACGGCCATTAAGTACTCTGTCGATGGTGACTTCCCACTCCACAAATGTTTTGCGTTCGAGCTGGCAGCTAAGTGCCATCTCAGACACGGTCTGGTCACTAGTGCCCAATGTCTAATGGTCAGCGCTTGCAGGGTCTATCATACATGGGGAGCCAAAGGCAAAGTTCACTGGTTTCATCGGACGTATCCTGACATGTTCCCAATGCCGCCTGAAGTTGATCCTGCAATGATGAAGCGTGGGCTGTTTTACCGCCCAACAGATAATAACAGCAATGATAACGCATCCACGTCGTATGTGGGTGGTGCTTGCCCATATGCTCAGATGGGATCTGACAATAATATTTGTAGCAATAATACTGTTGGCGTCCCTTCGATGGGGATATCTACGACTGTAGCAGGGGCAGGGCCTGTAAACGGAGGTAGCGTGAACAACAATAGCTCTTATGGATGGGTGGGTAGTGGAAGCAGTAATTCTGGTAGTGGTGGTGCAAGTAGCACATCGCCTTGGATGGCGCCAAGCCCTGGAGTCATGTACAGCCCTACAATGCTTGGCATGGATACTTCAGCTGGGATGGCTGAACCTCATATGGCTGTCGCGTTCCAAAATGGATGCTCCTCTGTGACTTCAACCAGCTCTTCCTCGGCCGTATCAACATCACCGATCTATTCACTACAAAACACCTGGCTTAGCTCTCCGCAGTTGTCAGAAATCGACAATGCAGATCTGGATGTTTTGGATTTCTCATCCGTGATCGAAGCAATGCAAGTGATTGCAAGTGAAATCGATCTGGACCTTTTGCTGGTCAAGTCATTGGGCGTGTTAAATCATTCAGTAGGGGCTAAACAATGCTGTATCATTATATCAAGGCATCATGAACTAGTCTTATCAGCCTCCTTAGGTGATTCAGGTCGATGTGAATCAGTGAATCCGCCAATAGAAGTTGAGAAATGTCCTGAGTTGTTCCATGGAGTAATTAATTACGTAGTCAACACTTCGGCTCCTTGTTTGTTGACTAACGCTAAGGATGATCCTCGGTTCTGTGCAGATGAGTATTTGAAACAATATCGTGCAGATCTTAAGACGGTTCTATGCGCGCCCATCTTACACAGAAATGAATTAGTTGGTGTACTGTATATGGAAAATTTTCCTGAGAGGGCGTTTGCAAACAAACGAATGTTAGTAATGAACCTTTTAGTTCAGCAGTTGGGGATCTCGATTACGAACGCATTATTGTATCAGTCAGTGCTCCAGTCCGAGAATAGGCTGATGGGACTTTTGGAAAACATGCCCTGCGGAATTGCACTATGGGATAGTGCGGCCGAGGATTGTCAATATGTGAATTCGACCTGGGCGGATATGACAGGATTCACGATTACAGAGATCATTCAAACTGGATGGAGGGTTGTATTGCCCCCAGATGAAATGATTCAGTATGGACTAGCTTGGAAGGAAAGGGTCCAAGCAGGTGTACCTTGCCAATGGTAAGAAAAGCTATGAGAAGAAAGAGACCACCCTCAGCCCACATCCATGAGCATATATCGCATTAACTTATTAAAACTCTGTAATGCGTCTCCATAATCTCCTGTTCCTTATTTTCGCCCCATGTTATGGTATCTAGGGAGTGTCGATATGGCCTTAAAGATGGTACGTTTCGATGGAGCATCGTTCGAATGCTACCCATCAAAGCACCTAGTCCGCCCCACAAGATTCTACAGTGGCTCACGGTGACAATTGACATTGATGACCAGCGGAAGGCTGTGCAGCTCAAATCCAACTTCTTAGCTAACATGAGCCACGAGCTGCGCACGTAAGTTTTTTTTTTTTTTTTTTTTTTTTTTTTTTTTAAAATAGAAAGTATTGTTTTGCTGATACTTCCTTTCCCCATACCATTTATGATTCTTTATTTTATTTCTTTCTACTTACATCGATAGCCCATTTTCTGGTATACTTGGAATGCTATCGCTTCTGAGAGACTCGAAAGGATTGTCACATGAACAATTCGAATTTGTTGACATGGCGAAGGCGTCCTGTGAGATGTTAATCCGTATCGTAGACGATCTACTAAACTTTAGCAAGCTGGAAGCAGACAAGGTCACATTAGAGTATATTCCATTATGCTTTGAAGAAATCTTAGGAGGTATACACTCATGAAAAGCTTGATACTTGCTGGCGATAGTGAAGCATGCTCTTAACACTTCTTTTTTTTTTTTTTTTTTTTTTTTTTTTGGGGGGGGGACGGCTATAGATGTATGCGATCTCCTAGTTCCTCTGGCATCACGAAAGGGCCTTGAATTAATTATTTTGGTCGACGAAAAACTACCAGTCCAGCTGATCGGCGATCCGGACCGTATGAAGCAAATCTTGATGAACCTTATTGGAAATGCCATCAAATTTTCGACCTCTGGCAATGTCGTCGTCAAATATTGGCATGAGCTTCGTAAACGAGAAACTATCCCAAAAACCAAATCATCTTCTCAAGCAATCTTGAATATGCTGGCTGGCAAATGTGGCCCTGATTACCAGAACGATCAACAACTTCGAAACAAAGTCGAACATGAGATCAAGATGATCCAGGATCAAGAACATATGGGTGATGAAATTATCCTACATTGTTCGGTCACAGACCAAGGCATTGGCATGACTCCTCAGGAGCAAAAGATGTTGTTTGTCAGTTTCCAACAAACCGATAGTGGCACGACCCGAAAATATGGAGGCACAGGGTTGGGGCTCTCGATATGTGCTCAACTGATCGCTCATATGAAAGGCAAGGTCGTGGTTGAGTCAGAGAAGGGGAAAGGATCCACATTCACATTCACAGCCACGCTCAGGACCACGACCGAACACGATCGCGAACAAAACCCAGCGGAGAGCGCCAGAATCAAGGAATGTGAGGACGTAATGGCGCTCAGAATGAGTGCCCTTGGGTCCAAGAGGGTCTTGGTTTTGTCACCAAATGCGTTGTTGAGACAACAAGTGCTGAAGATACTCAGCGATGGAACCGAGTGCATGGAATTTAATGACGTGCTTTCAGCAATACAGGCCAGAGCAATAGGTATTTCGAGAGGTTCGTCAAGATGCTGCCCAGGGAGCTTGCAGGAGTCCTCACCTGCCGATGTAGGCAGCTCAAATATGGAGCCGTTGGGAGGTGCTGGTGGCGCTAATGACTGCGGCGGCATCAATAGAACCAATGATCAACACGGATTGAGTTTGGTTTCGACTTCAAGATCTGATCTAGAGGGTATCCGTCCATTCGACTTTATCCTTGTGGATCACGTTCTCGATTCTGCGGAGCTCGACTGCATCTACCCCTCACCTACAGTCGCCTTCGTCCTTTTGCTGGCGCCTACAACCGAGACCCTAAGATGGATTTTACCGCCTGCAGAAAAACGGTTAGATGTTGATTCGGATGATACGGATTCTGGCCAAATCGATGTAGGAGGGCGAGGGCGAGTTCGACAAACACCTGAAATAGATTTTGCAGAGCGAACCATGGGTCATGTCAGGAACGCTTCATATATGTCGAAGATTCGACAGTCGCCATCTTCCAAAAGGGACGCAATGGGAGACTCGAAAACAGATCCGACAACAGTGCCTAAGGCATCATCTCGACTGTTTAAGCGAAAGAAGAACTCAATCCAGGCAGTAACGGCTTCCAAAAAGCGATACAAGGCATCAACGGCCGCAGTTTCGACGACGTTGCCGGAATCAAAGGGACTACTATCACCTGCTATATCGAGTAGTGCCCCAAGTACATCGTCGTTCCAGATATGTAGGATGATCAAGCCAGTGCGACGTCTCAAGCTGTTACAGGTCATGTATAATGCATTGATACAACATGAACACAAGATGAACGGTACGAAGGATGAACGTTCTGGAGATGGCTATTTTGGATATGGGACTCTTGAGGAAATATCAGATGATTGTGATGAGCAATGTTACGGAGAAGATCTCGATAGTGATCAAGAAGCTAAAATAGACCACTGTTCTCCGTCATCCATGAGTACCGACCCCAGTACATTGACCATACCCAGACCAGTTTCCCCGACTGGATCTACGGCTTATCATGCGACTTTAAAGCGACGACGGCCACAAGGTGGAGATGCTGAAGACACTAATAGCAGCAGTGGTGATGAGTCAGATAAAGGCCTCCATCATATTCGCAAAGCTGTCAAGACCAAAACCCAAGCCTCAACATCTTCATCGTCCCCCTCATCTCGTTCAGGCTCTAGCTCTGTCTCTGGTTCTTCATCTGTGAAAATGAAAAGGAGCACTCGACGATCATCGGATCACAATTTGCCGAAACGTGCTCGAAATAATGATGCACTAACATTGTTATTGACGCCGGAGCAACGGAAACAATGCAAAGGCAAGAATGTACTTGTGGCTGAGGATGACTTTGTGTCGCAAAAGATTCTGGAAAAGTAAGCTTATACTCGTTTATTAGGCTGTATGTGTGCACTACTGCCATATTTTTGAGGAGCTCTAATTTTTTCTTTTCTTTTCTTTTCTTTTTTTTTTTTTTTTTTTTTTTTTTGAACCACCAATAGACAACTTTCCAAGTTAGGTATGAATGTGGTGATAGCTAATAATGGCCAGGAGGCTGTTGAAGAGTGGTTAGCTGTGGAGCGTGGGCATTATACGATCGCGATTTTTGATCATGTAGGTTTACAACTATAAATCATTATCAGTTACTGTGGTAAAAGAGAAAATGGATTATGAGGTGTCGTGTCATGTGAACATAAAAACTGAATTATTTTCAACTTCTGCGGTCGCGACTTTACATAGCATATGCCAATCATGGATGGTCTCGCAGCAACGAAAAAACTCCGAACGCTGGAGGCTCAGTTTGACATTGAAGATGAAACGAAGATTGTAGAGAATAAAGGCGAGGAGAGCAAGACTTCTGTTGGTAGTGGTGATGGTGGGCCCAAGCCGAGAACTATCCCAATCCGTATCCCGATTGTTGGATTGAGTGCGGATATCCAACAATCGACCAAGGAGGTGAGTGATAATAATATTTTTTCGAAAAATAAAAAAAATAAAAAATAAAAAGCTTTTGTGTATAGAAAGGATTTAACCATTAGTTCCTCGGTAATAAATTTACCCTTTGGTCATTCTAGAAATGTATTCAAGCTGGAATGGACGAATATATGACCAAGCCCCTGCTCACTCAAGGACTCGCGCTCCTAATTCAGCGATACTGCTGTAAATGAAAGCCTTACTTGCAGACCTCTTGACGTGGCTCAGCCAACATTTGAGATTTAATAAAAAAGATAATGATCCTTGTACCACATTATGAATTACATCCTTCTTGCATATAGCTTAATTACCTGTCTGTTACAATTCCCCGCTTTGTATTTTATTGCTCAACCTGCTGAATTATCTTTAAACGAAAAGATATGAAATTTATTCCAGTTGCCACTGTGTTGTAAGTGAACAAATAATACTTCAGCGCGAAGAAAATAAAGACACCAGGTAATTGAAGATCAAGGGTGGAGCTGGAGTGTGGGTCCCAAGGAAAATGACGTGGTACCATTTTAGCGTTATACGCTTTTGGTTTAAAATCATCTATCCCACCGTGAAAGATTAACAAACACAGCATCGTCAAGTTGTAAAAAAAAAAAAAAAAAAAGTTAGTTGGTCACAAAAGAATTATCTCTCCCAATCCATAATGAATTTTGGGCCATCTCCTCGACCTCCTCCACCCCCGCCTCCTCGGCTTGAATACCTTGAAAAGAGCGACATTAAGGAAATCGATTGGAAGGACTATGTCCCGCTTGAAATGTACCATTCATTGGATTATGACCCTCATCAAGGGCACCGTGTGATTGCTATAGAGAAAGAAGCCCTCTTTGGAGGATTCCCTGTGGATTCCCCGCGAGCCCTGACTATATCGCAACAGCCCCAGAGCCGGCAGCAGTTGCCCGCCACCCATCCAAAAAACCCAATTCTGACACAAGCATTAGAACCGTTCCATATCAGAGATATTATTGACTGGAAAGCTGATTACCGGCTGAAACAGAGTGCCGATCAAGACTTAGAAAGAAAAAGATTGGCCTACTCGCGAACTTTGGACAGCCTTGAGAGATATGAAGATGAGCTCCAATCTCTGAATCGCCAGTACACCATATGCCTCCGTGACATCCAAACGAGTATAGACAGAGCTGCATGGGTAGGGCTACATTGTCAGGAGGATGCCGGCAATCTTACCCTGAATACCTTACAAATATGTGCAGGGCACTTCCAGTCAGGGGGACCTTTAACGACGTATGACATCTTTGAGCTGTCAAAGCTAGATTTAGAGCTACTGCAAAAGTCCATTGAGGCAATGAAGTACCTGAAGACTCGGATGAGTATATGCCGAATTAAACTCGGCTTAACTAAGGCAAATGTATCGGATGTTCAGGATATGAGGAGCCTACAGCGATTCCAAGAACTGCACGGGGAATGGGGCCGCATATACAATGAATACAATAATAGCTTTCGCAGGCCGAAAGATATACACAGCTTTGACTGCAATATTGACATTTCAACTACTAAAACAGAAAATATTATTCGAAATTCTTTATATCAACTCATCAAAAACATCGAACTTGCTGCGTTGGAGTATTCTGAGTACCATTTTAAATCAGCTGGGATCGCCCGCATTCAAGACATTCCTCTCAATTGGGCCATCCGAATCACCAATGACCGCTACGCGTCGGACCTGGCTGAAATAGCTAAGATACAAGGAGATCTTCATAGAGCTGTAACAAATAATGAATTGGAAGCCAACGAGCGCCTCAAACTATTTAGAATGGCGAGCGACCTTAGCAAGTATGGACATCATATCCACTCAGTGAAAAACATCAAGAGTCCTATTGCCTTGAGGATATTGGACACTCCTAGGGTATGCCGGATTCAAAAAATGAAAGTCGACTTTGCTTCCATGGCCTATAGAGGCATGACAGAACAGGATAGGCATCAAGGTAGAATGAATCCCGTCGTCAACACCATGCCCTTGGAATTGTGGTATGCCATGAGTGAGAAAGAAGAAATGGTCCACAAGAAAGAACGCTTGCATTCAATACAACAGAGCCGAATGTGTGGCCTTTATTATGATGAAGGGGTGCCCAGTAATAGTGAGATGGATATGGATGTCCCATCTCAGCCTGCCACCGCTTCTAATAATGACGGTACTGTTCAAGCGGTTCATGACGCGAGGGAATACAGGCGAGTCCTTGAAATATTGAAGGTAGGGCAGCGTATCCTGGCCAGGAATTTGCATACACTAGAGATATTAGTTTGGAACGGCCCTTCATGCGCTGGCTGTGAGAGTGTGAATGGTGGCGAACTCCGTCCAGAGGAACACCAATGCAATGATATAACACCATACCCGCTCGAGATAATCCCTCCCATGAGTGTACCTCAGGCTACACAGCAGGGCCATCTTGCCGCAGGACCAGGTTCGGCGAAGACCTCTATCCTTACACACATTGCCGAGCATATATCCTCACGTCTAGCACATCTTAAGCTTCATTTCTGGAAAGTGTCTCGTAAGAGTTTTCAGATGCTTTTGGAAAACTTGCCTCACTTGGTTATACTAGAGATGAAGGAGTGCTTAACCCATATTGAGGATGGTCCTATTGAAGGACCAGTTTTCAAGCATAAGGGTGTAAAGTTGCTGGCTATATCGCTGACCACGCTCTTTGACCGGCAATGGCACTGCAATTTCCGCAGGATCACAGCACTTCCTTGCCCACATTATCCAATCGACGACGATGATGATGGTGCTAGTAATGACGGCAGTATTGGCAATGAAAGTAATTATGGAACCGACAGCGATGAAGACAGTAGCGGCGATAGAGAACTTAATGAAACGGAATGGACTGATGACACTGAGTCCCCTACAGGCCCTAATGACCTTGATGATCTAAGTCTTCAGTCTGCGCTCGCGCTCGATGACTCACTTTTCGAACATTTCCCAAACCTAGAGCATTGGAAGCTGAACCATGGCGCCGATAACGCCCGCCTAATCCCTTGGGTGGGTGCTCAGGTCCGGAAGCATTGTCCAAGGCTCGATAAACTAACTTTGACTAAGGATTCAGGCCTTGACTCGAACCAAGCCGCACTGTTGGTTCATGTATTCAGACCGGCACATACTGTATTATCGCCACCACCCTTGGCAGCGACTGAAGTCAAAGTAGCTTTCGCCCAAACGCTCACAGGCCCAATCGAGGCCCTGGATGATGAAGGAGATTTGCCTGGGCCTATGGGGAGCTCTGGATACATGATCGGTAATGGACTTGGGCTGACAGCTTTTAAAGCAGAAAATACCATAGTTTATGGCTTGCCATTGATCAGGGCACTAAAGCTTCACACAAAGACGCTCCAAGTTTTGGATATAGACGCAAATAATGTGGAGTGGGTCCCTGAACGCTGGGTCGTAGGGGCTGGATGGCGTAACAATGTAGCCTCTACGGTTTTACCCAGCTTTGATGCAGGCCATAATGCTCATCCCTCTTCAGGTGCTATCACCCTTACTAAGACCAGCGCAACAAATGATACAAATACTACTATTAATACTGGAGCTAGCACTGTTACAGCACCAGTTCATTTCTCGATTCCTCCTGCTTCGCCTGTTCAAGAAGATCTACTTCATCCTGGTTCACTGACACTACAATCCTCGGCAATACCAACGGTACCGCAGGGTCTTCGGGGGCTGAACTCAGATGCTGCCAATGTTGACCCAATCAGCGCCCCAGAGGTACGACTGGCTTTGAGTGCACTTCTTCAACAATTTACCAGGCTACGTGTCCTCAAGCTTCCCGAGGCGCGCCTTCCTCCGGAACATATCCAACAAGGCCCTCTATGGGGCAGCGTCAACTCTTTAGAGCGAGTCTGGCTCCAATTCAATAATTATAATTTCAATACGCTATTGATCCCGTATGTCATGCACCAACTGGATGCAGTATATGTACCAACATACTACAGTCCAGCAGACCAATATATCCATCCAGAAGGCGTTTTACCTCTCACACCACTTGACTTTGATTCAAAAAGTGACCCAGATGTAGATGTTTGGAATGACATGTTACCCTTGCCAGAGACACCTCATGCTGTATCATTTAGCGATCAAACATCTTCGTCCACGTTCCAAAAGTATATGGATCGATACTTGGGGCGGTGCCTTGGGCAGGAGAAATTGTGGGGCACTGAGCAGCCTGCATTGCCTTCAGAGCAGCCGCCCTTGGTCGATCTGCATCCAATTTTCCAGAGAAGCGTAGAGGAAATGATAGCTTTCTTGCGCCAGTTCCCTCGTCTGCAGTATATCTGGCTTGGTGATGGGTTATACAGACTGTCTCCATGACCTACTGTAATATACGGTTTCATGACTGATCCTCATGAACTACGTATGATTCTCCACTGTCTTCTCTTCATTTACTACTTGTAAATCGCGTATTGTCGGCGCGCCATAATTACTTAAATTCTTTTATCTAAATAGCTACTTTACATTAGTATTAGTACCCATGACATATAATAATAAAAAAGAGGTATAAATATTCTTTTCTATTATGAAAATAAAGGCCCTTATTCTTGCCTCGTTACATTCCAGACTCACTATTAATTATACCAGGTTTGATTCTCCAGCCGGGTCCGAAGGAGAAGGCTCGAAGTCATCATCGACACAACTTTCAGAACTCGCGGCCCCTTGGCTATCCGAATCAGAATGACTGACCTCATACCCGAAATCATTATCGTTTCCTATATGATCACCCTCGAAAACGATATTCTCTTCTGTGTGGGGAATGAACCAGTGCTTGTGCTTTTCGGAAGTGATTATCGTCTTGACAGCGACACTAATCGACTCAGAAGGAGTTCATGGCAAGGTAATTGAGGACATTAATGTCCTTTTGTTTGGTTACCTCTTCTTCGTCCCCGCCGTACCCCTTTATGAGCTTTTTTTGAAGTTGAAAGGCCTGATCTTCTTTTGACTCGATTCCAAAGTAACATAAATGGTTCCTTTGTTGAGATGCCAAGATAGGAAACTCGGTAAAGCAGTTCTCGTAGGGCTATATGAACATTCCGAAATAATATGGCCAACACCAGTAGCAATAACCCACTGAAGGGGCGCAGTATGGTCAACAGACGTGAAACCACCAGTATGCGCGCTGCATACGATCATCAAAAGAAGGCGAAGATTTTCTGGGAGGAGGGGAAAGGGGGAAGGGGGAAGATGTTTAAAAGGGAAGAGGAGGTCAAAAATGATTCGAGCTAGTTCTCAAGTATTCTATAAATTAGCGAAAGCAAGCAATACAAGGAGACAAAGACAAGAATATAATGAAATACCCCAAGTAAAGAATACTGCTGTTGGTCGTTAAGCAAAATTTTTATTTTTAACTGGCAACATTGGTTACGCGAATAAAGGAATGCTTGGGCGCTGCCCGGTGCAAATGTTGCTTTAGAAGGAAAATGTGGTTTCTTTTGATGCCCTATCCTAGCAAGGGTAGCCATGAGAAGGGATGTGGATGAAGTAGCTACCGAAGCTTCCGGCCTGGCACCCAGACACGCCACCGCGCAAATACTTGACCCTGTTTTTGCAATCGCCATCTGCGTACAAGCTAACACACCAGAAATTGTCCCCATTGAATGCAACTCCTTGAAGGGTCTTTCCAAAGGAATGGCACTTGAAGTCGGTTCCGGATTGTTGGGTAGTATATGCGACTGTACTGAAGACGCAGTTCTGGGTCGTAAAGCCTGCAATAGCATAAGTTGCCGCGCTCACTGAGGATGAGAACGAAGCAAGGCCCACAAGCGCAATGGTCAAGGCAGAGAGTTTCATGATGGACAGGTTTTCTTTTTTCTTTCTTTTTGTATAGGGAGAGAAGAGCGTATCTGAGATATGTAATAGGGAAAAGAAAGAAGTGAACAATTTATATCTTTTTTTTTTTTTTTTTTTTTTTTTTTGATCGAGAAATGTCATACGCGCCTCGTCTTGTACAGCCATCAATCTAGGAGCAATTGTTAGGACATTATTTCTAAAAAAAAAAAAAAAAAAAAAAGGGCAGCATTAGATCTTCCTCATCCCAAAAAGGGGAACAGAAGGGGCACATAGAGGAGGCGGGTCATCTTTGTCTTTGCAAAGTAACTTTTGGCAAAAGTCCACGCGCTGAGGCGGCATGTATGCAGAGGATCTGAACAGACGAGGCGCAGAATAATGGGGCGCGTATGTTTGGATGTTTGTTTTTGTACCATATTTTTTCCAATTTAGGCTTTTTTGAATCCTTAATGCCCGCAGAATGCCACTTTATCCCCCAATGTGGTAATAAGATGCGATACAATATATTCAACCTACTGCTCGCTATGCAGACCATATAGCACTTTTATTTGTTCATGCGATGTAGCCCTTATCTAGTTTTGTAGTTTGCTTTCCTAGCGTCATTATCATTTTAAGGCTTCGGTGCAAGAACAAGTGTCAACAATATATACGTATTTGTTGCTCTTCCCCCTTGCAGCCCTGCAAGTTTAGGTTGGTGTAATACCTTTCATGAGGGTGCTGTCCCCTATTTTAGCCATATGCCTGGCCACATGCGTTTCTACGACCCGCTCAAACAGAGCCAACTAGGGTTTCCTGGCTATTGTGGTCGCGTCCCAGATTATCAGTGCTGCTCTACCACTCTTGAAAGCGGATGCGCGGCAATCAGAAGATTCGTCAGTCCAAATCACTCGGCCCCCGTCTTTTTGGACCAACTCTTGTATTGTTTTGACGAGCTCCCACTCTATATGTTATTCATTTATTTATGGTTAATAGACCACAATTCTAATGAATATCCCTAGCGAATACAGCACCTAAGCAATTGTTCTCTTGATCACTTCTTTTTTTTTTTTTTTTTTTTTTTTTTTTTTAATCAGTTGGTTGTTGATCTCCTAAAGAATGATTCTCGTCTTCTCCTTAGTGTGGTGTACTATACTCCTGAAATTCCGTTCATCCAGCTTTGGGTCGTCCTGGAGTTGGAGCGTGAGAGCTGGTACCACCTTCTTGAAATATTTTGATGATGCTTTGAACTGTTGATTTGGGTGAACTAAAAAAGAGAGGGAGACAATCGCATACAACAAATAATTTGGAAAGTAAAGCATTCCATCTGATTCACCAGACTTCCTTACTTTTGTACAGTTACTATCTTCCGTTTCCAAAAAGATATTTACATTCATTTATTTTTTTTTCTGTAATTTGTATGTTCTGAATAATAGGAAGATCAGTTTCCAGGAGAGGATCTTGGGTATGTTCTAGTTTTCTTCGTTCTAGTCAATGTCTTTTAGACTGTCCAGACCTTGTATCCGAGCCACACTTGTGTTAATTTCTCGAATTGAAGTAAATGTGCCACAACTCTATCAACAAACACCTCATCAATCTCTACTGGTTTTGGTGTTTCCACAACGGGTTCTGTCTGTGTCTCTTGTGCTTGGTTCTCTTGAGACAACTCTGCTCTAATTTCAGTTACTGTAACCTCCACTGTAGCCTCCTCTTCCGTAACTATAGCCTCTTCTACGTGCACTTGTGCCTGCGCTTCGACATTTACTTGTGTGTCCTCTGTGTGTGCTTGCGTTTCCTCTGCTGTGTGTGCCTGCGTCTCCTCTTCTGTGTGTGCCTGTGGCATCCTCTCCTCTGCTACCTGTGCTTCAACAGTGGATTCTGTTCGTTGTTCTTCAGAGTACTCAGTTGGTGTAGTTTCGCCAGTGTGCACCTCCTGATCCTCTGTAGTCTTGATCTGTGCTTCAACTGTTAATCCAGATGTAGACACTTCCTCAGATTGTTGTGCTACTATTGTGATAGCTTCGGCATTGTGCTCTTCAATATTCTCTTCAGGGATCTGTAGTTCAGTCTCTTCCTCTTCGGCAAGGCTCGCATTCACGACTTGGTCCTCAGGTAAAGATACAACCTCAAACTCTTGCTGAACCTCAGGCACAGGTGATTCTTGCTGAACCTCAGACACGGGCGATTCTTGGACTTCAGACACCGGTACAACCTCTGGTTCCTGTTGGGTCTCAGCCACAGATACAATCTCTAGCTCCTGCTGAGCCTCAGACGCCTGTGTCTCGGGCGATTCTGCAGCCTTCTCAACTACACTCACTTCACTCACTTGATCAGGCTTAGCCTCGAGCTCAGTGTCATCTGTCCACACCATGCCAGGGTTCCGCCTTTCGAAAGCTGCACGACGCCACTTTTTGATCACTGCCATGATCATGGGCTCAGTGTTCAGTCCACGAACGCGCATCCGAAGGTTTGTCAAGCCCTTACAAATCCAAGGGAAATGCTCTACCAGATCCATATCCATCTCATGAACCGGGACTTCAACTGCGGTAATATAAGGGCAACTTGACAACAACAGCTGAATCATCCAAGCATCAGAGAAGTTGTCCTCCTCTCGATAGACAGTTTCGAGATGATAAAAGTTATCTGGGGAGTCAGACTCGAATGTCAAAACAGACTTGAGAGTATTCTTATGGTGTAACAAACCAAGGACGACCGCAGGCGTGATGTGTCTGTAATGGAAACGGACCGCTGTCAAATCTTGGAAGGTTTTGACTAACAGACTGTTGACGATGCTGCTAGCTGTGTCATTGATGTGAAGCTCTCGAATATGAGGGCAATACTGCTGAACCTTGGCAGAGATGGTTTCAGGCGTAGGGTCATCCAGGAAGTTCTTGCTGCTCCAAACCTCCCAGGTTGTGATGTTCGGGAAATGGATCAGCAATGGAACAATATCCGGTTGCTCAGTAGTCGCTGTGAAGACTTGTTCAATAGATGCTGATAGGTGAGTGATGCCTTGATGTTTGAAGAGATGCGATGTCCCTTCTTCATTAGATTCTAAAAAAGAACATGCTCGGATTCTAATATCTTTGAGATCTGGACATCCAGCCAGGATATTGCACAGTGATTGACGGGCCATGGACATGTATCGGATCGAAAGTTTCGTCAGATTAGGGGTATAGAGGGATTTCGGGGGGAACAGTGCATCCTCCAAAGCATAAGCTGTTTGCGGATCTCTCGAGTCATCACCTGAGATGTCAAGATTCAAGAGAGTATAGAGGTTGCGACGAATAAGTTGCGTAGTCTGCTGATGGAAACCACGCTTATCCTTGACTTGGATACTAAGGCTCCTCAGATTCCTGACGCTGGGATGTCGAAAGAGATTGAGTTCTGATCGTAGTTTGATGTTGCGGATGACTCGGATGAAGTGTCCATTCTTAGCGATGATCTTGGGATCTAGTTCCTTGAATTGAGGTCGATCCTTGAGGTCAACCGTATTCCAGACTTGGCGAGCAAAGTCAGTGCTCCAGGCAGTGGACACATGGCTACAAGCGAGAGCTTCTTTTGGTTCAAGAAAGCTACTGATTTGGCTTCTAATCTCGGCCAGGTCAAGAGGATTCTTGTTAACAAGGACGCTGCAATCCTCTTTGCGTTTTTCTTTTTCCTTTTGCTGTTGTTTTTCATCTTGTTGTTTTTCTTCAACGCCCTCAATATTGATGCCGATATCGATGTTGCCCTTAGTCTCAGGCTTTATCTCTTTATACTCATTGTCGTTGATACTCAAGCTATCTACAGACGCCTCAATCTCTTCATGAAATGCAATCATGTGTGGAGAGAATTAAATAAATAAATAAATAAATAAAACAAGTAGCGGTGGATGGAAAAAGCAGAGGAAGGGAAAGAAAGTATGAATGAGAGTGTGTGTGAAAGAAAGAGAGAGAAAAGAAAGAGAAAGAAAGATGCGAAAAGGTAAGTGAAGAAAGATAAGAAAGACTGATGGGACGGGAAAAAAGGGGCAGCGCAGAATGAGGCCTTTCCCCTGTCTTTTTTCGCAATGGACTTATTCAGCCCAGTCCATTGAACCCCATGCGTCACACACACTTCGCCCTCCAGAAGGAAGAGAAAATTGCCACCAGGCAACATTGCATGTCGATGAACATATCGGAGTTGAATACGGGTGCTACGGCACAGTTCATGCTGAGCAAAGATTTTTTTTTTTTCCTCTTCATCCAATCATCCAAACAAGAATGAATGATGTTTATTGCGAAATGAAATGGGGGGCTGTTGCAAGAGTAAGGTTTCTGGTATCAATTCGATACTGTATTGCGTTTGCATAATGGTCTGCGCCTCCATTTGTTGAACTTTCTCCTTTGTTTTTTTTTTTTTTTTTTTTTTTTTTCCGCGGAAATTCTACAAATGGTCGCACACCTTCTCGTTTATGAAGAGACCGTGTTGTTTCATTTGGGCTGCTTGGTAAAAGATTCTAACGTGGCAGTGCTGGATGAATCAGGGAAATGAAAATCTTTTAAACTATTCCCATGATCAGTTGCATGGCATTGCAACAATTAGGAGCACAATTCAGGATCAGTCTGTTCCTGGACCAACAGGACGCCATCACATGCACAAGAATGGTTTCAGGATTTTACTGGCATATATACATATATACCATCAATTCCGAACATCTGGCACCTACCCCATTTGACGACAATTTAGGTCAACACAACCTTCTGTCCGTAATGGTTGTGGGTTTCCTCATGAGGATAGCAAGGAATCTGGAAATTACATTGCAGTTGTCGTTACTTGCTCTTTCAAGCTTTTTGTCATTGGAGCTATTATTATCCCAACCTTGGTATTAACAACTCGGCGATTAATCATACGGACTCAGTAACATCACCAACAAGACGCCCATTCAACCATACAAAGTGGACAGCAGGCCCAAACCTTGAAACCATCGAATGATCGGTCTAGGACTAATTTGAATATGAGACATTTAACCCCTATGAAAACCAACTCTGTCCGTCCTTCAGTGAAATCCAGCCAGTTTTCTTAGCTGAAGTTCTGTCTGCAACTAAAGACATTGGCTTTTGTTGAAGGGGGTCATGGAGGGATGACTGCTGTGTTGCTTTTGTATGGTCGAAGCCTCCTTATGTTCTAGTTCTGCTTGTGGCAATGTCATCGATGCACACTTGACAGTCCAGAAAACTACTCTGACAAGGATTGCTGTTGAAAGCCAGAGCGTACCCAAGTCCCTTCAATTGCCCAACAGTTCTACTGGCTCCAAGCGACCATTGTACGAGTTGTTTTACCAATGTGGTGGATTGAAATTTTTTCAGTTTCTAGGGGCTGAAATCTCAGTGGACAATGCTTTAGACCTATACAGGAGTTGGAAGCTTGGTATATTTAAATCGTTGGGTGAAACCAGAAAGAAGCGATTGAGAACACTCTGAAGCTCTGGACTGAGGATCGGAAGAAGCAAATAACGAGAGAATGATTAAAGTGATTAGATACAGAAGAGGAGCAGGATATTGTCGAGACGGTGGATATTTTGAGTTTAAGTCTGATAAATGCCTCTTCTAGTGACTCATCATTGGCGACAACTCTTTTAGAAAGCGTTGTATATCCAACAGTACGCGCAGTTGATGATGCTCTCTGTCAACCACTAGGACAATCATATGCGTCCTTCCCATAAAAATCAGACTGGCTCGTATCCAAATGAACCGGACCATGATAACCATGTTGCTCCATAGTTAGACAGGTAGATGTATTTTGTATATCCCATGAGTGTGGTGCATGTGCCCCACATCTTTTTCCCACTTATTTTCATACTTCCTACATGGCTGTGTTACTAAACGAATTAGACAAGGCAAAGGCTTGTTCAACGCTTCACACATTTTAGAATTATTCATACAATCAAGCTACCGTTGTAGTAATTTTTTTTCTTTTTCTTTTTTCTTTATTTAAAACCATGGCGAATTTGTCAAGGATGAAATACTGGGAAAAAAAAAAAAAAAAAAAAAAAAAAAAAGAGAGAAAGAGAGAAAGAGAAGGCCACATGCTTCTGCAAAAGAGATGTAGGGCCATGGATTTGCATAGGATATTTACACCAAATTAGGTGAAATAAATGTTTGTGTGCCACCTTGCAAAGAGTACATAGAATGAAGATGGGCGAAGTACATGATTTGGAGTGGATACAGAGAAGAGAGCTCGTGTATCTTCAAATCTTTCCAGACTTTTTTTTAGACAAAATTCCCTTCCTCCCACAACGCACGATTGATGGAGCGGGTATGTGCGTGGTTCATTTGAGGTTGGTGTAGATAATGGGAGCCCACTCCCCCTATCAATGCATTGAGAACCATGTACTGCTTACACGATTACAGATCTGTTCATCCATCTGTCCTTTTGAATAATAAAATATTTTTTATATATAAAAAAAAGGGGGAGGGCCGGACATGTCAGTATATTTGTTTTATGCTTGGTTTGACAAAAATCATAATTATCACGCGGTGGATACGATGAATCGGCTGGCAACCATTGATACATGCTTATGCTCATGAATGCCCCATAACTTTTTATGAATGAATGAATGTATGAAAATGACAATGTTGCGAAGCGCCATCGATTTATGAGGCGTAGATGCAACATGTGGAGAAAGTATGTGGAGAGTAGAGAATATGAGTGATACACATCATCATCGTTGCTTGGCAAGGACTAATTGCAACGTTTGAGATGGATAATTCATGACATGTGCAAATGCTCACACTTTTTAAGTGGAATAGCTGTTTGTTGCGTGTGCCCTTTTTGGGTTTAACAATAAACTCTAAATGTCATTCTCTCCACCTCGGCTTGCATGAAAACCAGAAAGTTGTAATGAGAGCACCCCTACCGCACTCTCTTTTGCTTCTATTCGTCCGAAGGAAACTAGTGAATATGGAAGGAAAGACACGACCCAAATAAAAATCCGCTATATAAAAGAGAGCCAGGAGAAAAAAAAACCCCACTTTACTTTCTTCACTCGCCTAAACTTTTCTTACTTTCTTTCATTTCACGCAAAATACATAAACAAAAATGACAAAACTCGCCAAAGGAGAGACTATGACCCCACCTGGTACTGGCTACATTAACTGCCTAACACCAGAGCAAAAAAAGGCTCTTAAGGAAGTATGGTCCATTATCTTCTCGATTGCAGATTCCGGTGAGGCCGCCGTTCCTGTTGAAATGGTACGTGAGGCTGAACAGGAGGCTCAAACGAGTTCAGGTTCTCAGACCGCAACTACTCAAGCAGCTGCCAAAGCTGGATGGTTCTCTGGCAACAAGGCTGCAAAAGCAGAGCAGGATGCAAAGGCTGCAGGATATGGCTCTGGCATGGCCAAAGTTACATTGGCAGATTTGGGATTGAGCGTCGATAAGCTGAGACCGATCCTGTGGGACAACGCCATGGGCGACCATCCAGGTAACAATAAAAACACATCCACGTATTCACACGCCTCTTCCTTGTGCACACAAAAATTTTAGTGATTGATATTTTGTGTTCGTATTTGGCTGATAAAATTAAAATTCATAATCTTGTATTCCAGACTCTCTTCTCCTTAGATTCATTCGTGCTCGCAAGTGGAATGTCCCAAATGCACTCAACATGCTGTTCAAGGCATTCAAGTGGCGTTTGGACGAAGATATCCCTGCAGTCAAATATTCCACAGATGTAGCACTCAATGAACAATACCCCAAGTTCTTTGAACAGCTGGAGATGGGCAAGTTCTACATCCATGGTACCGATGTTGATAATCGAATTGTCGCGTAAGTAAACAGATATTCCTCGTTTATTGTATATTTTTTATTGCTTATTGTTATTTTTTCTCTTTAAAGCCCAATTTAAAACTAAACATCAATGTAAATATATACAATATTTGTGAAAAAAAGGTACTTGAATGTCCGTCTTCATCACCCCAACGATCAACCGGCAAAGACGCTCGAGAAGCTGACAATATATGTGATGGAATGCGGTCGTGTATTGCTGGAACATCCGGTTGAAACCGTTTGTTTGGTCTTTGACTTGACAGGATTTGGGCTCTCAAACATGGATTTTAATATGGTCAAGTATCTGGTGACGATCTTTGAAGCCTACTATCCCGAATCTCTCGGTCGAATTATCATTCACGGTGCCCCATTTGTGTTCTGGGGTGTTTGGAAGGTAATCCAACCTTGGTTGGACCCTGTGGTCGCCTCCAAGGTCCGATTCACTCGTTCAGATCAAGATTTGCTGGAGTATATTCCTGCCAATCACCTCCCAGACCGTTACAAAGGTGGATTAAATCGTTTCCGATACTCTTACCCGCATGCGGTTCCTGGAGAGAATAAACTCATGGAGGATACGGCTGCAAAAGATGAGAGGGTCCGGGAATGGAAAGATACATTCTGGCGGTTTGAGGCCTTGACAAGAGAATGGATCAACGCGGGTACACCTCAAGCAGGACCAAACGCAAGATCAGAGGACGAGATTGAGAGGGAACGTGAGCAATGTGCCAAGGACTTGAGAGTAGCATTCTTCAGGATGGATCCATATATTCGTGCGAGAAACATGTTCCACAGAACAAACCCTCCAGTTGCGAATGCAGATGGAAGTGTCCAATGGATCTACAACAACTAATTATTCAATATTACATATCTATCGCCTTTTACAGTACATACATGTATTTCATAAAACAAAATCTACAGACACAAACAAACCCTTATAATCGAACGGTATGCTTGCACATGTCATCTTTATTAATGTTGCCAGCCGCACCAACAGAAGGCATATGACTACTTAGAAGAGTTCTTTTTACTCAACTCCTCTCCACAATTTATCATTATTATTACTATTTTATTATTATTTTGTGCACACAGGAAGATTCATGCCCCACGTCTTGATAAGGGCTATTAAAAAAAAATCCTGTTTTTTGTTTACTTACAAGCCAACTTTCTTGGCAAGTTCGGCTGACAGCAGTTTTTTACTTTTATATTTCATGTCCCATCCATTGGTATGATAAGGTCACATGAAGTAGAAAAAAACCTTCTGTTCTGATGATCACAAAGATAGTCAAGTAAGCGAGCTGATGTTTATGTTTTTTCAGGGCGCATCTTTGCGTTTACGATATCTTGTCCAAGGAAGATGATTCTGTTGTTCTTCGGTCCTTTCCATTGTCACTAATAGAGACCTGGAGCACTGAGATCAATAGGTGCACCGAAATTAAAGCTTCAATGACTGTCTTTACTTTCTCACGTGATGAAGGCCAACGTTCAATGTTTGATCCGATGAAAGCCTTTACATTCAACAAAAAAAACCATCACCGGAAGGTGTGAATAATAAGCTTTTCTCTCCATTCTTCATTCATTTCATTAAAAAAAATACAATTAACGTATATACCAATGTTGAGTGTCTCCCGATCCCTCAAGGTACAATTGACAACAATACGATCTCTCCGAATAAACTTCAGTTTTTCAGGGACACACGCACAAAAAAAAAAAAACTATCTTGATAACGCTTTTTATCAGATGCATTTGGGATACAGGACTGGGAGAAAATTTGATGTTTTCAATAAAGATATGCGTCACATTGCAATATGAAGGAGGAGGGAAAAAAACTCTCTATTCGTTTATAAAGCAAGGACGCGTTTTTTTTTTTTTTTTTTATCTTCAGAAACTTATCGGATCTTCAATCGCTTTTTATTTTACTCTTTTCAATTAACTTGTTGTAGTCGAAATCCTTGATCGCCCTCGGCGCTAGCATTGGGCTGTTAGCCAGTACTAGCAAGGCAGTTGTGTATGCTGAGGGCAAGGAACGTAGACAAAAGGTGAGGTTTCTAATTGTTTGTTTGTTTCAGTCAAGCAAATTGCATTTCGAGATCGAGATCTAGTTTAAACAACGTGTATATTCATTTCTTTTTTTTATTTTCAACAATAGCTTCCTATCTATGATGATCCTGAGCCTGAAATGGTTGTGAAGGAGGAGCCCACTCGTTTGGATGAAGCCATTCGTGCAGCACGCAATGAGACAGATCGCCAGCTCTTGGGTATGAAGTATCATCTTCAGATGGTCACTAATAAAGTCGTTGACATGGAGAAGGAGGCTGAGAGTAAGGTTTTTATTATTTTTATTTTTATGACAAGCTATTTGCGTCATTTTAAGGAAGGTGCGAATTAGAAAGGATGTCTAAATCTTTTTTTAACCTAGGCAACATCAAATCGGTTCTTGTCAAGGAAGAAGAAGTCATGCCTGCTGCTATCTATGTTGTTGTTGCTGGATTTGCTGGCTCAATATTTGCTAGACGCCGTATGTGATACACATCGATTTTTATTTTTATGTTTTTCCAAATGTCAAGGAACAAAACATCAAAGAGAAAAAACATTGACGCTTGAAACCATTGTCTCTCCAAAAAAAAAAAAAAAAAAAAAAAAAAAAAAAAAAACACTAATAGGCAATATTGTGCTTCGTTTCTTGAGTCCTGTTGCTTTCTCTGCCTTGGCATTTGGATACTTCTTTCCCGCATCTTCTAATCGTCTTATTGCCCGTGCAAGTCAATCTGATTTTTCAAAGTATATGCCCGTAGAGGTTCAGAAGCAGTTCCGTGAACTTTCGGGACAGATTAGCAATGCGAATACAGACATCAGCAGTGGAAGCAGCAAATTGATGCATGACACAGAGCAGAAAGTGAGCAAGGCTGTGGAAGAAGTTCGCAAGTTGGTGGAGAAGGATGATGAATCTGTGGTGGACAAGGTCCAAGATGCGATCCAGGACACCATTGCAGTTGCTAAAGAGACTGTTGAAGACGTGAAGGAAAAGGTAGCAGAAGTAAAGAAGGCATTTGTGGAGGAGATGGAGAGCCGAAAGGACATGGCTGAGAAGGCTAAAGAACAAAATGATATTGAGGAGAGAATGGCCAAGATTCGTGCTGAGGATTCAATGAAGCGAGTGTAAAAAAAAAAAAAAAAAAAAAAAAAAAGATGATGAGAAGCAAAAGTTCATAGGAAAATATAATTAGATAAACAAGACACAGTATGAGAGGGATATATGGTGCCTAGGCATGAATTAAGAAGAAAAAGAGTGCGGATGAAAATAATTGTTGATTATAAAAAAAGCATACTGTTACAGTCGCGTTAATACAAATGGAACATAGATTTTTAGTTGCTGCGCAACTCACCATTCATCATCATCTCTTGAGGCGATAGAAACTGGTGGAAATGCTGGAACTGATAGGAGGATGAATTGTTCCAGCTTTTTACTTGCGTCCTCGATTCTCTTAGAGAACGACCCTTATGTCTCCTCTGTCTCTTGCTCTTTTTATTGTTACTATTATTACAATAAAGACGTTTCTATAAACGACAACCGATCAAAAGACTTGGCTCTTCAGTTATATGTCTAGTTTTATGGAAGAGACAGTGGAATCACCCATTTAGGACGTAAAGATATTCTAAACACAGTGGCAAGAGGGGCAAATGTGGCTTAAAAGAGTCCACAACCCTTTCCATCGTTTGTATTTGAACCCATTCTTCGTTTCTTCCCTTTGTTGTTTGCTCAGCTCCCTCTCTCCCTCTCTCCCTCTCTCTCACACTCTGTATCCCCTTCTTTCTCTCTCTCTCTTTTAACTTAGTCTTTTGTAAGTAAGGTTTTGCGGTTCCTTCGCACACATGCCTAAACACCCTGTCAATAGCGAGATATCCCTTTAGTTTTAGCGGATTTAACAAGTTCTTTTGGGTTTTTGATTTACCGCCTGAAGAGTGGCCGCGACAGTGACGGCCTTGTTAGAGGCTTTCCATGGGTGTATGCCACGTAGCTCATCTTTTGGTTCTAAATATCTCAATAGAGCTTGCCGTACAATTAGATGCATTTATAGTTTTGCTTTAACTTTCTGACTTCACTTATGGTCCCCGACAATGTGATGAGAACCCCCTACCCAGTATTTAATGGCAATACGGATGATTATAAAGGGGGTCGCCCCCTTTCAACATCCACATGGACAGTTACTTTTCCAATGCATCCCTCTTCAAACACCTTTGCGCCCTCACTATAGGAAGCCTATGATATAGTTCGCACCAATTTGCCCCAGGTTGCAGTATTTCCTATACAAGAACACTGAGCCTAGTGGCCAATCGGCTCGACGGCCACCCATACCTCAACTATATCAGTTCATGATTGATTGTGTCCCTGGAAAGGAGCATCACGTCGTGGATACTTTATCTCAATACCTTCTTCCATTAGTGTTTCTCTATAATAGATTTATCCACCATACATGAGATACATTTGGCTTTATCGATTCGGAAACAGAAAAATGCTTAACGAGGGACATAACCAACGGCCCGACTCCTTCGAGTAACTCTACAAAAGCCCAAGAGTGGTGATTGCTCTCCCAGGAGAAGAGGCTGAGGTAATTGTCACGTCGCCAGCGGGCACATCCGGTCTTTAATGACAGCACGGGTGATCGTTAGAGGGATGATCATTCCTGATTCATCAGCGCTCATATTCTCTTGGCGAATGGTCGCCTATACTCCACTTCTTGCTAACTTTAGATAAAACGTAACCCATTCCAATATATGAAGAATATGAAGAATGAGTTTATATTAAGTCTCGCAACCTAAATGAAGTCATCCCAAAAAGGTCAATGTCGTGATTGTCGTCTTGAAGTCATAAACTTTAATTTAATTTTTGAGAAACGCGTATATAAAAATTAGATCTTTAAAAAAAAAAAAAAAAAAAAAAAAAAAAAAAAAATCTGAACTTTCAAGTTCATGTATACTTTTTAGAATATAATCTCATAATGGTATGTATATATTTTATTTGTTTATAAAAATAAAAGAAGAAGAAAAGAAAAAAGGAATACAATGGTAAAAGTGAAAAAAAAAAAAAAAGCATTTACTCAGGGGGGTTTTTCGTTCGTTAAGAGTAATAAAGTTTCTGTACATTAAAAAGCTTCCCTTTTTTTTTTTTTTTTTTTTTTCTTTGATCTTTTAAAAGGAAATGACGTTATACATTATATAGTTCTGAAATGAAAAAGCCGGCAAGGAGGGGAAATAAAATAAAATAAAAAATAAAAAAAGGATATCTTATGGACTGGGCCCCATGGTTCATTCTTCGCACAATTTTTTTTTTCTTTTTTCTTTTTTTTTTCACAAGTTTCTGCGCCGACCCCAGACTGAAGTTATTCGCCTTGCAACTTCTTCCTCTGAAAAGGGTTTCGGATATCGTTGACGAGGGGCAGGCCCCTTGCCACGATGTTCAGCCAAGGGCATGAAAGATGCTTGAGGTCGGTAATGCCCTTGTCCTTCTATCATTCGACAGGAATATGATTGTGGGAACCAGTTGAAGGTCACATATCTTGTAAAGCGCTCGCGTATAGACTAAACAATAACAATTATTGATAAGTTAGTAATAGTTAAAAAAAGAAAAAACCATATTAGTTTTTTTTTTTTTTTTTTTTTTTTTTTACCTGGCCACAAAAGAGTTTAGTAACCGCTCTACTAAAGGCTGCTTGTGATTTAACATATGGGTATCGTTGTGCATAATAATCTTTGAAGGCATAGGTGATGCTCCTCAAACTTAAATCTCTGAGCTCAAAGAGTGAGTTGGCCAAAATCACGGCATCAAGGATTTCATTAGTTTCTCCTATTCCAACATAACATTTAAAAAAAAAAAAAAAAAAAAAAAAAATTAGAGGCGTATAATAGTCTTCACATCCTAGGCTAGCACAAGCATAAGCTTGCCGTAGGAAATAACAGAATAACAGTACTCTACCTTGTGCTGACCATGGATGCATCTTTTTTTTTTTTTTTTTTTTTTTTTTTTTTTTAAAAAAAAATAAATAATAAAAATAAATAGTAACAATAATGGATGATTAGCCTCAGATGGAGTAATGAACAATAAGTGATGATGAAAAAGAGTTTTCTGTCATGGATACGTACAGTATGACAGGCTATGGTTAAAGAGGGGAAGGTAATAAAGGCAGTAAAAGAAGCAATAGTCAGCCAGTTATATTCAGTTTAGCAGATTTAGCGGAGCGAAAATAATAATAATAATAATAATAATAATACTCACCATCGCCTAAGAGGACTGTCCGCCCATGGAACCAAGTTTCGTATACTTTCTCTTCAACGAAGGCCCTTGCCTTCATATTATCTTCTGTAGCATCGACCAATTCACCCATGGTTCCGCCGAAGGGACAGGGCACCTCCCGGAAGCATTTCACTACTGGTTCCGTATTCTGAAATCCGAACTCTGATGCTTCTGTGACCTTTGCATTTGCAGCTGTAGCCGGGTCGAGTTCAATCCATAGTGCCCAACAGATTTGGTCATCTGGGATGTTGACCGCATGCCACTATCTCAATGATCGACAGGATCGAGGTGAGAAAGAGGTTCAGAAAGACATTGTTGTTGAGGTTAGTAGGCGGGTAAATTTGTGTAATGACAAATGAAAAATAAGTAAATATATACATGTTTTTTTTTTTTTTTTTTTTTAACTTACGCCTTGTCCCTTGGCGCCTACGACTGTCCGTACATGAACGTATGGATCCTTCAGGCAGTTATATTTCTCTGAGGATAGATGTTGAGCCACTCCTGCAACACAAACAAAATTAGGAGGCGCCTTCTCTCGATCTGCTTTTGGAAGCAGGTTTTTCCGGGTCAAAATTTTATACATATTGTGCCGGATCCGACTCTGGGTGCCGTCGGCCCCAACGAGGATATCACCACAATAAATCGAGTTGTCTGAACAACAGACAGTAACGCCAAACTCATTTTCCTCGTATGACAAAACTTTTTTGTTCATGATGATATTGTCTTTGCTCAGTTGTGCAAGTATAAGTTCATAAAGGTTTGACCTTGCACAAACCAGTTTTTCATAGCCAGTGCTAATTTTTTTTTTTTTTTTTTTTTTTTAAATAAAAAAGGAAAAATGCAGATGTTTAACAAAAAAATGCTATAAATCGCACTGTAGCGCGTAACATGTTGTATATTCTGCACATCAATCATTAGCAGCATAATCCACGCGTGTATGTTGTATATCTTGTTCGTTTGAACTTTGAAAGGTATGCAATGAAGAGGAGGGGAGAGAAGGGAATGGGGAGAATGGAGGAAAAAAGGATTGGAACGTGCTATTTGTGTGTGAATTAAGGTGAGGACACGAGAGAGAGCATCTGCATGGTGTTTGTGAGGGGGGCGAGGGAGGGGAAGCTTGCAGTTTTCGGTGGATTCATTTATTTTTTTTTTTTATTTTTATTTTATTCATTTTATCTTATTTTACTTTACTTACGTTTCTGTCAATGCATTCATAGGAAGAACGCCAAGTTTTTTTAGGTTCTGGTCATAAAGATCCACGGCTGGACAGGGCATAGAGATACTAGCTACTAAGCTGGCTACGCCCAATTGCTCAAATAGAGGAAGAATGTTTGGTCCCAATCCAAGTGCGCCTCCTAATAAAGAAGCAAGAAGCAAGAAGACAGAAGCATAGTCAGAGAGGAGTATTGAGGATTGATTAAGTGAGCAAAATGGAAGCGCATTGAGGGATAGGATTCGTAATGATAGAAAGTGAAGGAAGAGGGGGAGGGGAGAAGGTTGTGAATTGCTCAATTGGGAACGAGTGAGCATTGGGTGGATGTAACGTTTATAAATTTATTCATAAAGCTGTTTGAACTTGTGTGAACTGCTGTTGATTACTGTGCGCTTTGTATGTCATTGCGGTTGTTGCTTACCCAGACGCTTGACCTGTAGCCCTCCTTCAAACAGATAGTATGGAATCGAAAGTCGTTCTAGAAGGAGGGCAAGGAAGAGAGCGCCAAAGCCTCCACCTGCGATGAGGATACGGGATTCTCTACTGGAGGGAGGTGGCATGCTGCGGTGAAGAGAGCGATCCAGCTTCTCTGTATATTCTGAAGGAAGGGATGAGCGACAGGAATTCAGGCGATTGACAGATGAAGCAACCATGAGGATGAATAGACGATGAATGAAAGTGGAATGAGTGAGAGTAAAGGAAAGAGGGAATGAGAGTTTGGAAATGAATGGGTATATCTGACGAACAAAGCTGGGTTAATTAAGCATAGTACAACTGGTGGTGAGGGATTGAGTAACGAGAAAGAATGAGAAAGAATGAGAATGAACAATGCAAAGTGCGAAATGAGAAAGAAAGAAGAAGAGAGTGTGTTGACACGCGCCTTTGAGGACTCGTCGTTATCTTTTTCCCCTCCCTCTTCTCCTTTTTTCTTTCCTCGATTGAGCCTTTATTGACTATTGTCGCTTGACGTTGTCGATGTTCTTGTCGTTTTTTTTCTGACGATGGTCGTCTATTGTTCGTGTTGTTCATCTTTTGACTTTTTTAATTTTTCTTTCAGGAACAAGAACAATTTAAAGTTCAATTGAAAGAAACTTGTTCTCCTTATTGAATGTTTTTGTATTTTGTATGTCATTTTTATAATATATTCATGACATTGTTAATCAATAACACAAATTATATAATATCCATACTGAACCATGCCATGCAACCAGAACAGCAGCGGAAAGAAGAAAACAATAACAATAAAAAAAAAACAAAAACAAAAGACAACTCTCATTGCTATTGAACATATCAATGATCGATACCCCATTTTCCGCTTCTATAACCCACACTCGCCTCCAATCTTTGCTTCTACTTTGTGCTCCTTTCTTTCATCCTTCTCTATCTCGACAAGTCCTGAAGTTTAGGGCTGACAATATTTAATACATAATATATATTAAATATTATTATAATATCAAATCGGTGTCTTACAATCAACAAACTAATAAACCAACAAAAACAATATAAGCCTATAAACCTAGGAAAGCGTGTGCGTATGTGCTTATGTGCTTATGTGCTTACAGTGTGTGCTTTTGTCTGAAAGGAATTGGAGCAATTGGAACAAATTTGATGGGAAGTGAACATAAACTAAAAGATTATTCATTTGAACATGTATACAAATCGTGAATGAACAAAGACAAGACATGTTTATCGTTATTGTTGTGTAATATCGGATACATGAGGGCTCTTTGTCTTCTTTTTTCTTCCCACCTCATATGATATGAGAGAAAACTGTTGGTTCTTTCCATCAACACAGACATGCTCATCTTTTTTGTGATTTTTGGGCTGATAATATTGAACAAATCCATCTTTTTTGTGTTTGTGTTCACCATGTGCGCGAACTCTTGTTTTTAAAGACCATACACTTTAAACACACACAAACACTACACAATAGCACATTTACAATGATTATGATAGTGATTCTGATGGTGATGGTGCTATTGAGCAAGCATGTTTCTTTTGGAGAGCACACGACTGTATGTATGCATGTATATATGATGATATGAACATCTGGTTGGTTAATAAATGATTTCATGTTGCCCATGTTGTTTTATTGTACACCCGTCATATTAATTTTGTACTTTTTGCCAACTAGTCCTTGTCCCGGATCATCTCATTTTCCCCAAAAGAAAAAAAAAAAAAAAAAAAAAAAACTATGGTGACATGGATCAATCATAATCATGTTTCTTAATGTCGCAAGAAAAAGAACAAGAAACAAGGTAGCCGTTGCTTTATAAAATTGTAAAGTTGATTACAAGCATGCATGGATGAAGTTTAAAAGATCAAACGCACTCGTTGTCTTGTGCATGTAATAATTTAAAGACTTGCTGAGAGACAAAGAATCCATGATCCGCCATCCAAGGTCATGCACATGTCTAAAACAAACCGAGTTTTCGTTTGAAAGGGAACCGGTGCGTTCATTACTCAATGTTCAACGCTCAATGGCCAATGCCCGATGCCCAATGGGAGGAGGACCTTTGTTGATTTAGCAGCTGAAAACCAATATCGTGTGGAGAAAAAGAACAAAAACTGACGGATATCATTTTCTTAATCAAGAAAGCAGGGGGGAAACATTTGCATGCACGTAAATCAATGGAGTTAAACATCTTTAATGGAGCATTTTACGACTATCTATTTATTATGTATTATATACATTCATTCACGCTTGAGACATGTTTCCTTTTGTTCTTGATGTGAAAGACGGTCGTAAGCGTGCACGGGCTCCAAATAATGTTGTTGAGAACAACTTGGAAAAAAAAAAAAAAAAAAAAAGTGGAGCAGAGAAGAGACATGCTGTGCAAAGAAAATATTAAAAAGTGGATACATGCATCTTTCTGTTTGTTCGAGTCGCGATTACAAACTACTGTTGCAACCAGTATATTCATATTCAGTATTTCCTCTCTCCATTATCTACAATGTCTTATCACAACTTGACAAAGAGAACAAACATTCAGCAAAAAAAACAACAACAATAAATGTATTGAAATATTGAAATAAAATAAAATAATATATATATAGTTCCTTGGAATGATGGGAACGTATTATTGGCGACCAACCTGGGACTTTATAATGAGACCCAGCTCCCATGTTATGCACCTCATCACAATATGCTCACCATTTATCATTAAAGGAATATGAAGGTTATTATGGTATTGTCGTACCATCTATCGTCTATCGATAGTGAATGAAATAAAAATTATCTGGCTCTTATCACTCTTCCTGTTCTCGTTTTTCCTCCATTACCCATGTTATTTTCCTTTTATTCCCAGATATTCCTTGATCATGATCATGATCATGATCTTCCTAAAGATAAAATTAGGCTGTAAAATAAATATACGTTTATTTGTATATAAATATATTGATATGTAAATATTTGTGTTGTCCCGTGCTTTGCTCGTGCACGGTTTTTTTCTTCATATGCTCACAAGGAATAACCATGTCGTTTCGAAATATACAATCTTGAGTGTATACAATAAAGTACTCTAAAGTCCTGGGGCACCTTCACGACTGCTCCAGCCAAGCAAATGTGAGCCACCATCCGATTACTGGTAATGAAATTTGTCTCATTTCCTTAACATTCGATAACCATAAATCCTAACATGGGACAATCGAACAATCACATCCAAATGTCTAGTTCTTTATATCCGACCTGGGGATTATCCATCTGCTCACAATAAAGGGAAAGAAAAAAACAGTTATTATAGACAAATACATCTGTGTTACAGCATAAAGAACGCCAGGCAGTATGGCACCTCTTCAGGTTTCAAATTGACCATACACTGCTTTGGGATTATTAAAGTGTATCACCATTCGTTTAATTGTTTATGTCAATTCCTTCCTTTTTTTTTTTTTTTTTTTTTTTTTTTTTTGATCTGATGAAAGCATTCTTACCGGATTGTTTTTATTTTCAGATTTCCCAACAGTAAAAACAACAATGACATTCAAGATTCCTTTAGCAACAACAAAAAGAAATCGATAATGTCCAAAGCTTTTTTGTTTTTTGTTTTGCTTGTGCGTCTAAACGAGCCCATTGACGACAAAAAAATATTGGATTAATAAAAATGAAAAGAATGATATGATTTAATAACTTCTGGGCCATTCGGATCGTATTTTACTAATGAGAGATGTAGAAAGTTGGCAACAGTGGCGTGACACTGTGTGCGGTTCCTTTTTTTTTTTTTTTTGTTATTATATAAATATATCGTTGTGGTTGTGTATTTGTCAACTGTATTAGACCATACCTCCAATCGGTTTTGCTGTTGCTGTTGTTGTTGTTGTTGTTGTTGTTGTTGTTCTCATGAGCCCGTCTACATATTTCACATATTTCATATTCGTATTCCTTCCGATCTCCCACTTGTTTCTCTCTCTCCAACCTTATGTGCGCTCCCCTATTATTATTTTTTTTTTCTTTTCGCGTCTTGACATGCTAGTGTGCTAGTGGAGTTCAATGGACGACATGTGTAATCCTTGAGCTAAAAAGTTGCATGTGCCTGTTCCATGTCAACAGAAGTGATAATTTAGACTTTTTGACAGGATGCATGGAACAGGTTTTTTTTCTTTTACAAACTCATCCATGTCAACACCAATATCACATTTTGCGCCGACTATCTGAAACCCCTGCTCAACTTCACTAGCTTCTGCCGTTATGCCGACGTCGTCAAAGAAACAGAACGTTGCATTTATTATTATTAAAGAAAAGAGAGAGAGCATTTGCGAGAGATCTTTTTTTTTTTTATACTCGTGTCTATTAAGAAAACGCGTTCAGGCTCTAATGGCTATGGAGTTCGCGTGGAGTGATGATTCAGACAAATGAAATGAACATGACGGTGGGATTTGCGCCGATCTAAAGTATACGCCAAAGTATCGGCCATAGAGTAGCATTAATGTTGATGAATACATGAAAGCCAATCATGATACATTGGACAGAGACACAAACATATCCGAGACAGAACATAGTACAAGGAATAGCACTAAGAGAGCAAAGTGAGACGGGACCGCATATAATGTGAATAAAGGCAATACCGGCTCCAAGCTCAGATCAACTGGAGGAAGAGGAAGAGAAGTGATGGGAGAGAGTGATGGATCTGACTATGTGCAAGTCATGGAATGAATATCAAAAAGAATGTTTGTGAATTGAGTTATCGCTCAAGAAATGGGGCGTACCACCGCTTCGTTGCACATGATCGATCCGAGCACCCAATAAACATGTCAGCGACAATGGGTGTCAATGTAATCAACCATGAAGGACAATCATCAACATGCCAGTAACAGCAGCATCAACAGTGGCTCGAGCAGCCAGACTAAGGATACCAACCAAGGTTTCACCAAAATCCATCCGCTTGTCATTCCAGAGATCCTGCTGAAAACCATGACCTTCTTGGACAGACCATCACTCACTGAATGTAGAGAGGTTTCACGTGCCTGGAGGCTCTATGCCACATCTATAATTCAACAGATCCACAGTCTGTATCGAGGACCTTTGTACTCCTACGCCTGACTCTCAAAATGCTGGTAGTCGCAATAATGTCGATGGGGACGAAGAGAACAAAGGAAATCATAGCAACTCTGAAAAGCTACAAGAGTTTTCCCGTATCTGTCCCAAAGTATGGGTTCTTGAGGTAGATATGGGCTGTAATCGCCTGCTCGACCTTGGTATGTGGAAAAGACATGAGGATCAGTTCATCTTTAATCGACTAGTCCGCCTCAGCTTTTGCCTCTGCCTTGACCTACCCGACAGACTTTTCAATCTTTTACCCTCGATTGTATCCAAGGCCCAGTGGCTCAGTGAATTGGAAGTGATAGCAAAGTTTTCTTGCCATCCTTATCGCAGGAATATAAAAATTATATCAATGCTGAAGCCTATAATTGCTGGTAGAAGACCTTGCTCTGGCACAGAATTATTTAAAGAAATGCGAAGGCCCCTGAAGTGGTTTTTCACTTTTAAAGATGAATTTCGTCAGGACATCTATCTTTTAATGATTTTTCGAATGCTTTTGAAGACTGCGGAAGATTCACTGCCGGAGTCGAGCAACAACCTCATGAATAGCAGCGATAAAGCCTACAATATCAGCAGCATAGGTAGCTACAATGCCCTGGAGGAACTGAAAGTCGTCAGCACAAGGAAGTCTGAACCCAACAACTATCCAGAGCTAGATTTCAAGCTTGAATACCGCGATCTTACGAGTGCTAAATTAGCTACGGTTACACTGCGGTCACTCATCATCATCAACTTTGAGACCCGTACCCTGTACACTATCCGCGCTAATGATACCTACGACTTGGATTTCCCCGATGCATTACCAAAACCCAACAGTTCGATTCTCAGCATTCTGGGTCGATGTCCTTTACTAGAAAACCTATGTATATCATTCGACCTTAGTTGTCTTGATGACAGAACACGTGAGGACGGCATCCAAGAGACTCTCCTAGACCTATTCAATCTAGATCACATTGATGAATGGGTTTGTACTTATCGTAATTTCGTCACAAAGATGTACGAATACTGTCCTAGGCTAAGGTCAATTGATTTCGCACTCAAGTATCTATGATCTGTCATCTGAACACTGGATCGAAATGATGGATCGATATGGGCCTCAGTTGGGATCGCTTAATGTGTGTGATATCCGCAATTTCACAGCTAGATCGCTCTTGACCTTGATAGGTCCACCCATCAATCATCCTATCCGAATGGCATCGACCGAAAACTGGCACGGTCTGACATCGCTGAATGTCAATGGCAATCATCAGCTGAAAAAGGGCGCCTTCATGATCTTCAGACACTTGAGGGCACTCAAAGCTCTGCATGCTCGAGAAATCTTCCTAGATGGATCTTTTCTGATTGGATTTGATTGGGTATTCAAGGATATAGAGATACTCGAGATCCATGTGGCATTCCAAAACAGCATGAAGAGCCTGACCACGGTTGTCAAAACTACAACTGGAGTGATGATGAAGGTTGTTGGTATCAATGTGAGGATACCTCGCATAATCATTTTCCAGAATTTCAGGAGAGTTATAGACCAAGGTGGCGGTCTTGCAGTGGCATTTATGTAGGTGATTATATGAGGAGTGCTGTTCATGGGGAAGAAGAAGAAAGTAACGAAGGATCGAATGCCGATTTCGGCTTGAGCAATCAGGGCTTAGGAGACTATCAAAGATATGTTCAGATCAAGGTTTGTGAGCAACTCGGTCGTTTAACTAAGCTCAAGTGGTTGTCATTGGAAGGAGTAGATGGGCACTTTGGCTGCCTGGAGCTGACACTGGAGACGGGTTTGGATCGGCTAAAGCCTCTGCAAGAGAACTTGGAAAGACTTTATTTGTATCGACTTGACGAGAAGCTTTGTTTAGGCAAAAGGGAAGTTGAGTGGATTGCACAGAATTGGGTCCATCACAAGAACTAAAAGTGGCTACGAGCACATGCTCCTGTATTGCTTGCACCAGAAGAGAGGGTTCCACCACAAGACGAAGGACGAGATTATTTTTTCCCATGTCGAAAGTTGCAGCTACTCGCGGGTATCACGGTCCAACATCCTAATGATCCATCTGAGGCTTCTACGCTTTCGAATTTCAGATGGCTATGTGAAGAATGTCCAAGGCTCGAGATTAGAGCAGATTTAGAGCGTACATAGCATTGTGCATATAGAGTCAGATGAGGAAGTAATTAAAAAAAAAAAAATGTTCCTTCTTCGCTCATAAACATTTGGTACATGTGTCTGAATCTATTGCTTTTTATTTGGGTTATATCTATTGCAGATTATGTATTCTAATTCTCCTTATTCTTTCGAAAGTATTCGTCCCTATCCAAAACGCACTTCTCTAACCGAGGCATTCCTTGAATTAAATCACACAACTGATCTTGAAACCTAGACCATCCATATCCGTTTTTGCCTTCAAACGGATCATATGGTTTGCATAAGAATCTTGGTCTAAATTGCTTCACCGCCACCAATCCTATTCCGTGAAGTTCCAATTCCTTGAGAACAGGACTGCAGGCCCAAAAAACACCAGACTTAATAGCTGTAGAGGAGATGTATGGCGATGATGGCGAAGACGCAGGAGGAGGGGTAAAAGAAGCAGAACAAAATGAAGCAAAGGAAGAAAATAACCTTGAGAAAGGAAATGAGGAGACTATTGGTAACATGGCTTGAACAAGGATTGATACTGGAGCTTGTAATAACGTGCTCATGGGCTTCGCTTTACTGATATGGGATTGGCACCTATCCCCCATCTTTGATGGCCAGAACAATGAGAGTGCTCTCTCCTCTGAGATCTCTGGAAGTTCAAAACGGATATTCAGTTTCTCTAGATGCCCGCATCCACGCAAGAGCCGTTTTAGCTGGTACATATCTCGGCTTGGTCGCAGCTCATTGTATGCTCCCTGCTCAACTTCTTCTTCTTCTTCGCCCTCTTCATTGCTGTCAGCTTCAACACCATCAAAGTTTCCGTTTTTACTATTGCCGTTATTGTTGTCAGAGTTTTTTCTTGAGACAAGTTGGCGATGACGGGGAATGTAATCCGTAGTACGATAAACAGTCTCCCCCATAACGTCAAGGCTTAGCGACATCAATGTCGAGGCGTTATCCAGCACTGCGTCCACGAATTCTGCGCTCAGTACTTGCATCTGTAGTGACAACTCTTTCAGACCCACTCGCACTCGAGGTCCTTGAGGTGGCTTCGTGTAGGCCATGGAGGAAGCAGAAATAGGAATAGCTGATGGATTAGCCATGGTGGCTATGGGTCCTGGTGCTGCCGCCCGAATGAGCCCCGGATAGGCTCCTTCTTGTAGCACTGCACGCCCACCCTGTAAGCTCATTGTGGGCGCATTGATAGTCAAGGACTCAAGCTGCGTACAACAACCAGTCTCAAGGTTTTTGATGAGGCGCGTAACTTGGGCGTCCAGCTCCTCTCTACAGCCAGGGAACAGCCCATTCAGGGACTCTAATGTCAAAGACTGTAGCGCTGGCGTTGCTAGTACGAGATCAACGATGTTGCAGGATTTGACTCGGCCGAGAGCAATGGTAAGATGAGTCAGATGAGGGAGGCAGGATGGCTCCCTTCTTATTTTTGATAACCTTGGACGCTGACATGAAGAAATGTTATCAGTCTTAGTGCTATTCTGATAACATTGTTCACGGAGGAACGTGCTTGTCGGTGAATATGAGCCATTACTGTTGTTGTCATCATTACTATCGTCATTATCCTTGCTGTTGTCCCCTATTTCATAGTCTCCTGTGTTTGTTATTTCCAAGTCATCAATGTCTATACCTGACAGTGCGATAGAGAGCGTCTGCAGGCCAAGGTTGTTTCGCAGGATGGTCAGGATCTCATCACTGCTAAGAGGAGTGTTGATCAGCTTTAGTTCCGTTAGATTCGTCAGCACCATCAGCTCTGCTCCCATCTGGGTCTGGCTTCCTGTCTCATGCGTGTGGAATAAATGACCTAATTCCTTGGCTATAAATTTCCATCTCATAAGGTCATCACCCAATGGACCAGTGCTGATATCATTGTGGTCATTGATATCATCAATATCCATGCCAGTGTCGTGAGCTAAAGACGGAAGCATACCGTGGACAACAGTGTCTATTATAACCATCTGTGTATGATCCTTGGCTGTCCAGTAGAGCTGCCTTATCCCACTCCCTCCTGCTGCTGCTGCTGGCCCGAAGTGTCCAGAGGAACGATTCTGTCTTAATATCCGGGCACCGAATGTATCATGCCAATCACGAATGGCTAGTACTTTGATATGTGTGGCATTCATGAATTGATGTGGATGACGGTATAATAGCCTCGATACTTCCTCTCCTCCTTTTACTTTTTTGGTATCTGGGAGCCAGCGTTGGACCTGTTGGTTTCGGTCTAGATGAGATGGTTGTAAAGAGTTGCTCCTCGTTGTGCTACTGCTTTTGTCTACTGGTATTTCTTCTGCTCCTTCACCAGAAATAAGTGAAGACGGTAGGAAAAGTAACGGTTCAGGCGAGTCACTTTCACGAAAAGGTCGAAGCCCATGCCCATGAGAAGTGGAAAAGACCCGGATATGGTGCGCATATTTCTGGATGAGTGACACAGTGGCATACTGGTATGGTTGTATTGTCGCGTCCGAGCCATCCATCTCTGGCTGATAGCTGTCATCACTACTGCTGTGAATGTCATAGGCACCATTACCGTCTTTAGTTAGACGACTCTTGTTGTTGTTACTGTTGTTACTGTTGTTATTCATATGTTCAATCCTCTGATGAGTATTATAGCTAGCCGTGCCTGGCATCCACTGTTTCTCCCTCAATAAAGAGATAACTGATGGATTATTCCGTTGTTCATCCGTAAGCCTGATCGCCCTTACAGTACCCAAGTGTTCCATAGCCCCCTCCCGGTAATGAGACCACAACACGGGAATAAAACAAGCATGCCAAAGTCTTGAAACCTCCGTACAGGCAATTAGATCCTTGGGGCGGAAGCGTGGAGTCCGACGTTGGTGCCGTCCTTCTGGCCATACATTGGGTTTATTCCATGGATGTAGATAGTATCCGATCCTGGCAAGAATCTCTGGGATTTCAAGTGGATTTTGCTTCATTGCTGTTGCCTTTGTATTTGAGTCTGCACTTATCGGTTTATCTTTTATTGGCATAAAAAGGAATAAAAAATAAACATGAAAATAAAAATAGAGAAGAGTGGCGCGTGGCGAGAGTGGAAGAGAAGTAGGGGGAAAAAAGAATGCTGTTGTATTTCTCTATGCAAAGGTAATGGGTAATGCATGAAGAAAAGAAAGAAGAGTGTTAGTCAGTGACAAAATTACAGAATAAACCAAATTAGTTAGGGGTATTGAGCCTTCATATACGCCCACCCAGCCCAAAGAGACCAACAATCCTCGAGTCATAAAATAACGATGCTACAGAAACTTTGTTCTTTGAGCCTGCTACTCGTGTAACAACGCCATTCCATTTTACTTAAAGTATATTTTAATTTCATAATTGATATGATATTTCATCTTGATTAGAATAAATGAATATTTATATATTACATTTGGACAAGTTTATGTGATTCCAAGCCCAAGCTCTTCTGCTTCAATATCCATAAATTACAGTGCTCTTTTTTTGTTTTTTTTTTGTTTTACACCCTGAATCAAGTCGGTTCTGTATCCAGTTTCACATGAATGATTACAGCACTTTACGCAAATGTGCTTTCTTTTCTTTCCCGCTCGGTCTGTCATGTCGCTCTGTCGTCCTTATCTATTATATATTGCTGTCGCCATTGCTGCCACTATAACCTACGCTATTACTATGGCCTTTGATCTCCTTCCTTGGAAAAGGTTTTCTATCCTAATCAACCGTATCTGGTTGGCTGAACGTGCTAGAAAAGTATAAAAAATATAAAATTCACGAATAAGAAAGCAAGCCGAAGCGCGATGGATAAGTGTAATGAAACAAACAAACAAAAAACGTTTTGAATATGCTTCTTCTTTCACATCACCTTTCTAATGGCACAGCAATGCTCATGTGGTCTATGTTGTAGAAAGCCCTTACTGGCTCTGCATGCTTCCCTAGATTCAAAAAACTTTTTTCCGATCTGTGTTTGAGATCAAACCTTTTTCTTGGACCTTGTTTATCTTGTTTTTTATTCTCTTTGGAACTTTGTAGCTTGCATGATTAAAATAAAAAGAGGAGGTTTGGTATTTACGCAAAATTTTATTATTGAACAATCGATTATGCTTCGGGAATAGGGGCTTGCCCACTTAGTAATCCGTTTCTCGGGATACAATACCACCCCGTCCCTAAATTCACCCAGATAAGACATGGTAGGTCCCCGAGATAGTTTGAAAGCAAACGTTGAAATTCCAATTGTTCCTCTGATAACTCCTTAAATGCTTCCTGTAGTTGTTGTTCCTGCTTCAGTTTCATTGCCATTCGTTTTTGTAAAAATATATACTCAGCTGTCGCAGGCGTCCCCATTGTCGTTGACTCGACTAGCCCAGTTCCTTCTACAGCTGTTGCGGAAGTAGTATTAGTGGCTGTTATACTAGCAGTAATAGTAGAAGGAGAGGAGGAGGAAGATACAGATTCGCTCATGATTTTTGCTCCTTCATTGGCTGCTTTTTCTAGTGATCCAGATCCAGCCCTAGATTCTGACTCGGTATCATTCAAAATAATGTCAGCAGTACCGTTTTGGATTGCCGCCTTAGCTGACAGGACTGCCATTCTAGCTTGGCTCATCAACCATCGACCCTTAAAATCCGTCTCTCTGACTGCATTCAGGTCTCGCATGACCTTTTCAATCAAGACTGGAGACATCTTGAAGATACTCAATCTCAAGACCCTCAGGCCTTTACAAACCCAACCTCTTCCTGGCCCTGAAATTGATTCTTTGACATCTTCCATTGTTGTATTTGAATGCCCCGTTCGAAGCTGTCGTAGTCGAGGGCAGGTCTCCAAGAATTTTAGGGGCATAAACGTCCGCTCTGCATAATCCGACAAGTTGGCTTCTTCTAGTGTGGAAGCATGGCATAAGATGGATAAGACTGTGGCAATATCACTGGACCCCCTAAAGACTGTCAACGATGGAAGAACATCTAAGATCGGAGGTAACATCGAGCATTCAAACCCTAATGGCCAGAGTTGTGAGAGTCGAGGGCAGTGTTGTTGAATGGATTGACAGAAATCAGACAAAACCTCATGAGGAACAGGTCGGTCGAATCGATAGAATTCAAGTGTACGGAGGTTGGGTAATAGGTCCAAGATTGGGTATAGTTGGGCACACATCCTAAAGGTTCGAATACTGTGATGTTGAAAAGATGGTACTATGGCTGATTGCTTCGAGTTTAGTTCTGTAGGAGCTGCGGTGGAGGAAGAAGATGATGGAGACGATGATAATAACGTTGGTGATGATGCCGACGGCGACGTCGAGCTATTGTCGACATGAATAATATGTATTCCAGCTAAGGATAACAGATGTAGAGCTGGGCAAGCCATCAGGATTTGAACTAGCTCTTGTTTCGTCATGGACCAGTTCTCCAGATATAACGATTGTAAGCTTGGCATGCCACCTATACTTAGGCTAGGGAATTCAAACAGTGGTTCTCCCATCCATGTCGTTTTTCCCATCGAGGAAGCTCTTATGGCCATTGCAGTTAATGCGGTAGCTGATGCTGTTGTTGATGATGACATGGTTGTATTTGTATTTGTATTTGTATTCGTAGTTGTAGAAGCTGCTGGTAAAGATGGGATCCCTGCTAGAGAAGACGAAGGCACAAACACTAATGCTGCTCCAGTTGACGCACATCCTCTTATCGGCATCCGGCCTTTATCTATTCTAAAAGTCAACCGAAGTTCTCTCAATGTATATCTGTTCCTCTGTAACATTCGTTGAATAGCTGGTTTCTTGTCTGCCTCAATATGAATGATCATTTTGACAAGGTTTTCGATAGTGTCACAATCAAAGACTAATCCTGTAGATGGTTCTGCTCGTAGGAGATAATGCTCTGGTACATCTGTAAAGAACAGAGTTCGGATCAATCCCCCAAAGGTTCGTAAGAGGTTTGGGAGGATTTGTGCATTGTGAGGATTGGGGATCCGGGAACTGATGTTTCGCCAGAGATGGGGGGTAAATGAAATAGACCATGATTTGCAGACGATGATAGAGGAGGCAATGTCGGTTTTAGAAAGATTCATTGCTATCATCGAGGCGATCTCGGGTATAGCAACGACTGCGACAGGAGCATAGTTGTCCTGTGTCTCTTGAAGATTGATACCGCTAGAAGCCTCCATGATTTGACCTGGCTTTGAATTGGTATTGTCGTTGTAGTTATCGTTGCTGTTGTCCAGTAAAGAATGGCTGATAAGTCGTTGAACGTGGTATAGAATTGGGTTGAATAAGACCATAGTATGAAGAAAAGAGAATGAGAAGACAAATAAAAAGAGAAGGAAAAAAAGAGAGCCACCTTAGAGAAGGCGCATTGGAAGGGTTGGAAAAAAAAAAAAAAAAAAAAAAAGTTGGGCATGAAACGACACTTCATGCATGATCACTTGACTCTCAATTTTCATTCATTCCTTTTACGGGAAAGTATATTAAATTATCGTACACGCTGCAATTGATCGCGTCCTGATTGTATCAAAGCAAAGCTCATCCATCTTTTCATCTCTTCATCAAAGTTCAAGTAACCATGACATCCATCCAACAACTCTTTGGAGAGCTAGAACGACACATCAAACGAGAGGAGCACGATAAGGTCCTGGTTGTCAGCGACAAGAGTACGTCCCATTCTTTTTCCTTTTTCAAAAAAAAAAAAAAAAAAAAAAAAAGGGCTTTATCACAGTATCACAGTATCGCAGGATAGTTATCCGTAAATTCCTTAAATATTGATCTAAAAAAACTCTTTTACTGTTTTTTATGAATTTTTTTTTTAAAAGTCCTCAAAATTGATCCTAAGGATAAAGATGCGCTGCATTGCAAGGCCATCACTTTGATCCGCCTTGAACGCTACACGGATGCTCTTACTATCTTGAACCGTCAATTGGATACCTCCAAATTCACCTTCGAGAAGGCTTATTGTCTTTACAGGACCAACCAACTGGCAGATGGCGCACAGCTTATTGCCAACAAACGTAAAGAGCTTCCATCTTCTTCTCAGCTCTCATGGGACCTTCGTCATCTGGAAGCTCAAATGCTCTATCGTATGGAGCGTTACCAAGATTGTATTGAATTGTATGCAAGCATGTTGCAGGACACAGCCGTGGCGGATGATTCCTACAATGATATTTTGACCAACTACAAAGCCTGTAAAGCTGCTGTTTTGTATTCAGGACAGTCTCTGGATTCCAAGTGGATGTCCTTGGATGAATCAACCAATTCAAAGACAACGGCACCAACCTCTCAAACCTATGAATTGAGCTTTAATGCTGCATGTGCCAAAATTGCTCAGGGTGAATACTCCCAGGCACTTAAACTCTTGGAAGAATCCAAGAGGGTCTGTAGAGAGGCTCTCAAGGATTATGACGAAGAAGAGATTGAGCAAGAGTTGGCCATTATTGTTGTTCAGATTGCTTATGTCTACCAGCTAATGGGTAAGACTGAGCAGGCCAAAGAACTTTATCAGACAGTCCTCAAGAGCAAGTAAGTATATCCCTATTTACCATCTATTTTATTTATTTGTTTGAATTACTTAATTGAAGTTTTTTTTTTTTTTTTTTTTTTTTTTTTTAAAAAAAAAGGGCTCTGGAGGTAACAGTACCTGCTGTGGCGGCCAACAATTTAGTAGTGCTGCAAAAGGATTCAGATCTATTTGATTCAGCCAAGAAGATCAAGACTGCGACGACGAAGGCTCTGGGTGTGAAGTTCTTTTCTACCCAGAAGCGTACTATTGCTATGAACGAATTATTATTGTCGTTATATCAGAACAAATTCGTGGCCTGTCGAGATTCTGCAAAACAACAACTCAAGTCCCATCCGCCATCCGAGTATACCGATGCTCTGTATTTAATCTTGGCAGCCGTTCAGTACAAGCAACAAAAGAAGGCTTCCAAGGCTCTAGAGGAATTGAGGGAATTTGCAAAGGAAAGACCTCAGAGTGTGGCGATTCAGTTTGCAATCATTCAATTACAATTGACAGAAGAGAATGGACGTAATTTCAAGGCTGCGATCGAATCGCTGTCGAACTTCTTGAAGACTTTACCAGAGAAGGAACAGTATCGTCCAGGGTTTGTGGCATTGTTGGTTTGGTTGTACGATCAGGCTGGTCAAGGTGATAAGGGCATGGATCTGTTGTCAGAAGCTAGTGTTATTTGGGCGAAATCTAACAACACCAGTAGTAGTGGTAGTAAAAAACAGGAGGCGGCCGGAACCGCCATGCCTTTGACGTTATTGAAACAAACCGCCGCGTTCAAATTACGCTCACACCGGTACAAGGACGCTGCCAAGGACTATGAAGAGCTCGTCCGCACGGATCCTTCAGATCCCACTAGCATTGCTGGATTGATCATGGCTTACTCCGAGATTGAGCCTAGTCTCGCAGAGAAGTACGGTACATCTTTACCAGAAATGGATCGTTCGATGATGCAGTCATTAGATGTAGAAACTCTTGAAAAAGTAGTTCCGGGACATAGGAAGGAGTATATTTCCTCAACAGATGCTATCAAAGCTGCTGTAGGCGGTCGTAGACGGCCTGGATCAAGGCTTCGTCGTACAGGTGCCAGGAAGGCTCACAAGCGTAAGCCTCTGCTTCCAAAGAACTTGGATCCTACTCAATTGGGCAAGAACATTGATCCTGAGCGTTGGTTGCCTAAACGCGACAGAGCTGCAGCCCGTCTTGCCAGGACTCGCAAGACCGGCGCTGGATCCAAGAAAGAGATGGGTAAGGGGCCTCAGGGAATGAATATGGAAGGTGGTGGCATTGGAGGTACTGGAAGTGCTCGAATTGCAGGACGTGAGCATCTGACGACTTCTGCCAAGGCAGTAGCAGTAGAAGACATAAGCATCACAAAGATTGATGAGGCTGTGGAGTCTCCAACAAGTTCAAAGGCAAAGAGTGGTGGTGGATCATCCAATGCTAGTAAGAAGAAAAAGGGGAAGGGCAAGGGCAAATGGTAGATCTCTTCCTTGAATGAAATTCTGAAAGCTTGAAACATTAAATAAGTAATAGCAAAGGCATTTCAGCCAGCCAATTCTAATAGAATTAGCTTTGGTGTTATTTCTTTATAATATAATGAGACAACTATTCGCAGTTCTTATCATTGTCATGCGTCGCAGAAAAAAAAAAGAAAAAAAGAAAAAAAGAAAAAAAAAAAAGGAAAAAGAAAAAGAAAAAGAAGCGACTCCGAATGGCTAAAGTACAATGCGTTGATGTAGAAGTTACAGGTGATAAAAGAAACTATGTATATAAAATAAAAAAGGTAAAATATAAAATATAAAATATAAAATATAAAATGCAAAAGTAGGTAGAAGTGATATGAGGAGAAATAATAAAAATAGTCATTTGTACATGCAAAAAGCAAATAAAAAAAAAAATGTAAATGCGAAATCGTTGAAAGCTTGAATGCTCTTGCTCAGTGATCACAGTTGGATCCTTTTTTTGGTTAGACTGTTATCAATTACAAGTATTTTGTTAAGTAAAAGACAAATAGTTGATTTAGTCTAACCAACAAATAACATCCAGTTGTGATCATTGTCTTGCTTCCTTCGAGCTATATACCTCATCCCCAATAAATCCGCTGAGTACCGGTCATCCTGACACGGCAAACAATACAGTTTTGCACAAGGTCTGCACAGGAGCCACACATGACTAAATGATGGCACGGGAGTGCTGCATGTGACAATGCACGCTCATAGCAAATCCGACACTTGGGCATGTCATGGACTCGCTGCTCCATAACCATGATACTGTCTACAAGTTCCGCGTGGCGCTTTTGTTCCCGCTTCAGATCATTTTCAATATGTCGAATCCGTGTTTTATGTAGAGCAATCCTGTTCTGCAGCTTTTGTTCGTATTGATCCGCATATGCCTGTGCATCCTTCGTGGCCTCTGCAACCGAAAATTCCAACAAATTTTGAGGGATTCCTTGGATCCCCCACCTGTTAAGGACCTTGATGCTCTGCTCACCCCAGCAGGGATCATCATATTCATTACCACTGATATTCTTAGCATTAAGGATCTGTTCCGCAATAGTGAGATCGCACCATTCAGGGATTGGCCACTTGTAGAATTCAGCTCCTTGTTCTTCTCGTCCATTGATCCTGTCATGCCTTGGACCTGAGCGTGCGTCCATTGTCTCTGTGTACGGCTCTCTGACTTTTATGATCTCATCCACGGCTTTAAAAGTTACTCGATGTCCCCATTTCCTTTGCGGACGAATATTTCTATTACAAACAGGTTTCGAAAAGTCCATAGGGTATCGACTCGAGCTCTTGTTGAGGATCGGCTTGACTTTAGGATCTACAGGATACTGCGGAATGAAGTACGATTCGACTGTGGTACGTGGTTTGAACCATCGATCTAACCAGTCATCATTAGGGATGATTTGATGCACTGGCTGTTTGCGAGCAGGGAACATGGCTTTACTCATGCGAATGACTTTGTTACAATGTTTGAGTTCTTTTTTTGAAGGTGCTATTCTATCTTGTAGTTGCAATCCTTCCAACGATAGAGGCGGCCTGGAGGTGCCTGTATCTGCTGATAGGTTGAGAGTACCGTCTCCATCGTTCCTGCCATTCTGATCACCTTTGTCATTAATGTCATGGTCGCAATCACGACCACAATCATGGCCGTGATCCTTATGGTCTCTATGGTTCTCATGATTAGAAATATTGCCGCTCGGTGCTGTATTTGTCCTTCTACGTGAATGGTTCTCTGTATAAGGGCCTTCGTCCAATTGGCTTTGCCATGCATACTTCTTTGGACAAATCAAATCATACGGATGCTCCGGTCTCTGATCGGCTCCAGAGTCGTCTGTATTTGGGATGTAAGGTGCCACGACCATAAAACTGCCGCAGTTACATTCGATCCTGTTGAATGGTACCTTGCGCAAATGGCTGAAAATCCGAGGATCCCAAGCCTCCTTATCATCGTCATTCTCATTGTCCTTGACCTTAGCATCTCCACTCCCCTTGTTTTCATAGTCACGGGTCTTATTATCTCTTTCCTCGGTCTTTTGTGTTCCTTTGCTCTTGTTCATATGTTCAATGTATAGCCATCGAGTAACAGAGTAATTAAAGATAGGGCACTGAGCGCGTTTTGTCAACATGACTGTATCTTTATCACTGAGGTGCTGCATTTTATGCCATTCGAGTGCATGCATATGAAATCCACAGACTTTGGTTTCCGAGCCAAAAGGTCGACCCAGTTTATCTGTATTAAATCTGTTTGAAGGGGAGTGACTTGGGCTTGAGTGAAAATCAAGGTCGGAATCTACATTTTCAGGGGGAGGGGTTCTAGGACGTACATTGTCGATACTTAGATGAGATGATGATGCTATTTGGGACTGCTGTATTGGTGCTGCGGCACCAGGCCTAGGTAACTGCCATTGATTATCTTGCTGTTGTTGCGGTTGCAATTGCTGTGACTCTATTGTTGGCGTTGTAGACGCGATTGTATTCGGCTCGGATTTATACATTAGATTAGTATCTTCGATGGGTGCCTCTGCAGCATTATGGGTTGGTATAAAACTCCATGGATCGTCTTCTACTGTAGCAGATCTTGCTACGTTTGACCAAGTAGTCGTAGCAGGTTCCCATATGGAACTTCTCTTTGACGCTGCTAGAGATGCCTGTGGAGGTGTATTAGAGAATGACGGCTTCAGCTGTCGATGGACTGCATCTACACCAGTATTTGTTGATCTAGTTAGATCCACAACGTCTATTCCTTCGTCAAACCATGCAGTTGTCGCAGTTATCTTTTGATAAGATCTATTCAAAGGCGATTCGGTTATTTGATAATGGCTGCTATGACTTATTCCGCTATCAACTGTGTCATTATCGCGATAGCCTCGATCAACAGCCTTGCCCTTATTCCTGAGATCTTCGGTACTGGAGGATGACCCTGCTGCAGATCCTGATAGAGTGGAATGCTGGGATTCGATAAAACCATTTTCATTCTGTCGCTTGTCGTGGATATTATACGGGTTATAGTAGTTTTCAAGATTTCCAGTAGGAGGTTCTCCCCAAGACTCTTCAAAGGGTTGTGTCCGTGTCATCCAGCGTCCGCGAGCTTCACCCCACGATTGGACGGTCTAATAAAAATTAGAGTTTTCAAGTAAGAAAGATAGACGAGAGGTCCCGAATAGGGAAAAAAAAAAAAAAAAAAAAAAAAAGTTTTAATAAACATTAAATTACAAGGTTCGGTGAGATATTAAAACCGCCGAGGACGGGTTGCTATCAACGATAATATTCTTATGACAAGAAAATATGCGCAGTATGTGTACATATAAAGCATTATGTGGATGCAGTTTTTTTTATTTTATTTTATTTTTCTCTTCTTTTTTACCTTGGCAATCTTGACAAGTTCCGCAGTGGTTTCATGTTCCTTCTTGAGTCGATGTGCTTCGGCTTCGATCTGATCGTGTGCACAACCGGCGCAATAGTCTGGTGGAACCATGCCATGCTGTGCTGAAGTGAAGTGACATTCATAGACCCAATTGGAAGTCAATAGCGGAGTAGACATCCTTGACTTTTGCTGCTGACGATTGCTCCGTCTGCCCGGAATAGATGACTGATTAGAGAAGTATGGGGAGGAGTAGTTCTGATAATAATCGTTATCAAATTCAAAACGGTAACCTTCATCATGTTCATTCTCGAACTGTTCTTGCCAGTGCACTTGTTGTTTCTGGCCAGTACGAGCCCTCTGGGAAGATTGCCGATCTTCAAAAGAATGTGGATTTGAGTAGTAAGTCGCGTCAGAGGTTGTCCCTGTGGCTGCGGCTACTCCAGTCCCGTTTATGGTGTCGCGGTGAGAGAGAGTTGACTGAGGCTGGTGTTTTTGCTGCAAGTAAACAGGGGTTGCAATATGCCCACAGAAGCAGCGAGGACGGCTCAGTCGAACCTTCTTGTATGCCATGGAGTTGTTTGAAGGTGTCATGCAAAATGTAGATGTCCCATGAGGCATGCGATCTAAACTGAATTACTTTGTAAAAGAAAGAAAATAGAAGAAAAAAAGGAGAAAAGGAGAAAAGGAGAAAGGGAGGGAAAAAGAAAAAAAAAGAAAAGAAAAAAAAAAGAAGGAGATAGGCTTTTGTTGACAGATGAAGAAGATAGAACAAGAAAAAGAAGAGGAAAGAAATAAGGAAAGAAGAAAAAAAGAAAAGAAAAGGAGGAATTATTGACGAAGAGGGCAAGAGGGGAAAATAAAATCACTTTCTTTTTTCTTTTTTGGACTGCTATTGCGTTGAACGAGCAAATCCACTCTTCCAACATGCACAGCACAAGGATAATATGCAAGCTTTGCCTCTCCTTTATTTTTTATTGGAACAGAGACAAGGTCAATCTCGAGATCTGTACCAGGTACACCTCGCGTACAATGCAAAAACACACAGAAGGAAACATAAAAACAATAGAACACAGACACACAAATAAAAGGTGCAGTGCAGTAATAGCAATAAAAAAAAGAAAAAGAAACTAAAAGCTAAAGACAAAATAGCAAACAATAATGAGCTTGAATAGAGTTTAAAGAGTGCTTCAATGGAGCTTCAATCGAGTTTCAATCGAGTTCGAATGGAGCTTGAATGGGAGATTAGAGGTAGGAAAAAGGGGAAACGCGTGTGGTGTGTATAAAAAAAAAACGGTCCAATCAGTTTAAATGGGTTTTCCGATTACACGCGTAACATACGCGCCTTCTTTTTAAGCTATTCCACTATTCCGTTACTCCTTTTTTCACCCTTCTTCCCCTTCCTCCTCCTTCCTAATCTTCTTACCCATGGCGACCCGCTTGTTCTTTGCTCCTTCGCGCTTCTTTCCTTGCTCTTCTCCTTCGTCTGCCTTTATCCTGCGTCAACAGCATTCGCGAGGTATATAATATAACAGTGACATGACCCTTTTTTTTTATTTTATTTATCTAAGCTTCATGGGCATTCAATAAACTCATTTTGCTTTTTTAAATTCATCTCCATTAGCAATGTCCTCTGTTCCTTTACTACTGTCAGTAAATGAGCTCAAGAACCAGCTTGGCGGTCCTGTTGTTGTTGATGGAAGCTGGCATATGCCTGCTGCAGGACGAGATCCTTACAAAGAGTTCAAAGAGAATGGACATATCCCTGGAGGTATTTTTTGGGTTTTTTTTGGGGGGTTTTTTTTCTACATTCATTCGCACTTCAATCCTGCTATTATTTCCATAGCTAACTCTTTTTTTTTAAAAAAAAAAAAAAAAAAAAAAAAAAAAAAAAAGCACGATACTTTGATATTGAGTCTATCAAGGACAAGACAAATCAGCTGCCACATATGATGCCAACAGCCACTCAGTTTGCTGAACAGGTCGGAGAACTAGGCATTACGAATGATGATCACGTTGTAATTTATGACACTGTCGGATTTAGTTCAGCTGGACGTGTATACTGGATGCTCAAGGTAAAGAACAACCGGGATCTGCTTTGATCAGAGATTCGATTAATAAAAAAAAAAAAAAAGAAAAGAAAAAGAAAATGAACCTGATCAATCAAATGGGACACTATTGCTTTTTATTCCCAGGCATTTGGACATGAGAAAGTCTCTATCTTGAACGGTGGTTTTAAAGCATGGACAGCTGCAGGTTATCCAATCGAAAAAGGCGAAGCCAACATTACAGTAAGCTCACACATTCTTTGCTCTTCATTACATTCACATTCACACGACTTAACTTTTTCTCAAAGAAACTGACAAACAATGCTTTACTTTTTACTTTTGCATGGTCAATAGCCAAAGAACTATGCTGTCCCAACGTTAAATAAAAACCGAATCAAATATTATGATCAGGTCCTTGAAATTGTAAAGAGCAACAACGACAAGATCACCATCATCGATGCTCGCCCTGCAGCTCGTTTCACTGGCGCAGCACCAGAGCCCCGTACTGGGCTCTCATCTGGCCATATGCCAGGCGCAAAGAATGTGCCATTTATGGAACTCTCGGATTTGGAGACAGGAGAGCTGTACAACAATGAACATCTGTTGGCCGCATTCAAGCGTGCAGGCGTCAATGTGCAACAGTTAAAAGATACGGCAGTAGAGGGCAAGGAGATCATCTTGACCTGCGGTAGTGGCGTCACTGCTAGTGCACTTTACTTTGCACTCGAGAAACTTGGTGTCAACCACTTGGCTGTATTCGATGGCAGCTGGACAGAATACGCGTCAAGACCTGAAAGTATCATTGTGAAAGACGTTTAATAAAGTTTTTATTTTTCAATAAAAAAGTTTGAGAAGCTTGAACTCAGCTATTGATTAGGGTTTGGTGACAATTATGACACCAGTAGGAGTGCACCGGCACACTTCGTTTCCGCCATGACATGGCCATATACAATGGCCTTTGACTTTTTTACAATTATTAAAATCGTACGGTGGACATCCAATTAGAGTACTCTGTATCCCTTCTGGAGTACACCGACAATAGTTGCAGAGGTCGTCGCAAACAAAGTTAGATCCGTTGTACGCCTTTAGGCATTTCTCATATGAATAGTCTGACTGCGCGGAGAAAGTGCCAACCAGCAATGCAGAGAGTACAATAAAAGTCCTCATCTTGAACATTTTGGACATTTGAATGTTGGAATGACATAACGTACATTTTTATTTAAAAAAAATAAAAAATAAAATAAAAACTTCCGTGACTGCTTGAGCATCATTAAACGAAATGATGGTCTGTGTCCGAGTGAGTCAGTCAAAATAAAAAAAAAAAAAATAAAAAAAAAAGAGATAATAAAAGCAAGGCACATTGTGATCTCATTCTTCATTCTCCATTCTACATTGTCTGTTCGCTCCTATTATTCTTACTTGAGAGCGACACCTAACTCAGAATGATCCTTCCTCGTATCGACCTTGCGGCAGACGACTATGCCACCACTTTAAAGCAGTTCTCACTTCTGCCTAACCAGATCCTTATCACTCCCACGCCCGACGACTCCCGCCTTCAGAACATCCTTAAGAACCAGAACAAGGACGCCTATTGGGTACAGCCTCTTGCCTTTGATCAAAACGATCCCCTTGCTCAGATCCACAGCCTTTTGGACTCTGGTTCTGACAAGGTCATCCTTCCCTATGCTGCCTTTGCTGCTGGACTGGATGCATACAGCCACATTCCTCAGGAACGCCTTGCCGTCACACTCAATCCTGCAGAGTTTAACAAGGCTGATCATCTCTTGAACACTGTCTCGGTCTTCATCCTCAATGTTGACACAACTGAGTCACTCGAGGCTATCAAAGCCGTTGCTCAGGTTGTTCAGAAGAGTCTCTTACCTCGTGGAGGTGTTAAACGCGTTATTGCCGCCTTTTCCGCCGTACCTGGGCAGCCATCTGTGCCTGCCAACACTCCTGGCTTGCTCGCCATCTCAGAATTGGGCCGCATTGGCGTTGATACTTCATTGTCCACCGATGTCCTTTCAATTGATCATCAGGATGGCAAATTAAATTTGGGCGAAGCCTTCATGGCCACAATTGTATCTGACCGTCCCGATGGGTTGTTCCCAACTATTGTTGTGGATGAGCAGGGTATCTCGCTCGGATTAGTCTATTCGTCTTTAGAAAGTGTTGTCGAATCCTTCCGTATTCGCCAAGGAGTCTATTTCTCGAGATCCCGTGGCCTCTGGCATAAGGGTGCTACTTCCGGAGCAACACAGGATTTGATCAAAGTCCATGTTGATTGCGACAGCGATGCTCTCCAGTTCACTGTCCATCAGCACGGAGCTGGTAAGTTAATGGCCCAACTGCTTTTTTTTTTTTTTAAAAAAAAAAAAAAAAAAAAAAAAAAATTGCCTATCGAACTTGACTTCATTATTAGCTAACTTATCTTTTAATACCAAAATTAATTAGGTTTCTGTCATAACAATATCCGCGGATGCTTTGGCCCTTCATCTGGACTTGCTCACCTTAATCAGACACTTCAGAGCCGCAAGCTTTCTGCCCCTGCTGGATCCTACACCCAGCGCCTTTTCAAAGACAGCAATCTTGTAAAGTCCAAGATCATGGAGGAAGCAGAGGAGTTGTGTGAGGCCAAAACTCCAGAAGAAATCGCCTGGGAGACCGCTGATTTGATATACTTTGCTCTCGTCAAGTGTGTTGCTAATGGTGTGACTCTCAGAGATGTTGAACAACAGCTTGAGAATCGATCTCGCAAGATCACTCGCCGACCAGGCAATGCTAAGCCAAAATGGGATGTCCGTGCTAAAGAAGCTGCTGCGACTGAAACCCCTGCTACTGCTCCTGCTCCCACCCCAGTTCCTACTCAGAATGGAAAGGAAAATGTCCGTATTGCTATGAAATCTTACAAGATGAACGCCCTTTCTGCAGATGACCAACGGAAGCTCCTACTTCGTCCTATCATCCAATCCAACGATATTATGGCTCGTGTCAAGCCTATTGTAGATAGTGTTCGCCAATCCGGTGATGCTGCTCTTTTGGAGCTGACTGCCAAGTTTGATGGTGTTCAATTGGACAAGACTGTTATCTCTGCGCCTTTCACTCCTGAATCCATGGTTCTGGACGAACAGACTCGACGCGCGATTGATCAGGCCTACGATAATATTCAAAAGTTCCATGCGGCTCAGTTGCAAGAGAAGGCTCTTGTTGTAGAAACAATGCCAGGGGTTGTATGCACACGATTTGCACGTCCGATTGAGCGAGTCGGATTATATGTTCCTGGAGGCACCGCTGTCTTGCCCTCCACAACATTAATGCTGGGTATTCCTGCTGCTGTAGCTGGATGCAAAGAGATTGTAATCGCAACACCACCTAGGAAGGATGGCAGTATTGTTCCTGAAGTTATGTATGTAGCCCATAAGGTTGGAGCGTCGAAGGTTTTAATGGCTGGAGGTGCACAGGCGGTCGCTGCCATGGCCTATGGAACAGAGTCATGTCCTAAAGTAGACAAGATCTGTGGACCGGGCAACCAATATGTAACAGCTGCAAAGATGTTGACTCAAATCGACAGCTCATCTTTGGTTTCGATTGATATGCCTGCTGGACCTTCAGAGCTGTTGGTGATTGCAGACATGACCTCCATCCCTGCTTATGTGGCATCTGATCTCCTTTCACAAGCGGAGCACGGCACGGATTCTCAGGTGGTATTGATTGCTGTTGGATTGACGCCAGAGCACTTGGCTGCGATTGAAGACCAGGTTCATGAGCAAGCAAGCCGACTACCACGTGTGGATATTGTGCGTGAGTCGATTCCTAAGAGCTTTATTATAGAGGTGGAGACCATGGAAGAGGCGATGAGGTTCTCGAATGAGTATGCACCGGAGCATTTGATTTTACATCTGGAGCAAGCAGAGACGCACGTAGAGAAGGTTATGAATGCAGGAAGTGTCTTTGTAGGTCACTGGTCGCCCGAAAGCTGCGGTGATTATGCATCGGGTACAAACCATACCTTGCCAACTTATGGATATGCACGCATGTACTCTGGAGTCAACACAGATACATTCCTGAAGCATATTACGTCCCAGCAGTTGACACGTGAAGGCTTGGACGCCATTGGAGATACTGTCATGCGATTGGCAGAGATTGAAGGCTTGGAGGCTCACAGGAATGCTGTTGCAGTACGCATCAATGACATTCGTCAGGGTCGTTCTTAAAAGAATAGATTCAAAAGCAAATGGTACCTAGAGAGGATCGATAAATAAAGATTTACAAAGTGCTTTTATGACTATCATTATGAAGAACATTTAGTGAAGACTAGAGAAATGCTTACGTTAGACAAAATGGACTTAGGCACACAGCTATTCCCGCCCTGAGCTAATTGACTATAGGAAATGTAACACCAAAAAAGGGATCTTCATGCTTACAATACAGCCAAAACCCGTCAAGTGTCGGTGGAGGCGAAATAGGGGCATTCTTTCTTTTTTTTTTCTTTTTTTTTTTTTCCTTTTTCGTTGTATTACTGAACCATTTGCCACATTCTTCAGCTTTATTTGCCCAACTACCGCTTTATCTTTAAAAAGACGAACCCTCCCTTCTCTTCACTATCACCATCACCATCTGACCTTCTTCTTTTTTCTTCCTTTTCTTAACTCATAAGCGCCATCGTGATGTTGAAATTGAGCTCTACAAGGCTCCTCTCTTTGCACCATTCGCTACCGTCCAAGTGGACTGCACCATTACTATTACTCCGCCCTAAATTTCCTCAACAACGCAGTATCATTTCTAACTATGGTACAACCAGAAGAATACACGGTGCAACTTTCAGTACTCAATCAGATCAAGGTGAATACTATGTATGGTAATTCAAAACACAGGTCCACTTTAAGAACATTATTAACATGTCATAGCAATGCTACTTGTCCTTATAAAACGAGACAGCTACAGACATGATGGCTCTAGTAGGCGAAGTGATGAGCGATCAAGACTGTAAAGAGGCTGATAAAGATTCGAAATTAGCACGCCTGCTGGAGCGCCGACCAGAAGTGCTGCGACGCATGTCCTTTATAGATCCCTCATGTCGTCCAAACCATTCAACAAGGTCCATTTACACCTCAATTCAAGAAGGCAATGCGCTTCATGTAGCAATACGCCGGCATTTACAGGATATCGAAGAGTTGGCGATCGCCACGACCTGTGAAAAGGACTTGTTGGATGCATTAGTAGACAAAAAATATACCGGTACTACTACACACCAGGATGAGGTAGCCAGAACATGTACCCATTTGAAGGCCCTCCGGGTGGCAAATACTTGTGATGAGGAGTATGCTGAGAAAGTAATTACACTGGTGGAGAATAACCCAAACCTGAGTGAACTTTGGGTCACTAATCATGTCTTGGCTACCCCTCCTTTGGCTGAGCGATTAGTGTGTTTTCTGAAGACACGCGCTTCGAATCTTAAAGAGTTTAAAATCCATGACAAAGCCGGAGTGATCCCTCTACCCACTGCGGTCGATGTCATCAACGCTTGTATGCATTTACCATCCTTGGAAAGGCTTGAAATCTCAGCTTGCATTCGCCGGATTGAAGATATGAACATGGATTACGAGGGTCTTGTTACCCTCATAAGCAAGCTTGATTCTCTTCCTCCCTCTGTCTCCCCCTCTATCCAAGCCTTGAGGCTGCCTGAAATTTTGCCTCCAGTAATTCAAGTACCAATCCTGAAACGCTGTGGATCCAGCCTAGTAGAATATCTCTCCGATGATCCCTACTCAGTCGATCGGCACCTTTACCCATATTGGACCGATCACAGGACCATTATTCGAGCCATTCATGACCATTGCCCTAATGTAAAACAGGTGGTTTGGGACAGTTTCCGAACAGTTTGGCCCATTGATGGTGCTCCCTCAGTCAAGGATGAATCATTCCTGAAGAGTCTTCTTGATGCTTGTGACAGATCAGGGCTTCGGTCGATCTCTAGCTTCCTTTTAAGTGATCGATCCCTGGATGCGCTGCTGAATCACCGCAAGACATTGAAGCAACTCAAGTTTTCAATTCATTCACAATTATCGGCTTCAGGCTTCCAGCAAATCATGACTTCTTGTGAAGAGCTTAGACAACTTGACGCGAGATGGCCACGTTCGATTTGGATGCCTGAAAAAAACAGGATATGCCCCAATCTCACGTTCCAGGCGCTAATTCAGCCTGGACAGCAGGAGTGGCTGTGCAAGAAGCTCCAATCGCTCGCCATCACCATCAGTATGAATGTAAATGAAGATGATCTTTTGAAGTATGGAGGAGAGGCTGGCTGTTTGGAAATCATTTACAGCAGAATCGGAGCTTTGACAGAATTGGAAGAACTAGATATCATGTTTATCTCGTCAAGAGGAGATGAAGATGAAGATGAAGATGAAGGAACTGAAGAGCAGCAGCAACAACAACAGCAACGATCTCGAATACTTCCTACAATCTTCAGTGTAGATTCTGTGTTGAAACATTTGAAACATTTGAAGAATTTGAGGCGTATGAGCGCTCCAGTGGATGCTTGGCAAGGCGTGGGGCAAGCTGAATGTGAGTTTATGGAAAAAGAATGGCCACTGCTTGAAGAAATTCAATTCATCCCTTGCAGTGATGCAGCAAGGGCCAGTAGTGGCGACGATGAGACAATGGAGCTGATAACCCAAAAGATAATTGAGCAAGAGCACTGGAAGTTGTTTAAACAGCGTCGTTCTAGGCTGCGGATCAAGTAGCTAGGAAATGGATATGTAGTTTGTGACTAAAGTGTTGACAAATATATTACATAAATAAATATCAATGTTTGAACAGTATTCGCAGAGAAAGGCAGGTAATGTAGTCAACATTATATGTCTCGAGTGAGTCAGTGAGTAGAGCGTCGTGTCGATTAACATTTACATGTCATATATTTGTTTGTGCTCTGGAGGAAGAAGCTTGCTCGTGACAAGATCATCTATTTTGTAGGCATAGCGCGACGCAAGGCAACTATGCGTGTACTTTTTGCTTCTCCCCTCCAAGAATTGAGCTAGGATACTCTCAGCAATAACTTAATAAAAAAATAAAAAAAAATAAAAAAACGTTTTTTGTCTTATGAGATTCTCCTTTTTATTTCATCCTTACCACTCTTCAGCTTATCAGCTAAAAACTATCCCTCTTTTTTTGTTTTCGTTTTATAATCATGAAGTCTTCAATCGTCGCCGTTGCCGTCCTCGGTCTCATTTCCTCCTCTGCCTCGGTTGCCTCCACTGTGTCTATCCTGTGCCTAAAAGCCGGGGTTAGAAGATCGGTTTCTTCTGTCCTCGATAAGTCTACTTGAAGACCTGTGCCTTCAAACCCAACTCACCTGACAATGTCTAAAATCTAACTCATGAGCACCTGATGTGATGGTGCACGGTCATTCCCTGCTTAATGTGCAAGATTATGATTTGTTTATTTATAAACTTTGTGTGCAACCACACCATACAAAGCATAAAAAATAAAATTACAGGCTTTTTTAATCGCTACATCCATGCATCCATGACCATGTCATGTCACCCTTAATAAAAGTTTATCAGCAACAACCTCTGGATCTCTTTCGTGCCTCAGAATCTGCTTCCCAATCTAGCCTTGTGGAGGCAGGCCCATTGCCAACCATATCCAGCTCCATCTGTGGTATCCTGACGGTCTTTGCTATATATATGAATGCATCTTCAACATGGATACCATCTTTTGCTGACGCCTCAAAACATGGCATCTCAGTTTTAGCGCCTGTCAAAATACTATGTTCCCGTGCAAATCCTCGAGCCTGTCTCCTGGATACGACACGTTCATCAATGTCTATCTTATTACCAAGAAGGACAAATGGAAAATCTGGATTGCTGTCTCCGATACCAGCCTGGTTCAAAAATTCTCTCCGCCACTTCGCCAAATGCTCAAAGGTGAGATAGTTGGTAACATCATAACAGAGTATACAGGCATCCGCGCCTCTATAGAAAGCAATCCCTAGCGATTGAAATCGCTCTTGCCCTAGTAGCAGTCAGTGTGAGAGGCAGTTTGTGTGTGAATAGATGAGCTCTAAGCGATTTGTTCTGTAAAAAAAAAAAAAAAAAAAAAAAAAATCGAAAGGAATGAATAAACACTAAATGCTGACTGGGACAATTGGTTCCCTTTATGTTTCTGTCCCCACATCCACTAGCATGTGTTTGTGGGTCGATTGGAAATTGTTGAGAGCCAATGTGTATCATGAATAAGAACATTTCAATTCCTGGATGCAGGTCATGCCCGCTACGTGCGAAACTTTTGCTTCAACGCATATTTCAAGTTCTCAAGCCGCCATCCGTACACCAAAAACCGCTGTTGAAACTCATAAGCTCAAGAGCAAGCCCATTTATATGTACCTGCAGTGTCCCAGATTTGAAGCGAGACCCTTTTGCCATCTCCCAGCTCGATTTCCTTCGTAATAAAGTCTGCTCCAATAGTGGCCTTGTAGGCGTTGGTAAATCTCTTATGGATAAACTAACCGATAGACATAGTAAGTAGAATGATTGAAAAACATGCTTTGTTAAAAAAATTGCATAGACCGTAGGAGTAAGGCTGGAATGATTGTTTAAATTTGTTCATTGTACTGAATTTGCTGATGTTGCTCTGCATCCTGATATTGATATAGTGAGTATCTTCTGTCGTCATCGTCTTCCGTGAACTGTTATCCTGCCTGTTGAACAATTTGATATGGTGCAATAGATCTACCTGATTACGTAGAGAAGTCTGATTGTTGTAAAGAGGGTTTTCGTTGGTTTGCAGTCGTTAATCGCCGATTAAAAAAAAAAAAAAAAAAAAAAAAAAAAAATCTTTGGTCAGTTCGAACTTTTTCTTATTACATTGCAAAAAAAAAAAACATCAACAATGCTGTGAGCGGAGACATGAAATTTCTGAATGCTTTCCAATGAATAAGTTCAAACATTCAAACAACTTTCTGTTGTCGTACACGTGAGACTTTTACCTTGCCTACACCACCGTCTCCAATGAGAACAACTTTGAGTAGCTGTTTTGTCATGGAAGCTAATCCTAGGTTGTAAAAATGGGATGAGATTAATGAGTGAATGAAATAATGTCAATTAAAGAAGTGTAGACTACATCACAGACAAACAACAGACAGACATGTCAATAGATTGGGAATATAAACAATACTACTCTTCTCTTACGAACTTTTTATTTTTTTGTTTTTCAAAAATATAAAATGCGTATGCAGGGCAAAATGTGCATATATTTGAGATGTTTGCGTGTAGATGTAAGGTGTGATGGATAGCCAAAGAGAAAGAGAAAGGGAAAGGGAAAGGGAAAGGGAAAGAGATTGATATAGAGAGAGATGGAGAAAGAGAGAGATTAGATATAACTGAACAGACGAAAAGAAGCGAGAGGTGAAAAAGAGGAGCAACATCGTGTCAGGGGACAAGCACAGAAACCACTGATATTCCATGATTGGCTGAAAATTATAACAATCCTGTTACTTCTTCAACATCAGCTTGCGACCACCTCTCGTCTTTCATGTTTACAACACTACACCACATTGGCATTCAGTAATTTGAATCGCAAACATTAATCATTTTCAGAAGAATGCACATAAACTCAAATGGGATCTCAACGTCCTTTGGCTCTATATCTATGACATGTCTCCTCAAAAACGAAAAGACGCCCAATAAAAAACGCGCTACTTTCTCAGCGCGAGGACACCGCGCTCCGGCTCCTTTCTAGCGATGCCCTTTTCCCATACGCTCAACACCACCATTTGACTTGACTACGTCTCAATTTTATATTATGTGCTCCGATCATCCTTAGTATGATAATGGAATGGATCCAAGCAAGGATAGTACCACTATAGACCTTTTCGAGTAGCCCGGAGCGCATGTGGACGTGATCGGCATGCTCTTCTCACAATGACACTTGCTACGGCACTGTTGAAACATCGCCATTGTTGAAGGAGACGTAAAAAACGCCTCTCTGATCCTGTTACTGTCCCTTCCACCTCATTCTTCAACAGCACCATTGCTTCTCCTATAGTACATCTCCTACCAAAGTACCATCACTTATGGCACCACGCCAGTCAATATCACGAAACACTTCATCGGCGCTGAAGGATGTCTGGCCAAAGATAAGCCCCTACTGCAGCAGCATCGATTTTAGCATCTGCATCAACAATAGCACCACCAAGAGCATCGGTGGCACAGCATCAGCAGTGACTTTAGCCTTCGAGCCATAGTTTCAAAGGAGAAGCACTATAGAGCAAGTTTCAACAGTACCAGGGAAAGACAGTTCCGACATGGTGTTCCATCTCCATATCCTCCACCGAGGTAAGTCCTTGTTCCAAACAAACCATATGACTAATACATCGAAACAGAAAGGCAAGGAGGAGTCTGGGTAGCTGCACACAAAAAGTGATCAATCTCATCAACCAATGATTTTTATGACGAAATCAAACCTTTTATTTCTACAAAACAATCAGGTGTGACTAACATGGTTTAATATGCATTTAGATGGACTCTCGTCATCTCTGGGTCGTTTAGGGCTTTTAGTCCTTGCATCTGCATCTGCGTCTGCTGAAGCTTTTCGCTTACATCCTTGATTTTCATTTGGAACGTCGTTCTTTGCGAAAAGCTTTGTAGCCCTCTTTCCCCAAGAAAGACGTCCTGCCTGATGGACATCCGATTTGCTCCTTAGTTTAGGAATGTTCGAAAACATCCAGGAGCAATCGAATTCAAGCTCCATGTCCTCTTGGGCCACAAAGCGATAAGTGTCAGTGCTCTCAGACTTGAGAGGCCTCTGCACTATATCACCTTGCTTTAGAATGGATCGAAGGCTTTTTCCCTTAGTGGTCTCGTGCGATTCTTCTAAAGTGGAAGAACTACTGTCGACTCTGAGATTCTCTACAGCCTCTGCGGGATCCCAGCTCTCTTTCACTTCATCGCTTCGCTCAAGGCCTTTAGTGTACGCAGCATCTGCAGATGCCTCTGCTTTTGCATGTCTAAGCGCTTCGTTGCGCAAAAGATTGGTGCGCAGGCCTTCCGACTTCTCACCTGGGAGCTTCTTTGCTAAGGCCTTGGCCCTCCTATACGCTCTGCCATTTGGATAGTTAGATTCTTCTAGAAGCACCTGCACAATTGGGACCTTCAAGTCCCTTGCAACAGAAGCAATCGCCTCATTTGCCTGGTCTGCTACACTTTCCAACATGCAGATCTTCAAATAAGTGTTGGCGTTGACCTTCTTTGAGGGAGTATATTTCATCTTTCTTTTCAGCTCCATTTGCTCCTCTGCTACGGTCCTCGAGATTTTCTCCAAGATGCGAGGGTTGTATTGTGCTTGCTGGAAAAGGTCGTGCCGCCGAACCTTCCATTGATCCCTGAGCTGCAATTGGAATTTAAGTAGCCTTTGTACATCTTTCTCATTAGCCACCGGCTTTTCACTTGATGAAGCTGTCCCGACTTCAGACTTGAAGTGGCTTCGAGCCAGTTTCACCATTTCCGAGGCCTTGCGTCGGGCCTTTGCCTTTTGAGCCTTTTTCTGATTCTTACTCAGCCTGTGCACTGGTTCGGAAGATGATGTCTCTGTGGCCCCTGTAGTCGTTGTAGTTGCTGTAGTCTCGGTAGTCTCCGTAACCTTCGTAGTCTCTGCAACCTTCGTAGTCTCCGTAGTCTCCGTAGTCTCCGTAGTCTCTGCGGCTATTACCGTTGGTTGAGTGTGCTTTGAAGTACCAGACATAGGAATATTCATACTGCTCATGAGATCGAGTACTTTAGAATAAAACTGAGGCGTGTTGAGCATGATGGCCGAGATGGTTTCGACAGTCTCCTTGGTCGCTGGAGGCCTTGCATCAGTAGATCCAGTAGATGGTGACGTGCTTGTTTGAGGTCGTGCAGTTATAGACGGGAGCTGTGGGGCTGTGGTGGCGCGCTCAAGTTTCTGAAGCTGCTCAAGTGTTGGTGGCGGAGCGAGCACTGGTGCCATAGCATGAGATACAGTCCATGATGTAGATGATATGCCTGGTGGCGCAATGGTCTGTTTGAGAGAAGTGTGATGATGGAAAGGGGGCGGTGGTGGTGGTCGGTATGAAGAAGAAGGGAGACGTGGAGGGAAATAAGGAGAATATGTAGGCCGTTGCTGTTGCTGATTCAAACGCTTGGGTGTCATTGGAGCAATTGATAATTCGGTGTCTGTGGCGTAGAAAATAGAGTTTGTGGATCAAAATTCGTTTTCTGTTTACGACGTAGAAAATAAAGTTGGTGAATTAGAATGTGCATCTGTTTATGGAGCTGGTGAATCAGAATGTCAGAATAGATTAGATGTGTATTGGAATTAATTAAATGTCTGTGCTGAGGTGAATTCAATGTCTATGTTGAAGTGAATTAGATGAGTATGTCAAGGTGAATTAGATGTTTATATTGAGGTGAATCAGATGGTCTATGCTGAATGATTAAGACAAGGTAATGAACAGAAAAAGAAAAGAAGAGAAAGAGGGAAAAGACCGTTGGTGTTGTTTATAAAGGCAGCCGAAATGGCGCCACAAATGAGTGACGTAGTGTGCTGCCGTTGAAGCTGAGGAGGGCTAAGTGATATTCAAAGCACTGCTGAGGAAGGAGCGAGTGATGCTCGTGAAAGTCAGTACTTTGACATCAAAAGCACTGACTGAGTGCTGTAGTAAAAGACAATGCATGGGTGTACCTTGTTCTCTTATGGCCTAAAGTGAGACTAGTTTCTAAACAGTGGCAAAAAGAAATCCAGAATATGTCTCGATGCTTTGCAAAGCGTAAAAATTGACTTTATTCATTACTCTTCATACACCTACAAAGTAGAAGAAGGGAAAGTGTTGAAAAAGCCCTCATGGGTGGGGGAAACTCAGCTTCAAGATCAGGATGTTTCGTTGCATTGTCTGCGGTGCCTTGGAGCTTCTACCCTCTCCTATGATTGTTACCCTCGCTTCTCCAAGCAGAACCTCCATTGCAGTAGCCTATCGAACGACTAGGACCTCAATTTGGCCAGTAAATATATCATCCAGGAGTTAATAGTGGATTGCTTCCAAGAGTCGAAAGCAGGTTACACCTAAGAGTTGATGCCATCTTATGTTCTTGGCAAAAATGATAAAGAGCTCTTATCTCCAAGTGCCGGGGCGATGAGCGGAGGGGATGTTAATCAATCACAAACAATGCGAGCACGAGCCACAATATTTTCGATTTAGTTATTTTTCTCCAATGGTGAGGCGGTGCAACAAAGTGGAGAGATTGGTTTTTTTAAAAAAGCGAATAAGGCCCAGAGCACGGGTAAATTGACATCCATATATTATACACTTTTGGCCACAAGCAACAAGCTTTGGTTGGTTTAGCTGGAAGTAGAATCCAAGACGGCGCTTTGTTCCTTTATTTCTTCATCCTTTCTTTCCCACCAAGGGCTGGAGCATTAGTGTAGGAGTTTTCTATATAAGTATATATTTGTTTTCCATAGCGGGCCTTGCCACAACAAGTAGGGCTTGGGACCAAAGCTGTGTATTCCTTCAGGAATGACACGTCGATTTCTTAATAAAAAACTGCATATGCAGATCCTCAATATGCTTTGTTGCTTTGATTAGATGACCGATTGAATATTTTTTTTTATTTTTTTACTTTATTAAGAGATTGTTTGCTATCTAGCTATCTAGCTTACCTGGTTACTATTCTAAGCTACAAGAAGCCAGACTCTTAGCCACCTTGGAGAGTGCTTTCCTTTATCATCATCGAAAAGACTCTCCAAGATGTTGTCCGGAGCACACCACGTGGAGGTGGTCTGGCATATCGTGCTCCGTTGGTCAGGCCCCATGGCCTTGCAAACGCCCGCACACACACACGTTTATTTACCCATGCCCATTCCCATTCCCATTCCCAATCGAAGGGGCTCCGCCACCGCATGGCTCATTGAAGAACCAACGTAGGCTCATGCCCGTTCGGACTTATCTTGGATATGCATTGTTGCTATATTAAAGGGTGTTAGTATGAGTTTACTTTTTTTTTTTTTTTTTTTTTTTTGCATTATTTGTTTTTTATCATTGGCTTATTTTTTTTCTTTTTTTTTCTTTTTTTTTTTTTCTTCGAGTTATTTTTTCTTTGTCTTTGTTTTTTATCTTTAGTTTTGTTCTATTTGTTTTTTTATCGTCTGCTTTTTTAATCGTTGTTTTTTTTTTTTTTTTTTTTTTTTTTAGGCTTGGCTTTTTTTTTTTTTTTTTTTTTTTTAGGCTTGGCTTTTTTTTTTTTTTTTTTTTCTTTTTTGGCTTTTTCTTTTTTTGACTTTCTCTTTTTTTATTTTTTCTTATGGCTTTTTTTTTTTTTTTTTTTTTTTCTTTTGGCTTTTTTGTTTCTTTGTGATTTTTTTTTTTTTTTTTTTTGAAGGCATTTGTTTTTGTCTTGATGATTTGTTCGGCCTTCAACTGGTAGCGCAGAGCTCTCAGTGCCAGCGCCTTCCAAAGTACACCGTGGAATAGCCTGGTCGTTATGATCTGGAGTTATTCGAGAAGCCCCGACCATCATGCTCAGGAGGAGGCGGACTAGCCATTTGACCATGGGGAGGGCCCGGCCATTGGAGTGAGGCCGTTCGAGTGCGACTGTTTGGGCGCGGTTGTTTGAGCACGGCTATTTGGATATGGGCCTTTGAGTGTGGCTAGCCGAGTGTGGGCGTTTGGGTGTAGTAGCTCGGCCGTGAGCTATGAAGCTCTGGTTAGTTTAGACGACTTCATGTCGCTACAGTCTAATCATGGAATGAAAAGGGAGAGGTAGGCAGAAAAAGAAAAATTAGAACAAGAATATTGTAGCACAGAGCAAGTGTTGAGAACTTCAGTAGGAGTGAATGTTTGGGAGTGTTGCTTACCTTTCGTCTTGGTCGAGGAGGCCTATGGTCGAGAAGACCGAGGAGAAAAAGAAGAGGAAAGAAAAAAAAAGAAGAGAGTCAAAATTAGTCCTTTTATATTCTTTTTTTTTTTTTTTAAAAAAAAAAAAAAAAGCTTGACATGCGCTGAGTGACTTCTAAAGGCGCAATATTGGGTAATGGATATAATAAGTATATACATGTAGCTTGCTTGTTGTACGCTCAAGAGCGACCAATAAAAATGTACAAAAAAAAAAAAAAGAAAAAGAAAAAAGCGGCATGAGGCTATCTGCGCGCTTTTTTACGTCATTCATCGTATTTCACATGAAGAATAAGAAAACCCTTGCGGCTGGACGTGGGTATACAACTCTATCTTCAACGCCTGTAAGCTCATACAAGCAGCATTCTGTCCATAACAGCTAGAGTGCGAGCTCCACTGCTCTCGAATCACTTATTCTTGTTAACAAAGCAGATCATCTTTATTCTCTTCGTCCATTCCCTCTCTCCACTCCTGTCAAGAAATGGGTGGGCTATCATGGAAACTGTGCTTCAGCAGCCTGCCTTTTTTTCCAGAATGTGATAGAAAATAACACATGACAATCCTCAGAATACCGCTGCGCCTTTTTTTTTTTTCTTCTTCATGCAATGCAATACAATGTAAAATAATATAATGCAGGACATTATAGTTGATTGGGATAAGCATTTGTGATTTCATTATTTGAAGGTGAAACTAAGTATTAACGCTTGTATGTGGACCAATAAAAAGCACACCAGCGTGCCGGAAAACTACATGTCTCACTTTTGCCGCGTTCTGAAAAAAATAAAGAAAGGGAAAAAAAAAAAAAAAAAAAAAAAAAAAAGGCGAGCTGGATACGACCTGCTACGGTACAGTTTCCACGATAGTCTTCCCCACCTCTTTCTAGGGTGAAGAGGGAGAATATAACAAGAGAGCTAAGAAGCAAGCTTGACTGGTAGTGCCTGATAAACCCCATTACTAAGGATCAAGAGGCACTCGAGCTTAATCTTGGCAAAACGAGAGTATGCAAGTGCTAATATGTTTGTGTTCTGGAGCTCGCCTTTTTACTTCAGCTGCATCACTGTAAATGGATCAATGTTGCACCACAACTTTGCCTACCCACAAACAAGAGCACGGGCCACATTGCACTCTGCATGGTGTATGAATTTGCAGATCTTGAAGATGGTTGTTATTAATGCTATTCTCACCTCCAGCCGTGAGAATCTTCTCTTTCTCCACCTTGCAAGCATATGGAAAATGACGGATGATATCATAGCTGCGCAGACTACCTATTTTCAATTTCCGTTATGCCGCTTTTTTTTTTTTTTTTTTTTTTTGCACAACGCGGAAAAAGCAAGATACCGAATATACATATATATATTCAATACTTTTGAAATCACAAATTGGTTTCACTTACCATTTCCCCTTAATAAAGGCTTCTTTTCTCTTCTTTCTCTTTGATCAGCATGAAAGGAAAGCAACTCCTCAAACAGCCACTCCTACTGAATTTCCTGGCTCTCCCGCTCCACGCTGTACTGTTCTTCTTCTGGCTTTCCATTTTCTGCCTATCTCTCTCTCTTTCATACTATTATTAGGTTGCAAATCGAACAAACCCCTAGCCTGCTGTAGAACAAAAAACAAACTCGAGCAATCCAATAGCACAAAAGAAACAAACAAACAAGCTCCTTCATACCAGAAAAAGCACCATCCACTAAAGAGCCCTCGTCGTTGACAACAAGTATTGCATGGCTTCGTTTCGTCTTGCTTGTGAACATCTATTATTTATCCTATTACTAAATAAACTCAGCATATTTACTAAACTATTCTCGTTCCTTCTTTGCCTTCTCTTTCCTAACTGTAACAAGGATCACTGACCCTAGATCCTCGCCGACGATCATCCCAAAGCCTCCCATACAGGCATACTGTGCTTATAGAAATGGGATGAAAGCGGAACTGTAAGTACACTATCTTATGGAATATATATCGTACTTTTCTGTCCTTTATTGTCCTTTGCCGTGCTGTGCTGTGTTATCCTTGGTACTGGGATGCATTCTGCTGTATCCTGCTCGCCAAATATCCTAACTGTGTATTTTTTTTTCCCCTCATCTTCTATCCTTAGAGGCTCATCCGCTTGGGCTATAACCCGTTGGGCCCTCCACTGGCCCGCCCACCGACCCCCTCCATCGACTTCTCATAGCTCCCTTAGGAGGGACCACTGTAGCAGCTCTAGAGGGCTTCTGGTCTCTGGATCTCGCTTTGATCCGAGTGCCTTTGGGGATGTCGTGTAAGAAATGGATGACACACAGTTGTGGTCATCTAAGAATGGCAAGTCAGTAGCGATCTGTTATTCATTGGACCCTATAGAGCGCGAGCCTCGGCCTTCGAGAAGGTCCTCCCTTCAGCAGGAGCAGGGTCAGGGTCAGATGTTATCAAGGCCTGGCAACATCTCAGGTGAGTATATATGTATATATAAACACAAAGAGCATATTAACTTGGTTTTACCATTGCTTTGTTCTCTCTATTTAGGTGGGATCTTTGGCAGCTCGGTGCTCTATAGGCTCTTTTGAATAGCTCATTGTTACTGACATCATTCTTAGATCACCCCAATTAGCGAAGCTGCGCCAGGGGTGCCTGGACGTAGTGTATAGTGCATGGCGTAGAGGCGTCATGCTGTGTGATCCTGTTTCTTGCCGCTTGAACCAAAGGCACTTTGGTCAAAGTGAGGCTTCATTGGCTAGCCGTTCAATAGTCTACTGCAATGGGAGCTCAGGTTGGAGAAGCGAGAGCAAGGATCATAAGGAGAGGGCTCTAAGTCAAAACATTAGATCGAGGAACACCATGCTTCTAATGCGGCTCGAAGCGCAGAGCCACGCTGCAGCAACCGTTCGCGGCGAGTCAAAAGCTAAAAGCCATCAGCAAAAAAAAAAAAAAAAAAAAAAACACAAACACAAACACAAACTCGATGCAAAAAAAAAAAAAAAAAAAAAAAAAGCAAATGTCCAAAGAAAATGACAACAATAACAAATAAGAGCAATAGCCAAAGGAAACAACAGCAACAAAAAAAAGCATATAACCAAAAACAATATCAAACCCACTCATACTCAATTCAAGCCCGCATCAACTGAAGCCAATGTCAGTCAAAGCAAACATTGCATCCACAGCCAGGTCAGGCACAGGCAGCCTCGACCAAAGTCTATAACAGGTTGCCTCGATCGAAGCAAAGCTGTATAATCTTAATCAAGCCAACCAAAGACAGTCCAAAATAATCCAGAAAACCAAAGCCTGGTAATCGAAGCCTGGTAATCGAAGCCTGGTAATCGAAGCCTGGTAATCGAAGCCTGGTAATCGAAGCCCGACAACCGAAGCCAGCCAAACAAAGGCAGTTAAATAAAGACAGTCAAACAAAGGCAGCCAAATAAAGACAGTCATCCATAGACATTCAAACAAAGGAAAGCAACCAAAGTCAGTCAATGAAAGTCAGTCAACGAAAGTCAGTCAATCAAAGGCTACCAAAGTCAACCATCCAAGGCATCGTCAAAGGATATGCCAAAAGCATCTTCAAAGAGACTCAAATACAATTAAAGGCAACCAACAAACAGGCAGTAATTCACACAATTCAAGGCTGTCTACTTCTAAAAATCAAAACAAACCTTCCTTCAGCTAAGAACCTGGCCATCCTTGTAATAGACTGCAGCTTGGAAGCAGTAATTAGCAATAAACGCTGTTTATCTGAAAAGTTGGCAGATGGATATCCTTGATCACTGTACTTGCAGTTATTCTTGGATGCAAATTAAAATTCCTGTAGAGAAATCAATGGATTAACTGTAGTAGCAAGTCACTGAAGTAGCTCGTAACTAGACCGCACCTAAGTATCAACGCTTGAAGGCACTCAAGCAATTACACACAACAAAATGAGGTCCAAATAAGGCTCAAAGACTTTTGAATAATTTTCCTGTCCACCATGATCGCCTTGGTCTTTGCACCGCTGACTCATTTATCAGCTCCCTTATCTGTTTTATTCTTTATCAGTCTTTTTTTTTTTTTTTTTTTTTTTTTTTTTAATCCTGATGTATATTCAATAATCCGCAATTTGAGAGATTGGGCGAAATTCAATTATTTTCTCCTCTATGAATAAAAGTTTCCATGT